GAAAAAAAAGACTATAGTCTTTGCATTTTTACACATCTTTTATGCAAAAGACTATAGTCTTTGCATTTTACATCACTTTTTATGATAAAGACTATAGTCTCTTTGCATTTTTATTACACTTTTATGCAAAAGACTATAGTCTTTGCATTTTACACACTTAACTAAAAGACTATAGTCTTTGCATTTTATTACACTTTTATGCAAAAGACTATAGTCTTTGCATTTTACACACTTTTACGCAAAAGACTATAGTGTTTTGTGATTTTATTACTTTTACGCAAAAGACTATAGTCTTTGCATTTTACATCTTTACGCAAAAGACTATAGTCTTTGCATTTTTATTATCTACTTTACGCAAAAAGACTAGTCTTTGCATTTTATACACCTTTTACGCAAAAGACTATAGTCTTTGCATTTTTACACTTTTTTACGCAAAAGACTATAGTTTTGCATTTTTACACTTTTATGCAAAAGACTATATATTTTTGCATTTTTACACACTTTTATGCAAAAGACTATAATCTTTACATTTTTACGCACTTCTTTGCAAAAGACCATAGTCATTGCATTTTTACACACTTTTACGCAAAAGACTATAGTCTTGCATTTTTACACACTTTTATGCAAAAGACTATAGTCTTTGCATTTTACACACTTTTTTATAAAAGACTATAGTCTTTGCATTTTTACACACTTTTTTGCAAAAGACTATAGTCTTTGCATTTTACACACTTTACAAAAGACTATAGTCTTTGCATTTTTACACTTTTTTATGCAAAAGACTATAGTCTTTGTATTTTTACACTTTTTTACGCAAAAGACTATTGTCTTTGCATTTTTACACTTTTTTATGCAAAAGACTATATCTTGTATTTTACACTTTTACGCAAAGACTATAGTCTTTGCATTTTACACACTTTTACGCAAAAGACTATAGTCTTTGCATTTTTACACACCTTTACGCAAAAGACTATAGTCTTTGCATTTTTACACACTTTTACGCAAAAGACTATAGTCTTTGCATTTTTACACTCTTTTACGCAAAAGACTATAGTCTTTGCATTTTTACACTTTTTTACGCAAAAGACTATATCTTTGCATTTTTAGACTTTTTTACGCAAAAGACTATAGTCTTTCAATTTTTACAACTTTTTACGCAAAAGACTATAGTCTTTGCATTTTTACACTTTTTTACGCAAAAGACTATAGTCTTTGAATTATTACAACTTTTTACGCAAAAGACTATAGTCTTTGTGATTTTACACACTTTATGCAAAAGACTATAGTCTTTGCATTTTACACACTTTTACGCAAAGACTATAGTCTTTGATTTTTATTACATCTTTATGCAAAAGACTATAGTCTTTGCATTTTACACACTTTTACATAAAAAGACTATAGTCTTTGATTTTACACTTTACATCAAAAAGACTATAGTCTTTGCATTTTTTTACACACTTTTATGCAAAGACTATAGTCTTTGATTTTACACACTTACATAAAAGACTATAGTCTTTGCATTTTACACTCTTTACACAAAAGACTATAGTCTTTATGTTTTACACTTTTATGCAAAAGACTATAGTCTCTTTGCATTTTTACACACTTTTCCAATAAAAGACTATAGTCTTTGCATTTTACACATTTTATGCAAAGACTATAGTCTTTGCATTTTTACACACTTTTACGCAAAAGACTATAGTCTTTGCATTTTTACACACTTTTTTGCAAAAGACTATAGTCTTTGCATTTTTACACACTTTTATGCAAAAGACTATAGTCTTTGCATTTTTTTACACTTTTACGCAAAAGACTATAGTCTTTGCATTTTCACACCCTTTTTTAAAAAGACTATAGTCTTTGCATTTTTACACACTTTTACGCAAAAGACTATAGTATTTGCATTTTTACACACTTTTACACAAAAGACTATAGTTTTGCAGTTTTACACACTTTTATGCAACAGACTATAGTCTTTGCATTTTTACTTACTTTTACGCAAAAGACTATAGTCTTTGCATTTTTACACACTTTTTTGCAAAAGACAATAGTCTTTGCATTTTCACACACTTTTACTCAAAAGACTATAGTCTTTGCATTTTTACACACTTTTACGCAAAAGACTATAGTCTTTGCATTTTACACACTTTTATGCAAAAGACTATAGTCTTTGATTTACACACTTTTACACAAAAAGACTATAGTCTTTGCATTTTTACACTTTTTTAATAAAAGACTATAGTCTTTGCTTTTTACCAACTCTTTTATGCAAAAGACTATAGTCTTTGCATTTTTACACACATTTTTGCAAAAGACTATAGTCTTGTGCATTTTATTACATTTTACGCAAAAGACTATAGTCTTTGCATTTTTACACACTTTTTACGCAAAAGACTATAGTCTTTGCATTTTATTACACTTTACGCAAAGACTATAGTCTTTGCATTTTACACACTTTTGCTGCAAAAAGACTAAGATATTTTGCATTTTTATTAATATCTCTTTTATTACTTTAAAAAGACTATAGTCTTTGCATTTTATTACACACTTTTAATAAAAAGACTATAGTCTTTGCCATTTTTACACACTTTTACGCGAAAAAGACTATAGGATTTTGCATTTTTACACACTTTTCACAAAAAGACAAGAGTCTTTGCATTTTTATTACACTTTTATGCAAAAAGACTATAGTCTTTGCATTTTACATCTTTTTACAAAAGACTATCATTTTGCATTTTTACACACTTTTATGCAAAAGACTATAGTCTTTGCCTTTTTACACACTTTTACGCAAAAGACTATAGTCTGCATTTTTACACTTTTTACGCAAAGACTATAGTCTTTGTGATTTTTACACTTTTTTACGCAAAAGACTATAGTTCTTTGCATTTTTACACTTTTTATGCAAAAGACTATAGTCTTTGCATTTTACACTTTTACGCAAAGACTATAGTCTTTGCATTTTTATTCACTTTACGCAAAAAGACTATAGTCTTTGCATTTTTTATCATCTTTTATGCAAAAGACTATAGTCTTTTGCATTTTATTATCTTTTACGCAAAAGACTATGTCTTTGTGATTTTTACACTTTCACGCAAAAGACTATAGTCTTTAGATTTTTACACACTTTTACACAAAAGACAAGAGTATTTGCATTTTTACACACTTTTACACAAAAGACTATAGTCTTTGCATTTTTACACACTTTTACACAAAAGACAAGAGTCTTTGCATTTTTACACACTTTTACGCAAAAGACTATAGTCTTTGCATTTTTACACTTTTTTATGCAAGACTATAGTCTTTGCATTTTGAAATTTGTTTACGCAAAAGACTAAAGTCTTTGCTTTTTTACACTTTTTTATGCAAAAGACTATAGTCTTTGCATTTTACACACTTTTATGCAAAAAGACAAGAGCATTTGCATTTTTACACTTTACATGAAAAAGACTATAGTCTTTATTTTCATTACACAAAAGACAAAGAGTCTTTGTTTTTATATTACGAATTTTATGCAAAAGACTATAGTCTTTGAATTTTTACACTTTTTATGCAAAAGACTATAGTCTTTGATTTTATCTTTTATGCAAAAGACTATAGTCTTTTGCATTTTTACACATTTTCACGCAAAAGACTATAGTCTTTACATTTTACACTTTTATGCAAAAGACTATAGTTCACGCATTTTCACACAATTTTTTTCATGCAAAAGACTATAGTCTCATACAATTTTCATGCAAAGACTATAGTTCACGAATTTTCATGCAAAGACTATAGTTCATGAATTTTCATGCAAAAGACTATAGTTCACGAATTTTCATGCAAAAGACTATAGTTCACGAATTTTCATGCAAAGACTATAGTTCACGAATTTCATGCAAAAGACTATATTTCACGAATTTTCATGAAAAGACTATAGTTCACGAATTTTCATGCAAAAGACTATAATTCACGAATTTTCATGCAAAAGACTATAGTTCATGCATTTTCACTAAAAGACTATAATTTACCCATTTTCATGCAAAAGACTATTATATTTCACGTATTTTCACCAAACGACTATCGTTCACGAATTTTCATGCAAAAGACTATAGTTCACGTATTTTCACCAAAAGACTATAGTTCACGAATTTTCATGTAAAAGACTATAGTTCACGTATTTTCACCAAAAGACTATAGTTCACGAATTTTCATGTAAAAGACCATAATTCACGCATTTTCACCAAAAGACTATAATTCACGAATTTTCATGCAAAAGACTATAGTTCACGAATTTTCACCAAAAGACTATAGTTCACGAATTTTCATGCAAAAGACTATAGTTCACGAATTTTTATGTAAAAGACTATGGTTCACGAATTTTCATGTAAAAGATTATAGTCCACGCATTTTCACTAAAAGACTATAGTTCACGAATTTTCGACATTCAGTAGTCAGAGAGGATACAATATACGCAAAATTCCAAATGTAGATGAACCCCAGAAGGAAAAAGCCCAGCTTGCTGGAGTGATGTCAAGAACATATGTGTCTGAGACGTTTTCAACGAAGTGGTCGAACGGTATATCACCCAAGCCAGCTAAGATGTTCAATATTAGTTTAAGGAAGAAACTTCCCAACGCCAGTAATGATAGTATGACCGAGCTCGCTTTAGTATTACGCATATTTCTGCAATGGCAAAAGTATATTTCTTGTGATTAGTTGATTATGTTCTGTAAAAACTAATGGCGCAATACCCTTGAATCATCATGTGACTTCCTACGCAAACAAAGAGTGAGATAATTTGGCAATATCGACAGTTTCGAGTCATTTCAACTACCATATTAAGCCCAACCACATAAAACCTGCAGTCAACACATAGAAAATGGTGTGTGGAATAACTGGAATTCTAGGCTTAGGTAGTGTTTGGCTCAGTATCTAATGAATAACTAGGTGGATATGATAAAGAAATCCTGTAAGTTTTAAAGTCTGTTAAGAAAAAATACAGACAATACTCAAAAAAATGAACATTGAATGTTTATTTATTACAAGGTGTCATACATCTGGTTATATATACTATAATTTTTTATGATATTTCTACATACATATGCAATGATATTAATCAGCGGTCTCACTTTTAATCATGTTGTTCAAGTCATACATCATCAGTTAATACGAGAGCAAAGATTTTCATGTATCAAATTTTCTTTTGTCAAATTTTCATTTGTCAAAAAGTTTATATCAAATTTAGGATTTACATTGAGGTGTACGATCGTTTACGGTTGCGATAAATCTGCAATGAAATACGTACAACAAATGCGACAGCTGTAATTATGAGCAATGCAAGAGAAAACTTTGAACTTGTTAGAGAACTGTCAAAATTTTTCACAAGACTAGCTGTTAGTGCCCACAGTACTACAGGCCAGTCGGTGTAGGTGAAGTTCAAGACGCTCTGCAACTTGCTGAAGTTCTCCACAGAAAACCAAATCAGCAACTCCACCAATAAAATCGCAAGAACAATATTGCACGACAATGATAAATCTACGTTGCATTTATAATGCATTACAATAGCAACGTTCAATAATGACGCAATAGTTACCCAAGTTGCATTCATCATTGCTCCTAAAAAGTAACACAGGTCAAATCATCATAAAAGAGATAGAACATTGAACGTAATTTGTTTCTTAAAAAGAGAGAAATAGTCAAATGAAAGAGCTTCTTTTCTCTTTAGCACTATTAGTGAGCGTAATTTACATAAATTGATAGACTCACCATTTTCTGCAAGAATGCGAATGGCCCAAGCATCTTTACTGAATCGTACTTCGATTTCTTTTTTATGCGATTGATAGTTGACATAAACGACGGTTAGTACTGCATATAATCCGAGTGAGTACAAGATAATCGCAGCACAACTCAACCATACTTTTAGGTATGCAAAGAAGAACAACCAAGCAATGTTAAATGCATCGCTCAAGATACAAAAGAGAAAGAATTTCGTGGTGTAGATGGCAGGAAAATCGCGAAACAACGTTGACAAGGCATGGATAATGTATGCACCATTTAGTGTGTATATGATACCCCAGATTGAGAAAGCCCAACCAGCAGGTGTGATTTCAAGATAAAATATCTCGGAGACGTTACGATTGCTCCTTGGAAATGGATCTTTACCAGCTCCGCTCAAATAATTCAAGATTAACTTTACTATGAAGACAATAAGTGCGACAATGCCACTGGCGATGTTCAATCTTGAGGCTTGAGCCATTCTTGCGTTGGTTTTGCGTTGAGAAATGACGTTCTTTATGTACGCATGGTTGAATGCGCTGATGTTTTATACTCTCGGCCAAGCGTGTTACATAATACTGTATGTATGTATCATAAACGCTCGTGATCTTGCGCGTGAATAAAGTGCTTGCTCATGAAAAGAAAATATTGCTTCATCATTTACATATGGTCAACAATTATATCATCCAAACAAAAAACTTGAGGTTCAGTCGTTGTTTTTTTTACGGATATGAACACGACACAGATGCAGTATATTCAAATGTTCGCGAGGCATTTATGTGTCAGGCCTGGCCAAGAATGTCAAGAAATGTTTATCAACTCTTTCGTAACTTCCCGTGATGACAAGCGCGTGACTTTGTCCTGTCACCATACAAGGACGCGTGAGTTGGGTTGAAAACACGAGGATACTGTGTGTGCATATGTTTTGCACATTAATAGATAATGACACTGCACGACTAAACATATCAGCGTTATATGAAACCTCTCTTACGTCAAAGTTTTCCTTTGTCAATATTTCGTTACGTTGTTTTATATTTTTTTGGCGGAGGCTTTTGATAAGTCTTGATAAGTCTTCTTTTCCCTTTTGGAATTAAAGCAATATAGTTCCTTCACATTGTTATCCTCTCACTAAGCCTTTTTGGTAAAGGACACTTTGGGCCTATATTATTTTTAAAATCCGTAGCAGTAATATCGCCTATAGCAATAATATTATGATCCATAGAACCGCAGATGCATTGGTATTAGGTCCATATGAGGAATCGTATCTCGCGTTACTCATACAATAAAAATAAACAATATTAGACATTAGTACATAAGGATACTTGTAACTGACAAATTTGATACAAATGTGTTCGTGGACTGACGTAATAATAATCAATTCTTACCTAAAGGTCTCAGACATGGCTAACTTTTTTCTTCTTGTTTTTGATAAATTTTAAAATAAAACTCAGTATTAAGGGAAAACCGGCAAACTGTCGGTAAAGATTTTCGTTTGATGCCCAATACTTGATCAACTTGTCTATTTTTACAAGAAATCTTTACAAAAATGACTCTTACATTAAATATATTTACAAAATGATTTGGTGGTAGCATGCATCCTTGGAAAAATTGTTGTTTTTTGCAAATACCAAATGTGCCAAGTGTACCGCAATTTACGTAAAACGTAGCTTCCAACCGAGTACCAACATGCTGCCATACAGTTCGCCTTTTTCTTTTAATTCATAACGTGCGTTCTGAGATTTGCGATTGTGATGCGTAAATGGAGTTGTTACACATCGAGCTTTTATTTAAGCATTTCGATTTTTAATGTTTAGTAACGTTTTCTACTTTTTAACGTTATATTTCAATAATTCGTGAAAGAGAAACCCCTGATTTCTTCCTTCCAAGGACGCCAGGGCCAAGGTGGCTGGGGAAGGTAGAATCCCCAGTCCCCACAACAATTTCATCCAAAAGGTTGTTTAATTATTACGGTAAGGTTCGAAGGCTTATAAAAGACCATCGAGTTTGAAGATTTTTCAACATTTTGCCCGTATGTTGCAATATCTTGTATATTCTATAATAAATATTTGAGGTAATACTTTTGAACTCCTCGTCTCTTCATCTGCATCTTCCTCGTCTTCCCATCAGCATCCTCCTCATATAAACGAAACATCTATGAAACAAGTTAAGATTATGACATGAAAAAACATCACATCGTCCCTTGTATGAAAAAAAACTGAAGAAGAATTTATTTGTTTGATGGAAAGAAAAAATTATAAGCACATACCACTGTTAGGGTTCTTCTTTTTTCACTGTCAGTGAGCCTGACATGTCTACTAAACTGCAACAACAATTGTTGAATTAATACCATAGCAAGCAATTATGGAGATCGTGCTTTAAGGAGACATACAAGTTATCTACAATATTATATTCTTCGGTCACAAAGGCTAAAGGATCGAAATTGCTATTTCTAACATTAGCCAGCTGTTAGAAATAGGAAATATACAAAATGTAAAATTAAAGTAGTTTCTTGACATGTATTGATAGAGGTCGAATCATTGATGTCAAGAATAGTGGGAAAATTTTGGCAGTTCTGTGTTTTCACTTCAATATATACCTGGATCTTGACGACAACTTTGTGGTCAAAGAGCGAAACATAGAAATACCAAGAAACCAACGAAATTGATCATTCTTTTGAACAAATAGGATTCTTTACGATGCTTTGAATATGCTGTATCGTGAATGCCCATCACAATTGGGTTGGTTATACATGTTAATTCATCGATCGTAGACTATCTTTATGTGTTCAAAGATGTTTCTGTATTTAATCTGGTGCTTTCAAACATAGGTAAAATATCTTTGAACTTTGTTGGCCGTGTCATGTGTCATATAACTCAATGGACATAAAGTTGAACTTATATAAAGTCTTGATATAACTCAATGGATATAAAGTTCAACTTATATAAAGTCTTGATATAACTCAATGGACATAAACTTGAACTTATATAAAGTCTTGATATAACTCAATGGATATAAAGTTGAACTTATATAAAGTCTTGATATAACTCAATGGACATAAAGTTGAACTTATATAAAGTCTTGATATAACTCAATGGACATAAAGTTGACTTATATAAAGTCTTGATATAATTCAATGGACATAAAGTTGAACTTATATAAAGTCTTGATATAACTCAATGGACATAAAGTTGACTTATATAAAGTCTTGATATAACTCAATGGATATAAAGTTGAACTTACATAAAGTCTTGATATAACTCAATGGACATAAAGTTGAACTTACATAAAGTCTTGATATAACTCAATGGACATAAAGTTGAACTTATATAAAGTCTTGATATAACTCAATGGACATAAAGTTGACTTATATAAAGTCTTGATATAACTCAATGGATATAAAGTTGAACTTACATAAAGTCTTGATATAACTCAATGGACATAAAGTTGAACTTACATAAAGTCTTGATATAACTCAATGGACATAAAGTTGAACTTATATAAAGTCTTGATACAACTCAATGGACATAAAGTTGACTTATATAAAGTCTTGATATAACTCAATGGATATAAAGTTGAACTTACATAAAGTCTTGATATAACTCAATGGACATAAAGTTGAACTTACATAAAGTCTTGATATAACTCAATGGACATAAAGTTGAACTTATATAAAGTCTTGATATAACTCAATGGACATAAAGTTGACTTATATAAAGTCTTGATATAACTCAATGGATATAAAGTTGAACTTACATAAAGTCTTGATATAACTCAATGGACATAAAGTTGAACTTACATAAAGTCTTGATAAAACTCAATGGACATAAAGTTGAACTTATATAAAGTCTTGATATAACTCAATGGACAAAACACGACACACAATTTCCATTAAGTATTTCAAGCCATTTACGAATATTCGTACAATTCACGTCAGTTAGGATATAATCTATGATATCCACGACATTCCACATTAACCATAATGTAATTCCCAACATTCATAACATAATCCATGATACCAACAATCTTTCCATAATTTCGTAAGTGCACAATAGTCATTAAACATTTAAAATAGACGACAAATTTCTTTGAAGCAAACATGTTTCGGCAGACTTTATGCCATCTTCAGTGTGATGTGAATCAATAGGATGTTTACATTTACTTCGCACTGAAGATGGCGTAAAGCATGGCGAAACATGTTTGCTTTGAAGAAATTTGTCATCTATTTTAAATGTTTAATACCAACTATGCCAATTTCAACCAAGCTTTTATCTAGATATTCCAAAACGTTTAAGAAAGGAAGAAATAATGCAACATTGTAAAACAATTAACCAAAACATTTGCAATGTGAAATAATACAATAAAATTAAGCTTTCTAAAGTCTGTCAAAATAAGAAAACAGGTTCGGGACATTTTGATCACAAAAAGGTTTGAAAGTAAACAGAAGCAGCAAATAATTATTTAGGCAATCACATGTAATGTTGCCAATTTCTTACAAATTGTCAGGTAAATTACTTATTACCACACTACATATGGTAAGCAAGCAGATAATTTTATTTTAAAGATATCAACTATATAAAAACATGCTTAATGTCGATTGAAATACCTTGGATCCTGTACTACATTTAAACTTCTATTTGAATGAAGTAAATAGTGAATACAAGGTTTTAGAGATGAATATGAAGTGACAATGTATACAATTTATTTCTACCTACACTTACATATTAATTTAACCTAACTCCAAAGTTTCCAGAAGTTTTCTTAGCTATTCTTGCAGCATCCCGTTCTTCCTTCCTCTTCTGTTGTTCCAAAGCTCTTCTCTCTCTCTCAGCTTGTCTAGTTTCCTTCAAGACATTTTGTGTTTCCCATTCTATCTCATCATCTCCTACCTCTTCCCAAGCATCACAATCCTCAGTCCAAGTTCCCAATTCAGTCTAATTAATAAATAAAACACCAATAGCATTTTGCTATGATAATATTACATATTCTTTTGAAAGAGATACACACCCCAGGAATTGCTGTTGATGAGTCAAACTTCAACCTGTCTGATGACTGCTTCACTGATATGTTTTCTTCTGGAGAGCTTCTTTTCAGTCTTATCTGCACCATCAACCAATAAACACACATACAAACCATACTGCGTTTAGTAATGGAGAAGTCTCGAGAAAAAAATATTTTCAAAATGAATAAACCTTTTTAGGTTTCTGAAATATGGGCTGCATGTCACCAAACAAATCAACTTCGTTTTCTTTTTGTTCTTGTTGTGCATCCTTGCCATTTACAGCCTCTACTTTGACACTCACAAGTTCATTATCATTTTTACCCCAGTCATCCCAAGATGTTAAATCGTCATCCTAAATAAAATAACATTAGAAATTGTCATTGTAGTACTTTAATTATTCAAAAAAAAACAGCATTAAACATATAGCCAGCGACCAACTTTGCTTGGAGTCATATATGGTTGTTTTGAAACGCTTCTCGTGCTATTTTCATTGTTTAGTTGCTTTCTTCCACAAATACAACGCTGTATGAACTTAATAAACGCAAAAATCCAGGAGAAAAGCGTTGAAATTTTCATTGTCGTTCAGCCATATTTATATTTCATTAAATTTGAATATTGAGCATTCGTACTTCCATTGAAAGAAAGATTTTTCAAAAAATTCATTTCACATAGCTCTTCGTTTAGTTTCGCGTCTTATCAAAAAGAAAGTACAGAATAATTGTAATACTTGAAAAAATACAATGCCTTAAAAACTAAAATACGTGTTTGATTATCAAAAGATCACAGTGACAGTATAAAACTCTGTAGGCTATCAAGTACATTTTAGTTTTTACCAACACGAAACAGGTAGTGGTGCAGTGGAGCTATCCACTTACCAAGTTCAATTTGCAACAATTTCTGTAAAAATGACAATTCAAATCAGAATTCATAACTTTGGAAGAAACACACACTAACTTTTTTAATAACTGTACATTTTTAAGCTTTTCACCAAGTTTGGAGTAAAATGCACCATAAAACTTATTCTTTTCGAAAATTTTTTTTCATTTTAAGGGTAGAAGCCAAGCATGGTCAAAAGTATTTTATTGTAACCGCAGTAACTCAAATGACCAAAAATTATTTATAGGGCTGTTCATAAGTCAACAATTCATAGGTGTGAGTAATTTACAGAAAACAATTGGGCAAAAGAAAACTTAACATGGCATAACATTCATGTAAGAAAATATGAAGCACGCCCTCAACTATAATTAACTTTCATATGGGGATTTAAGCTACGAAATGTGTATTGTTATTTATGCAGAACAATTTATCTACGTATTTGGCAATCAAGATTAATTGTAAGTCAACCACTTATCTTGAATGAGGATTTTATAAGTCAACTGTAATTAACTTCATCAATTTGATTGCCAATTCTCATTGCGGGCATGTTAAAAGTTATAAGCTATTTGTCAACTGACTCATAACTTACAACACAAAAGATAACACGGTAGAGCATATCCTCCCTTTACAATACAACTCATGAAACACAACATTTCCTTTAATTAATACTGAAAAGAAGGCATTCCAAAGATTTATTAATTCCTTTCTAGTACCACCAATAATGGGAGCTGGAAAAGTCTTTAATCAAACAAACCAAAACCCATATCATCATCACTCTCTTCTTCTTCCTCCTCTTCTTTCTTCTCCTCAGTTTTTGTTTCCTCTGTAGCATTATCACCACTAGCAGCAACTGGAGCAGCAGACACAAATGCAGATGGATCAGCCAAGTAAGCTTTCAATTGCTCCACTTCTGGGAAGGTAATATCTGTCTCCAAAGCAACTGCAAGCACATTCTATAAAATATAGAATAGAAAATTATACAATTGATACACACATCTTCAAAACGTTACTTCACTAATCAACAATTTACAAAGCTGCAATTCATCTCTTTCAATAGGGTGTTTGCATGTGACGTCAAAGCGGCCATATTGGAGGCCTATATCAAAGTACTGATGCTCAACAAAGCATGAAATTAACATAAATTCCTTTCACTATATGGGATTTTCCTCCAACATGACGACCGATGCAAACACTATACATTGTAATATCAAGAGCTGACACATATTTTAAGACCTTACAACTTTTTTGGCTCAATCAATTTAGAAATGAAAAAAAAATGCAATTATTAACAATACTTTTTGTGATTTTTTTCTTCAAAATTAAATAAAAATACCATAGCTTCCACAAACTATCACCTAATCTACTAACCTTAAATCCATTTACAATTGAATGAGGCACAGATGCAACTGTTGGATAACCAATAGCCAAGGAGACACTAGCTACATTGGCAATACCCTGGACAAAAATATTAATTTCTTGGTTCAAAAATATTAATATAAAGACTAAAGTTCAGTAAAAAAAAGAGCTGTTTTCCATTACCTCCATGAATTTTGCCATCAAATCATCTTCAGTTATGTCAAGCACATCAGGTGAAAAAACACTACCAGCTTCATACACTAAAGACAAAATGATAATGATACATAAGATATCCCTTATAACTTTCTACAATATTTACAAAAACTATTCATGAGCAACAAAAGCAAATTACCTTGTTCAATTTGCAAGCCATAAGAAAATGGAAAGATCTTCAACATCTGTAATAAAGTTGCTTCAGATGCTCCAACTTTTTCATCTTTGTGAATGAGATGAACCTCACTCTGAAGGATTAACAACAGTTAACTATTTAAACAACTTTGTTTCATATGAAATGTTGAAATTTGTATCTGAACTCAAATGCTTATTTCATATTGTAATGACTACATGAAACAGTAAAAGAAAACACTACCAAAATTTCAATTGTCCCCCTAGTGATCTTGGTGGGAATGGCCAATGCTTGAAAGAAAGATGTCTTCTCAGGCCCAAGTCCAGTGTTAACTGCTGAAATTTTAACATCAATGGGTGCAATTGCACCAGCTTTAGCAGGAGCTGCCACTTTGTTGCTTTTGATAACATCCCGAACCTCATTCAAATCCTCTTTGGTGAACACAAAGCCAACATTCCCTTTAATGTGAGGGAGAAGCCTAAAAACAACAAGCTTTAGATTGATTATTAATACATGATAAACATCATTCACAACAATTTAGATAAAAGAAGACAGGACATTTCCATATCACACAAATATCTTACTTTTCAAGATGTGGATTATTTTCAAGATGGCCACGGATTGCCTTTCTCATCATTGTGTTTTTACCCATAAGCAATTCCGCCTTTCCACGTAGAGAAATTCGTATTTTCTGCATTTGTTTAGAGCCAACATTATCTGCCCCAACAATAAATACTTTAGGATATTCATCAAGACATTGCTATATAAAAATTGACAAAATTTGCCTGTTGGAAATTGTTGGTCATATACTTTTGGTGGAGAGGATAAAGACACACTAAATGTGAAAAAATTTATTCAATTGTTGTAACCATTGGCTATATTAGTTCAAAATGATCCCTTTCACTTCATTTAAGGTATATTCAAAATGTGACTTCACTATTTCTCAAAGTGCCCAAGGCTCTCTATGTTAACTTACAATTATCTTGGTGAAATAGTTAGACTTCCATGTCGTCTTATCTTCCCTGACCATTTTGGATTAGTAAAGGATTGCGTATAAAACGTTTAAAGAATCACTGAAGGAAAGAAATAAGCCCGCCATTACATATTATATATTTTCATTAAAAGATAACTGCATGAAGACTTTTAGTGAAAGAATGTCAAAAAAACCCCACTAAGAATAAAATAAAATGTTTCACAGCGCCATATAAAGTGAAATTAGGCAATAAACTCTTTTTCGAGGTGCAAAATTATAATGGTCCCTTACTTCAAGACAACGTGGAAACAAGAGAATATACGAATATTTTATATACCCAAAATGCATTACGATCCGCCATTAGAACCCAGTCGCCCAGTTCCTCAAACATACAGCATTTTCATTCCTGATCATTCCTTTCTTTTCAGGGATACTTGTGTTTTTTCTTGAGGAAACAGTTCATGTTTAAGAAGTTTTGTGCTACGGTTTAATCACAAACAACACAAATAAGTGTCGGTGCGTGATTGTTGAGCACCAACTACAACCGTCCTCCCCCCTCATGACACTAGAGTAGGAAAAGCTAAAACAATATGCTATATAAAAGAATCTTTTCTTTCAGTTTCTTCGTGGATTGTGGGCGATGACATTTCTGCAAAAGCTACAAGAAAATACATGAAAGTTTTCAACAACCATGAACAAACTTCTACCATTAATTTTTGTCTAGTGTGCACTGTTTACAAAACAAATTGCAGACAATATAGAATGACTTTTAAATGTGGTCTATTTAAACGCTTCCGTCCAATTATACTAATGTACACTAATGAAAGAATATTATTTGCTTCTGAACCACTTGAGCAAATAAGTTTTTTACAATTTGCGACCATAATGCCTTTACCAGACGATATTACCTTTTAGGGGGGCACAGCCAAATCCTTTCACACCAATAATATGCAACAAATTGCATAAAAATACGTAATAAATTATTACTCGGTATGAGAAAAATGTCGACAAAAGAGTAAAACGAAAGACAAGTTAAATGAACAACTCATTAAAGCAATACAAAACAGGATTACTCCCATTTCATTGAAACACTACCATCATCAAAACGCACAATGTAAAACTTCCATTCAATGTTCATTTTTATTCAGAATTTACACGAAGGCAATTTTCCATTTGCGTGTATTCACAACTAAATTATATAATATGCTCAATTTGTGCTTTCTTTCACCTAATTATCATTTCTATATGTAATAAGCGTTTATCTTCACTGAAACCAGAAAAGGTTATCCATAAAGATCATAAATAATTGACTTTCATGTCGTCCGAGACGCCACATCAGACAAGCTGTAGATTTGTTTTGTATGAATGAAAATTATCTTTCCGTCAGAATATTGTGCAAAAAATATTGGTTTTTCTTTCACACTACGATCCCACTAAGTGGAAGTGATAATGCACCATTTAACTATTCGTATAGGTTATTTACTTCCAGACTTGAATCTAAGACCTTAGCTGCAGCACTTTTAGATGGAGGCTCTTCTCCGCCCATACATAGTCCTATAAGTTGTAAAAGTTATCTCATCTTCGAAATGACACAGCAGGTCGGAGACATAATCTGAATCAGTCGCCTGTAACGCATCGTTCGTGGAGATAAGGTTGCAGTTCTCAAAATTTGCATACGCATCGGGAAGCAAACGTTCTTTGGGTTTTGAAGTTTTATTACGAATCTCCATCATGCGTAATACAAGCAGGTTTAAGAATGAAGAAGCGATAGTCAAACCGAGAAAAATAAACATCATCGAAAGACTGATATAAAACACACTGAACCTATCGTTGTCACTTTCTTGTAAGGCGACAAAATCACCAAAACCAATAGTTGTCACCGTGATAAAACAGTAATAAAATGATTCAAAGTACGACCAGTTTTCGTAATAACTAAATAGCGCAGCACCAAAAGACACGGTCAAGGCAAGACTAACTAAGCCCACGACAGCCAAGCCGTTTGTGCTTATTTCATGTTTCTTTTTGAGTTTACTCATGACTAAACGGTAAATGTACTTTACAAGGGCATTAAATCTTTCTCCAATCGACTGAAGTGATGTGATGGCCAAAGGTACTCCTATTGTTGCGTAGATTATACAAAATAACTTTCCTAAATTAGTCTTTGGCACAGTATGACCATAGCCTAAAGTTAGGAAAAAAAAGATTAAGTGCTTGATAAGAAGAGGAATGTGCGAAGATTATCATTGACGAAAAAGTGGAGAGACATTAACATAACAAAACTGGAAACATAGCAACACTGAACAAACACTTAAAGGTACATGCAGTCAAATTGCGTCATGGTGAAAATGACACGCAAGGGAACTTAGCAATCTTGTCATGCAACTAAACAATCAAAAATATTTTTTGGGAAACTGTTTTAGTAGTTATCTCTACAAATTAAAGGACGACATTGTGATGGCGTTCTCAGCATGAGAAATTCTTTCTATTTCTTAGCCAAGATGGTTTTGCGAGAAAGTAGTAATATGTTACTATTGATTGTCTAATCTAGTATAAATAATTCATGCTAGTATAGTGTAATTTGTGTCTCAACGTACTCACGCTGTAAATTAAGATTTCTATTCTTCTAGACTTTTCTTATGTATACCGAACTGTTTTAGAGGAGAATGACCACACATATTATGCATGCTTTATGGTCTTCCCACACATTTATTAACTTTTCTTTTTGTTTGCAAATGCTTCCACACAAACATTTTACATAAACATGCTCAAGAGCTATGTTAACAATGTCCTTTAGGGCATCAGACTTAGCTAGGAGTTTTCCTTATTGAAACTGTACTTAATCATTCCAACAAAAACGTAGAATTAACATCGTGGAGACTGATGCATTCCACAACAATAAAATTATATAATTCCTCCATTTATCGTTACCTAAAACCATATATCTTATATAATTTGTTTAAACAACGTAATTTTTGGTCAACAAACGCGACATTTGGCCGTTTAAGAACAACACACTTATATTGACGTTCGCACTTAAACATGAAATAGAAATTGTTGAGTCGTTACAGTCAGTACGTTCACAGTCCCAATCTATGAAAATAACGTTCGATTCCTTTCCTGTACGTTGAGTTCCTTTCAATGCTCTTTCCAACGAAGAATAACAAAGCAAATCAGAACAAAGTACATGTCGCTAGTGCTAGACTGTATACATAAAATATTATGAAATCATATCTTCCTTATATTTACCTGAATCAATGGAAACATGTCGAGCATAAAACCAATTTCATTCAAAGATAAACAAACATTGATTTTATTATAAGGCATTTCTGTCCTTATCATGCAATATTGCATTAAAGAATTTCTCCGTGAATTTCGTCATCGTTCAAAACAATGATACTTAATTTAAGCAAAGCTTACCTATTGTAGTGATAACAGTTGTCGCAAAGTAAACTGAACCGGCAAAACTCCACGATTCCACGTTAACTTTTGTCGCCTTTTGACTTTGCATAAACTCTGCCCATTTCCCGAAATCTTCAGCAGTCACATTATACTTGCTTCGAAATTCAACAATATCTTTCTCCATTTTCACTCGTCTCTTTTGATACTCATCATACTCCAAGGCACTGAAGACAGCGGCCCCAACAAGTAAATAACTTATTGAACATATAATCAACAGCAATGTCCGAGTTCCATTCGCAGTAACACAAAACTTAACCATTACCTTATATCACAATCCCACATAATATAAACGTGATAATGAAACTCGTTGAAATGAGCACTAAGAACTTTATTATGTTATCTCATGTGTCATATGTACGCCGCCGTTGTTGCTTTTAAAAAGTCAAATATGCGACTCAAAACTACGTAGCGGGAGGCTGCATGAAGCTGTGTTGTGATTGGCTGGCTTCAACACGATAGGTTATGCAGCAATTAATGATCGTCATAGCATTTATTTTTCGATATATCATCGATTCGTGCAAAATTTACACGACAGCTGCATACATAAGGACATGAACACAAAAATTATCATAAAAAAAGGATAATTGCACAGGACACAAGTAAAATACAAACACACAAAAAACGGACTAAATTGTTTCAAGGTGTACGTTGCCGTCACGATGGAGTGTGCTCTATCTCTTTCTATATGTAATTAGAGTGTAAGGCATTTCATTATGTGATTGTTGACGTGGCCATTTACTTTGCATAACCTGTCTGAGAATGTTTTAAAAGAACGATTATCTCAAACTATCGCAAAAAGACATTTTTTTCTTCTCACAGGCTACTTTAGTATAACAGGTCACAAGTTTCAGTCCAACCTGCTGAATTGCGCATTTTAATGCGTGCAAAAATGACTCATTGTGCATTATGATTGTTAACACTATTTTAGCTTTGATAAAGTAGCTAACGTGACAATTGACAACTGCACGATTCTTTAAAATTTTCACGTAGTACATATGATAAGCACATTTGTTTTAAATAGTCTACGTGATAATTTGAGAAAATTACATTAAAAATAAATTACAAAGGAATTGCATACAATGTCTATTGTAAGCAATATGAAAACCATGGCAAACTCGAAATGCTACTAATGAAATTGGCGGGACAATATCAATTTTCTCAGAATAAATGAGATATACATTTTCTCAAATGACAGCACAACTTAAAAATTTATGAAGTTTAAGTTTTTGGCATTGATGTAACATGTTTAGCGACGTATAGCTAAACACTTGGGAAACACCAGGAGAAACCTCCAAAACAAAAGCAAGACAAGTTGCAAGAAGACATAATATATGACCTGCAATGCAATAAATAATCATTGCTAAACGTAGAACTGACATATACTTTGTGTAATACTTGATGCAACTTGTCTCGCAAAAAACTTTGACCGCTGCGATGTATCAAGAAAAAGCAAACGGCGTAACAGCACGTTTATGGATGCACATATTATCTTTTGCAGAACTATTGAAATTTTTCCGGGTTAACATTTAGAAAAACTGATAGAGAAACTAGCAAAAGAGAAATCGCAAATTTACAGTTATCATTGAAGATAAAAGTCAGTTAAATATAATAACGTTTATGAAGTATGTTCAAGCTTATCCATATGTATTCTCTTGCGTACTTTGTCTTGTAGTTCAACATATTGCCTAAAAAATGAGTGGTTTTATCACCACGATATTATCAATATTGACACAATTATAACCAGACATAGTGAGATGTATAACATCATAAGTAAATACGCCAATGAATAACACAAAAATTTCTAATTAAAAGAGCATTTTTAAACTTGACAAGCATCTTACAACATCACGCATGTGTACACTTACTTCTCCGAATGGAAAAGTTTACGAACATGCTATAGAGATAAAATCTTTGAGTTTTTTTTATGAATAAACCTACGTCTTAGCGACGACATTCTGATAGCTATACATGCACCTTTATGAAGTTTCTAAAATATCTTAGAAATTTAAGGCTACGAAATATACGTCTTAACATTATGAAGAAAATATTTATAATTAATTTCTTTATATTTAAACACAGTGCAGGAATAACGTATTGCCCCGAGAGCCATTCATGAGATAATCCTGCCTCATGAAAGGCCAATCACATAGCAATATTTGTTATGACGTCATTATTATTATTACACCACAAATAAAGCCGTTTGCAGTTATGGGGGAGAAACCTAACCAAAATTTTGCTTATTTCCTAACAATTTCATTCCAAATCTTTCTGTTTTGTGAATACAATAATTCTGGACTTTCAAAAAAAAATTCATGTAAAAAACACTTGATAATGCAATACATTTAAATTAAACGCATTGTAAAGTTGTCCATGGGCATTAAAAGTTAATGATATTATGATGTATAGCAATGAAAACAAAGTGTTTCCTTGTAGCTATTCAAAATCGTAAAATTCTTGACTTTTCAACAGGTTAGTAAAAACTTTAAGATTTCGATTTAACGAGATTCACTAAGAATTAGATTTTTCAATAAAATTTACTATGAATCATCACAGAAGTGAGTGTTTTTATAGCTAAATACCATTTTTTTTTGATCACAAACACCAACAACAATGTTCTGTGATAAGAAATTATGACCTCCAACCGGCTCGCAATCAAACATAACAACGACATAAACGAGAATGATGCAAAAAATAGTATTCCATACATTTATATTCATATATCTATAGCTACGTGCGCTTTATTGCATCCATCCTAAACCACCCGTTAGCTTCACAGTAGGATAAATGGAATATGAAAGGCCACTACTTTAAGTAAAGTTTTAGCAGGTTCCTGTCATATCACGTAAATATGGAGGTCAGGATAGGTCTAAAAACGTTTTGACAGGTAAAATGCGTGCGCATCCATCGAGCTATGCTGAAACGCAATAAGAGAAGTATAAGGAGCACTTACCGTCTCAGATCGAAAGCTTTCATTTTTAATTCTTTATTTTTCATTTCAATTTTCCTCGCACTTTTCCAAACCTCTTCATCGATCATGGGGTCAACATGACCACGTAGAAAAATCCCAGACCAAACACTCTGATGTAAAGAAAATGATAAAAAATCAGAAAAAAAGCACTAAAGTAGTATTTCTTCGCTTCAATATAGTTAAGAAGTAGCATGAAAAATCGTTACTTTTCCATTTCAAACATTTACAACATAAAAACCCCATTAAAAATACATACTAAAGTTTGGCAGGCAGATGAAGGTTTAAGTACTGAAGGGTTTTCTTCGTATACTGGATTCAAATATGGCGTTAAAACATCTGGATGATTCAAATGATTCCTAAAGAGAGAAAGCATACATTTTTTATCGTTGATTACAGGCATATGCACTTCACTTGTATGCACTCAATGGCATACAGTTCTTTATGAACGATTACAGAATGGTAAACGTGTATTGAAGATTAGTTATGACAGCATACAAATGACAATGCAATCATTGACAAGAAGATCATTCTGCCATGGCTAATGACAATATGACATGAATAAATCAATGAATGATTAAGGACTACCATACACTTCTCTATGACTGATTAAATGAGATCTCTGCTTTTGAGTACAGAAAATCATTCAACTCTGCAATTGATTATAGAATAGCATACACTTGCTGATTATTGAAATGTAGTAAAAAAGACTGTTTTATTGGCAAAACTAAATATTATGTTGATCGAAATGTTTACCGAAACCCTGGCTTTTTTCCTGACAGAAGAGACTGCACATTGTTTTTTTTTTACAAATAACCAATGGTAAACGATTCCATACGTATCTACTGAACACAAGATAAAAGCCGTGATCTAAATCCAAATTCAAATCCTAATCCATTGAATTATTTACATACAACACAAAGAAAGTGTTGTATGTAAATAATTGTTTCAATAAATATTATTGGTTTACCACAAACTGATTGTCTTTAAGCGAACTTTATGTTTTTCTCTCTCTTGTTCACAATTACCCAAGAAAGTCCCTAAATCATTATATAAAACAATGTGTAACAGGCAAAGGAGCAAACGCCATTTGACATGTTTTGCCAGAACATTTTGTATTAAGAGCTTGTTAGGACATCAATGTGATTATGTTTATTCATACCAAAGTTGGAGCTGTATGCATTTTCAAAGATAACCTGAAGGAACTTATCATTGAATTCAAAGGAACATTGGTACTGCAGCATGACCTAAATGACAATAAAAGAATCACTTTGAGAATATAAACAAGATACCTCACTATGATAACTGCTACTGTAAAGATCAAATGACCAACCACACTAGTTTAAATAGAGATACCTCACTATGACAAATACTACGATAAAAGATCAACTGATGAATTACACTACTCTAAGTAGAGATGGGTACCTCACTATGATAACTGCTACTGTAAACGACCAACTCACCAATCACACTAGTTTAAATAGAGATACCTCGCTATGGCAAGTGCTACTGTAAAAGACCAACAGATCAAGCTTCTTTTAGGCCAATCAAATGTTTCAACTTTCAGTTAGTTCAAAAATAGTGGTGGAGGAATTGAAAGTTACATTCATATCAATAATGGTAACACGACAACCATACAATAATGTCGTATTACGTTCAGGAAAATCACGCAATATATCGACCGTCTAGTTACTTTAAATAAATAAATAATTTAAAACCTGATGAACTGCATCGAGAAACATGAGGAATGTTGGTGCTTGTCCGTTATAGCGAGCACTTGATGTCCCCAGTTTAATACAACGATCTTTGAAAGGGTGCCCTGATGTTATCCATTCACGAACAATTAAACTTTCAAATCTAAGAATGAAGATTTCCTTACAGGCAAATGATTTCACGTTATGCAATGTCAGGCCTTTGTTCGAGAACTTTTGTTTGTGGGCAAAAAACACTAAATGGTTGTAGCAAAAGATGTGGTTTTTCCACATAATATTTGTGAAAACCACATAAAAACGATGCATAAACCTCTACGTATTAGATCACATTGTTTCTATAACCTCACCCTTGAATGGTCCGACAGCGAGGATCGAGCAAAACTTGCGCAAATGAACTGACGATAAGAGTTGTATCCTTACCACTGCCGCCATGAACAAGAACAGTTGAGCCTGAAGATAAACAATATTATTGCAATTACACAACTTATTAATCTTTAATCTGATGGCAAAATTTTAACTTCAAGGACAGCCTAGAGAATAGGGCTCAGGATTCATAAAGTTCTAACAATTCCTTTCCCTTACAGATCATTTTAAATGTTCGAGCCTCAGTCATCTATTTGTAAAGAATACTATCATTTTGTTTTATATTACCTTTTTGCAAGTTCCCAGCTACGACATTACCAGCATTTATGATGAGTTCAAGTTGTTTGAACCAGCCACAAGCCTCTAGACGCGTCAACCAAGTGCTCATCGAACATTGACGATCCTTACAAGCTGAAAATATAAAGATGAAGTGAGTCATTGTCAAAAAGGAAGAAAACAGATAGAGAATACATTCAAAAAAAAAGAGTATGAACATATGAACACTATATTGTTGAACAGGAGGTAAACAGTGTTGATCAACAAAAACTGAAGAATTTTAAAAACGATTTATGTGACAGTTAAAGCACGAAAGGTTGGTGGCACCAGGAAGCAGTTGACTCAACAGCCCACCCTGCCAATCACGTGAATGTATGTAATCAAGGTTATATAAATATTTAGCATTATGTTAAATAATGAGCTAAGTTAGATTCTTACCCTCTACGTATTTACGAAACATGTCCGTGAACTCTTTATGCCTTGCTAGATTCCCATATGCTTTTGTCCATTGTTGATAATGTGAATCAGGTTCAATACCATAACCTAGGCATGTGTAGAACATTCCTTATAAAAGTACCAAAAACAGCATGTAATTTTGAAATTATAACTTGCCTTTACTTCGACTGTTGTAAATTGCTGACATATTCCTTGTGTCAAATATTAAACCTTTTGTTCCGGTGCTCAGAGTTTCATTTAACAGTTTCTCGTCATCCTTACATCGTCTGGTTGTTATCCCAGTCGCAGGTTGTGCACTTCTCAATAATGAACTCTAGCATAAAGAAAAGATGAGATTTCTCTAGCAAATCAAGAAATGTAAAAATAATGGCATTATGTGAGCACTATCAAATAACAGCAAACAATATTGTACATTAAGTATTTCCAAAAAGATGCACTTGACATATTCTCAAAACCTCCAAACAAAAACAATCCTCTCTTACCATTTTTGTTTTGAAAAAATAGCAAAGAACAGGAAAGCGTCCATGTTGGCGAAATGAAGCCGACTTCTTGAGGATGTCATCGGAGATTTTCCTTGGTACAATTACCATTGAAGGATATGTATTGCACACCTCATATGAGTTAAAAATAATGTAAGTACATAAATTTATATGCTACACAGATATAAGAGAGAAAAGAGTACTGAAAAGTAGAAAGGAATGTAGAAAAATGAATAGAAAACTAAGAGTTAAAATAACAGATAATCTGTAAATAAAGCTAAGAAATGGAAAGAGAAAAACGTCATTAAAACAAATGTGGGCTGAATACATAATACATGTTTACATGTTACTTAACCTCTTTGAAACAGTGCAGGGTTAACAAGAGGTTATTTTTAAGTGTAAACGTTTGGAAGTTAGGTTTTGGCTCTTTGTACCTGATAATGACTGTTAACATTTGAAATTCTCCATTGTTCTGTATCTTGATACATGCTCAAGAAAAAAGTCTCAATACCAAACCGGTCCCAACCATTCTCAGTGGCGGCCTCAGTGGCATTTGCTTGATGGTAGAAAGGATATGTAACACTAAGAGTGTCTACAAATAAATAATGAAACTTGAAAAAATATTTGTTTCTTCACTGAAATCTTACTTGATACTCAAGTTTATTTCAGGATTCATATCAATTCAAAAACAAAAAATATACAGTTTTAAAAATTGCCACATCCTCACATTGTTGTTCAAAAAATATACAGATCTATAAACTCCCACCAGATATTTTTGCTTGTCCATTTTTGAAACATTGACAATATGAGTTCAAGCATGAGCTTAACACAGAATGAATCTGATAAAACTTTCACGCTTCAGAAAAAAGTTTCTTTGCATTGCTATTTAGCTGTGTTGCAGTCTATTGGCTCAAATTATTAACAGATGCTTACCAACAATTGATAATGGTTCAATAGATGCCTGCACCTTCTGAGCAAGCTCCATATTTGGGAAGATAAGCTGGAAGCGATTGAAATCTTTGCAAGTTATGCTAAGGACTGCACCCTGATCTGATAACCTCTTATCAACATTTTCGATGTTACGATGTAAAAGCTACATTATAAATTAAGAAATTAGATATGAGCACGATCGAAAAACTCATCAATTCTTTGAACATCCTTAGCATCTTCAATAACACCTCAATTCACAAACAACTGTGGATAACAAAAAAGAAATACCCACTGACAAGTGACAAGCTACAGTTGATTTCAGTTGGGTAAATTAATATTGGAAGACAATTCATACTTATAGTGATTGAAAATAATTTAATAGCAATATCATTATATACAAGATATCCATCTCACCATAAGTTCCTCAGAAGCTTGTATACGAGACGAGAACATTAAATGATGACCTGTGATACATAACGTACCATCTAACCGTGAATATCCAGGTCGAACCAATGTAACCTTGTGTACGACGGGAACTTTAATGAACTCAGCAAATTCCATCTAAATTTCGCCTTTGTAAATTTTTGAAAACTAACTTGGAAATTTGCTACTTTTCTCGGCTGAAAGCGTGAAAAACCCGAAAAACCTCAAACTTATTCCAATTTGTATTTGTTTCGTTCTCCATATTGAACTCACGCAATTTGTGCGTGAGGCACGCGCGTGGAATTACCTTATATACTTGATGGTGATGTTACGTATCATTTTCTCGTTCAATATTTTCGTCTTTATGTACCATCAAATTACCCGAAAAATATACTATTTTCTCCCAAACAATTCATGATACTGGCGAATTTGACGTGTATTGCGTTTTTCTAAAATAACTGCTAAAAGCTATCGACAATTGGATACAGTAGTTTTTAAAAGACATAAATTCAAGATGGCGTCCAGAAAATCGGCGTCACAAGCAACCCAAATATATCAGAGATTTCTGCAAATTTGCGAACAATGGCCAATAGACACGAGCAGGCAAGGGCGAGACCTCGGTTCTCACATAAAAGAGAACTTAAAAACACAATTTCAAGACCGAAAAATCGAGGTACAAAGCGTATTTTGAGAGAAACCACCTCCTCCATGACGAAGGAAGCAGTTGTATGATGTATCTTCTGCAACCATGTCATGTACACACTAACTAATATTGTATTTAGGAAAAAGAAGCATCAAGAATGCTAGATAGTTTAATAAAAATAAGCTCTAATTATTACAAGGAAAAGGTAATCTTTTTTCTCCTAAAAATTCAAAATGAGACGAATTACATTTAACAAACAAAATGGATTTTTTTGACAGTATCCAAGACGTTGCGAGATAGCGTTTACACAAGAAGCTCAAAAATCAGGCGCATATGACTTCATTCTTAGCACAGGTAAATAATATATCTTTATCATTTGATATTTTTAGTCTGAATCTCGTAACATCAACCTTTGCTTCATTACAACAGAAACAGCAAAAATATTCTTACACGTTTTTTTTGACAGATTTTCAAAAGCAAGTAAAAGAAAAACGACCTGGATTTTTTGCCAGATTGGCTGGAAAGAAGGAATGATCAACAAACATGAAGCTTGTCTCAGTCTCCATTTTGGCGAATCTTTGATAGTTTGTTTCCTTTTTCAATTTTTCCTTAATAGCATTGTAAAAGTAAATGTATTACGGCAATATATCTAGCGGGAGACTACAAAAGAAATAGTTTTCTTAAGTATCTTATAATTTTAAAAGACCTTTGTAAATGTAACTTGCTGAAACGTTCTGTAATGTGTTGACGTGAAGATATATTCAGCAGTACCAATTACGCATGCGTGATAGGTTTTCTCATATACCTTTCCCAGATAATTTTTTTGTTGTGTGGCATTTCATATAACATCGCTAACTTATTGATAAAAAATTAAACTAAAATAAATGGTTTGAACCCGGGAGTATCGTTATGGACTGTTTTGACTCTGAAGATGACTACCGCTAAGGTTGTCTAAACGTCAGTCAAAATCAACAAAAACAGTCCTTCTCAGGACTATACCAACCTGAACGATCTACATTTACAAACATGTGAAAATTAAACTGTTGAAGAGGAAAAAAGACCTTCAAACGTCAATGTAATTTATATAAGTTTGAATGGGTGAATATTATAATCATCGTGACGAATTATTTTTTATTGTCCTTAACTTGGCTTTTTGCCATTACAACAATACACTTTTTCCTTATCAATAAAGCGGAGGGAATTCTAGACACGCCATACACATTTTCGTGTAATGAAACGAGAATGTTCTGTTACGTTATTGAAAACAACACTTTATAATTCACAAACATTAGGAGTCGATTAGTCAACAGCAAAAATAATGTAGCTATGTTTGTCAATAAAGAAAAAGAATGGCTCGACAACTGTTCAAAGACTTTTCGCATTGTACCGTTCAGGCAAACGTATTTTCTACGATATCTTAACAGTAATATAATCGTAGGATGAAATTGATTACGAATAATTATTAACTGCGCTGTTGTATTGAATTTGCATTTTGTCATAACGAGACGTTAAACAAGTAATTTCCAATTTTCCATGTTCGCAACCAAATAATAGACCCTTCTGGTTAAAGAACGAAAGTTAAGCTTAATGAATATACTGTTTGCAAATGTTGTTCTTTATAACGTTGTTCTTTCTTTCTAAAAAATGACCATGGCTTGTGGCGTTGTTAAAGAGCAAAAGGTTTAGTTGATTGTTAAATATCCCACGCCTTTTTTTTTGGTAAACAACTCTCAAGACATCTCGAATCACAATAGTCCAGGAAATGAGTTTTTCTTTCAAATACGAAGAAAGCATTCGGAAACGAAAAACTCGTTTCTCTCCCACGCTTAAAATCAACTTCTTTTACACGAACGTCAAGAGGCCAATACCGAGTTTGCGCAAACGTCGATATAAGTACGTTTAAAAAGGCTGGTCGATCATTGTTCCTCATTTTCAATGATAAACATGGCAAGGTGTTTCTTGTTGGTTCTGCTGTATGCAGGTTTTGTCCTGGCTAATTTTAACTTGGATTCAGGTATTTGTGACAAAGATTTAAGCAATTTAAAAGGAATGTATCTCCTTACTACAAATTTTCGGTATAATTTACAAAAATTGATAAAGCTGCAAGTCAGTTCTGTATTGACATCCGGCATGGTTGAAATATCAAATTGTAACTAACCCTATCTTGCCGGAAGAAATTTTAACAACTTTCTTTGAAGATTGAACCATGAAATAAATTGTTTACATTTTAGTTTTAATGGTTTCAAAAGCTAAATACCAATTGTGTTTTATTTTGCCCTCAGATGAACAACTTTCATATGACAATTTTTTGCACGAAGTCAAAAAGAGATCAATTCAAACACCAAGAAAGACATTCACTCGCTTGAAGTCCTCATTTGCACGCTTTGCTAGCAAGAAAAGACGACGTAGACCAGGCGTACGAGGTCCTAAAGGTAACACAGAAATTTTGTAATACCATTGACATTAATGAAAATTAATATGAACATAACACAAAATGTTAAAAATATACTTACCATTTTCTGAGTGCACACGAAGAGGTTTAAAAGAACGTAAGAGTAGGTGGGCACCAAGAGTTTTTAATGAATATTTGTCTCACCAAACAAACTTAATAAATCACAAGTACAGGAATGATGTTATTCCGGTCATTTATGTTCAATGCTACGCAACCAAATACTTAGTGGAAAAATGTGCATTACCCATAGTTAGAACAATCGCGTGAATTTCGTAAACATTACATAGTTTATTGTTAGTATTGGTTCTGGAAAACTTTCTTTTTAGAATAACCTATATTTCCTTTCACCTTTAGGTTCATCGAAAATTGATCTTGTGTTCGTGTTGGATAAGTCAGGGAGCATTGGAAGCTCTAACTTTAATCTGGAGAAACGTTTCGTGAAAGCACTTGTTGAATATTACCCAATCTTCCCCTCCAAAACACGCGTTGCAATAGTGACTTACTCCACTGCAGTTCATCTTGAGTTCAATTTCAATCGTCATCCATATAAGAGATGCTTGAGACCAGCTGTAGGAAAGATACGGTAGGAAACATAAACAACCTAGGGTAGCCTATAACATCCCGTGAATTAAGTTTGTCCAAGCATTTACATCAAAAAGCAAGCAATAACTGGGTGAATTTGCATTGACATTTTAATAAACGGTTATCATTCTATGGAAAGTCTGTCTTAAAATTAATTTCTTTTAATAGCTACACTGCTGGATGGACTGCCACGGGTAAAGCTCTGGACTACGTACGGACAAATCTTATCTTTAATCCGACCGCTGGAGCAAGGACTGGTGCCAAGAAGTTGATCTTCATTTTAACGGACGGACGGTCGAACCGTGGAGTAAGACCATCAATACCGGCAGGATTGTTGAAAAGAGCTGGCGTGACAATTTTTGCGTTTGGAATAACGCGAAGTATTCGCGAGGCAGAGCTAAAATCAATAGCTTCATCAAAGAAACACGTGTTCCATATCGCCAATTATAAAGCTTTAAATCGAGTTACGAAATTAATTAACGTTGGTAAGTTATTAGCTATAACCATAGCATCTTCAGGTTACCGATATCTCTAAGGTAAAGCAATTCTTTAGAGAAAATATTTGTCATTTCCTAAAAATGATAAATGCATGAAAAAGTTGAGTGAGAAAAGATACACTTTTCAACAACGCCATTTTCATACAAATTCCATTACCTTTCAGATATTTCACGAAAATGTAGAAATGGGAGAATAGTTTACGACGAATGTGGCAGAAAATGCCGCTGTGTGAACGGTAAACTTATGTCCTGTTGTCGTCAACGTAAAGAATTTACAGACATGAGTTACAGTGAACGCGTCCGTTATATCAACACTGTTAAGATTGCTTCAACAAACCCAGCTTATAAAACGCAATATGAGAGCCTTCTCACACTGCATAGAACAATATTCTCTACACCAATACATGACAGAGATTACTTTCTTCCTTGGCATCGATGGTTCATCCTTCAATATGAAAATTTGCTACGTCAGATAGATTGCCGCATCACTGTGCCTTACTGGGACTGGAGTCTGGTCGGGGGGAGCCCTTTTACTAGTTCTGTTTGGAGCGCTGGCCCGGGTGGATTGGGAGGAAATGGAGTACCAGGGGGGAGTTGTGTTAACACAGGACCATTTCGTAGTCAAGTGTGGTCGCTTCCAGGTTCTAATGGTTGTTTGAGGAGAAATTTTGCAGGCACAGCTCCTGATGAGATCGCTGTTCAGAATCTTTTGTCAACAAGTTCTTCAAACTTCGTGGATTTTGAATATATGTTACGAGTGCAATTTCATGATTTGGTACATTGTATCATCGATGGTACAATGTGTACAAGAAACTCGGCCTATGCTCCTGAGTTTTTTCTGCATCATGGTTTTATTGATAAGATATGGTGGGATTGGCAAAAACAAAGCAATGCTCACAAATTCAATACATACTTCTTAACTCAACAAGGCCTGATGACTGCAACACCACTTCGCTCTCGAGACATGCTCGACCTCAACAGACAACCTGGTTGTGTGTGTGCTGAATATGTGGATCCAAATAAATGGGAATATAGATCCATTAAAGGTTTGACTCACTATTGTTTATGTAAATGTTAACCATACATTCTGTGACACTAGTGATTTAGTAAGCAATCACAATCCTTTAATGCCATAGTTTGGGATTGAAAAAGTTTATTACCGAAATTCTTTTTATGTAGCTATGTCTGTCAAGGAACGACAGAAAATACCTCGTTTACGTCTGCCCCGGTTATCAAGGAAAGCGGCAAAACTTTTTAGAACAAAACTCTCAGTATTAAAACGCATTGGCATACTACGCAGAAAACTTCAACCAATCAAGATTATTAACAAGAGCAGTTTAAAAGGAGCTAGTGCCAAACATGGTTTTGTATTGCGACGACCAGGTAATACACGATATGTCATACGTGTAGATTATAGCATAGTGGGGATCAATGTAGCACTGACACTTACAATCATAAATCAAAACTTACCATGTTCGCTAATGACGCAAAAGAAACCATTATTGACGAGAAACTCTGCACACCTATTCACCTTTATTTTTTCAGGAACTCGTAAAGGCAAAAGATCCTCCGGCTTTTTAGAAGAGCAAGGACAGCCTTGATTAAACCTTGGATGAAACAAAACAGCTCTTTAACCACTTCTTTGTAGCATAAAGTAGTCAATAGTGTGATAAATAAGAAAAAAAGTCGATTAAAAAGTGTTCAAGATTGAATTCTTAGTAAAACTAAAGTCACAACTGTAATTGAATAAATTATAATTATTTTGAATAGTTAACATAAATTAGAATATGTTTAATTTTTGAGTTTTTGAGTACGTGCAGCAAGCAATTGTTTTCCTCCAATTATTTCTATTTCCGAGTAAATTGAAAACATCCGTCTTAAAAATGTCAAACTTTCCTGGGAATTATGGTCAACAAGGTTATAACTCTGGCCCTTATGGTAGGATTTAAAAGTTTTTACCGTTTTCTACGTTAAATCTTTTATAACATACACTTACATTTGAATTGCTTTGTATTTGAGAGGCTTACTTCATTGCAAATGTTGCTTAGGTCAAAATTTTCAAGCAAGGCCAGGCTACCAAGGTATGCATGGATATCACGTACCACCTGGGCAGCCACAAAATCCTGGTTACGGACAGGGTTACCCTGGACAACAACCCATTACATTCTGCAAGTATGGGAGGTTATCCCTCAGCACCACCACATGGCATTGCTCCACCACCTGGGGCAGACCCCACTTTATGGAACTGGTTTATCACAGTTGATAATGATAAGTCTGGACAAATTACATCTAATGAGTTGAAACAAGCATTAGTGAATGGCAATTGGACACACTTCAATGATGAGACTTGTCGCTTGATGATTAGTATGTAGTTTTGTTTAACTTGCATTATGAAACAAAAATTACAAATAACATTATAACCTTTCTGTAATGTCTGTCAAGGTATGTTTGACAAAGACCAATCAGGAACAATTAATTTCCAAGAATTCTGCAATCTTTGGACTTATATCCAACAATGGAAAGGAGTTTTTGATCGTTATGATATGGACCATTCTGGTGCTATAGAGACACATGAACTTCAAACTGCTCTCAATGATATGGGCTACAGACTCTCACCAATTTTTACCAATATCTTGATTACACGGTACGATAAAACACTTACTGTGTTTGCCAAGTAAAAGTGTTGTGAATGCACCATCATTTTTACTGTAGAACAATTTCATTATTTAGGTTTGATACAGTTGCCCGTCGCAGTATGAAGTTAGACAGCTTTATTCAATGTTGTGTGATGCTTCGACTTCTCACCGATGCATTCCGTTTGCGAGACACTAACTTAACTGGGATTATTAATGTCAGCTATGAAGACTTCATGTGCATGGTTATTGAAAATAAGTCTTGAAAATCGATTACATGTGAGAACACTTTTTGTGACATCTTTGATGAACAATGAGTGTGACCAAGTGTAATGTGAAAGCAAGATTCACACTCCACATTAGAGTATCGATTTCGTGTTGTATGTACTTGTTGTTCTACAATAAAATATTTCTAAATTATTTCATTGATGTGACATACAAAGAAAACTATAACAGTGAATAAGGTTATTTACATAAATGTGCAATAGAGTAAGATTCAATAAACAGTGCTGATTTGTTCTTCACAATTTAATGATACAGTAATTGTGAGGATATCCGAAGCTCGTATTAATGCTTCAGGATATACTCCCATTGGCGTCTCTAAATTTGAAACTTGAAAGGTCGTCGTCTCGATATCCGATGAACGTAGGGTGGCGTTGATTTCTGTTTTTTCGTACATCCGTAAAGAGCAAGGTTTGTTGGCTACAGCAAACAATGCACGGAGATAACGCTCACGCAGAAGAGCACGGTTTTTTTGTATTTCTTGCAAATCCTCAGCATTTCCCCCGCCAGCATCCGTATTTCGATTATCTGAGTCTGGCACATTGTGTAGTAGGGCAGTACTATCCACTACATAATTTGAAAGTATTACGGTGATTCCTCAATTTTAAGAATTGAGTGTAATCAAAGTTTGATAAAAATCACGTACCTTGTAAGCTCATGTCAAATATGTGTTAATTCGCTGCACTCCTCTGATAAAATATACTCAAAACCTTGTTTTTCAAGAAAAAATTGAGTTATCCAATAAATGAAAATGAAATTTATAATTCACGTTACTCTTAAATGGAAACACATGCACGTTCCACAATCCAAAATGGCGGAAAAAAACGAAATAGAAGGCAAACTCGTTAGTTTGCCTTTAGCTCGAATTAAAACGATAATGAAAAGTTCTCCCGAGTCAATCACCGCTGGACAAGAATCCATATTCACAGTTGCGAGAGCTACGGTAAGTCGGTTTAAATATATAACATTTTATTCCCATTATAAGTTCTTGGACTTAGGTCTGTAAAACTTCTTTTAAAACAGGAACTGTTCATTGCATATCTTGCAAAAGAAGCTCAAAAAATGGAGGGAAAAAAACCCGAAGTTACTTATAAATCACTAGGTATGAGCATCTTAATATATCGCTAGTTGGCTGAGTGCAATAAATAAACGAAATTATTTTCCTTGTTTTGCCAGCTGAAGCTGTTGCTGAACAAGATAGTTTGGATTTCCTAGCTGGTTGGTTTAAAATATTGGTAGAGTCTCTCGTTAATGCTTGAAGAAAAAGCAATAAAATGATTTTGTTCTTTGTTAAGACATCATTCCACCGAAAGTCTTGGCCAAGGACTATCTGGCTGCCTTAAAAAGCAAACAAGGAAAAAATGCCAAAAGAATTGAAATTGATTAAATGTTGGATGCATTCAATGTGGATAGAATCCTCAAGAACTTTCAAACTGATCTTGCTTTGGTTGGTGTTTGTTGGACCAAAAAAATTACTGTGTAAATGTGGCATTTTTATACAATAATGCAGACGGACATTCAAGAAATATTTCTCATTGAGAATGGTTATTTTAAAACTTATTTTTTCAAATGAAAGGTGACATGTTGGCAGAAATGACAACATGCATATTTAGCCTGGTCTACAATCTCTTACATATCTTCATCATTCAAGTTTAAATCATCCAGCATTTCATCGAGGCTCACTTCTGGCACATCTTCAGCATTTGATGTCACGCCATATTTGTGCTTATCTAAAAAGAGAATTTAAAGTGGCCATGAATAAAAGATACAAACTTTGTGAATGATAAAGTTTCAACTTCCTTGAGGCCCATTTTTTCATAGAAAAGTGACTCTAATATTATACTAAAGCCTTTAAATACCAATTAAATTACCTTTGTAAATATTAACGTTATGACGATATACTTGATCCTCCTCTAAATCTTCTAAGAAATCATCAAACTCTCTATGAAATGAAACAATAAAAACCATACATGTTCTCTGAAAATCCCAAACCAAGGAAACAAAGAACTACAAAGTATCAAATTGAAAAAAAAAAACTAAAGTTGGGTGGACTTGAGCTGAGCCCAATATATCCAATTAAACAATTAATCTGCATGAAACGGAACAACATGCAATGACCGCTTCACCAAAATAAAAATTATAAAATGCACAAAAAACTTTAAATAAAATTGCTAAACAGAATTGACAGAGAGCACATTATTGCTTATAAGCAGGTGACTTAAACTGGCTTGTCTGCATTAAACAAAAAGGAAGTTTACTTTTCAATGCTTTCAGGATTCTCTCCCACAATATCTTTCTCTAATGTTTTCAACTTCCACTTTCTTGCCTTCTTTCTTTCTTTCTTATCACCATAAATCTTCTTCACCAAAATCTAATGTTAATTAAAATTTTACAAGCTTCATCAAATAAAGACAACATTTGGAGTATTCTCATTCACTATTGTATAATTTTAAAAGTATGTAACAAATATTCAAATAGATTTAATGAACTAATACTCCCATTTAATGCTGACTGCATGGTTTCCTAGGGTGCTTTTGACGATTAGAAATAACAATGTACAAAATGAAGTAAACGTTCTTACCACGTCCGGTAATTTATCTGGAGTGAACTTGTTTAAATTGACATCATTTATGTTTGATGTAGTGAAATCAATTCTGAAAGACATGAATGCTAGTGTTGTTATATAAATAAAAAGTGGAGATTTTCTGTAGTTGTAGTAGTGAAAAAAACACATAGTAGTAGTAGTGAAACTTGTAGTAGTAGTGAAAAAATGGATTTTACCCAAGGACTAAATCTCCGACTTTTAAAAGATTACCCAAGTGGCTACGACAATGATACTGGTTGTCACTGAGTCCAATGTCAGACGTTCTTGTCACCCAAACATCCGCAAGACAATACTAATCAAAACAACGTACATAAAAGATAAAAGGGTGTAGTTGAGGTATAGATGGTGAGGAGTTGAACATCTAACCTGTGAAATAACAGAGGAGTTGTGTGTTGAGTGATCAACTGGTTCACATTGTAGAACCATAAATTCTGCCAATTGTTTATAACTTAATAAGCTTTGAAATGGTGTTCGCCAGTACACATTTGTTGATATTTCAGCAGCTAGGAATGAAAATTAAATTGTATAGCTACTAGCTAGGGATTCTTGCAGCTCCATAAATTTGACATATAACATTAGATACTGACATATGCAATGGAAATTACTAGTAAAATAAATTAAAATTATATCCAAAGATTTAAAACCATGATGTTTACAAGGTAGGTATTTAATGAAGTGAATGCCGATCAATTACTATAATGATGATGTGCTAATGATGTATGACACAATCATGTTAAATTAAAAACAATGAAGAAGAAATCTCTTACTTTTGAGTGTTGTTGGATCAAGAACTCGAATGGCTGTTGTAACACGGGTACATATTACAAGTTGTCTATAAATACAAACAACCATAGGATGTGGAATTATTTTAATGAAAACCATGGGATGTGAAATTATTTTAATGACAAACATATGTGGAATTAGTTCAATGACCATCTATTATAATGACAAAGTTATATTAGTTACCCAATAGTCCCTAAGGATCGTGCAAGTTTTATAGGAAGACAAACAACATCATCCTAAAGTACAAAACAGGAAAACAAGCTCATTCAATAAATCACAACATTTGCCATAAAACTTGTTTCTGGATATTTGTAAAAATTACCTTACAAACAGGAATAAGTTCAACAGAATGTGTATTGGTATAGTTATAGCTGCTTGTGTGAACATCATGAGAGATGAGTCTTTGAGAAAGTTTGTTCCTAAATGATGATTTATAAACAACACATCAACACGACATTTCAAGATAATGAAGCCATTTTTTATTGGTGTATTTAGCAAGGTTTCAATAAATATATGCTAAGACAGAAAAAATTTATGCGGTACCTGCAAGGTACAACTGATTGTAGAAATGAAACAAACTTCTTGGCATCTTGTGGTGTCGCAAAAAAGAAATCCAGACCATCTACAAAAATTTACAATCAATAACTGAATGAATCTAGTTTGCACGATCAATAAAGATGATACACATTACATTTTTACACATCATCTTAAACTTCCAAATCATAAAATACATATCTCATAAAATGATTAATATAAATTTATCAGCAATAGTAAAGCTACATGCTAGCCTAATTTTAGTACAAAAATTGCTACCATGATGTCTTAACTGACCTGATTGTTGTTTTACTCTCAACGTATTTTGATGAGCTTGATGCTTTATGATGACTTGTTCCAAATAAAAAAATGTCTTCTTATGACTTGTCTGCAATATGACAATATAAAATAATGTTAAGAAGCCTTCTCAAGTCAACTTTCTTGAGGATATTACAGTTTCTCTTACTTTCTGCCTTATTTGAACAAGAGCTTTCCAGTAATCCTTTGCTTCTCGTCGATGACAATCTCCACACATTTGACTTTGAACAACATACTCAACAACAAAGACTTGTTGTAATATTGTTGCATTCAAAACCTAAAGACAACAAAAGTATTTAAATTTATCATCAGAGTTCAAAAATGTCACATAATGAAATTGAAAGATTTTAGTGGCTGGGTATTAATTCAACTTGTGTAAATGTATGAATATAGCATAATATAAAAGTAAAATTAGACATAGTCTATCTGAACCTTTTGAAAAATTTCAAAAAATAAATTGTGTAAATCAAACATTAGTACCTCTTTCTGAATTGTCAATTTAACTTTAATTCTTTTTGAATGAGGCTCAGTCCATACAAATCCAGCATCAATGAGTCGAACCTGAGGGCAAATTGGAAATGCAATACTTGAAATGTTTTACACATATCTACAGACATTCAATGAACATTGTAAAAGCAACATGTTTATCGTGAGGGGTGCAATGTCACAAGTCATGAAAAAGGAGTACAGATTTGTGTTAACTGTTTTATCAGCAATAAGTATTGTAAAGCAAGCGAAGTGCATGGTGATGGAAATAAATCATTGCAATTTTATCCATAAATGGTATATCACCATTAAAAATGAACATTTGTCATTCACTCGTACCGTTGAAAGACCTTTCAGTTTCTTAAGACATAGAGCCAATAGATCTCGTGATTCCAAAGCACAGCTAACCCAAGTGTTGGGAGGCTGAAGATACCTTTTAAGGAAAGAATCAAAGTTTGCTATCATTGTAATATATGACTTCCCAGCTCTTCCTTGGTGGGCTTACCTTTCACAAGCTTTACAGAAGTTTAAATGAACCTGTTTTGGTATTCCCTCTGTTATATCAACCTGGTTACGAAGACAGGCCACACACATGTTTGATGGATTAGGTTGTGTGATTGTGCCACATTGACAACACAAGCTTAAAAGCAAATTATACATTCAAGACACTTTTCTTTGTTTCGAATGACATTAAAGAGTAAACTAAACACAGGTTATTACATGTAAAATTATTCGTAACATTCTTTAACTTTATGGTCGTAAAAATATAAACATGAGAAATGCCTTTTTGAAAATTACTTTTTTTTGAGACGCTCATAGGACTTAATTTGGCGCAAACATATTCAAATATTAAATACTTACATTGTGCGTGGACCAGTTGCAAGAAAATCAACATATTCCATGGCAAATGTTGAAACTCCAAAGTATAAAATTAGTTTAATTACCAGTACCTTGCATCATGGCTTGCATTTCAAATTTTAACTTCCAACATGGCAGCATACTATCGGGTATTATTACCCTGTATTTTTATCCGACAACCTTAAATGTTCTGGAAAACTAGGGGAAAAACTGTGTATTTAGGACTAATGTGGGTATTCAATGGAAGAATCCCGAACTACACAAAAAACTCATGAAAACATGAATTGATATTGGACTACAAAAACTTTTTTTGTTCATTTAGGAAAGCAGTTCTTTTCGAATTTCGTACTATTTCGGAACTAAAAAGTCCGGGTGGTATTAAATTCCGGTTGTTGCGTTTTCTGGTAAACTCAAACAGTTCGATACATTTACAACCATTCGTCTTGGAAAGAAACATGCCTCCGACAATAACAAACAGGTATAATATTCAATTTACAAACATATGAAATGTTTAAAAGTAAAAAATTTTCAAAAATACAATATTTGTATTTCAACGTTTCAGGGAATTAAAAAATAAAGCAACTGGTATTGATATCATTGTACCAGAATATCAAGTTATTCCAGGAAAGATTGTCAATACAGTATTGTATCACATTATTGTCATAACTCGATTGTTCTACTTTAAAACAAGACAACACAAAGAATCTGATTTGGTGCAGTTTGCTGTATGTTGGTTTTAATTGCTTTTAAAATCTTTACTAACATATCTTATGAAATTTATATATTGTCACTGTAAGTTTAGCAAAGTTTGTTGGAAGTGTTTGACATAGAATGCTTATGTGTGCTATTTATATAATCTTTGGAGGGAAATTTATCATAGCTTGTAATTTAGTATTGAAGTATTGTAATGTGAGCACATCACTCAAAGAGTAAGTTATTTTTGAAAGATTAATTATTAAAATATTGGTCTCCTTATAGGTTGCTAAGAGGTATGAGGATGTGGAGGAGCTACACTCTAAATTGGTTGCAAAATTTCCAAGTGTAAATTTTCAACCTTTACCAAAACTTTCTCTTATTATAACTGAAAAAACCCTGAATGAACGCAAAAAGTTCTTGGAAGAATTGCTTGGTCTTGTGGCTAAGACACCAAAACTCTGCTCAAGTTCTCCAGTCTTGAGTTTTCTTGATGTAAACAAGATTACTATAAAACAGAATAAGCTTCAAAAACCAGAAATGACAGAAAAACCAACGGTTTGCACTCCATTGACAAAGTGAAAAATTTTAGGCATATAAGAATAAAAATCTTAATATGTATTCGTTTCTGTTGCAGGAGACTGCAGAAGTGTCTTTGGAAGATAAGGAAATAGATCGCGATATCTTTGGTGTTACAGAACTAGAAGAGTCAGATGAAGATGATATGTCAAGCAGTGATGATACAAAAATTGAGGATGTAAAACAACCAAATGATCCACTTTCCAAAACTGAAAAATTTCACATGAGCATAGAGTCATCAGTAGTTGATGATGAAAAAGCTGACATTTTTATAAAATCTAGTGGAAAGTTTTCATTTGGTAACCATGAAGAAAAAGAGACAGATATTAGTGATTTGTTTATTCCCGAAGAAGCCAAGAAATTTGATAAAGTTGATCTCTTTCTCAGTGATGATGAACCAGATTTATTCAAGTATGACATAGTCTTTAATTTTAGATTGCTGTTGATATAAAAAAAACAGATGAAATAACAATTGATATAAACGACACAAGTATCTCATGAGTATACCAGTGTTACCACTTGCTCTTAAATATCACTTCCACCCACCATTCCTTAATTTTGCTCACAATGCCATGAGGACCAGTGTTACCACTTGCTTAAATATCACTTCCACCCAACATTCCTTAATTTTGCTCACAATGCATTTTTTACATTCCTAGAATTGAAGATGATCTAAACTTATTGTTGAATGTTTCTACAAAGCATAAATCTAAATCAGATTTCAAATCGCACCCTGCACCAAAACCAGATCTCAAATCGCACCCTGCACCCAAACCAAATCTCAAGCCTCGACTTACACCCAAACCAAATCTCAAGCCTCGACTTACACCCAAACCAGATCTCAAGCCTCGACCTACTTCCAGACCAGATCTTAAACCTCGTCCTACTCCCAAACCAAGGTTTGTGGGTTCAGATGCTGATGTAGACTTCTTGGCCCAGTCAGATAAATCAGCCAAACCAGTCAAGTCAAATAAGTCAACAGATGATGTGGATAAATTGTCAAAAGCTACAGATGAAAGAAACAAGTCTGAGTTAGAAGGAACTCGACCAAAACCAAAACCTAGAACAAGATCTAAGAATGTTGACATTCAGGTGAAAACTGACCAGAATACAACAGATGGTTCTAAATCGAAAATATCAGAGTAAGCAAACAATTTGTATTTAGCGGTGATATTTTTAGCATGCCTCTTTTAAACTAAAGCCTTTTTTCCAACGACATCATCCATAAAATACCGTTTCCTTAAATTCATCAGTTTAGTGGTACTCTTTTTCGTTGTACCGTGGTACCCATTCTTCTAAGTACCCATTTTGTACCGTGGTACCCATTCTTCTAAGTACCCATTTTGTACCGTGGTACCCATTCTTCTAAGGTACCCATTTTGTACCGTGGTTGCATTCTTGTAACGTGGTAGCATTCTTGTACTGTGGGACCCTTCTTGTACCTTTGAACCATTCTTGTGCGGTTTGTACTCAACTTACCAAATTTACATTTTAGATCGAAATCCGAGACACTGGATGATATATTTGGAAAACCTTCAACAAAGGATTTTTTAAGTGGTTTAGATGACGACGATGATGATTTATTTAAATCGTTGGACGACTCAGAAGATATCACAAAATATATTAAGAAAAACATTGCGCTAAACGATGATGTCAACTTGTTCTCATGACGCAAGGAAGCTAGGAGAATGACAAATAATTGAGTATAGATTTGGACTCGTGCGATTTGGAAATTGTATTTGTTTGTAGACGAATTTATGAAAAAATGTAATTGAATACTGAAATTAGAGAATATTTTTTTACACTGAGTGTGTTTTGTCGTTTCTCAGACATCTCGATGGTAATTATTTCTTATTTATTTAAAGCCAAATCAACACAAATTTTTTCCAACGCCTCGTTCCGATCTCTTATTTTCACTCGCAAAACTCACGATCACCTACAACAGGAGGAATTTAAACAGTCTCACATTATCCATTAGTTCCAGTAATCCTTTAGTACGTTATAACAATAAGAAAAAGTATTTTAATGATAATCGTAATATCGGATGAACAAATGTCACAAAAAGCAAACATCGTGAAATACAACTAAGTCTCCTACAAAGCTGGGGGTAATCACAGATGTTAGCTTGCTGGCGTTAATTACTGTTTTATTGATGCCTAGCGATGGAGTGTTATGAAAAACATTTAACACATTTTCATTTAGGCATTTAAAACAGACGACTGGTCATAAAATATCTGTTTAATTTAAGGTAATTAAGAGCGTTTCAGGCTGGAATGAAAAAGAAACCATCCAGTTCTTTCCTATGTACTGCACTAAAAGAACCAACTCAAAGTAAAAATGAAAAAGCATAGTAATGTAACATACCAGTCTGCTTGTTCATTTTAACTATCATCATTACAAGTACTCAAAACGAACTACCACATGTGACATATGATCATTGAAGGAATGTCGACAATGATGGAAAAAAAACTCAAATAGCGACATTGCACGAAATTAACACGTGTTTACAAAACCCAAAGCTCGGTAACTCAACATCTATTGGACGACTAGATGACACAAGAGGATAAAAGATTACCCTTCAAACTGATATTAACCGGACATTTCTAAAAACGTGTTGACGTCACGTTTTTAAGGTTCAAACAAGTGAAACCTTTGGTGCAGTTTGAGAGAAGACAATGACAAGGTATCAATGGTATGTCTCGTTCATGTTGGAATTATCGGCTTTCATACGCAGTTGACAGCAGTTTCATCAATTCTCAAGGAATGTAAACGATTCTCGCCATAATTACACCCGCCGTGGATAAATAGAGATTTTCTTTCACAAAGGGTTGCGTGCGTTCCATTTATTGAGAGATCCCGGCGTTTACAGTTTTTACCAATCGTTCAAGTCTATCTTCCTCATAGTCATAGACACAAGTTGAAAGTAAGTTCTCGCTGTTTATTTAGATCTATTGTGGACATTATTTAAACTCTGGTGTTATCTCAAAGCTATAAACACATCATGTCAGCTGGAGGCAATGTAGCTACTTTACTAACACAACCGATATGTTCGGATGACAATGCAGACTTAGGGAATGTCTTGACAAGAAAAGGAATCGCTAAGGATACAAAAATGATATCCCTACATAAGGCTTTCAAAGGCCTGCCTTCAACATATGAAAACAATCGAGTGTTTCAGGGACGAAAGGCGCAGATAAAGACACCGACAGATGCACGTATAAATAGCACCTCCGAATTTCATAAAGCAGAACTACCGCCGATTTGTCAGAGAAATCAGAGGAATAACGAACAACAAACCAGACCGTTAACCCCTTTGATACTGAATTCAACATCATCAAAGCAATGCAATCTTCCAAAAAAGTACCGACTGATCAATCTTGATCTGGTGCCTTTAGTTGAAATTGGAAATGGAGTTGGTAACGTTATGATAAATCGAAGACCTTCCACGTCCATGACTGACAGCAGTTATTCCGGAATTTCAAGGAGTTCAAGAAATTCAAAAGTAAAAAATTGCAACGAGAGGCAGATTATAGACAATGGCTTTAGACCGAAGGGATTAAAAGAGAAATGCTTGACAAATACTAACTTGACAGCACAAAACAGGAATTTAATAACAGAAAAAAATGTAGATAAAAAAATCGATAGCGGAAGAAATAGTCTACAAAAGAGAACGCTACCGTTAGAAAGTGATAGCAAAACTACACAGAACATCACGTGCAACTTGGAAAATATTTCAAGACCATTGGAGAGGTCTGTTGTGAGAAGAGGTAGCCTGGAGTCTTCTGATGAAACAGACAGTGAGGAGGAAAGTCTTAATGATAGTAAAAACATTATGATTCTTCATTGGTTGCAAACGGTGGAAAAATCAAAAGACATTTCTTCACAAGGTGATTTATTACCTTGTATTACTGAAGGAAAATTAGCTTAATGCTCAATACATACACCTCCCTATAGTAATGGGCTAAAGTTAATTGCGCAAGGTGATTACGACACGAGAGCGTCATTAAAATTGGCAAATTATTTTATTTTCCAGCAATGACATTCCGTCCAAGTGTAACGCATGAAAGATAAAATATAAATATAAAAAACACGGACAGTGTTTGATTGCGTTATAATGAAATTGCTATTATATTTAAAATAAAGTGTCCTGTTTCTGTTCTCACATCTCAATGGCGTGAAATGACCTTGTATATTTTCTAAGTGTTTGCCTTGTCATGCCTGGATGGTATGTGGCAATATGCAGCGGGGGACGGAAGTTCAAAGTCTTCAATCCCGCCAGAACATTCAAGAGTTGATTAAAATATAGGAGTAGCTGCGTCATACGACGAGTAACTGTCAGATGATAACGAAAAACTCATGTCATAGGGCACGAATTTCGTGCATGAAATGTTGCTTTAATATATGATTTACGTCATTTAAAAATATTTACAAAAAATGCGTCTGGAGTAATGACTAATAACACGATACAAAAATCATCAATATGTCTACTTTCCATTGTCGTTAGTATTACCACCAACAAAGTCGTGATGTATAACATGACTTGTCAACATATCTCTTTTCTATCGTAAATTTCGTCTCATATTGTACACGTATGAGAAGATCAATATTCTGACATCTTTTGTGTTTTTAATATTTCACTAAAACTCATGACAACTGACACGAGTTTTAATCATTGGTTTTAATGGTATTAATTTGTCCTGATCAATCAAAGGCTGCTATTGTTGAAAGACGCTAACGCATGCGCGCATAAAACAGAACGACGTACTTTGCCCTCGAACATCTGGATGGGTAATTTTACGCTAATGGTGAAGTAGTCGGTGACAATTGACGAATCAATTTTGACATTATTTTATTTGGTTACGTTTAATTTTATTAAAAAGAACGAATATCTTGCTTTTAAACGTTATTTATTCCAAATGTTGTTACCTGGGGCCGGTTGCACTAAGCCTGGATATAGCGTTATCTATTGTTGGTAACTTTTTTGAACGATAAACTTGTGAAAAAAGTGTTAATTGATATTCTATTAGCAATAATAAATGTATTTCTAGAACCAACATTGTATTCTATTGTTTGTTCATTTCAAATCGTACATTTCCTCCTCAAAAGCACATTAGAAGCGCTAAAATATTGCTATCCAGACTAATCCAGTAGACAACTCTATTTGGCCTTTGTGCAACCGATCCCTGGATTGTAACTTGCTTTTGAATTGAAAAAATTCATTTGAAACGTTCAATAAATGCTTAAAAATTTCACCATCTAACTTGATTTTTATTGATTTTCTTATCTTATCAAAAATTCTGCATATGTGTGTAGAAGCTTCGATTTCAATTCAGTTTTCAAAAGCAAATTGAAGACTACAGTAAAATGACTAAAAACTCTAAAATAACATAAAAATGACATTACTTCCCCATGCTATATTTCATTGAAACCTTAAAGTTTACCAATCAGTGACTGTCACAAGCCAATCTTTTTGTGATTTATTCAAAACATTTTCAATCGCGTTAATGCAATTCTCGCCTGCACAACCTTTGCATTGATCGATGGATTCTTGCCTCAACCATTCACAATAATCTGGCTTGGGATCAGGAGATTTAATTAACCAATCACTTGCATTCGTCTCATGTCCATCACCAAACTCCTGCTGCTCAACAACTTTATGAGACGTAACTGACTTTATCAGCCAATCAGAATCAAGCTTCTTAGGCTTTGTCCCAGCATCAACTGTGACACCCTTCAGTGTAGCACTTCCTTGTAACCAGGATTCCTCATCGGACTTCTTGCCAATATTACAATTTTGAAATGAGATGCCTACATCATTGATTTTTTTATCTTCAATAATGGAGCTTTGACTTTTATTTGATTTTACAAGCCAATCATTAATATCCCCAGAAGGAAGATCAATGATGACTTGTGGATTATCTAACACACCTTTAGATTCCTCCACGTTTGTTGGTTTTAACAACCACTCAGCACTTGGAGAAGTTTTATTTTGCTCAAAGAATTTGTTCACTTCAGTGATTTTCTTTTCAGTGGGCTATAGATGACAATTTGAGAAATTTAGACAAAACAAACACCATTAAATCATAATGATTAAAATTCATTTACAACAAATGTAATTCTGAAATTATGCCTACTAAATTGAGTGAGTTTACAATAAGAAACGCTAGAATGAAGTGTCTGAGATCTGTATAGCTGACAGAGAAGTTGAAAATCAACATAAAACTACCTGAGAACTATCACAATAAAGCCATTCTTCATGTTTTGAAGTTTTAAGCTCTTCAAATGTTTTCCACTGAAAAACAGAAACACCATCAGCGACATTAGTTTCCAAATTCTTGCACTTTACTAACCATTCATTCAATGGAAAACTTTCTATGTATTCAAAACTTCTGTGAAGGCTATTCTTCTCAGAATGACAACACTTTCTTGGCAACAGCTTCTTTTCTCCTGTTACTGCTACACTTTGAGAAGACGTGCAATGTTTACTTGCTTCAACAGTACCATACATCCTCAATGCCGCAGCTAGTGCAAAGTTATCAGCAACAAAGCATATTTTAAAGGCATCATCCATTAGCAATGATTCCGGACCAAGATTTGCAAGAAAATCCTCAACATGATGAAGCACTTCTACATTTTTATCATCAGTAGAACTCTGCAAAATCTCGTCAAAAACTTGCAACTTTGACTGCAAAGTGGAAATTTTATCAAGATAACCTTGAATGATCTTTTCTCGCATCTGAGCGTGAATCTCAACTTGCTCCAACAGCCACACCTCTCGGTTGCGGAGCAAATCCAAATGAATCCCTATATCATCCCTAATCTGGTTTTTAGCAATCAAAACATTTTTACAAAACAATTTCTTCTGAGATTTGGCCAGACTAAGAGCAGTGTTGGTTGATTCTATAACCTGTTGCAGTCTCTCGGTGATATTTGATTCCATTTTGATGTCATCCATTGTGAAACCTTTGTGAGATGCGGTTTACATTTCAGTATTAAATTAAATGCTATCATTGCTATGCGAAGAATATCAACTTGAACTAGATTTTAAAACATTCCCGTCTTTCATATAAGTAAAAAAACAGAAGTAATTCAACGACATCATCAAACTATTCTCTATTCAAATGGTTATGAAAAAACTTCTTTTCTGTTCAAGATTCTTTACAGGTTATAGTAAACACCGGTATACAAGTGATGTTATGTAATTAAAAATTTAAATTTCATGAGGCAGCCAAGTAAAACCCAAGCCGCAAATATTTTTCATTTTTTTCAGCAGCTTGTAAAACATTAAATGCCCCAAAATATTTCAACATAAACACATGCACTAGCACAATTCATAACCTCTAGCAATAAAAACGACCGTTGTCTAGAATGGACACACAAAGCAACTTATGAACCAGACTTAAACAGTCATATACAGATTATAAATACTTACATCGGTGATGTGTGAAACTTTAGGGGCATAAAACCGAAAATTTCAGCATAATAAGCGAGGACTTGAGTACATGGATGATAAAATATCTTACCTTCGCAACTCCACAAGGAATATGATCATACCAAGGCACCCCACACCAATTTATTTGATAGGACGACTGGAATGACTCCACAATGGCGGATAACAATGCGGCCGACGGGTATGATGAAATTAATTTTGTCTTAGGGGAGGGGAATGGTGGGATTATGGGTGGCATGATCGGATCTGGGTCAGTGATCTGGGTCGGATAAAACAACTCTTCTGATTGGTTGGAATTTATAATAATCATAAATGGCATAAGACTAGTTATATTTATTTAATACTAGGAGTTACTATCGCAAGGGAAGTGCTGCCCCTCTACCAAGTAAGGTAAAACAGTTTGGAAACTGCTATTGCGTGTTTTCCATCATTTATCATCTGCCATAAACAATACAATAATGAATGGTAAAAATAAAAATACAGCAAGAAACCACTCGTATACTTTGTCATTGCATAAAGACAAGCTAATTGTGTCATCTTTTATTTTCAAATTGTCATATAAATCAATTTATAGAAGTAGATGCAAGAAATAACACTGTATGTATGTATAATTATGCTAATTTCAAAATGGAATAATTGGATGAACAGTTTCAAAGCTCATTTTACAAAATTTGCATATTGTCATTTAGAACTCGCCAATAACAATTAAATCATGTTAACTGGAGCTTAAATGAAATTTCAGAATTTCATTCACTTAATACCAACAGCACAAGATCAACACATCCATCAATACAAATCGCTATATGGTGTCATATATGTATCTCTTAAGTCTCCTGTGCTTCTTTGTTAGTATATCATGTGTTTTCACCTGATTCATGTTACTCAGTTGTTTTAGCGAGGAATCACTTTTATACAATACAAACTTGAATGGTACAGTCGCTGCAGTCATTATTCATAGCATTTCCATTATTGAAATAAATCAAGTATTTTGAAAGTCTGTTCTTAATTCTTCAATTAATAACCCAGATGTAGAAATCTACAAAAAAGATAATATTTAAAACTGTTGCATTATCATAAAAGGGGAATATGAGAAGGCAATGTAATAAGCCTGAAAAATAACTTACCTTTATCGTATTTGCTGATGATCTTATTTACATACATTATACATACAGTGATTATGGCCATGAAATTGATTTATAGGACTGATTATTATATTAAATAAAGTAGCTGTAAATTTGTTCATTAAAAGCACTGCTATAAGAAGTCAAGCTAAACTATCTAAGCGGTTTTCCTCTTCAATCCTGTATTGTAAATTGGCTGATGATTTCACTTTTAATCGCTCGTAAGTCATTGGTTCAATGACACAAGATTATACATTCATTTTGACTCTGAAGATGACTACCGCTAAGGTTGTCGAAACGTCAGTCAACAACAAAAACAGTCCGTCTCAGGACTATACGTAACAGTGCAACTCTATTTAATTCAAATATATATAATGTACATTTATTTCATGTAGCACGTTTTGAAAGCATTATTTATACGTTGTTTATTTAATCGCTTTCATAAATATGTATTTCTAGGTGAAAGTGTTTCAAAAGCGCTCAAATACTGGCAAATCGCATCGACAAAATATCTATAACAAATTCAAAAAACATACAAATGAATGTAGTATAAAGTAAAATACCTTTCAGCATTTAAATCCATCAAATGGTTGCCCCAAAGTCCACACAAATACAAGGGAAAATAAACGCAAATATCAATGTATTGAAGAAATTGTGTTGTTTCTCATTTGTTGACCAGAAAATAGTCGTATGTCACTCGTATGTACTGTATGTTACTCGTATGTACTTTATGTTACTGTATGTACTCGTAAATCACTGTATGTACTGTATGTTACTCGTGTATGTACTCGTGTGGTGTTTTAGTCACGATCATTGAGTTCTATAATAACTGGAGCGGCTAAGTGGACTGGGAACTGTTGTAAAAAACATGGCGGCCAACGGACGTATTTCCGCTGAAATGATCGCTTTGCAGAAAAATAATATTCTCGACCTCCCCCTGGTGTCTATAGTAAATTATAAAGAATTTTTCAAAAACAAACACGATATCACAGTATATGGATATCGTTAGTTCCATATTCTGTGACGATATTTTTTTTGGCATTTCTTTTATAATGCCAACACTTCAATCGTTCAATTGTTGGATGTCGTAGTTTCCACAAAAAGGAACATATCGCTTCTCACAGGTGAGATAGTTGCTTGTTTTGTTAGTCCGTCAACGATTGAAAAGCAATTATACATGCACTTGAAAAGCCATAAAATACATATTAAAGATCGTATTTTTTAAGACTGACTTGAACGCCAAATATACTGATGTTTTCCTGTTTATAAAACTCTGTATACTTGTACAATTCTTATAAAATTCTGTATACTTTTCTGTCATTTGTTAATGCATGAAATCGTAAATTTACCCATCTATTTGCAAAATAGTTTCCCTAAAGCAAAAGACACTGCACACATTTTGCTCTGTATCAAAATGTGATCTGGTATCAAAAGAAATGATCAGCCCTAACGGTACCCATGATTTGGAGCAGAGCTTGTTATGTTCTATTTGCTGACAACATGCAGGAAGATCAAGGAGTAAAGATGACTGGAAGATGTTATTGATTGTGGTCAAATTCTATGGATGGAGACAATGGATTCACTAAGGATGCCTTGAATGCTTTGAAGTTAAAGTTCATGATCCAAAGAAAGATGGCAAGAAGGTTGTGTGTGTTTTGATGCTTAATGAAATGTCAATTCACAAACATGTAAAATGGAAGGCCATAAAGTTTGTGTCTATGTAAACATTTGTACTGAGATTGATGATGACTCGATGCAGATGTGAAGCTTCAAACTGTATAAGCCATTGGGTTTTATGTAACTTAATGTTTAAATCATGTCATATCTTTGTCAAAATATTTTAGTTGAGTGTTGTTTGAATGTTACTAATATCTAATGCACTATACTGAAGCATTAAAGATTCAGTGATGAAACCTTTAAAGTTACTGTACTGTATATTTCTTATATATTTCTTATATTTCTTCAAGAAAAATTTGAGCTTATTTACCTATTAGAGTACAGAATGGAGATTTATCATATGCATTATTGCTGCTTTTTAAAGAAAAGTTTTCACTTTTCAAAGCTTTTCAACAAATTTTTGCTTCTTATTTCTTATCATGAGATTGATGATATAGAGGTAATATAATCCAATAACTTTCTAATTTCTAAAAGCTTTTAAGCTTCTAGCATAAAAGTACACTATAGGAATGTAATTCATTTGGTTATATTGCCTTGCTATGACATATCTACTTGCACTTCATCATTCTTGTATGAACAAAACACCAGATGTGGATACTCAGAGAACAAAATGCACTACCAACTGCTTATGAAATTTATTATTGAGGTGAAGACTGTGTTAATCATTCAAATTATAGTGCACTTATATTGCAAATATAGGAAAAACAAAACAAAGTGAAAAGAAAGGTAGAAGTATTAAAACTACAAATGAATTATAAACACCATTGGAAGCATAAGTGTTTTGATGATTATTTGTATTTTGCCCAATTCATATATCAATACAACAAAATCAAAATGTGCTACAACTTCACAAGTATTTGATGCAGTTGCACTTCAGAACATCACAAAAAGGTTACTTAAAGTAATTTCTACACAATATTGTTTGTTTTTATTTACCAAACCTATGCAGACTTGAGTCTTTTTGAAATTTCATATGAAACTCAATTACAGAAAATCCGTAAATATCCAGAGATTTAATATTTACTTTTTTAAAGAAACAAGTAAAAATCTTACAATTGTGGCGAAAAAAGCCATTGCCTTTCCACGAAAAGAAGCAAAATAGCAATGATAACAAATAAGCTAACTTCTCTCTCGTGAACCGTGGAGATGAACTATGATATGCTTTTTTGTATAGACTAAAGAGTTTAATCGATCAAACATGTTTGACGCTGGTAAGAAAACGACGCACATCTGCATTCATACATGTGTAGCCGATATATAGGTCTTTCGTCGATAGTTATAAATGCATCCTCGTAGCAGCAGATAACTGACAACCACAGTTGACTCGCTGTTATGAATTTAAGGTTTTTACCTTGATTTGCAACAAAAAATTGCTTGCCGAATCCCAAATACACACATACATTTTCCTCACTCTTGCCTCAGGAGGGAGTGGGAAATTGTGAAATTTTCGGAAAAGCGGTCAATTTCGGTAAATCTCAGCGGCAACGGACGAAATCCGCCATGTTTTTTACAACATCAGATATCTAAGGCCGCGCTTGAGATAGCCGCTCCAGTTATTATAGAACTCAATGGTCACGATCGTTTAATCATAGCATTCCAATTTCTATCCAATCGGCATGCACAAACGACGCACAGTTCACCTTATATGGAGGTGAGTGCTTCAATGCTCAATCGATTCTCGTCAGTCATACGTTTTCATCATAAAATTAAAAGATAAATTCCTTGCCATTTTGAATGAAAACATTTTTTTGATTCTTTTAAATGTCTTGATTGTTTTGATTCTTTTGAGTCTTTAAAATGCTTTTTGATTAAAAGTATGATACGTTGTTTACTCAACCGAACAATCGTCCGCATGTTTACAAACGTAGAAACGGACTATATTATAAAACTGTAGTTTTGTTTCCATTATTTCCTTTATAACATTTTGATAGAACCTTTTTTCCGATGATTCTGTGCGACTGCGATAAAATGATGTATAGTTATCGCAAAGAGCAAACGTTTCATCATATTCATAATTCATATTTCATGGTTGAACTCGCACCATGCGTTTAAATTATTTTGACGTTTTGTTAAATCCACACCGATATTTCAAGTAATAATAAAAGCTCGAACGAAAATAAATACATGCTTACACTATATTTTGCTCACCGTCTGACCATAGAGCGCAAGATAAAAATGTGAACCGAGCTGGCTAAATACGGCACGGTGAATCGATTTCATGTGTTTTCGCCAAACGAGATATGTGTAATTGATGTCGGTAATCACTCGACTTTGGTATCTACTGTATAACGTTGTTTAGGCCGCATATCTATTCGGATTCCAGACATTTAAAATCAAAGAGAAACTGACAGGAGTTCCGAAAGGTTCTACCTTATTGTGATTGTTCTTCCCCCCTCATTCCGTAAAAATCCCCCCCGGAAATGTTAACAGACAGACAGACAGACACAAATCGAGATTTTACCTCTATATAGGTCGAGTAGGGGAATGGGCCGAGACATGTCAAGATTAGTGTGCTGCCACGCTGATGCGTGGCAGCAATAAAATATATAATAACACAATGGTATAATTTAATTTGACAACATAAAATTTACTGAAAAATATAATTTTTTAAATTGATTGCATCCCAACATCATTTGATGCAATTGATATTTGTTCTTCTTGGGCAGAAATCATCCAACTTTTGATTACTGGTACTAGCAAGCCACCAATTAGAATTTGTGTAGGATGATACATGAGCAGCGGTATAGAAATGATGGATAGAAAAGGATAACCAGCATAAATGATCTTTAACATGGGAATACCAAGGGTTAATGATTTATGTGTTGAGCAAAACATGATTGCAACCGTTTCCGCAGGTGTGAAATCAAGATAGGACATTTGAGATAGATTGAATGTAAGGTAGAGCAAAAGTAATTGCAGGAAAACAATAATTATTGCCAATTTTATCAGACTTTGTCCATCGATGTCCAATGAAGATTGACTGAAGGTGTCGCAAAACGTGGTATAAATAACAAGCAATAGAGTGCAGCTACTTATAGTTCCAAAAGGAGGTTTATTTTTTTCTAACCAATCTTTAATGTACATACGAAACCATTGACCAATCATGAGAGGTATAACAACTGTCAATGAGAGTTGAATGAACACGCTTGAAAATGGTACTGTAGATGATGAACCAATTATTACGTACAACAGAAACGGAGTAACTGCAATTCCAAGAAAACTTCCAAATGCAGAGTTGAAAATGGCAGCTGCGTCATTTCCGCCAACTGCCTTCGTCAAGATAACTGCTGAAGATACTGGAGGAGGCATACAGCCTACAACTTGTAAACCTTGAATCAACCAATGATTCAGCGCCGTGCGGCTTAAAATCGACGCAAGTATATTAATGATTATTGGCACAAATAACAATGTAAAACATTGTACAAAAGAATGTAACTTAACACGTGTCATTGCTTTAGTCAATTCTTCACTGCGGAGAGAAAGCCCGCTATTGAAAAATATCAACGAAACTGCAAAGTATTTGACTGAATACTCAGGTTTAAGCAATCCACCTTTTCCTCCAAGCGAAGGATTCCATTTAGCCACCATTATGGACAAAACAATACCAATCAAAAACCAATGTTTTCTCAAACTTGAAATCTCCATATTTGAAAATAACATAAGCAGCCAAGTCACTGAACTACACTGAACCAAGCCTTAATAATTTTTCATTGGGTACCCGCTGACCATAATCCAATGAGTACAATTATTTGAGCCAGTGAGTGAGTTCACTTTTAATCTTTTAATCAATTAGGACGATGACAAAAAAGCATCAAACATAATTGAATTTGCACTCATTCGACTGTGTACACCGCGCTGCTTAGAAATCCATTCTGATTAGAATGATCAGCACCAATGAAGTACAGTTCTTGCAAGGCTCCTAAAAAACTTTATTTGGCGATAAACTACATTTGAAAGATCATGAACAGATCCATAAGGGATGCAGAGCCTCAAAGGGCGGGCATTCCTCCTTGACCTCAGTTATTTCAAAAGCTGTAAATTATAATGTTATGGTATTACAAGACTTTGGCAAATTATGTACATTCTCTGAATGAAATCCTGGATCTGCTCTAAGATGCTAATTACAGACTATGCTATACAATATTTACAAATAATTTTATAAATAGAAATATATAACAATCTTTTCTCCAATTGGGCTTAACATAAAAATAAACTCAATTTAAGGCGTGAATCTTCTTTATCGCGGCGCCAACGACAAATACCGAGTTGAAAAATTGCTCATTTGAAATCGAGTACACGCTTTTTTCCATTTACATTGGGTACACCAAAGGTGTCTGTTGTCAATACCATACACTTTTCTGCATTTCTTCATATTATCCCTACGTCTTCTCTTCCCACCGCCAATGTCCTTTTTATCTGTCCATTTTAATTGATCTGGTTTCATTTCAACAAGCGCCGTTGTTTCGTAAGGATTGCAGAAGAACAAGGGCGGAGGTTGACTTGAAGGTGTTGTGGGGGATGTTAAGCATGTAGGTTGAAGACCTGGTCGAACGTTGTGTGAGGAGGAGAGAGGAGGGCTCTTGTTGCTTTCACTGAAATTCAAGAAAAAAATATAAATATTTGTCCATGTTAGAACCAAGCAAATAGTACTATAAAGTATTCATTTACAATAAAAGGTCGATAGGGTCAAGTGATAAACTCAAAAACAACGAAATTTACTTTGAAACAAAAAACGACATGAACCTTTGTTCAATCAGGCAATATATTTGCCAATGACATTTGATTTTGCATACCTGTTGTTTGGCCAACTGTCTGTCCTTTCATTTGACGAGTGGCCATTCTTTGACGTTTCAACACATAAAGCCTTTTTGTTCAGTCGCAAAACGCTTGACCTTGTCGGAGTCGTATGAAACTTCCCTTTTTGTTCACCTGTCTCGCCAAAACAGGCCACGTTCTGTGTATAGCGAAGACAATGCTTACAATAACACGACTGCTCATTATTATAGCGCAGTATTTGTTTCTGCCGTTCTAAAGGAGTGTTCGCGAAAAAATTCAATAATTCTGCTTCGTGTGTCGACGACATCTTATCTACGCCTTCCTTCTCAATTTTAATTTCACCGGGTTGCTTCGGTGGAAACCCTAAGGGAAAATCAGTGGGGGATTTTGGCCACGGATGCGAAGGCAAGCTGTAGAAACCGAGCCAAATGATATCCTTTTCATTGACACAACCTCTTGTATAATCAGGAAAGACGACGTTGTAACTGCTTTCATTTTTCTTGTCTTCAATCCATGCACAATAAAACGAATCGTCGTCTTTCTTCGCATATAGGTAAGGAAGATAAGGAGAGATCACTAGATTTCGACTTATCTCCATCACAAACAATCACGACTAAAAATAGAGAAGAGGAATAATTTACAAAAGAAACAACTAGTTAAAATCTTCATCTCCGTAAAAACAGGTGATCGTATTGACAAAACTAATGAACTTATTCAAATGATTACATTTCGCTTCCAAATTTAGCTGAAAGCATATTTTACAGCTGGTTGACATGCGTGACACCAAGCACATAATAATGACCAGCTTTTAGTTTCATTTTTTTTAAAAATCTATAGAACGTGCTGTTACTCTTTTCTAAAGAAAAACGTGTTTTTGCTATCTCTCATTTAAAAGCATATTTTTCGTAAAATAATCTCACTCGGAGGAAAACTTTTCCTTCTAGAAAAGTATAAGAGACTAATTCAGCTTAGAAAGGCGCTGCAATCTTCAAGTATATTAATAAAAGCTATATCGGTATCACTGTCACATAGCATTAAATAAAGCTTATAGTAGCTACTCTAGTACTTAATACAATCCATGTCCAACGCCTAGCACTTAAATTTCGAAAAACGTTTGCATACCGTAAAGTAATATATTATAGATACAACATATTTGAATGACTATAATATGGCATTTAAAAAACCTCGCAATTGATCGTGCAATGCTGGCTAATTTGTATTTCGTAAACGTCGCGTGACAATAAACGTACAAATGAGAAAGTGATGAAAGTCGAAACAAAGCAACAATATTGATTAAAAGTAGTGAGAAAAGTATACATGTCCAAAAAATAATGAAGAGAATGATTTGCGTCCACTGTATCTCAGAGTATATCTTCAAGCCTTTCGATAGGGACAGAAGAGTAAAATCTAAAGGAAGAAAAAATGTATAGTTTCAATACCTGGCAAGATGTTTATTCAATTTGCTGAAATTTTCAAAGACGCACAGATTATTTTGCAATCAGCGTATTTTTGCCGTCTATATATCTCATTACGGCAGAGCATGACCACATCGAAGTAAATACATTGAAGTGATCATCTCCGCCTACTAAAACAGTACGATACCCCCAAGCGTGAAGACGGAAATACGACAGTAAAACTGGACTCATTATCATCAATCCGCTATGGATTTTTGTAGTAAGTGTTATTCGTTCACAGATATTTTGTTGTCATTTCTCGACTCATAGTTCACTTTCCTCAACATATTTTAACTTTTCACTTTACTCAATTGGTTAAATCTCTCATCAACTTTCCTTCGTCTCACGTTGTTCTTATTTATGTTCCAGCATTTTTCATATTCTCGCTTACCTCCACCACATAAAACCTCTCATCTCTTCATTCCATGATTACAATGAATGACATCTCTTACGAAGACTTTTCTTTTTACCTCATTATGATTCACAACACTTTTAAAATGTTCATTCACATCGTGACATTTTAACAATGCAGGCCGACAGAGTCCGGTATTGTAAACCGCCAACCAAGGTTTTTATGCGTCTTAAATTCGAATCATTATTGCCTCGAACATCTTGTCTATTGACGTCATAATGACGTCATTACATTACAAGCGTGATAGAAATAGGATTTTAATAATTTGAGGAATGTTGTTTACAGGTTGTTGGCTTTTCTAGTGCTGGATGACGAAGGACAAGTTCAAAACGTGCATGTTGTCAGTGTGCTTTACATTAATCATTCACAGGTACGGGATGCAGTAATAAAATTCCGACCAATAATTATCGTAAATATGTCTTCTCGAAGGAAATTAGCACAGAACGGAACCCGAAGCCAAGTGATAAGGCTGTAAACGTTTAAAAAATCGTATTACAATTATAGACAACGGGTCCGGAAATCGGTGACATGAAGCTAGGCAACAAACCCGGCTATATTTGCGCCAAGTGATGGGGGCACAACATTGCCAACGGGTGTACTTACGTACACGACTGAATCCTTACAATATCAAGAAAGATGCCGAAAATCAAGAAATTGAAATCAAAAATTGGGCAGTTGCATGTAAAGTATACGACTAGAAGGACTTAGATTTATCTCTTCAAATTAAAAAATTTACCCCTTAAAAAACACCACCCACACAATGTAAGAAGATAAAATTAACAATGTTCATATCATATATACTTTTTAAGGTTTTCGCATTTTAATCAACAAACGTCGTATCTTTGGAACATATTTATACTTCATTATAAAAAACTTTCGTATGTAACATTCGCGAAAAATACACACGTTAAAGGACATCAATTATGATACATTCCATTTTATAAATTTAACAACAAAAAACACACACACACTTAGAGTTATATCTTTATAAGGTAACTCTATCCCATCACAACAAGAACGACCAGAAATAGAAGCACACATTGTATTTGTGACAAGAAATAACAATGTTAAAAAACATAAAGAGCTAGGGGGAACTCTTTGGGATCGGTGCATGACAGACACAAGGAGAGGGGGAACTCCTTGGGATCGGTGCATAACAGACACAAGGAGAGAGGGAACTCTTTGGGATCGGTGTATAGTAGACACAGAACGAAGGTGAATTCCTGTGATCAGTTTTAGTAAACAGTTCACTGGTACAATCGTCTGTACAAATATCAAAACCAATAAACTTGCAAATATTTCGACGACACAGTAAGACAGTCCAAGTTCTCCAACAATTTGTGCCTATGTTTTTTTCGATACGACATTAAAATGAATACGTATGTCATGTTTTTAGTGTGAAACCATAACAACGACCACTTATTCATGCTCATTCCTATTTTACACTCTAAACGGGACAATGCATGGCATCATGGCCCGTGATGTACATCATGGAAGGATCAGTTTTATCATTCGTAGCGAAACGACTACAAGCTTTCTTCCATTTACATTGTGTGCACCAAATGTCTCTGTTTTCAATACCATACACCTTTCGACATTTCTTATTTTCAGAACGTTTTTTTGGTCGTGACTCGACTCTGAAACTCTTAGGAACGGCATTCACGCGAGTGTCTGGGCACGTTGAAATATGAAACGCTTCACCGTATTTTTGATAAATTTGGGCTAAATAAGGGCTTATATGCTCAAATTTTTCATTTTTGACGAAGTATTCCGGAGAGGCCTTTCTTTTCCTCGTTATCGTTTCTTCTTTTAATGGAGGCGATCTCTTGATGGCTATGAAAGATTTAAGACAATGATTTATTGGCGAATCGACGAAATCCATGCTCTACTAATCCGAATCATTAGTGGATTTCTAACAGCCTAATCCACAATGGCACATTGAAAATGTTTGATATATTCAAATTAACAAAACAATAATTGCTCTTTCTTCCAATAAAGGATATATTATTTCACTTCAAAATAACACTCAGATATTATTTTCTCATACCATAACAGTAAACAATGGACAAAAACAACAAACATCTCAGGAAGAGGTTCTTTCTCTAACTGCGTGCATGCTTCACTTGACTAATTTTGTACACTCACAGATGTCTTGATGTTTGTAAACTATGCACGCACAATACATTGTGAGAAGGAATGTTTTACTTAAGATGTAGTGAAGAAATCGCAACGAATAATTCTCTCATATCTTGAACTGCATATTGATTGTTGCATGCACGCGACTTGTGTAGGGAAAGTTCAAATTTCATACCAAACACAACGTTGACAGAACAAAGTCTATGCACCCTAAGAAATTTGCAAATGACTGCAATCCAAGAGAAGAAAGACATTGATGATAACGTCAATATTACTGTGAACAATCGTCACAAAACAAAAGACACACTAACACTTTGTCAGGGAACAGGGAATAGGTAGTAATAACGAATGGCCTGAATGTATTAAACTTGATAATACAAATGTGTCTTTGCCCATATGAGCTCTTTTAAATTTTGCACACATTGCAAACGTAACTGCCATGAGAGAAAGGATACCAATATTAATCATAAAGAAATAATGTCCTTAAGTTACCTGAAGGACCATGATCTGTTTCAACATCATTACGATTCTCCTGTTTCTTAACCACCAAGTCTTTCTTGCTTTTGTCCACATGACAAATTCTTAAAACACTCAATCTATAATTACAAATAAATGTACGTGAATTGAGTTTATAAACAAAAAACAAAAATCTCAAGTAACGAAAGAAAGATACACAGATTTGAGCATAATATTTACTCTTCGTTATATGGATCAACAGAAGTGCTTGACAACAAATCTTATTAACGAGAAAGAGAGAGAAAAAGAAAGCTGTATTACAATAACATGGATGTAGCAACAGCGACACATGGCTGTATGGGGGAACGGGTGTTCACAATGTAAAACCATGTGATTTATATAAACAAAACAAAGGCAAGGAGCGCCATATAAATAGTATTTCATACAATGCTTTTTTGTACATGTAAGGTTTGCGATAAAATCAATGCAAAAGGAGTTTGAAAAGATCTTAATATGCAACTTGTATTTATTCATTAACAAAAAAATCAACTAAGAAATACACGACTTGACGATTTTTACGGTTTAGTTCACCTTAATGGAAACACAGAAAGTTATGCATAAGCCAAAAATTATTGTCGATTTTATCATATGGACGGTGATATACAAGAATTCTATGAATGGCTAAGAGAAAGACTACAATTTGAGAGGCAAGTGACTAGACGGATTTACGCGATTCCTGCATAAAAATATGTTTAACATGCATCATAGAAAATAGCGTTGATTGACTCTTATAGATTTAGACACATGAAGATTCGCATATGAATGACAAAAACTCAGAACGTGACTCACAAGGTAATAAACATCTTTACCTTTTTGATTCGCAGAGAGATTATCCGGTAATATACGTGGAGTGTCGTGTTTTATGGATTTTTTTAAAAAAATGGCACTGTCGATCTTTGATACGTCCGTCTTTCTCGTATGATCGACAACACAACGTAAATCATTCGCTTTTTCATTCACCGTGTTGAAATGAGTTTCTGCTCGGTAACTTGCCGTATGGGTATTTCCTATCGTTTTTATAAGACCGGGACAACTGTCTGAAATGCTTTTTCCTGTTGCATGATCCTGTGTCGTAGCAGAATCAACTTCGTTAAGATGTCCAGCAATATTAACGATAGGTCGCGTGGGCCAGCTTGACGGAGGCAGTCCCCAAAATCCCAGCCATGTTATATTTCTTTCAGGCACCTTCTCACAAGAGCCATCAGTGAAATGCACCATAAATCGTCCATCGGGAAGTTTAGTCTCGACGGAACCCGAGTGAAACGTGCCGTCTTGCTGCCGTTTCGCGTAAACAGCACGGCTTAGAACCAACAAGGACGGTTGGACGGTGCGCTCGTTCACATTGCACGTCATACTTGACAAGTCACTTGCCTTACTGGTCTGTAATTAATGGAAAAGCATTTTACTCTTAGTAGGTACTGCATTTGCAATTCGAGCTAAAATAGGAACGCTCCACCTTTATGTAATCAGTGAAAACGTGAAAAGCTTTATACTCGTGCGGCCAAACTAACACGCGCAAGATAGTACGTTATAAAATCAATAATGCAATGCTGAAGAATGGAACTTTTAGTAGGTGATAGAAAGTAAGTGCCAACAAAGATGAAAAACATATTGAAAATTTAGACTTTCATCTATTGATAATTATATTAAATAACTTACGCTTATGGACTGAACCTTGACAAAAGAATATTGAACGATCAGTGAAATGTCGAATTGGCAAATTTTGCAGTTTCGTTGTGCTCGCGTAGTACCACTTTAGTCTTCTACAAGCTCCTTTCGTGAGGAAAGAGAATGATCGACGTTCAAGCACACAAAGACGACGCTCAGTTTCACAAACAACTCGAGCACAGACCTACTGAAGCGATTTTCTTACGTCAATGCACACTCAAGTGACAAAAATAACCACAGTTCACACATTGAATCAATATTACACACAGACAATGTGGATAAAGCATCGACTTATGTGAAAACCACCAACCTTGGAATATGTTAGTATTGTAAATATCTTAACTTTATATTATCAGATATAGTACTGGTAAGCCACATATTGACGGCAAAGTCTACGAGTAAAATCTCAATGAACATATGTTTGTTTTTTCAGTGCTTCGGCAAAGCTGTCGACACTGCGGGGGCGACCGAAACTTCGATGCGGTCTGTACTGCCGGTCAACACCGGCTTATGTTCGGCAAATTAGGCATTTCACCGAATTCTCACGATAAAGCTAGTAAAATTATTTAATTACGAAATCATTCCTCAATGAATGCAGCAGGATTGTAAAATAATCGCACAAGATATTGTAACATTCAATGTTTTATATTTAAAAAGATCAAATAGCAATTTTATGCATAATTCACGCTGTTCAACGTCTGTCAATCGTAGGTGCGCTTATGACATGAGCATATTGCCCTCGCCAATTCTGGTATTTTCTTATGATACACAAAAATATAATGCTGCCCCTGGTTTTCAGTGTTGTGAAACTTTGCTGAAACATGCAAGCCTTTGAAACTATAAAAAAAACACTGAAAATAAAATAGAACTTTTGTTGCCGATTTTCATCCAAACTCAGTAGGATGGATATCACGAGACTCAAAATCCCTTGAATAAATCGATCATTGACTAAACTTTGTACCTAAATGTGAAACTTGTTGTTATGGCGTTAATTCTATCATTACACATGCTGTGCATCACAAGTTCAACCGTAAATGATCCGAAAAAGAAATTCCTCGCATAGGAATGAGATCACGGGACTGCTTATCAATTGTCACTTGCAATAAACAACACAATATGTAATCCGATCAAAAGTACCTTGCAGCAAATGCCGACATAAAAATGCGACCTTCACTGCACTTGAAATGCAAACAACTATTAGTTACAAAAATATTCTTGTCTCCACAATCATAGGTTACATATAGATACTGCTCGTTAAGATGCTGCTCGTGGTCTTTAATAAATGCTGTGATTTCATCGAATGTTCAAAATACGGCAGAACATGGAAGAAACATGTTGGAACAACAATTCGTGTATTTCCGAATAAAATTGTACGAGTGTAAAAAAATCATTGACTAGTATCTCAGTAATGTGCATGGCAAGAAACTGGTCAAAACAAAAATTGCTCTACAATGCTCTCTATTTCTTAGGATATTCATGTTCTCTATTTCCTAGGATATTCATGTTCTCTATTTCCTAGGATATTCATGTTCTCTGTTTCCTAGGATATTCATGTTCTCTATTTCCTAGGATATTCATGTTCTCTATTTCTTAAGATATTCATGTTCTCTATTTCCTAGGATATTCATGTTCTCTATTTCTTAGGATATTCATGTTCTCTATTTCTTAAGATATTCATGCTCTCTATTTCCTAAGATATTTATGCTCTCTACTTCCTACGGTATTCATGTTCTCTATTTCCAAGGATATTCATGTTCATTATTTCCAAGGATATTCATGTTCTCTATTTCTTAAGATATTCATGTTCTCTGTTTCCTAAGATATTTATGCTCTCTATTTCCTAAGGTACTCATGTTCTCTATTTCCAAGGATATTCATGTTCAATGTTTCCTAAGATATTCATACTCTCTATTTCTAAGGATATTCATGTTGAATGTTTCCTAAGATATCCACGCTCTCTGTTTCATAAGGTATTCATGTTCTCTATTTCCTAGGATATTCATGTTCAATGTTTCCTAAGATATTCATACTCTCTATTTCTAAGGATATTCATGTTGAATGTTTCCTAAGATATCCACGCTCTCTGTTTCATAAGGTATTCATGTTCTCTATTTCCTAGGATATTCATGTTCTCTATTTCCTAAGATATTCATGTTCTCTATTTCTTAAGATATTCATGCTCTCTATTTCCTAGGATATTCATGTTCAATGTTTCCTAAGATATCCATGTTCAATGTTTCCTAAGATATCCACGCTCTCTGTTTCATGAGGTATTCATGTTCTCTGTTTCCTAGGATATTCATGTTCTCTTTTTCTTAAGATATTCATGCTCTCTATTTCCTAGGATATTCATGTTCTCTTTTTCTTAAGATATTCATGTTCTCTATTTCCTAGGATATTCATGTTCTCTATTTCCTAAGATATTTATGTTCTCTATTTTATAAGACATTCAGGTGTTTCCAAGATATTTATGCTTGCTAAATCGGTAGCGTTTTGTGAGATAAAAACCACAAGAGGTAACCAAAATAATAGTTGAAATAACAAGAGCACAATCGACGTCGCAGAGTAAAAAATAATCACGTCAAGCTATGTTGTACAGAGATCTAGTGTTTCAAAGCAATTCCTGATAATATCTATAAGTTTAAAATTTCTTTTGATGACTGTTGTAACGAAACGTGACCTTTTTCACTGGCATTAAATTATCAGCATTATACTATACCCTTTAAACAAGAATGATAATGAACACAAGTTCCGTCTTGTGAATCAAATTTATGGAGTTACAAAATAGGATGTAACGATTGGCAAATGATTGTCTAGGTGAAATAGGGATCCGAGATTTTTGATATTTAGAAACACAATTTTCGAGAAATTCGTATATATACTTGATATTTAATTTAGCAAATTTAAAAATATGAATATAGGGAATGATTTTCTGTAAATTTTGAGAAACTAAAAAAACAGCATTGTCAGATCGACTTTCTAAAATTTTACAGTGTATGTATGTATTTGTAAAATATTTTTTTTTTCCATAACATTACAGCAGAAACGTATGAAGAAACCAGCACAAAAAAGTATTTACGTAACTATTAAAATGCTTCATTTAAGTGAAAGGAAAATTTTCTGTGCTCACAAGAAATTTAGTTTTTATTAGAACTTAATACACAAACGTTCCCATTTTTTGATTTATACAAATATCTTCACTCGAAGCAACGCAAAGCATTACTTTGCTGAAAACTCAATCTTTAACAGCAAAGTAATCGTGCACGTCACGCGCGACACACGATCACACGTGTTTTTACACGACTACACGTGTTTTTTCACGATTGCCATTTTCATGGAGGAAGAAACAGAGAGTATACAGTGAACGTTCACACGCAACTTAATGCAATTATTTACACACACAGCAATGACGTTAAAAATTCGTGCGCGATAACTTTATTGCAAACAAGATTATAAAGTGTTTTAAGTATTAAACCTACTGCATGCTTTTTTCCATCGACACTGTGTGCACCATAATTTCTTGTTATTAATACCATAAACCTTACGGCATTTACGAGTCTGTTCTCGTTTAGGACGTTTCCGCGAAACTACTTCGTCGAATGACTCTGTGTTCTCAAGGGAACTGGATGAAATAGTAGAAAGAGTCTCAGTAAATAATGACTCGGAAGGCTTTACATCCAATGATTCTTTGCTCTCTTCAGGGGTGGTTGGGGGCGAGAGTAGTGACACGTTGATATCAAAAGAGTCCTCCAATGGATTCCAATCCCCTGGGTTCCACGCAGTCAAAAGATTTGGACTTGAATATATAAAAGAATTACTAAATATAAATATGCAAGTCTGTGAAAAACAAAAATAAACTCAACAACAAAAACAAACGAAAAGCAATGAATACGCTAATGTATTTCTCTGAATGATAATTTTATGATAATTACGGGGGGAAAGATGGCTAAATACCTCGTGAAATCTGGGAATGTGTCCAATGCTAAATCTGAATCATCAAACAACTTTAGAAAATCTTTATCGAACTAAACGTGAAATATTCAAACATCAGTATCGCAAAATTGTTATAATATTTAATTTGGCAAGCATACTCACTGGCTACACTACAAACTAGCAATTGACACAAACGTACCAGATTGGTGTAATTTGTTGGTGTAGTGACGTCATTAAGTAGTGTTGTTGAGCTCACAGAGCTAATATTATCTTGACCATTGTCCTCAACTTGATAAGTTTTTGCACGAGTTTTCATGCTCGCGAGTGATTTCAACAGTTTTTCATGCAGCAAAGCATCTTCTAAGACAGAGAATTGAAAAAGAAATATTAACTATTTCGGAGAAATTAAAGCTTCATGTAATTAATCATTAAGTAAATATATACAGTATATAATCAATGTAACGCATAGTGAAATACCAAATAAAGAATATGAAATACAAAATTTGAAACTGAATTAGAACGAAAATTTGAATAGGCATGCGAAGAAAAATAGCTAGATTTTTGCAATGGATAACACGAAATGTTCGCAAAGACAGCAGTCTTATATCTTTCAAACAAACACAGCGATAATGTAATTCTTGACCCTCTCGTCATTAAAACAAACACACTTCTCTAAACATACGAATTATTCATAGAACAGATGAAGCAAACAACCACAAATAAAGACACAAATTAAAATTCGCCAATGCTTCGTATAATAATGTAAGCAAATCCGACGGCGGAAGTTCTACGAGACATTTCTCTGCCGACAAGAAAAGAATTCATGTATAAATATATCAAAAACAATCTCAATAAAATACTAGAAACCGAGTAACAATCGCTGTTAAAATCAAAACATACCCTAGCCAAAAAAGAGATCCACGTACTCCACAGAAAACGATAAAACAGATACAATATCCCTGGCAGAATTTCACGACGTTCGAACACACGCAAGTTCGCGTGCAAAGTTCAATATAATTTTGCATGTGCAAATGAATGTGTGTTAATCACTATGCATATAATGTTGCGTAATTAAACGTAATGAGCATAAGTCACGGTATAAATACGCAATATTGGATGAATATACAGCTGAAGAAAATACAAAATGCATAGCAATGCGATTTTTTGAACGTTTTTGGGTTTAGAATTTGATGACGAGAAAAACAATCAAAATTTCGTTGAAATAAAATGACAAAGAGAATGGAGTGACGCTTCGTTGCATAAGAACGTGATCTTAGAAGTGACGAGAAGAACATGTGCAAAGTGTGTGTCAATCACGTTACTGTCATTAAATGCCGGAGGGTTGGTAAATTTCCGAGCAATGGTAGCTTTCCAGCTCATGGCAAACATCGTCGTATATCTTTTTATGAAAAAAACAATTTAATCTTTTTAGATGTCTAGTAACGTTCACCACAAGCTTTCGCGTATAGGATTATGAAAAGTTTCCAGCGTTTGAAAGATACCAAAGTTGTGCTGCTCCCTCATGAGGTAAGATTACGTGCATCGTAAAAAAGGCATGATATGCCTTTGTAAGATGAGTCTACGTCTTTTTTTACGCCTTTTCACGACATTTTAGACGGCACGTCGTGTTTTCTAATTTTCCTTTATTATTAAGGCAAACAAGTTCTCGTGTGAAAAAAAAAAATAACACGGAATATTTCTTACGTACTTTTCACAAACTCCCCGTTTTGTGCTTTTTTTTAATCTGTAAGAAATCAAAAAACTATTGAAATATTGACTTTAGTAAAAGCATAAATAAATGGATGAAAATATTTAAGCGCACAAACCTCATTTAAAAAAAAATCTTCAAAGGAGAAAATTTTCATACGTGATATCAATGATAGATAAATACGCCATATTTATCCACGCCAGTGCATGGAGTCAGTTTTTGACAACAGTCCATTGAATTAATCTAATATTTTTACTGAAGGATTTATAATACATTCTCTACTGCGTTGTTGAAGACAATGTACAAACAACCTTTCAATGAAATACTTAAATATATATCAATTTTAAATATTTAGATTTTTTCATACTGTTTTATCATTTATTATTAACAAAATAAACCATATCAAATTTTCTCTACTGTCGACAACTTTACTATCGATATAATGTTTCGAAGATTACACGACCTGTGATGATTGGGTAGTATTAATAAGATTTTACGCAACTCAGCAAAAAGATATCTCACACCTTATTGGTTGCTTGTCTCACCCTCCACCACTGATGACGATTGCTCATAAGATTCAAAATCCTCCACATTGCTCAGCGGAGTTCTCCAATATGTAAATGAGCTAAATTGATCTGACGCCACGAGGCTTGTAGCCTCAAGGTAATGAGGAAAGATTTGATCAACGAGATGTTGTAACTCAGTATAGCTATAAGACAGAGGAAACCTTTAATGTTGCCCGTCATCACATCATTCGAGTTTTCTAATCAAAACTGGTCAAGACTAAGACTACTGAATTTACTAAAGTCTTAAACTGCTTCATTCAATCTATCAGCGTCTCTCGTAAATTACCTCAGTTTTTGCTGTTGGCACAAGAAATCGTTTAACTCAACCAAGAAAATTTAATAGAGGTGGAAATAAAACAAATTAAAAATAACAAAAATGTACTTACGACGATTGAAAAGCGTTGGTGAATTCATTCTTCACTTCACCCTAAACAATGTCAGATTTTCCTTAGAACTAGTGCATTTTTTAAAGTTAAAACTAAAGCACAACTAAACGACTTACCTTATGATTTACCGTGAAGATTCTTTGAAGAGGAATACCAACAGCACGATACGACAAAACATCCTAAATTCAAACAATGAAAAATCTCACTTGTAATCTTCCGCTTTAGATTTAATTTACATAAAAATTATATTATCAAGAAACAGTTTTAACTTGATCGCAACTAAACAGAAGCCACCTCCTCCCCCTCCCCTTAATACATTCAGAATTGAACACAGAAGATTATAAGAAAATCCTAACCAGGAGGGATTCGTCTCTGTTTCGAAAATCTCTTATGCTCTGTGTGTTAGTACTTGGTGCAAGAACTCTCACGCACTTTTCAAGATATAAACTTTACATGTTTGAAATAAATTGCTTAACTGAAAATTGTTTAACTTACGTTCATTCTATTGCCAAAGCCAGCAAAAAAAGGCTCTCTAGTGGATGGAAACAGTTTACGAATATTCCTAAGACATGGTATCTTAAAATCTTGAGGTCTTTTCTCTATTACCTCTCTGTGGAAAAAGCAAGAGACAATTACGGTTTATTGACATAATGATGAACAGAGATAAAAGGATTTATAACCTGTGAAAAGCTTTGATCAAAGAACTTGGAGACAAAAAGAGTGGACCATTGGGTAAACTAAGATTCTCCTGTACAACATTTTTCAAATGCTGTCGCGTTAATTCAGCCTAAATTTTGAGAGAAAAGTGGCACGCTCAATATTTTAATGAACAACTATACATTTCCACGAATTAAACAACACACAGCATCGAGAGTTCCGGAAAACCTGACCAGTGAGATGAAGTGTTTATTAACGTACCTGGCCAATGGGACGCGCCGATAAATACATAAACTTATAACCGTTCTTTTGAATGAAACTGAAAAGCTTTGCCTAAAAGACAAAAACCCTTCAATGTCGTTGTTCTTGTTCTATTTAAACAGTAAAACAATCAACCAATCAATCAACCAATCAATCCACCAATCAACCCACCAATCAACCAATCAATCCACCAATCAACTAATCAATCCACCAATCAACCAATCAGTTTTATACACGCACTTACCACACCAGACTGCGCCCAATAGCTTGCCGGTAAAATATGTCCCAAAACATCAGACCTGTATGATTGGAATGCAATGGCCAAATAAATCATGCATTAACAAAAAGGGCATCATTGAAAAGGCAAGAAAGTAATTCTCAAACTTCATTCCTCACTTCGTTATAGTACCATCAATGTCCGAGATAATTATCTTGTCTTTATAATCATAGAGAAAAATTGATGCCGTGCATTTCGCCGTGCCCTGCACGATGAAACAAAAAATATTATTCTCGTTTACTTTCGTCAACATACTAAAACATGAAGACATGAAGTATATACCTGATATTTGGTTGTCACAGAAAACGTCACTTCGTTAGCTCCGTCTTTAAGATTTAAACTCGCCTAGGAAATAGTACAATGTCGTTTCAATGATCATTCCATTCTGCAGCTATTGATTATCTTTTCTTACTTATATAACTCACCAGCTGTTCTGAGGAGAGCTCTAACACTTTTTTATAAGTCTCTGTTGCCGTAGTTTCTAAATTTAAATCTGTTTCTCCACCACTCTCCAATTGGTCATGTGACGAAAGTTCTACAGCTTCCGTGTGTGAAATATTTTCGGTTTCAGCTATCTTATTGTCTCTGCTATATACATTTCTTTCGGATTCTTCATCTGTACTGTCGTTCTTAACACACAATGAAAACGATCTTTCAACTCCACTCATCAAATTAAACCTAATCCTTGATTATTGCTAATTGCATAAATTGTATCAATTTTACGGTAGAACTTTTATGTAGTATAGTAGACAGTGATGTAATTTTCTCGATAATGAGGAAGGTAGGGGAGGGAAGGCAACTGAAGGGGAAGGGAAGTGAAGGGGAGGGAAAATACTCATAAATATACGTCATGTTATATTCCACTAAAATGATTTAAAAGAAACCTTAATACGTCATAACATGCATACGTATGAATATTTCTGTCCTCCCAACAACTGCATAGCTGATAACAACAATGATTGTATTGCGTTGAATGTCACATAAATATTATATAGATGATAATCTCTAACTTATAATATAACAAAAATATAACAATGAAATTGCTAAGTTTCCCCCCGTGCTACGTTAAATTAAAAACAACTTGAATATAATAAGCTTACATGTTCCGGAGGGGAGCGCCACGAAAACCACGAAGAATATCCCCGTCGTTTGGTTTTCTTTGGCATATGTTCCTTCTCAAGAGAGTCGATGCAAATCTGTGGACGAAACATCAATAAGCAAGACTTTTGTACTTAAATTGAAGGTTTTGTTTACAATAAAAACTATGGATGCAGATCACTAAGCCATAAACTTGATCATCCGAGTATAATATACCTTTACTTTATATTTTGTTAATCTTTCGTATGGTAAATGTGAAGGTGTTAAGGTATTGCTGATAATTGCCTGACCGCAGGTTATCAGAGTTTAAGACTAGAATTCATCTATACCGTTATACAATCGTGCAAACAAAAGCTAAACGATTAATCGGAGCTTGAGAAGTTCTCTCTCACTGTCGATTTTCCATACCTTTGGTAAACGTCGTTGGTACACAATTGAACTTATCAATAACGGAACAGCAACACTGGCATTGTAATATCTACAGAAAAAGTTCTTTCAAGACGATGTATTCCTGAATATTCAAAAAATACTCATCTACCTGTCATTGATACGTATTACAAGTTTAGGATTGGAAAGAATTTGTGTTGGTTCTTTTGAAAAGTCTTCAAAACTTACAAAAGATGCCATAAAACGTTCTAAAAGGAAAACAACAAATTGGAAATGACGAAAGCAACAAGAACTTTTCAATGGAAAACAAGTTGTTCATGCGATGAAGATAAATACATATTTGAGAATGAGATCTTATCTACACAGACACATGTTATCTTTGTATAGCTAGTATAAAGTAGTATAAAGACTGTTCTCGTTCGCTGTTGTTCATTCATCACTACCTATACTGACACACGTTATCTTGGTTTATATTTTAGATAGTATAAAGACTGTTCTCATTCTCTGTTGTTCATTCATCACTACCTACACTGACACACGTTATCTTGGTTTATATTTTAGATAGTATAAAGACTGTTCTCATTCTCTGTTGTTCATTCATCACTACCTACACACTGACACACGTTATCTTAGTTTATATTTTAGGTAGTATAAAGACTGTTCTCATTCTCTGTTGTTCATTCATCACTACCTATACTGACACACGTTATCTTAGTTTATATTTTAGGTAGTGTAAAGACTGTTCTCATTCTCTGTTGTTCATTCATCACTACCTATACTGACACACGTTATCTTAGTTTATATTTTAGGTAGTGTAAAGACTGTTCTCATTCTCTGTTGTTCATTCATCACTACCTATACTGACACACGTTATCTTAGTTTATATTTTAGGTAGTGTAAAGACTGTTCTCGTTCTCTGTTGTTCATTCATCACTACCTATACTGACACACGTTATCTTAGTTTATATTTTAGGTAGTGTAAAGACTGTTCTCGTTCTCTGTTGTTCATTCATCACTACCTATACTGACACACGTTATCTTAGTTTATATTTTAGGTAGTGTAAAGACTGTTCTCATTCTCTGTTGTTCATTCATCACTACCTATACTGACACACGTTATCTTAGTTTATATTTTAGGTAGTGTAAAGACTGTTCTCATTCTCTGTTGTTCATTCATCACTACCTATACTGACACACGTTATCTTAGTTTATATTTTAGGTAATATAAAGACTGTTCTCATTCTCTGTTGTTCATTCAACACTACCTATACTGACACACGTTATCTTAGTTTATATTTTAGGTAGTATAAAGACTGTTCTCATTCTCTGTTGTTCATTCATCACTACCTATACTGACACAAGTTATCTTAGCTTTATATTTTAGATAGTGTAAAGACTGTTCTCGTTCTTTTTTGTTCATTCATCACTATATACACAGCCTTCACTACCTTTTTAATTGTTCATACATATTTGTCGCTTATTCAAACGCATTAACTCACCAAGAGAAACTTTTCCTCGTTTCAATTCACCACACAAAGAAAAAGCAATGTTCGTGTATTCACTATCCTCGCTCTTCTCATCACAAGGTGAGGTTGATGAGCCAACACCAGAGTCAGCATCACTTTTACAACCATCCATGTCACTCTTGACATCCTCCATAGTATTGCTTTTAATGGGAGATTCCAGTTCGGAAGATTTTTCAAGACGAGTGCAGAGTTCTGAGTCACTCTTTATGTTATCAATGGTGGAATTAATATTTTTAAACATAGTCATATTATGAACTTTATCCATTTGAGCCAGATGCGTGTCGCTTTTCGAAGTTGGAAGCGATCTATTTTTGTTCGTCTTTCTTCTATGTGTATGCGAACTTTTTTTCTCGCGGTGTCTGTTCGAAAAGGATAGATATTATTTGAAATGCATGAAATTTGAATAATGTAAGTAATATATGTTTTCGAACTTTTTAAAAAGGTGGCCAGCACTCACCTTGTGTTTCGTTGAAGATAACGACTAGTTATTTCCTCGTCAGCACTTAATAAATCTTGTAAATAAATTCCATGATGTTGATCCTAAATGAAGAAATTCCAGAGATTTTCAAAGCAGCTAAATCACAATGTGTACAGATGTGTAAACTTACACAGACCTGGTACTTCTTGTGTGGCAGTTTCCCTTGAACTTTTTTCACTTCTTTCTTCAGTTCTTGCAGGAAAGAAAAAATGGCATTATATTTATTTTAGCAAGCATATCAGTGTTACAGATTGATAGTTACCGGGAATTGACTTTCTCTCCCATGGCAAGTCATTCAAGCCCTAAGAACATACCAGCATAAGGTCGTAAAAAAAACTTTATAATGACATAGTTCATTTGCATAACTTTCATCAGCAGAAAATAAAGCATATAAATCATGCTAGTCAATAAATCAAACAATGAATCAAAAAAATTAAACAATAATAGTAATAGATAACAGAAAATCTACTAAATCCTACCTCTGGCAATCGACCCCAGTTCCATGTTGCCTTAAAATTTGTCTCTTGGTGTTCAGCATTGTAATCAACTTCTGTGTCACTTGAATATCTTGGTGTGTACAATACACCTTCATTTTTTGACGGACTACATATAAATAAAACTTTCATTTTGCTGCTATGGTATAAATCTTTTATATTTCAATAAGAAAATGCAATACAAATACCTTTGATTTTTTGGTGTGTTGATGGGGGTATCATGGTCAGACAATGGATAAAAATCATCCAATGCTTGATGAAAATGCTTAAATTGACAAGAAGCAATTAGTTTAGTTGTAAAACATGTCATTGCTCATATACAAAGGCTTCTCCATACTGGTTTTAATTTCTTGTTGGGAATAGCAATAACTTTAGACCTATTCATAAAAGTGGATTCGCTGTGATTCTGTAAAATAGAGACAATAATCATATTCAAAAGTTGTAGCAAGGAAACATATTTACAACAAACAAACAATACCTTGTTAATGTTGTTCACAATATCAACATTATCATTATCATGATCACAATCAATTTGTGGTTCTTCATTATCTTTGTCCTGAGATAATATGGTATCCTTAAAATTCTCCTGCTCCTCATTTTCCTTTAAGAAAAAAGTTCAACTGAAATCTATATCTTCCAATCATTTGCTAAAATAAAGCTTTGCAAACCTTTATTTGTTTCTTCATTTTTGCTAACCCATCACTAATGAGACTATCTGTGTCCGGAATGGGGGATGTACAGAGATATTGGGGGACATCCTCAGCTTCACATGTCTTAACAAAGAAAGCCTCACCACCATCTCCCAGTTTCATGTGTAAATCCATAACAGGTTCATCATTAATACTGATGTCAACCTTAATAATACCTTTTACTTTTAGTCAAAGTATATTTTATCGATTTAGTAATAATAAAGCACTTTACAATAGGTTAACTTTTCCTCTAAAGAGAGTTATCAAACTATCAAAAGACGAAATAGCAACATTAAACTTTTGATAATGTTGAAAAGCATCATGGACGTCAATAATTAAGACCTCATGGTAATTTTCAAGGTAAGATTTATACAAATACATAATACATAAAGACAAGTAGATAAAACAAAATTTTACAAAGCATTATGTTATCACAACTTACAACTTTTTCTCGGCTGCGAAGAACACCAAGTTTTCCAAAACGAACATGAAAAGGAGATCCAACAAAAGAACCGTCCGATTGTCGTACGACAATTACGTCAATTGCACCAGTTAACGTTGCAGAATTTATTTCGCTGTAATAACCGCGAATTCCGTTCACAAGACGTCCAAAATAATTCATAGTTACTTCGTTACAAGAATGTAAAATTTAAGCTTTTATTCAAGATATAAAGCAAGTCCAGTCCCAGCATCGAACATCTTCAAAACGCAAAACTTGGGGTAGCCATGTTCGTTTTCATCTATAGAACACGTGAATAACATGCAGACAGGGCATGATCATGAAATGGTGCCAGCATGGCACATTAAGAATAAGATACCGCTAAAACACAAGCAAATTTGATAAGGGTATAAGAATATAAGGCCATTCAATGGGTAAGAATAGGACATCATTATCAATTTCCATGACTTAAACACAACAGCATTTTTTCTGACAAACAATGCTAAACAGTTAAGTTTTGTCAATCCCCAAAATGCATAGATGTATGAAATTAATGGTGAAAACTTCTGTGAGTGAAAAACATTCGAAAAAAAAGTTTACTGATCACATATAAATTGTCAATTTTATCCTCATTGATGAATAAAATCATACAAATAATGGCCAAGATCAAACTCAAGTTGCCTAGCAATGGTTTTTATGAACTCTAAGGAGACCATGCATTTGAATTTAGGTGAATCAAGGACATCATTTGATGAAATTTTGGTAAGAAAACACAGAGTTACAAGAGAGGAAAGCTGTGTTAATATAACTGCAGAGATTGGAACTTTCTCATCCACTATACTATAGAATATTGCCATTAGACGATCCAAGATGAATGGATGAGGACCTAACAAATTTAATCAAACATTACAATTCAAAATCAATAATCATTCAATGACAGGTTGATTTTTGCTAAAGTACCTTTTAAATGACAACTCTTTTTTACAAATGTTTTTGCCGCCACTTTAGCTTGCTTTGTAAGTTTTCTTCCAGTCTTACAGAAAAACTGTCTATCTGTTTTAGCAGGATTGTATGATGCAAGATAAGAAGCAATAAGTAGATACTTAGAATAATATGGCAGCTCAACAGATGAACAACTAGAAAGACCTTGAAGAACATACAGAAAATACAATAGTAAAAGACACAAAAAAACTAGAAAACTGAATGACTGCTATCATACCTTTGACACCGTAACTGCCATCTTGGATTTGTTCCCATTGTACACTAGATACTTCATGCAGAAAAACAGTACTCATGGCTTTTCTGAAGCATGGTTCTATATTCCTCCAAAGCTTTCTTACATCTGAGTGGTTGGCTTCTCCATGGACAATTGGTTCACAATATTTTGGGAAATTTAGTTGAGCCTAAAGAAGCATAAAGACCTTCAATGTCCATATTCATCATCAAAATTTAAAATGGTATAAACATGTCCAATACCAAATGCCGTAGTTCCTTCAGATCTCGGCAGACATTATAAAACACACTCAACAGTAATTTGCAATAGTTATGATAAAATTCTTTGGGATGATCATCTGGAGCATCCAATGTCATAATTTCTAGAAGTTCTTTCTTGGAATAGTCGGGAAAATGAACCTTGTAAGGTTCTCGTAAGCCAGTTCCTTGACGAAACTTGTCAAAAATAATCTCGCTGATGAATACAACTGATATTTTGCATCTTGTCAATTCCTTGAGTCGCATAAATGCTGGCAAAAGGTTCTCATCTATGTCATGAAGCCTCTCACATCTATCCATTACAATGAAGAATGTCTTGTTGCCAAACTTTTCAAACGTCATTAGTTTCTTGACAACATGCACAAAGTCATTGATATTGTCACATTTTAAAGAGTCTTTACATTTGTCTTTTTGGAAAGATTGAATTGTGCAAATAACTTTCTCAAACATTAGTCGTGAAGTAAAAGATTCAACGCAGTTGACCACTACATATTGTAACTACAATAAAATGATAAATTGTAGATAAACTTTAGGAAGGTTAACAAGTGTAAGAAGTAATAACAATTACATTGTTAAATTCTAGAAGAGGGCTCAACTTGGTTCAAAGTGCCTTGCTAGAACTATAGGAAGTTTAAAAATGGCAAATCTTACGCGCAATTCTTCAAATATAGTTTCTAGGACAAAGTTCTTTCCCGTTGCTGTATGACCATAGATAAATATACTTGGATAGGCGCGAAAGTCTTGAATATTGAACAGATTGTACAACGTTGTAATTTGCTTTGTTCTGTGTAAAACCTTACTTTCTATACGAGCTTTTATCTCTTCGTTTGATTCCATCGCAAAATCAGCCACTTGCTAGTATTTAGAATTCGATATACTACAAAAACTTTAACATTTTACAACAAATATCATCGTCCATTGGAGTATTGCTGCCCCTGGCTGGTGAGGTACGAGACGAGGTCATAGAATAGATTCGTATATATTCTGTGACGAGATCTTCTCGGGTCTTTAGTCTTCTGCCGACGGCCGACCGTCTGGAGGTGAGCGAGAGAGAGTGGGACGAACGAAGTAGCTGCCTAATTTAGCTTTCACAGGTGACTTAACAAGAAATTCTTTTCCTTTGCTACCTGTCACGCACGAAGAAATGAAATTGTTAGTTGGAATCGTATCGAGTATTTTGGTGTTAATAGTTGCAATAATCTTGGGATTCCGCAGTCTCACAAATTTCCATTCATCTTTGGTAGTCAAGGATGAGTGGTGGGGAAAATCTATAGATGCACCTTTACACTTACCAAATATTAGTGATATAAAAATTGAAAGAATGCCGTCAATAAGTTTCGGAGAAGACGCACTTGAAGACTTGAAGCAGCGTATAAGAAACACAAGATATTTTCACTCCTTGGAAAATGCTAACTGGCAATATGGTAGTAACATTGCCGATTTGAAAGAATTTGTCAAGTGAGTAAGATGATCATGAAAAACGTGACCTCATGCATTAGGCTAATTGTTTTTTTTATATAAGTTATTGGCTTGAGGAATATCATTGGAAAGATCATGAAGAAGCATTGAATACACTCAATCATTATCATGCAACTATTGATGGCATCAAAATCCACTATGTCCATGAGAAATCTATCAAGAATACTGGTCAATTGGTTCCAATTATGCTACTACATGGCTGGCCTGGTTCATTCTATGAGTACATAAAAGTGATAAAGATTCTCATGACAAATGCAAATAGTGATTTAGCTTTGGATATCATTTGTCCGTCACTTCCTGGTTTTATTTTTTCAGAAGCACCCCACAAGCCTGGACTTGACCTGCTGCAAATATCAATCCTTTTTAAAAAGCTTATGGCTCGTCTTAACTACACTAGTTACTATATTCAAGGTGGAGACTGGGGTACAGTTATCGCTAGATTGTTAGCAAACATTGATTCAAGGTAATATTATTCATCAATATTGAAGTGTTTGGCAAAGAAATGTTTTATAGACTTAGTTTACAAAATATTCATTATAGTCATGTCAAAGGCATTCATCTAAACTCATATCTATCATGGCCTCCATATGGTCCTTTTTCACTGTTCTCAGCACAAGTCTTTCCTACGTGGAGTCTTGGTAATGACGGCAGCAAGTTTCTTCCACTGACCAAACTATTCCTTAAAATGGTGTGGGAAATTGGATACTTCTATCTTCAAGGTGGATGAAAAATAAACTGATCTGAAACAAATTAAATTCCCTTTGTCATTACTTCTTGTCCTTCAACTCAACCTAAAAATGTATCTTCCGAAATTAGAGAAATTAGTGGTGTAGAAAATTTCAATATTTCACAAGTTTCTCTTAATCACACTGTTTTCTTCCCAGCCACAAAGCCAGAAAGCATTGCAGTTGCAATTAATGATTCTCCTGTTGGTCTTGCAAACTACATTCTTGAGAAATTCTTCACTTGGTCAGGATGTCAATCAGACAAAAACATGACGTGTTTGGAGTCAAGATTTAACAAAGATGAAATCATCACAAACATTATGCTATACTGGTTCACTGGGAGTATGCCTTCTGCAATGCGAATATACCATGAAAATAAATTTTCGCATTTTGTGTATGTAAACCAAACTCTTAAGGTGTATTCTTGGTGTATTCTTCCAATATTTTGTCCTGCAATTGTAATTTCATTGTTTTGCAGACTACCTGTAATTGTTCCTACAGCTGTTATCAATTTTGCTGAAGACATTTTTGTATCACCACCTACTTGGGCTAAAAATACATTCCCAAACATCGTTCAACTCACTGATTTTCCTCGAGGAGGTCATTTTGGTGCTTTACAAGAGCCAGAAGTCTTTGCTGACGACATTTGGACATTCATAAAAAAAGTTGAAACAAACAAAAACGAAAAAAAAATGAAATGATTATACATTAGAGTATGCACATCACTGCAAGATATCGTATTTGTAAATGAATTTCAAATATTGAAATTCTATGATTGGGGAACAAGTATTTGTGTGATATTGGCTCTCCTTTATGAATTTCTATTGAAATCAAATGTGATTACATTACATGACATATCACTATATAAATATGACCCCTCCCCCTTCTTATCAATCTTCAAGCATCCCTCTTTAATTAAGAATTACAAAACTCTATATGGCAATTTAGTATACATATAAAAGACATTTTAGTACAATATTACTACAAATGCACACAATTTATGTACATTTTATAATATTTGTCGCAAATTTATTGCAACATTCAAGGACTATAATATTGGAAACTAAGTTTCTTAACACCTTAAATGAATGCAGTTGTTACTTAAGTATTTTTACCATCGATTTTATCGCGCAGTTACTACTTTGTAACCGAGTTGTTGCTCAGTGTAACATCAAATTAAGACTGGGGACAAGTTGTAGGTTGGAGTTGGATAGTGGTGTTGCATTTCAGATGAAAGAACACAACGATCACATAAAATCTTTCAATTGAACTTTCCTCTGATTATGGTTTTACTTTAATCACCCATTCAGCATGAGGATTGAGCCTTGAAAGCTGTAGTAGATTGGTTTCCATGTCCAAGCATCTTTCCCCTAAAACACGACATTTTAATCTGAGAAAGTACTTGTTATTCCATGAAGAGGATCTTCGAGAATAATTGTACTGTTGTGATCCCTAGAATGAAATGTATCCCTTAACGTACCTATATTACCACCAACTTCATGGAGGAAATAGTTGCCCTTAGTACAGCAGTTGTCCCTATCATCAATGTTCTCATTTTCTTGATTCTTGGGTGTCCTTGTTACTTTGTTTTTGCTACTTGCTTCACAAAATTTCTCGACGACATCTTTAGCTGTAGTATTCTTGCAAAGTTGAATGGCCATGCCTGATTTGTTTAACAATGGTGCTTTCACACGAATGATATGGTTCTCGTACTTATAAAAAAATAAGAATTGTGGACTTTTCCATCAAATACAAACACCATAAAAGTCCAGTGGTAGTGGTGGGGGTGCGTCCCTAACTATAAATAGTGAAGAATGAAGAGCAGGGGGGTGTGAACAGTTTTTATGAACTACAATTAACATTCTGATGAATTTACATACAAAACACACCTCAATTCTGTCCAAATCTTCCAGAGACATGGATTTTTTTATAAGTTTAAGTTGATTGGCTGTAAGATCCCCTGCTCCTCGCTTACCTTTCCGTTTTTTCACCTGTAAGTAAGTGACATAGAAAAGTGTGAACTAATTAGTTTTCAGAAAATCAATAAGGATGCTTTGTGCTTAAGAGTATCTACACAATTACTTTACAACAGTAAGAACAAATGTTATATGAATCACTTTCAAATGCTATTATAACAGTCGAAAGTGAATAGAAAGTTTCTATAAAACTGTACGTGTATGGGAAGTGTGAATAAAATGAGACATTTCACATCAAAAATTTAAGGAGAAATACCCAGTCCTGCCATGAGCTACTTCTTGCCAACAGTAAAAACAATACTTATCAATAAACTATTCCCACAATATGCAATTTTCTCTTTCTCAAAACATACCTTAATCTCCTTAGACTTGACAGATAAATCCTTCTCGTACAAATAACGAACTTGTTGTACCATAAACGATGGAACCTTATAAAAAAAGACAGGAGAAGTAAAAAAAGAATAGAGAAATAATACGACGGCTTCGGCAAAACCATTGACAACATACCGTCCAAAGTATGACGTGATATTTAATTAGCATTCTGACAATGTTTATGGTGCCCTTAGCCAACTCAACTTCTCTTATAGAGGCACTGGATTTCTTGCCATTGTTTAAAAATAAATTTGGCGCCATGATCATCGCGACATTGTTTAAATCCATCTTGTTCTGTTTGTGGTTTGCAACAATGTTACACAAGAATACTAACAAAAGCTGAAAGAAAAAGTATTTAGTAATGATGACTTCAATTAGCAGAGTGATGACTTCAATTACTATTTGTCAAAACTTAGATTGTCAAAAATTATGATATTTTACGAAAAAGTTTTAAAAAATTGAAATTATAATTTCGTTACAAGCTTATGAATACATTGGATTTGGTTTATTTCATTTACATTTTTTGATCATCCGAACGCATTATTTCGAGAAAAGAGAACAAATTTGAATGGTAGCCACTCTTGCCACCCACTTTTGGCAATATCAAATAGCTGGTTCAAAATTAACATGTCTATCGACCGACCGTAGAGAAAAATCGATCCATAAAGAAAGTAATGAAATAGTAACAAATTAGGATATCGCAATAGGTTATAGGGAGTAAAAGAGTTTACAATAAACTTATTCTTGAGGTGTCGCGATGGGTTCTAGGGAGTAAAAGAGTTTACAATAAACTTACGCTTGGGGTATCGCGATGGGTTATAGGGAGTAAAAAAGTTTACAAACAACTCAACCTCAAGTATCGCGATAGGTTGTAGTAAATAAAAAAGTTTACAAACAACTTACCCTCAAGGTATCGCGATGTGTTATTGGGAGTAAAAGAACCAAAAGATTCAACGCCTGAAGTTGTTGAACTTGGTCTGGAATTTCTACAAAAGTATTTAAAAGTGAATATAAACAACACAAAAAATTTAAAGTCGTTGACTACATCTTTATACAAATACTAGACTATAGTGAAACAATCACAGTTCCCTCCCTCGTACAAAAGCCATTAAAACAAAACAAAAAAAGAGTGTGCAAACCTTCAACTGATGCAAATGTCGGTTGGTATTCATACGTGAGAAGAGGAAACGGCAGCTCTCTAAAAACAGCAAAATTACACAGAAAAAAAAGGCAAATGTGATTTATCCTAACATTATACAGAGCTAACCACATCAATAAGATATACGTAAAAAAACAGTAGATGCGAAGTGAACATTCAACAAATCAGAAAAGATTTCTCCAAGTAGCTATAATTTTTGAGCTTTAAAAGGAAGTGAACAACCAATCGTACCTGAGAAATTGCTTTAGTAGCGCCGCAACATCATGAGGTTTGCGTTTACTCCATGAAAAACACTTGTCCATGTATGTCTCTTCTAACTCTTCGCGCATGCACTTAAAATAAACAGACGAATATGAGAAAGTTGAATACAGAGTACCTTAACATCAGTTCGTGACGTGTCAGGCAATTTTCAATAGTCAAAATTAATGAACAACAGTAACAAAATACACACTGACCCGTACTCTAGCAGCCGAACCAGGCACGCGAAGAATACCTTCCTCTTTAACTCCTAATCTCGAAAGCAATGATAATCCAATTAAAAATAAAAAAAACAACTTCGATTTATCATACGTCACGTACCGCTATTTTCTAAAAAACCAATCATCTACAATGAAAGGAAAAATTGGTTGAACACAACAGTGAAATGTCATTAAGAATACGTATTTGGAAGATGTTCAATATATCAAGAATAGAGTGTGCTCCTCGAGTTCTTTCCCACTTATGAAGACATGACATAAGTCCATTGGATATTCAACAAAATTTCACATGAACTATCAGTATTGTTGTATAAAAATAGTAATAAAAAGCCATAAATACCTGTTCTAAAATAACAGGAGTGTTGTATCTCGGGTTTTCACCACGATCACGCTGTACAAGTAGTAATAAAGGAACACCAAATACACCATATTCTGAAAATATTCATACAATAATTCTTGAAACACAAGACATTATATCAAATGACATTCATGCATAAGCCAGTAAATAACGATGGTCTTATGATGGTGATCTGCTATAGTGTATTTTCTCATACAAGAAAGTCGACTGATGATACAAAATATCACTTCATATACAAACCTTTCGTTTTTCTTTTCGTTTGTTTACGTCGACGAAAGACCATATTGTATTGCTCAAAGAGCGCAGTCAACTCGATGAGAGCAAGAGATCGCACTTTCTCCATGTCTTTAGGGGATAAATCTTCAATACGTGTTATTCCATATTCATCACGTGATAATTTGAAATTCTATAAGTACACGGTACAATATCCAAATAAGATACAGATCTAACTTGGAGAAACCAACATCTGTAAAACCACGTGATCATTAGGTGAAGTCAAGTTTGAAACTTGTACGTAAAGCATGGGAGCTGGTTGGTTACTGAGCGTTACGTAAATGACAGCAATCATTTTGAAATAGGTTTTTTCACAAACCAATAGAGAATGAAAAACATGCAAACAAACCGGAAGTTTAGGGAACTTTGGTGGTCCTTCGTAATCTGTGCTCTTTTGAACATCCTACAGTGGATTGTCATAATGTCAATTATACGCAATAATCGATGTAATGATATACATAGCTGATAGCTTGTAGAAAAAATAAAAAACTTACAACTGCCGGCTTTTCATGGTGTATCGTCAACTCCTTGCACAAATCTTCCCCGTTGTCATTGCTGAATTCACCCGTATCTGATGTATTATTCATTTCTTGCTTTGACAGTGTGGTTTTTGATGTGTATTTTGTCAATAATGGATCCTTTTTTGACAAAACATGATGATTATCAAAAATTGATAGTTCATTCATCTTTGTTGTTGGCAATGATATCTCGGATGATGTTGGACTGTTATTGTTGACAGCTGTTATGTAAAATAAAGATCCAGCAAATTGACGATTTTTCTCATGGCTTGGTGACCCTACAGGTGAACTACCTGAAAAAAAAAAGGATGATTATACAACAGCAAATGAAGAAATGTAAAAATGTTTATCATGGAGAAAAGTAAACCCTACCATGACTTAATCTGCCTGTCAATTGAAGTGAATTTTCCATTGTTCGACGTCTTAATATTGGAGACTTATTTCCTTGAGACAACTGAACAGGACGACTAACAGGTTTTGAAGATACATTAGTACCTGAAGTTATCCCCCTGACACGATCAGAAAATGACTTAGCATAGTTTAGATTATCCTGAGATTTTGAAGTAGAATTGTCTGAATAACTCAATTCCTGCAAAGCAAAATTAATCCAGTAAAATTCTTACTATCATTTAAGCTAGAATAGAGAAAACTATATCAAAAGATCCAACACTGAATTGAATTTTTTTATGAGCATGAAATTTGACCATTTAATCTTCATCGTCTCTCCTATGAAGTATACTCTTGATGTACACTATGTAATACACACTGGACAACATTTACCTCTGAACAAAAAAGTGGAAGACCTTCGCTATAGGAATGTCGACTACGTATATTTTTTTTCTTAGTGCCTGTCTCTGATGTCATATCTGGCCGTTGCTTTGAATTATGGGTATTAATACTGCGAATATCAGGCACTGCAAGGCGTTGTGGACCTTCTGATGTTTCCTGCAAACTCAGTCTCTCCTTGGTGTTGGCATTAAGTTTGTTGATACGTCTTTTCACAGCTTCAGCTTGCTTCCTTGTTAATGATGATGTCATATTCTTGAAATCAAAGTCATCTGCATTTATTTCATTGCTTTCTAATGGTGAATATAAATACAATAAAAATTGATAGAATTCAAACTGAATATTCTCTAAATAAAAGAAAAGTTTAATATGACCTTACTTCGATAATTTTTCACCATGTCATTAAATCCTGCTTCTTGTAACCATTGAACATCTTGCTCCACATCTAAAAATCCAAAATTAATATGTACAACATTTGATGAGCTCTAGGCTAAACAATTGTATGCATATATTTAAATACCATTTACTGAATCTTCATCATCCTCAACTGCATCATTTACTTGGGGTTGAATTGATTCATATTCCTGCCAGAACATGTCAAGATGACGCATTCTTTGCATCTGACTATCCATGTTTCTAATGGGCTTCTCCATCATGGAAAATGTTTCTTCCAGCAGATCAAACTACAACATCTTGAAATATGTGTTTGAATTTCAAAGATATCAACGAACTTATCGTGAACACCATAAAATCATATCAAAATTCATATATATTTAAACATTAATATTCATTTAAACAGCATTCGTTTTGTTTTGTTCTACAGTATCAAAAGCCTGACTGCTTCATTCAGGCATGCACAAATTACTCTCTGTTGAAAGACGCGGTTTATAATGGCAAGCAAACATTGTTGAAGACGTCAACGAGCCTTAGATAATGTACAGAGCCGTAGGGTACAACACTTAACGTGCTAGTAAACCTTCATTTCACGTCTTCGTTCTTTTAAAATATTGAAGTGTTGTTAATACGTCAATTAAAAGTGATCATATCAACAAAATCTTTACAATTCATCGATACTTCTAGAGTATTCTTTTTAACGCATAAATGATAAACGCAAGTGAGAGATTTCACGGTAGACTAACTTAACAATTGATCATTCTTCTGTCACAATTAACCATTTCACTCTGAGACATAACGACAATATACTATATACTACAATTTTATTTGTAAATCATGTTTTTTTTCAGTAAAGATACTTACATGAAAGTGAAGGTAATTCAATCGGATAACTGTTCTGTTTTGACTGAACTGACATCGTGTAACATATTTGACTAGAAATTTCAATCCCAAACACACATGAAATGTTTCAAACTACAAACAACATCAGAAGTATATTACATTCCTGGTTTAGTCATTCATATTCCAAAAGAAAGAACAGCTAAATTTCCAAAAGTTATCTAAAAGGCAACCTTTCTCGACGTATCAATTACTCACGGTTTATAATGTAAATAATGCCGAAAAAAATGACCGGTAAATTTTGTCATCCTGAATGCCTCCGATGAGCCCCACGACTAAACTAATGTCAAAAAATGAGAAAAATAACCAAAAAATAGTTACCGTATGAATATCCAAAATATCTCTTCAATAACCTAGGACTAGTTAGACGAGATTTATGGTTAGTTTAGATGTATAGTTGAAGGCCAAGTTTTTTGGCTTAGGAAATTGACTATTTACGAATTAAATAAGTAGTCGTGAGAGCAAAGACTGCTAAGTTGACTAATTCCTCGTAAAAAAACGAAGAGTCGTCCATTTGTTTTCTACACACCCGGTATATCTTTTTTCAATTGCAAAAAGTATTTGCGATGCGGACAATGGTTGGCTGTATGCAAACATTTCAGTTCGTATGTATCAATGCAAACTTATTATGTGAATCCCTTATACTGATGAGCGATGACGTCTATAGCTGTATTAAAAGTTGTATGTTTGGCAATTGTCTTTATCCTAAGATTTCCTCATTTTTCTCATGTGGCTAATATTTCAGTTGCAGTGAACAATATTAAATTATACACTAAACAAGAACAAACATAAATGAGAAATTTCTGCATTTCTGCAATTTCTGCAAGCACTTCTTTGAATCTTTTTCAATGGTTGCTCATTGATAAGTGATAAAAATATTATTGATTACAAACAAGTTGAATGCATTCTTTCACATACTTATAAAATTTAAATACGTCCATAAATGAATTATAGATTGGAGCTGCAGCGACTCGAATTACGTTTGGCTTACGTTCGTCCACCTGTTAAGAGAAAAAAATCGCCAGAAAATGAAACACGGTTTCGTACCCAAAAAGGCAAAAATTTCAGTTAGTGTGTGCAAACACTGAGATTAAAATCTTTGAAAAAGAAAGCGAAAATCATTTTTACGTTTGCAAAAGCCTTCTTAGTAAGTTCTTACCACAACCCCTCTCCTTTTTAGTTCAAGAAAGATTTGTTGAGTGTCATATGGGAACATAATGGACAATTGAGCACCACGTTCACAAGGATTTTTCGGTGTTATAATTTGAAAATATTGTGCAGCAGACGTTGAGTTAACCTTATCTTCCTCAATTATACTCATTAACAAATACTCCATGTATCCTAAAAAAATGACACATTGATGATCGATGATGTAATATTTCTTTTATATTGTAGACTCTTTTTGTACGCTATTACGTCATAAATTTATAGAGATTCATGTAATATCATTTAATATTTATTCGTGTTTTTGTTGATTGAATATTGGGAATAAACAATTCTGTTTTCGATAAATATTCACTTTCAAATAGATAACATACTAAGTACAGTATATCTTGATACTTTTTCGTTTGGTGTTTACATCTCTTTCAATAATTTTCAATTAAAAATACTGTCAATTTTTTATTACCTGTCAAAAGTTGAGATTTTTTACGAAGACTTTTCATCGTCGCTTTAGTATGAAGCTAAAAATACAGAATGCGATGCCTTCGGTATTAGCAAGCACTTGCATTGTTGACAGAAACACACTGTCAGCGATATGGTGGTTTACCTCCAAAGCTGAGAGCAATGACACTGTTTGTAATACAGGAGGATTCGAAATTTGAAAGCCAGCTGCACCAGTTCGAGGAAGAAACTCTACACAAAGATACGTTGTAATAGAAAGATTTCTAAATAAAGTTCTCCTGTAAAACTCACTGTGATCCATTTGAAATCTTGATTCCTTTTCGTGACCCCACCAACCTTCCAATCTAAGAAAAAAAATAATAAAAAAATGAAAGCTGTTCCTCGAATCAAATATCGAATCAAATATCGAATATGGTAATCGTTTAGAAATAGGTTTTACATATCTATGCAAATTAGGCTTTAATGATCCAAAGATGTCAATTTGTCTTTACTAAATAAGGTCCTTTTAGGCTTTTATAATCATGCATTTCACTCATAAGCTGTAAACACTAAACAGAAATATATTCAACACACGCACAAACGAGCAGGTCTAGAAAAAATATGCGAACGAGTAAAGTTTTGGTGGTACACTATTAGCTTTTCAACAAGGAATAATCATCAGTATGTGTCTAGAAGTTCAGTAAACGAGTGAAAAAAAAACTAGTACGTTGTGTGAAGAAAGAATGTTGATTGACTGGCGGACATTTATTAGTTGCACGAAGTCATTACGTCAAGATCATGAGAATGCACAGATAGAATTCTTGCATTTCTAAATGTCTTGAACTGTTATATAAAATCTACCTTGGTAAATCAAAATTTTTCGCATGCCTTTCATGAATAAATACAGCTGACAAAGCGCCAGGTCCAGAATTCAAATACTAAAAAATCAATTTTACGTGACGTGAGAATACAAAGTAAGATGTATGGATTTATGAGACACAATATTTCTTACTTTATATGAGCACCAACATGCAAAATCTACTCCCCAATCATGCAGCGACAACTCTACATTACCAACAGCGTGTGCCAAATCAAAACCAACAATGCAACCCTTACGAAAAGGAAATACGTTGGTTCATGTTGTCATTTCGAAATGTACATACTAAAGTACATAGTTAACTGGTTCTTTGTTATGTACATTATTGTTTTCAGTAATTAATACAGGTTCTTTGTAAATTACATATACTTTTTTAATCTACATATACATATTGATTTTTTGCTAATGAATATATTTGTTCCTTAAATAATAGTAATACTTGTTATTTATAATACACCACAACATCACTCTGTTCAACAAGTAATTTTTACCTTTTTATGACCAGCTTCTGTGATACATTTCATATCAAATAGTTGCCCAGTATAATACTGGAGACCTAAAATAAACCACACAACATTAGCCATGAAAGTAAGTACATATGAAAAGCATACATAATCAAGCTACCTCCAAACCAAATCAATGCTATACTTTCTCCTTCTTCCTCAATTGTTTTAATAATATCCTCAGTTCGTAGGAACGTTTCACCCTTTAATAAGAAAATACAAGTCTTCTTATCTCATCATTTGAGTTTCAATAACATTCAATCTCACTTGTCGAGAATTAACTTCCACCAATGATGTGGCAGGGTCATACCCATGCAATTTCAAATGAGATTCAAGTGCAAACTGCAACACAAACAATGCAACATAATTATAGCATTGCATTGATGAATAATTAAGAAAATCATGACTTGGGAGTTAATTAAGACCTGGGAAAACCACTCTACATAAATGTTTAGAAGACTGAAACATGTACAAAAAAATTATACATAATCTGAGGGAAAGCTCTTTCCTTCAACGAGAATCTTGTGTCTATTCACGGTAGGGCGGTAAAATGGAACCTTTAAAAGAGAAAATTCAGATGTGATAAAAACCAATAAAAAATGTGTATTTAAATAAATACACATCCTACCAATAGTAAATGAATGTTCACTGTTAATCCATTCATTGCAACTACTTCAAGCTCTTTAGCACCTGCAAAAATCACATCAGAACTCAAAAACAGATAAGAACTGTCATTATTCAATTGAGTGAATCGACACCATTCAAGGCCATTTTAACTTCAATGTCCATCAAGAAAAACCCTGAAACCTACCAACAATTTGAGCACAAAGTCCATTAACAAATTCGTCAATAATCCACCATGGTTTGTCATCAACATTTACATGACCACAAACTCCTCTAAACAAAAAATCACTACCAGTGCTAAAACACTAAATTATGCATGGCAACAACAACCAAGAGTGGGGCAAGTAGGGCCTCTGAGGACAATTTAAAAAATTCAAAATGATACTGCAAGAATATTGGGTGGGGGTTTTGTCCCCAGCCTTTAGTCAAAGTTAATACAATCTTTGGTTTGATTTGACACATACTTTGTAGCCCATTTTTCTAGTTCTTTATTGACATATTCTTTGGTAGATTTTGGCTGGAGACCAAGAGAATGACCACAAAGATAAACACATGTCTCCTGAAGGTCCACTAATTTTGAATCAACTGCAAAAACGTATCAATTACAACTTAATCAAAACCAAGTTTTGGGATGTTAACATTTCAGAAAAACTTACACTCACCAAATGGAATATCGGAATTCTTTGGAATAAGAAAGTGATTTCGAAATTCTTTCAACGGATCGCATTCATCCATATACTTGGCAAAATCTTCTCGTAGTATATTCAAACGACATGTTTCGCTACATTTCAGTAACTCTAAAGTGGGTGCATACATCTTTGTTAGTGGCTGAGATAACCAATCCTTAATTATAATAATCATAAAAAATTACAACTGTTCGTACTAATGGCTCGGGCCAGTGGTTCTGGCCCAGATACGGGCTAGTGGTTTTGAAGTACCATTGATATAATGATATTCTTTGATATTCTCAAATTCAAGTGCAGAATCTAACTGGAATACCTAAAAGGCAGTAGGTGCTGCCTGTGTGATTGAGGAGAGGGGCTCATATTGATATATGGACGAGATGCAGTACCAAGTTCCTTTGAAATGCATTGTTTTCAACAGAATAGAAAATACACATGTCAATATGAACCCCCCTCCTCGCAATTATCAATCTTCCTACGCCCATTGTATTGTCGTTGGGCAGCAGCTAAAAGTTCATGAGAATAGATTGGCGAAAGATAAAAGTTTATGTATCTAACCATATATATACATATGTAATAACATAATAATCATAAAATACATACGCAATTAATTGTTTATAGTTGTAAAACAAAGCAATTGAGCATTATAAAATCGTGAGAAAACTGTGTCATGTCGCGAGACAGTGAGAAATGTGCATAAAACTTGTGACATACGGTGAAATCGTTAGAATCAGAGTTGGTAGGTCTATTTACATGTAAATTACCGCATCGAAACAGAAAGAAAAAAAATCAAGTAAAATTGAAAGCCTGTAATAGATTTGTGTTATAAAAAAGTTTCTCAAAATGGTAAAAATATGTTTCAAATTGCTATTTTGTTGAAAATCGTACTCGAAACGCATCAGTATCAAGTATGTTATGTAAACACGTAAACAGACGAATCAGTTGAGTAGTCAAAAACTGAATATGATGAACTTTTCTCATAACTTTCATGGTGGAAGTCTTGTTAAGAATTTTTTCAAACTTACTTTAGTTAGTGAATATACTCCGGACAGATTCAACATATATTCTGATTTCACCGTTTACACGAATTATAAAGGGAAATGAAAAGACAGGAGAATAGATAATACACAGAAACGATGTTGATAGAAGGAATCAAATGACAGTAAAAAGGCATGAATTTGCGTTATAAATGTATTAAAGTAATATAGGTAGGCATTTTAGTAGATAATGCATCTTCCAGAATTTTAGATTGTTGTATTCTATGCATGGAAATCAAAGGTAGATTCAACAAAGAGCATATGGAGTTTTTAGTTACTGGCATAAAAACATAGCTGTTTATTTTCATCCATGACATTTTTGACAAAATCCATTTGTGCAAACTTTTAGCAGCACGGAAGAGAACACGAGCTTCAAATACCAGAAAAAAAGGTCGTAAAAATGCGTTATAAGACTTTTAAAATTCATTTCGTAATGCATTTCAAATTTCGCCAGCAGTAAGTAAAAAGAACCTTCATCCTGGCTAAACGCAACCCCATAAACTCAACCCGCATTGGTTGGTTACATGTAAACTCGATGGAGACACTATTGAACCAAACAAAGAACGACACAAATCAACTGAGAGAATAAATACAAATTTGCAAATATTTATTCACATTAGCACACAGTGCTAAAAAACATAATTAGATAGTGCAATTTACTTTAAAATTCCGAATGAATCAATTTCCCATGTCGGAAAACAGTAATTAAAAGAATTACATACATTACTAACTTCTCATAGAGATTACTTCATTTCATATTTAAGAATTGCTGTTCTTTTGATATATTACCCCCATAAAACTGTTCTTGGTTTAAAATCATCAAAATACGTTGATGATTTTACGTTGATTGCTATTTACAGTATTAAAGAAACGCAATTTACAACCGATTATAAAACATATGAACGCTGAAATTGGAGAATAGGAAAAATTCAGTAGTGCAAGACATAAAATACCAACATCGTGACACTAAGAATCCCCTAATTTCCCTTCTAGTTTCATAAACGCCAATCTTCGAACATAAGCGTTTCCATGAAGGCAAGTCAATGCATCTTATTCAAAATTTTAGTCGCCAATGTATTGGCATCTGTTTCGTTAGGAAACATCCTCATAACTTCCTGAATAAGATTTTCATGTTTGGGAAACAACGCCTGAAGACTATTGTACATTTGCAGTCTATTGTACATTTGTGCTCTATTTTCTTCTCTTTCTGGATGATAATATTTACAACGATTACCATACGTGCATCTACGACCGTAAGGACATACTCTTCGATGAAATGCCGTTCCCTTTTGTAGAAACTCATCTAATGTGGGTCCATGGCGACCAAGAGGATCATCTGGTGGCATAAACATGTCATTTACAAAAGAATACATTAAGAGTCTCCGTTCTATGACATCCCGCCATTTTGGATTCTCGGCAGCAAGATCTTTAAAATTATCATTGGAAACAATGATGCCGTCCGTACGATCCGCAAGCCTGACAATAAAACGATCATCATAGCAGACAATACGCCTCCCATTAACCTTTCTCGATGGCGTGAACGTCAGACAATTTTTATCCTCGAGTTGTTTAAGGATTTGTTGATCCATAATTGGATTATCCATCTTTGCCGATTCCTTTCTCCAAGAGGGCACGAAAACGGTGATCTGAGTATGACCACGTTGACGGAACCAATTGACACACAGTAAAATACCACGACATGAAAATACTTTGTTGTTACCATGACTAAATTGAGAAAATTAGCGTTCGTTAACATCGGATGACGACAAACATTAACGTATTGAAATAATTTCAAAAAAATGTAAGTCGAGTGTGTGGCAACGAAATAATGAATATTTTTATGCGACAACAATTAAAAGGAGTGCGCACAGTTGATTTCCTTCCCTAACTTAAACATAAAATCTGCTTTAGAGATATAGAAATTACATCGACCCAGTCCCACAAACGTTTGATGACGAATATAAGGTTGTGAGCACTTAGATCATACGTCAGTGACATAAGTTATCGACCCATCAAAGTTTAATAATAAGATAAAACAATATTACGCCTAGATACGTCTATGATGAACATTTAGCATAGGAATATCAAAACTTTGTGAATCAACAAATGTTTTAATGTAAAAGGTATTTCGCAAAGCTAAACTCCGTGTCACTGAGTTCGCAGACAAGTAAATGCAGATGTTTAAAAGTTAATCAAGGCCACGTGACAGGATGCTTAACTCGAACGAGGAAATCATAAGACGAGTCGATGTGTAGGTCAATTTCTTTATCTCAAGCAGGAAGTTCAAACAGCGTTAAACAATACATACGCACATGTCAATATTTATTCATATGAAAATAGCACAGTTTCAACTGACGCTGTTAAAAGAATATCTGGAAATGATTTTTGATCATTTACAGCTACAACTGAAGGATTTTAGTCAAATGAAAGTTACAATATATAGTTAGAATAAAGGTTAGGATTTGAAAGTTTGTAAGACAAAGAACACAATACTTCTTTGAGCTACAGGAAACGCAATAGAAATAGAAAGCAATAAAGACAAATCCTCACAACAATTTATATGAAATGGGAACACATATATTCCAAGAGAAGTGAACTTAATCAGTAAAATACCACACAAGGTGACTGTGCAAATAATTTAAAACAACTTGTAAACATGAAACTCACCTCATAGCAACATTACTGCCATCAATAACAACATGACGTAAATTACTTTGTGGTAGTTGCTGACATCTAGAGGCAACCTGATCCACTAATTGATCAACATGTTGGTTATCATAAGAACCATTCATCAAATTAGGAAGTGATGCAGTAATGCAACTGTTATCCCTAGTACTTTGAGACATGGTTAAACCTCTCGAAATTATGTTTGATGAACTGGGATTATTAAGTGAGGGGGATGTACTTTGAGGAATGAAGCTGGGGGTGGTTCTTGGTGTTGGAGAAATTCGATGAACAGAATCAACTTGGGCTGGAAAACCTTCCAAACTATGAGGATACACATTTAATCCATCAATAGTTGGATTATAAGGTTGGTTAGCATAATGTTGTAGAGTGTTGGCTGTAGATGTTCGTCGTACAGCACTTCGGCAATTCACGCCAGTATCATTATGATACAAGTGATTGTTCATATAAACTTGTGGTTGAACTTGTCGTGGTACAGGTCTACAGGGTGGTTCAGCTGTCCTTGTGCTTGCCCCGGACACATTGATGAGTTCATTTAAAAATGTGTTCTTATCACTATCATGTCCTAAGTTTTCAAACACCATATTTATCTGACTTTGTTCATAGCCAAGTTTGAGAGCAAAATCTTCAAGAGCTCGGTTTTTATCAGATTTAAATGTTTTAACTTCAGTTGGTTGAGTTTGAGAGTTAGCACGGTGGTTTAAAATGAGATTCTCTAATCTGGATACTGCCAAGATTGTCACTTCAATTGTATCACCCGAAATGATAGCTTTATTGGGTGTTGGAAACTCAACATACACTCCATATTCAGATTCCAGTTGAATATGTTCCTTGCTTTGAGGTGCAAAGATATTTACTAGAGAAGCTGGTATTGCAATTTCCTGACGTTTTTCTGGATTGGTTAAAGCTTTAACATAGCTCTAAAATAAATAACATAATTATAAAGGAGGCAAAGCAAAAAAGGAATTTTTCGCCTCAACTATGCAGTTAAATTCATGAAATTACAGGATTGACTCATCTATCTTTCCCAATGAATGTTTAATACACAAATGAAGGCCCTAGTAAAGAAGTACTAGCCAACAGACCAACCATATGTCACATATCAATCTTATGGGTGAACTTTATTCCAGAGGTCGTGTCTGGAACAATTTCTTTCATAAAAATAAGCGCTTAAGTATGCGAGTTATGACTTCCTTCCACAATACGAAGACCACAGATCATTCGCAATAATAGCATGTATATAGAAACTGAGTATTTTTTTCGATTGTTTTGTACCAAAGTCGATTTTCCAATATTAAATAAGACAAAATCTTTGAAATATTTCACAGAATACTTAAATAATACAATGCACCGTTTTAACAGCCACAATGCCGACAGGTTTCGTTGCAATATGAAAACATAAATTTGGCACAAATTCAAGTTTGCCAAATTTATCCATCAACTTTGTGACTGATTTCGTAATCTTTTATGCTTAACAGTCTTGGAAAACGGCTAAACTAAACAAACCAAAGCTTGCTGTTTTGCAGAGAAACGTATATCACATTTTGCCCAACACTTGTCGGTCTCAGTTTACTTTTATATATTAAAGGTTTCTGTCATGAACCATAAAATTAAGATTCATTCTCACAAAAATATGGTACATACCCTAGCCTTGTCTACATGTTCTCCTAACAAAGTAATCCAGATTTTATTCCCGGTACCATTTGCCAAGGAAAGGTTGACATTAAATCTTTCTTGGATGATTAATCTAAACTTCTCAACAATATCGCGTTTTTCTTGTTCAATCACAAACTCCATTTTGTATCGCGTAGTGAGAATATATGTATTTATCTATGATCTGTAGCGAGCATTTCACGCCACAGCAACTACTACAAGATATAAAATTGTTTTAAAACTGAAGAGGAAGACGTGTTCGAGCTGTTTATAATGTATGAAACGGGAAGTTGTTTAGCATTTTACCAGTGGGGGTGGGGAGAAATAAAATAATTAGTTGTATTTGGTTAAAAACTAAATAAACCTTCATAACATTGAAATGACATGAGCACAGAATTATTTACTTTCAGATAATAATTTGTAAGAGCAAGTTACATTTCATATATAGAAACTATTTTAAAACAATCTGTTCGCAGCCCTCTCCTCCCTAAAAACATTTGTATGACGTAGGCATTTACGTAAGCGTTTAAAATCATGATTTAAATCAGACACGCGCTTTTTTGAGAGGGCACGTCAAATTATGACAAATGTAGTCTGTTGCCTACAAATAAACGCTTTTTCAAATTAGTTGAAATTCTGCTAAATCAGAATAATTTTTAGCAACAAATTTTTCATCAAGGAAAGAGGATGACATTTTTTTATTTTCGTTTTGTTTAAAAGAGTTCAATTCTCGGTAATACACAAAAAGAAAATTATAAAGAAACATTGTGAAATTATAACTATACAAATGATAATAACGACTTAAAATAATAAGAATCTAATTGCTCAGTATTTTTGAATTCCTTCAGAAAAGGCAATATTCCAAAATTATAACTTCAGGTCAGCAGGACATATTAGTGCTAAAGGTTTTTAGTTTTCTTTGATCAAAGTCATATCCCATTGATTAAGATGAAAATATGCAATGTCATCTATAACTGCAACTATATATTTGGCTATCATAACCATTATCTATACCCACATTATATTCATGTCTCATTATGTTGGTTGATTTCCTTCCCATTTTTGGATTCTACAAATGCATATTATATGCTCTGAGACCAGTTTGATATTGACGTATATATAGCCATGGCGTAAAAATAGGCTTGTCCACAAATCTTATTTCTAATATAATAGATCATACTTTATCTGGTATACATACGGAGTGAAGATGATGGTTAAATCGTGGTCATCGTGTAATTAAAAACGTTCTTTTCACTTTTTATTTGTAATTTAAAAACAATTGTGTTTAATTAACTATTTAACTTATTTCGTTGCCCAACAATTGCATATTTTTAGTAACAATTGTAAAAAGTAGCAACTAAACTATTGATTGCGTGTAAGCCATGGTGATATTTCAATACGAATCAATAATATAAAACACAAAACTTTAAGAAAGTGAATGAATAAACAGCAAAATACATTGAATGATGCATAAGAAAGCCATAAATACGTTTTGCATTTGAGAAATGTTCTATGCCAGTTCTAAATAGCAAAGAATTGAAGACACAACAAATTTTGGCCAGCAGCGCTGTATAATAATATTATTAAGCGATCCACAAGAAACCTATAATATGTTTCTCAGATATGTGTTTAATCTGTACGAGTTTCTCAAAAAGGGTGTGTCGAAGTACTTTCACGACTTTAACAAGGAAACGTCTGGAAAAATAATTTCAAACAGTCTGAAAGATATGTTCACCAGAAACTATCTAGTACATTCTCGGCAAAGATAGAACACAAATGAATCGTCGTCCGCCATTTTGCATCGCCATCATTACTATGACAACAAGAGTGTATGACCTTATATGGTGTCCACTGACTACTCATAATGCTTCCATTACGTAATGATGTAGGAGCAGTTCACTGTGTAGGAGTGTATAGAAATGATGTAAGTTTTATCGGCACCTCCCCAAAAAAAACAACGTTATATCCGAATACAATATTTGAAAAATAATAATTGACAAACTTCAACATGTGTCGTTTAATAAATAATTGATCGCTGTGCTACAACTAATATTGTTTTTATTTTAAAATCTGACTTTTTAAGAGAGGTTTGAGCACTAAATTCATATTTACTCTAAGAACAATCGATCAAAGCAACTTTCATGTTTATCCACGTTAGGTACACGTTTCTAAATCATTTACATCTTGCATTTCAGTGGTGTTAGAATTCTTACTAGTAAGACTTTCATGAGATACGTTGAATGATGTTGTGTAAGGACCAGAACTCTAATTCCTAACTTTATTGCCAGAGCCCTCAACATTGGAAGTGTATTGAAGGTTTTGCCAATTGGCAGACTTTACCTGGTCGTGTTTATTTGCCTCAGTAGAGAGCGCACGACGTTGGCATTTAGATGATTCAATCACATAACCCTTCACTGGTGTAATTAAGTTCCGTGGAGCCTTTCCTGTTGTTTTCTTACAAATGGATGGTCGATTGGTTACATACATAGACATTGTCCAACGTTCTTTCTTTTGTTTGAAAGCAGATTGTATCTAAGGGAAAAAATTTTGCCTCAACTGATTATTTGGCCTTCGTGTCAATTAACACATTCTGAGTATCGAAAAATTATAAATATAAACGCTCACTGAAATATTCTGTCATAGAGTCAGATTTAAGTTGAAGTAGCTTTATTTTCACACCGTCCGGCATTTAATTTTTTAACATTTTCCTTGGGAGACGTAATGTTAAGCAAGGCAAAAAAAGAATGTATAGCTTCCTCAATTGACAAAACTGATGTAGTAACTACTTTGTCGTTTTTCAGAAAAGATTGCATCTCTCTAGGCTAAATGATTACCAATTCACAATAATCTTAGTTGCTTACCTCACTGCTTCTCAACACATAAAACAAAAATATGAAAAATCCCTATATAATTTAAAAAATGATATTGCTTATCTGAACAGATTGCTTTAAGACTTCAATGAACCTTACCTGAAATGTGTTCAGAATGGTAAAGATGTACTCCACAGCTAGGGAATGTTTGATGATCACTAGGACCCCAAATACCCAAGTGAATCCAAGAATGGGAGATATATATAGACAAGCTTTTAGTGACTTTCTAAACATGAAACGTCGAGTTAATATGAAAATATCTTTAAATTTATATAATATTTACTAAAGTAATCTTTAAATCTTTTATTAAAGTGTAATACAACTAACTACTGCCTAAAAGACTTCGAAAGGTCCGTGAATTACCTGAACTGTACAGAAATTTTAACTGTATGTTTCTTATTCATACGGTACATTTCGCGCAGTACTAAAGACGCCATGATAATGTTGATCTGAACAAATAAAGAAAACAGGAAAGTGACAAGAAAAAGTAAAATCGATTCGTTAGCGACCGTAACATTGAATGAAAAAGGAAAACGGCATTATAATGTAAAGATGAATGAAAGTTTTATGGCAATCAGTGATGCACAACTTACCAAACATATGAGCAAAGCAGGAGCAATGAAAAACCAAATGAAATTGTTTTCATATGAAATCCAACAACTGCAAAAATATCTAATATGTAACTGGACAGTTATTTATGTTATTCGTGAAGAAATATTTAAAGCAGTTTCATATTAAAAAAAACAACAAACAAAAACATAGTCATAACGTACAAGTTGCCATCGGAGAGGTAGCCATAAATACCAAATGAAGCTTCCGCAGAAATGAGTGAAGATATAACAACGATTAACGGTGTTACTATTGAAAGTTTAGAATAAACAAATGAAGATCGTATATCGTAAGACTCGCCATAGAAAAATTTGTACGGAAAAAAATATTTATTTGAACTAACGTACCCCAGGAGAAGATGTAGTAAAATTTGACCTTGCTTTTGTCGTTGAAGACTTTAACGATCATAAGATAAAGATGATATCCTTCAAAAAACATCCAACAAAAGGTAACAAGGTAGAAATAATGAATGAGAGATGCCACGATGAGACAAAAGATCTGAAAATGACAAAACAATTTATAGTAACATAATACGTGAAAGCAATTACTGAAAAGAAAGGGGTTAAGAAAGAGGTAAGGGAGAGGTAGGGAAAAGGAGGGATGGGGAAGGGAAGGTAAAGTAGAAAAAGGCAAAGGAGAGGGAAAATAAAGGAGGGAAGGGTTAGGGAGAGGGAAGGGAGAGGAGGGAAGGCTAAGGGAGAGGGAATATGAAGGAGGGAAAGGTAAGGGAGAGGGAAAAATAAATGAGGGAAGGGTTAGGGAGAGGAAAGGTCAAGGAAAGAAGGGTAAGGGAGAGAGAAGGTAGAGGTGGAAAAAGTAAAGGAGAGGGAAAGTAGAGGTGGAAAAAGTAAGGGAGAGAAAAGGTAAAGGAGGGAAGAATAAGGAAAAGACAAAGAAGAGGGAAAGTAAAGGAAGGAAGAGTAAGTCGAGGTAACATGGAATACGTCCTCAATACACAATTATTGTACGAGTATATTTACTCAATGGTAAATATAAACTATGCAAATAAGTTGTCTATCCAATAGAAACAGTAGGCAGAAGAAGTTATTTATACAAAAAAACTATAGAAACAAGGGTGAATCCTTTCGTCGCACAATACATTTCTACACGTTCACGTGGAAATATATCATTTATATGAGAACGTTGTAAAGCAGAGCAAAACAAAAATTGTATGATGAAAAAAAACTAATAAGAAATGTTACTCGAATGCTTATTCTAACGCGACTTCTTTTTCTGAAAACATAGTGTTATACACATTGTACTTTCGTTTGTATTATGTTTACTTCATTGCCTAGAAATGATTTAGGTTGTTTCTGAACCTCTGCTGATAATCACATGATATACAAACCTCGTTGCCGTTCGAGCTAATTCCTACGATAAAGAAAGTCTGAGCGAGAGCCAAGGAGAACGCCAGGTTTATGTGAAGATGTGATTGCTCAGATTTCAATCCGATAAGTATAACATAACTCAAGACAGTCAACACATCTCCAAGCAAGGAGAAAGTCAAACCAACGTATGTGATGATTGTGAGGGCTTTGCGGTGTTTGGATTGTACCTATGTTGATGTTTAGGAGTAAAATTAGTAAGCGAATTTATCACTAGAAAGAGAGAGAGAGAGAGAGTGGTTGAATGAGAATTGGGTGCAATGAGTTGATGCTGTGTTGCAAACGGTTGTACTTTGGTTTTGTCTTTATTGAAAATTTTTTGTGTGCAATGTTCATTTATTGTCCAGGTAAATTCCTAATAAAATATTTTGCGAGCGATGATCGATGGTGACCTCGTTTAAACATCAATACCCTTACCATTTTGTCATCGTTGTTTTTACTATTACGTCAAAATATCTCATGTGATTTGCACGTGCACTTTAGTTGAGTTATTAAAATAAAAAATGACATAACATCTTTCCCCCAGAAAAAGGAAATTTTTAAATTGATACGCTTACCATTTCGTCATCTTCGTTTTTTACGATTACACCAAAGCTTGTCATGTGATTGCACGTGCATTCGGTCGAATCATTCGAATAAGAAATGACGTAACATCCTTCCGTTGAGAAAGACGTGTCACTAGACGTATTAAGGAAGGCACAAAATGGTTTCTTTGTATGTTTTTCTGTATGTAGTTTATAACTGATGTTAAATGTCACCGTTGGTTTAGGCACCAATTTGGCTGATATTATGTTTGATTTCAACATCTGATCTGTGAAGTTCGCTGAGCTTTTAATAGACAAATAAATATTATTTTACCAGATCTCTTTAAAAAAAGTTTTAAATCGATAAAGCGCTAGCAAAGAATTAAATTCTAATTATAGCTAAATTAGCTTATAATTAAATTGTAATTATGGTTAAACTGGCAAACATTAAATAATCAAAGTTGAAATCGAAAATAGGAAATTCGTCGTTGGCTACTATAAATAAAAACAAACGTTGAAGTGCAAATGCAAATGTAAGAAAAAATTCATGAAATATGTCTGGAGACTGATTGAGCTATCCAAAACAAATAAGGTTAGGTTGGTACAAATTTCCTTTGTACTAACATCGACTATTCAAGCATGAAAATAATCGACTCTATTTAGACATTCTTCACTGTTAACATTATATTAGCAATAGATGTTCCGGACATCTTCGTATAGAGTATAGTGTACAAACAGCATAGAGATAAAAACAGTTTTGAGATAAAAAAAAGATTCAAGTAAAAAAATTATCTAAATAAATAACAACTATCGTTCTATCTATAACTACGTATTACCTCGATTGATTGCCAAAATTATGATACAGAACGCCAACAAAAAAGGGAGCAACAGTGTCAAACAAGCTCAATGGAATACTTATAGAATCCATAAGATTTTCATGTTGCATTCCGTTCAGCTCCACATTAGGAAAGTTGAAAAATTTTTCTTTTATTGACACGTTTGACGACAAGTGCACAATGGAAACAACTAAATAAAGTCAATATAATACATAAGTAAACAAAGTATAAGTTTATTAATTCATTACGAGGTTCTATCATCATAAAACAAAGATTATATTTTATCATATACGTTTCACGATGTGATCGCTAAACACATTTTATCTTATTTTGTCATTAGAGGAGTAAAAATTGCTCTCGTTCTATCACTTCTCTGTTTTCCATTCGTTATCACTACCTACACTGAAACACGTTATCTTATTATATATTTTTGGTAGTGTAAAGATTGTTCTCATTTTCTGTTCTTCATTCATCACTACCTACACTGACTCACGTTATCTTAGTTTATATTTTAGGTAGTGTAAAAACTATTCATGTCCTCTGTTCTTCATTCATCACTACCTACACCGACACACGTTATCTTAGTTAATATTTTTGGTAGTGTAAAGACTGTTCTCATTCTCTGTTCTTCATTCATCACTACCTACACTGACACATGTGTTATCTTAGTTTATATTTTACGTAGAGTGTATAACGACTTTTCTCATTTTCTATTGTTTATTCATCACTACCTTTACAATGACTAACGTTAATCTTTATAGTTTAAGTAAGATTTAAAACAAACACATTACCAAATTCTTTTTCATTTCTTGTCATAGATCTGTGAGGAAAACTTTGGTTTGCAACAGAAATTAACTCTACCAGTTTGTCTTCAAATATGGTGGGAAGGTGCAATATTAATTCTGCATCCAACGGGTTTTCTCGAAGAAATTCGTTGACTAAACTCGAAATCATCTGCAAGAGCAAGACAATATGCATATTTTAAAAAACTTTTGATTAAGGCAAGCCTACAGTTTTTGCTTTTTGAATATACCTCAAATGCTTTAGGACGGCTTAAAGTAATGTTTTTCAAATCTTTCTTCAAGTAGTTGAGCTAAGACAAAGAATCATTATAAATTCGTGAACGTGGTATGAATACTAGAAAACATCAAGTAGTTGAGCTAAGACAAAGAATCATTATAAATTCGTCAAACGTTGTATGAATACTAGAAAACATCAACATCCATAAACGCAATTAGAAATTATAAAGTAAAAAATGGTCAAAAATGTCACTGTAAAAATCGTTCTAGCATCGGTCTAAATTATGAGCCTAAAGTGAGTAGTTTTACTAAGAATCATAATTATATAACATAAACATGAGAGGAAAAGTAATAAAGATATAGAGTTGACCCACCTACCTTCTCACGTGGAGAGCGTGTCTCTAAAAAGTTGAATGCAAAATAAACATTTTACATGCATGATGAAAACATTTTACATGCATGATGAAAACATGTTACATGCATGATGAAAACATGTTACATGCACGATAAAAACATTTTACATGCATGATTAAAACATGTTACATGCACGATAAAAACATTTTACATGCATGATGAAAACATGTTACATGCACGATGAAAACATTTTAAATGCATGATGAAAACATGTTACATGCACGATGAAAACATTTTACATGCATGATGAAAACATGTTACATGCACGATGAAAACATTTTAAATGCATGATGAAAACATGTTACATGCACGATGAAAACATTTTACATGCATGATGAAAACATGTTACATGCACGATGAAAACATGTTACATGCATGATGAAAACATGTTGCATGCATGATGAAAACATTTTACATGCATGATGAAAACATTTTACATGCATGATGAAAACATGTTACATGCACGATGAAAACATTTTACATGCATGATGAAAACATGTTGCATGCATGATGAAAACATGTTACATGCACGATGAAAACATTTTAAATGCATGATGAAAACATGTTACATGCACGATGAAAACATTTTACATGCATGATGAAAACATGTTACATGCATGATAAAACATGTTACATGCATGATGAAACATGTTACATGCACGATGAAAACATTTTACATGCATGATGAAAACATTTTACATGCATGATGAAAACATGTTACATGCATGATGAAAACATTTTACATGCACGATGAAAACATGTTACATGCACGATGAAAACATTTTACATGCATGATGAAAACATTTTACATGCATGATGAAAACATGTTACATGCATGATGAAAACACGATGTTTTACATGCATGATGAAAACATTTTACATGCATGATGAAAACATGATGAAACATGTTACATGCACGATGAAAACATTTACATGCATGATGAAAACATTTTACATGCATGATGAAAACATTTTACATGCATGATGAAAACATGTTACATGCATGATGAAAACATTTTACATGCATGATGAAAACATGTTACATGCATGAACTCATTAAATGAATACTTTGGGCTCCATTGTAACCTGTATACAATAGCAGAAAGAAGGCCTTTTCATCTTTTCAATCCTATGGTCGATACATCGTAGAGATGTGGTTATTATCATATCTTTAAATATGTAATTAAATAATACCTTTGGTTGTGAGGGTTGATAAAGTTGTAGACGGTTTTACTTTGCTTGTCGCTACAACAAAGATGAAATTTAACAAAAAATTAGACGTAAATAATATTCTACTTTAAAAAATCCTTGTCTGGTCACCTTTACTTGTAGCTAAAGTTGATAAATTCATTAAACTTTTTATTTCACTTGCTATGGTAGGAGTTATGATTGTACTTGTTCCAAAACTTTTTGATGACGATGAATAAGTTGACGATGGAGAAAAATCTAAAAAAGAATGATCTAAAACATTTACGTCTTACATCATATATTCATGAAAACATGTTACATGCATGATGAAAACATGTTACATGCACGATAAAAACATTTTACATGCATGATGAAAACATGTTACATGCACGATGAAAACATTTTACATGCATGATGAAAACATGTTACATGCACGATGAAAACATTTTAAATGCATGATGAAAACATGTTACATGCACGATGAAAAAATTTTAAATGCATGATGAAAACATGTTACATGCACGATGAAAACATTTTAAATGCATGATGAAAACATGTTACATGCATGATGAAAACATTTTAAATGCATGATGAAAACATGTTACATGCACGATGAAAACATTTTACATGCATGATGAAAACATGTTACATGCATGATGAAAACATGTTACATGCATGATGAAAACATGTTACATGCACGATGAAAACATTTTACATGATGAAAAACATTTTACATGCATGATGAAAACATGTTACATGCATGATGAAAACATTTTACATGCATGATGAAAACATGTTACATGCACGATGAAAACATTTTACATGCATGATGAAAACATTTTACATGCATGATGAAAACATGTTACATGCATGATGAAAACATGTTACATGCACGATGAAAACATTTTACATGCATGATGAAAACATTTTACATGCATGATGAAAACATGTTACATGCATGATGAAAACATGTTACATGCACGATGAAAACATTTTACATGCATGATGAAAACATGTTACATGCATGATGAAAACATGTTGCATGCATGATGAAAACATGTTACATGCACGATGAAAACATTTTACATGCATGATGAAAACATTTTACATGCATGATGAAAACATGCATTTTACATGCATGATGAAAACATGTTACATGCACGATGAAAACATTTTACATGCATGATGAAAACATTTTACATGCATGATGAAAACATGTTACATGCATGATGAAAACATGTTACATGCACGATGAAAACATTTTACATGCATGATGAAAACATTTTACATGCATGATGAAAACATGTTACATGCATGATGAAAACATGTTACATGCACGATGAAAACATTTTACATGCATGATGAAAACATTTTACATGCATGATGAAAACATTTTACATGCATGATGAAAACATTTTACATGCATAATGAAAACATTTTACATGCATGATGAAAACATGTTACATGCATGAACTCGTTAAATGAATACTTTGGGCTCCATTGTAACCTGTATACAATAGCAGAAAGAAGGCCTTTTCATCTTTTCAATCCTATGGTCGATACATCGTAGAGATGTGGTTATTATCATATCTTTAAATATGTAATTAAATAATACCTTTGGTTGTGAGGGTTGATAAAGTTGTAGACGGTTTTACTTTGCTTGTCGCTACAACAAAGATGAAATTTAACAAAAAATTAGACGTAAATAATATTCTACTTTAAAAAATCCTTGTCTGGTCACCTTTACTTGTAGCTAAAGTTGATAAATTCATTAAACTTTTTATTTCACTTGCTATGGTAGGAGTTATGATTGTACTTGTTCCAAAACTTTTTGATGACGATGAATAAGTTGACGATGGAGAAAAATCTAAAAAAGAATGATCTAAAACATTTACGTCTTACATCATATATTCATGAAAACATGTTACATGCATGATGAAAACATGTTACATGCACGATAAAACATTTTACATGCATGATGAAAACATGTTACATGCACGATGAAAACATTTTACATGCATGATGAAACATGTTACATGCACGATGAAAACATTTTAAATGCATGATGAAAACATGTTACATGCACGATGAAAATTTTAAATGCATGATGAAAACATGTTACATGCACGATGAAAACATTTTAAATGCATGATGAAAACATGTTACATGCATGATGAAAACATTTTACATGCATGATGAAAACATGTTGCATGCATGATAAAAACATTTTACATGCATGATGAAAACATGTTACATGCACGATGAAAAACATTTTACATGCATGATGAAAACATGTTACATGCACGATGAAAACATTTTAAATGCATGATGAAAACATGTTACATGCACGATGAAAAAATTTTAAATGCATGATGAAAACATGTTACATGCATGATGAAAACATTTTACATGCATGATGAAAACATTTTAAATGCATGATGAAAACATGTTACATGCACGATGAAAACATTTTAAATGCATGATGAAAACATGTTACATGCACGATGAAAACATTTTAAATGCATGATGAAAACATGTTACATGCACGATGAAAACATTTTAAATGCATGAAAACATTTTACATGCACGATGAAAACATTTTACATGCACGATAAAAACATTTTACATGCATCATGAAAACATGTTACATGCATGAACTCGTTAAATGAATACTTTGGGCTCCATTGTAACCTGTATACAATAGCAGAAAGAAGGCCTTTTCATCTTTTCAATCCTATGGTCGATACATCGTAGAGATGTGGTTATTATCATATCTTTAAATATGTAATTAAATAATACCTTTGGTTGTGAGGGTTGATAAAGTTGTAGACGGTTTTACTTTGCTTGTCGCTACAACAAAGATGAAATTCAACAAAAAATTAGACGTAAATAAAATTCTACTTTAAAAATCCTTGTCTGGTCACCTTTACTTGTAGCTAAAGTTGATAAATTCATTGAACTTTTTATTTCAGTTGCTGTGGTAGGAGTTATGATTGTACTTGTTCCAAAACTTTTTGATGACGGTGAATAAGTTGACGATGGAGAAAAATCTAAAAAAGAATGATCTAAAACATTTACGTCTTCAACATAATCATTTTAGAAATGTAATGCCACAAAAAGATATAGAAGTAGCAATAGATTGAAAGTGTACTCGAACTTTAGCAATTTAAATACTAGTAATAAAAAAATGCAAAAACGACTATAATAATTTTTTTCAATATAAATTTTGCTTTCAAAGCAAATTTTCATATTTGAAAGGAGTTGCTTGCATTTATAAAGTTGCTTGCATTTATAAAGTTGCTTGCATTTATTGGGGTTAAGGAAGTAATTTTTCCTCCCATTGCTGCGTGCTTGAGTTTTACAACTGTATCAGTTTTAAATCTCTATTAGTGATCGCTCGTTTCCACACTTTTAACTGTAGATCTCAGTCATTGTGTCATTGAACATTTGAAGTCTACAACATTTCCAGCGACGAATCTGTAACAACTCCTTAATGGAGTAATGTTAAGATACAATATAAGTCAGAAACGTTATCTGCTTCTTATTTCTTTTTTATTTTCAAGAAATAATAATGTCATCCGAAGTTTACCAGTCCCTTTCGTTAATGCTTTTTGCCAAGAATCAAGACTTTTCAGATCAATTCTTCAAGTGCATTCTTTTTTAAGGCCACTGGGCTGTGCATTACAATATGGTTTTTCCGCGATATCTTCTTCTTTCAATGAAGAGCAACTTTTACCGATGTTCTTCGTCCTGCCAACTGATTTCCCCGATACAGAACTGTTGTACGTTTCACTCATTAAACTTTATTGTAGTTTAAGAACTTTTAGGTTTCCATATAGATCTATCTGACTTTGTCGATGTCCTCTCTCTGCGCTTAATATATATAGTTTACACCTTTTATCCCTGTTAGACATTACATAGTGACGTATGCCCAAACTAACACAACTTTCCATAATTTATCATCGGTAATACTTCCATTTTTCGTGGTATGTTATCGTATCACCATGCAAGTTTGGGAAGTCACATGTTTCTTTATCTGTGTATTGCCAACGACAATTAAGAAACATATACGGCACCATGCATTATCGATAGTTATACCAGCTGTATATTACCTGAAACAAAATATGAACGGTTCATTAACAGTTTTGAGGACCTCTGTTTTAAAAGTTGTTTATAATGTATGTTTCAAAAACATAAAGATGAGCTGTTTTTGACCAGTTGATGCGTTTATTTAACGATTTAGAGAGAAATCATGAACCAACATTGAAATAAATATCATAATTATCACTTTCTATAAAACACGGTAGTAAAACATGAATAAGTTTTTCGTGGTACGAGCAAGCAAATTTTTGTTTTGAGTAAGCACATCTTATACATTGAATTGTCAAATCAAGTGAAGGGGTGAAAAGTTGGTTAAAACAACATTTTCAGATCCAATACATCAACGAAACGAACAAAATTGTATTTTAAACATATTTTAAAATGCATATGGTTTTCCTACCTTAATTTAACGCCATTCGCGAGGTACAACTTCAGGTTTTATATAGTGCAATAATACAATGTAGCTCCTTAGCACAATTTTTGATAATTCATTTGTGTGATCTTTTCAAGTCATAACAATCCTCATTTTATCGTCAACATACACTTAAACATTGTTGCATAAATATGCAATATTACAATTGCTACAAAAAAATTGATCTTTGTAGCTGATATAGTATAATTCTTTGTGACAAATGTTCATAAAACACATCTTTCTTTCTCTCGACAAACGATATATTATCACGATAAAATTTTTAAGATATATTTTGTGTTGGGAGCATCTGCAAAATCCAAGCAAAAACATAAAAAAGACACCGAATATCATGATACATAAGTTCACGAATACATGAAATAAGAATAATAAAAAAAGGCTACCATGCAAATGGCATTTTTATAGAGTGAAATAACTCGTAAAAGTATAAAACAATTATAAGCTTGCAATGAAAAATATTTCGTAAGTTGAAAAACTTTAAAAACATCTCATCAGGATGGTTCGCCACCTGCATAAAATTTTTTAAATACTTATTAAATTTGGTTCTAGAACAAAAATAAATTTTATGGAATTTGTGGCAAAGTATTCGTGGCCTTAGCAGTAGTAGAACTTACCATCAAGTGATTCATGAATGACAAACCTATAGTGAAAAACGCGCATTCCATGGCATGGCTCGATTAGAAATGTCGCATTTCTGCAATGAAACATCGCACACGAACCATAGTTCGTATTGTGACTTTCCTGCTGAGATTTGTTTGGGAAAAATTTGTAAATACAACTGCACGCATTGGTTTGCGCACTAGATAATTTGCAAGTTTGGTTGTATCCTGCCGCGTGGTCGCTCAAAGTCCCATTGAACTTGTTGCAACAATTTGAGAACTTTTCCTTGATTTTTCTGAGGTTTTTAAACCTACAAACAACAGTTAATCATTTCAGTTTCTACTCTATGCATCGCAATTTCTTGTTCTTGTTGTTTAAATATCACAAACGTTATTTAAAATTTAAACACATTTTTTGTGCAAACTGAATAAGCAAAATAAAATACTTACATGGTTGACATGAACAATCGTGTACAAAAGAAAAACACGATAAAACAAAAAAGACATTCATCTTCGTCATCGTTTTTTCCCTTAAAGTGTGTTACATCCATCTGCATCTTCCTGCATGCGTGTGAAGCATTACTCTCACGATTTACATATCTATAGCCTAAAATATGTCAGAACAACTCACATTAAGTTCAGACATTCATCAAGCAAGCAAATAACATTAAGAATTAATATTAATAGCCATCTGTCTCACGCTATGAATAGAAAATATTTTTATCACCTAATATATTATGTAGTGAAATGCTTTAACTTTCTTTAACTATTGTTTTTCTTCTTTTGTATGTAGCTGTACAAAAAGAAGGTGAGCATTGCGTTGTGTGTGGTACTCTTCTCTACAATGATTCAATGCAAGCACATGCAAGTTATTGCTTTAAGTGTATTCTGTTTTTAATTTATAAGGATGTATCGTTGCTATAGAGTGTTAAAGAGGTTGCTATAGAGGTTAAAAGATATGACGAATGCAACGACAACATTTATAAATAAAATTGATCAGGGAAAAAAATGGTGTTCAAGAATTAATACTTACACTTCGCTCAATGATTCAGTGAATTTGACGCAAAGTATGCTTTTTTGACATTTCCTCCACGATTCAAAAAAACTGAGGACGAACTACCCAACAAAGTAATACAAGATGTCGCTATATAAATATTGCATTTATGTTGAGTAAAAAAGTCAACACACACGCAAACAGTAATTAAAGATCAATTTAACTTCATTAGAGATGATGCTTTTAATTCTTACCTTCAAATCTAAAGTGAAGACCAGATAATTCTATTCAGGCGAGTTATTCTCTTGAAAATTACAGCCATGACATACCATTTATAATGTGAAGCATATGTTAAATGTATAGAATTCTATCTCATGAAGTTCGACTTAACTATCTTGACAAGTCTGCACGAACAAATTGCAACTCAAATACTTGCTATCACTATACTACAAAGTATAGAAATTTTTTGAGAAATTTCTATTATAAAAGGTACGAAAATTTTAGGTTATTTTCAATTGAAAATCACCCAAATTTTCTTTATCCGCATATGCAACCGTAACATACAATAAAATGAATAATTAATCAACATTTATAAGGAAAGGCAACCATATATATACACATTATTTATAACCGTACATCCTGTGTCCCAATTGCAGGAGTCACCATTTTACTATGGTGATTGCCGGGAGGGCACATTGTAATACACTTTGTACATTATTTATAATACGTACATTGTGTATTATTCAATGCATGAGCACAGCAGTTGTCGTGAAATATCTGATAAGTTTGCTTTTACGTTTTTTGTGGCTTTATTCATGCCATTAATATAACCATTACTACATCAAACAGGTCGTAGACATTGACAACGCAGCACGCACTTAATATTTGCAGCTTCTGACAAGCTAATTCTCCTTAATATTGCGAGCACATACGCAGAAGTATGTGATCGTGAAAATGACTTTTGCTTTTTGTTCCTTAAATTATATTTACTTTCTGTTTTTTTGGTCAGGATGTTTTCTTTGCGCCCTAAGGTATTCATGCTCTCTATTTCCTAAGATATTCATGCTCTCTTCTTCCTAAGATATTCATGTTCTCTATATCCTAAGGTATTCATGTTCTCTTTTTCCTAAGATATTTATGTTCTCTATTTTCTAAGGTATTCATGTTTGTCTGTTTCTTAAGATATTCATCTTCTCTATTTTCTAGTGTGGAGCAAATGTTAAATGTATAGAATTCTATCTAATGAAGTTTCACTTAACAATCTTGACAAGTCTGCATAAACAAATGGCAAACTCAAATATTTGCTTTCGCTATACTACAAAGTAAAGAAATTTTATGAGAAATCTCTTTTTCCTAAGATATTCATGTTCTCTATTTCCTAAGGTATTCATGTTCTCTTTTTCCTAAGAAATTCGTGTTCTCTGTTTTCTAAGATATTTATGTTTTCTGTATCATAAGATCTTCATGTTCTCTGTTTCATAAAATATTCATGTTTTCTATTTTCTGAGAAATTCATGTTCGCTGTTTCCTAAGATATTTATGTTTTCTGTTTCCTAAGGTATTCATGCTCAATGTTTCCAAAGACATTTATGTTTTCTGTATCATAAGATATTCATGTTTTCTATTTTCTAAGAAATTTATGTTCTCTGTTTTCTAAGATATTCATGTTTTCTGTATCATAAGATATTCATATTGTTTGTATCATAAGATATTCATTTTTTCTATTTCCTAAGAAATTTATGTTCTCTGTTTTCTAAGATATTTATGTTTTCTGTATCATAAGATGTTCGTGTTTTCTATTTTCTAAGAAATTTATGTTCTCTGTTTTCTAAGATATTTATGTTTTCTGTATCATAAGTTATTCATATTGTTTGTATCATAAGATATTCATGTTTTCTATTTCCTAAGAAATTTATGTTCTCTGTTTTCTAAGACATTTATGTTTTCTGTATCATAAGATATTCATGTTTTCTATTTTCTAAGAAATTTATGTTCTCTGTTTTCTAAGATATTTATGTTTTCTGTATCATAAGATATACATATTGTTTGTATCATAAGATATTCATGTTTTCTATTTCCTAAGAAATTCATGTTCTCTGTTTCCTAAGATATTTATGTTTTCTGTTTCCTAAGATATTCATGCTCAATGTTTCCAAAGAAATTCATGTTCTCTGTTTTCTAAGATATTCATGTTTTGTATTTCCTAAGAAATTTATGTTCTCTATTTTCTAAGATATTTATGTTTTCTGTATCATAAGATATTCATGTTTTCTATTTCCTAAGATATTTATGTTTTCTGCGTATCTATATCTACGACGTGTAAAATAGCGTTTCCGTCTGAGAAACAGATGTTTTAATTTGATCATGTTTTAAATATTTTGTCTTAGTGATTTGATTTAAACAAATACATAAACAAGTCATAGATGATACCTTCATTTAAAAAACTGGTCGTTTTCCAATCTTTACTTGTGGTCAAAGACAATAAAGTTGTCGCTATGGTAATAATAAAATTTGATGAGAATTTAGATGTTGATAAAATTTTACTCAAAAATCGTTGTTTGTTCACCTTTAATTGTAGCTAAAGTTGACGAATCCTTGGAACGTTTTATTTCTGTGGTTATGGTAGGAGTTCTCGTTCTTGTTGACTGAAAAGTTTTTGATGACGGTGATAGAGTTGACGATGGAAAAGAATCTGGAAAAGAAATATAAATTTTTGTTAACGAAAGTTTTCCATATTCTCTCCCCCATATTGCAGCAGCTCTGTAATACAGATATCAAAAAAGACAAAGATAAATAAAATACATAAGAACAGCAGCTAACTCCAAATAACGTAAGCATTTTGATTTAACGTTTCAACTTTATTTAAAAATCATCAGGAATGATTTTATTACATGTATGTGCAGTACCAAAGCAGGTTCCTTAAAGCTTCTGGAGCAATTTATTTTGCAACTTATTAGCTACATTAAAACTTCACATTGGCAGAACTGTCCTTTCATCTCATGATGAAAGTTCTTATGTGGTGAGCCCACTTACAACTTTAAAATTTGCAAAACTTTTCTTTCGGAAATACACGACTGACGCAAACTTTTCTTTCTGAAAAACACGACTGACGCACTTTTCTTATTTAAGGTTCGAAGGAAATCGTTATTAATCACAACGATGATAACATTGAAAAATTCGCTTTCGGATTTGAAGAAGAATGAACTCTCTGTTCGTCGTCGGAAAAATCATCATATCAAAAAATCATTTTTAAAAACCTTATATTATGTTAACAAACATCGTTTCACTGGGCAACAACAAGTACTGCTGGATCTTTTCCTCAGAAACTCAGATTAAAACTTTCAAATTAAGAACTCATTCGCTAAATTTGAAACTACAGTAAAATACGGGTTATCAATAAATTTTGCGCATGTACACAATTTTGATGTCTCTGTTGTCCTTCTATTTTAGTTAAATTCACCCGTGAAATAAGGAAAACAACGCCATATATATAGTTATGGAAAGATTTGCACTTTAAATCAATGTGCAATATGTGTGTGTTCGTTCAATCTATGGTGCTTATATCAGTTTGAAACTAAAAAAACGACCGCATAGCGTTGATAGCAACACGAAAAATACATAATTAATTAAACCAATTAAAGCCAATCCACTCTTTGAGTTAAACTGAGTTGAACCTTTATGACAAGAACACCATTTCAATACGTCCAGCCGTCTTGCTAATGCTGAAAAATTTACAAGCACAAAAACAAAATAGTTATAAGAAAGAATTGATTATACAGTAAAAATAAGAAAATAATGAAACTGATACTTGCCAACGTGCAAATAGCTATAGCTATGCTACATGTCATGTATCACTTTTATTGTCGTTATAATTTGTATATGCATGAAAAGCAAATACTCAACAGAATATTTAGCAGAACATTTTAGAGATATTTTCAAATATATATGATACTATACTGCAGTAATAAAATAGTTTTCTAAAAAGAGTTTCTACCTGTACACCTTTTGAAGGCCGATACGGTTGCCGATCTGCTTTTGCAATGGTCTTCACAAAATTTTTCAGAACGTTCATAATTATTAAAGTTCCCTTTTGCAAATTTACAGCATACTCTGGCTCTGCCATGATCACAATCTTAAAAAAACCATAGAAACACAACTGCTATGAAAAAGAATTAATCATAGTAAATATAAATAAATGCAGAAACAAGAAAATTTAATTAACTATTGTCATCATGCATAGTTATTTTGCAAGTCATGTATCAGTTTCACTGTCAACTGGACAATGGTAATATACAAATATTGCAATCATTCAAAAGACCCACCTTCGTCTTCCGTCCAACCTCTGAAAGTAGCACAGCATTGTTGGATATTTACATCACCGTTATCTTAAACATAAGTATAGAGATAGAATCTTTGCAAGAAAGAAATTAATACAGTTAATGTAAATAAAAGCAAAACATAATTAAACAAGTATTTGTAATACTGCATAGTTATGCTTCATGTCATGTATCAATTTTGTCTTTACTGGACAGTGATAATATAAAAAAATGCAATCTGGTGATGTATAATTTTCTGCAACATTATTCGTATAGTAGAAATAAACAATTAATTATAGTAAATATATATAAACAACGCTGCATTTTTATAAGAAACAACGAACTGTCATGCATGCATAGCTATATTTCATGTCAACTATCCGTTACTCCGTGCATGTAATATTAAATACAGAAATGTCAATCCTACTGGAATTAATGCTTATCAACTACTGAACTTTTCTGTACTTTAAAAATCGAGAAATTTTCAACAAACTTTTTCTACCTGCACATATTTCTGCATCTTTGAAAAAAACAGACAAAACAAACAGAAGATACACCAAAAAATTCATGATAAAGCTTCGACAAAACAGCGTCAATCAACAGTCACTATATAAATTTAAAAAGGCCAGTATCAAGAGGAGAATGAACAATTAATATCAGTTGTAAATGTAGCATGTATAACATAAAAATAAAACTGCATCAAAAGTGCTAAAACTTTCTTTTGTGACATGTTTGTACGTGAAATTAAAGTCTGTACGTGAATTAGGAGACTTTTCATTTACTATAGCTACAAATTAAACTTTCGTGTCATCAGTACTTAGCTACATGTGAAAATATGCTACTTTAAACAACTTTACATAAAATGACAAGTATTAGCTAGAATACGGATAAAATAGCACGCAAAATATATTAAAATATTACCGTAGCAATACTCATGACCTAAGTGGCATTAGGAGTAAATCATTAAGTGTTTGACAGATGCATGGAATATTGTATGGATGTTGTCTTAAAGGAACCCTTTTATGACTTGGATATTGCACGCATTAATAAAAATCCTCGGAAGTGATGAACTCATTGTAGCTTCTTTTCGTTAAAACGAAAAAATAATTCAAAAGAAACACGTTTTCAATAAAGAGAATAATCGAAGTAAAATACTTACGCAAACTAATATGTATAGATATAGGAAAAGAAAGATAAAAGAAAAATATTCTTATCTTCTTCAAAATTTTGACTTTCTTTGCAACAGTCATGCACATCTGGAGTGTTTATGCGTACATGAAGCCACTTACATAGTTTCATCAAACTTTCATGACGTTAAAATATTTACCATATATAGAAAGCCACCTGGTTAATTGACACATTTAGATATTATTCTTATCAAGTGTTATTTAGTCGATCACGACATCTACTTTAGACTTTTCTCGAAGCAAAAAAAGCAAAAAACTAAAAAAGAGCATAAGAGAACATATAGGGATTTTGCATGTATTTTCAATTTAAAAAGAATCAATATAAACAAGAAAAAATTTGAGTAATTTTTATTCATGGCGTTTTTACCTTACGCTCACCTTACGCTTACGTACGCCAGAAAAAATTTTGACGATTGCTATGAATATAAGCAAAGTACATGCATGAAAAGTGTGAATATAAGTAAGAATATTAATCAGGGAAAAACGCTCAACGAATACTTCAATCCAGTCAAAAATAAAGGAGGATTGCTTTATTGTTTAAAATATACGATGTCGATAGTAGAAAAAATGCCAAGTGTTAATGTAATGAGCTTTCCCATTAATTGACTTCAAAATATAAAAGACGCAAATCACATTAATATTGATGCAAAAAAATGAAAAAAAACAAACACACTAGCTCTAACTGTTGCCACTTGGCAATTTGTGTCAATTCAACTCTATGCTTTTCATCGAAAACAATGATCATATTCTTACCTTTAAAACAAGAAAGAAAACCAGATAGTTAAATAAAGAAAAAATATTCACTTGGCCCAAAAAAACGTGAAACGCTGCATGAAACTGGATCTTGATAAAACGTAAAATTGAAGAATGTAAAATGAGCAACGTTGATGTTATAAATGTATAACGTCTGTATATGAAAAGCAATAAAAAATACAAATAAAAACGTACCTTTCATATGGAATATGTGATGAAAAACATAAGAAACAGAAACAGAATAAAAGCCACTGGATGCCAATAAATAACGACAGCCATCATGTAATGATCAATTATCATTAACTATATATTTATCATTTTGTTAACATCTTGTACTTCAAACAAACATAAACTAATAAACATTTTCCTTCTTTCACGAAAGCCTGATCTTATGTGCAAATGGACAGAAAAATACAATAGTAAGAAATTTTTAAGGGCAGTAAAAATGGTCAAAACTTTTTTATGATAAAAACCATGATTTAGTTCGTTTCTTGAGGCAAACGTTTATTATAATTGATGATCTAGTAGCTGTATGTTTTCGTAATGCAATCCCTAAGTACTCGTGTTGTCTAAGAAATTCGTGTTTTATACATGTTTTCTTTTACCTAAAATATTTATGTTCTCTACTTCCTAAGATATCCATGTTCAGTGTTTCCTAAGATATTCAGGTTCTCCGTTTTCAAAGATATTCATGTTTTTTGCTTCATATTATATTCATGTTCTCTGTTTCCTAAGATATTCATGTTCTCTGTTTTCTAAGATATTCATGTTCTCTGTTTTCTAAGATATTCATGTTCTCTATTTCCTAAGATATTCAAGTTCTCTGTTACCTAAAATATTTATGTTCTCTACTTCCTAAGATATTCATTTTCAGTGTTTCCTAAGATATTCAGGTTCTCCGTTTTCAAAGATATTCATGTTTTTTGATTCATACTATATTCATGTTCTCTGTTTCCTAAGATATTCATGTTCTCTGTTTCCTAAGATATTCATGTTCTCTGTTTTTAAGATATTCATGTTCTCTGTTTTCTAAGATATTCATGTTCTCTATTTCCTAAGATATTCAAGTTCTCTGTTACCTAAAATATTTATGTTCTCTACTTCCTAAGATATTCATGTTCAGTGTTTCCTAAGATATTCAGGTTCTCCGTTTTCAAAGATATTCATGTTTTTTGCTTCATACTATATTCATGTTCTCTGTTTCCTAAGATATTCATGTTCTCTGTTTCCTAAGATATTCATGTTCTCTGTTTCCTAAGATATTCATGTTCTCTGTTTTCTAAGATATTCATGTTCTCTGTTTTCTAAGATATTCATGTTCTCTATTTCCTAAGATATTCAAGTTCTCTGTTACCTAAAATATTTATGTTCTCTACTTCCTAAGATATTCATGTTCAGTGTTTCCTAAGATATTCAGGTTCTCCGTTTTCAAAGATATTCATGTTTTTTGCTTCATACTATATTCATGTTCTCTGTTTCCTAAGATATTCATGTTCTCTGTTTCCTAAGATATTCATGTTCTCTGTTTTCTAAGATATTCATGTTCTCTATTTCCTAAGATATTCATGTTCTCTGTTTCCTAAGATATTCATGTTCTCTATTTCTTAAGATATTCATGTTTTCTGTTTCCTAAGATATTCAGGTTCTCTGTTTTTTTTAAGGTATTCGTTTTCTACGTTTCTTAAGTTAGTGGATTTCTCTAGACTACAACCTGCACGTAAGATACTTATAACTACTGCAATAATTGCAGGCACGTGACAAATGTCTTCGCGAACGCATTGTCCATCCAGTGTAAAGTTGGATTGACGACTAATTAATCACAGTAGATGCACGCAAGTAGATTTTTTTACAAAAAATTTAGCTTTCTTTGCAAGTAAAGAGCAAATTAATCAATATATGGGAAAGCTGTCAATGACATCTTAGTCAAATAAACCCGCTCTTTCAGTTCTAAAATTCACCTCATTATTACGGAAGACAGAATGTATAGATTATAGTTTATAATCTTTTGCTGCACACGTTTCCAGAGTTTAGGAGTGACGTGTGCTCCGATGACGTATTTTTTGATCTAAGGTTTTAGCTACATGTAGTTGACACAAGCTAATCATTAAATCGGAATTTACAAAGGAGACATGAGGTTAGTGAGAAACATCATTCTAAATTTATTTCTTTAATCTTACCGATAGCAAGACTTGGCGAGTAAACAGAAAAACCAGAATGATTTCCAGTTTGACATATGAAAGGTCTACGAGCCAAACAAGACGTAAGAGTCAAGACACCGTAACCATTGATCACCACACAACGATTTAAGAGAAGATTTTTTGTAACAAAGCTCTTCGTCTTTGAAATCGCAAATGTTGAATCACTTCCATCACTAAATACCCACAAATTAATGTACTTAAGTCCAGTCCAATAAGAGCGATCTTTGTCAGGCATTGTTTTAATCATCTCTTCAACATCTTCCTGACTTGAGAAACTAGCAAGATCACCAGTAGTATGGGACTGTCGACAGTACATTCTCGCACTCCATCGTATCTTTATGTCTCTGTAGGTGTGATAGCGATCACCTATGAGGAGATGAAATTATAACACCTGGCAAGTATCAACTTTGCCGACAACTGAACACAAAACATGAATTTAATCGTAGATATTTTAGTATACTTTACTTCATAAGACAAAGAAGAGAAATGTTTTTAGAGCTATGAAGACTTTTTTCAGTCAAACGAAGTTAAACAGATAAAGAATACTAAGACAACGTCCACTGTTCTTGTTATCTCAATCCATTTGTTTGTTGAGTCCTCGATATCGCATATAATGTTATATCCACCCATTGAGTGTTCTCCACTTGATTATTTTCATCACCGAGTATTTGCCATTTGAGTATAATCACTATATCAACCATGGTGAAATATTTATGGACCTTAATCTACTGTTTCTTACACTTGAGCTCAATCAACATAATACTGTTGTTTAGAATTATAATATTGCTGAATGGTAATTAGGCCAGCCAAAAATTTTATTTAGGTCAAACTGTCCTTCAAAAATGCTTGCTAGAAAAAGAATCCGGCTAAACTGTTTAATTTAATTAGATGACCCAGTACATTACGATGAAATTGACACGAGTCACACGACCCAAGGCAACCTGCTGTACAAGTGAAACACTCCAAGAACGCTGCTATATTAATTAGGTACTACTAGCACATAGGTGTTAAAGTCACATGACCATTCTTTCTTGCTGTATAAGTGTAAATTGCATTACAAGTTTGAAATCCTGTTAAACACAAGACCTCGGTGTACTTCTGGCACATATGAGATTAAGCAGTAAGCAGTAGAACTTTACAAATACATTTCAGTAGGCTGTACTTTTACAAAACTTACTTGTCACAAGTTTGCTCCGAACAAGCATCAAAATAATGATTTTTTCTAAAACATTTGTTCGTTTTAGACTGGAAACGATAGACCTTTCAAAGAAAAAACGAGTAAATAATAGTAAATAGGACAAAGAAATGCGTCCAAAAGAAAACCGAACAAAGTTTTTGAAAACCTCACACGATCTATTAAATGAAAACGAAAACAGGCATAGAGCGATTGCAGCTCATTTCATGTTATATAATGTCATTAACAACGATTGAAAGCGCATACGCAACAGATAAGATAAATTAAGACAGATGTTTTCAATGACAAAACATAAATCATCTTTTAGAAACGTTTACCAGATAAAATGCGAGAAACATTGCTTTCTAATAGGGTTAAAACGTTAAACATTGAGACGAGAGCTTTACATACTAGCCAATCACCAAATACATGTTAGAGAATGGCCATCAAAAATATTTTCACTTTGCAAGAATATATAAGGGAATATTATATTTTCGAATTTACTGAAATGCTGTCAAGGATAATCAGAAGCTTCATTCAACAAGATAGTTTACGAGAGTGAAAGACTTAGTAATTTTCGTGTTTTCCCATCTTAATGAGATACAAAAAAATGAGCTATTAAGGTGATGACACATATAGTGAATGAAAAAGACCTCACCGTACAAATTGTGAGTAGTACATATCCAACGTCCAGTACATGGTTAACACTTCACTCAAACATAACCGTCACCAGAATAGCATGTGCTAGTTGTATCATTAAATATTTAAATAAAGGCGATATGTATCGGGAACCCTTTTAAGTTGTCGGCAAATGAAAAATTTATCATAATTTTTAAAAATGTTGCTATGCTTTTGTACAATTTACATATATATTAACAGAGATGAATGCTCGATAGGATTTCAACAAAAGAAATAATCTTTAAGTATATTGTGCAAGTCTTCCACCGCTGTATCATTTCCCATACAATATTGTGACATAAAGTTAAAAGAGATTTTACCTAATTCATAAAAGTCAACCACGTCTATCTTTAATTAAATACGATTGTAAAAAATATCAATTAAACAGTTTGAAAAGCTCACAATTAGACAATAAAAAATAACTTACATTTTTGGGAAAAGCATTGGCGGAATTTGATAAATTCTAGGGCTAGGAGTCAGCTCGGGGCTGAGCATCAACATCTTCAGGCGAATCAAGAGCATGCCTCTTCCCCCCTGAATCGCAATTGCAGCATTTTGAAGGCATTTTGTTGGAGTGTGTTGAAAATGCTAAGCACAAAACCGTGCAATGCAGACAGTGAATATGAAGAAAATGCTAAACATAAAACCGTGCTATTCAGACTGTGAAGATGAAGAGTTATTTAATCTTTGGCAATTATCGATGGCAGCGCAAAGCGAAACATTTTTAAAACATCGCATTCAATTCATGAATATATTCACTTTTGAAAATAGTCAAAATACTATCTAAAACAAAAACTTTTCCGAGTAAATTTTAATATTTGGAAATGCATTACTAACAGCATTAAGGTGATTTTAGCTATTTTCAATTAAGCCACTATAAATCATTTTGACGTCGAACATGCTCCTAAATGACGGCATAAGTGCGCTAATGCAACGTTTTTGTGGCAATTCACACGCAATTCTGCATGTCTTCCAAATAAGGAGATGTAAAGTCTGATAAAATTGAAAATTATAAGTTTATGCAGTCAATTATCAAACAACCAGTGTGCGAATTAACGGTGTGCAATGTGCAATTTGCACATCGTTTTAGCTAAAATGAAAACGATTGCACATCACTTTTTCAAACGATGTGCAAAAATTAACGGTTCTAACGAAAAACACTGTCGTAAATCATATGAATTTGTTCACGTTTAAAAATATTAATTTAGCAATTAGCGCTGTGTAATAAGTAACGTAATATCGATTTGATTATACCTCTAAAGAAACACTTTTGTAAAAAAAATTGCACATCGTTTTTTCTGAACTAATTCGCACACTGCAAACAACCAACTTAATATGAATTTTTGTTCAAGTAACAGGGAGGCAGAAGATGGATAATTGAGGGGGAACGCATTTATATTGCACAATCATTATCGCAATTGTTTCAAGTGAAACTAATCAAGTAGAACATCCTTATAAGAATATTGCCTCCCCTCCCCACCTTCTCAATATTCAATTTTCTGCAGCTGCCAATTCCATAAAAATGCCAAACGGCTGAGAAATGTCAGGGGTAGCAGTTCAGTCTTTGTTGTAAATGCTCTGATTAATGTCAACATAACATTGTTGAGAAAATAAAACAACAAACAGATTTTTTCAAAACTTCTTTCTCACATTTTTCAAGTAAAAACATTGTCTTGGCAATTAGTGATCGGAGATGATTCAACCAATTTCACACAAAGGAACTTATTATGAAAACCATGTAACTACCTTTATTTTTATATCTGTAATTTTTCCTGTAGCAATGCAAGGGCAGTTTCTAGCACCATAACTCTTGCATTTAACTTTGAATTCAAAACAACCAATTCTTCAATGCGATCATTTTTGTATTTTGCATCTTCTTCAAGTGATTTTAATTGCTTTGCTTGCATTCTCATAGTATCAACAATTTCTTGGTCTTTATTTACTTCATACAAACATGTCTTGGTTCTTGAATCATTCTGATAATCATTTGCGATAGTGTAATGATATTTTGAATCTTGTGTGAAGACCGGATCACTTGCTTTTGCATTTTTGGCATGTCTTGTGAATGATTCTAAACTGTTGTTGATCGTTTGATCAATAACTGAATTAGGACAAACATTTTCTTTCATCATAAGACTAGTATTTTCACCATGTTCAGAGGAAGGTTTGCTCTTGGGAGATTCTAAGCTTTCACCAAGCTTCTGGAAAGGTTTTGGGACATGCTTCAAATGCTTTGATTCATTGGTGTCAATATCTGTTTTGGCAACAAGTCTTTCCATTTTTTCAAATCCCTTGCAATTCCCAGAGAATCCTCCAGGACTCCTTTCTACCTGAACTAAAATGTGTTTGTCAGGTTTGATGTCATCAGATTTATGAAAGCCACAAGGTTTATTATATTTCATACCTGTAACAATAATGATTTTCTTTCATCTATTGCTCTGATACTTAGTTCTAACCTCACAAATCAGTTCACCAATTTAACCATCATTCATTGATTTTAAAAAGTAAAAACAACTAAAAACATTGAGAAATTCAAACCTGCACTTGCTAGTTGCAAGTTTCTTCTTCTTTTTGGTTTTAAGTCATCATTCTTCTTTCGACAAATCACAATAACTGTCGTGAGTAGTTGCAGCTTGCGTTCCGCAAATCCGACAGAGAAAAACTGCTCTTTATTTAAAGGCAGTTTGGTGTTGAATTCATCCCGAATTATTTTATAAACAATAGACATAAAGTTTTTATCGCTTTTTGCAAGCAGTTCGTAGTCTTTGGCGAATAAATATTGTGTCAATTCGTTAGAAAACTCCGTCAAGATGAAGTGCAAAATAGGTAGGAAAGCAGAAGGTCTACCGATACTCAAACCCTCAATATCTAAAGTATTTTTATAGTTTATTTGCCTCAATTCCAAATGAAGTTTCCTGAGATTGTTCTTTAAGTCTCCAGTGGTCATTTTTACCTTTATAACGAGATATTTTGATTTTAACTAAAATAATTTTTAATTCTCAAAAATTTTCCGCCATTTTTCAAATACTGTACTCGTGGCAAGCCGCAAAAAACCGTAGTTTGTCGACCAATCAAATCTCATGGTGGCGGTACAATATGTAAATAGTTTCTTTATTGCATAAAAGTAAGTGTTTAATATAATCATCCAATAATCATTTTTTTATGGAAATATTATTCATGAACCATTTCAACGATGAAAAAACGTTAAACACTTTAAATACCAGAGAAAAAAATAATGGAACGTAATGTTAGAAATAAGAATAACAATGATGAAAAGGAGCAATTTAAAAAAAAGTGTGACTGTCATAAACCGAAGGGTCTCCATCATTTTAAATGCGTTCCACAACACTTGCAATTCAATAAATACGTACTCGAAGGCTACCGTATGAATCTCAGCACATGGGAGTGTATAAAGAGTTTGTTTTATTGGCACAACGAAACATTCAATATCTATTCGCATGGTGGGTGGCACATTATGTACGGAGAACTGCTTGTTATTAATTTTTAGGCCAGGAACGTGTTAGAAGTCGCTAATTTATTGCAAATTGCTACTCACAAAACGACACAAAAACCAACAAAATTTTCCATATTCATCAAAGACTCAGAAACCAAAGACAATTAAAATTTAATCTAAGATTTAATTCAATTTACGATTTTTTGTTTAAACACGTAAGAGATATTTATTATTTCTTCTTTCGTTACAGGTCTTGCTGCCTTAACTTTGTTGCTGATTAGTCCATATGTTTACAGTAAAGTTGCAATGTTACAATCTGATCCATATTTGTACCCAATTCACCATGTCACATGCATATCATGTTTCCTGCTTAGTGCTGTCTACCATCTTATGATGTGTCACAAGGGTGGACAGAAGGCTTACACTTGCTTCATCTTGCTCGATTATGTTGGTATATGGCTTGTCACTGCTTTATGTTGTATAACATTTGTGAAAGCAACATTCTTTTGTTTTCATCTTCTCCAATGGCCTTTTGTAGTCGCATATTTAACCATGACAATTGTCAGTTTTGTTTTAATAACAAAAGGATCCGATGCAAAATCCAGATTGAAGCCTCTCATAATGTTAGGAATGATTCGGTTATTCTGCTTGTATCCAATTCGATTGTTAATGGTATTTTTAGGGTATAAGACAGGCCCATTGACGACGCTTTATTACATGCTAGCCAATGAAATGGTTGGTCTAGTTGGGGCTCTTTTAAATGTGTCTCGTTTACCAGAAAAATACATTCAAGGGCGTTTTGACTACTGTTTTAACAGCCACAACATTATGCATCTAATAGTTTTGATTGCACCACCTATTTTGCATCTTGCTACCATTTTGGATTTGGAATGGATGCTGGAAACTGAGTGCGCACTTTGAACACGTTCAAAATTTTTGTAACTCAGCTATTAGATAAAACTTATATTGCTTAAAATCATTGTATACATATAGACTAACTTTTCTATTCATTATTCTGTAAAAAAATATTCTCATACAATTTGATATTTTTATGAATCATCTTCACTGTAGTCTGGTTTGATTTTCTTCCACCGAAACTGTCTCTTTCCACGATATTTCATTGGCAGCTTTATTCCTCTTTTTATTCTTTTTATGGAAAACATCGCAACGTTTTTACCGCAATCTCCCTGGTTACCATGATTTTCGCGTAAATCAATGTTGTCGCGCACAACTGTCGCTCCAATGTAAGCCCCAGCAATAATATTAGCCATTTCTTTGCAAACACTGTATTGCAGAAAAAATCATCAATGTGCGTCTCGCTTTAGCTGAATCGCGATGTTCTTTTGGCCTGCATTTTAGAACTTTTTTTTCCTTTTAATCTAAGCAGCCTTGCGGTCGTATTTACATCACGTACGATATTCGATATTCAATGTAAAAAACATTTAAGCCATGACGCACAAATAAGATTCGCAAATTTCGCATAAAACGAAAATTATCGTGTTATCTGCAAACTTAAACGTGGACAGCAACAACACGGCTCAAACCCGTCGTAAATTTTGTCAAGGTTCGTGTTACTGTGAAATAATTGAACCATTTATTTTATTTTAAAATGATATTTGATGAGTGTCAGTGCGCTGAATGGTGAGTCATACTATGACGTATATATGGCATTTACCAAAGGTCCAGAAAAATACTGTTTTATCAGTGGGTCGTTCAGTACAAGTGGTTAGTGAGAACCAGTTTGTAAAAAGGATTAATAGTTGTAAAGTATTACGATTAAAAAAACTATATGTTTTTTTAATTAAATATTTTAGCAGAGACAGACCTAAATAGGAAGTCATTTTTGAGGTTCTTAACTCAACTCTCTCACTTGATTCTACTCCAATTCCTTTCATCTTTATTCGTTATTTGTTTGTTCAACATTTTGGTTTTAGAGCACGACTTTGATTGATGCACTTTTCATGTTTCTCATTTGTCATGTTTCAAATGTGAAAGATATCGCTTCTTTCCCTACAAAATGCGAAAAACTTCAAACCCAGGCCAACCTTCAAATCCTACAAGGTAGATACATATAATTGCAATGACTGATATAAATTGATACAGGATAAACTAAATACTTGAAAACAAGCAAAGAGCTTTAGCAACGTTAAATTTTTCTAAGGAAGACATTGTTTGACCGTACAACCCGGAATAGCAAAGCAAATTTTTGCTTGCACTCAACAAAATTTCAATATCTTTTGAAGTTTGTAAAAAAACTTTAATTTGAAAAGTAAAGCTGGCCAGCGTTGCTTTATTTTTGCTCTCCACCATTTTCGATATTTTCGCTCAAAGCCTCAAAGGTACAGTGAGCTTTTCATAAAGAGAAAACAGCTCAAGAAAAAGACATGCCTTGTCTCTTCTAGCAATATTTCTATATCCTGTAGGTTTTCACTCAAAATTATTTAATATTTTGCTCTGAAAAGCGAAACGAAGTCAGTCGAAGGAAGTCCTCGTTGTAAAGATATTGACTTAAACATATGAGTTAAACTTTATTAGAGCTTTACGATGAGCTAAAGATCATCGCCGTAACCCTAGTAGTTTAGGAGTAGCACTGCGCATGCGCAAGCCAATTTCAGTGAGTGCGGTGAATGTAGTGACTCACTGAAAGCTATCATTTAAGTTCCTTTCAGAACTTTTTCTTGAAAAAAAATAGCAGTTCACGAATGAAAAACGTCTTTCTTTTCAAATCACAAATAGGTTAAGTAGTATCTGAATAAATAATGTGACATATTTTTTGATATTTTAAAAAAATTTCCTCACATTTGCAAAGATTTTGCAATTGTAGATGCACAAATGCTTTTCGAAAGTCATCTAATGTGGTTAACATCACTTCTTTATTTTTTCGCCGACCATGAACAATATAAACCTTGGACACCATGAATGGTTGTAAATATTCTAATCAGTGAACTGAACCTTCCTTGGTTTGCGAGACATTTAATCAATAATATCTCTGCGTGCGAGATATTGTGTTAACTTATGCATGTGTTAACTTACAAAAACAACATGCAAATCGTAAGTAAAGTTTTAATAATAGTAAGTCTCAGTTCATTTAACCATAGAAGAATTGGTTAAATTTTTCTCTTTATTTTTTAAATTGTTACGAATGATATTAGAAGACACTATTGGGTTGCGTCACTCAGCCCGCGTAGTTGTTCCAAGGTGAATAGTAGTTTGTGCAACATTGAGATGGACATTGAGTTGCGCATTGAGATTGACAAGTTGGTGGACAGTATACATCAACAGCTGGAGGTTGAGGAATCGTTGGAGGCGAAAAAGTTGTTGACGGTAGAGGAGTGGTTGGGAATGGAGTTGTTGTAAGAGGTGAGGAAGTGGTTGATGTGCAGCAGGTTGTCGGACATGTTGGGTCACAAGATGAAGGATTGCATTCACTGGGACAGGATTCAGAAGGAGCTGACGATGAAAACCGATTTAAAATATTTTTAGTTTTGATTTGTGTTAAAGCATTTTTATGGTTGATTCTGATTATAAATCGTTTATTATTAACATCATTTGTTACGTTTTTGTTAAGTTTAATAATTTTAATAATTAGATAAAAAAAGACAAATTCAGCTCAACACTACCACACAGAAAGAAAAATACAAATACAATACATGAGAATGTGGAATGTAAAATCTCCATCATACCTGCACAATGTTCTCCATTAAAGAAATGACCAGGAATACAGACACAAATTCCGTAAACGCATTTTGAATTCGAAGGACAGTCTGAACAGCCAGTAGCTGGATGAACAAGAAGATTAAGTATTAAGTTCCTTAATTTTAATATATAAATAAACCTTTTAACATTCCATGTAAATTGACTGAAGATGACGGTTCTTGCCCAATAAATGTGAATATAAAAGCTACGCAGCCTTAGGTTAGTGATATCTTTAGGATGTTATTCATCATGAAATGCTGGGAATTGTATTTTCTAAAGTTGCCTCAATTTTCATACATAAATTCCTGAAACTCTAATCCAAATCAAACCGTTAAGCCATCGATTGGTTGTCGGGTAATTTGATTTAGGAACCTGTTAAGCTGCTACGTAACACAGAATGAAAACGTGAGAGCAGAAGGCATTTCAAAGGGTTTTGGCGCGTACATGTAAGTCTCTGGCGATAAAGATAAAAAAAGACAAAAAATACTTAAGTTGAACGAGTATATTTTTCATTTCTTTCGCCATGGTGCTGTGAAGGTTATGGCTGAGATAAAGTGAACAGCTTAGGAGGATAAATTCAATAATATAAATCCTAAAATGTATCCAAGATCAAGATCGTGAACCCAAACTATCCATGATAAAACAAGTTAGGACCCATCCGTTCCAACGTGGAAACAAAATGACTTACACATATAAATTTTGCCGCCGTTAATGTTAACCGAGATTCACACACATTGGTTTGTTTTAAATTTAGTGTGCTACTACATCAATTGGATTGTGAAAGAAATGATACGCAATTTTGAAATATTGCATGCGAAAACAACACAAGCATAATAAACATTCATGACATTGACACTTGTACATTGGTAACCATCAGCAATTTAATTAACATACATGACATTAACTTTTGTACATTGATATCCATAAGCAATTTAATTAACATACATGACATTACCTTTTGTACATTGATATCCATCACCATTGTAACCAGCACGACATTCACATTTTCCATTATTACAAAGAGCCGAGAGATCACAGCGATCGCAATCATCCACTGTTGATAAAGAAAGATAACACAAATACTTCATGTTACTTGTGTCATGATTAAAATCCCAAATCGTATTTTATAGAAGTTTTTTTGTGCAAATACAAACTGCATCTATAAGTGTCCAATACCTTGACAGTTGATACCATGAAAATGACCAACACAGGTACATTTATATCCATCAACAACCTCAGTGCATAAACCACCATTCAAACAAGGACTAGGATGACAATAGCTTTTGGCATTCTCCGAACATAACTTGCCTGTAAATTGCTTCGGACACTGACAAAGAAAGCCTACAGTTGCAATGGGAACACATACCGCAGAATTTTGACACGGGTTGGGGTTGCACTTGTTTGGTTGTGACTCGATATTGGTGGTAGGAGTAGGTGTTGGTGTTACTAAATAATAGAAAAATATATACAAACTGGAGGACTATACCTTTGTTTCCGTATGTCCTAACATATAGACCTTTACAAGCAGTCTTTGCAACCTACCTTGACATGTTGGACCCATAAAGCCATCAGCACAAATACATTGGAATTCAGACGCACGATCTTGACAAACACCTCCATTGTAGCAAGGATTAGGATGACAGTGACTAGCAACTGAACAATCAAAAAAATGAAATCCATACGAACGTCAATGATGCATGTTCACACGATTCTTTTATGCACTAAGATAATTGATAACTCATAATCCTGATTTGCTCAGCCATTTCGCTAAAATACAACTTTCATGTAAACTAAAGATTCGAGTAAAAAACAACTTTCATGTAAACTAAAGATTCGAGTAAAAAACAACTTTCATGTAAACTAAAGATTCGAGCAAAATACAACTTTCATGTAAACTAAAGATTCGAGTAAAATACAACTTTCATGTAAACTAAAGATTCGAGTAAAATACAACTTTCATGTAAACTAAAGATTCGAGTAAAAAACAACTTTCATGTAAACTAAAGATTCGAGTAAAAAACAACTTTCATGTAAACTAAAGATTCGAGTAAAATACAACTTTCATGTAAACTAAAGATTCGAGTAAAATAGCAAAAGACAAAGCTTAAAGCAATATTTCGACTTTCAAGATGATGTTTCTTGTAGTGCGTTTTGTCATTTATTTTTTCGAATTGTCGGCTGAAGAAGGGTTTTTTTTAGAACTTTCATGTACATCATAAAAGAAATGTTAAACTTTTCAACCTTCGCAGAAAAATCCGTTGCCTTGGTACCCTTTGATACATTCACATTTTCCATTGCTGCACGTGGCATACTCGTGACATGAGTTACAAACAGGTTGTGCTTCCACTAGAACGGGAGAAAATCATGGTAATAATATTTTCAGTAAAAGATCAGCGATCAAGACTATTTTTGTCTCGTCAAAACAAAAAGATTAAAAAGATTAAAAAGATAAATTTTTATCAACCTACCCTCACAATGTGTTCCTGAGAAATCATGAGGACATTGACATTTATATTCACCATAATCACCATAATCAAGAGGAAAACATGTGCCACCATTTTCACACGGATTGTCACTACATGGCGTGTGAATATGTACTAAAAATGACAAAAAACGGTACTTTATTAAAATACAACAAAAACATGTAAAACAAAAAGTGCTTCATAATTCTTACCATCACAATGTCTTCCTTTCCAGCGCTCTGTGCAGTGGCAAACATATCGGTCGACATCTTCAACACAAGTTCCTCCATTGTGGCAAGGATCCAAATCACATGGCGAGATCTTTTCTGTAAGTATTTATAACTCCCAATCATTTTAATAATCAACATAAATGAAGCGAGCAACAGGAAACAGGTATATCATTCGTGAATATAGCTATTTTACATCACGTTTGATGATTCTCACCTTCACAAGTTACCCCGCGATATCTATGATTGCACTTGCATATAAATTGTCCACCCTTGATTCTGTTACATGTTCCTCCGTTTTCACAAGGGTTCTTTAAGCATATGTCAAAATCTAAAAATAAAATAGCATCACATATAGATCACGATAACATGTTATTATGAAACTCTGACGTAGTATTACCTCGGCAATCGTGGCCAATATAGCCATGTGCACATTTACACTCGTATCCAGTCTCTCCATTGGTACATTGTCCTCCGTTCATACATGGATTTTTACCACAGTAATTATCAACTAGGAAAGACAACCACGTGCAACATAGAACAATGAAAGAAATGAAAACACCTAACATTCGGTTATAGATAGGTTACCTTCGCAGTAAACACCATTGAAATCCACTGGGCATTCACATTGATAGCTCTCCCCAGTCTCCACGCAAGTCCCACCATTTCTGCATGGATTAGGTAAGCACTTACTGAGCTCTTCAAAAGAAATATAAAAAAATGATATTTCTTTGGCCTCTGGAAATACTATAGTGAAAGTATTCTATTTTGATGAAATGCGGACCTTACGTCCCAGATCATTTAATGGTGTCAGAAACTTGAAACGAACGACTTTTGATTTGATCAGTACATGAAAAAATGAAAAACCTCATATCTTATAATTTTGATAAGGACACACATAAAAAAGTAGGAAGACGTATTGCTAAATAGAAACATATACTGATAAGCAGACAGACCTTCACAGTTATACCCTGTGTATCCACTGATACATGTGCATTTATAATTGTCTCCTTCATCATAACAATTTCCGCCGTTTTTACAAGGATTAGGAACGCACTGGTTTTGTTCTGTGGAAAGGAAAAGATTAAGTTCATATAAAGAAACGTCTTCGTAAAGAGAAACATGTATTCTTACAATATCAAATGCTCAAAAAACATATCAAAAATATGAAAACATTTTGACAAACGTATTGAGAAAACATCACACTCACCCACACGCATATTCTATAGTCAACCTATTCTATCTTCTTTATCACCGAGAGTCTTTACCTTCACAATTTGGTCCTTTGAAGCCAGCTGGACAAGAACATTCGTATCTTTTCGAAAATGCAGTGCAACTACCTCCATTCTGACATGGATTGGGGAAACACTTGGCTTGCGCGAAAACTATAGAACATACGATAAAAATTGAGGGCAAAATATTGTGACCTAATTTTTAATTATAAATTAAAGAAATAATTTGACTACATAATGTTTAATGTGCTCATGACATGTTTTCAGAAATGCTATGCCATGCAATTCAATGCTGAATGATTTTTTCTGAAATTGAAACAATCACATAAAAACAATTTTTCCATATAGACAAGGTTTTACTCAATTAAAGACAGTCTTAATGCTTGCTTACATCATTTTAAAAATTGCTGCAGAATGATTTACTTAGACAAAACCGTATCCTTGAAAAGTGGGATCAAATAAATAGGTCGTAAAGAGTTTTTTCTCAAAATTGAGCAAACACTTTATCATTGAGCAAACAAAATTGTTTGAACCTTTTCTATGTCCAAAATGATGGATTATGGGATGATTTGGATACACAACATATGGATAAGGAAAATAACCAGCCATGTTAAATTGTGGTGACGAAAATGCCGGCAAATCTCCTTGTAAAGGTCCACCAACAAGTTGAGCGGGTAAAGAAATCGGGGGAGCTCTACCCTGGAACAGAGGGACAGTCTCCTGCTGCATCATGCGGATATTGTTCACGCCAGGAAAAAGAAAATGTCTACCTTGAAGTGGTTTTATTCCTGGCAGCGGTCGCAATGAAGTTTGTCGAATTAGATGTGTGTTGGGTTGTAAAGAGGGATTCAAAGATTGACCGTTGGACTTAGAAAGAGCCGTTAAGAACGTTTTGAATGGTACAGATCCATATATATGAATGGGCTTAAACGTCGATGAATGAAGCATAGCGAGGCGAGAACGAGCTGTAGACGATGCAGTTTTCAAACGAAGCGGCTTCAAATTATGAAGTGCAAAATTTGCTCCATTATTAACCACTCCATTATTCATAGTTCGTTTCAGCAAAATATCACTTGAATTATGTGAGGTATTTTTTGCACCATTTCGCACAACGGATTCATTTATGAAAACTGGACGAAAATCCAACTTGTCTTTAAATGGAACTGTCTTTTTCACGAGGTCACGATGAGATAATATCGACGTAAAATTCTTACCGAATCTTACTTGTTTACTCCATACAGTGGATAGAATAACACAAGTTATAAAAATTGTGATGGTCATTGGGTCAGATAACGGTTACTAAATAGCTATAAAATCTTCACATCAAATCTTCAATTTCATCGCCCAACTAAAGAAAAAAAAATATGTCATATTCAATCGACTTTCTGTGCTATCGTTTTGTAAAAATTCCAATGGACTGGATGCGATTTTCTTCGCTGGTAAAAACAATAAAGTCGCTTTACACGAAAGAAATTGCGTTACAAAATAAAACTGGAATGCTAAAGGCCACCTGTAATTTATGAATGCAACCAGTAAAATAAACATACATATGTGAATTTTTTAGCTCAAATTTTAACATAAATATGTCATGTTTATACAACAAATAATTATCGAATTTGCCAACTAACCTAACATTTTAAAAAAGAAATACCTCCGACAGAATATACTTTGAAATAATTTTTTTATAAATTGGTACGTAATACATTTAATCATTCTAATTTTATTCATGTAAATATAGAATAGCTACAGTTTAAGATAGTTTATAGATCTGAAAAGCATGTTATGGGTGATCTTATTAAAGTCATAAGGATAATAATGATAATTTCAAACAACAAAATCAGAGTTTTGGATGTATGATAAAAAGAGTGAGCCAAAACTTCTCACGACAATGTAAATATGATTAAGTTTTATTAGAGCTCTCTTTTAACTAATTACTGTCGTTTAAAGTGAACAAATTATCTTATTTGACATGCATATTGTGTATATTTGAATTAATTGTCCCAATAAAATTTTAGCGTTTTTATTTAATAAGCGAAGATCGTTTCATGGAAGATTTCTACATTATCAAGGTTTGTGCATGAGTGTCAGAGCTTTCTTTGTGAATATACAACCTGTTCATTTAATGTAACACATTTTGTCATAACCAAGTGGACATAAAAGCTGTCGGTGCCATAACCGCTGCTCATTTGACTGGAGATTCACTTTCCATAGTTCACATACGTATTTCACTCCAACGTTCTAATGAATTGTCACCCAACTCCTAGCATATAGGGACAATATTTAAAGCAAATATATTTAATGTTAGTTTCATGCACTGAATGTAAACAGAAGTTATTCATAACATTTAAACACAATGAAATGTAGGCACATGGTATACAAACCTATTGTGAGAATAAGTCCGACCAAAAAATTATGTAAAATCATTATCACATTATTACCTTAATAAAACGTATTACTTTCACAATGTCGGCCTATGTAAACCTTTGGACATGCGCAGTTGTAAGTATTCCCGACCACTACACATTTACCATTGTTGGCGCAAGGATTTGGATGACATAGAATAACTAAACGTAAAAAAACATGAAAGTGCGTGAGCATCACAAATTTTAACTGCCTAAGGTATCGAGATCAAACCTTCGCAATTCCTTCCAGCAAAACCTTTTAGGCATGCGCACTTGTAGCCAGTAGTAATATCAATACAGGTTCCGCCATTGGTACATGGGGACAGTCTACATTCACTGATAACTGTTAATAGATAATGCTCGTTTTTTAAGTAAAGCATTACACACCTGATGAAATTCAAAGAACAACACACACCTTCACACAGTTTGCAGTAAAGTAACATACACGTCATTAAATTCAACAACAACACACACCTTCACACAGTTTGCAGTAAAGTAATATACACGTCATTAAATTCAACAACAACACACACCTTCACACAGTTTGCAGTAAAGTAATATACACGTCATTAAAATCAACAACAACACACACCTTCACACAGTTTGCAGTAAAGTAATATACACGTCATTAAATTCAACAACAACACACACCTTCACACAGTTTGCAGTAAAGTAATATACACGTCATTAAAATCAACAACAACACACACCTTCACACAGCTCGCCTTTGAATCCTAAAGCACATGAACATTCACGAGTCTTCTTGTCTCTGTCAATACATGTTGCACCGTTCTTGCAGGGGTTAGGGTAACAAACAGCTTTCTCTGAAACAAACAAGACATTGGCAAGGATAATGATGACAAATCAGCCAGATTTCTCTTACTTTGACAGCGGTCGCCTTTGTAGCCCAATTTACAAGTGCAATGATGCCCATCATCCATTTCGGTACAGATCCCATCATTTTCACATGGATTTGGATCACAAAAATTTTTTACTGAAATAAAAACATACAAATAAAGTAACAACAAATGTCATCTGTCTGACGTCGCTGCATAAAAATAGGTATTATTCCAAAAATAAATAAAAAAAATACCTACATTCACATGCTTTGCCTTTAAATCCTACAGCGCATGTGCAAGAGAATCCCCCTTTACCAAGTTCCGTACACGAGCCAGCATTCTTACAAGGGTTTTCCCAGCAAGCACGTTTAACTAAAAAGAGTCCAGAAATTCAACGACGTTCATTCTTAATGTGTCTAAACGTGTAAGACATCATTCTATAAAACAAGGTCCTTTAAACAACCTGTCTCGAAAAAGCTAAAAAGCCCAAAGTTTACATTAAATCGTAAATAAAACCAATCCAAAGTCAAGATCTCCCGCGTAAACACGATGGACGACAGTCCTTTCTTTCACACTACAAATTACTCAGTAAAAAGTCTATGAACAGTGCAACTTACATTGACAATGTTGTCCAAGGTACGGCAGAGGACAATCACAATAGAATCCATGTTTTGTCCTCATACAAACACCACCATGATAACATATATGATGTAGACATACGCCTGAAGTTAAACGTATGAAGATAAGATGTAGTCAACATGAGACTATTTATATACATATTTGATAAGATATTTATTAGATATATCCTATTTTGAATGGGAAAACTCAGACACAGATACTTGATGCAAAATGCTGCATATTCTTTTACAACTCAGTAAGTTTCGTGTCTAAAGAAACATGAGGTAATAAATTATTATTGAATGGCACTTAAACAAGTTGCAAAAGATTTGCAGCATTTTGAGGATTTATTCACACAAACACACAAAATAAAATGTATAAAAAATAACAAAGTGCTGAAAATCAAATTAGATAGAGCAATATAACTTTAAATTATAGTTGAACAATATTTTGATATAATTCACTACACAGTGTTTCACGTCCAACGACGAGCGTCGTTGTTCAACTACAATTTAAAGTTATATGTGTATTCATTAAATGATTGTTATTTATTTTACATATATATTTACATATGTATTATACAAGATCACAGATCATTGAACAACCTCTATATAAGATAGGATTTTCTACAAAAACAAGAGGCTGGAATCCTGTAGATTGCACCATCTGGTATGGTAAAGGATAAACAAATTGACGTTTGGTATTGCTCAGTGTTTTCCTGCTGACATCATTTTGTTTAAAAAAGTTTTTACGCGTACGTTGCTGCGAAATAGTTTCTCCAAGAAGACTCTCGTTTTTAACATTGTTTTTGCTTGATATACTTGGAATTAAATGTTTTCTTTTAAGCCCAATGAATGCATTGTCAAAATTCTCGTTTAATTTTACATCAGTCTCCACTTGACCGTCTCCTATCTTGAGAGAATCTGGTTTGGACTTTAACTTACGAATTGCAAATACTTCGTCAGTAAAAATAACAAAGGCAACTATAATGGTAAAAGCACAGCTTGGAAAGACCATGACTTACATTATGGTGTAATTCTGTAAATACGATGTTATGATAACATGGAATAAGAGCAATTGAAGATAAAATTCAAAATTTACGAAATCAATGTAGCGTACAATTAAACACCTGTATCACCGCAAGTGAAGAAATAAAACAAATAATAGAGTGCTAAAGAAGAAGAAGATACAACTAAGACCAATTCTTCAAACAATGACAAAAACTAACTACACTAGAAAATTTGACCTCATGTTCTCATATATTAAGCTGGTTGATTAAATTAAAACCAACCTCTATCAAAACAGCAGCAAGCACATGTGAAACAACTGTCATAGAAATACTAATTTTATTACCATCATTTCCTTTAATCCTTAAACATTTCTTGTAACATACTGGTTATACTTTATTTATAACAATTTTAAAATAAGTTTATTTGCATTCATGTGTGTCCTTTCTTCATCACACGCTCTGATGAGCATTTATCATAACAGCAACTGGTTGTTACATAAAGAATGGCGATTAAAACATATCAAATTTTGAATGGCGATTAAAACATATCAAATTTTGGGTGGTAATTGAAACATATCATAAAATATGCGAAAAGTTAACATTTCATTAAAATTAGCATTTGGCGCGTCGTAAACAATATCCGGGAAAAAGTCGACCAGAAATGACAATTGAGGAAACCTAAGAAATGTTTGGAATGCATTCACGGATATTTTGGATGTCATTTTTTTTGGTTTTCAAACCAACCGAAGGATCGAAAGGCAACAGCAATAAAGATTTCATAAAAGCAACATTTATAGGAAGAAACAATTTTAGAAATTTAAGTGGAACAAAAAAAGACAACGTCAATCCAGGCAATTTTAGAAATCAACGACATAAGATTATGAATAGGACAAAACAACTTACATTCCCTGTACTAAAGAGTGAAGGTAACTCAACCATAAATAAAAACTTGAACGATAATAAGATTACACAAATGAAAGTGTTGAATGCTGTAAAATCAAGGAAGAGACAAAATGTACTTGTTGGTTATTCAAAATACCAAAGATCGATTCGCATCGACGAAAGTGGGAAGTTACAAAGACACGAAGTGGGACCTGAAGAGTACGTAACACCAGAAGGGAAAACAGAAATATTCAGTTACGATAAACCAATAAAAATAGATCGTCTAACTCAAAGAAAGATGATCTCTTTAGGACATATGGTCCCTTTATCTCTTGTGTCTGAAACAAATGCCAAAACAATATCTTCCATACCCACGGCATTTACGGATAAAAGTTCACTCTCTTCTTCAAAGACATCGAGAAGATACTCTTTTTATAACCAGGTAATTATGTTCAATGAAGGAAACGCAACTTAGTTACCGATGTACATCAATCGTTAATTTTACTTAACTTAAGTAGCAAAAGGTGTAGCAGTATATAACCATAATAAAGAATGAAATTTACAGAACCTTTAACTCGTTCAGGTCCCAGTCATGCTACACAAACCATATCAACTTCCTCAATTAGTGCCAGTCCCTCCACCAGCACCAGTTTTTCTACCAATACCAGTAGCACAAAGGGTAACGTATGCTGGCACGAGTCCTATAACCTCAGGTAGGCTTGTTTCTAATCAAAATGTTATTGCTTTGAAACTCCATAAACAGCACAAGAATCAAAGAACAAGACATCAAAACCTTAAGTGACACAACTTTTCCTTTCTTTTCAGTTCCTGTACAATTAACCGAATGTGACATTAATCCATGTCAAAATGGCGCTTCCTGTTTCTTAGTGGACAACATAGAATCTTACAAATGTCATTGTCGTACAGGTTTTAAAGGGAGACATTGTGAAGGTAAACTCAACAAGACAAGCGATAGTTGAAGTGTTTTATTCAATAGTGTAGGTTTGGTCGTGCTGTTGAAATTTCACGACCATTAAATTTCACGAATAAATGTGTGATTTTCGTGAAAAGAGAACGGAGAATGTCCATTCTACTATAACGAAAAGCTAGAATAAAAATGTACGATAAGAATGTTGGAAATGCAAAATGAAAAGCTTTCCTTTTTAGACGCAAGCAAATGTTATCCAAATCCTTGTGAGAATCTAGGTGACTGTACCGTTGTGCCTAATGGTTATGAATGCAGTTGTAGAAGAGGATTCAGGGGATCACGATGTGAGAGTAAGGGATGATTTGTACATTACTGAGTCAAAAGATCTAGTCTTTATGATTAAGTAAAAAGCAACAACAATCAGCTGTTCATGTTCAATACAACGTCATTGATATTATTGAGACGTTGTTCGCATTTTTAGTGCGTGATGAATGTGAGCCAAATCCGTGTAGAAATGGAGGAAGTTGCAGTTCAGTTGATAATAAATATTATTGTAGTTGTATCTTTGGTTACATCGGAAAGAATTGCCAAGGTAAAAATATTTCATTACGCAATCAATGCACAGTGAGAAAAATGCACTACAATAACGTTTGTAGTAACCTTATCATTACCTCACCTGTTTTATCCAGTTCAGTCCAAGTGCTTTCCCCTCAATCCATGTCGTCACGGGGGCACATGTCATGAAGATGTTGCAAGGTATATTTGTACCTGTTCGCGGGGATGGTCAGGATTGAGCTGTGAAAGTAAGGAAAACATATCAAATAGCAAAGGAATTTTTCGATTATTCAACTAACATTTAGGAGAGAGAATAAGATAAAACTCAAAACTAACGTTGAATTATACATACCTAAACTTAAAAATGCGCCCACAGACAGACAACGGTCTTAATATTTCACAGTATGAACGAAAAGTTTCATTTTGTTGATGAGAAAACAGTAGAGTTAGATCAAGGAAAAATGAAATAGATTGTTCTATTCATGAAGTTTTGTCAATTTCTCAAAACAACTAGTACCATCCTATCTTTCTACGACTGGAGATGGACCGATATATGTCCTCTAAAAAGTGTATGGACAAAAGCAGATGATGAAGATAGCAAGAATATCCACAGGGGAAAAAGTTCTAATTAGACGAAAATTATATATAACTAAAGAAAATACCTAGTATGGACAAAAGCAGATGATGAAGATAACAAGAATATCCACAGGGGAAAAAAGTTCTAATTAGACGAAAATTATATAAACCTAAAGAAAATACCAATATTCTTTCTTTTGCATCGTAATGTACATAGATTAAATAAAACATTTATATAGGTTAAATAAATCATAGAATGCTTTTATATTCCAAAATAACTGCTTCGTTTGACATTCGCAAAACGCGCACAGCTTTTGAACGTCAACAACATGTTTTCTCGACCGTTGAAACAGCATTTTTCAAAAGAACAGGTACCAAATCAGCTTTACAATGATAACAAAAGAAAACATTGATAACAAAACGTGTCCAAATTTGATGAAAACAATATTCTCGTCCATGAAAGTTTAAACAAAACTCGACAAAAGAAAGCCTGCCTGCTTATTTTTTTCTTCGTTTCCAAGAAAGAGCGTTTACAAAAAGGTGAAGAAGACATGCCATATGTAAAATTGGGGTGAGAGAACATAAAAATTCTTAAACACCAATTATATAGTTTATTATTATAAGAGGCGAAATATGACGAAAAATGGTGTGTTATTGATAGTGGCTACTTATTGTGTTTATCTCTCTTTTCATTTGAACCACAACGCTGTAACTGGTGCATTAAATAAGGATAGCTTAGCGCCAAAATTTACAAAAGATTTCAACACGAAACTATTAAATGAAAACAAAGCTAGGTCGAAACAGGAACAGAGTTCTAAAGAAGGTTTAACAAAGATTTCAATGAACAAAACAAACACAAAAACAAAAGAGACGATTTTAGCAGAAGATTACTTAAATAACATGAGGTCACCGCAGCTGATGAAGACAACATTAGAAAGAAACATAGGAAGGAAAACGGAGAGTAAGACCTACGCTGACAACACTAAAACAAAGACCACAAGCTCACAAACGAAACATGAAGAATCGACAATTGCAGGATCCAAACCTGAATCCAAATTGCTGGATGAAAACAAAATTTCACTCGTGCAAACCAATGATCATGACAAGCCGTCAAAAGTTACCGAAGGGATGAAAGGTGGAAAGCCAGTATTAAAAGGTTTGGTTGACGACCAATTATCTACAGTTGAAAATTCTAACAAAGGTACAAGTGCATCATATGTGTCAGATCGTGATCTAAATGTACTTCCAAAGATAGGCGGACACGCAAAAATAAGCATGTTTAACCAACTACCACCAAAAATTCAACCTCTCTTTATACATAAACCTCGCCTTCGCAACACAGGTAAATAAACGGCTTCAGTTAAACAAATAATTGCGTAACTCCATTCAATATTATTTATCATAAATTATGAAATAGCAGAGAATTCAAATCCTTGTACGACGACGAATCCTTGCAAAAACAACGCTGTTTGCAGCACCGTTGAACATCGTCCATTGTGCATATGTAAACCAGGATTTCGTGGCAAATTTTGCGAATGTAAGTAAACCTAAATTTGTATTTTTGTTGCCAATGATTTTGAAGCAATAGAGGATAGTACAGGTACGAACGTCTGTGTTTGCAAAGAATCTTATGAACTAAATACTCCTTATAAACACCAATATATGAAATATCCCCTCCTCCCCACATTGATCCTTACATATCATATATCCTCCTCCCCACATTGATCCTTACATATAAAATATCCTCCTCCCCACATTGATCCTTACATATCATAAATCCTCCTCACATTGATCCTTATATAAAATATCCTCTACATTGATCCTTACATATAAAATATCCTCTTCCCCACATTGATCCTTACATATCATATATCCTCCTCCCCACATTGATCCTTATATATAAAATATCCTCCTCCCCACATTGATCCTTACATATCATATATCCTCCTCCACACATTGATCCTTATATATAAAATATCCTCTCTTCACATTGATCCTTACATATAAAATATCCTCTCCCCATATTGATCCTCACATATGAAATATCCACCATGTTAACCCCCCCCCCCTTATGTTTTATAAAGTGATAAACAAGTGCTATCCCAACCCGTGTCACAATTATGGATCGTGTAGCGAAATGGAGAGCGATTTTCAATGTTCCTGTAAGCATGGTTTTCGTGGAAAGAGATGCGAAAGTAAGACATTCAAGTATGATCTCTTCTGTTTTGAGACTCAACTAACCAAACGTGATATAATAAACACGACAAAAGATGCATTTAAGCCTTTTTCTTGAACATATATTTTATAAGATCTGTTTTACATGCAGTTGCCAACAAATGTGAGCCTAACCCGTGTTTAAATGGGGCGACCTGTTCAGAGATTGAAGACGACTACATATGTACATGTCGACAAGGATTTATGGGTCATAGTTGTGAAAGTAAGAAATAAAAATCTTAATATTCGATTCTTCTTCGTCGTGATCATTTTATCTGAAATAATGGCCTCCAAAATCCGTGCAGAAAAGCCTCATTCTCATTTTTTAAATTCAAGTTGAGTCAAAATGCAATCCCATCAACCCTTGCAAAAACGGAGGCACATGTAGAGAGGAGCATGATATGTACAATTGTTTATGCAGAGATGAATTTCGAGGAAAAAACTGCGAAGGTAATAGATAAAAACGCAAAAGCAATGTATACTTATTTAGTCAACTTAAGCTCGCTTTTACACAATATCTTTTCACCGATTCCGTGTCGAAATGGCAGCTTTCGAACAGGAAACTATACAAGTAAGTATGCATGAGGTTGGAGAAAAAGCAAGAGTGCAAGCTAGCAAATTGATCTCATTAAAGAAGCCGTACATACAGTCATATAAAAAGAAATTACAATAAAAAAAATTTTTGAAGTGGAAAGCTTAGAAAATGCGCTACGAGGCCAATTAAAATCGAGTAAAAATTTATCTTTAAGAAAAAGTCAACACATGGGAAAACAATGTTCGACCATCTTTATGTGAGTCAGTCAATCCTTGTATGTTTGGAGGAAAATGTACGCCAGTCAGTAACTATGACTACACCTGCACATGCCTGCCGGGACGAAGGAGGAAGTAACTGTGAAGGTAAGATAACAGGAAAATTTCAATCCCATTAAGAAACGTATTATGCTGGACATTAAAAACAACAGCAAAACTACAATCCACGACTGTCCCAATACATACATACATGCACTGCATTATTCACCAGTTACACAAATTTGATTTATCTTGTCCTTAGAGGATCTAAGTCAAACAAAAGCCTTGAGCAGTTGTAGTCATTGTCATGCATATGCAAGGTGTCTTAATGGTCATTGCGTTTGTAAACGTGGATATATTGGCAACGGTCACAGTTGTGAGCCTGGTAAAGACATATTGAGATAATAAATAACAATATATTTAAAGATAGTGTCAATGGTATTTTCGGATTACTACTTTTGTTTTTCATAGCTCAACAATTTTGCCATCCAAACCCTTGTTTCAACGGAGGCACTTGTCATCAATCAACCAATCAGAAGCGAACATTCAATAGCGGGAAACAATGGTGGTGTGAGTGTATGACTGGTTACATGGGACCAAATTGTCGAGGTAGCAGTCATATAAATTGACAATCTCGTATTTAATACATTATAACAACGTATCATAAATAAACACAGAGTTTGAATATCAATAGTTAGAAAGAAAGAAAGATCTCTCGTTTAGAAATGGATTTTTGTCTAATGCGACTATGTAAAAATGGAGGAACCTGCTTGAGTGAAAACAAACAAAGAAAATGTATCTGTCCACCGGGATACCGTGGAAAATATTGTCAAGGTAAAATACAATAGCAAAATTGGGATCAGATTACTCTTTAAAGCAACCTTTCCAACAGATTACTCTTTAAAGCAACCTTTCCAACTTTCTCATTAAGAAATTAGAGAGAGCAGTTTGTACATGACGATCATTATATGCTGATAAAATGGGTTATTTCATGAATTAAAAAATATGACAGTATTTCAAACTTGATTCAATATCTTTAGAGAAGAGCATTTGTTATATTAATCCGTGTAAGAATGGCGGGACATGTAAAGAGGGTAAAGATTTTGCTCAATGTCAATGTCGAGATGAATACGAAGGAGAACACTGTGAACGTAAGTAGTTATCTATGTTGTTAAAACAATCGTTTTTTTCAATAACATACATCTTGTGTCTTTTCACACATTCCAAATGTGCTCGATGTGACCAACTTGCTGACTGTGTTAAAGGAAAATGTATTTGTAAATCTGGGTATACAGGTAGTGGCGTGATTTGTCGCAAGGATATACCCAGCGAGTGAAACTATATATGTATTCATTTACACCACAATAAAATTCTTCAACAACGTGATCCGCAACCGCAACCATCTTTCAAAGATCTATAAGACTCATGTCAGAAATAACATGCTAAACAGTCACTATTTTGCTAACTTAAGTTTTCCTTGAATTTCTCAGGTAATCTACAAACAGCCTCAGCTGAACCATCACCTGTTACTGGTCTACCACCACCACCACTACCACCACGACAAACAACAACACTACCACCACTACCAACAACAACAACAACACTTCCACCACCACCATCACCATCACCATCAACACCATCACCATCACCACCACCACCACCCGTACATGGGTTTTGTTATTCAAACCCGTGCTCCAGTGGTTCCACTTGCCTCGAGTCCCTGGATTCATACTTCTGTCAATGTCCTGAATATCGTTACGGAAGAAAGTGCGATCAAACCCCAGAGACGCTAGGTAAGTGTGTGTTATTAAACAACAACGCACAGTAAAATACTTCTCATCGATGTTTGAAAGAAATTTAAGAAAAGACTCAGTTAAACACGACTGGATAGCGTTATCAATTGGATAGCAAATTTTTTCAAACGGTTAAAAACTTCTCAAAAAGGAAGAATATAAGGTTTGAACTGAGTAATCACTGAAATAAAATATTGCTTCTAAGATTATTTGTTGTAAAGAAAATATACACACCTAAGAAAAAAAAATCATATGACATTGAACCGTAAAGTTCTGATAAACTTTAGTTGCTTTTATATTCGGAATAAAAAACTTGATGATCTACTGTCTTTTAAAACGACAACACTTTATGCCGACATCAACAGCAAAATAATATATACGCATGCTCTAGTTACTAGAAGTCGCTATGATTCGTCAAATTCAGCACATAAATAAAATTTAAAAATCCTAACCTTTTTTATACAGGAGTTTCCATTGTTGGTGCGACCAAAAACCGATCACCGATTGGCCAATGGAATGGTAAGTAACCACGTATCCATACGTATCCATCAATGTCCACATAAGTTAATTTTTCATCAGAGCCTGGAGGTAAAATGTCAAAGCTATCCATTAAAAGAATCACTTATAAATACTTTAAATTATATTAAACATTTTTTGCGTAAAGCTAGCTGTTTATAAGCCCAAAAAGGAATTAAAAGGAAATAACAAATGGAATCGACATTCCATGATAGGAAAACGATAAATTTGCTGAAACAGTAGAAAAAAAACTTAAGTGTGCCACAACACACAATAGTAAAGACTCTTTATGAAAATGTTTACAGAAAAATTTGAAGTCAACGATAATAGAATCTATTGTTATTGCGTTATTGTTTAGACAACAATGTTGGCATGCAATATGAAAGCCTGGGTTGTTGGGCAGATACAGAACAATGGAGAAATCCAAGCATGCGAGCCATCCAATCTATGGAAGGTTTTCATCCTTCTCTTAATGACGACTACAAGAGAAGGATCTATCCCATAATGAAATGCGCGAATGCAGCAAGCGCTTATGGATACAAGATATTTGCCATACAAAATGGCGGACAATGTTTTGCCGACCCTTATGCAGGATTGACATACACAACATATGGACCTTCAACTCAATGTCGTTATGGAATAGGTGCTTCACTGGCCAACGATGTCTATAGACTGCCTTAATTTAACTCAATGTCGTTATGGAGTGGGTGCTTCACTGGCCAACGATGTCTACAGACTGCCTTAATTTAACTCAATGTCGTTATGCAGTGGGTGCTTCACTGGCCAACGATGTCTACAGACTGCCTTAATTTTAACTCAATGTCGTTATGGAGTGGGTGCTTCACTAGTCAACGATGTCTACAGACAGCCTTAATTTTATTTTCTTGTGTGATTTTCACTAAATTAACAATTTCTTTAATGTTGGAGACTTTGTTTTCCTAAATAATCAATCATCTTAAATGAGTTTTTTGTCTGAAAGAATTATTTCTCGATCTCTATTATTTTTAACTAAAACAAGGTGAAAAACAGATGTTCCTTGCAATTTGCAGTTTTTAATCGCGTATATATGGTAGATTTAATGCTGTAGAAGTGGGGTGGACGCTCGGGGAGGAGCCCCCTTCTATCTTTAAAATGAGTAATTTTTCATAATTTCACGGCTTCAGCTTCGTCAAGAGAGCCCCCCATCTGATAAATTTATTTCTACAGCACTGGGTAGATTATGTGTCTGTAGACTAATCTTAACTTTACAATTTCGATACTGTAAACCGTCACATAAATACTCGATAATTTTTTCGTTGGCTGGAGTGTACTGGAGACATATACCTGACGAAAATGAAAAGTGGAAGTCTTTAAAGTCCCCAGGAAAATACTAAGTCTGTATCGCATAATAAAAAAACATGGCGGCACCTTCGTTACTCTATGATTGGTTCACCGGGGGCACCTTCCGTTACTCTATGATTGGTTCACCGGGGGGGGGACAAGCAAATCAAAGCCTGCTGAATAATTTCAAACGCTGTTTGTAGACAACAAACTTAGTAGAAACTACCTATATCATCAAAACCATTTTATCTGAAGCTTTAAATTGACTTAGAATAATCTCACTATATCTGAATATGAAAATATTATTAGAAAGGCAAGCACTTGCATGCTTGATAACGGGTCATGCTTGTCGCATGAGTTAATCCACGAACGATAAAAGAAGAGAAAGATATTTGAACGAAGTATCTATGTTTTAACCTAATGACCATTAAATAATACAATAATGAAACACCTAACTTTCACAGTTGTTTCCTTTATACTATGTTTAACGTTAGTAGCCGCTAATCCACGAAAGAGCAGGAAGCAACAGGAAAAGGAAGCAACGAACAATGGTAACAAAAAACGATACACAGTAAAACAAGAGAAAGATAGACAAGAAATAACTAAAGTTCCAAGATATGTAACATCAAAGAAAAGAAATCGTCATAAAGTTTATAAAAAGTTTAACATGATTGCTGTTCCAACTTTCGCTCTTGAAAACAGTGCAACAAGACAAGGAGCAGTTCAACAGCTGTTGTTGCCTGCAAGTACATCACAATTCGCACAAAACACGTTGGCCACAAATCCCGAGCTGATGTCGGACTTTAGTACACAGAACACATTGGGAAAACAGGTATGTCGACCATGAATAAAAAAGGTGATTTCAAAAAATGTACGAAGGAAGGTAGTTATGAATGAATAAAACATAAATTGCGTTCGTATATCAACGCATTGAATGTGTAAAAAACTGACTTCTCTTTAGTTCATAACACAACAAAGTTCTTCAGAACAAGAAGCAGCAGAAGTCCCCCAAACACTGCGACCTCAATACGTTCAATATCAAACATCAACAGGTACATCAAACGAAGACACGACTATACAGGATAACGGAGCAACACAAAGTTCTCCACTATATGTCAACACAGCCAATGAACTTGATGCAGGCTCACAGGGTATTCAGATGTTCTCACAATCTAGTGGTGATAATGGAGTAAAAGATGAGACGAAGAGCCTCAATAATGGGCTGCTACCAGAGAGTACACAGAGTAAACAACAGGCTGAAGGCATTTCATCGCAAGAAGTAAAAATAGTGAATTTAGGCGATGAGGAGAAGACAGGCAGCTTTCAAAAAGGTAAAAACAAATCATCAAAAAAACTGACCATGTTTTGAACCCAGCACAAGTAGTTTTAATTGTGAATGATTTTTCAATAGCTGGACTCACGTCGTACATATGTAGTTCAGGTAAGATTTTCATGCTTAATTTGGTGCAAGTTGTAACACGCTCGACATTCTCGTTAAGATAACGCGTGTGGAGGTTGCCCTTCAGGAGCAAACTGCATCAACGGACAATGTCAGATTGAGGAGCAAGATTCCCAGGTTGAAGGTTTAACAACAGGTAGAAGAAAATTTCTTATGCAATCAAACAAATAAACAAAAACCAAATGATAATATGTAAGATTAGAAAAAACAAATGTTAACTCTTCAAACTTAAAGAAATTGAAGTAAAATAGCAGTAGTGGAAAATTAAGAATAACATCATCACTGCATATTCCAACTGAAACAGGAAAGGTACAAGGGAATAAGCCAACAACTATTGATGATATACGCAACTTGGAAACACAAGAAATTGCGTCCCTTATTAAGGAGGCAGACGCACCATCCACATCAGTTCCTCACAGTCCTTACACGTCCCATGACCAATCATCAAGCAAAGCACAAGTAAACACAAATAAAGCAACAGTAAGGCAGGAAAAACCAGTGAAACAACCTCAATACACAGGCGGAGATTTTAAGGAGTTGCGGGAGTTTGCACGTATGTACAAAATGTACCAATTTATTCGCAAAATGGAAGAAAGAGTTAATGATCCAGATTGCGCACCAGTTTGCCGCAAAACATGCAAAAAATTTTGTCCCGTAAAATGTTGTCATGGTCCGAAGGTCAACAATAGCGTCGTTTCAAGCTTGATGCATATCGCCCATAAAATCCAAAGTACTGAGGCCGAGAGTAGAAGCACAAAAGAATTAACAGGGAAAAAGGCCAACACAGAAGATAGTGATAGAAATAAGACTGACAATGAATCAAAGGAAAAGAAACATATTTTAACAAGGATTGTCAAAAACAATAAATTAATAAAACCACGAAGATAGAACAATGAATCTTTACAGTTTTATAAAACGATCGACAAACGCCTCCAGAGTTGTTCGACAGCGCAACTTGCATTATGTGTAAATATTTAAATACAATATAAAAATTATACAACTGACTTACATGTTACATTATGGATGTAATACAGTATAAAAACTATACAACTGGTTCAGGTATGTGTCTTTAGTAAGAAGAACATAACGACAATGGCCTTGATAAGAAAAATATTATCATGAAATAAATATGAGTCTTTCTACGGCTGAAAACCTTCCATCTAATTGTGATAAATCAAGAAAAAAAAATTGTCGTTGTTTGTTTTCGTTCAAAATGGCGAGTGAAAAGGGTCTAGGATGAAAATTGTTGCACAAACATGGGATAAATGGATAAATACTACTTATGTCAGTTTAAATGATGTAAAGTGTTTTGCATACAGACAACAAATCAATTTCAATGGTTAAATACGACCATTCAGATAGAACTTTCCACACGTTCCAGATAAAATCGTGAAAAAAAGCTTGCAATTGTTGTAAATTAGAAGTATGATATCTTTCTTTAACTTGCCAATATTTTGTCCATAGAAACCAACGGAGCGAGAGAAAATTAACTGATTACTGCTTGTTATAGTTGTGTATTTACGCTATGGAGCGATTCAAAAATTCAATGAAGTCTGAAAATAATCGCTATCTCGTATTCTTAGAGCACGTCATTTACAGTGATTTATAATATATTAGCTTGTCTATTACATGGAACGCGATGCCTCTCAGCTAAAAATAAGGTTTCATAAAGATATATATCGTGAAGCATTCATTACAAATATCTACTTTGAAAGTTAGAAGACTAAGTTCCTTAAATACGCAATTTTAACACACATGTATTATGCAAGTATGCATCACAGTTGATATCTAAAATCACGAATGAATGTCACCACCATGAAAACGACCAAACTTGTAATTATTTGAAAAAACATATCTATCACTTAAATTATGAACTATATAAAATAGTCTCCACGATAACACTAAGTTTTTCAAAATAATCGATTCTATTACGAAACTAAAAAACATTTTGGCAAGAAATTAGACCATAAATATTTCTGAAATAACTCTTGTTTACCCGCAGCGCTGACATCATAAATGGAGCATGTCGACGAAATGAGGATTAGATCATCGAAAGGGAAGGAATACGGACCTATGTATAATGTCCTCCTTCAAAATGAAGGAATTAATAAAAAAAATATGAAGAAGTTTTAAGACAGATGTACGATCGAATATGACACAAGATTGAAACAAAATGCCAAAGACCAAAAATATAAGATGTTGTATGAAAAAATACAATAAAATCGAAAGGAGATGTCACTATTAATGGCGTCTCCGTCATTCCAAAGACTGGATAATTTAAGTATTCGTATACTGCTAGTATTGATTTGCATATTATGCGGGAAATCAGGAACAGGAATACCAACGGATCATGACTTTAAACATCAGAAAAATACATCATGGACTAAACGATTAAAGGAAAAATATCCAAGGTCAGCTCAATACGGGAATGTTTTTCTACCGCGATTTTATGAAAGACACAGTGTAGCTCCAAGACTGAACATGTTAGCACAATATCGTATGCCAATAGCAACAAGACGAATATCACACGCGGAACCATTTATCCATTTTTCTGGATTGCCAAGGACTTATGTTCCAGTACTGACAAGTATTCCATCTTTACAGTATCCAGTAATTCAAGCTAATAGATATGTTCTGCCTGCGTATTCCCTGAAAATACCTGCACAAACGACAGCAACACGTCTGTCTACAGTGCCACAAATAAACGAAGATTTAGGTGAACAGTACAATGAGAAATACACCACATTACCGCCAAATTTAAGCCAAAACATGCTGCAACAAAATGAATTACTCGTGCCTCGAAAAACGGAGAGCAAGAACGTCGATGTTGGTGACGAGTTCGACAACTTTTTGCAAAGTTTAGGTGATGAAAACATTCTCATATTTTTAGTGAGCTTGGCTAAAAGAAAGGAGTCACATCAAAAGTATCTCTCTCCCCTCAAAGTAAACAATTTATCTAAAGGAATGAAAACTTTACTTGCCTAGCTCTCTTCATTTGATAAGCATATAGTACATATATAACGGAAAATATATCACCATTGCAATATGGTGATAGCATGGAGAGCACATTGTTATACTCTGAGTACACCACATGAGTATATACATATATATACTCATATGTACATTGAGTGTACACCACATGAGTATATACATATATATACTCATATGTACATTGAGTGTACACCACATGAGTATATACATATATATACTCATATGTACATTGAGTGTACACCACATGAGTATATACATATATATACTCATATGTACATTGAGTATACACCACATGAGTATATACATATATATACTCGCGTGGTAAGAATATCCATCGAGATAACATTTAACAATCTCTCGTCTTCATTACCTTTACATAGATGGTCCTTGTTCCCAGAATCCTTGTAGAAATGGCGCAAAATGTCGCATAACATCAGATGGAACATCGTATCGTTGTATCTGCAAGAGAGGATATAAAGGGAAGACATGTGAAGGTAGAGGACATAAATGGATAACTTCAATAATACATTATTTGTTGTTTATCTGTGTTATGCTTGTATTCTGCACAGAAAAAAACGGGTGCTTTCCCAACCCGTGTCAAAATAACGGAGAATGTACGCTGACAAATGACGGATTTGAGTGCTCGTGTTCTAAAGGGTTCAAGGGAATGAAATGCGAACGTAAGTGAACAGCATCCCCCCCCCCTACTACCAACACTATCATCACCTACCACCTACACACACTCCATTACCAACACCACCACAAGTACCACCACCAATAAAATGAAATAAAACAAGCCTTATATTTTATTTTTTAGAAAAGAACACATGCGAACCCAACCCGTGCCAGCATGGTGGGGTATGCACAGAACTAAATAATGGTGCCTTTGAATGTACATGCAAGAAAGGAGACTTTGGCGACAGATGTCAAGGTAAAATTGAGTCAGTCGACACTAAAAATCCTCAGCCGTAATACCATAACTTTAGATTTAGGTAAAGGACTTCGTACATTAATGACCACGAGATGCAATGACATGACTTTAGTTTTCGATATTTTCAGTTAGCAAACAAGCATGCGATCCTAACCCTTGCCGAAATGGCGGCCACTGTACTTCAATGGATAATGGTGATTATCAATGTCACTGTACCGAAGGATACAAAGGGACGTTGTGTGATGGTAAGTAAAGGAAATGAATATTAACGGTGTAGATATACTAGAGATATTAAAATATGATAATTTAATGATACTGTGAACAGAACTAGATAACAAGTGTTTAACGAGCCCGTGTAAAAATGGAGGGTCGTGTATTAAAGCTATGACAAGCTTGGGATACGAATGCGCATGTGCAAGAGAATTCAAAGGAACAAATTGCGAAGGTAAGGAGGGAGCCAGTTGATCAAACATTATCTATGGTAATAGATTACATGTAAAAATGCGAAGTTGTACAGAAATACCAGGTGGACTTGAATCACTGACAACAAGTAAGATCAATTTTGATGACGCGTATTTTTTATGGTTGATTCCTTATGTTTTTTTATTTTTTAGTACGTCACCAATCCATCCATGTGTATTTATAGATGATGCAATATTATGATCTTGTAGAACGTGCCGGTTGCGACATAAATACGTGCCAAAATGGAGGAACGTGTTATGAGACCGAGTTTGGCGTTCGATGTATTTGTCAGAATGGTTACTTGGGAGATAAGTGTCAAAGTAAGACCAGATTTACAAAGCCAAATAGATATGATTTAAGGAAGAACCAGGGCCGTTCATAGATATTAAGGAGTCTGGGGCACAATCAAACTTCGGGAACCTTTCTCTGCGACACATGTACACAATTTACAACGTTCCACTGTCTTTACTTGCTTCCTTTTTTCATTTGATGGTCTTATAAAGCCGGAGGCCCGCGGAAAATTACCGCCTCTCCTCTTTGAGCGCATCTGAGGATGAGAAATATTGACAATGTTTGAAATTGTGCTTGAAATGCTTACGTTGAATAACATAACCATACAAATTACGTTTATCATGTGACGTTTCTCTAAAGAGAAATTTTTCTCGTATAGTTCGCAAACTCTGTGAGCCTGACACATGTCAAAACGAGGGGAAATGTATAGAACATGCCAGAGGATATCGCTGCGTTTGTCCAGAAGGATACAAGGGGAAAATATGTGATGGTAAAGGATCAATATATAGAAACAAAAGGATGCAGCAGTGAATAGAGTGGTGTAGAGCCAGTTGTCATAAAATTAATAGACCTATTCACTTTAAAGTTTAGAAATTTTTCAAGCAAGGTTGAAAGCATGATTTATCTACTTGATCTATTGATTGTTCAGTTCAAATTGTAAATAATGAAACAATCAAAACAATTTGTATCCAGTAGGAATCACTATCCAGGTTTTCAACAGCCATCTACTATGATTGTATGGTAACATCTCCCCTATTCCTTTCTAGAAATTGACCGATGTCGTCCGAACCCATGTCAACATGGCGGGCAGTGTAAGCAATCCGACAGCAGTTACTTCTGCAAATGTTCCACACAATATCAAGGCCAAAACTGTGAAAGTAATCAAAATGCAAAGTTTAACGAATAAAGCATCCTTTATGTTGCCTAATTTGCACGAAACTTTTCATTTCCTAGTTACCAATCCCTGCAAAAGCCGTCCATGTAAAAATGGTGGGAAGTGCTCCAGCAGCTTAAATGGTCAGCGGTTTTATTGTGAGTGCCCCAATGCTTTCTTCGGTACCACGTGTCAAGGTAAGCGATCGCGTTTCACTTTATAAGTTTTTTTCATCACATTTCTCGTTATGACAGATCAACTAAACAAGCTTTTTCCAACTTGTCCACTTTTGTTTTCTTGTTTCTTTTTTACAAAAGGCACAGTCACAATATTTTAAATAAGTTTATCAAGACACACTTAACACAGGGTAATAGATAACTAAACGGTAATTCGATTTCTTAAGAGCGGAATGCTTGCGTACCGAACCCTTGTGAAAATGAAGGAGTTTGTCGAAACACTGGTTCCGACTTTTCCTGTGAATGTCAAAATGGATTTCAAGGAAAAACTTGTGCAGGTAAAAGTACAACAGCGAGAGATATTCATGTCATTAACTTATCATTACAAGAAACGATTCAATGCACTTTTCAGAAAAAGATCCATGCGATAGTAAACCATGTTTAAACAACGGTGTCTGTTTGAGAACTAGCATCAATGACTACACATGTTCTTGCGGTGATGGATATAAAGGAAAATCCTGTGAAGGTACATGGATATAAAAACGAAACAAAAATGATATGTCGACAAAATGACACACAAACACCAACAAATAAACGGTTTTGTTCTTTAACAGTCAAACGTTACTGCTTTTCAAACCCGTGTTTTAACGGAGGTATATGTGAGGAGACTGGAGATGACTTTATATGTTCTTGTGTACAAGGCTTTCGTGGACCAACATGTCAAGGTGAGTAGTAGACGAGCAAGGTTTGAAATATACAATCAAAGAAATAGCGGTAGTTGTTTATGTTGATGTCTAATCATAGAACGTGATCAATGTTTTCCCAATCCATGCCAAAACTCTGGACGTTGTGTCATCATGGAGCAAAGAGGGAATAACAAAGCTTTTGTCTGCGAATGTCCACGTGGTTTCCATGGTGATACGTGCGAAGGTAAGCAACAAAGAAAGGATGTGACCGTTCGAGCATTAGGTGAGATATTCCCTCGATGATCAATTAAAAATCTCCACACTTAAAGTAATGCTAAGAGTCACGATGCAAGAACGTTAAAATCTATATCTTTTCAGCACTTACTTACTTAAGGTAAAATCAAGCACTGATTGCTTTCACGTGATGTAATCACAGCTCAGTTTTCCCATGTACTTTCTATAAACATAGGAAAGAATCCGTGTGAGCCTAACCCGTGCGCCAACCAAGGAAAATGCACAAAGATCAATGGTGGCTTTACTTGTGAATGCCAACCAGGTTATAAAGGAGACAGATGCTATGGTAAGGAAAAAAACATAAAATAAAAGGCTTCAATGAACTGTTATTATCAATCTTGTACTGTACATGCCTCATCATTTTCGACAGAGATCGACAAGTGCAACCCAAATCCTTGCCAACATGAAGGTACCTGTGATGAAGTTATAGGAGGCTTGGGATATGCTTGTAAATGTCCCAGTGGATACAATGGACAAGATTGTGAACGTAAGCACTGCTAAATCATTACCATTAAATTCCAGTATCGTGTACCGTACTCTCATTCAATAGTTTTATCGTTCATCTAAGAGATAGATTTAAAAGTCAACCAATGAATGCCTCGTTTCTTACGAACGTAAGACACTTTTCAAAATGATAATGATCTTTGAAATTCTATTGAACCAGAGAAAGATTACTGTCATCCTAACCCATGTGATCATGATGGTCAATGTTTACCCATGAGTAACAATGTTGGTTACAGATGTAAATGTACCGCGCAATACATGGGTCAGCGGTGTACGGGTAAGATGTCTCTAAATATACCCATCGATTCCAGTTACTACAGACATTTGAAAACTTGTTTTGGACATAAGTTTCATAGCGAAGCCAAATGTACACACAACCTTCTTACTCAATTCAGCCCGATAACAATATCTTTCGGAAATATCCTTTCACTCCTAGATCCCAATCCATGCGAACCTAATCCGTGTCTTCATAACAGTCAGTGTTTGATGTTACTCGGCTTTGGAAAGAACTACGAGTGTAACTGCTCGTTAGGATGGTACGGAGATGCATGTGAAAGTAAGTACTTAAAACAGTGATCAATCTTTATCACGATTTAAAGAAGGCATACTAAATGAAGTCAATTGTTTTAAAAAGAACGCGACATGTGTAAACCAAACCCATGTCAGTATGGGACAAAATGCGTTGGGATTGGACAAGATAGTTACAGCTGCATCAAGTCATTATGCAAGCCTAATCCTTGCCAGAACTACGGCAAGTGCATCGATATTAATCAAAACGACTTTCAATGCGTATGCCCATCCGAATATGGCGGGAAAACATGCAATGGTAAGACATGAAAGAATAAATTGTTGAACTTTTTTAGTGGTTTGAAAAGTCATCTTGTTAAAAAGACCGTATAGTTTCAAACGACGATTCCTAACTTCCGAATCGGTTGAAAAACATGTTTTCAGTTCTTTAGCTGCTTCAAGAACTAATGAAAACTTAAAACTCTATCAACAGACAACAATAGTGACCTTCATGACATGATGAGTAAGAACAAGCAAGCTTCAATAAATCAACACACGATGACAACGAACGACGATTCATCTGCAACTAACGTTGATGCATTGCAAAAGCTGATAGAGGAAGCTTTAGTAGCGTACAAACTAAAACACGAGAAAAAACAAACTAATGAAGATAAGGTTAAAATGATCTCAAACAGTGTATTTACCAAAGAAACAACTAAACCAATGACAAGACTTCATGATGACTATACGGAGAACAACGAAGAACGTACGATTAATCCCTACAACAAACGGAAAACCTCGACAGAAAACCGACAAAAATATAAAGATGATATAAAATCGAACGAAGAAATAATCAACTTGCTTCAGACGGCAGGTGAAGTCATTTTTAATAAATTAAAAACTATAACAAAGCAGAAAAATATTGATGAGAACAGTCAAATAGGATGGAAGAACGACGCTTTAATAAATGGCAATAAACTGAACACAAAAGATGACTTAACTGAAAACGCACCAACTCACAAGAAAAACGCACTAACTGATAAGAAAACGTTTACAGGACTGACAGGAACAAAAAATGACCTAGAAAACGGAAATATACAATTATCGAATTCACTGATGAACTACATACAACGAAACTCGCACTCAAACATCATTAAGTCAATCAATCGAATGGGAGAAATTACAGACGATAATTCACGACAAAAGACAATGAAAGATAATCAAATAAAATACAGTTCAGGAATAGATGACAACAACTTACTGAACGATTTAATGAGAGACACAAACTCCAACATAGACAAAATAGATCAGAAAACTGTTGATCAAAAGGAAAATGCTTTAACTAAAAGTGTAAACTCAGCAGGGAATGTGGTGATGAATATAAATAGTGAAGGTAACGGAATGACAACCCCCTTATCACAATTGAGACATTTAGAAAGTGAGATGAGCATAGAGTTGACGTAATTGAGATAATTTACAAATTTAATCAGAGATAGAACATTTTCTGTAGCTCCTCGAAGACCTTTACCATTGTCAAAGATTCCTATTGTGTCACAATATGCCATACAATCACCAGGCCTAACACGAAGTGTGCAGCAATCGAGGCAAAGTTTCAGTCCAATACTCACGGGCAAACCACCGCACATTCCAATGTCACGTAAGAGCTTTAATTTATACTATGAAGAGGAAAGTTGAAAGTTCTAGCCTGCAGTTGCAACATAATTATTCATTAATATCATTAACTATACATCTGTAGTATGTATAGCAGCCCACTATGAATTCAAATTGACTTTTTCAAATTCTATTGTCTTATTACAGTAATTGCAAAATGTTCTCCAAATTTATGTCAAAATGGTGGAGTTTGTGTACATGAGCCGGGAAGACCAATACGATGTCAATGTCCAGCAAAATACACGGGTGATACATGTGAAATTGATAAGTGTAAAAACAACCCGTGTAAAAATAGCGGTACTTGTTTATCCATCGAAAGAGAGCCGGGTTTTGTTTGCAAATGTAAAGATGGACTAACTGGACCATTTTGTTCTCGTGAGTAGAGATATATCGAGAGACTTGCTAACACTAACAAAATCAAATGAAGATATGATCTTCGCACTTTGCTGGACAATTTAAGCAATTGTCTCATGAACCTGAAAAATTCCGGTGACTCAACGGGATCCCAGCAAAGTGCGAAGATCATATCTTCATTTAATTTCAAACACCGCACTGCGTAAAACATTCTTTCACTAACAAAATCGTCATAGCATATAAGTAGCATTTTATCGTCTTTCTTTTGTTTTTCTCTAGACAAACCCTGCGAGCCTAACCCTTGTCTTAATAATGGCGAATGTGTGATGTTTTATAGTATACATCTTTGCAAGTGCAAGCATGGATTCACAGGAAAATTATGCGAAGGTAATGAACGGTGTTCTGCAGATATATATAAATACAATATGATAGCTATGGATAAAGATGCATAGATATAGATACCTCTTGGGAGTAACAGAGTGGCTTAGGGATATTGATTGATTGCTGTGATTCGCGAAAGAAGAAGTTTAAGATTGAGCACCAATAATAAAGCATGGTTAGAAATCTGTTCCATTTAAAGGAACGTGAAACTTGAATGACAAAAAGTTTTTACAACAGTCACATCGTGCAAAATAGAAAACTATAACGGTTACAACAACATTTCCCAACAAATTCAAAGACAACAAAAAGACACAAATGGAAATGTGAACGACTTGCAACCAATGAATATACAAAATGCACTGGTCATATACTACAGCACTGTGTCTTAGTTTTTCAAACAATACCGACGCAGCAAGATAAATAATTTCTAGGATTAAGCATTGAATGAAAGGATCTCAAAAGAAAGATAAATAAACCATTAAAATAAATATGTTGTAAGAAAAACTTCCGTTGAATCTTTAGTATCCACCTATGGTCAAAATATAGAGCAGACAGCAACACCAAAACCACAAACATCCCTTCTTTTGAAGACGAGTAAAGGTAAACAGATAATAAAGATAACGTGACAAAACCAATCTTCACATGACTATCGAATCTGTTTCTCACAATTTGTAAAAAATTATTATTTTTAGCGGTATCAGCATGTCGTCCTAACCCTTGTAAAAACAACGCTCCCTGTTTTGTGACTTTCGATGGCGAGTTTGAGTGTATTTGTTCCAATGACTTCTCGGGTCCACGTTGTGAAGGTATAGCAATATCAGTGCTTTTACCATACACACTCGGTCTATATATGTCAGAGTGATCCTATTGTAGATTTCACAACTCTAAAATTATTTTCATTGTTTACAGCCCATGGGAAATACACATACTCATCTGCAAGCAAATTCTTTCCAGCACCAAACGGTAAAATGATACGCCTAGATGTTACATGAATTGTTCTCAATCATAGGGCAACCTAGGGCAGAACGTAGGGCAGAACAACCTAAGGCAGAACAACCTAGGGCAGAACAACCTAGGGCAGAACAGAACAACCTAGGGCAGAACAACCTAGGCAGAACAACCTAGGGCAGAACAACCTAGGGCAGAACAACCTAAGGCAGAACAACCTAGGGCAGAACAACCTAGGCAGAACAACCTAGGGCAGAACAACCTAGGCAGAACAACCTAGGGCAACTTTCAACACCAAATTCAATGTGCATCCACATGGAACACAGGAGATACTAGGGCAACATCTAACACCAAATCAAGTGTACATTCACATGAGATACGATAGTAAATTGTAGCTTGAGTCCAGATATCTCCATGAATATATTTTCAGAGGAATGCAAGCACTGTGACAAGAATGCTCGATGTGTTAATGGACACTGCATATGTAAGAACAAATTTGTTGGAGATGGATTGGAGTGTTGGAGTAAGTTCAGACGATACATTGAACTGATAAAGAACTTATCATGATTACTGTACTTTCAAAATTCAACTTAATTCCAATATCTTTAGAACGCACTCTGAAAGACGAAAAGTGGACATGTCAAAAAAGCCCATGTAAAAATGGCGGGACCTGTAAGAGAGGTATTTCTCGTTGCATCTGCCGGCTTGGTTACTCGGGAGATTACTGTCAAGGTAAACTGATTTTTGCAATTAGCTCAAACTACCAGCCACACTGCATCATACATGGATATTTCAATAAAATATCCTTCAACTCTTATTTGAAGAAGACAATTTTAAGAAACATTAGGTGGTAGAGCCTAAAGTTATATCTGCCCATCCTATACGTGAAAATAGTCGACACATTTCATTATAGCGTTATTATAATCATATTTATAAAAGTTCAAGCTCATCTACTTGTCTTTTAAGAGTCCAGTCTTCCAGTTGTACATTTAACGTTTGATCGACTGGAAGATGAAACTAAAGTTCCAGACACGAGTGGTAATGATAATGACGCGTACATTAGTAATGGCTTTGAAATTCTCCCAAGACAAGGAAAATGCGCAGGCGCTGGAAATGTCCAAAGTAAGTGGTTAGTTAAGACAGTGCAACGAGCGTTAGGAATGGAAAATTGTAGAAAGTAAATGCTTGATGGAAAAACTCGTAGAAAAAGAATTTGATCGAGAAAAACTCATAAATGTAACATTATATGACATATATATTACACAAATGGTGACAAATCCTCTTCAATACCATTGTGCCTTTGTAGCTACATCATCACGTTGTTGTTAGGAAAGAATCAATAAACATAAAATCGTTAAAAACAAAGACAATGTTCATTTTAGATGGAGATATCCAGTTTGATGGAGAGAATTTTAAGAATATACCTAGACGAGCTATAACAATAGCAATTTGGATCAAACTTGTAACAGCTTTAGGAATTCAATCGATATTTGACACAATCGGTTCACATTCAAAGCACAAAGATGGTCAATATCATTTTGAAATCGACAACGGTCGATTGAGATGGTTTCATCGCGATGAGAACCGAGATACCGTGTTCAGCGTTGTCACAGATGAAGTAGCTGTTCGCGAAGGGAACTGGAACCTAATTGTGGGATCATACAGTATGGACAAGAACAGAGCAAGAGTAAGTTATAATTATTAAGCCTTGCTAAAGGAGTGAGGCGAGTAAAGTTTCATCAAGCATTTGTGTTGGATTCCTTCATTAAGAAAGAGAGAATTTATTTACAGTACTTGATACAAGGAAGATTTATAGAAGCTTTACAAAAACTTCTAAAATACTTTTCCTAGATTTACGTCAATGGAGACAAGGTTAAGGAGGAGACAGGCCATAACAAGTCACTGTCAGGAGATTGGGGCTATAAAGCAGGAATAGGTAAGATAAATGCATGTTGGAAACACATATAAAGCTCCCATTTGTTGAGTAGTTTAACTTGCTAATATCGAAATAATGTCATAAACAACAGCGACATTGCCTACAGAACAAGATTACGTAACAAGAGATATCATTACTCCCATGAAAAACGACAAAATGAACGGACAACTTTACTTGACCGACCGTGACAAACTCGCATACATTTTGTCGCAAACAAAGAAAAACAACAATGTTTTGAAACGAGAATTTCTGGACAACAACAACGAGTTTATTGAACAAATTTTGAACAAAGACAAAGAAAACCTAAGTGCTAAAAACATCGACGAACGTAAGTTTAAGCAAAGCAAAAGCAGTTTTGAACTTAAACATGATAAAGATAACATGTTCAGAGAGAAAGATGAAAACGCTGCGTGCATTTTAACTCATCTATAATACTTGAATTTTACCCAATAGTGGAATAGACAAAAAACATACATCAAAAATCACCATTTGTGTTAAAAACATTTTATATGGCTCGTTATTGCTCTTAAACTCTACGCAACTTTTTAGGCAAACATGAACACCCATATGGCGCAAGACGTTTAATGGGATTGGTGGACGAATTTTCGATCTTCCCTTCTGAGTTATCAAGATTGCAAATTCTTGTTCTCATGAAGCACTGTAAAATTTACTATCGTAAGTACAAAACAAAAGATCTTTCTTAACAATGCTCACAACTGAACAATAGTGAAACAAAAAATTTCTTTCAAAACAACTAACGCATGTAAGAAAATTTTGTTAACAGATCAAAATAAGCTCAAAGCTTCTGCAAAAGAGAGTTTTTCGAAAATCAAACAAAACAAGGTGTCTCAAAAGCAGTATGGTGTTCCAGCATACCGACAATCATACCACAATGCTCACTACGCAACACCAAATACTCCTTTAAAGCCCGTCAACCCAAAAATATACCTTTGACTAACTACTACGAATCTAATTACGGTTATCAAAGAGCAAAGGAATACGAAAACTCTGCGGGCTTCCTAAACTCTGCGGGTTACCTAAACTCTGCAGGCCACTCGAACTCTGCGGGTTACCCAAACTCTGCGGGATACCCAAACTCTGCGGGCTACCTAACTCTGCAGGCTACTCGAACTCTGCTGGCTACCAAAACTCTGCAAGATACCCAAACTCTGCGGGCTACCAAAACTCTGCAAGATACCCAAACTCTGCAAGATACCCAAACTCTGCGGGCTACCAAAACTCTGCAAGATACCAAAACTCTGCGAGATACCCAAATTCTGCAGGGTATCCAAACTCTGCGGGGTATCTAAGCTCTGCGAGATACCCCAATTTTGCGGGGAATCCAAACTCTGCGGGGTATCCAAACTCTGCGAGATACCCAAATTCTGCGGGGTATCCAAACTCTGCGGGTATCCAAACTCTGCGAGATACCCAAACTCTGCAGGGTATCCAAACTCTGCGGGGTATCCAAACTCTGCGAGATACCCAAACTCTGCGGGGTATCCAAACTATGCGCGATACCCAAACTCTGCGGGATACCCAAATTCTGCGGGCTATCCAAGCTCTGCGGGCTACAATGCATTCTGGACACAACAAACTCTACCAGTGTCCTCAAATCAACCAGCTTTACCTCAAACATATGCACCTGTTCAAAAAACCAGCTCATACATAGGAAATAAAGAAAATTTAGACTTTTACCAATATAACCCTGCATTTTACCAAAGACCGCAGCAGGATAACACAGGCTTTAAAAAACAATCAACCAAACTATATCCTATGGCATCACAGTGGTCTGGATTGAGAGGAGATGAAAGAAGTTACTCGGAAAGCGAAACTCGTAACATCAACAAATATCCTATACACGTCCCTGACAGAACTCAAGACTACAATGGATACGCCAAAATGCAAAACGCCAACACGAGAAGTTATTATTCAAGCAATAATTTATGGGAAGTAAACCAAGCTCAACAACCTAGTAATCGTCAAGGTTACACAAGATCCAGCGTCAATCCATCAGCTCCATGGGATACTTCATATAATAGTCAGTCGTACCAGCTTACCCCAGAAATTACAGCCCCACAAGATGACAGACATTCTAACATTCCAAAAATATCTGTGTATAATCAATATGGATCTATAGCAGCCGCCAGTGGACTGAGTGACGGTCAACAGACACAGCCATACAACCAAGACTCTCAACCGGAAGGAATGAAAAGCAACGTTGCACAACCAGATTACAAAAGCAGGCAACAAACACAATCAGTTGGTTATTACAACATGAATGTTATGACGCCAGATAATGATGTCATAAACACACCACATACCTACGATTTACAAAGTCGTCGATATCAAAATGGATTTAATACAGAACTCCAAGCAAGACAAAGTATGCCGAGGATGTCCATTACACAGCAATATGACACATATAATACCGCATCAGGATACATACCTAGTTACGCGAGCACAAATATTTATTCATTGCGTGGAAATGTACCACGTCCTTCAGTACCGCAGAGAGATCAAATATCACGTGCTATGAAGAAGAAGAGTAAGAAAACAAGTAGTCAAAACTCGCGCGCAAAACAAGTTTTGATTCAAGGACCTTCACAAAAACAATATAAGCTTTCCAAAGTAAACAAACTTGATGAAAACGGGCAATACCCTTCGGATGTTAAAAGATACACAATGCTCGCTAGAAAACGGGTAACGAGGAAAAAATTAAGATACCTCAAAACTCAAACTCATTTTCCTCAAATTATAAAGGTTTTAAACAACCTGCATACGTGAGCAACAGAAACCGCGGGTCAACGAGATTACAAACGCCTTTAACGTTGACATCCGGGGAAAGCTACGACAGGTGGTCAGCAGTCATGCAAGAACAAACGCCTTCAGTACAAATGAGTTCTGCAATGGCTAAAAATAAGGTACATGAGACGGTATAGTATGACGCAACTACTATGACGTCAAAAAAGGTAGATGCGACGGTATAGTATGACGCAACGACTATGACGTCACAATAACCCAAAAAATATCTGAAGTATAAATATAACGAAGAAGATACACCACACATAGCATTAACAAAACACTAACGGAATTTTTCTATGGGGAATATAATACATAAGAAAAACAAATAGAACTAACCATTATTAATGTTTCAAAGAAATATTAAGTGGCAAGGAAAAACATATTGTTACAAGAACAGACAAAACATAATCTGTAACATTTTAAAAGGATTTTTTACCCTTACTATGTAAGAAAAGATGTAAACGAAACAGTTTCCTTTAACCTGTTTAGCTTAGATAGACTAACAAATCAAATAATATTTTGATACATGTTTGTAAAATATAGCAATAGGTTCAATGGTTGATTGAAACTTTACAGAAAGAGACTTTTCTAAGATTAATAACATGTAACATTAAAATAGAATTAAAAATAAGGGACATACATAATAATGCCAAAAAGTACCACTAATTAAAGCAATTTTTGGGTCAGGAGTGACTTGCAATTCAATCTGTCGCAATTTTTGCTACCTCTCGAACAAAAACACCAAACAAAAAAAAGTTTCAAAGACAACAAAAAATAAATTTACACAAACTTTGGACAAACATATTTCACATCAACAATAACAAAGTACAAAAACAACCTGATTACTGAAACAAAGGAATTCACCATTGACCTGAAATACCAACACAAGACATGACAAAAGACAAGCAAACCATTTTGATAACTGGTAAGCAACATTTCACTCATATTTCAATTAAGTAGATGACTGAAATACAAGAAGAACTATATTAGAGAGCCTTAATCATGAAACAACTAATAAACACAACAAGCTATTCGATTGCAGTAATATCAAGTATAACTCACTTACTAGCTCTGAGATATTTTGAAAGGTTTGCAGGCTCAATGATTTTATTGCTAATGTATACTTTCTAGTCTTTTATTCAGGTACACCCACCACCACCAACAAATGTAGCAATGAAAAATGTTCAACAAAGACCAACTGAAACATACAAAACAGAAAACAGCATGAATATTGCTCAAAAAACAGTAAAAAACCTCAGGTTAGTCAGCTCTGGGTTTAAATTAAGAAATAGAAAGAGTTTAGGAAGGGACAGAAAAAGTGTTCTCCTCCGGAACAGTTCCAAATTCCTCACAGACAATAAATGCCTTACAAAAACATGTGCATATGAAATCTAGAGTTCCAGATTTATTCGGAGGCACCCATCATCAAAACACCAATCCTCTTCAAGCAACTGCAAACAACCTAGCTACCTTGGATTCCAGAACTTACAAGCGGGCAAGAATCACCCAAAAGAACTGAGATTACCAAAAAGCAAGAGGGTATGTGCAGCAAAAATGTTTAACTCACAACTCACATTTAAATTTATGCTGAAAATAAAATCCTAATAACATAAAATCGACCTTCTTTTTTTGGTACAACGAAGCCTGGAAAAATGGACTGTGCTCCTTTACTTAATAACATACCAACAGAATCTCATCATTTATCAAGTTTCATTAGGTCTACCTTGAACGAACTGCTGATGTTGGGAATAGCCAAAGGAAATCCAAAAATCTCATGGAAACGAAGCTGGCACCGTTCACGTCATGTGACCATTGACAATAATTTTTAAAACGAATTTTTCCAAGGGAAACAAAGCAATTTAATACATTTCATATACAAAAAGAAAACTTGAATGCGAAAATTTTCCACTACCTCAGGGTAAATTTTCAGGAGCATAATGTAATTTATCGTTTTCTGGAAGTTATATAAACGTTCATATTTTACAATGTAAAATTTAGTGTGAAATAAATGATAAAATAAGCTATAAACATACCTTACTCGTCATATTTATAATTTCCAGAGCTGAAGTTGTTTTACCACTTTCGATAAACAAAATTCCAATAACAAAGGTGTTGTCAGTAATATTTTCGTAATACTTTCTCGCCAATTTGAAATTTTGAAACCTTTTTAAAACCCATTTTGAAAGCCCGCCACGTTTTTTACCAAACGTTTTCCCATACACCAAAATAGCTTCAATGCTCATCGGATACGCATCGGATTGAACTCCAAAAATTAGCACCATCTGTTTCTTACATTTCAGATTTTATTTGAGATTTTAAACTTACCACAAATGCTCGTTCCAACACCACTTCCGAATATACTTAACGCTTCCCGTTTAAGCACCACACCTATTCACATATGTTCTTGTTTAGTGACATCCTCGTTGACACTGTATACTGTTGTTAACTTTTCAGATTTTTAGGCAATAAAAATATTTTGGGTGAACCGTCAGTAAAAAATTATTTAAGAACGCGCTCTTGGTTTAGCAACACCAGTTTTCTTCCGTTGTGGAAGAAAACGTCCAGACCGTATTGCACTTTTTCTTGGATTTGACAAAAGCATACAGAAGATTGACATGCACAAAACGTCGTAAGGTGAAGCTTCATTTTATTGCTCACACTAATTTTTTTGCCTGTAATAATATTTCTCGTATTAAACAAGTAGGTGTGAATTAAGTTGGTCGAACTTAACTCACACTTTACGGTACGATGACCTTGACAATAGACGAATGATGCCGTCTCTCCCTGTTGGAAAAATCGGAATTCTCTTCTGTCACCTGATACAACTCAATGTCATAAGGAATTTGAGCATCAAACTTCACGATTTGATGCTGATTGGGTGATCGTCTAAAACAAAAGTCACGTGATCTTTTTACAAACTGTGTGCATCAAAAAGATCTGTATAATATAAACTTTTGCGAAGCGTTAATACCTAAACACTGCGAAATATAATCCGGCAATTGTTTGGATTTCAAAGGTATAACAAGTTATTGACTTATAAAATTGACAACTTTTATTGCAAGAACGCCTTGCTTTAAAACCTGAAACTAATGTTAAAGGATAAACAAGATATGGGAGAACACTTTCCGCTAAATAACTACACGTTTCAAGTGCAAGTACGGTAGAACTCTAAGAATTCTGTAAACAAAACTTTTTACAGAATTTTACACCTTACCTTGTCAACCTGTCCCATAAAGACTGCAACCATTTTGCGAAGTTGAAATCATACGCTATACCTTAATAATAAAGAACACTAGCATTATACAAAAAGGCCAAAACTGCTTTCAAGTTTCAACTGCAGATTAAATGAATTCGCTGTAGTACACGACATAAGTCTTCACTGTAATACAAAATCCTAATAATTTTTTGAAGCCGTGATTTTACCCCAGACACGCGTGTGTAGTCAATCAATTATTACTCCGCGAGAGAACCTCGAAACACAAAATACGCGTGTCTGGGGTAAAATCTCGCGTGTCTGGCGTAAGATATGGCATCAATTATTTGCTTGAGGTAGCGTTCCATGTATTTTAGTTCAATGGTGTTCACCAAACTTTCGGGTAGTACAACGCATGCGCATCAAAAGTGCTTGCAAAAACACCGCAAGCCATAATGAAATGACTGCTTATATATAGAGAAACAACACCATCATCCTTACAGTAACGAAAACGATTTATTCTTTTAAATTTCTCCTGAACCAGGTGGCTGGCCTGCAAAGGCTGGCTGCCCCCATTCCTATGAAGAAATGTGTAAAATGTAAATACGTACATACCTTTAGTAACACCAGGATTAGTCTGACCGATATATATATAAATAATTAATGCAGCAGAAATATTAGCCAAAGCATAACCCCAATGGATTAAAAACATTATTAAAACGCTTGCTACAGCCTACAAAATATAAAGATCAAAAAGATCAACAAGAGATTTCAAAGAAGACAAGTTACATGGCATATGGTGTAAATTTACTTACTCCCGCCAGCGAGATCCATCTATTTGCAAGTTGAGAATAATCTGTAATTCTTTTTTGTTCAATTTCAACGGTAAAATGAGATTTGGGATAACATAATTTACGTTTAACATTACCTGAAGGGAAAAAATCACGAAATGAACCACCATTTAAATTTTTACAGTGAATACAAAGAACATACCACCATTTTTCTCCTCAGCAACAGAAACTTTGCTGTACAACTCTGTTTCTTCTTTATCATGAAGCTCGCAATAATTATCATCTGTATACATTTCTCCCTCGTTTTTATGTTCTTGATGATTCCTATCATCATCAGCAATTTTCTGACTGTTGTTATGTCTGACAAAGCCTAGATTATTGTCCTTTAAATTATCCTTATCTTTATCTAAATAACCTAAGTTTGTTCCCACATTATCAACATTTGTTCCTTTGTATCTAGCATAAATCCCCTTATTTTCCTCTAGAGTACTCTTCCTATCAAGAATCTCATTGTCATAAATGTCACATTTTTCTGTACCATCCAACAAAGCATTATCACCACTCGTTCCATAATCTTTTGCATTCTTACCATCCGTCATGTCAGTCTTTGAAACTAAATGCGATTCTTCCGTCTTGTCCTTCTTGGATGAATTTTCAATAAGAAGACCTTCTTCCAAGAGTTTTCGTCGTTTATGCAGCTCTTTACACATAATAAGTTTGAAGTAGGCATAGTTGACAGCTGCGTATGTCATGAGAAAGGGCATGGTAACGACTGGTGCGAGAGAGTTTACATTGCCAATTAAAATTAGAATGATGGCGATGAAACCCACAAACAGAGAGGCAACATATGGTTCCTGGTTTGCACCACGCTAAACAGAGAAAAAATTAAACCTCAATGTAAATAATCATTATAATGAACAAGGGACTCGATAAAGAAACACGTCATCACTCGTTCGACCAAGAACAGAAACAAGTCAAATGCACAAAGTTTTCTTTACAAAATATGAATGACAATTCACCCCTTTTCCAAGAGCTTTGATGAGAGGAATGACATTATCTCTTCCAATACACTGTATAATCCTTGGTGCTGCGTACTGTGCCCCAAGACAAGAAGATAGAGAAGAAATGTAAAGACCAAAGAGAAATAAAACACCAACAAAAGCAACCTAAAATAGCAGAGAGAAAACAGTAAAAAACTAAGGAGTAAAAACAGGAAAAAAACAAACAGGATTGAAATGGACAAACCTTTGATGCGATCATGTAATCATTGAGCAAAGCCTCTCGTGTACACACGGCACCCAGAAGTAACGCAAACAACATATATAGAATACCGCTGTCCACATAAAAATGACAACACAGAGAGTTTGATAAGTTATAAATTATCCGAAGATGTTGAACAATATACATTATAAAATGCACTGATCTGCTCTCGAGTTCTCCCAAAGGTCTCCTCGGTTTGCATAAGCCCGTGCAAACACAGTATACATCTGTTATTTCTTAAATGTTCAACATATACAATGAGGCCACTTTATCGCCTCCATAAAAACAAGTAATTTTTCAATGTAGTTTAGAGTAAAATAAAACTCATTAGTATGTTATTTTAAATTTAGGATATAGTGTGATTATAATGCAAAATTATTTCTTAATCTTTTGCGAATTCATAATGAATGCAAATTCATTCTCTCCATCATTTGAATATGGAATTTACGAAAGGTCACACTTTCAACAACAGCTAAACTTTAACTCATTCTGTATAGAAAGACTGGGTACAATATCCGCTCAATTATATTCATACTAATACATTTACCTGACACCAAGAGCAGCTAATGTTCCGGTGGGAATATTTTCCCCAGGATTCTTCAAGTCACCGCTCATGTTAATTCCAGCCATTATGCCGGTGGCCGTCGAGAAAAAAACGCCAAAAATGCTGAAAAACGTTTGATCAGCGGAGAACTTTGGATTTATATTATTCATCATGTTGCCTTCTTTATAACCAGTAAAACCATTGGCTAAATAAATGAAACAATATAGATCTAAGGTCGAACCAAATGAAAACATAACACCCTTATACATGTGTGTAAATTTACCTATATCAGTATGAGCAAAAGTACCAATGACAAAATCCAACACAGAAATTGCCAGCACGGCAAGAAGCAAGAGTTGTAGTTTCACAACCCATTTCACCCCAGTTAAAATAATTGTAAGTATCACGAGAGTCGCAATAAGAGCTATGGTCCTTGCAGCCCAGTGGTTATCCCAGTGGGTCGTCTGAGCCAAGGATTCGCCAAAACCAGATGAAAAGAGGGATATACTGGCAGCCTAAACGAAGAAAATTAACAGGGAATATAAGAGCAATGAAAATTTCTTGTTGCTAAAAAGTCATTTTTCAAACACGTAACAGTGGCTCATTTTGTATGAGAACGATTGTTAAAGGGGAACATCGGGAAGACGAGAGGCTTAAAGGCAAGATATAAGTCTCTCTCAAAAACTTTTAAAAATCATGTATAAATACAAAAGATACAGACCTGGCCAAAACAATAGAGTATGGCAACAGTCGCCCCAATTCTCGCACCAAGAATGTGTGTAAGAACAAAGTAGATTCCTCCACTTTCAATATGATCAATATGATCAATAATCCCAATAGAAGATAACACAGGCACCAATGAAATCAATAAAGTCAGAAAGACAATGAACATTGTCAATGCAATGCCAGCATTACCCTAAAGAGAAATATGAAAAATTCAATTTTTTAACACCCGAATGACTTTCTCTATATCCATATTAATCAATTGATATCCTTATGCTTGGGCATGTTCAAATATCGTAATCGTGAAGGCATTTTTTATGAGAAAAGAAAGCTAAATCATAATTACCACTGTCCATCCAGTGCGAAGAAATATAACAACACCAAAAATATTCAACATACAAGACGTGAACACACCTTAACAAATAAAGTTTCAATAAAATGTGCGTTGATAAAATATTTATCTGATAAAAAAAAAAACATGAAATGGTCGTTTTCCTTACCATCCCATGTTCCAAAAAGTACAGGTTCCGTCACGAAAAAGTTTGCTTTCCACCATGGTTTCTGTTCACTCAAATCACCCTTAACGTTACAAACAATTTTATTGACATAAAAAAGAGAAGAAATGAGCCGTAGCGACTTTTCTCACTGAGTGCTAGACCGACTACAAATTTCAAAAGAATTGAACAATGGTAATGCTTTAATATTTACAGAGGGGGAGTAAATCTTCATGCGGACTATGCTACTGGATGAGTATTTGACGAAGAATTTGTGTTTAGTAAAGGAAAAGTTGTTTTTTTTTATCAGAAAAATGTCATTCAAAATTGAAGGGTCCTTAAAGTACTAGCTTTTTTATTTTCTTGTTCGTCTTCTTCTTCTTCTAGAGACAACAATTTCGAACACGTTCAACTTAGTTCGTTTTTCTTCTTCTAGAGACAACAATTTCGAACACGTTCAACTTAGTTCGTCTTCTTCTTCTTCTAGAGACAACAATTCGAAAATTTCAGTTTAGTTCGTCTTTTTCATATCTTCAATCTCAAGAGTCTTGTTTCTTCGGAATTTGTTTTATATTATACTTTTTTAAATTGTCGGCTGGTCATGGTTTTTTCGTTTTCTTCGCGGTTAATCGCTGTTATTATCTTTATCCTTTTTCTCATTGCCATTCTTTCATTTCTCTTTCTTGTACATAAAAAGGCCTTTTTTTGTTTGGGCGTGAATAAGGAAACAACTCTGAAGTTAGCAAATTCAAGTAATATAGCAGTATGTTTTCCTTAACATCTCTTTCTACCGTTTCCTATTTTTCAATATGAAACCTTAAGAGACTTTCTCTTTCTTCCACACTATTGAAGCGTTTTTCTCCGATAAGGTTTTTTCCACACTAAGTTGTGGCAATGAATAAATAATGTACAGTGTTAAACGTTAATAAATAATAAAGCGTCGCGAACGGAATAAAGAAATCGAGAATGGAATATAGAAATCTGTGATATGCCAATAGTAACTAACACAACAGTTTCAATTAGCTATGTAAAGGTGCTTAGAGTTCTGTGAATTCTGTCATTACTATACATAAGCAGACATATGGCAGTCAAAACAATTATTATCACACATCTTTAAGCATTATCTTAAAGACCTTAAAGCACATAATACCAGTAATATTATTGGCAACTCAACACAACACCATTACCTAATGGAAATTTTGTTATGACAAATTCATCCAAGACTTTGCCGAGGTGACAAATCCTGAATATTCCATCGCAAAAGCGTATTTGTCATGGTGAATAACAACTATGACCAAATAAAAAATTCAATGCAAATTACGTTCTAGAGGTTAAACATATTGTAAACAATTTTACTTTTTCATAAATGCTGAAACAAAACAAAATAGTCATTCTAAAAATACAAAATGAAGTACACCATAAAAACACATCGCGACAAGAGGGATTTTCTGTGCCACAGTCTGATGTGTAGATGAATCATAAATCTTTCAAGTGCAACATACTATTTAAATTGAGCCGATCAATCAAACTGACACAGAGAATGAATCGTCTGAATCCTAAAAATATGCCACTATTCACAAATTTTCTTTGCAACTGAAACGTTCAATTAACATTAAATTTTACTAAATCGACGATTAACCACGATAAATCATCCTACCTCTTCATCGAATATCTCTCGGACGTGTTTTGTATGATTTTGTTCGTTGCCGTTTTCGTTCTTCGTCGTACGATTAACGTACAGCATCGAGTGTTCAACGTTGTCTGCCAAACCGAAGCGAGACCAGTCCACATTCTCTGCTTGTGCACTTCCATTGTTATCAGACATCGTAAATACTGTACAACGGCTTTACGCCATTCTTCAATACGAATGATTGCATCGCGTTGTCCAGATTTATACATAATTCATTTCATTAGAGAACGATAAAATATATATATATAGAACTTAGCATTTCCTTCCGCCATATTGTCTGATCACGTACAGGAAAATGTATGTGACGTTTTTATACAACGCAAATCGTTCAAAAAAGCTGTCGTCGCATTATTTTTTTTTGCAATCTATCAAAGATAACTACACGAGCTACTTCTTGTTGAAACTATTTACAACTTACAAATAATGGAGAGATTCAGAAATCACGCAAATTATCACAACTATTGGCCTTTAGAGAATCAATAAATAATTAGAGACTTAGCTATCTATTTCAAATATATTTTTCGTTCACTTCAGTATTTTATAATGTAAAACAATCTCCCCACTATTTTTCCAAAGATAATGCTTTACTGTCCTTAAATCCATCGTAGGGTCTAGAAGCTGCAAAATTACAGTAAGAAGATTAGTAAAAATTAAAAACAGAGCAGAGCAAAACATTCGTTAATACAGACTCGTCTACAGTGAGAGAGACGTTTGAGCCGATCATATTGTGACTTTCCAAAAAGGGGAAAAAACTTAATGTTTAAAACCTGAATGGGGAAAAAACCTCCCAAATAAGAAACTAGCTTGCTGTTCATCAATTAAAATGCAAGTAAAATAATTGCTATAAAATAATTGCAATATAAAATAGGAATTCGTCTTTCTTTTGTATCGCCAAACCCAATAAATTTTTTTATCACAAAATTTCAACCCACCTGATCATTGCAATACAATTCAATTTTTGAATGTGCAATCTGGGACATATCTTCACTGTCTACAGTGCTTGGTTCTCGTTCGTTACCAGGAGTACTGTTGCCACCATCCGTTCCGATAAATTTCTCGTAAACATGTTCCATAACTTTCTTCATTTGAATCATGTCACTCGCACACAGACGGTCTCTGTGCCAAAAAATTATTTCATTATTATAAAATACTGTACTGTGCTGCGATGAAAAAGTTTACCTCTTCTGCGATTTCAAACTTGACGAATGTGGCAACAAAAAAAAAGCGAGTTTGTTTGACTTTGGGTTTATTTTCTTCATCGAAAATGAAAAAATATATATTTCAGGTTCTCATTTAAGTCATGTTGACCAAGTAGTTCACATGACAGTTAATTTTACCTTGACAACGACGTCATAAATCCAGGGGGGTGTAATCTCTGATAGCAAACATTGTTCAGTCTCCCCTGATGCATCAACAGCAAGAAAACGTAGCAATGTTCTTCCCGTACCAAAACTTTCACTCATAATAACAGGCGTATGAATGGGAATGCTGAAGCAACCATTACCGGGAATTATTTGCTGAAAAAACATAGTTACTTGTTCAAACGAGTAAAATAAGCACGAACTACAAGACGTTTTGCTAATTGAGGTTCACAAAGACAAAAACATCGGAAATAATACTTGTAACGATTACAGCATTGTTTGTATCGACATTATTTGCATTATTCAAGTCTACTTCACTGGTTTTACATGAAAGAAATATAAAAGATCAAACAAGGACAGTGAATGAAGAATGTGAAATAATAATTGACATAATCACAAGTATAAGGAAAAGAGTTAAGTATAAGATGCTGAAAGAAGAACAAAAGAAGGTTTTAAATATACTTACAGCAGGCGGTTCCACGTTAATGTCTACATCGCTAGCACTCGCGTCAGCTTCTTTCACTGAAAAAAACACCACATCAATAACATTCATACATGAACGTGAAATTTTATCTCATGTAGTAAAACAGGAACATAAAAAATCCTAGTATTTAGTCTCTATTCTAATAAATTAAACTTGACCAGTGCCCCTTCAGACAGGACGGGATTGTAATTGTATTATCTACGTTACATAACGTCCAAGAAATGGTATTTTTTTTTCTGGCTGGATAAAGTGCCAGAGATAAGCTGCAGTAATTTCTTAAAACAGGAAGATCGAAATTCCTGAGTACTTATTCGATGATTGGAAATCCACGTGGACAGGATAAAGGCATTTGTTCAATGTGAACAGATTGCTAAAAGCATTTAGAGAAAAGGAAAGAAAATGACAAAATAGTAAATTGTCGTATGCACGACGGGGCGTAATCCTAAAATTAGCACATTAATCCTAAAGTGGAAAGATGTCGGACAGCATTGTTAATACAATGGTCACTCTTTTCATGCGTTTTATATCAAAGAACTTAAATTAAATGCGAATAGTTTTATAGATGTAGCTTTGCGATACATTACAGTACAAACAAATGTGAATGATTGGAAAAAAATATAAAATAAACTATTGTTATCCTCTGTGTCATGTCACGACGAAAAACTTTTAAAATTAAATCCAAAAATTAGAGCAACGAATAGGGGAGGAAGCTTGGTTAATATCTATATGGCAAAACCTCGCCCCTGTAAAGGATTAAAAAGATAAGCATTAAGCTGTAAAAGGTAAGAAAATATTACATTGCAATGAATTTTGATAATGAATCAGAAATTAAAAACAAAAAATTGTGCCCAAACAAAGTATATATATTTATAAATATGAGTTTCAAAAGTAAAGATAGATACAACAAGTGTTCTATAACACGTATGATTGGTAAAAAGTTACGAGGAAGTCAAAAATGACGTCACTGTTACAAAGGCGTCACTGGTAAAAAATCAGATGATAAGCACATGCTTCCACAGGCGTTGTATGGAAGTTGATGATTGTTAAAACAGAGAGCTTAAATTGAATCGTGATTTATCAAACTTTCTTTAAACACATATTATAATTGCAAAATACGTCCTTGCAAAAAGTAAATATTATATTAAAACCACGGATTAGAGTAAATTAGATAAATGATAGGAAACAGATCTTCACCACATACTATTTAGCCTAAAGGGAACTTCTTTTGCTAAAGCGAACTTCTCTCGCCAAATTGTCTGCCGTGAAATCACTTAAAGATTAGAATCAACAACCCACAAAGTCCTCATGTACTAATTCTATGTTCTAGCAATCCTCGTCTTTAAATACTATGAGAAAAAGTGAATTTCTATAACCAATTTTAGATTCTTCTTTAAAACATATGATTCTAGACAGTGTAAACGTCAGTACGAAAGTAGTCCTTTTTTCCTCCTACAATGTAAATATTTTTACTGCAAAAATTTGCATGGTATGAGTAAACTTCGCCAACGGTAAATAAATCGAATCCAAATCGATAAATTTAAACTTTCAATGGAAAACTAAACAATGAGAATCGCATGAGCAACACATCGAAAGTGCATGACAAAGATAGATGTCTGGACATCTTCAGTCGCAGCAAATATTTACAACCAAAGGAGTGGGTTGTGTAGGAGCGTCACCCATAAATCATTGCACGAATAACTTGTGGATAATGAGGAACTTCTAAATTTTGGTTGTTTCAGATGATGTGAAGACTTTGCTTTCATCATTCACTATGCTTGTATTGAGACACGCTATCAGTAAATATTTTAGATAGTGTAAACATCGTTTTCGTTCTCTGTTGTTCGTTCATCACTATCTACACTGACACATGTTACCTTATTTTATATTTTAAGTAATGTAAAGACTGTTCTCGTTCTCTATTGTTCATTCATCACCACCTACACTGACACACGTTATCTTGTTTATATTTTTCGTAGTGTAAAAACTGTTCTCGTTCCCTGTTGTTTATTCATCACAATCTATACTGAGAAGGGTTATTTTAGTTAATATTTTAGGTAGTGTAAAGACTGTTCTCGTTCACTGTTGTTTATTCATCACAATCTACACTGACAAGGGTCATTTTAGTTCATATTTTAGGTAGTGTAAAGACTGTTCTCGTTCCCTGTTGTTTATTCATCACAATCTACACTGACAAGGGTTATCTCAAGGTTTATCACTCGATGAATGTAATCAAAGTTCATCACACTCTATTTGTTCATTGTTATTACGTACACAGACACAAGTGCTATTGAGGGCTATCTATACTGTACCGCTGTGAAACACAAAATGTTCTAGAAATTTTGAAACGATTTGTTACTTTAGCCGGGCATAAAAAGCTAAACAATTCATAAAACTTCTTACTCGACTTCTAATTAAGTGCTTATTAATTGACACAAGCTTCCTAATGCTACTTTGTACAATATATGCATGTTAAACTCTATTAGATGATGATAGTGTCATGGTGATGATGTGAAGAAATTCACCAGATGATACATGCTGATAAAAACATATTACTCGATCGATCCATGAGGCCATAACAAACCATATATAGTTATATATATTTCAAATTGTTCGAATTTCCAAAAATTGTTAACGCGTCATTCAATCCCTGCCAAACGGAATCATTTAATCATCCTGCAGACCTTATCATTTCATTTTGCATGTCATTTAACCAGTAAGCATTTAGTATTAACCAAACAGGATATCGAACGTTCATAGAGATCTCATTTTACACCTATGTTCACGCCCATAGGATCAATCGACACATCACTTTACGCAGACTGCAACAAATCATTGATGGTAAACACCGCCTACAAGTTTCCCGTTTTGCATAGATAAAAGATCAGCAGAGCGGAGGAATTTCAGTAGAACGAAAAACATCAAAAAAGGAGGGTCAAAGCACTGAAAGGAAAGATTCGTGAAAAAGTTTTTCAAGGACGAAAGATACAATGAACAAGATTTTAAATAGCATTGTATTTCTAATGGCCATTGTGGTAAAAATGATGGAGTCATCTGGTGAAAACACTGCAAAATTTCCCATAAAAAATCAGGTATTTCTTGATCATTTTCACAATGAAAAATATAATGTAGGTTTCATTACATCTAGAAAAGCACTTGTCGACGCATGCAGTTAAGTGCGCCAACAGTCTGAAGGTCTCGAAACCAAAAATCTGTTATATGATCTCATCGTCCAAATCATTGAGAGAACATATAAAAAATGGTAGAATAACAAAGTGGCCAGATTATAAAAGTCGTATCACTTGTCTAATTCATGGTATTACTTATTAATGAGTCTCGAATGGATTACATCCTTGAAAAGTGCGATTACTATTTATATCTTGCTTGAAAAGCAGGATATTTAAATCCTCGGAAAATGCTATTTTTCAATCAAACGAAGAGAATGTCATTCATGAATATGTTGACATTTCACTTCTTTATACTTGAAAATAATAAAGCAATCGACCATTCTTTTGAAACATCTAAGTATATCCAACGTTTTACTAGAATGTTTATTAATTTGTACAATACAGGTCAAGTGTGTATTAATGAAAAAGTGACGATGCCAGACGATTACGTGTTGATAACATTAATATTTGTGATGATTGCAATTCATATAGCTTCTTGGTTTATGTGATATTGATGACACAAATATCGCTTGGTGTGAATGGAAACGGTTTATGAAAGAAAGCTATGATCACCAGAAACAACGAAAGACAAAAGAAGAGCTTGCTGGCCTGGGTTGGGTAGACCGTGTGAGGATTTACGAAATCGAAACGTCCGCGATATTGAAATGAAAAAGCAAGATGACGATTATCCAGTGACAGGAAAAGGCGAAAGCTGGAAAACTGATGTGGATAAAAGCCATCAACAAAAACCTCCATTTAATAAGCTTGACTGGAAAAAAGCCAACACTAAATTGCATTCCAAAGACATCATCGGAAGTGAAAATAGAGATCTTATCAAAGGTACAACGAAATGTCCACCAGGAATGCTGAACTGTCAACGATCCAAAAATAGAAGATTGAAAGATATGGCTGAGATCAAACGTGCAATGAAATGTCGTCCAGGAATGGTGAATTGTCGAAGACGCAAGAATGGTAAAAGAGGATTGAAAGGTATAACTAAACAAAAACACTGTCCACAAGGATGGATATTCTGCGTTTACAAAAACAACATTTAAACGGTTAACTGTAAAAATACACCTCATTCATACATAGTTATAGTCTTAGGTTCTATGCATATCATCTGGATATAAGTATTTAATAATATTATTTAAAGCAACAATAAAGAAGTCTAAAAAAAGGTCATGTTGCACTCTTCGTCGAATATTATTGAATTATAAACAAGTTCTATGCAAGATTGATGCGCATATTACTCGATATCATTTTGATATTTTATAATCAGTTATGTTTATTTATTAACTTTTATAACAAGTTGGAATGTTATTAGAAAAGATTGTAAAAGGTACAACCACCAGTGCCAAATATACGAGCATTTCCTTTGCTCGGTAAATCAGATGGCAATTTTGTTTTTCAACGTTTGTTTTTATTAAGAACGTTCAAAAAACTTTTGAAACATGACTTCACAGAGCAAAGACTTATATGAAATACGAATAACTGGCTGCGCAAGCGAAACGTATATGAGTGAGATTGAGATTTAAATTCGTACAGCTCATGCTAACTTTAAATTAATAACCACAAAACTTTGAAAATTATATGTTATAAAAATAGGGATCAAAGGATAGTGGAAAGTTTAAAAAAAACCACCGCTTTTTAACTCGTAAGTTGTATCAACCATAAAATGCTTCGTATATTTATTTCATTTCTCCATTAACACCCATTTAATTTTGATTCTTGATTCATGCCTATGTTTGTGGCGGAAAGCCAAAGCCATACGACTTTTTTTCAAATCAAAGGAAACATTGTATACTATCATATTTACTCACTTTATTTGAGAATAAATTTCATATTTCAGTCTTACCTGAGTGACATTCTTTATCGGCGACCTCCGGCAGGCAATGAGTTTCGGGCCAAAACTCAAACAAAGCTTGTAACAACAACATACCGTAATTTACTGCAACAATAATACACACAACAATCAAGTAGTTATAACAATGTTATACCATTACACTGCATGTGAATAGATCTCTTATTCATAACATCACAAAAAATCTACGTATGTATAAAATGACCGTCAAATTTTCAGATATTTCAACAATAAAACAAGGACACGTTATACAATTGAGGTGTGCTCTCAATGAAATACAAAGTTTGGGAGCAAAAAGCGTTCATAACGATATGAAATTTCTAGTAGAGATGTATAAACTAAGTACACTCAAGAAAAAAAGTTTTCTGAAATAAGACACGCGAGGGAATAAACGAAAATCCATAACGTTCAACGACTGACACAGATGGCAATGATTTTTTAAAAAACGCACATTTTTGCTGGTAAGAGAACTTATATTTAAAGTCGTTCAAAATTGTTCTTGCGCACAAAAATCAATACGGACTGTGATGCACAAGTACTATGAGATCTTTTAGAGATGTTAAGCTTTTTTGATTATGACGCGCGCGTCTTATATCAGGAGAGCCTTTTTCGTGAGCATGTAAATGAAACCATGTTTCCATGACGCGCGCGTCTTATAATAGGAGAGCCTTTTCCGTGAGCATGTAAATGAACCCATGTTTCCATGACGCGCGCGTCTTACATTAAAGAGCCTTTTCCGTGGGCATGTAAATGAACCCACGTTTCCATAAATCCTGTAAAAGGATTGCGAAAAAAATAATAAAACGAAAAATAATAAAAATGAAGCCTTACCATAATTCGTGATGTTCAAAGCAGCTATAAGTTTGACAAAAAAAAAGAAGATTGCTTTTTTTTCATTTTACTATTTTTAATGTATCATCACACACTTACGTTTTCCATCTATAACCTTTGGTGTTACGTCAGAGACATCGCAGGAAGAGAGCCAAGCGCTAAAACAATCGCTTTCCTCAAGATGGATCATTAAAAGCTGTCAATTTCAAGAAACAAAATGAGAACCTTGGCAGTTTAAATTATTTTAGAATTAAGTTTTCAGTCGGACTAACAAATTGAACATACAACAAACAATAAAAGTGAGCAAAACATACAAACCCCAATCTTTATATCAACTGTAAACCAATGTGGGACAAATATCTTCTCAAATCTTTTTTGTATTTCTGTATCAAAATCAACAAATCCCAAGGTCTCTTTAAGACAAACCTACAGATAATATTAATTAGCGCCAGACAAAGTTGTTGAAAAAAAATCAGGAAAGCGCACATCACTGAACCTTTAAAACATCCCAAAGTTTGACAAGGCCATTGGAATCTTTCGTCAATATGTGTCGCCGGTCGTTTAAGACGTGAAAATTTGTAATACTTGCCGCACCTTAATAGAAAAAAGTCAAGATGGATCCTTCAACACTAATAAATACATCAAACATTCTTGACACACACACCTTTGATGACATCAATAGGTTGCTCACACGAAGGACTGGGCTCTACTTCGTCGAAGCGTATTGTCCCGTTACTATTTTTTGTTACTATTGGCTAAGAGGAAAACGAAAAAAAATGATGTTCAAAAAAATTACCCGGCAATGCTAATATGCAGTTATTGATTTACCCATTGTTTGAAATCAGAATCAGAAGTTGATACCCACATTGTTCGTTCATCAGCAGAAAGTTCCATCTGGATGTAAGAAAATGAAAAGTGTTCAGGGGAAGTAACAGCACAGATCTTTCTAACTGGAGAAGAAGAAAAGATAACTCACTGCCAATACAGGTGCTTCCTCAATAAATAACAAGGTAGAACAGTCATCTTCTCTTATACCAGTCAGGATCACTCTCTGATCTCTTCCACTGGAGTAAAACCTTGTAAAGCCTTCATTAGGTAAAACAGTCCATACTCCTTGTTCATGTACCCTAAATGTTGCAATACAGCGTTGCTGCCCAAGTGACCACAAACGAACTGTACCATCTGAACTACCAGAGAGACACTGTAAAATCAGTACACAAAGTAAAATGTAGGAAAATGTAGGAAAAATTTTAGTGGTGTAGACATTAACCTGTGTGCCTTCAGCATTGAGTAGGACACTTTTCACATTGTCCATATGACCACGTAACTTCATCATTTTTTCACATGTTCTAGGATCCCAGACACGTAATGCCTACATTGAAACAATGTTAACTTAACAAAGTCAATTTCGAAAGTAATATCACACTGTGTTTGAATACCTTTTCCGTAGATCCTGAGATAAGAACAGTTCCAGCATTATTCATTGCAAGACTATAAATAGAGTCTTTCTGACCACTTAAAGAAGATGCTATAAAAAAGAAAAGCATCATCTCCATAAAACAAAACAAGATTTGTAACCTTGTGCTAATGAACAAAACACTGTTTGCTCTTTGAGCTCACTTGTCACAGTGTTGTTTGTTGCAGTCAGAGCTGTTAGAGTGTTTACATCCCAAAGATAAATCTGTTTGTCCAAACCGCCTGATGCTACAAGCTCTTTGTCCCTAGCATATGCCAAAGCTTTGACATAATCCTTATGTGTTCGTAGTGTTGACATACAGAACCCTTTTACAGCATCCCATACCTTGACTGTAGCATCAGATGAAGCGGAGATTACTAAAATGAATAGATAAAATTACTTGAAACAAACATGCTGTTAAATATGCTGTTTTTTCTTGACATTACATAAAACATTATCTATCAAGAAAGATTGTGCTCTTATATTACATGTCTTTCCATTGCGACACAGCACAATGTCGTTCACCCAATCATTGTGGTGTTCTAACGAAGACACATAGTGCTTGGCCTACAAATAGAATTCATAAATCAGTAAATGTAATATTATAGATATTGACTGAAGGAGCGCAGCCGTTGAACTGATAAATATATAATTGAACAATTGCTGGGTTTTTTTTGCATGTAATATTAACTTTTCGAACATACAATTGAACGCCGTTTCACATATTTAACTCAACTATCAATGAAAGCTCACCGAGTTTCGAGATTCAACATTCCAGCACCGAATAACCGAATCTCTTCCCGCAGTAAACAATCTTCCAGTGGCCCTGTCCAGTTGAAGGGCATTTACACCACCACGATGCTGCGTTTCTACTTCATCTCTGATTACAAACGAAACAGTTTTCTTTCTTTTAGCTGTGTTTTGGACGGGACGAGTGCCCGCCATCTTGGTATTTTGGAGCAATGTAACCGCGTCTTAAAGGATGAAGCCGTGCCACCGTGCCTTCTCTTCAATGTTCTTCACGCGATACGCACGTAATTTCTCTTTTTTAGGATTCACACTTTTCACACACGATAGGTATTTCAATACACGATATACAATATTTTCACACACGACAAATACTTCGAACACACGTTACACACTTTTCACACCACGCACACATTTTTTACAGAAATACAAATCAAATACATTTTTCAATTTCATTTTTTTATCGAAAATAGTTCTTTATTCACAATATTGTACAATTATATCATCACCAAGTTTGTTGGTATGTTTGTTCAACATATACTGTCGACAAAATTGTTTTTCGCATTGGAACATTAAGTCACCAAAAATGACCAATAATAGAATTCCATATTTGGTCAATAAACTTGTATTCCATGGCTAGTGTTTATTCTGAATAAACACTTCCAAATAAAGTTCACTGACGAATCTCTTGCTGTCCATAAGCATGAGTCGGGTGTCTACTTGTGCGAGTACCTTCCTGTCCCTAAGAAATATTCAGGAGCATGGTCCTTCGTAGTCACGTCACAAGCGGCTCGGGTTTTACCAGTTCCAAACTTGCTTGACCACGTAACTCAACATTTGCTGACGTGATCGTCTCGACACCACTCCCTTGTGTCGCGTTCCCTCCTTCCTCAATTTCAGACCCATCTTGAGGACCCGAATTACCTGCCACGAAGCGAATGCATTTCTTTTTTCTCCTGTCAAAAAATGAATTCATTATTTCTTGATTACAAACAAATGATTGAAATTTTGATTAAAATCATTATTATAATTCAAAACATGTAATTGCCATTGCTTTCCTCCCCACCTACGCTCTGAACCAACAACGCACAGCACCAGTAAGTTTCATAGGGCAAACCTTTTTTGCCACAGATTATTACAAAGCCAACGTTCAAATAACAATGAAAATCAAATATATTATAAAAAACAAAACAATTAATTGCCACTAACCGATAGCCACTTGAATAAACAACAATATATAGGTAAATAATGAATTAGAATGTAAAAATACCTGCAAGGTTTGCACCATTCCTGTTGTCGATCTAAGCCATACCTCGCGCGACACTTCTTCGGGTTATTCACTTCTACAAGAAAAATGGAAAAAATTATAATCAGGAAAACATGCTAGAACAAAACAAGAAGCCAAGGTAGTAAAACATGTTTTCTGAAATTAGTTTCGTGCCCTCTCCCCCATATAAAACATAACTTTATGCCAAAGGTTGAAAAAAAGTATACTTCTCAAATAAGAAAGAAAACCAAACACAGCATATATATGCATTGCAACATATGCAGGTATTAATGTAGTATAATTTTGAGTTTCACAATCATTACCTGAACTGTCACCTTGTGATTTGTCGCGTTTTCTCTTCTTCTTTCGACCTTGTTGAGCGTAATTCTCGCGAGCACTCCACCCGGGATACAACTGCATGTGCAAGGCACGTTCACGCCTCGCCTGATCGTAATATTTTGCTTGTTCTGTACGATCTAACTGATGCCACTGCAGGATAGAAGAAATAGAGCACATGTCAACACTCGTATTTTTGATGTGCCGAAATCATCAAAGGGATATAAGATAATAAGTAAATCCTTTAGTATGCCACTTATTACACGATAATTTGATGTTACGCTCGTTAACGTAAACAGAATCAAATGAACATTAAAAATAACTTTACACTTCATCGTATGAAAAACAAGGGACGGTTTTTTTATAACAGTCGGTACGTTTTGACTTGATCTTCAATGTGCCGATTTTTCAAAAGGAAAACTCGTACAAACTTAGCTATAGTGCATTGCGATGTCACGAGAAATTGATTGCAAAAATAATATAATATCGATCCTACGTCACTCTAATGTTATATTAACACAAACTCTTGTTATTTAATATCCACTATTTCGATAATCTTTCGATATTTCATTGCTATTTCAATAAAATTGAAAATTACTCACTGAAGAAACTATAAACTGAATACTAACATGAGAAAGAGGTTTCTATAAAGCAGGAAGAGAACGGTGTAATACATGAGAATAGAAAACATTCACAAAATCATCATGCTTTCCTTTCAACCAATCACGCGTCTTATAAAAAGGTCAAACACGTCGGCAGAATAGAGATTCCATTTTAAAGAGATGTACAGATCATTTATACGCATGCGTGCTATGTCTGACGTCTTTGCAGTCAATCACGGCAAATTTTCCCATACAACTAAGACAAGTATAGGAAAAGTGCTTAAAGATATCATATAGAAAGAGATGTATCGGAGACATAACGCTTCATGCTCAAAATTAAAACAAAACAGCCAGAACTTATGATACTAATCCCTTAAACATCACAATTTCATTCAAAGGAAAGCTAATATAGACAATATGCAATGTCCCAAGATACTTTACTATAATTTTTTTCTCAAAGGTCATGAATATATTTGCCTGGAACCTCTTTTTACTAGAGGTTACATCATTAATAGTTTGTAAAATTAATGAAATAACTCAGAATAGGTGTAGCGAGTTGCTGTAGTACAATGATTATGAATGCAACACTTTAAGAATGTCTGCAGGTCAAGTTACTGAGCAAAATCTTCTCAACGAAAGAGATGTAGCATTTTCCTGAGACTTACCCTTTTGCCGAGAATCTGGTTAATGGCCGCACTCTCCTTAAGGGTACATTCTGAAATCACCTTACTACGCATCTCCTTCATATACAACATAAATGCATTCAGTGGCTTCTTCACATGTACCTTCTTAAGGGTGTTCCCATTCTCATGACCAATGGTCCCTTGGCTACAAAATCAAGTGAGTAAAACATCTCACTGAAAATTTTTTACAACACATTGTTTTCTAATTCATAAAATCATTACTCTAGTAATGAATACAGAAAATACATGCAAAAAATCACAGAACAACAATACTAGCAAAGCCTTAGCTAAAAAATAGATATTTTTAAGTACCTATGACCTGCCATTGGGGTCTGACATATCACTGATGTTTTCATTGGAGGGGCAACCATATGGGCATGTCTTTGCTCATCTGTAATGATTCCAGGTGGACGATGCAAGGATGCATCCACACTGCTCACTGGTATGCCATTGGGATAATGTGGCGGGTGATACTGTGGCCCAGGGTACATAAGATGCGCCCTGGTTGGGTGCCTGGAAGCAGAAAATAAAATAAATGTCGAAAAGTTAAATGTGCTAATGTTAATAGAACATACCATATTCTTCCACTGTAGTAGGGATTTTCATGTGTAGCATACGGTGAGTGTGGCCCAGTCATAATTGGTCGAAATATCTCACTTGATTGTGGCCCCCCAGACAGATTGGATGCAAACGTCTGAAAAATTGGTCGACCATCTCGTTTGCCCTGAAATATATGAGTAAAACACTGAATTCTGTGATAAAATTGTTTGACTGCAAACCATGGAATAACCAGTAATTCTATTATAAAAATTTTTCAACTAAACGAAGACATTTGTGCTGTATACTATGACTGTACAAAAGATGTAAATTCAGCATATATTTTACTTCTTTCCTTAACGTAGAAATGCACAAAAAGGACAATCATCAGCAATTATTTTTTACATTTTTATTTACATTTGATTATTTTATGCCATGTATCAAATTTACGACAATTTAGTTTGTTTCAAGTTCAACTGGTGTCAACAAAATGTAACTAATAAAAGCAAACCTATAAGATATTATGATTTGGCTAAGTTCAAGGCAATAGTTTTGTCATATGTCAATATAGAACAATAGGCTAGAGTGTATTTTTGCTGTACTGTAAGTACTGTAAATTACACATGAAAATACCGTGGAAAATTGCATAAATACAACGCAAAAGGTACTGTGGCAAGGTCTCTCAACAAAAAGCCATTTTGAAGGTTGGCGGAAATTAACACACAAAACACCATTATAGGAGAAATACTTGGCTGATTTCCACTAGAAATGTGGCACGCAAAAACAAACTTAAATTTCACATTAATAACAAGAAATTAAAAAAAAACAATGTCATCCAACGAATGACGAATTCAAGTCAAAACGTTGAACGCTGATCGAAATCGAAAATATACAATCAAATATTCTTCAAACTGCGCTTTAAATTAGACAACAACTTGTTGGCAAATCCAATCTATGGATCTTCGAGAAAATAATATTCCACAAAATGGCATATTTTAAGTCAAAATCTTACGAATCTCGCGAGATTGCAAACAATTCTAATTACACTTTACATCACGATATTTTCAAACAAGATTCATTATGTTGTTTGAAAGTAAACCTACAAACAAGGGGTCTATCTTTACACACATGCAAACCAGACATTATCAATGAACTACTGCCGACAACTAAAAAGGAATATACACAAAAAGCCGCACAAGGGGGCAACCTTCGACCTTTTGTATTTAGCTTTTTGGATACCGCCACTGGAATTACACAAAAAAATCACAAACAGTACCAGTGTCATTACTGCTCGCATACAACCAAGAAAAATCGCCTAGGTGAAGGCAAGTTAATGTCATATAAAATAAACCATTTACCATACATGCGATTCAATTCTCTTTTCAATTCATTAACCGCCGGTTTATTAAATAGCGTCCCAAATCATTGCAGCACTCGCCAGGACTTCTTAGGCCCTTTGAAGTCATGCTCTTGCCGAAATACGAGAGCCAGACTTACAGACGAACGCATTTCACAGCTCTATGCTCACAAAAGCGTGATTTCCACAAAGATCTGTTCAAAATCGTATAATTTACCTCAGATTCATGGCGTTCAGCGTCTTTTTTAATAAGGTCTGTTTTTATGTCATTGACTAAGTCGACATTCGTTTCGTTCACAGCATTCTCGTCTTCATATTCATTCGCGAACTTCTTTACTTCGTCATCAGCGCCATATTCTTCCGTCGTTGTATTTCTCATTTGAGGCATAATGCCTCGACAATACACCGTCAAAATACTCCCTTTTGGTCGCGTTAAACTTCACGAAATAATCTAACGATACAATTCAATCTCTCTCCAATACGTCTCGCACTATTATGTTATTTATTGCATCTTGCCGACTTTGTCTTTGATACGCCGCCTTCGATATATCAAAGGAAGCCGCTGCATTTGATTGACGGATTTTAATCACCTGATTATAGCATAGAAACCAATAGTATAACGCTGTCGTAAGGTAATTAATCGCGCACGGGTAATTATGGTAATTATACATTTGCGCCGCAAAGCAGAGCTGGATTTTGCCTTAGAAGTCGCAGGTCAAAAATTTCCATCCAAAATGATTTAAAATATATACAAGGGGAAACTTTGCATTTCAATGGCGGGGAAGCTGAGGCACACCAACCAATACGGGACAATTTTCTTGCCTTCTTTACAACACAGTTGAGTGACGGTGCATTTCAAGTTTTTATTGGTTAATCTGGAAGCAAACACAAATGAAAATTGAATTATAATTGGATGATAGCACACCAATCACCTTCGCGTGGGCATATTTAAAATTACGTTTCCATCACGCAGGAACAATAAACGACTGAGTGCGTGGTTGGAATGCTCATTTTGTTATTTGGATGACCGTACGTCCAACAGGTCTTACCGTCAACGTCTAAGTACCATTTGGACCATACCATTACCAACACTTTTTGTTAAATGCATAAAATTATTTATGATTACTTTAATTCAAAGAGTTGTGACATGAGTACACTCAATCTGACAGACAAACAGTTTTCGGTCCTTAAATTTAAAGTATAAACGGAAACGTTGAAGTAAAATTGACCTCTACTTTTGCAAGTTTCTAAGTGATATATATATTCTTTAATGGCATGTTGTGGCTCACTATAGAGTAAATAAAATACCATAACCAGGAGTATCATGTGACCACATGTTGCCGACATGCTCTTTCAAATTTCAATCAACTTATTAATTAAATTGATTAACTTATTAATCATAAATCAGAACAATAGAGAGCTTGCAATAAAGATGTAAAATGTTTCAAAGATGACACTTCTCTCGCAAAAGAATAAGACCAAACAATGCTTGGTAAACGTGACCTTCTTCCATAGAAAAAACGAGGAAAGAAACTTGTATCTCAAAATGTAGAATAGAAGAATGAAGATTAGAACGAGAACAGTCTCTATTGCGTGGTAAGAAGTGGCTTCAGTTAGTTAAAGACCGAACCATCGACAAACCAAACCTGCAAAAGACCGAACCACCGAAAGAACCAAACTTGCAAAAGACCGAACCATCGACATTCGACAAACCAAACCTGCAAAAAACCGAACCACCGAAAAACCAAACCTGCCAAAGACCGAACCACGGAAAAACCAAACTCACTGAGAATTGATCAAACCCACTGAAAAGTTAAGATTGGCTCCGATGTCTACAATAGTTTGACTTCTTGGAAGAGATAAATTATGTTTCACCAACTTCATGTTTTATCATCGACTTTCAAAAGTATTTTAATCTACTTACTTAATCATAAAGACCAAGATCTCTAACTCCTTCGATTCTTTTCCAACTTAAGCACTCCTCGTTATCAAAGTAATATACGATTGAACAGTGGTCTATAATGTATTTATCTTAACAAGTGTAAATACTCTTCTTATTTTCTATAGTCTATTCACTTACAGCGTGCAAAGTTAATTAATGTACTTTATCAAATACAGTCTGCTATTGCTTTCTGTTTGCCAAGGATAAATATTTTATATAAAGAAAAAAAAACAACTTTTCGTTCTAAGTTTTGCCATAATTCGTGAATTACAATGGCGAAAATCTACCATTAAAAAAGACGGTTGTATCTCATATACACATATACGCACTCATGTATGTCATTTTATGATGTGCCAGTACGTTGCCTCTTTCAAAATGTAACAAAACCAAAAAGTTTAGTGAACAGCCATATAAATGACAAAACTAATCGCACCAATTATGATCAGACATATGACTGCCATAATGATTTTATTTTGCACAATTCTAGAAAAATAAAAAATTTATGAAACTAAAAAAGAACTATATAAAATAGAAGTTTACCTACGTAAATGTTTGTCTATGAAAAAAAGTCCTGAAACTGACGCTTGCTATTGCAAATGAAAGTACATTCAACTTTTTTTTTGCCTATTCTGACTATTTACCTCCTCATCATTCCAGTTAAAATTCTTGAACTTTTTCCAAGATTTTGATCCGTGTTTCGAAGCTAGGATATGATGAAAAACATTTAAGCAAAATGGCATTTTCATTTATTTTATAATTTAAACAATAAATTGTATATAGGATTTATGTATTTAGTTGGCAATAGGATTTAATTTATGATAAACTAGTTTGAAATGCAGTTAGATAAATTCTGATAGTTAGGAGAATTTTGCTCACCCTTTCTCGAGTTCTCATCATCACTTCACGATCTCTCTGCAAATTATCCATTATGACTGTGCCCATCTCCTCTGTTTCAATACACATTCTATAGCCATCATCAAGTTGGTTTGAGCTTCTCTCCAATCGCTCTGTATTATTCAATAACCGAGTTCTCTGAAATATCAAAAAGATAAATCAAATAAAGAATTTTCAAGCAACTAAGCTCTTCTTTCATACACAGACTGGGAGTCCTACCTGATCCTCAGAACTGGATGTAAAATCCGAATTTAACAACTCGTTTCTGTCAGCTTCATAGTCACCAAATTTTACTTGGGCTTTTTTCTACATAATGCAAAAATTGATAATCTTAAGAAACTACAGTTACATACAATTACTTCTCAGGCCTTAGAGCTGGTTTTACTGGGAGATACACAATTTTTTGCAAGGTCTCCCCCAATCTACCAATAAATAAAAACATTTTATGCAAAACAAATTTATGAAAATATAAAGAATTGAATAGAAATCATATGACATTTTTCATTTTATCCTTTAGTGGTTTGAAATCGAACATTTTCTCCACAAAATGAATGTGCATAAAGCCACAGACTCATAAATAATTAAACATATATCTTCATACCATATAAAATACCGTAAATGCTCACTTGAACACTGCTCCTGCTTAAGTGATGCACTCAGAATGGGAAGAAATATTGAGTTATTAAACTTTATAATTTACATCAATCTCATCCTGCAAATCTGTGACATTATTTATGTTAAGTTATATTATATAATATCATGTAAATAGATTTTGTCTACTTGTTATTTTCTTGGGGCAATAAAGTTATTTTCTTTAGTAAAAAAATGATTAATATATGCCATACATGCATTAGTGCCACATTCAAAAATCAGAATGATTAAATAAGCACTGTGGAGCTAAAGCGAGCATTTGCGGTACACTAAGAATAATAATAAAAATTTTATACTATGATAAAACATTCATTTTTCAAACTTTTCCAATTGAAGTCTGTTGTTTTTTTGGGGGTTTTGGAGTTATCATGTCAAAATCCCCAAATTGGCTTTTTTCACTTCTAACATAAGCATTAAATATTTGAAGCAAGTGTAATAAGAAACAATTCTACCAATATAACGGTGAATAAACACACAAATATACATTTACCAGTTCCTGCTCAAGTTTTTGGACCTCTTTTTCATATGTTTTCACACGATTGCATAATTTTGTCTTATCAGGAGCTGGCTGTTCACGAGCCTCCAAGTCCATTTGCTCCAACTAATCAAGTAATGTGACACAAATAAACCAGCATATATCAATAATATATGTCATAATTATTTGATGTCAAGAACTTATTTATTTCAATGCTTCCTTCTGTTTGGCAAAGGTCCTTATGATTGGCAAAAGCAGTAAGACAATCAAATCCACATTTATGAAACGTTGAAATAAACAAATAAATAGTTTATACATAAATAGTTTTGAGTTTTTCCAAAAAAGATAATTTGAATGTTGTTGTCATTTTAATATGTCAATATATTTTCTTACTAATTCCTTGACTTCATCAAATAGTTTCTCAACGTTCTTGACTTCATTTTTCTTACTCCCTTAACGAGATAGCACATAAAGGACACTCTTTAGTATTAATTCCATACAGTTATATCTACTTCAATAAATTTACACATCGACAACGACGACGACAAATTAGTAAAATAAAAATTGCTTTTAGATTTTCACCTGATTCTAGGCTAGGAATACGGCCAATTTTTGATGTAATTTCGGCTGTTAACGTGCCAAAAGTATGTTCGTAACTTCCAAAGAGATCGCCCATATTTCTTAACAGTTAAATATGCCAGAAGTTAAAGAAATAGACGACAAAACACAATTCAAAACCTTCCCTATTGATAACACCATTTTGATAACAGTTAAATCCGAAAATGACGCAATAATTTGTACAAATCCAACCTGATCCAACACGAATTCGAATCACATCATTCCAATCCAATCCATCCAATTCCATTCGAAAATTGAGGACTAGGTGCGAGGTGATAGACGTCCATCAGCAAGCTCCAAACGTCATCTGATAGTAACTTTTAAGTTTATTACTGTGGTAATTTCTTACCCAGATCAGAAGAATAAACATTTGAATCGGAATTATGGATCCTTGACATTTCTAATGTTTGATTCCTGCAGATCAACTCACTAAAATGTTTCGTTTCGAACAAAGCAATATAGAATGTTAACAAATATATGGTGAACGAAAATCAAATGCATCGTGGTCTTTGTCAAATAACAAACTCGGACTGACAATTCACAATTAAAACTTCTCATCTATTAGTGCAAAAATTTCACAAAATTTATGTAATAACCTGTATGAAAGTTGTATGTCACGTTGTACCTTAACTCATTGGACATGAAGAACGCACACAAGAATATTGGTCAACGTCATGCCAAGTGACTATCGTATTTAAAGGATATTTTATTTTATTCCTGTGTTTCAGCTAAGCTGATCCTAACATTAAAGAGATAACAATATTTACATACGAAATTTCTCGCCATTGTACGATTTTATCGAAATCTCTAGAAATCGGCTACTTATGTACAAAATTTGATATTTTCTATACGACATAACTCTTCACTAAGTATATAAACGCAACACATCAGTATTGATCCGTATTTATAGTGAGATTCGTTAGCTTGTTGTTATCCATGGAATTTCATCCAATTCAGCAACTGAAATAAGGCGAAAAGGTGTTAGTATATTAAATGTACATCTAGATTGCAATGAGTTGCAAACGGTTATAAAATAATTAATATAAACAATATAAATATTATATTATATTAATTATTAATATTAATATTATATTAATATTATATTATTAATATGAATTCGTTAATCACAATTCATATAAACATTTAGTAAGATCTTTTGAAAGGCAAACAATATTGAAACAAAATTTACATGCGCATGCAGACAAAGCGCTTATGGTAGAACACTCCAATATTTGAAATTCACAGAGAAATTTTGTTCTAGAAACCACAAACTTACTCAGAAATTTTCAAGTCGCCAGGAGGCTTTCCACGTCTTCCATGCTTTTGCCATTTCTGATACTCTTTTAATTTCCGTACTCCACGTTTCTGATCGGGTTTCTTAATAGGATCACTTAAACTTTTTTCATGCTTTCCTTCAAGCAATTCCTCCTTGGAAGAGGACCTATCACAGGCAGAATTTGATTTGCCAAGAGGCTTCACATGAGAGGTAGTCCCCTCATTTAATTCATGTCTTAATATAACGTTTTCAATTTTCCGAGATTCTTCATTATCCTCTATAATCCCTTCTTTCTTCACATTCTCATTGACAGTACACGCAGCTTGTCCACAACCATCCTCTACATGTAGAACATCCTCACTTGGCGTTCCATCAACTGTAGAGTTGTTCATCAAGATCTCGATACTTGTAGTAAACAAACGAGATCTACCAACCGATTGAAGAGACGACTTTTCCATTAAATTTTCACCTGGAGAAGAAGAAGAAGATTGAAAAATAGATCATACTTATGTAAAACAGAAAAATTAAAAGTAGCAGACCAATCAATTTTATCCAAATTTAGTTTTCAAATCTTTCCGTAGATAAAATAGATGAACAAATAGACACGAAACAAAAAATATACAGCAATGGCAACATCTCTGTAGCACACAAACCTGTTGAAACATTGACAACACTATCAGGTGTAAAATTCCAGATGTCCTCTTTCTTGACAGACACTGGCGATTTGGCTCTAGTAGTCAAAATGCAACTATCACTTTTTGACATCTCCGTTTTCGACATGACTTTCTTCACTTCATGAGGAGGAAGATTGCCTCTTACTTCTCCCCATGCTTCCTCAGTTGAACTCACCATAAAATCTTGACTGGAGTGAAAAGCTGAACTAAAATCGCTCGTGGAACTGTCAAGAGATTCCCTGTCCCTTGGTTGGAGAAGTGAGCTATCAATTCCTCTTGGAGATGTAAGCGAGATTTCTGACACAATGCTTTTGTCAAAGGTGTCTTCCTCAAGGGAGTTTGCCAGGCCACTCTCGAACGTTGCCCATTTCTTAGAAAGTGGTTGAAGAGCAGATCCATTTTCTTCGCCAAGAACCTCTAAAACAGAGTCAGCATTGCTCAAGCGAGTATCGGAAACATGGAAATTGCTATATTCATCAGCGTCCAATATATCACAGAAATTTGTGGTCCTCGTGAGCTTTCCCAGACCCAAACCATTGTCGACCTCATTAAAATCTTCAAAATCCTCGAGACTATGAGTGGCATTAGAATGGGAAAAGTCTTTGCCACGACCATCACGTTTTATACTCCCACTAAAGGTGCGCAGTGGATGTCTGTGAGCATGTGAAATGGGACCTTTATTCACAATCCATTCAGCAGACATGCTCAGCATTTGTCTCAACGATAAATTTTCATTTCTTTCATTTACAGTCCCATTATGGTTTCTGTTGCAATAAAGTGCTTGGGAAGATATCTGTTTATTTTGAAAGTCATCTTGAAAATGAGTGTGATCAATGTCTTCATTTTGGATATGACTTTCATTGGGATTATTTAAGTCCAACTCCAAGATCAATTGATCACGCTCTGCCTGCAATGTAGCAACTGTTGCCTCTAGATTCATAATTTGCCACTCCATAAGTGAGACATGCTTGTCTTTCTCTGCCAAAGTTAGTTCTAAACAGCGCACCTATAAATGTAAGAAATTCACATTCTGCAGAGTATGATACATAGAAAAGTTTTTGCAGAGCTTTTTTCATCTGACATGGCAGCTTATCCTAGATTAGCCAAAACTATGATGGAGTGTTGAGAATTGTGAATATCCATGAGGAAAAGTAGGCTTACCTTTGATGTCAAATCTTGTATTCTTGCCTCAGCACTTTCAGCATCAATTGCACACTTGAGTACAGCCACAGAAAAATTACCTCTCTTTTCTTCATGAGACAAATGAAAAACCCCATTTAATTGATTGATATAACAATAAATTTTCAACAAACTCATAAATATTGATATGAATGAACATTCCTGTGGTGTTCGGAGATGAACTATAATATTAGCACATGATTTGAAAATGAAAGTGAAATATAAGACGAAGAACATGTGTTTTATTATATTGCTAATGCTTTCTTTGAAATATTTTCCATTATAAGTAATGATAAATAAACATTCCTGATAGTTACATCGTATCTGGAGGTGAACTAGAAGATTAGTCTTTGATATAAAAATGAAATTTGAAATATATGACCAAGGACATGTGTATAATTATATTGCTAATACTTTCTTCAAAATTATTTGCAAATATATTATATGCATACCTGGAGAAGCCACTTTGTTAGACATCAACTCTATGTTGGCATTTCTCAACAGATTCATTTCTTCTTCACGCTTAGCAAGTTCCTGGTTATGTTTCTTTTTCTCTTCAATAAGTTCCTCTTTGGCTTTCATTCTACTCTGGTTTACTTGTTCACAATATGCTTGAAGTTGCTCAATTTTCCCTTTAAAGTGCTCAAGTGATTCCATTACCTCCTCAACTTGCTCATCAGAGAAAATTTCCAACTCTCTAGGACCATCATGTTCCCCCTCTTTCAATGCCATTACTTATACCAGCCAAATGTTAGTCAAACAGCAGCATCAACATTAAACTTGCTCTACAATTCAACTGTCAATACAAATGGGCCATTTCTTTAACTTACCCAAAAACATGTTGTTTAACAATTAGTAAACATTTTACCTTAAAGATTTAGTACATTTGAGAAATATTTGCAGAATTTTAAATAACAACACGTAGGTCTTATTGCAGTAACGTTATACCTAAGCATAAACATATGGTCAAAACCATTAAATCTTCGTTAGCAGCAAATAGTTTGTTGCACTTTAAACCTAAATACATTTTTTTCCTTTAGTGGGAATCAACAACACGATCATATAGAGAAACTCAACAACAATCATTTTTTACATATATCTGTATTCCACCGAATATCGAGTCCTAGCTCGGAAAATAACAACATATGTTTGGCACACAAATATACCACTTGAGAATGTTTCGTTTTCTATTTTACCAAACGAATTAAAGCAAGTTCAGCATTAGCAATTTACTTTTGCTATGAGGCTTCAAGAACGTAGCAATCAATACAATTTACTTTCATACTTCTGGCTTATCAGATCACGAATTCTTAACAGCGAAGCTGCAACGTATGCAGTAGTTGTGAATGTAAAATGGCATTTTCTCTACGCAAAATCAACAGGCCAAAACATGTGCTTAGAAATGACAACCAAAAAAAAAGTAACTTGCTTACCTAGGAACAAAATTTTCCCTTCTTTAATTATGCATTACCGACAATTTTTTACAAAATTTTACAACAAACTCATTTGACATCTCCATCTTTGTAACTCCTACTGAAAGACCATTGAGATAACCGTCAGATTTTAGATAAAATTGACGGAACTTCCGAGAAATCGCGAAGAAAATGTCGGATTGCATTCAAAAAGATTAACTTTACACAAACAAGCAAAATTTACCATTCTAGATGGCTTATTCTTCGTTCAACGATTACAAAATACGGGAATGGAGTTTATAAAAACTTGTGAAAATGCTATTCGTCTTTTGACTTGTCTTGGTTAGTTATATCTCCATCATGGTCATCCAGTCTGATAGCACAATTTCTTGGAAACCATCCTTTTTGAGGGTCTTTTGCTGAAAAATAGGAAATAGTGTTAGAATAACATAAAAATTCAGTTTTAAGAGCCACTTCGTAATGCATATCCAGGTCAAAGTAGCCAAACGTTATAGGAAACAAATAACAAGCTCAGACAACATCACAGGTTGGTAAATGGGGGAGAGGGGGGGGGGGCACAAATGTGAGACTAAAATACATGAGTAATGCACATGCAGCAAATGAGCCCCCCTGGTTACATGCCTGTATCAGAGCACTGATGGTCGGAATCTTGGAGTTCAAAAACTCTATTTACAGATCTTAAAATTTCAGGAGAAGAAATGCATTAAAACAGCAACTTCAAAGTTGAAAACAAAATTTGTTTGATTGTAAACTATTTAGTAGTGTTCAAAAGCAGGAGATGTCACAGACGTAATCAGGTAATTCTGTAATTAGAGGGAAAGAGAGAATAAAGAATGAGTAACTAATGATTAAGATTTACCTAAATTCTTTTTCTCGTTTTCCACTTTCATAGCATAGAGCCAATGTCTAAAAAATGAAAACCTGATTAAATTTATGTATGAAGTTGTCAAGAAGATTGTTGATCGTCAGCGCTTGGTTTATCTTTTTATTCTTATCATACCAGAGTGTACCTATATGACGATAGTGTTGTTTTAAAGAAAAGTATTTTAATGGACATTTTATAAGCTAAATATCAGTAACTTATTCACTACAATACAATATGACAAACATACTTTCTCCAGCGTGTTACCACAAGAATTTCATCTTTTTCAAAACGTAATCGTCCTTCCACAGAACAAGGGAAAGTAAGGCAAGTTTTTAAACCATTTCGCCAACCACAGAAACTGCCATTAAAAGTCACAGTGCTTTTAAACTCCACCTTAAAAAATAGCTTCATCTTTATAAAGAATGAAAATCATGAAATTGATGCCATGAATTAGCTATGGTTGTTCTAGAGCTCTAGACATAAATAAATAAAGCAAACAAATAAACAAAAAAGAAAGAAAGAAAGGAATAAAGGAAGTAGGGATCAAATAAGCAATTTTTCAAATTAAAGTGTGAGTGTATTTATTGAAAAAATTAGATGGCTACTTTACATGTAATGCTTAAAATGCACTCTTAAGAACTTAAGAACTTACTCTATAAGAACTTACTGAATAATGTCTTTTAACTTGTTTTTGCCTCAATTGCTCAACCTATAAAGTAAGACAGAGAACACAAAACAAATTATTTTCATGTTTTAAGATTCAACAAAAAAAATGCATGTCATGGTTGAATATTTACAGTGAGAGAATACTGATTACAACTCTCCACCACTGGCCAGTGTATTCCATCACCAATATAATCACCATTGAAATGAAGCACCTAAGCAATTTATAATAAAGCAAGATTAAAAAACAATTATCTCCAGTTGATAGAAACCATCCAAAATTCTGCTAAAATCTCTCCAATACTTTATCTCACTTGCTTGATATTCTCCCAACGACCAAGATTATATGGGTAGATAAACTTTACATCATTCTTGGACCGGTGTGCTGCCTAAAAATGCAAGCATTATGATTAAGTGCTACATAAAAGAACTTTAAAAAACATTGATGTACAACGTGGATTATTCCTTAACTTCCCAAGCTTTTTGTCATTAGATTTTGGATTATTTTGTTGTTGTTGCCATTTGGCAACAGTGGGAAAGAAAGGGTTAAGATCTTGAGATGAGTCAAGAATTTGACCTTTTCAACAATCCATGCCTCTATTGCTGATTCATTGCGAACAATATCTTTAATCTATAAGTAAAGGAATAATAATCATTTATATTCAAATAAATGAGTAAGAAAGTCGATTCTATTCAATAAAAACCTGATAAAATAACAGCAAGGCAACTGCAATTGTAACACCAATATCCAAGCCAATGCAAAATACTATACCAAGTAGATGATAAAATTCAAATGGAACTAATTGCGCATACAAAAATCGTCTATAGGCCATTGGATTCACCTACAAAGAATAAGCCTTTTGTTAAAATTTCTGTCAATCAGAAATCTTTGCCTGTACAACTTATGCATATCATAAACAAATTACAGAGAATTGGTCATTAAATAATGTAATACTTACCATAGTAAAGACATAATAAATACAACCAATCAAAGGTACTGCAGCATACGAGCAACCAATAACAACAAAGAATAGAAATAATGTAAATCGCTTGTGATTTTTGTGTCCAACACAGTTATTTATCCAAGGACAATGATGATCCATTTTCATGACACATCTAGTACATAGCATAAGTATTAGTTTTGTTTGTTTGCCACAGAATTTTGTGGTGAATTACTCATTAATGGATAGTGAAGTCTGATGGTGACTGGTGAGGGAATTGACAAAGGAAAAAAACATGTTTTTATAAAAGTGTAGGGAATCCAAGAGGTAATCAATAATGTTTAACATGTAAAGCACACACCTGTTACATTGCCTACAATGATGAGACCTTGGAGCTTTGTATCCCTCGCATATCTGACAGAATTGCATAAATTTTTCGTCCGTAGTCTTTTCCTAGACGCAAATTAGATTCATTGAATTTTACAATCTAAATTCCCAAAAGCCTCTTGAAATATGATAAGGTATGATTCGACTCACCGGTTTCCATCGTAATGGAACATATCCAGGGCCAATCCGAGAAGCTTTAATAAAATTATACAATATACAGACGAGGAAGACAACTAGTAAAGCAATATTTATCAGTCCTGCAACATTTAATGGACTCCACCAAACCAAAGATGAGTATACGCTTGCAATGAAGAGAGTAAATATAATTGTTAGTGCCGTAAGAGGACCCCAGTGAAGTAAACGACCTAAAGCCATAAATACCAACAACTTAAAAGAGTATTGTGAACCATTATCCGAAATTCAACTTATCTTTTCTGATTTCTCGTATTAATAATAAGTATTGGTTTCCATCAGCTGCAAATATTTATGACGTCATTAAATATTTACTATCGATTGCTAATGATTGTTATCGATTGTTATCGATTGCAAAATTTTGATATTCATGATGTATTCTGCATTCTTTACAAAGCATGCAGAAGATTCAAATGGCTCCTGCATTTCTTTCTTTTTATTGAAACTTGTGAAATTATTCATGCACTAATTCACAGTTCACAAATATTAGAGAAAAGGATTTCCAGACGACTTTGACATCAACAAGTTGCGTTGGGTTTGTTCATCCAGTGCTGAAACTCCTTTCTGCTTTTTACTTGTTTGATCCGTCACGATTGTCACCTGAAAATGGGAAAAAACACAGTTGAATATAGCATTAAAATAAGTATTTGTTAAAACTGTATGCATTTTTCGATGTTGGAAGATTTTAAAAAAAAACCAGTTAAAATTACTCGTTTTACCTTGTTAAATACACCACGACCAAAATAATCAGCAACAACTGAAAATCCATCATTTGCTCTTTCAAGCTAAAACATAGAAAGAAAAACTCTCAGCTGATATTAAAAAAAAACAACAATAAGACTCCAGTGAGCAAACCTGATTGTGGAACTGATCATGAAGATCTTTCATTTCTTCTTGAGCACGAATTATATCAAGGACTTTTCTTAAAATAACGTTTAACATAAAAATATAGATTTCAAAAACTTAACTTGTACATGTTTACTAAGGCATAGCATGTTTGAAGGTAGGCATAAAGTCAAAAAATCTTTATACCTATTTTCTGGAGCACATATTGGGCATTCATCATCTTTTTCAGCGTAGCCTTCGAAACAACTGCATGAAAACAACACCATAGCGGGGTAATATCAGTGAAACACAGATGTACAGAGGAGGCCAACATAAACATTTTAACTTACGCAGTATGAAAAGAGTGTTGACAAAAGAAATGGATTACAGGTAACTCAAGAGGTCTGGAACATAGACTGCATTTTGCAGATTGAAATATTATGGCACTACAAAAACAAGAAAAAATGACGTTACTGTAATTCAAACAAAAGTCCATTTTCGACCACATTAATGCTGAAGGCATTGCATACAGAGAGATACGGTCAATATTCGCACGAAAAAGCTTTATTCTGCTGCCACCTTGTTTTTAATTCTTTAATCTGATTTCGCATTTTTTCTGTTTCTTCTCTATATTGACGTATGAGCCTTTCGTCCTATGGAAGAAAAGTATGATTGGAAAATACAATGAATATACAGTCAAATTCACAGCCAATCACGTCGCAAGCCTGGGTTGGCTACGTCGCCAAAATAAGAAAAGAAAATTTATGATTGGATTGATTTCCATAGTTGTCATAATAAAATTCTAACGTAAATTTTCTAGGACAAACCTCTGCTATTTGTTCGTCTTCTTGTTGAAGACGTTTGATGATATAATCCTGAATAAAAGATGATAATGACCATTAAAATATCATGTTACGAAATCACCTAAAGTCACCCATCTCCCTCTACGTATGAGAGGAAAATTTGAAGACTTCAAATACACACAATGTACGTAACAACCTTAACAACTGAAAGTGTTGCAGTGGAACTATGAGCAAGAGTCTGAAGCACAAGTAAAGGTGGCAGTAAATTATGACGATCAATGTCTATAAAAGTTTGTTAAGAAAGCTAAGTAAAAAATGGACAACCAAGGGACTCCGACGTTTGGAGACGAACAGGTGAAAACGATTTTTTAGCAAGCCTGGAGGTGACAAGAACTGAACAAGAACTTAACTTTTTCACATACTAAAACACTCAACTACTGTAAAACTTTACAAAGGATACAATTTAACACTTCCATTATATATTTTCGACAGTCGTTCTCTTTACTGGCGAAATAAGACAGAGCTTGAACCCATAAATTCGAGTCTTGCGAACTAAACAGAAAGAATTGATAAAATTTTCGTTAATCTTTTACCGAACACATATGTATAAAAATCAACCGAAAGTTAGAAACAACTCTAGACAAACATGCCAAAATGAGCTATGTCTTACAATTTTAGCTTTGTCCCAAATGTTTTTTTATTAAGTGGGTATATATGGTCTGCACACGTTATGTCGTTGCAAATATGTAGAAATACGATTCATCATTAGCACAAAATGACTCCTACCCATATTTTCGACATGTCTCCATAACATTAACATGTTCATCGTGCTCCATATGATAACGTAGGATTTGATGGAACCTAATGGATAGCAATGTGCATAAGTACATCAACGTGTGTGAGAATTATAGAAATAATAGACATAGAATGCTAAATGATGCACAAACACACACACTCACATCCCTACTGATAATTAACTGTATGAAGTCAACATTTTGATTACTTACAACTTTGATTTTTCGTAGAGGAGTAGAATTCCAGCTTTGAAGTTATGCATTTGAGAAAGAACCATAGCGTGGTCGTTATCAATTTCGTACTTTCCCTAAATAAAAGTTTGTTTAATTATTATTCATTATGCCATGAAACAATTCCATATAAATGAAGAGGAAACTGTCTGGTATAATTAGTTCAACTACAAGAAACGAATTAGTAATCACTGGTGATTCAAAAATAGAGCATAGTTTCTTTCAGATATTAGAAGACAAACGCTAACAGATCCCCGACAAAATAAGAAGTTGAATGGTTTATTTTCGTATCGAATAAGGCTTAGCTATAGATGTAATATAAAATATGTTCACGCTGGTGTTTGGTTGTCCGGGTGTCCATACAAAGCCGGGACAACATCAGAGCCGTTGCTCAATGAGTATGCATGGGCAATGTCTATTTGATTTGCTGTTGCAACAGCTTTATGAGTTGTGACAATTGAAGAAAGGTTAGTTGTGACAATTGAAGAAAGGTTTACAGAAAAACTAAAGGTTGACGCAGAAAGTAGCTACTCCAGCTTACCTCGAAATTTTGCAACAGGCTTAGAGCTTTTGCCTCCGGTTCAACTTGATCCTAGCAATGATTCAAATTTTGAATATAATTTAAAATAAGCAAAGAGGTATAAGAATATAATAATTCAACTTATTATTGCTAAGCCAGAAAGCCTAGAGCTTAATTAATAAAGAAACTTGATCGACATGTTTCAAGCAAGCACATATATAGTCAAGGATAATATGATGTAATGCAGAACATCAACAAAGCTACTATATTTGCCATATATATTAACGAAAAATAAAATATTTAGTGATGAAAGTTTACCATTTTCGTTTTACAATGTTTTGCTTTGTTTAAGTAAAGCTCCAACAAAGTCATGCATACCATGGTCGATGATTTTTTGCGTACCTAAAAACAATTTGAATTTATTGAAGTGAGTTTTAGGGAGTGTGGCTCTGTTTCGACTGTGAAAATGGAGAGTGGGGTTTGGCAATGGAGTGGAGTTCTATTTCGACTAGCATCATGAAAGCTTTATAGTCTTGAATTAATTAATTGGTTCAAAGTTAAATGAGACAATGTATTGTGAGCAGGTAATCCTTGTTTGTTGTTTGAACCTTGCAGTATCCTTGGATGTTCTAGTTTCTTTTATGAGAAATTCTTGTAAAGAAAAAAGATAAATTTTCAAAACAAAAATCACGTTTTCGGTCCATGCCTCCCCATACCCCGAGAGAGTTGAGCACTAGAGCGTGGCATCTTAATGTTTCGGTTGGAGATTTCAGCTCCTCCAGGCTTTTCTACTTTTTGATGTAAATAGCAAGCCTCCGCCCATCAGACCCCGAGATCGCACAAATGCGCAGATGAGTTGGTCGTTACCACGACTATGAACTTGGACAGTGGTCAAATTGATGCTCAAATATGCAACTAATTGAGCCAGTTACACCAAAAGCAATGCAAGTTCACCCACAATTGGTTCTTGCCATGACTATGAACTCGATCATTGATTGAGAGGACTGTGAATGCACGAGCGTACTGCGCATGCTTTCTCAAACAAATTGCGACTAGTCGAGCTATTTACTCCAAATATGGTACAAGTAGCATATTGGTACATGTGACAGTTTTTAGCTTACCCTCGTCATGTGCTCCAGAAACTCAATAAGTTTGTTCTTTTTATGGACAAAAATGTGAATGAAGGTTTCCGGCTCAGCCCGTTCAACTCTTCTCGTATTTCCTACATGTAAAATGTATATATAAATACAGGATGGAAAAAGTTCGTGACTCACAATAGCCAATTGTACGGTGAAATTCTTCGAAAAGAGAAACCTGTTTGTGTTTGACCTCTATACAAGAGAATATTTCAGCAAAATTTCATTCACCATACATAACATACCTGCCAACTCTTCATCTTTTAGAAGGGGACCTAAAAACAGCATTGACAGCGTATTTCAAATTCAATTGCAACAATATGAAAGCTTACTGGTCGTACCGTATTTGTATACTAAGAAAAGCAGATCTTATGAAAACGAGCAAACACGCTTTTTGATAAAAATTGAATGCACGCGTTGGGTCAATGAATAAGATCATATAGATGTAGAGTAAAAGTCTTGTAACTTGATATAAAGTGTTGTGGATGGATGGTCAATGTTGGGTAACTTTGAATAAGATCGTGTAGAAAACATGATAAGATTTTTTCAAAATTCTGCTCTTCAAAAGCTTTCTAAAGAAGGTAATCTTTTTATTTGAATTAAAATTTAAAATTTAGTATTTCCACTTAACATTTCTATTTCTACAACTTGACAATGCAGCGAGCGCATTTGAATGACAAAATCATGCGCATGATGCAACTAAAAGAAAGAGATCATACTTTCACTTGATCGATAGTCAGTACAAAGCAACTTCAATAACTCCGTTGTTTTATCTGGTTCAGCTTCCATCAGTGTTTTACCATATTTCTTTAAATTATCTTTTGCCTTGAAAATGACGTAAAAGATGATGCCAAATGTATTACAACCTCGAAAATACATAGGGATGAACGAATGACTTATCACTTACGTCTTGAAAATTCAGTTTTCCTATATAGTTCAGTGCTTTCTGATATTTCTTCGTATCCTCCAACTGTATCTTGAGATACCAGTCGTTGTGTTCATACTTTTCCGCCAGATACAACGCATGATTAAAATATGCTGCTTGTCGACAAACCTACATCAAATTAAGGTGAATGCAGTAAATAAAACGTTGTTTCTTTCCACAAGCCGTTCATTACAACGACCCTTCACTAGTTAGTAGATGTTAATCGTCCAAATTAGTAAGTAATCCTGCTGGTTTTTATTGGTATCTAAAAATGACCACTGTTAAAGAATTTTCAACATCAGATCATCATCACAACACCATTACCTACTTTCCTCCTCGGGAGTCGAATTTAGGCAATCTACAAATACCCCATAATCTGCAGGGACATTCTCCGCCATTTTTAATTATTTAATAACATCATAGAGCAAATGGACTGTAGAGTGGCCCGTCAGCCAGCCCGTCAATTTAGTCCTGCAATGCAAAATTCTCAATGCCTTACTGACTGTAAAAACAATACATTTGACATTCGTAAAGAAATGAATAACGATTACGTTTTGAAATTCACATTGCACGGAACTAGAGCTTGCTGGCTGGCTAGGCTATATTGTCAAATAGCAAGCTTGGCGTCTCACTTTAATAGCTGTTTCCACATCGAAATTAAATTCTTTGTCAGTCTACGAATAAAAACGAAAATGACAAATTTTTCTAACGGTTCGTCTACAAATTTACTGTCAACGAAAAAATCTTGTCATTTATTTCAACTTGCCATAATGAACTCGTCCAACTTGGACACATCTTTGAGTTTTGTGTAACAATTGAGTAGAAGGGTTGTGTGATCAGCATTTGCGAGATTTTTTTCGTGCAGAGCCTATAAGTAAAAACAAAAGAGCTATCACACAAAAAATATAAAACTTGTAAATGATCTTAATTTACAAAATCTACAGCACCTGAAGATACGCAGTGAGGTTGTGAATTCGCTGAGCGTCTAAAAACTGAAATCAAAAGGCAAAGCACTGCATGAGTGGTAAAGAAATTGTTAAGAACATGCTTTCTTTTGTTGGCTATCCTGCAATCAGTCAAAAAGAACATGCTGTCTTGTAATCTGCAATGAAAAAGTGTTTGCTGTCCTGTAATCTGCCAAAGAGAAACGTAAACCAGAGATAAATGCACGCTGTCTATAAACTGCACTAAAGAAGTGCGTGCTATCAATTTACCAACCAGTAAAAAGCATTTGCCTATAGAAATATTTATACCTTTCTAATGACGTAAGACGGTTCAAGATATCCAATAGTCTTTATATACTGTTTTATTGCACCATCATGGTCGCCCTTACTGGAATGGTACACATCACAATTATAAAAACAAAAACCTTTAACACAGAAAAGCAAAAATGTTTTGCTTAAAAGCAAAGCAAAATTAATTTATATCAACGCTTACCTATATAAATGGTCTCCATATTGGGTAAAGATAGCAATCAAACCATCTGAATACTGAAGACTTCGAGCTAAACTAATTCAAAATGACATTTTGATTATTGACGAATTGTTAGCCAACTATTTTGCCGTTAGGCGAAATAGTTAACAATCTCACACATTTAACTGTGGCACTCTGAGGACTGGTATACAACATTAAACTATGGCACTTTGACGACTGGTACACAATATTTAACTATGGAACTTTGAGGACTGGTACACAACATTAAACTATGGCACTTTGACGACTGGTACACAATATTTAACTATGGCACTTTGAGGACTGGTACACAACATTAAACTATGGCACTTTGACGACTGGTACACAATATTTAACTATGGCACTCTGAGGACTGGTACACAACATTAAACTATGGCACTTTGACGACTGGTACACAATATTTAACTATGGCACTTTGAGGACTGGTACACAATATCAAACTATGGCACTCTGAGGACTGGTACACAACATTAAACTATGGCACTTTGAAGACTGGTACACAATATCAAACTATGGCACTTTGAGGACTGGTACACAATATTTAACTATGGCACTTTGAGGACTGGTACACAATATCAAACTATGGCACTCTGAGGACTGGTACACAACATTAAACTATGGCACTTTGAAGACTGGTACACAATATCAAACTATGGCACTTTGAGGACTGGTACACAATATTTAACTATGGTACTCTGAGGACTGTTATACAACATTAAACTATGTCACTTTGAGGACTGGTACACAATATTTAACTATGGTACTTTGAGGACTGGTACACAATATCACTTATGGTACTTCAAGGACTGGTACACAATATTTAACTATGGCACTTTGAGGACTGGTACACAATATTTAACTATGGTACTTTGAGGACTGGTACACAATATTTAATTATGGTACTTCAAGGACTGGTACACAATATTTAACTATGGTACTTTGAGGACTGGTACACAATATTTAACTATGGTACTTTGAGGACTGGTACACAATATTTAAACTATGGCACTTTGAGGACTGGTACACAACATTTAACTATGGTACTTCAAGGACTGGTACACAACATTAAACTATGGCACTTTGAGGACTGGTACACAATATTTAACTATGGTACTTTGAGGACTGGTACACATTTAACTTATGGTACTTCAAGGACTGGTACACAATATTTAACTATGGTACTTTGAGGACTGGTACACAATATTTAACTATGGCACTTCAAGGACTGGTACACAATATTTAACTATGGTACTTTGAGGACTGGTGCACAATATTTAACTTTGGTACTTCAAGGACTGGTACACAATATATAACTATGGTACTTTGAGGACTGGTACACAATATATAACTATGGTACTGTGAGGACTGGTACACAATATTAAACTACGATACTTTGAGGACTGAAACCAATGACTGAAACGCAGTATTGAAATACGCTACTTTGTGGTCTGGGATACTAGGATGGGATGCTAAACACGGGATGCTGAGATGAAAATTTTGCTTGCTTAATGAAATTACTTACTCGATAGCAACAGCGTAAAGATTTTTTTTGAATAGGATTTCCAACTTTGTCTGCGTGTCTTTTTCTTGAAACTGATAAATCTAAAAGTTAAAATTTCCTCTCAATACATGAAAAAGTCAACAGCCGATCCTTCTAAAATTTTCTCAATCTCTTTTTTCCAAATATATTCATCAAACAAGGCCCATCTCTTTTATGTTTTTTATAATTTGCAGAAATGTAATCTTGTCAACAACAGAATACAAAATGATCATCGCAATTGACGCTTAGACGAAAAAAGAAACTAACAAAATTTCATTTTTTTAAAAAAAAGCATCATTACACCTACAGTGTTGTCTGATGTAAGGACATAAAGACATCCCCATTCGCTTAAAACATCAAAGACACTGGGAAGAGGACCAGAAAATGCTGAAACAGAAATAGACAATAGTTTTAATTTCTGCGTAACACAAAACTGATGATCAATTATTTTGTCCTTAATTATTTATGAAATAATACATGAGTTTCATTGTACGTAAAGTTCCCCCATTTAACGGTAACGGTACGTTTCATTGTACGTAAAGTTCCCCCATTTAACGGTAACGGTACAAATTCATCCATCAGAGTTATGGCAATTACTAAAGGGAAAACTGGCAAATTATTCATAAGTTTAATCGCAAGCACGCTTTAAAGTGGAAACGATAAAAAAGTTCTGTCTTTTGCCACTGAAAGTCACGATAGAACTGTGAAGGTTATGCAGTGCCGTGGTATTTAGAGTCGTTCATACCAATACTGCAGTGAGCTCACTATACATATATATGAAAATATTCTGCTTGCCCCACCAATGAGGTAGAAAGCAAATTAAAAAGTAATGAACAATGGATTTAATGACAAAACATACCAATAAATTTGTTTTGAATGTCGTATATTGTGACCAAACTCATGGGACGTGTAGAACTTTGTCTAAAGGCAATAAGGACACATATTTGGTAATAAAATTGTAGACGCAAATAATCGATTGTATTTTGATAAAAAAAATGTTATTTAAAATGACATAAATTAGATACCCACCCAGGTATTGTTCTCATATCATTGCTGACAACGACCAAATAACCACGATGCCAAGAAATCAACGATTTTTCACCTTTAAAACAAGTGACAACGTTACCAATGACATTACTTATGAGAACCACATGACTAACAAACCTTCAAATGGCAACACAGCTCCTCGACAGTCCGGTTGATAAAAGTACAAAGCCTATGGATATATGAGTGACCTAGCATTAATAACAGAACATTGTAAATTTTGCAAGAACTACTTATAAGTGTTCATTCAGTTAAAGAACACTTAATTAATTCCTGAAAAAATAGTCCTCCATTCAAGGTTAGAAATACCTAATGACCTGGCTAGATGGGTTGTAGAGAAACTATGAGAAATACAGGAACTTTAACAAGAGTTATAAAAATGGTAATAATATATATGTTGGTGAATGTAGATCATCCAGGTTAGTAGAGTCCTGAGAAAGACTGTTGTTGTTGATGTTGAATGATGTTTCGACATCCTTAGTGGTAGTCATCTTCAAAGTCAAGCAAGGAGTAAACATAAGGTTATCCCTATTTGTTATCTGGTTCTACATCATCATATTGTGAGAACAGGAAAGGTGTGGGTGTACAAGAATCAGATAACAAATACAGCTAACCTGATGTTTACTCCTCACTTGACTCTGAAGATGAGTACCGCTAAGGATGTCGAAACGTCATTCAACATCAACAACAACAGTCCTTCTCAGGACTCTACTAATCTGGATGATCTACATCCACAAACATGTAACAATACTCTCGGGTTATACAGACCTCTTTCCTTGCAACAACAAAAACAAATTGACTCTCTTGAGACATATCTGATAAAACTGAACATCGTGGATTACAACCATGCATGTCTAAAACTTCCTGCAAAAAAAACAAACAAAGCTTCCTATGAATCTCACTTGCCTCAGTATAAATGATTTAAAATGAGCCCAGTAAAAATATTTCTTGCTTACAAAAACAATATAGAATTTGCCAACTATTTCCAACAAAAGCATGGGTAATTATATAAATATATCCTGAACTAAAAACAAACTCAAAGCTTGTTTTGACCAACAATTAAGCATGGTCGTGCATTCTCAATTTATTTCACATACTCTTTGATCTTTTGCCGAAGTGTTGTATGAGATAACTGAGTCAACTGTAGTGACAAACAATATGATATGGCTTTTCACTTGCTTGTATGACAGACCTTGGAAACAATCAAAAATGGTTAACCAGGACCTAGGTATTAAAGCATAACATTTATTTCCTGACGTAGTCACACATACTTGTTATAGGAAGGTTGTCTTGATGAATGACATGTGATTTACTATGTCTATTAAGGAATGAAATCAAATAAACACCAAGCAATTCAAGCAAATGAATAATTGAAAGAAACATAAATCATACCTATCTTTTGTAACATCACCTTTGTATACAACAACACTCCCATCTTCAAAACCCACAGCCATTTGAGTAAGATTTTCATACACAGACAAACATGTCACCTGTTGAAAGATATTAAGATGATAATTCTTACAGTTATATTACACAATCATCAAGTTAATATTTTGCTTACTGCCACAGGCTTGTTCCCAGGAAGAGCTCTTGTGATTCTCATGCATAAAGGATTTCCTAACTTGTCTGTCTAATAATTAAAAAGACAAAAAGAGATTTGTCAACAAATATGTCTATGATTAAAACTAAAATTTATGAACAATCACCTTATCTAAATTCCAAACTTTGATTAGAGGATTAATGCCAACTTCATCTTCCTGTTAAAGAAGTTCCAACAAGCTGAAATCTTGGTGTACAGTAATGATAAAATGATACGATTCATTCTATTCCAAAGATGGTGTAAACTTTGTAAAATATCAAACCAGCAATGGATAAAAGTCAATGGTAGAACACAACGGGAATAGAGTAAAAACATTACAAACATACCCCAATAGAGACAAGTATATTGTATTGCCTAAGTTGGCATAGGTGCGACACTCGAATTTCAAATGCTTTGATACTTGTGATGTTTAAATTACGATCCAGAAAGTATATATTTCCTTCGATATCTGATTAACAAAATTATTGGAATATCTTAATAATTATAAGAGCAAAACATTGTTGGTCAATTTAATATGAGAACTTAAAGCAAATAAGAAATAATTACCTCCAGCAATAAGCTGCCCACGGCCACTTGTTGTTGCAACTATATTTACGTCCTGTGGAATAGAAATACATTTCTCAATGAAGTACAGCTAAAATGACAAATGCTCAATCAGTTTAACTTTTAAGTGGAGTATAATTTAGAGTGCAATAGTGCATCTTTAAATTGTTTATTAAGTTATAGCGATTGGAATGACACAAGTGTACAATATGTATCAAAGACCACCACAGACATGCTACAAAATACAACATAATGCAATTATAAAAACTATAAACAATAGAACTTAAAAACTCAGTTTATTACACGACCTTCAATAAATTCCAAGGTTGTTTTGTTTCAACATTTTTAGCGACGTCTTTCTCGAAGAAATTGAAACGTCGCCACTGCAATTCAACAATTAAAAACATCTTTAACAAGAACCAAGCAACATATGAACACAACAAATTATACATAAATACATCTCTTCGAGCTTCTCACCTGCAACATCGCCATATTGTCGTCATTACCAGCATGTAACCACTCTTCCCTTTCAATCCTTCCAGTTCAATATTTGAAAAATTGAAACTGAAAATATTTTAGACAACTAACTCAAGTTACTTCGAACGGTATCAAAAAAATTTGAAAAAAAAAATAAACCTTTTTTAACTCTACTCTATAGTTGAATCACACATCTGACATCCACGATCCAAATTTTTCAAACAAAGAAAATGCTGAACATCAACAACATGATTAATTTTAAACATGTTGTACACAGATAAGAACTTATTGAAGCAACTGCATTTGCATGTTTGTGGAGGTTTTTTGATTTTTCAATTTAATTTGGACGTAATTAAGAATAGCACATTCTTAATCAAGTTAAATTTTCTACTATAATTAAATGATGAAACTTCCAATACGTCCACACAAACCAAGTCTTGTTAAGAAGCTAAATGGTTAACTATACAAATCACATACACTATTACACAAGTATATTTTGCACAGTTGACATCAACAACAATCATATTAATTCAAGTCCATACAATGAAACACAAGAAGAAAGCAATTCATGGAGCTTGGACACCCACAAGCTTCTTGCCCTAAAAATAAAAAAATAATGAGAATTCATACAAAGGAGTATTTTATAAAATCTCATCAAAACATTAAAAAAATAGCTACATGAATAATTATGCATAACAAAAGGGGTTTGGCTTCAAAACATTTCGGACAACAAAACATTTCATTTCCTTTCAGATAATATGTATAGTGACAACAAATTTATATTCATGAAGTTTTAAACCAATATAGACATTTCAAGGCAATAAACAAAGTCACCTACAAGATTTATTTCCTAATCTTAATGTTCACCAACCTTAGACTTGATTTCATCTTCTTGTCGCTTCTCATAATGGCCAAAATCATCAAAAATAGAAGTCTGGTTCTTGTAAGAATGAATTATCTTGACAACCTGAATTCCTTTGTCGACTGGAACTTCCTGAGTATCACGTGAATTTGTCACTGGCTTATTATCATTATTTTCCAAACGAATATGCCTCAATGCATTGTTAGGTACATCCTTAACATAATGCCACTTTACTGCAAACTTTCCTTTCCACTTTTCTTGAGACCAAATGCCAGTTTCAATGTCGTACTCAACTTCAGATTTCATTTCAGCAATTCCACAAAAATGGCCACTACCATTCACACTGAACAACAAGTACATGGGACCTCTCTTTTGTTGTTCTTTAAATGCATCATTCAACCTCCTATTACCATGTTCAGTACTTGTCCAAACGCTGTATTTTATCGAACGGTGAATATCATCTTCACTGTAACTCTTAATGATAAAAAAACGAACATCCTTCAACCGTAAATTTATTTCCTTTGGATTATATTCATTGGCAGACTTAAGTCTAGCAAGAACTGGGACTACAGGCTGATTGGGAGCGGAAATGTTAGACAATCCAGTATTTCCACCACCAGACCGGTTTTTTTGTTGACCTTGTCGTGCTCCACCTTTAGCAACAGACTTTACAGAAGTGTTTGTACCATTCCATGAAGAAGAATCCCGATTTGCTACTGGAGCAGAGGGCTTCACCTTAGGAGCAGGAGGCTTCGGTTTGGCTGGTTGGCTAGCAATTGCTGCCCATGATTTTGGCTTTTGAAGTCCACTACTAGATTGTGGAGAAGTGTTTGATTCCCCATTATGAGCACTTTCACCATTTATTTTCGCTTCATCAACTTGCAAAGTTAGTGCACTCAGAGTCCGTTCAACTCCTCTATTCTCTGCAACAGTCTCTTGTCCACTATTTTCAAGAGCTGCTGTTGGTTGATGATAAAAGTCCCCAAGAATTGATGCAGATGAACCTTGCGGTTGTCCACCCCAAGAGAGATCTGTGGTGTTGCCAGGGAAAAACAATGCTTGCGGATTTAAATATGCAATGTTATTAGGCAGGCCTGTGTTTTGTAAATGATCTAATCCATTCAAATAACCATTTGCTATCCCTGGATTAGTCTGCATCATTTGATCAGGAACTGCAGAAAAAGCACCATTCGAGTTGTGAAATAAAGAAGTCCCATTGGTTGACCATGTGTCACCCATACCAGTACCAATGTACTGAAAAGGCATGGATGATAAAGCTGAGTTCGCAGATGATGGTGCATAAAATGTTGGTAAGTAAGTTTCTGACACAGGGTTACTGGGATTTGGTTGTTCACCGTGATTTCCAGTGTTCTTTAATTTATAAATAGTTTATCAAACATCCATAAAACATTCAGGAAGAGAAAGTCATCAGCCAAGGTCACGATGATATTAATGGTAAAGGAAAAAAAGAAAAGCAATTTAGACAGGGCATTATTAAAAAAAATACAAAAGTTTAAATTGACACTGCGACGCTTACTCAATATGTAATTGTGTGAATAAAGAATCAATGAGTAAAACCGTGTTGTGTTGTGTACCTGATCATCATTTGCTCGCAAATACTGTTCAAAATTGCCATCAGATACCATTCCTGAATCAGATTCGTGCCCTGTTTAGTGCGAAGAAAAAGCATATCGTAATCAAATTTCATCGAAATACATTATAGAGCGTTTTGTCTTTTCAATATCCTGCTCGCGCAGTGTTGGAAATTTTACAAATACAGCTTATATTTATATAAACAAATTTGGTATATCTTTGTTACCTTTGCCGGGGCCATCCTTATGACGCTAAAATCCAACAAAAAGAGATATACACGATTGAGAATAATATAATGGGGAAATCATAAAACATATTCGCTTGTAATGAGCTTTCGTATTCCTTGTATAAAAATGGCAAACATTGACCAAAATTTTGCCTTACCTGATCAGCTTGAGTGGACATTACAGGCATCCAGAGAGTTTTAAACTTAGGAGAACACAAATTAGAGTAAATCTTCTGAAGAGTGTACGTGTTAGTACGGTTATTTATGAGAATATATAATCGAAATGAATAGGTTTTTACGACGCCCGATTTCCATGTGTGTTCGAGATTGCGTGTTAGCAGCATTCCGGACTTGACGTGACGTCATTCACGTCAATCATGTGTTCACAGGTACGATAAACAGGTAATGATTGGTTCACATCACAAGGACATTGGGCAATCAAAATGCATGGCACATTTTTATAAAAAGAGGCACAGAAAAGCTAGTTCTGACCAGAGGGGTTCCGACTCTTGTACTGGTCGACTAATACTTAAATGTAAGTCGGGGAGGGGGGGGGGAGGATAGCATATTTTGTCGACCAAGTAAAATTCGATCCGGCTAAAATTGTGAGCTTTCCTATTAAACAAGGAGCCAGCAAAAGTCGGTCCTAGAACATAGAATCCCCTCCGTTTTTTGAGATGTGCACCACTGCACACATGACCATTTTTTACGCACGGATGAAATTCATTGTCTTTAACAACGACACAGAAAATTTGGATAGTATTATTCTATGATTATGGTTGCAAAAAATACTAAGTCTTTCGTGTCTAACAAAAAATATATGTAAATCTCTGTTCCTATTCACTATCGTCGGTTTCTTTCTCAAACGGTTCTTGCTCATTTTCGTACATATGGTCAACTTCAGGTTGAGACTCTGAACAATATTCAGGATATTCATCCAGTTGCATATCAGCCAGTCGTCCAATTTCCGCAACCTGAATATAAATAAATACCTAAATACACATCTTATATTGAATTTTTTTATTCAAAAGGTAAAGTCGAAATCAGTTAGCGGACGGTTATCTATTTTAATGATGAAAAACAAATGTCAGAGGCAGGATACTAGGGATGTTATGGGATATGGGTGGAGTCCTTTTTCGTTGCATTTCTACTAAACCAAGATATCTTGCTCCAATATCGTTAAATCCATCGAAAACAGCAGTGTAAAGACAAAGTGACGCACAAGGCAGAATAAGCACATTTCATCAAGTTATTGATGAAAATTGACTGAAAAATAAGTTTTGAAACACATCCTAACTTTAGATACATATTAATAGAATCTTTATTTAAAAAGCTCTACTTTAAAAGCTCCATAAACGTAAATGTTTAAGAAAAACATTGACACAAGTGTTCATAAATACAAAAATAGTTATTTCATCAATGTACCTCATGTTGTACTTTTTGAGTCTTAAGGTCGAATGTCTTCAGTTCGTTGTAACAATTCTGAATGATAATCTCAATTTTTGCAACGTCACGTTCCCCCATGTCTGCTCGTTCGTCCATCTCACGCAACTGATCTTCCAAAAACTGGAGAATAGAGAGAGTGATTTTATAAAACTGCTAACCTCGAATGTGTGATTATGGAGCCATGAAAACAGACTGAAATTTCTCGTGCATTCTGACAAAGATTAAGAATGTTTGATTTTAGCCAGTTTGAAGCATAGGCCATCTGGGACAAGAATTAGAACTACTCATTGAAAAGATTAGGATGGTAATGATCTCTCGTCATTTGAAAGTGAGTTTACTATAAAAAATTAAGAATTATATGGAAAACCTTTAACTTCTCTTCTGTAAGCTCCTCTCGTTCGGCAGCATCATTATCCCGATCCTCCAGAGTCCGTATCTCCACAGCCATGTCGTTCACCTTTGACTTGAGTGCAGTTACACGCTCTTCTGCAATACGAATACGCTCATCCGTACGTTGAACCTCTTCTTCCAGGACAGCTTGCTTCCTTTCCCCGTCCACAAGGACATTGTGTGCCTCGTTTTTCAGCCTTTTCGCTGTCTCACATTGCTGGCGAGAAAATGATTTATTAAATGAAAGTGAAACGTCAATAAACTAAATTTCTGGAGATCATGGAATACTCATGGAGAAATTCATTCTACGTATGTTCCATGAAGAAAAAGCTTAAACTAAACGATTTATATTTGATACCAGGTGGCTCAGTCATTTTTTTACAATTTTGCCTGGATAATTTACATGAAAATTTACTATTCTCCAACAAGCATTTTCTCTTATTTCTTAAAAGACAAGTACCTCCTCTAGCGTTGCAAGCACTTCATCTCGTTCTAGTTCAGTAATTTCAAACTCTTGTCTCAGTTCATCGTCGCCGCCATGCCTACCCTCAGCATGATTTAACTTTGCTTTCGATATTTCAATCCGTTCATTCACTTTATCCAAATCATCTTTCACCAAGACCAAACGTCTTTTGTGAGCAAGTACCTCGTTACGAGTCTTCTCTAACCGTTCCACTGCCTGCAGTAAGTCATTTTTCGCCTGTATTTCCTTCTCTTCAGCAAGATCAATCTCTTCTTTAAACTTTGATAAACGATCCTTTACTCGTTGTAGAGAGACAGCCATTATCAAAGAATCTTAAAGGGAAATGTACGTAAGTTGGTTGATGGCGAGAAAAAAATTATGAAGATTTTGCTTTTTTGAAAACAGCAATATGTCCATAACATGATTTTAATCAAAACCCATTTTTAAAAAGACGTGCATTTTTATCTACCGCTTAACAAGTTTCATTTGGCGGTAACACCTCCGATTAAGATATGTCCTATAATTCATTCGTCAGGATAGATTCTTTAACTTTGTACGTCATGGATATTACATAAATTTTTTAAACTCAAAAAAAATTACCTTTATTTCAAGCAAAAGTTTTGATCGCTTTCGACAGAAGCCACGATAATGAAACACCACAGCAACAGTACACCGCAAATGACACCTACACTTGTTTTTCTAGCAAAAGATATCTAAGTAGAAAATCTGAACTGCGCAGGGGACCACAAACTGCGAGGAGTTCTCATGCTGAAAAAAGCAACACATATTTTATCTCAAGTGGATTGAAAAGTAGAGGAGTATTTGTACGTGTTTCACTTGAAGAAATATTTTTTAAGTGCTTCAGAGGTGAATTTCGTTAGTTGCTGAGCATGACAGAGGAATAATATTTTCGTCATTGATCTCAAATGATAGACGTTCACTCAAGATCATTAACAAAATTTTTAACACTCATTTTGGGCGCATCTGTCGCACAATATGCAAATCATGTCGACGAAATTTCAGCAAATATATGGTTGATTGAATTGGCGATTTAGTTGAGAGAATAAGAAAACATATTTCTGATAAAAAAATTTTGAAATTTCATCAATACAAAGTAACAGATAAGAGTGAAAGTACAAGATGGACAAATGACAGAAGGGAAACATCTGGATGCCAATTAAAAGAAACAATCTTGTTGACAGAATTATCATTTGGTATCAAATTACATGTGAAAGACTAGTTACAGACATAAGTATTTATTTTGTGCGGAAATCTATGACATTCACATATGATGGAAGTTCTCTTTACAAAAATAGATTGTGAAGTTTAGACATAAAATTTGCCCTTCAGATCCATCTCTCCAACTTTTAACATCAATATCCTTGATTTTGGAAGAAACCATTGATATAAAAGTCCATGCTTATTTCTTTATTGGTAAATGTTCACCAAAACTGTTATCTCAAACCTCATAAGGAGTTTTATTCCTTCCATCGATGGCCACATTCACAGCATTTATAAAATGTTGTCATGGGTTCATCTGCAGATCGTGTTTGCATCTGCATGAAGTAAGCTCGATCATGTTCACATTTTGGACAACGCTCTGCAAATAAAATAGCAAGGTAGACCAGTTTGATGCATGCATATGTAAGAGTTTAATATTGAGAACACATGCAAAGATTGAACGTAACCTTGTGTAGAATCAACATTTTCCCATGCTGCCTTTCCACCAAGAACATCATCTACTTCTTTTAATTTAGGATACATTTTACTGCCAACCTGTATCAAACCGACACAATAGTATGTTTTCATACATTTACATCCTTTTTTAAATACTAGCATGGAGCAGACCTTGACTACTCTTACCTTTTTCTTGATATTATAAACATATGGACACGTGGGGCAGGAAAATCTATACAACGTTACACCAGTTGCTTCCTCAACAGACAGTACATTTGAACAAGTAGGACAAAACAGCAACATCTTTCTCCAACTCACAAGTTAACTTCGTATGTTATATCTCAAAAAAATTCAACTCAATAGGCACTGTCCTTCCCCAGATATTTTCCACATAGAAATAGATATCTCTCGTGAATCGTTCAGTCGTAGCAAGCACATTAGGCTACAACATTACTCCATTCTTTGCAAATTTGTAGGATTGATGTGCGGGCACCGATCAGCGGTCAAGCAGTGTTTCCACAACAACTTTTTTACATTTCTTTGATTTCGCTAAATTTCTTCACTTTAAAATAGATGTAATTTCCTAGACATTTCCTAGATGCCTAGATTTACCAGATGTATTTGACTGTGGTATTTACCATTGTAATACAAGTACTTTATGAAATGTTGACTCCTAAATAAGGATAGACAAAAATGTATACGGAAAGATAAACTCAAAGAAGACTCGAAGGCTCGAAGCACCGAGTCGAAAGCTCAATAAAATCATTTTAAACAATCCGGAGAAACTTTTATTTTTATACATTAAATATGCCTGGATTACCAATCTTTAAACTTAGAAAGATAAACATAAATGCAGACATAAAGGTAGACAGTCATAAAACGATAGACACAAAAGTACACACAAAGGTAGACTAAAAGGCAGACATAAAGGCAAACACAAAGGTAGATATCAACGTAGACCAAAAGGTTAACAAAAAAGGTAGAGACAAACATTGATCAAAAAGTAGACAAAAACGGTAGACACAAAAGTAGATAAAAACGTAGACATAAAGGTAGACGCAAAGGTAAACCAACAGCAAAAGGTACACAAACAAGGCAGAGACGATGGTAGACAAAAAGATAGACCTAAAAGGTAGACCAAAAGGTAGACATAACTACAATTATCCCATTGCAACAACACACCTCTATAAAATATCAATTGTTAAGATACATTAGCTTCATCAATAACATCTTTTGACTGAACGATCGTCCAATTCGAACAAACTTTGTCCTGCTAAAGTGCTACATCAATCCTAAAGCCTATTTCAAATTAAACTGATTTTGTACTTGTATGTGCAAGTGGTCCATTATTCATTAATGTCTAAAATAATAACTATCTTGATATTAAGAAAATGGGGAAAAGTTTAAGTTAAAACCATGGAAAATCAAGAAAGATCTTCTGGTCAAAATAACCGTCTCTTAAGTGTTGCTCTGATTTTCGTTCTTCTGAGTCGCGTACATTTTGTTTAAACGATTAAAATTTGTCTTGAGTGTGGGTGCAGGGATGCAATATACGATCACAATACCCGTCACTGCAGCTATTGTCGTCATAAATTTACCCAGGGCGCTTTTCGGCACTGCATCACCGTAGCCCACGGCGCACATTGTAATTACAGTGAAATACATAACTTCGGGAATGTTTGAAAATTGAGGATTATCCACGTCACTTTCGACGTAGTATAAGATACTGGAAAAAAATACGATATGCATAAACATAAGAACGAACCATACAGGAAAGTCTGCTGCACTTGATAGGAGCGAACCCAAAAGGATTCGAAAGGAAGTACTATATCGATTTGCTTTAAATAGCCTAAAAACACGCAAAAATCTTATTATGTCAAGTTGTGGGGCCAGCGACTTGCCACCAAAAACTTGTTCAAGAACTTGGATATAATAAGGCAATATTGTGATAATGTCAATAAATCCCATTAATGATGCGATGTACGAGGTTAACTTTGGTTCACAAATGATGTGAATGACGTAGTCCAGAGTGAACCATATCACAAATACAGTATCTAACACGAACCACGTGACATTTTTCCATCCCATGAATCCCTCGGAATTTGAAGCAACTTTCGTTTCCAGGCATAAGATGAGCAGCCAAACAAATACAAGAAAGAGGTTGAACTTTGCAAACATGTTGGCAAACCTTGTCTGGGGATATTCGAGAAAGTTCCAAATACAATTTCTCACTGAATTATCAATTGTGACGGTCTTATTTTCGGAATGAGCGACGGAAGAGTTCTCATGGCTGTACATTGCAATGTCAAAAAAATTGATTTCCTCTAGAAAAACATCCAGTGGGATATCTTCGGGACGCGAGAGTATTTTAGCTTGGTAGAAAAACAATATGGCGTTGAACACATTCTTGTTCCGTTTTGGAAATTTCAATTCGTCTTTTCGTGCATCATAAAAATGTTTCCTGCGTTGGGGCGAACCGAGTAAGGAATCTGGGTAACGGCCTAAAGTGTTTTCGTATGTTTGAAATCGTTCACCACCAACATTGATCGTAATACGTCTTTCGGTGGAAGGCAATGCTGGACTCATAAGATTCTTCATGGTCACGCTGGTCGACGAGCGCCTGCAGGAAAATGCAACAGCGGTCGCGGAGTTCACAGCGTAATTCATAACGGAGGAATATGGACAAAATTAACGCCAAAGATCCAATGACAGGTGTTTTTTAAAAAACAGCAGTGAGCACTTTAAGTGTAGATTGTTAATGGAACCACGTACACTGAGGTTTTAAGGTTCACAAAAACAGGAAACTCTTTTCTCTTTGTTTTGAGGAACTTTCCTTGATGCACGATCAAAGCTGTTGAAAAACAGAAAAACTTTAATAAAAATACTGTATATTGCGCAGTGAGTTGAATGATTGTTGTGACAGTCATGACGTGCGTTTGAAGTGAACTAACATCAACGCTATTATAAATGATTCATTAAAATAAGTATCAAGCGCATCTGTTGCTGACAATTTCACAGCAACAAGCACAAGACGATTAGTGTGAAATCGACAAAAGAATGACTTCCAACCTAACTATATGCGCAATCTATAACACCTTAAAGGAAATTCATGATGTTCTATTGCTAAAGATATCATGTGTTTTCAAATGAACAAAGTTATCAGTTCATCAACAAAAAATAAAATGATGATGTGACAACAGTGCCCGAACACTACTGCAGTTCTAGACTATTTTCCTAACGTTAGAAGTCATGATCCATACCATGTTTAATTTCTATACACATACAGAGCATAACACGTTAATATAGTTTCAAACTTCGCTGAAAAAGTTTAATGTCGAAAAGTTTAATAACAAAACGTCGAAACTTCCCTATCTTTACTAGATATATAACGGTTAAAACAAATAAGAATATTACTAAAGTTCTCAGTTTAAAGTAAGTAAAAATTTAGGCCACTGTCCAGTTTTCATGAACAGAAAATTTATACATTTTCTTCGCAATTTTAGATCAGCTAAATGTTCAAAACTAGATAGGTCAAACTACACAAGCTTTGTATTACATAAAAAAGACAAATGACGGAGATACAGAAGTCGTCGAAATTTGTTTTCCAGTCAATAATTTACAATAGTGCTACCTTACCAAGGCTTTACACCATGCATACATAAATTTACCGCGTTCTAAACTCTTTGCGCTCCTTTTTGTGTCGTCTTCACCTTAATTTTTCTTTTAATATGAAATAAACGTTAACTTGATTGCTTTTGGCGAATATTTAAAATTATAACCAAGCATTACGCCGTTCAGGTCAGTAATCCTCCATCGCATATGTGACGAAGAACTGCCGTTTATTCATAAAATTTATTGGCTATAAACGCAGGTGGTTTGAACGTAATATATTTAGCCAATAACACACGTTTGAATTTAGTTGTCTAACAATATACACCAGATAATCGCATTAAACATTTTTATCATTTAAATGATTCATAGAATAAAATGCAAGTCCTTTTTCACACAGAGAAGCAAAAACGTATATAGTATCAAAAACTAAAAAGAAAAATACAAGTTTGTGAGGTATAAGACGAGCCGATGCTATTCCCGACTGCAATATTTCACAATTGTTTACAATTTTACCGCTTTGGTACAAAATACATCCAATACATGTGTATGACATTAGGAATGATACGATGCAGTTCTCATACCTAAATCAGTGGAATGGCCTCTCTAAGTTGTCTTCAACTGCCTTGTTCCGTTTTTGATCGCGTCGACAGGTGCCATCTGTCCACAAGCTGTTCAAAGAAAGAGAGAGACGCGAAGTTAACATCAAGGTACACTCGTCTTTCAAGAACAATGTTTTTTGTTTTGACTACATAAAATTACAACGATCTTTCTTTCATTATTCACATACCACAATTTAACGAATAGGAGACTGTCGCTGATTAACAATCTCATGCTAGTCGAGTAAGAATGGAATCAACACAATAGTTTATATAACTGATAAAGCAAACAAAGAATGGACAATGAATTCTCTCTAGGAAAAGCAGTATTGAAACCAGGCAACTATAGTATAAATAAAAATTAATGGTTTATTTCATGTTTTCACCTAAACAAGACAATTGAATCGGTAGTTTATTTATCATTTTCTTGGATATCTAGGACGATAGAACTGACAAAAGTTTTGTAATTTTGCCCGAACTTGATTTCTAGACACAATTTAGGAAGGACTAATAGAGCAATGTAGAGTTAAGTTAGATTTCCTGAAAACTTGTCCTTTATATTAATTTACAACAGATTTTATATACATTCTCCTTTCTAACTATTAATTACATGGAACGTTCTCTGTCATGCACAGTTTCCCTTTTGATGCATCTCTATACACACTAGTTGAAATGAAAAATCGTGAATATTTTTCATCTGACTTAACATACAAGCACATGTTACTTGTACTGTAATACAACTGGTATCAAACGTTAATTATTAATACCTTCTAACTTATTGTTCGGTCTTGAATAAGAGTTTTATTTTTATCATATAGATACATAAACCATACGATAAAGACATGAAGCCAGGGTGGTTTAAACAAGTTATGCTAATCACAATTACGACTTACACAATTACGAGTGGATCAAGGCACGACACATACTGGGGAGAAAAAGGTTTGTTTTTTGTGTTGTCATATAAGATTAGAAGATTCTATATTTCATAGTGATACTACTAAACACTGCACAAAAAGAAAGTTCTTCCCCAAGGTAAATTATATATTAGGGCTGCACATAAATGGATCCCAATTGCAATCGCCAAGTTCTGATACGACAATCTGGGTAATCTTTAAGCTGCTTAACACAGATGACGTTTCCCAACGAATAATGTAGCTGAATAGCGAGATACTACTTTTCTATATTCATTTGAAAATTGGGTGTTTTTGAGCGCAAAAGACGATACCAAATTTTTCAAACCACAAATGACCCCATTCTTCAGATGGCAATTAGATAAATAGCTTAAATATAAGTAGAGCTGTGTTCACTTATCCGGGATTCATTCATTTAGAATTTATAACAATATATCTCGGCAGGAAATAATTTCTTTTTGTGTTGTATTTACACAGTGGTAAAAAATTACGAACTACACAACCGTATTCTTCTATAGCACCGAAGGGTTGTATCCCTTGCCCAAAAAACAGAGAAGGATTATTCGATACGCCAATATGTGGAACGAACAAAGTTGCTTACAAAAACCACTGCTATTTACGGTTAAGAAATTGTATCGCTAAATTACTCCGAAAACCTTTCGTCCAAGCCTCGAGAAAACCAGCTCTTTGTGGGTAAGAATTTTAAATATTTTCAACTGAATTATATTTCAAGTTCAACTAGCTCGATTTTAATTACCTAAACTGACTTTCCACATCATGCATGTTTATTTGATTTTGCTCTTGGCTAGATCAAATTATAGTGATATCTCGTGAGTATTTTACTTTGCCTATTGGTATAAAATACCCGACTCGACGAGACATTGGAATTTCTAATTTTGTTGAGTAAAATATACCAATTCCTGTACTCAATCATGGTAATGTCTCAACAACACCACGTCATACTAATTTTTATTTAAGTTTGAGAATGCAGATGTTTGACACGTGAAAACAACACCACGTCATACTAATTTTATTTAAGTTTGAGAATGCAGATGTTTGACACGTGGAAGACAAGCTGGATGTGATGAAGTTGGTCAAATAGAAGACAAATGATGGCGTCCAACAAATATAGAAAAAAATTTTCAGTTTCCTTACCTATGATGAAAGCGAGAAGATATCTTTAAATTCTCCAGAATATTGACTTCTTCATGCATGATATATTTTTACTAAGAAAAAAGAGAAAATTCTTTAGGGTTTATTCAGTATTCGATATGGTCCACCCACCTAATGGTCGCTTGCAACAAGACGTTTGGATTGAGTGTCCTATATGTACAATTGTGATCATATAATAAACGTGTTTCAGCAAACATGAGAAAGAAGACAATAGTAAAAAAAACCTAAAATGGAGTCGATAGAGTGTTAGCCATAAATGACACACATATAGAATGATGACACCTTCGTCTATGAGTTCAATTTCTGTAAATAAATTCAGCATTATCTTTGAATTCTAACTTCAGATATATTTTCAAAAGCTTAACCATACTGTCACATAAGGTAAAGAGACAATCCATACTGCGGTAGTTGTGTTCACATAAGGTAAAGAGACACTCCATACTGCCATAGTTGTGTTCACATAAGGTAAAGAGACACTCCATACGGCGGTAGTTGTGTTCACATAAGGTAAAGAAACATTCTATACTGCGGTAATTGTGATCACATAAGGTAAAGAGACACTCCATACTGCGGTAGTTGTGTTCACATAAGGTAAAGAGACACTCCATACTGTCATAGTTGTGGTCACATAAGGTAAAGAGACACCTCATACTGTCATAGTTGTGTTTACTCAAGGAGAGAAGATACCGCTTACCTTTTTAAGGGCGTCCATCCGAGGGAATGAATTATTCATGGCATTACAACTGTCTTCCCCTGATGGGTGGAAATCTATTCATTTCACATCCGTTTTTCCATAACCTTATCTTGTTAACTTGGCACGAAATCTAGGAGACACTAATCTAAATTCTCGTGAAATTTTCAACGCTGCTAGAACGCAATATCACTGCTTCTGTTCTACATTTACAAAAATAATTGTCATCTTTTCACCAACTAAAATTATAAATATATCAAAAAATTCATCCACAACACGATGTTGAACACAAAGGGAGGAAATCTTATACATTTAAATGGTAATGACATTATGATTTAATTTATTATGTTTGTTTGAAAAAGTTTTCACGTGCAGTTCAAGATTTTTTTGTTTAGTTTCTTGCCCATAGATTACAAAAACCGTCAAATTACGAAGCGCGGTGGAATCATAATCTGTGGGCAAAAAAACAAAACAAAACGAAAACATCTTTCGTCTACATAGTATGTTTATAAGGTCTACAATTTACTGCAATGTTGAGAAGACATTTCAAAAATATGTTTGTCATTGACTACGTAAAACACCCATTATCACATGTAGTTCAATTTATACATGTCAATGATTTCTGTTTTCCTTACTCCACCTTTAAAGCTGGCTTTAATAACGTGCACTATCTATATTCATCATCACCCTAAACATCGCGTATGTCCGACACTTTCTCGACACTTCCCGAATCTTCAACGATGTCCATTTTCGAAGAATGCATATTAACACTGTTGGAAATCTCAGGTTCGTTTTCCATTGACATGGGAAGAATGGTGTGTGGACTGGGAGCGAGAATGATGGGCATCGATGAAAGTGGGGTTTGTGCAACATCGGATAAAGATCCCTTTTGCGTGGGTGATGAATTCCGACTACCAGCTAACGAAGGAAGAGGAGGTTGTAGCACCACGCATACATGAGAGGGAGATTCATCGCTATTTTTCAAGAGAGGTGAGCTTGCACGTGGCATGATGATGCTAGAAGGATCTGCACAAGAGTAATAAACATGGTTGAACAATTAGAACCTTAAATGATAAAACAATGCCCACTTGTTCATAGAAGTAAAACTTCTAAATTAGAATTATGCATAATGCGCAAATTGAATTAACACATAATTTCACAAAAGTAAATTATGGATGGGCAATACACTTTAACAAGTTAACCTTAGATGGCCTACACATTCTCAATCTAACAAGCTAACCTTGTATTGTCTGTACATTCTCGATGTCGTCCGACACAACGTCCTCCACACTTTTCGCAGGACTTGCTTGGATTAATTCTTCTCCGTCAGAAGGCTTCCGTCGTAGATTAGAAGTCGTTGGAGAATGTCCATGAGTTCTGTTGAGGAACAAATCTCGCTTCAAATTTGGCAGAAAACAATCAATTCGTTCCCAGGTCACTTGCCACAGCGCAGTATAGTTACGGTCAGCGGTTGTTACACTCGACTCGGAATCGTCGGTGTGGAAAATACCAGCGGTCGACATCACCAAAAGCATATTTTTAAGAGACTCGGGAATTGCTTCAGACTGCGGAAAAGACGTAAATTAGTAAATTACACGAAAAAAAAACAACAAAACAATGCATCTACTATGTATAGAACTGAATTTAACTCAGCTTCTTTTACGGTAGATATCTTCTTTTCACAAACCTTTATAAAACTTACCAAAATATCACTTTCGTCCGCATTCATATACTTGTCCATGAAATCGAGAATTGTCAGCCATAAGGCAGTAAATGTCGAGAGTGTCAACAAAATATTCAAATGTTGCAAGAAAACCTGAAAGTAAAAACAAGTTTTTCCAGGTGATTAATGAGATGCTTACTATTAAAATACATTACATGCCATTTGATAAAAAATCCAACCAATCACCTTGCTCAATAATGTTGCTGCTCGCATTCTTGTCTCCTCCAAGCCAATAGCATCGCTTTGATTGTTCACATTGAGTAGTTTGGAGAGCATTGGAAATAACACCTAAAGAATGAAGAGATGCATATTGACTCTTTTTAATCTGGTTTTATAAAACTGAATGACGCTATGTATGGAGCATAGAGATTCTTTGGAATAAACACAATGATTTTAAACTGTAAACTCTAATAAAGTACACTCTAAACTCATAGGTGACTATAATAAAGTACATAAACATAACACCCAACGAAAAGCAAAATCCAAACTCTACACAATTCTATACTTATAAAGTTCACGCTCACTCTCATTTACTTCTAAAGACACCATTGACATCAGTAAGTGTCACAAAACATTTATGGTATGTGATACTTAATATTTCACCACACAATAAATGTACCTCGTTACCCTGATGTATTCACCAGTGATTGCAAATGAACATTAAATAACAAACCTTATTGAAACATCCTTCCCACTCCAAAGCACCTAACGTGTGTAGATCGGGAATCAGTAATGCTCTCTGGAGATAAGTCAACGCAGACATGCGCACTTCTCGTCTGACGTCACAGCAAAGTTGCGCAATCCCTTGAAGGAGTGGGCACCAACACTTCGTCCATAGCAAACATGCTTCAAGAACATCATCACCCTGATTTGCACGAGTGGTCTTTTCAGGGAAATATTTGGATGCATAGGTATGTAATGAATAGATAAGTTCTATTAATTGCAATGACATAGCGTCATATGTTTGATTTATTGTCTCATATCTTTCCACTTCATCTTCGCTGACGCACGAATTTTGTGACTTAATACCTTTGCCGCGGTTTTTACTGCCACTACCTGTCACTTTTTTCTGCTTCCCATTAGCTCGTTTAGTTTGTTTCGACGAACTACCTCGACGTTCTTCAGTCGCAACACGTTCCACAATTCTTTTCCCAAGTCCACCGTCGACAAGGGCTTCGCCAAAAACACGCACAGCGTGAACACAACGTATAAAGTTTTCGTTTGAAACATGTTTGCCTTCCCGCAATATGAATGCCAAACTCTGACATGATTTCACAAAGGAGCGACTGTCATGTTTACCTAAAGTCTCGTTCATAGTTAAATTATATTGATTTTTTGAGGACACTTCAGTACCATCTTTGCCTATCAATAGCCACGAGTCACCATTATTGATATTTGCTACACTCTCGCTACTAGTGGACAAAACTTTACTTGTATTTCCATCAGAAGTTTCGCTCTCCTTCAACTCCTCTTCGACTCCCTCGTTGTTCACAGCAACAAAAGATGAAGAGGGACCTGGGGTGATTGTCGGTGGGCATACTCCAGCCCCAACACACTCCAACAACGTAAATATTGTTGTCCAATCATCGGCTGTTCGAATGCTTGCAGCGTTAGTTCGAAGTAACTCGTGTAGGCCGTATGAAATATGACGTCCGCATGCCTGAAGTAATGTCAGCGGCATCATAAGTAAGACGCGCAGCGCCCCAAGTACTTGGCAAGAGATGTCTTCCTTACGTAAAAGACGGACTGCCAAACGTAAAAGACCAACAACTGCTCTCTCCAGGATGAAACTAAGAAAAAAGTAGCACTGTGAATCATGAACAAAGCAATCAAAGAAGATAATCATATTTTATCGAAACAACTATATATCGTGCAGTTCTCACCTGTATTTGGTCGTATTTATAATTATACTGGAGAGATGGTCCCGTACATTCACCCAAAGTAGTGAAACACGATCTCTAAAATGATACAAGAATTGCAAAATGTTTTTATGATGGAAGTTTCAAACACATTAAAGACATGAATCACAAGCAAACTTGCCGCACAAAATTTATTGATATATACATATAAGTTGAAAATTTACCTATTCTGCAAAGTCAAACTGACTAACTGTTCAAGGAAAAAAACATTCGAATCTTCGTCAAACACAGAGTTCATGTTGTCTCGTTTCTCGGGTCCTTGTGATGCATATATCAAAGCCTTAAAAAGCACAAAAAACCATTCTTAGAATTCGGAAACACAAAATTAACGAACTCCTTTATTTCGTGTGAAATACAATAAATGGTTATCAGCAAAAATCAACTGTACCTTTACTAGTTCATGCAATGAATCAGAGCGAAGAAATTTGCTTTCGACAATAAGTAACTCGGGACGACACTCCTAAACAATATTACATAATGTAAGAAAAGAATTAGAAAGATAAAACACAAACCAAAGTCATATTTTATTATAGTGTAATAACCTTGATACAAGCAATTGCCTTCTCCTCTGTTTCTTTGTGTTCACTGCTTTGATTTTTGCCGTTTGATTGTTCAGAGTTCATTTGAAACAATTGATAAAATGATGAGAAAATAGATGAATCTTGCCTTGAGGAGAAAAATACTTGCATTCAACGATTAACCCCAACAGTCACAACTAATTGTATTACATAAGTAGTGTATTGCTTCTAGTGGTAGAAAAACATTTCACCTTGCTACTGGCAGCTCCTCCCGTATTAAACATATCTTTCCACTTTGATCAACAAAATCTTCAACCTCCACCATTGACGCAGGCAACATTTTGGCTCTGAATAACTGTAATATACATTCCAAGATGTTTTTCCAGCCTTCACGCAGAATATCACCATGACGATACGCGAGAGAAAACATGGTACGAGCAGCAAGCTGAGCCTTCAGATTCATACCAAAGGAAAGCAGAAGATTTTCTCCAGCCTATTGTATTTGAAATAAAAAGAAATAGTTTCATAAACAGTTAATAACAGGAAGCCCTAAAAGGAAAGAACATGATATAATTTATACCTCCGGGGCATTCAGAAGCGTCGTAAATTTACAGAGTGATATCACAAGATTATCAAAGACATCACAGAAGCAAAAGTGTGCTGATATCAGTGCACATTTCCTAGAATGAATTCAAAAATCTATCATGAGAAATAAGAAGCAAACAAACATGGCTGGCACATTGTAAAAGTAAAGAAAATTCAAGCAATACGAAGATCACAAGCATGGCTGGCACATTGCAAAAGTAAAGGAAATTTAAGCAATAAGAAGAACACAAACCTGAAACCATTGATTGCTTTTTGTACGACACTTTTCTCGAGACAGTTATCATAAACTGAGGAAAGTGCAGCAACTGTTGGTCCCCAGGTTATTGAAAATAAATCTTGATCAAATGTACTGCCAGATACAAGCAAATATTTCCCCTCTGGTTTCGCACTTCGACGTAGTAAAACCTAGGAAATATGGAAGATAGAATCACAATCGCGATGGACAATTTCCAAAATCCAAAAAAAAACATACTTTCCAATCATAGTCTTCCTTGATTCGACCAGATCGTTCAGAAGGCATTACAATTTCTTCATTCCTTATAACAGAATTAAAGACAGCAAAAATATTTTACACAACCGAAGTTTTAAGATGTTTTCATGCATGCACGATGAAATGTAACAAGAAAATTCAAAACACCTTATGGCTTGATAAATTTCATCCAACAATTCAGCAGGATAGTCTCCTTTACCATTGCAACGTCTTAAATTCTTCTTAAACTCCTGAACACAAACAAATTTCGAATAATTAAAATTTCAATCTGTTTCCATGATTTACGATATGATGAAAAACATAAAAACATCTGTTCCTAAGCAAAAAAGTAAGTGTTCATTACCTCAGCAATCATTGGTTTCTGTTGTTTCATATTGGCATTATGTTGATCAACGTTCAACATAATTATGGCGTAAGCAAGAGTAAATGCTGCATCAGCATTAGCAAATACATCAGAATGTGACGCCTGAAACAGAGAAGTAAGTTTATCTTGAAGTCATGGTCATACGCTTATATCACAATAATAAATTAAACTTTATTAAATTTAGACAACTCTGTCAGTTATTCCAATTTCGAGACAAAAGTATCTTTATTCTGCCAGATAGCTTTGTATAGTCTACGTTGTTATACGAAAATATGAATGAAATCCTCAACAACTCAAACAATCTTCACGTAATTCAATATAAAATACTCCATTTTACATAACAATCAATGCACGTACATAATAGCCTTCACTGAATTGCTCTAAAATGTGCTGAATAACTGGAGCTTCGCCAGGTAGACGGAATGTCTCGAGAAAACTTCGTAAAGCCTCGTCAATTCTGAGTTCGGTAAACTGAAAAGAGCTGATAAAACAGGAAAACTTCAGAAAACAAAATATTTACCAAAAACATTATCTGCAATCATCACCTTACCATACAAACGCCTCCAGAACCTTTTTGTTCTTTTTATCCCCAATGTAGTCACCGATTGCTTTTTTATCTAATCTAATATTTTCTCGAAGATGATTGGCTAATTGAACCGGATCAATTGGTCTTGTGAGAAAGCCGTGTTCCTGGAGAAACTCGATACCTTTCTTGGCTTTAGTATTAAACTGCTCCGAACCAGTTTGTAGAAGCTGTAACAAATAGAAAATTCATGATCGGCTGTTGTACGCTGTTATAAAGGTTTGTTCACATGAGAGATTTTTTTAGGCATTTTGTTTTATTTGTTTCAAAAGTTGATCGAGCCTTGAAAAAAAGTAAACAACACATCAACGGTGGATAAAAATATTTTCATATCGCTTCTTCATATTATTCAAGAGAAAAAGCTTCAAAGATTTTCATTCTCTCACTAATCATAGATTGTATCGTTGCAAGAAAACTAAATAAAATCTTCCTAGCCCCAAATCTTTCTGGTTGATTGCGAATACTGGCAGAAATATTCAATATTTACAGTAGTATAGCATATATACGAACCATCAACTAACTAATATACTGTTTTACGAATGTACTAAGAGAAAAATTTGCTCTTTATAAAACATAAGTCTATGATGAAACAAATCCCTTGTGTTAACGAACTCAAAACAAATGACTTTCTCAAATATACCTTTTTCTTCTTCTTAAGTTTTTGAAGATCATCTGGAGTAGGAATGGACGATGCAAACATTACAGCAAGAGCAGAGGAGTGCGATAGATTGTCATCAAGACCCATGTTATCACCATCCGTACCAAAGGCGGTGGTTATGGGGTCCATACTACACCCAATCTTCATCTTTTTTGCCATAAGAAAACCAGAGGAAGGCGGTGGCGTGGGTGAGAAGGGGGGAGTGTCACTGTTTTCATCCGTACCAGAGTCGTCATCACCTATGTTTGAAAATACGCAAATGTTAGGTGAAAAGATTATCGAGCTGCTATGTTGATAGATTAGTTTAGATATACGTACCTGCTTTGCTGCTTGTCTTAGATTTTATAGATTTCGGTGATGAATGTAGGGGTAATGTAGGATAACAATGAGCCTCGATGACGTTTACAACTTGTAGTAAAGCGTCAAGGGCGGGAACATTCACTGTAGTCAGACTACCTGCTGGAAATGCATTCTGAAATACCATAAAGTAAAGTTAGATCGTAGCCATAGAAACCACTCTTTTTTGCAAATAATTTTTTCTTCAACAAACAACCTGATAAATGTTGATAGAAACACATTCATGACTAACTTTTCTTATAAAAAATCCCGCTTTTATCGCATTTGGTTTAAAAATATCAACGTCAATAAAGGAAATATGAAAAATCACCTTAGATAGAGATTTACAGAGATCTTCAAATATATTATCGCAGTAAAGATCACAATCAAAGTTGACATAAAGTTCGGAGACGAGGTTAGGAATGTGAAATAGTTGATTGATATTGTCCAAGATTAATTCTCTCTTCTCATATGGTAAATTTTGATGATCAAGCGATAGAACTTCCAACAAACGTGTGAAATAAGACTAGATTAAAAAATTGAATGCATCCATGTTGGTAACGACGAATCAATTAAAGTAAATGAATACAATCCTAACACTACATAAAGTATAAGCTAATGTAACGTGTGTCACTGTTCGTGGTGATGATTCAATACCATACCAAAACAGTCCTAACAGTAGCTAAAGTATTAACTAAATCAAGATAAGGTAAAGTGTTTCAGTGAAAAAAGATGACGAAAAAAGACATGCACCACTAACTAAGATTAGTGTGTCCAAGTGTAAGCATGTCCCCAGGTTAAGCTAAATTAAATAATTTCTAAAGTTACCTCAAGTTGTAATTTTAAATGTCCTCTCAATGCTTCAAACAATAAGAAACATACTCTCAAAGCCATTGCAAATAATGAATGAACCTCGCATTGTAAAAGCTGAAATAAAAGAAGAATTTGTAAAGGAAATGAACAATACGATCTAAGCAGGTCAGGTCAGAAGAAAAAAAATATTTAATGTCCTTACCATGAAGACATTCTTACACAACTCATCAGAAGCCAAGTTCATAAGTGATGGAAACACGCCAATATGTGCTGCGCCTGACTCCAGAGCAACTGTCAGTAGAGATAGACCAATATGGACCATAGTTTCTGAGTTATGTCTGAGAAAAAAATTTAAAATATTTGAGCATCTATAATTTTTGTCACTAGCTAAATGTATATTGATCAAAGAACGCATCTTTGTATAAAAACTTAAGTTCAACTACCCCAAAAAAACAGTCTACGTTTTTCAACAAGAATCAAACCAATGCCTGGTGACAGTCGGTTAAGTCACTATAGAAAATAGATGTTTTTACACTTTGCAGACATAGCATACTTTTTGAAAAGATGGTTAACAAACTGTTAATGTCAGAGTTTAATATTGGAAGTCTAAAAATGACCTGTTGTGATTTGTGATGTGAAATTAAACTATGTTTGGACGTGGTTTTGATTACTGTTGAGTATTACAGGTACAGTGAAGATCATATGACTACAGCATATGATAATACCAATTAGACATGGTTTTGATTACTGTTGAGTACTACAGGTACAGTGAAGATCATATGACTACAGCATATGATGATACTGATTAGACATGGTTTTGATTACTGTTGAGTACTACAGGTACAGTGAAGATCATATGACTACAGCATATGATAATAATGATTGGACATGGTTTTGATTACTGTTGAGTACTACATGCACAGTGAAGATCATATGACTACAGCATATGATAATATATACCTGTCGAAAGGATTCACTAAAGAAATGAGAAATCGCAGCAATTCACGTACACAGGGAAGACCATACGGCACAAGAGGACCATGTTCTGTTATGACAAAACAAAATAAGCATAAAATGAACATCATATGAAAATATCCTTAGCAAAAACAAGCATTTCACCACCTTCTTTATGTACATCTGGAGGAGTAAATCTCACGCCTTTCGAGCTGATATATTCTTCGCGTGTTGCTATCGTCTGTGTATCATTACTTTCGTTTACTGGTTCTTCCTGATCTATAGTTTCACTGGATGTAGCATGCTCTAGTGGACACTCCTCTTCTGTAGCAACATCGCTAGCACATCGTTCCTGACGAGGAAATAAAAAAATACACAATAAAAATGATAAAACAACTTCAAGGAATAGCGACAATAGTTATCGTAGTCGAAAGTAACTTGTGCTGCATGTATAACTTCGTGAAGTGGTACATTTCTTGCTCAAGTCAAACCTTATCGTCTTCATTTCCTATTTCTCCTTCCAGTGGATCTGTCATGACGTGAGAGGCAACCGAATCACATGTCGGAGTTGATGCATCATCTTTAATAGGTTTCGAACGGTCATGGCCTTCTTTATCCCTAACATTCATAAAAAAGAGTCACTTTAAGATGTTTAAGCATCAGTAAGCATGGCGTCATAGCTTTCTGTATCCCTAACATTCATACAAAAGAGTCAGCTTTAAGATGTTTATGTATCAGTAAGCATGGCGTCATAACTTTCTGTATCCCTAACATTCAAACAAAAGAGTCAGCTTTAAGATGTTTATGTATCAGTAAGCATAGCTTACATACTTTTCAAGGTCATTGGGAGTATTTGAAACATTTAAGTCAAGGGTCATTTCTTCACGAGGTGGAGTTACTTTTTCAGATGATGGCGGTATGTTGCTTTCAGGAAGAGTTAATTCCTTGACGCGTTTGGTAGTAGAAATATCATTGGTTTGTGCTGATGGAGATTCTACAGTCTGATTGGTGGAAGCTGTTGAGCTAGAATCTGATGTCGGTATATCAACGGCAGGCGAGGATACTACATTAGCTCGTTTTGGTCGTGGCGATCTCTTGGTACGTTTTGATATCCCCCCTGAACGCTTAAATACCTTCAAAAAGAAAAAAAAATTAAATTTTTTTTATTGCTACAAAACAGCGCTTAAACATAACTTAAACAGACATTACAAGTCATATGTATCAACGATCAAATAAAGTAACAATTCAAGTGATCAAAAAATTCTCACTCTTCTAATATTTGGTAAATTGTTTCCCGATTTCTCTTCTTCTTCTTTCAACTGGGGCAGCCTATAGCAGAGGTCAAAAATAAAATAATAAGGCAACTGACGCGCTTATACAGAATTGAAAGTGGTTTAAGAGCTGCTGGAACTACCATTTTGAAAGGGAGCTAAATTATTAATATCACTCAATTGCAAAAAGCGATACAACCCAAAAATTGACTTTTGTTTCATTAACCTTCAAAGAAAATGTAGAGCATTTTTCAGAAATAATGCATCTCACGTAAATTTAATTGAGACAAAGGATTGATAATCTGAAAGCATAAATATGCATGGCACCTTTGCACTAAAAATGAAGCAACCACGATATTATGAAGCTTAAGCAATTTTACCTTGAAGCCAATAGTTGCACCATATCCATTAATGTTTGCTCTGCTGTCTTTCTCAACAGTTCTATAAAAAAACAGCATTGTCAATGAAAGATCACAACACATATATACCACTCATTACCATCATCCAGACAAACATATATACCACTCACTACCATCATCCAGACAAACATATATACCACTCACTACCATCATACAGACAAACATATATACCACTCATTACCATCACACAGACAAACATACATACCACTCACTACCATCATCCAGACAAACATATATACCACTCACTACCATCATCCAGACAAACATATATACCACACACTACCATCATACAGACAAACATATATACCACTCATTACCATCACACAGACAAACATATATACCACACACTACCATCATCCAGACAAACATATATACCACTCAATACCATCACACAGACAAACATATATACCACACACTACCATCATACAGACAAACATATATACCACTCATTACCATCACACAGACAAACATATATACCACTCATTACCATCACACAGACAAACATACATACCACTCACTACCATCACACAGACAAACATATATACCACTCACTACCATCTCAAGACAAACATCTACACCCCATAATACCATCACACAGACAAACATATATACCACACACTACAATCACACAGACAAACATCTATACCCCATAATACCATCACACAGACAAACATATATACCACTCACTACCATCTCAAGACAAACATCTATACCCCATATTACCATCACACAGACAAACATATATACCACTCACTACCATCACACAGACAAACATGCATACCACTCATTACCATCACATAGACAAACATATATACCACACACTACCATCATCCAGACAAACATACATACCACTCACTACCATCACACAGACAAACATATATACCACTCACTACCATCTCAAGACAAACATCTATACCCCATAATACCATCACACAGACAAACATCTATACCCCATAATACCATCACACAGACAAACATATATACCACACACTACCATCATACAAACATATATACCACTCATTACCATCACACAGACAAACATACATACCACTCACTACCATCATCCAGAAAAACATACATACCACTCACTACCATCACACAGACAAACATATATACCACTCACTACCATCTCAAGACAAACATCTATACCCCATAATACCATCACACAGACAAACATATATACCACACACTACCATCACACAGACACACATGTATACCCCATAATACCATCACACAGACAAACATATATACCACTCACTACCATCATACAGACACACATGTATACCCCATAATACCATCATACAGACAAACATACATACCACTTACTACCATCATACAGACAAACATACATACCACTCACTACCATCATCCAGACAAACATATATACCACTCACTACCATCATACAGACAAACATACATACCACTAACTACTATCACACAGACAAACATGCATACCACTCACTACCATCATACAGACAAACATATATACCACTCACTACCATCATACAGACAAACATACATACCACTAACTACTATCACACAGACATGCATGCATCCACTCACTACCATCATACAGACAAACATATATACCACTCACTACCATCATACAGACAAACATACATACCACTAACTACTATCACACAGACAAACATGCATACCACTCACTACCATCGTACAGATAAACATATATACCACTCACTACCATCTCAAGACAAACATATATACCACTCACTACCATCACACAGACAAACATATATACCATTCACTACCATGATACAGACAAACATGCATACCACTCACTACCATCGTACAGATAAACATATATAATTCACTACAATCACACAGACAAACATACATATCACTTACGACCATCACACAGATAAACATATATACTTTTCACTACTATCACATAGACAAACAGCACATGACACTATTTTATGTTATAGTTAAGAACAAGTTAGCAAATATTCCAGATCTACTGCGTGTATCTTTAATACCATAGTCTGAGCCAGCATTCTAATTAAAAATCTTTGACTAGCAAAAAGACAGTCATATAATGGAGTCCTATTTACATATTATCAAGTTTTTGCAAAGGAGTATTTTGTCTGGGGCTTATGTTTTATATTACTTTTAACAGTAATGCTCATAAGTATAATTTCTATCCTATGAAAAGAAAGGAGCAAGTAAATATCTGGTAGTTAGAAATCAAGTAAAATGTAAAATGCTTTTATCTATTTTTTTTGGTAGGACATGTTTGATACATGATTGTAATAAAAATACTTTGTTACATTAAGTATTTTCATATTTCTCCATCGTAAAAATACCATACATACCACTCAGTCTGAGTTCAAAGCAAATCCTGAAGCAAGATTGCATTATTTCACACACAGACTCATTAGTGAGATGTGCTCCAACAGGTGTAAGTAAAAGTGTTCGCAAAACTTGTAAGATCTTCATCAATACCACTTCATCACTGCTAGGATCAGTTCCAACAAATCGTGCATGTGTCACTGCATCTGCAAGACTTTCAATACCTGAAGGCGTACTATCTGAGGTCGGATCTATAAAAGGCAAATTTGAAACTCAAGTGAGAAAACCTGTTATTTAAATTGCAACAACTAAAAAGACAAAGACAAAGTCTAATCTCATAGAGAAATTTCAGAATAGACTATTTACTAACAAACCTGAAGATTGGTTCAATTTTTTAATGCCAATTTTGCACTGAAAATTTGCCATTATATTACAAAACAATTATCATATGACTACAATTAACTGTTGTGAAAATATGTTTCACTCAAACAGGCATGACCTTAGTTTGAAAGAATAAGATTTTAGACATTTTAATTGGAAATGTCAGGAATGTTTCTCCATGCAATCATTAAACAAAAGATCCTACCAATAAGTCCATAACACAAGAATTTGTTGACTGCTGATAAGGCAAAGCCTGTTATTGGTCCTGTAGTATCTTCCGATCTAATGACATCAAGAAATGGTCCCAAAATGGCAATGACATCAACATCTTGAAGATCTAAACATCATGTGTTAAGAAGTTTCAGGTAAACATTTTCCTTGTTAATGTTAATCCATCTACTTGCTTCACCTTTGACATTGCCGAGGAGTTCTTTTAACTGTGAAAAACTGTGGAGCAATGGATCTTGCTCTTCGTCCTACATATTCAATAAAATGTGCCATGAATGCTGTTTTTACACAATACAAGCAATCCATTGAAATTTCACCATGTTTATCAAGTAAAATGCTGTGGGTGACATTGAAAATGAACATGAGTTGCTTCTCAATTACTATGCAAATACAGGCACAAGAGATGAAATATTTCTCTCACATCTCTTACCAGAGATAAATATTCTTATATTACAATCATTAAAAATACTTGGCCATCATTAATGCTGGAATAGCAACAAGTGAAAACCAAGTTTAACTTCAGACAAAACCATGTTGCTTCATACTTCAATTGACCTTTTTAGAGGTCATAGGACTAAAATCATCAAAAATCCATATGATTTATATTTAATATGTGAAACCTTAAACATGATATTTTCAACGCGTTGACTTAACATACATGGATATATTCTCATGCCAATAACTAACATGAATAACAAAATGATTTGTCCTAGTGACGAGAATTTAAACTATACGTATACAAACCAATCTAATATTAATATTTACAAATAGAATGAGCTAAGACAAAAAACATATATTGTTCGTTTTTCGATATTAAATGACCAACATTACTTTGAAATATATCTTTAATTGAAATAATGAATTACCTGATGGCTATGTGACGACCAGCGAGCATTTCTTCGCATTGCCGACACCACAAGAGACATTTCACCTTGTACAATATTGATTCCATTTCTAGACTGTTCCTGGCTCATTTTATAAAGCTACAGTAACTGGAAGTAACCTTCTTACTCCTAAAAACTATATCAAGCTATCCAAGTTCAACCTTTTTCCCCACCACAACCTGAAATATTTCATTTTTTGTAGCAATATTTTGAAGAAACATGCAAATTACAAACTTTGACCAGCTTTTCTCAGTCGACGTCATGTATATGTAATGAGCATGCGCGCGTGTGACACGCGTCACACACACGCAAGACAAGCACCTGAACTCTGAACCATAAAACCATTCATTAAACTTGGACATATGTTACGAAATTGTCCCAAAAACTTCATTAATCTGAGTAGACATACATTGCAAATACGGCTGAATCGTTTTTATTTATTTTAAAAATTATAAAACACTGCATCTCCAACTGTTAACATCTGTTTTCAGGTGTTGATATTTTTTTATTGGGATAACAACATGAATTAAAAAAAACACTCATGTATTGCACGAAGGATAATCTTCGAAAGTCGGAGATTGAAACAGTTTCCGAGTTTGCCTCCTTTTGATGGACGTTTCTTCCCGTATACTCGCCTTGACACTGATATTGTAATTGTATTGTTCGCTCAATTCTAAGAGATCGGAACTGTGATTGGATCATGTTGTTTGATTCAAAGTTGTGATTTTATCTCAAAAATTATTCCTCCTAACGTATCTAAGTGAGAAGTAAAATTAAAAAATTAATGGATGACGTGTACAGTATTTAAAACACTGATTTAAAATCATCACATAATTCAACACGAAGAACTCTATTGAACCTGGACCACTTGCCTAAAATACTTTTGCTTGAAATAAGTCTTTAAGAAGTTTTCGATAGATTTTGACGCATTTTGACATTTCTGACAGTAGACAAAATAACGAAATAGCTCACATAAAACAGAGTGCTATTTGCGTTCAATACAACGACAAATCCACATCCTGTTTTATCTAAAGATAAACTCATATCTCCAAAAACATGATTTAGGCGTTTGTATGTTCTATTTCAAAACTAATCTGGTTAAAATCACTCAACTAATTTATTAACTATCTAAAACCTGTTTTTCTCTAACTGAGGTGCTTAAATGACTTGTTTACAAATTGTAAATTCCTTTTTCTTTAAGAACCAATCAAATAGTAGAAACAAAAAATAGCCATCCAATCATAGTAAGGCCAAAAAGTTAATGTGCCCTGTACACACCCCCAGCGCTAAATGGTTCAAATAACAAGTGATCATAACAAGCATGCGATTTTACACAAAAGTAGAGGATAATATAGAAGATAGTTTGTACTTAGTTGCATCTGATTGAAAAACGACAGTTTTATGTGTTGTTAAACGTTGACCTCTTTCGATTAAATGCGAAAAACAGGTAAAAAAAATGAACTTTAGCGGACCTCTAATGACCGGCTCCAATCGATACTTCTCCACCGGCGAACAAGTTTGGAGAACATCTCCAGAGAAATTATGGATAAGAATGAATGAAGATAAAATGGACAGAATGCCTGGAAAAATAAACGACGACTATTGTAAACATAAACACAATGTTTTCGTTGATTTTGGCAACCGGCATTCAAGTTATAAAAGCGTGCAGAAAATCACTCCTCAATATGAGACAGAAGCTTGTTTACCAGAACAACCAAGAATTGCGCTCCATGAAGGCATACCTACGAACAATTCGCCGTATATTCATTCAAAGCCCCAGAATGAAGACAGATGTGAAAGTTATTCCGAAACCGTCCCTCTTACTATCGACATATCCAACTATACGTATGTAGTAACCACTAATGTACTAAATTTTATTCCTCGGAAATTCATTGCCAAAGAGTACCATTGCAATGAGCAATAGACAATAGTTTGAAGTATTTAGAATCCGTAATTTGTTACATTCTGCAACATTCCGTGAGAAAATAACATGATTCAATTCTCACGGTAAACGTACAAAATTTTAGTTCAGGAGAAAAATACAATTGGTATGTTAGTCATATTGCTAAATATTGTTGTACAAGTTCTATATGACATAAAAAGCAGGTTGTTTACGTTGCCTTACATCATACATTTTTAAGAGCAGTATGATGTCTAGTCTCCTGTTTCTTTTCCTTGCAGGAATGGACAAAATGAAGTGGGTGATACCGAAGAAGAAATGGCCGCAGCAGTTCTAACATCTATGTCTTTATCGCCAGCCTTAAGAGGTTTCCATCGGGAACGAGGTGAGGGGGAACTTTATACTTGTGAAATTCCAAATAAGCAAGATTATGCGAGAAAAACGTTTTCAAAACATACAATGAGCTGCATTTCTAGTTATATTTTACCTATCAAAACCGACCTGGCAGCGACCCTAAAATTGAAAACTTTTACTTGACAGTCAGCAAACGCCACTTGGCATTTTGGCAAGATATATTCTCTAACAATACTGCCCCCATTGACCTTATCAAAGTTTTTTTTACTACATTCTTGATTTATTTCCATTTTACTCGCGACATTACATCAAAATACTTTTCGTTACTTTGTACACAAGAGTTAATTTATTTAACTTGTACTTTGTCCTTGTTGTTCACGCAGAATAAAAGCAATGGGCTTTAAAATCTTCAAAAAGCTTATGCAAACACACGGATGTAATAAACTAGAAAATATACTGATACAAAGAGCCAGAAGTGAGCGCAGCTAGTTAGCAATAAAGATGAAATAGTTTGCTACTAAATTTAGAGACCTGTGCACTCTTTCAATCATTGAACTTTTTGGCAAATGCTCCGATACTTTTTGTAAACAACAGTGTTTACAGACAGCAGATCATATCATAAAAAGTCCTCACAATCTATCTTGCAAAGTAGCTCGAAAACGTAAATATGCGCCTACTCAATGAAATCCCACACCTTATATTCCTAACACTTTATTTTGTTTGAAAAAGAAAGGAAAGAAAGCCTTGTTTTTGCATTGATATCTTACTGGAATTTTGCCAAATACTTCAATAGAGATTTGACGTCATTTATAAGAGGAGAAAATACAATAGCGTAGGCTGTCTTGTGACACCAAAAAAATGTATTGCAGTAGTGTGGACAGACGTACTGCCTGAAAGAACACAGAGATGTTCGAATGAGAATGCCATCATTGCTAGGTCGGAAAGCTAACGTGTGAACCAATCTTCCATCGTTATTTTCTGGTAAAATGCAACTAATCTATCCCGAGAATTTGAACGAATTTCTCTTCTTCCTGTTTTGAAGAACAAACTATTTGAATTAAGCGACGACTTTCTTTCATAATTTTTCACGCTTAAACATGTAATGTTAACGTTTGACGACATTTCTAGATGAAATATTTGAAAATGCGATGCCAATCAAAAGTGGCGACGAACCTCTTACGCCATACGAGGAAAATAAACAGAACAAGGTTCAAGTGAGGCGAAGCAAGGTAAAAGAAGAAAGGTTGCATGGGAAGTATTTATGATCGAAAGGGAATATGACGTGTGCTTTGTTACATTCTAGCACTCGAGTACTTTATTCCAATGTAAATGGCCAAAATGTAAGAAGATATTATCGTCTTCCTCTGCCATTACTCGACATGTTCGATGTACTCATTTGGGGTATGTAAAATTATCTATTACGTTGAAAGATATAAAATACTACATAGAACTTTTAAATTGACATCATACATGAATTGCACTTAATAATCATGTTAGGCCCAAACACAACAACGACGAAGCCAACAGTGATGGGGAAGAGGAATTTTACTTCATTGAAGTGGAAGCTAGTGAAGACGTCCCAACTGAGCAGTCCTCAGAAGAGTTATCACACGTTACGCGCATAACGTCGCGACGCTGTCGATCATACAGTGATCCCTCTGTACCAACAGAGCCCCCTGTGTCCTCGACCTCACAGCGTCACCTTGACGATAACTTTATATGGCCACTCCGTCATTCCGAGGGGAGACGCGGGAAACTAAGACGACATTACAACCTGAAGAAATCTAGGGGGGATGGCAAGAAATGCAGGAAAGTATTTGGAATGGAAAACAAACACCTCTGGTGTACACAATGTAGATGGAAAAAAGCTTGCGTGAAATTTGTGGACTGAGGTCACATGAAGAAGAATCTTATTCCAATCCTTATCATAGGTTATGACGTCATAAGTTATGGCGTATGTCCTATCAAGACGTCAAATCATATAACCGTAATAAGTTTACCAAGAGAGGCTTAAGTTGCCAACATTTTGCTACTTCAAAAGTAGCCAAAAGGTACGCTTTTGATGTAAAGATGAAAAACTGCTGTAACATAGAAAACCGATGACAAGTTACACGGACATATATCAAACTATGTTGAATATTTCAAGACTAATTCCTGAACATATTCAGTGATTTGGTTACTTTCCCAGTAACGGTTGAAGCGAGATAGAAATATATTGTATAATAATAAAGCCACGGTTCACACTTGAGGGGAAATCATAAGAAATATAAACGATTTTTACGTTCATAGACCTACACGATTGTGTAACATGTGACCATCGAGTAAATCACAACTAAATTCTTTGTACTCTATGCGTTCCCCGATATCAAGAGACCACCACCAAATTCTTTCACGCTTGACGCAAACAGAAATCATTGATTCTAACGACTTTTAAGACAAGTGTGAACCAGGCTTAAAGAAAGACATTTATAGGTAGTACACGAAACGTTTTATCTTAGTTAAGAATAACTATGTTCTTCACGTTGATATTCTTTGAACAATAATAGCAAAACTTATTTTGATCATTATGAAGGAACATACGCTTCATGATTTTCATGCCTAGAATTTTCCATTAATGTGTAATGTAGGTAGAAAAGACTTTCAGCGATTCACAATCAATCTATTTACTCTAATGAAAATATTTTCCTTGACAAAGTAATCAATGATGATATTATTCTTGAAATTGCTTGTAATAAAATAGTTGATGGAGTTCTCTTTGACCATTTGTTCAAATAGACCTGACATAACTTTGGAAAGTGTGAAAAACTTTGACAAACACAACGTTTTGTCCAATTTACCTTTTTTTTTATAAGTAATTTTTGATATTGGAATTCACACTCGTATACTTAATGCTAAATATCTCTATATAGCAAACAATTTCGGTCGTGCTCAATCTATTTTGTTTAAACTCACAAACCTTTACGAAATCATAACTCGTCTTCAGCTTCTCTTTTGTATATATGTTGATGTTTTGCCATAATTCGCAGCAATTGTTGAAGTTGAAGCCACCATTGTTTCTTCGGAAGACGATGACTAAAAAAAACAGGAAATATCATTCCACCATTTATCTGTTGTTTAAATCCCCGAACAATTGTAACAAACATGATTGGTGCAGTTTTCGGTCATTTCGATTAACCGTTACATTTATACCACAAAATAAATAAATTTTATTTTCCATGCATTTTCTTTGTAATTTTGCAAGACCTTGCGACAATTTAGTTAAAAAAAGAATTCGATAAGCCCACAATGAAGTAATTCAGTAGTGTATCATAGTAATTGGCAAGATGGAGATGATAGTACTAACGGAAAATCAGTGTCTTCTTTCAAATCCTTCAATGATATGAATGTGTACTGTTTCTTCTGTAAACCGATAAGACAGGCCGTGTTATGACCCTGAGCATCAACGTCGCCTAAATTGAAATCAAACAGGTTAAAAAAGCAAAAGTACTGAATGTTGACAAAATGGGTTGTTGAATGAAAACTTTATTCACCGGTCGCGGTAAGATTTTCTTTGATCTTTGTCAATATGAATTCAATGGCGAATGTTGCAAGACGAATCCCCAGCATTCTATCAAAAGGCGACGGCGCTCCTCCCTACAAATACAGACATAAACATTGATAGTGAATCTTCCTCGCTTGAATGAGATCAGAGAGAATATAATGTGGTGTGAAGTGAGGTTTATAGGAACATCCAACAAATTCTTTAGTTCATTCATGTTCACAAGAAACCATAATAATCACCTGTTGTATGTGGCCAAGAACACAATTTCTGGCGGTGAACATTTTCTTACTTTCTGCTTGATACAACGATGTAAGAAAATCCGTTCCAAAGTAATCACTGCTCTTTTCATTTCTGCAAAAATAAACGAAAAGTAGGAAAGAAAGTAAAACCTTTGATCTTATGTTGAAGTGTTTGTTTCTAAGAAATTTCGAGTCTTACGCTGACAGGAAATGTCATTGCCGGCGGAGGAAAAATAATCAAGTTTCGTCAAGGTTATAAAATATTTTAAGGTACACTTCGATAAATTTATACCGGAGGATAATGCCGCGTTTAACACCGGAATAAGTAATTTTGTTCGCCAAATGTTTGCAGTCCTCCTAAACAAACAAGAAAATTACAAAGACATTTTATTCGGCATAAAAATTATTGTAATTATTCTCACCAAGATTGACTCAATGGAGCTCGGCTCTTCGTAAATATAGGCAGCATCAGCTCCACTCGCAAGCCCACCAAGTGTAGCTAGGTATCCACAATAACCCCCCATTGTTTCGATGACAAAAACACGCTTAGTGGCACTGCTAGCTGATTGTTTCAGTTGATCCACACTCTACAATATCAAATGGAGAGGTAAATTAAAAGAATGTATTTAATGTAATCTAGAAACTCTCCATATTATCGCCGAAACTCGTGGTTGGCAAATCTTACTCTTATTTATTCATTAATACTATTACCATCTTCATAGAAAAATGAGAGCAAATATCTCTAGGCTAAGATCACTCCATACCTCGACGATCACATTGAGTGCAGTGTCAGCACCAAGACTAAACTCGGTCCCAGGAATGTTGTTACTTATTGTAGCGGGAATAACAACAATGGGAATACGGAAAGACTGAAATCTTTCACGATTATCCATTAACTCGATACCACTTTGATATGCCTAGGTATGAAAAAATAGTGCTAAATTCATAACCATGAATCAAAAAGCAGTTTTCTACTGAACCTGTCAAGAATGCAACGTAGTCAAGTGCCACTTAAAAAGACCCTAAGGAAAAGACTAGAGGGAAAGATCCTAGGGAAAAGACCTAGGGAAAAGACCCTAGGGAAACGACCCTATGGAAAAGACCCTCGGGAAACGATCCTAGGGAAAAGATCCTAGGGAAAAGACACTAAAGAAAAGAAGAAGAGAACCAAGCGAGAAAGTATTTGAACAACGTGAGACGTCGGAAAGGATTATGCGTTGAAGAAAAGACGGTGGAACATGCTGAGAAACCGATAACATTAAAGAAATAATAGAAAGGTGGATATTGAATTGGTAAGATTTTATTACCGACGGTAAAGCCGTCTTTTATATGCGTAGATAATGGAATGTATAAAGTTTTAATACCGCTATTCCATCCATCCCATGAAAATAAATAAGAAAGAAAAAATTAGCTTTTCCTTGGGTCATTTCCTCGTGGATTTTTTCCTTAGGGTCTTTTCTTTAACCTATTATTTTTATTTCTAATTTATTGTCGTAATGGATTATAAAAAGTCTTATGTTGGGATACTATGTTTATAATAAGCATTACTGAAAATATATTTCCATTATAAAATACTTTGGAGCAAATCCTATTGGGAGCATTTTAGTCCTAAATTATCTTTTGAATTTTCAACCACCAGCGTTGTTAAAAAAGTCTTTTGAATTTAAAATGAGCCTCCATAATCTATTTTGACCTACCCTACATCCGCCACTGGTATATATATTTTCATAAATCGATTGCATAAAAAACTTAAACAGATTGGTTGGCCGCCTATGATGTTTTTCTATCTTCTCTGTTTGTCTATGCATGCACAATATTACAATATTTAACTAGTAAAATACCTCAAATCCACCAATGATAATTAAGCCCTGTATACGATGTTGTCTCAATTTTCTTGCAACAAGTTCAATACCCAAATCACTAGGTAAAGTTCTAAAATCACAAAAAACAAATCACCCAAATGGAATTTAATAGCGGAAGGTGCTAGGATCTCGGGGGTGGTGGTTCAAGGATCACAGGGTCACAGCTACGCCCCTGCAAAAACAGAGAAGTATATGCTTACCGTTTTGTTCCAAGTTTTGATCCTCCCAAACTATCCCAATCGGTCACGTCTTGCCAAGAAATTATTTTTACCTAAAGGATGAGAAAAGACTAATTATCAAAAAAGTGGCAACAAAAAGATTGACATAGTCACAAGAGGAGAAAAAAACGAAGGATTTTAAACGTGAAGGACGAAGCCACGAATATTCACATACAAGAACTCAAGCAAGTCAGTAAATGAAGACTAAAGTATACAAGTTCCACGAGCTTCACACGTGAGAACTTGAGCACGTGAGTATATGAATTATGAAGACACAGGTTGCACAAGAAAAAGGAAACATACACGATCATTTACGAGGCCATCAAAACCATCTTTAATTCCCATCATTGTGTGTCCTTCATATTGTGCGAGCCTGACAGCTGCACGGCCAGCGGAGTTGATACCACCAGCAGGTGCTCCAACATTGATCAGACCTAACGTATAACCCTATGAAATATACGATGTAAACAATGTTATACCAATTAATAACAAACTACATCATCACATACAATGTTCATTACTTCACATTTGCCAGAAAGAGAACAATGACTGTCCACTGGGGGAGCAACCAATCGCAACTTACGAAACACTTTCAATGTGCTCTGAAACGAACTGAAACATAAAAATATAGAGAATTGATGCCGATGAACTTGTTGTTGACATTACGTCATATGCAGTGATGACATCATTACTTACCTGCCTCGCAAAGTAGCTGCCTCGTCAAATCGTTTTTCTTTCATCACTTTTTGAATTCTAGACGTCTATATAATTTATAAGTTGCATCCAACTTAGATTGTCTGTATTCACTTAAAGGCCAGTTTAAACATCTCTTCACATTGGCGAAGTTTTTTTAATTACTTGACGTCAATAAGTTGTTTTTCATTCACTGAAAAAATAGCTAAACATATCCTTTTGGAAAAATTAAAGTTGTTCAGCTAAAAAATATAACAGCAGGATGAAAAATGGCGGAGGAATGGTGGAGGGAGCGAACTTAAACGAGATGAACGTGGAGGAACGGGTTGTGCCGTTGTTTGCATATCAACTTACTTTCTCTACACATTCCATGAGTGGTTTCTTCACGATCTGATTGCCATCAATACAAATGACACATGGAGGAGAATGCTCATCAGCATCTAGGACAGCAAGTGTTGCTTCAGCACCCATACGTGAAGCCTGGTGAAAAATAAACAACAAATATTCACAAAAACAATAGTTTCTAAAAAGACTACACAGAGAGTGGTTATGTCGAAATACTTAATTGATAATGTAGAACTTAAAAATTCTCACCAAGACGCGATCAAAGGCGGATGGAACGCCGCCTCGTTGGACGTGACCAAGAACAGTGGTTCGTGTGTCGTATTGTAGACGTTGCTTAATCAACTAAAAATGATATCGACATCTTTGTACATGATGATGATAAAGATGTACCATATAAAATTGAACGTTTTTAACAGCAATTGTAAAAACAAACCTCAGTAACTTGTTGTGCTGAAATCTCGTTTCCGTGAACATCTCTCGCACCTTCGGCAACAATGATTATGTTTAATCGTTTACCTGCCTCGCGGGTCTAAAATATCACCAATAAAACTCAAACATAAAGCATTTTATGTTGCAAAATTCAATTTCAACTAACTCCTTTGAGAAAATTACAAAATTCATCTTCCCAACCATCTTTAACTGGATCCTCTGGGAGAAAAACCTGTTAAAGAGCAAACAGAAGATTGTTAATGTAATGATGTAATAAAGTCAAGTTAATTGTGGTCATGAAGGACAGCAAATTGCACTGCTCAATTTTATTAAAGTAGAGCCTAATGGTTAGTTTTTAGATACCCAATCTGCTCCAGCACCAAGACCACTAATCAGGGCCAGATATCTAAAATGTATTGAATGACAATCTTTCAGTTCAACAGCATGCTAATTAAGTCAGAATGCAATATTTCAAAGATGACTTTATGCAACATTGCATTTCAATAAAAAATATAGGGAGGGATATTTCTATGATGTCAACTTTGGCAACATTTTTACAAATTGTGAAGAGTCCTTTAATTGGCAATAAGTATCTTCTTACCCACAATGACGTCCCATAACTTCCAACACAAATGCCCTTTGATGACTAAAAATAAAAACTCAGTTAAAAATTAGTTAATATGTCAATATAATACTGTCTCCTAACAATAGTTGACATTTTACCTTGATGCTGTTGTACTTATTGCATCAACTGCCTCAATAATTCTATGTAATGCTGAATCAGCACCTATAGTCATGTCCGTACCACAGAAATCATTGTCAATAGAGCCAACCTAAAAAGTTAAAAAACCACAAACTTGTTCTTAGTACAAAATGTACAATTTTATGTACAAATGATCCACTTGCTCACCATTCCAACAATGTTCAGAAAGCCACATGCTTGAGCGCTGCTTTCAGAGATTTTTCCTAAAATATTTGACATGTTGCTCAAAACATACAATGAAAACATCCAAACACTTATATATTACCGATACCTTCTTCCAACAATTCAGTGACAAAATCTTTCCATTCTTGACGAAAAATATTAGCTCCAGTCAAGCTGCCATCACCTCCAATTACAATCTATAAAAATAGGTTCTTAGCATGCACATGCGGAAAGCTAATGAAAATGCATTAACATACCACATATGTGATCATAAAATGAAGTGGATCAATGAGCACATTTTATACAATACAATACAAACAATGTCATAAACATCAAATTTAGTTATTCTGTGAGCAGATATCCCCCAAAAAAACTTCAGTAGTCAATTTTCAACAATAATCATCGATAAATTAACAATGAAATACCAAATTAGAAATTCCACGAGTTATCATGTTATATGCTGCTTTTTTTCTCCCCTCCTGCGTACGAAACTCCTTGGAACGAGCACTTCCTATGACAGTACCTCCCTTTAAAGCATCAAACATGAAGTATCAGAAAAACTTAACAGGGAATGCACAAGTACGATGGCAGTGTTCCACCTTATTGATAATTCCAGATACAGCTTGCCATGTTAGTTCTTTAATAAAATCTCCACCACTCAACATGCCTTCATAACCCTGGCAACAAGGATAGGATTTATACAATTCAGGGATGGATCTAGGATGATTGTTTAGTAGGGTGAATATTTAACTGAGAAGGTAAAGTGAATACTCATATTTAGCTCAGCCCATCTTATTTCTTATGAACTGCCTCCCAATTAGCATTCTAGTTTCACTCTTGATTCTGGGTGTGCCTTGTTAGACAGAGGCAACAAAGATGGATAATTGGGAGAAATATATACATATTGCAGAATCTGTAATCACAATTCATTTTATTAAAATCTAATAAAGCAGAGCATGCAGAAAATGAATATATTCCTGCTCAATCATCAATCATCCGTTGCCCCTCATGCCTGACATTTTTTGTTAAATTGGTACCTTAACTGAAAGACATTTTTGGAAGTGTGCTTCATTGTTTAATACCAATTATATTCAATTAAACTAAGAGAAAATAATGTAGAGCTGTGAGAGTATTGGCTTACCTCCCATACAGCATAAACTTTTGCTCCATAGTAAAGTCCCATTCTGGCCACGGCACGTATAGCTGGATTCATTCCTACATGCATCGTGAACTTAACTTGTTGGTGAAAATTGAATATAGGTAAAATAATTAAGCTTCACCATACCTTGTGCATCTCCTCCACTGGTAAGAACAGCAATGCTTTGTCGAAATTCACTTCCAATTATCGTCGAAGGCTTCAATCGGGAGCCTCGTTTTTTGGAACCATCAACCTGATGATCTTCAAAAAATTCTTCGGTGCTGTCATCTCTACGTCTTTTATTAGCACTTGTTGTATTTTCTATTGCACTGCCAGTAAATCTAGCCGGCACAAAGCGCTTATAGAGCGCAGAGAATATGTTGAACAAATAATGCAAGCCTGCTAACATTGCCACAGCTGATGCAAAGCTTCCCTCCCAGGAAAGATAAAATCAACGTTTAACTGAAGCAACTAGTATGTTATAATTCGTGGTGCATATGCACGTAGCGTTAGGGAAAAAACGAAGAACAATTCCGCACTAGAACGTTGTTTGTAAAAATTTCCGTAAGAAAAAAAAACACACTGAAAAAACATACATAAAAATATTTAGAGCCGGTGGAGTAGAATGTGACTTTCTGCACACTTCTATGTGGTTTATCTATCGGAAATTAAAATTAAGGAAATACCAGGAAAATAAAGTCACTAATGGCACTACTTAAGATCTCGAGAAATTTTTCTTTCCTAGTATTAAGGAATACGAAATTAGGAAAAATATCGTTCTTTCATTCATGATACACCAAATGTCACTAATACATAGAGATGAACGAGGAGGAATATTTATCTGCTTTAGAGAAAGCTAAAGACCTTTTTCTTGAAAAATGTAACGGTATGTTCAAATGCAAGTTATTTGTCATTGTATATTCTATATTAAAAGGACAATATAGTACAGGAGCAAATGGGAAAGTTTATACTATATGTACATTATAACGTTCTTTAGCTGTGAAAAAACTGAAAGAGGAGAATGAAAAAATTGCCACAAAATACAGACAGCTGGAAACTGTAAAGAATGACCTTCTGATTGAAAATGAAAGGTTTCTGCGTTGTTTGTTTTATTCGTATTTAAATTTCAATATTTATTTAAAAACATTACATGCTTTTTCATTTCTTGTACGACACTATGCAGACTGCTTGAGAGGTCAAAAAAAGCTGTTGAAAATCTCGATAAAGCTACAGAAGAGATAAAAAGGCAATTTTTTCAGAATAAAATATTTTTCACATGTTCAGGATATCACTGATACATAATTTACAAATCATAATGTAGATTAACTGAAAAACTAAGAACAACAAAGAGATTTGTTAAGTTCTATCTAACAGAGCAGCTGAAGAGAATGAAAGGTAAATATTCAGTCTGTTTAAATGTTGATGTGTTATGCATGTAACTTTTATTCTTAATCTTTAAGAAATCGAAATGAAGGGAAAGTACAATTTGGACAGTTTTTCCTATCTTGTTGGGGATATTGGAATGTGAGTTTATTGTTTGCAAGCTACATTTTGTTGAGAAAAGTTTAAAATTTGGACATTTTTCATCTTCTACAGGAGTTTTTGTGATGCAATAATGAATGAAAGCAACAATAATCACAATGAGACATGCAACAAGCAAACTTTCAGGAAGTTAACCTGTGATAAAGAAACAAAATTACTGTACAATAACAATGCTGATGTGGATAAGACAACATTTGAAGGAATGAAAAATAACTCAAATGATGAATGGGATAAAATAACTATCGAAAATCAGACAACATTCAACAAAAACTTAGAAACAAAAACTTCAAAGACTCCAAAAGATCCAGATGTAACCTTTTACGATCCCCTGAGTTCCCCATCTCAATCAAACACACAGCGTGAGCCTTATAAAAAGACATCAGGGCAAAGGACTTTAACAAAGAATGAAATAGTCAGTCATAACCAAAATACTAGCTCCATCTCAAATCTCAGCTTGAACATATCTTCACCAATTGGTCCACCATCCAAGACCAGTACACCTCAACACTGCTTAATATCACCCCTCAATTCACCACCATCCTCTCCGTCAATATTAAGGCAGTTAGATAATGAAGGAACGGAATGCAAACTCTCAACTTCGTCACCAGACCATTTATCACAACAAACCCATTCCCCTTCAACAAATTTTACAAATGTGATTTCAACTGCAACTCATTGTATGACTAAAGCAGATGTTGTACCTTTGATGTCATCTGATGAGAGAATAGCCAAGAGAAAGCGAAACGACTCTCTATTCGGTTCGTTACTGACTTCATGTCATTTGGAAACATCAACTAATGAAACGGGGAATTCTAAATCGATTGAATCAAAAACGAAGCAATTGAAAATGGAAGTCACTGAAAATGTGAGGGAAATACGAGCGAGAACCAGGGTCGTACCGAGCGGGTTGATTTTAAAGAGTGTCCATCCATTGGGTGGGTGACACTCTACCCTTTCCCCATATTTTGTAAAGTGGTCGTTAAATTTATACAAGATAGGTTGTCGTCGGTTTATTGAACAAAAACAGTGAATGATTATTAATTTGTTAGTGAAATAATTAAAAAACACACCACAAATCTGAATGCCCTCGGTATGCCTTTGGCAAGAAGTGTTTTCTCATTGATATCAAATGAAGATCATATAGCATCGTTCTTTTAGCGTCCGATTGTAAATAGTTCGTTGGAGGTTATTGTCGTGGATGAAATCGACTTCCTTGAACCCACGGACGTAACAGAAAAGGCTAGCATTTGTTCTGCGACCGAGAAAAAGACAAGTTTCAACTCAAGTAGTCTTCTCTTCCCATCACCACAGCCAAATCCCAGTCCAGGTAGATATAGCTGACTTAAATACGTAGACTTCTGATTTCTTCGCCACAGTTTAATCCCAATCCAGGTAAAGGTGGCTGGATTAAATGGTTTTCCGTTTACTTCGCCGTATAATCTCAGTCTGAGCAGAAATAAGCTAAATTAAGCGGTTTTGTATTCATATTAAAACAGTTAAACCTAATCTGGGATAAACCATAATTTAGGTTGAGATAAGCATGAATGTTGTGATGAAAGATTTCGTTTGCTCTTTTATTTTAACACATTCGTTCAAACTTTTTATGTTTTTATGATTATTTAATTGTTGTATCTTTCTTCTGTCGTAAAACCCAATTCAGTAGCGACTATTGACATTTGTAATGAAGATGATGAAGAACGAAATGAAATAACTGAGGTATTGTAGCCGAATTTGATTTCATAAAAGACAAAACAAGTTTCCGATCGCCAGGGTTTTTATACTTCTCTTTTTTTTCTATCTTGAAAAAGCCGAAGATTGCTTTGAATTTTAATCTTGGTTTGAGTGAAAACGTAGAGACGAATGCCCTGAAAAGGTGATATAGAGTATAATTCACTATCGAAATTCATCAAATGAGATTCAGTCTACAAGTTTGCCATTTTCCTCATTGTACTATAGTGGATCAAATGCGAATGTTGCACAATTCAAACATAAAGAAGTTGTAAGAGGTAAAGATAAGAGAGCGAAGCTGAATGGTTACTTCTGCGAAGATTGTGAGAAGGTAATTGTAATATTGATAGATATGTTAACGATAAAATACATCGCATATTGCCTCCATTTTATCTTACAGTACTACGGTAGTCTGAAGTTGAGTGAATCAGAGATGCAGGAGAGACTAAACGCCTGCTCAAGACATCGTGCTCGCTTCTCCCCGGGACCAAGCACGCCCGAACATTTTTGGGATGTTGACTTCATGAATACCCACGAATATGTGGAGCGAGGTTTCATGAGGACTGGTGCAGACCTTCCGCCTGAGAAACGACAACTTAACAGTCGCAGATTAAAGTTGGGAAAGCAGCACTAGACAATAAAATAGATAATTTGCAGAGATTTACAATCAGCCGTTCCAAAGTTTACACAAAGTTTGATGATGGTCATATTTTACGACAGAATAATCTCCATACTCCTTCGTAAGCAAAATATGTCTTTCCTCGGTTGAACGTGGGACATTCATGTATCCGTCACAGTACAACACCTGACTGATATTCCCTGAAAATGTCTTTGCGCATGTCCATACATCTATGTTAACGCCTTCCGCATCTCTAGCTTGCAAGCCAAGTTTTTCCATATCAATAGGTATATACCAATGATTTGTTTCGTAATGAATCGCTTTCGGTTTAAAAAATGTCTCACGTGATTCAAGGGCTTCCTTGAAACGTAGGACTTCCTCCGGAGTAATGCAAATATCAATGTCATGTTCCCAGGCCATGGGCATTGTGTGGCCGCGCTGAATAGCTAGCATATCACCCAAAGTAAGCCACCAAGATTCGATGTTCTCGTCAGCCGCGAATGATGCAAATTTTCTCAACTTTGCGCACATTGCCTTTGTGACGCTTGGGTGTTGCGCACACCATAATCCATTGAAAGATAAATAGAGTAAAACAGTTGTAGCTACCATGATTATAGTGAAGACAGCCAAAAGTAACTGAGGAACTTTCCTTTGACAGCTGTGCATGGCCAAAAAAACAATTCCTACGGATATAATTATCACAATATTGAAGCCATGAGCATCAAATCCGTACTTCCCATGAAGCCAGCGATGCACGAGGAGCGGAATGCCAATCAAAAACAAGAAAAGCAAAATAACTGCTGCAAGAGTTAAAATGATAAACTTCTTCCCTTTCATCATTTTTGAAATAACTATAATTAAAAAACGGAGTTGACTTTTTCATTTAATAATAGAATTTTCATATAACAACGCCAATTTTTTCCCAATGTGATAAGTTCTTAGTGGCCCGCTTTCGCAGGCTTGTGAAATTGAAGGACTGGGGAGAGCAAAGTTGATTTGTGATAAAAACATATTCTTCAAAAATCGTCATGTCTTATATATTACTTTCATAAGCAAGGAATGTAGAAGGATTGCCAAGCGGAATGTGTAAGGAACACTTAAAAAAAGTAAAAATATTGTAAAAAATATTGTCAGAAGTGGGATTCGAACCCACGCCCACATTCGTGGACTAGAACGCCCGTTGTTACCCAGCAAATGCTGGAAGGTGTCTACCTTGAGTCTAGCGCCTTAGACCGCTCGGCCATCCTGACAACTGAAGGTATGAGGCAATCTATTCGTATATATTTTATCATCTGACTCTCACGAACCGTAATTCTCTCAAACGATCAAAGTGTTCCTAATGGTCATTCCGGTGTTAAACAAAATGGACAAATAGAAGGATCAAGTTGCTATAAAGCACAATAAGTACTTTCGCCTGAAAGAATTTTGTAAATTATCTTAGAAGTCTAAGACTGTGGTATAATTACGCAGCAAACGGTCGAAACAAAAGTCCAAACAAAATTGTTGTATTCATGAAGACTTTTTTGCTCTCGAATACACTCATCGTCGGATATTTTTAGCGTCTCCGAGAAAAATTACATAATTAACTCGAGATTTTACGTTGGCAATAATTGCCTTTAACATTGAAATGAACGAGGCCACGAAGTTTTATTTGCGATGCAAGGAGCTCCATATTAAAAATAAAAATTTGAAAACATCATACCGTGTTATATTCAAGAAAAGTGAGGACAATTTCCATCAACCAAACGCCAGCAATCACGTTTGTGTAATCCAGTTATATCCACAATGGAGTTACTACTTGCTCCGTCAATTACATCTCTCCAAGTCTTTCACAATTCGCTTTTTCTCTTGGATTTTGATTAAGACCTTAAAAAGTGGGAAAGGTAGGTTGTGTAACTAGTAACCACTGCTAGTAAGTTAAGCGGGAAGCCGTGACGTATTCAAACGTGCGTTGCAAGGTAATGGTATAAACTGAGGCCCAAACTTATAAAATAGATAATCCGGATAAAAACTGCCTGCACAGTACATATGACGAAAGATTATGTTTATCATTTATCATAACCCAACAGCCAAAATTACTCAAAAGTCAAAATAGGAAGAGTTAATCAAATTAAATAATTCATACAAACATTCTTTTCTAATTAATAACTTTTATTATAGAGAACAATAAATATGATACACAACTCATGATATTATGTGAACACTGTCAGATTTCAATCACGAAGACCAGTACTCAACGCAGACCTGCGTGGGTCAGTGTACAGTTGGAGTCAACATGGGAGATGTTACATACTTTGGAACCAGATATAAGTTGGTCTGTTTTTCATTTTATTAGGTTAAATGTCATGACATGTGACTGTTACTACCATTGTAATTAATACTATTCAGGTCAGTAAGAGTACTCCAACAAACGAAGGAACAATTACAACTGGAAGCAGCATTTGCTTGGTTGTCAACTCTTGGTGGAGCTCATTCTGCACTTGGCAACTATTTTCATAAAAATGTAATTTGACACCATCCTATTCTGAACTGAAATGTTATTAGAAAATAATTTCAATCTTTTATTTTTGTATAGGCTAAGGTTGCATGTGAACTATCAATGAAACAGTTATATATCGCAACAAAGATTGGGAGTCCTATACTGGCAACACATTGTAAACTTTACTTTGCTATGAGTTTAATGCAGCAAGGACAGTATAAAAGGGCATCGAAGATTATCAGGTGCAATTATCAATTACATAATGTTTGGTTATATATGACAATTTTACTTTTGTATGTAGTTCAGTTTGGAGAAACATAATGAATGATAAAGGACTACAAGAAAAAAAGGTAAACAGCATTGGTTTTACATGTGTCAAACAAAATGCAACAAGTCTTCTCTTGTGAAACAAGATACATGGTCTTATGCCAACATTTTTTTAGCTCATCAACTGCTACAAGGCATCCAAAGTGAGATTAAAACATTTACAAATTAACAAACACAGAATAAGACATGGAGATTATGGAAAAGGTAACATAAAAGGATAATGTACTGAATAATGTTCATCACAAACAGCAAGTTCAATTATTTACATTGACATACGACAGCTTATTCATCGACATACATGTATGATGTCATTTCAGTCACCAAACCTATAACCACAGTTTTCATAGTTTTTCATAGATTAAAACATTCACTACATCCTATTGGCTAGCTTGAAATCAGGAACCTGGTACTTTTTAGTAGGCAAAAATTTGCCAGAAGAGAGATGTTACAATTTTAATCATTTTTTAGATTGACGTAGATGTACTTAATAAAGTGGAGAGAGACAAAAAATGAAACAGTCCCTAACATGAGGAAGAATATATAACAAATGAGGATTGTCCAACCTAGAAATTGTGTTGTCTGAACAGCACCTGACATGCTTGAACGTTTCATGAAATAAAACATGGAATAAAAGAACACAAATAGGCCAGTTGACCTGGAAAAAAAGCAAAAAATATTATTAATGGAGAAGTACTTACTTCAGTATGTTTTGCAAAATTTGAATGACTGAAATTTTTATTGTGCTCTTATTGAAATAAAGAAATGTATAATTAGTCAACACAAACATTGATCTTTCCAAACCTATGATCCGCTATGCACATATATTTTGTTGACTTATGGATATGACATGTTTAACATACCCTGAACTGAACACAGATCTCCACCACCATCGATAATCTTCACTAGAGAGTTGGAAGTATGTAAGTGCAATAGAGATACATGCAGTAACACTAAGCAGGATAAGGAAGACAATCAATAATATGCCATAAAGAGTGTAGTGATCATGACCCCAGATAGTTGAGAATATGTAATACAGTTCCACCGAGATAGCACTGCAAATATAGAAAAAATACACATAAAACCTTTTAAGTTAGATGGTAAACAAGTTGGACTATAAAGAATTCAAAAAACTTACAGATTAAATGAAATGAAATCATTATTGTACAAATAAGTTTTTTTGTATCATCATTACCTGAATGGCAAGAACCCTCCAACAATCATGTGAACAAAATGTGAACGATACCTTAAAACGAAAAAAGCTTTCCATATAATTGCATGTATCAAACAAGCTAATGCTTCGTCACTCGAAGCTAGCTTGTGTCTATAATATAACTTTTTACCTATTGATAGTATGGAAGAATTGTCATTACACAAACTCTAAACACATAGACAGGTTTTAAAATTCTTACCACACTGGCTGGGGTATTTCCCTAGGGATGTTTTTTGTACGACAAGGTGCTCCAAATGGTGATGACCAATTTTTACCAAATATTCCACCAATAACTGTCAAGGGGAATCCAACTACAAAAAGGGGGAATGACAACTTACTTATTTAAATGGTGGTAAGTAATCAAAGGACACAATTCGAAAACATACCTATTAACCAAATAAGCATAAGTAGTACTATTGTTGTAAATGGTAATGCTTGAGTAGAATTATTGTACCATGCTACAGAGTTCATGATGCTCCAGATGACAAAGAATGGAACTAGATTTTATATAATAATAAACACTCAATTGTAAACAACACATAGTTTGAACCACCAGTGCAAAAAGATTATCACCAGTGCAAAACTTAAAGTATATTAAATACACTATTAATACTATACTAAAGTAGTGGAGTTTCACCAATATATGTATTAGATGTTGACAGTTACTACCTGCAAACAAGGTTGCTGTGAGCACAATATTCCAAGCCCAGTTAATGCCTCCTATTTTCTTATACATGGAACTTGCAACATAACCAGATACACCTAACAATAAACACAAACTGATGATGTTTATTGAGCATAATTTAAATAACTCATCACATAAGCATGTATTTAGAATCATTTGATATCAACGAATGCAACTGGCAAAATAAAACAACTTACAACAAGTGAGAGCATATATTAGAACAGAAGCTGTATTCATTGAACCATGTCTAGGCGAGTAAAATTCAATAATAAAACATTTACACTATATAATTAAGAGAAGCAATTAATGACAGTAATATTGTGAAGTACCTATGAACACTAAACATGCCAAATATTGCCATCAAGATGATACCAAAACATATCGTAAGAAACTGAGATCCATTACCTAACAAATTACAAAAATTTAATGAACATATATAAGGTATAATTGGAACAGCGAGAATATTGATACTAGAAAATTTTTTAGCAAAAAATAATTTCAATAAAGTGAGACAGATCAATTATAAAAAGATGTTATTGTACAAGAAATCAATAACAAGTAGCATCTTTCTAACTTACCCAAAATTGCACAAAGCCAACTTTTATAATTTGGAAACCTAAATACGTCTGTATTTATAATCTTCCAACCATAATCATCTTGCTCTATAAAGATATCACAATGAAACCATTCAAAATTTCCAAGTATCCTAATCCATTTACAACTAAGTAATGTACAATCTTCTAGTAAACATGGATACCACAATAGGGCACCATGGTATCCATAGAGAATGAATTCACTCTTCGTGCTGTACAATAACCCAAAGCAAATAAAACTGCTAAGAATCAATTCGAACACGGAATTTATTTACCATTTGATGAGTTCAAACAAAGTCGTATATTTCTATTGCAAATTAAGCAAGTAAAGCTTAATTAAAAACCTTGTCCTCCTTCAAGATCATTTTCATCAACATTATAACGAGCAAAATCATTCTTCAACACTCGCATCTGCAATGAACAATTTTTGCAAAACTTCAAAATACTTAAATAGGAATAGCAAAATGACATCCAAAAAATCTCTCACCAAAATAATGATGACAAAACCAATAAGAAGAAACACAAGAACCGCTGAATTAATAATTGACAACCAATGAATCTAAAATGGATCAAAACCATTCAAACTTCATCAAGACAGCATTAATGTTTTAGGAATAAGAAACTATCACCTCTAGACTCTGTGGAAAAAAGTCCCCATCTGTATTCCTAACTCTTTTTGTCTCCCTAAACAATTAAGTTAATAATCAATGTTGCATCTATAAATGCAATAAACTATGAACAACATTTCACATACTTTGTTTTAACAAACTCAACACCATAAGTAAATTGTACATTTTTCATTTCTCCAGTTTCAGGTAGGTCAACTGGTGCTCCAGTGGATACATTTGCAGATATTATCTGATATCACAAAAAAAAACACACCTCTTTTATTATATTTTGGAGATTATGATAAATAAAATAGGGAAGACCATACTTGATTGCCATTATATGTAATAATGAAATGCAAATGAGTGAATAGTTGAACACTCTGGGTGTGAGGCAAAAGATGACCTTCACTGAAATGACCAATAAATCCATGAAGGCGGATGTCATCTTAAATGAAAAAAAATTATTTAGATCAAATTTTGAACCATAAATAATGGTCACAACATTAATCAATTTACCTAAAACAAATTCAAAATAATAGTGATCTTCAATAGCATTTCGTAATTGCCGAAGATCAGCAGATGAAAGTCGTCTCGAGCAAACTTGCTTGTTTGAAAAAGATTCTAGAGAAGTGAAAGAAAACAGTGTGCATACATAGGGTATTTTAGAAAAATTGTTAATTTCTTGATTTTACTTTTGAAATGGATTTCATAAATAGATTCTGCCATCCTGTCTCCTTTAAGAACTTCACCAAGTGTCAAACTTCTCTGCTCAATCTAAGAGTAAATATATATTAAATGTAAGTGTTTTGAAACAATTCAACACCACAAGACAACATAAACTGACCTTTTCTGGAGCACAAACAGGCAACGAATAGTAGTGATACGTTTCGTGAGGGTTGAAATAAGGACCAACTTTATTAACATACAGAAGAATCTATAAACGAGAAGACATGTTGCAATTTTTGATTAAATAACTTCTTTGAATGCAAAGAAAAACAATTTTTGTGACTCAATAGATATTTGATGCCCATTTGACGATAGTTAATATTATCTGTTCGTTTAACTTGCGTGCTAACGTACTTCACAGCTGAACGTGAAGTGTTTAGAATATTATCTATTTCAAAACATAGAACACGTTTGTAATAAATAAGAGTGTATTTGGACACCTTTTTGCCATCTTCAATGTTTCCAGCATACACTGTGTTTATAAGAAAGACCAAAATGAAACAAGTTCCCGTTGAACTTAATTTAACTTTCATCGTGTCGGCAGCCATTTTGCACGAAGTAACTGCAAGAAAGACTGAGTGACGTGTTGGTGACGTGTCAACCGTCAACGTCCAACTTTGAAAAACTATGTGCGCTGGTGGAACAAGGCACAAAGAAATATAAAACAAGAAACAAGGCACAAAGACATATATTTAGCGTGTGCAGCCCCTTCAAACTGTTAGGTAGACTACTCCAGTCGAGCAATATTCACTGGATAGTTGGGAAAAATAGATCAATGAAGATTGAAAACGGCCTCTAAAAAAATATGATAGTAAGTACGCTTGTAACAAGCACGTATTTAGTGGCGTAGCTGGCCAGCAAATATGGTCCTGTTATTAAATTTCTCTGGGCTGCCTCACTGCAAAAACAATTGATTTTTGTTGAGATGAATAAAGAGAAATATGTCCTGAAATTGACATAACATGACCAAAAGTTTGGGTGTGGCAACGTCATTGACGGTATGGTATAAAATGAATTAACTATTATAGAAACTCTCTGTATATATTTCCCCTTCCAAAAAGATGTGCACTAACTATTTTTCAATACAATTTTTCCTATCTGAAATTATACTTATATTAATATTATTAAATAACAGGAATTCTAAATACAAAAATATATTGGCCTGTACAGTTATTCAATAATTGAAAAGTCCACAATAATTTATACAGCGCACATTTTCACATAAAGAAAATTGGTAGGAATGGAAACACAATAACTTTTGATTTGATCCAGTGTCAGTAATTTGCGACCATAAACTGTTCTCCGTCATCACATCAGACACATATCCAGCTATCTGTAAGGATATCGACTCATATCAGAAAGTGTCATGTACGTGCATGGTAAAGCTGACATAAATGTCATATATGATAGTATCCAAAAAAGCCTTCTTCTAGCTAGCTAGGTGAAGGTTCTTTTTTATATTAATACGAATAGCAGTCAAACTAAACTACTTATGACCGAATTTCCCTGGAAGAAGATACAAAGGACTGTAGTCTATAGGTTGATATACGTAGCTATATTCCACTGACCTTTGTTCTTGAGAAGACAATGGAAGTCTTGAGATTGCCTGGGGGGAATGGACGCCGATAATACTCATGATGAGCGACAAATCAGCGTCACCGTAACTAGAAAATGATAAAAAAAAATAAATCAAGTTGTTTTTTAAAAAGATGAATAACATGAGTAATATGATGCACTGCTACCTAAATGTGTTTACAAGATCCCTCATGGTGACGTATTTATGAGTGAGTAAAAACTCGGACACCACCTATAACAATAAATACGTTTCTCTATAACAACTATACAGCCTAACAAGTAGCTACTTTCCCTGGAAACGACAACACAATTAAAAAGTAATAAATAAATTTTTAGTAAACAAATGACGTAAAAAATACCTTACTACGAAGATACAATTCCTTAAGTTTGTCCTCAAGATGCATCAAGCACTAAAACAATAAAGACAATAAAGAAAATTTAATGAGAAAACTCCTGTAGTGTCATTCATTCCGTTGCTTAACGAAACACAATGGAGAAAATGACATACAAAACTGGCTGGCATGTTCAGTTCCCATAAATCACAGAATGAACAAAGGAAATCATGAACGAGAGTTGAACGTTCCGCTTTCTTCGAACGAAGTCCGTTAGATTGACTCCTGAAAGGAAAAATGAGGTTATTACATCATTAAATTAAATCGTTATCTTATCGAGCGATGAATATGTTCTTTGACTTTCTGAGCAAGTAACAACACCTATTGTTACTTGCTCAATATATCAATTCATCCTGAGACAATAGAAAACTATCTTTACCCAACACTTCGTCTTTGTCTAGGTAAAGTTTTTATAGTACATTCCCTAGAAATGAAATAAAATAAACAATCTGTAATTTTGGACATTATCAGACAGGTCACACAATATACAACAACACAAAAACAACTTATCATTCCACGTACCATTTGTCAACATCACCAGAAATAATGACAGATTCAGATATAGGACTGTCTACAACTGGTTGCTAAAAATTTAAAAACACACGAGTTACACTACCATTTAGTTGGTACAAACATGTTACGAGATGACGCACACTGACCTCTAAAGATATTTGTAAGCTTTTCTTCGCCTGTTCATCTGTTAAACGATCAGTACCATGAAGAACGAAGTCTGGAACATACTGATCACAATATCTGATGAAAGAAAAAAACAATGATGCATAAAAGTAAGAAAATACTTCTACCATCTGATCAAGTTAACTTACCCAGCCATAAGAGAACGTCCAAAACTAAATAATTGACAATCTTGCGAGCTGCAATTGTCAAAAAAATAAAGTTTGTAAAAATTTCAACTCATTTCTAATACAGCAATAGCATTTTGGCTAAAATTTCTAGAATTCATTATAACATTAAGCCACGCACTTTTTGTTTAATAAGTCATTTTCTGTGATGTCTTTATCAAGTCTAAAAAGCAATCATAAACGTTGAAAAAACCCCAGGTGATAAAATAAAATTGTTCAAATCTAATTGTAATTCGCTCAAAACTAATTCTCGTGATACGTGTCAACCTTGCTCGTACCTAGTGTCCGGCAGTGACAGCATAAACGCATCGGGTTCGTTTAAACACTCCTCATTCACGTTGTCCATTGTGTGAGAGCATTGTTCATTTAATCCAGAGTCGATTGATACACTACTCATGGATCCTTTTTCTACTTCATAAGAATGTATTGAACCGCTAAAATAACCGTCTGAGTTTATGGTGGTCGTAGACGCACAACGTTCATTTTTTGATAAAACGTTGTCAATAACCTTACAAGAGCAGCTCTTTATTTTACCACAATTTTTGCATAAACACGCTTTGGTGTTGTCAGCGAGAACCTTTGTTTCTTTGATAAAATGTAAGCTATTAAGCTGCCCATTACAAAGAGGACAAAAAGGATATGTGTTGAAAAATAAGTCTGTGATCTTCTGTTGGTCCATTGACACAATCGTCCCATCGTTGTCAACGTAAAGTTTCCTAGAAGCTCGAACATAATCCGACGTTTTCTTTGAGCTACATGCTCGATATAAATTACAACCAGAACCAATGTCCTCTTCTGACATCTTCCTTGAGAAGTATCGTCCATTTAAGCTACGAGTGTTCTTGTTGTAAAAAGATGTTTTCAAAAAGTTGTTCCAAAGTTCATGTTCTTTATTGTCCCTATGCATTACGTCATGTTCTTTATTGTCCCAATGCATTACGTCATTACATGCACAAATGTTTGCGTTGGTTTCACATGTTATATTATCGATGCTAGATTGACAGTTAGATTCATTTACAGTATCTTTCCGTAGTTTTTCATCTGAATGATTATGACTAACAGTCAATGTTAGATCTTCTTCATTTTCTTCTGTCGCTTTATGCTTTAAACAATCATGGCAATTTTTCAAACATTTTTCCCAACTTTCACAGTCCACGACGTGGCTCATCTCCAAATCAAACGATGAAGAATTCCTGTTTACGAAATTGCTCACACTATTCTTCATGTTTGGCAAAAAATCTTTTTCATCTTTCAAAACTTTAGAAATATTTATACCATTAGAATGAGAGTTCTCTTTTTCACTTTTCTCACTAATCCCAGGGTTGGCTTCATCATTAAAATTCTCGGATTTTTGAGCGTTGGTGTTAGCATCACAATTTTCCAAATCAGAATGCCGTTGTCCGGCTACGTTGCCTTGGCGGACCTCGGTCTTGACCAATTCAACAGAGCTTTCTAAATCCGTAGAACATATGCCAGAGTCTTCACCACATGAGTCAATATAATCTGCATTACAGTTGTTCGTAGAAGGCTTCCCACAATCAGAGACATTTTCACCGAAACATTTTTTATGGCAAGCTAACTTAGCATCCCGCCAAAAGCTTTTTGAGTTTTGAGATAGTGGTTCAGTACAGTTTCTTTGATTTCCTTCCCTCTCTTTTGAAGATAATGAACGCTCCATTATTGGCTCCTGAGATTTTTCATTAATCTCAGCGCACTTCGCTGGAATATCTTTCTCAATGTCCTTTGAGCTACTTGCTTTTTCTGAACTTTCTAGATACGGTGAAAGACCGCAAGGAGATTGCTCCAAAGGTTTCTCGAACACCTCGCTACAGCGAATGAAGTAAGAAAGAACATGCAAGATAATTGTAACAACGTCGTGATCTTCCCCAATGATAACAGTTCTCGTCATTTTTGTTGGCTCACCACAGGCACCATAAAGTTCGCTAGGAAAGGAATATTAAAGTTTATAAAAAATAAAAAGAAAATAGGCAACTAAATTTTACTGCTCTAAAAAACAATAATCTGTCTTAGATTCATAAAAACCAATTATAAGCTGTGGTGTAGCGGTTGAGGATGGAGTCTTTGGTGCAGAAGACCAGCGTTGTTTGTTACGATGAATTGACTGAAGTACTGACTGGAGTCCTGACCTCGTTTTTACATCAACTCTTGTTTTCAAAAACATTACAATAAAAAAACTGATGAAAATTGTTACCTCAACTGAGCCCACAGTGGATTGTACGGATGAGATTCACTAAGGATGTTGAGCTGAAAGAATAAAAATTAAAAGATAAATGAAGAATACTAAGATTGATCATAATCATATAACTTACAGTGTTAGAGGAATGTTTATCAAGATATGCTCTTCTTGCTACGTCACATGATGGCGTGACAGTTGTTACCCAAGCCACGTGATATGTCAGCACAGCAGTCAACAGGGAACCAAAGAAACTATATTTGTTGTAAAATAAAGACAAAATGAACGTTTTTGAACTATGTAGCTGGACTCAAAACTAAAGTCAGCAACGTGTCCACTTACTAGTTCGTCTGCTTCGTATTGTATGTTTGAATAACGTTGACAATTTGAGGGACAAGATCTTCACAGATTGTATTACATTGCTCTGGTTGCGACAGCATTGTCAACCATACTGGATTCTGATGGTAAAATGAGGGATTAGATGGAGGAAGAAAACATGACATGGCATATTTTGCAAATTCATGTCCCTATTACAATTCATCCCCTGCGATCCACTGTATCCATATAAGTTTCTGTGGGAGCCATTAGCTTTCTTTTGCTACTTACTTTAATTCGTGGTGCGTAATAAAGATCTAGGATGTTTGCAGCAAACGTATTGGCAGCCTTAACAAAGATTGAAAATCATATTTAGATACGCAATATGTCCAAAACGTGTGCTCATTATGCAAGAACGATAAGTCAAGTTCATAAAGACAAAAAATTGAAAATGGCAGCCGGCTCCCCCTGCTCGGCTGACCATGGTTATATAAGGAACATGGTCCGACAGTTTAGGACAACCTTTGATGTCGCTGTAATAGGACAACACATGCACAGTTTTAATGATGAATTGAGAATAGCTTACACAAATAAAAAGTCTTACATGCAACATCCTTTCTTGAAAACATTTTCCTGTCATTTGTACTGACGATAATAACACTTTCTCCACCATTCGTTTTAACCGATGAATGTGAGACTCAAAAAGAGCGAAATGAGAGAAAACGAAGTTTCTGAACAATCTACAAAATAAACATTCCTTGGCTATCGCATAATCAATGAAATTAGTTCATATTTTTCGTATATGTTCAGCAATTGGTGTAATATAATGCAAAATCGTGCTTTATTTATCAGTCGTTAAATGTCGAAGCCTAAATCTTGTAAACAGCTTCAAATCTACGATTACATCTAAACTAAAACTTAACGTAAAGGAACTTTTTAAAGTCAATCATTGTACTACGTATATAATTAATCAAATGATAAGTTAAAGTCAGTTTAAACTAGTCAAAATGCCTTGATAGCGTTATAAACAAATGCTTGCGTAGTAAGCTTACCACCAACACCAAATGATATCCATATAATATCTAATGATATCCATATAATACCTAATGATATCCATATCATACTTAATGATATCTATATAATACCTAATGATGTGCATATAATACCTAATGATATACACAAAATACATAACAATATCCATATAATACCAAATGATAATCATATAATACCTACTGATATCCATATAATACCTAATGATATCCATAAAATACCTAATGATATCCATATAATACCTGTTATTATCATTAGAAGAACCATTGTTCTCCCAAAGTGAGAAGAGAACACCAATACCAATCTTAGGTCGTCTTCGTAGTCGCATTGATATCTACAGTTTACAATGAAGATATTTAAATAGATCCTGATGATGGAATGTTTGATAATATTTCAGTGGTGAAATTAAAACGCATTTTTACTTTGTTTGACTTCTAGAAAACGTAGGTTATTAAAAAAATATGAGACCCACGACACTTAAATTGAAGATTAATTTACCGTTCATCAAAAGGAGTAGCCAACAAGCTATCTCCTTATCGATTATTTATTTACAAACAAAAAAAAACAGAGAAGAAATTTCACCTCTTCATTAAAATAATCATTTCTCTTCATGCAGCCATAATCCATTCTTGTCACCTGACTTCGCCACCAACGTCGTTGGTAACTACTTGATGCCGCCCGCGGGAATGTCAGTGATCGACCAGCGCCTTCTGAACGATGAAATCACATAAGGACTTTAAGATTTTAAAATACTTATATGATAGCGTTCTAAACATGATGTGGTGTTTTGCTATCTGCAATTATTACAAGATGAACACAATTTCTAGCTTCTTATTCCGAGCAGTCATAAAACTAGAGCTTCTGCTGATATTTGTTTAGTTTCAAGATCCTGTAAAAAGCTATCGTCTACAACGTTAAATAACTACGTAATTTTCAACTTATCTTCATTGGTTGCTATCGCACAATTTAACCACACAAGCATCTGACCATAAAGTGTCACGTTATTTACGAAATTCTTTTCATGAATATTCTTACAAAACCAGCGGTTTTAAAATGATGCCCAAAGAAACAAATAAGAATGTTTACCTGACATGGAGCCTGAAAATCCTTCAGCAATGTTTTGTAGTTTAAACGACTGTCGTGCCATCATCATATTGCATGAGACTGGAAGCGAGTTGCCATACCCTGAGCTTTCTTCATTATCTAGAGCATACATCATGACAACATAAGCTAACAATATGTAAAAGAATGGTTATTTATTTTCTGTTATTACCTGAGCTTGTGATGGGTGATGTTACTGACGAGACACTTGATACAGACTCACTGAACCTGACACTTGAGCTCAGTTCAGATGAAGAATTGGAGTGATGTGAAGAATGACTAAGACTGAAGAGTGACAAGTTTTGAATGATTCACAAGATTCATCAATACTCAAAAATAAGATACTTTACCTGCCATTGTGAGCACGTGGAGGTTTTAATGCAAACACTTTGGTCAGCAGCAATTGTGGCGGTGTTCTTCATAACAAGATTTATAACATACAATGACTAAATCTGAAGGTGCAAATGGTTTGCATTTAAGATACTTGCCTACCTTATAGAATGAGCCTTGACAGTTGGTCCTTTGTATGTCATTTCAACAGATCCAAATATCATTTCCCCAATCAGTTGTGAATCAGAGCTAATTCGCTTTCGTGGCAATTGACTTCCCTCTTTATTCTGATTAAAAAGAAAGTGCTTGATGATGTAAAAATCTTGTGACATTCATCGTCATAAGAGCTATTGCTTCAAAAATTAAAAACTTCAAAATTCAAATATATACCTGTGATTTTTCATCCTGGACAACTGTCTTGGAGTCAAATAAAACCAACTTATCTCCTCTCTTATCATGGTCTTTGTAAACCAAAAGACGAATCTGAGATTGTTCAAGGCATGGTAACCCCCTGGGAGGATCAAAATTCACATAGACCCTCATTTTTTAAAGTATTTAGAAAAAATATGACAATATTTTTTGTTAACTATTCGATATTGCTTCAGTTCTATGCATCACCACACAGCTAGTAGTGTGTGTAGGTACAATGAATGGCACGATAGTTCTCTCATGATCACAACACAAGATAGTCAGCATTTTGACTTTTGTTCTGATGCAATGCAAAGCAATGAAAGTCCACAACTCCTGTAATCACATGGAATTCTGCACTTCATAAAAGCACATGACACAGTAGTGATTGTGGCAGAACAAATATTGATATGATGAATAGTCAATCTAGTTGTACCGAAACTTTGTGTAAAAGATGTGCCAAAATAACCAACTAACAGTGGATCATTTAATAGAATCAACTTCAAAGAGAACGATCACATTGTATAAGTTAAAGTGAACGTAAACGGCTGAACGCCTGTGGTGCAATGCAATGCCAAGTCAGCTGAGAAAGGTATTTTATCACTCAGCTATTTTACCATGTAAACAAAACAAATTGTGACAAGTCGTTACACCTGTGATGAAGTTTATTCTATAAGTTTATGGCATCGATGTAAAGTAGGGGAAAAACTTTTACAGTTGAAACTAACGGATTATTCTCAGTTTGCATTCTATTGAGTCATCCAGATTCCATCTCAGGTATGGGTGGTAAGCAGATAGAAACGTTCAAGAATGTCAATAGAATATAATCAGTAACATCGATGCATGTCGAATGAAAAGAAACACAAGTACAACAGACCTTTCTTCAAATTGAAAATTCTCCAGCCAATTGTAATCATCACTACAAAAACAACAAACCCATACATACGCACGAAAGTTAAACATCGTGTAAAACGTAACAAATACATTCAAAATGCAGACATATAATGTAAATGACACTGCTCCTTCTTACCTGTCTGTGATAAGAGCTTTTTTCTGCTGTTTCTTTTGTCCAAAACGAAAAATCCGTGAGAACATTGTCTCTACCGCTACGTCTACATGACCTAGAGTTAGCCATTACAACCTAGCATGTTGTCACGTGTGACTAATACTATGATATGATTGGTTGAGAATGAACGCGGGAAAAAAATTAAGTTAAAGTCCAATTACAACGTTGATCAATATCATACGCTTATCTTAGGTTTTTTACGTCCTATTGCAGGTCGTATGGCCTTATGTCCAAATTATCAATGATATACCTTTAATTTTCAAACATTTTCTGACTTAGAAAGTACATAAAATATTGTTGTTGATCAGTTGATGTATTTGGTTATGTGATAATTTGTGAGGCGATATTCTCGACCAATCATATCGCAGAAGTATGACAACAATGCGACAAAGAAAGTTTTCGTTTATACGGTAAGTGTGTCTCATGACTGTCTTGTGATGCGGAAATTCCACAAGTAGCGATTATTTTTGAGTTTCCTCAATATTGAAATTCTTTCAGCTTAAATCAATTCGGTACAAAAACAAAATATTTTGCCATAGCAATTCAGAAGTATCGAATTCAACCACTCCAAAACAGTAATTGCAACATTTGACTGTGCTACTATGGCCACTATCTTATGTTGTCTCTAAATTTTGAGGAAATAGAAGCGCGTACGCAGTGCGCACTACTGACTTTTTCTAATTGGTCTTGCTAGTTGGCTTGCCAAATGTCTTCCATCAGTTCCATGTATGGATATGATTTACTCAAGGGTGCAAAAGAGAAACAATTCTTTTTTTTTTCATAGTTTAGATATTTTTTCGTATCAGTGAAAATACATAAGAATCCTAATTAATAGTTATCTCATATAATGTCTTGTCTTCGCCACGCAATAAAATATCGAAAGTAAAATCTTGACTTTATAGCCAAAATTTGCATTTGTTTTCGTTTTATTGTTATTGAAAGATTTATAGTTACGAAAATGCAACAGGCTAACGATATCTTCGAAATCTTGGTTTTGAGGCATCCCGTCTATTTATCTGAGCATGTTGCCTCATGTCACTTCTCTGATTTGGATTACGCAATATCCACATCGTCTCGAACGTTCGAAAGTACTTCTCGCACGATCCTTCAACAAATATTTCCGTAGGAGCACGCTCTGGTTTGTCGATTTCCGACGCGATACGGATGGAGCCGATAGAGACGGGGTAGTCGAACTCAAATGCAATCCATTGCATTCCTGGGGGAGCTTGACCGTTAGATACCCAAATAGTTTCTGGGTTGTTATCGAATGCATTACTAGGATTGTAGCCTAAATAAAAGAACGATACAGGATGATTTCTAGTTAACAACATAGTGCTTTGAACTAACGTTCTAATTTGGGATAACAAATAAAATAAACAGTTAATACACAACACTAGGCTACTAGCCTGGACCAAAGTAGCTGCTGGCATAGGCTTTAGTTGGATTTTCCACAAGATTTTTGTTACTCGATGATGAAGTAAACATTTGGATACTGGACACAGTCCACACAAGATGAACGTCGGCAGCATTACGTAATCTCCAGAATGGATAGCTTCCATTAGTGTACGGACACTTGTCGTCACAAAAACCAGTAGGAGAATCACATTCGTGTTGACCTGGCGATAAAAATTAATAGTTTAGAGATGATAGAAGCTGTACGAATTAAGGCATTTTAGTTTAGGCTGTCTTTTGAAGAATGACTGTGGGTCGATCATAAGTTGTTCATAATAGACAAACCTTCTGATAGTTCTTTACAAAGAGCAATTCTTTGATCTCGATACTTGGGGTCTGTGTGCCATTCCCAACTCTCACAGTAGCCAAGTTTAAAAGGTCGACTCCAAGGTGGAATGACGAGATGAGCGTAAATCTTGTGATCTCTTGATAAACCAAACTCTTTCAATTTCTCAAAAGGAATAAACGCTTCTTTATTCTCGCTACCCATGAAGAAAGCGTTACTAGCAAGAGCAGTAAGTAACAACACTATAGGTTGTAACAACGAGAGGAGCGGAGCCATCTTTAATGCCTAGCAGGTCAAACTTTGAATGAGTATCAGAGCAAAGTTGGCAGAATTTATGCACCTGATGATAAGAAATTGATGACTTGGATTCATCCACGTCACACAAGCATTTTAGTACCAAGCGACCAAGTTTCTTTTCAAAGGAATTTGCATCGTGTTCAATGGAAACAATGCGAACAACATCTATTGTCTTTCTTACTAACAAAATGCGCTCGGCAACGATTTATTCATTTGTAGATGTGTCGAGTATCGTTCTCATTCGTTATATTTGCAATGTATTATGTTGCACTTTATACGTATCTTTTGATCATCAACATGAATAGAACTGGAGCGTTATTTCATTTTGCAATGGAAATTAAGGTGCATTGCCAGCTAGGTTCAGTTTTTCTGTAGTTCTCTAAAATACGCTAAATTTACTTCTTAAAACTTTTTTTTTAATTTTAACAATTTCAATGAAAAATATTTTAAAGTATTAATTTAAATTTATAAACAGTATTATTTAAATCTCCGAAAAATATTCACGTTCTTTACATTGCAGGTTTCGGAAAGAAATTTACATGGAAAAAGACCATACAATATTACTTTTAAAAGTGATAATGAATATTCCTGTATACTTTGTTTACATCTGCTGACCAAAATCTATTAGAAGTACAAAAATGCAATCATCTGTTGCACTTGTATGTTTGCCATTATTATTAATAAACATGTATATGGCCACAAATCAAATGTTTTCAAAAATATTCTGATAGTTTGAGCTGCACCTGTTATTGCATTTTCTTTCTGGAGATGTAAAATAAATCTCGAATGAAAATCTTATATATTAGTGAGTTGATGATCATCCCATCGGAATAGTCGACGATGAGTTAACAATCGAATAATTCTCAACGGGGCATCTTGTTTCTCTTAGATCCTCACTGGATATCAGGGATGCAAAAATTGACGGATTCTTAATTACATCATCAGAAATTGGCTCAAACACAGAACTGATTTGCCTAACCACCTTCCTCTTTAAACGGCGTACCTGAACTTTGAGATGACTCAGAGATCGTATGGCCCAAGAAAACAATATGTCACGCATGTCTATGGAACATTAAAGAGAATAATGTTTTCTTGAAAAAGCAAGAAGCCAACCATTTTTTTCATGTTTGTTACATTTTCAAGTTTTCCTTTGCTGGCTAACTTTCATTTGTTGTATTTGTTTGAATCAAGATAGTTCAAAAATGCGTTAATTGGCTTCCTTCCTTTTTCTGGTACACATCTTACACGTCATACAAATCAAATCTCTAGGGTCACAGAAGAAAGATGTATCTTTTTATGAATTGACTGTCTTTGAGATTCGTTCTCTAATCGAGTTATTTAACAGAAAGTGAATTTTTTTGATGTTGGCAGAGAAACGCTTATTTTTTTAATTTGATGTCGACAAAGCAATTTCAGGATCGTGACTAAAACACCACACGAGTACATACGAGTACATACGAGTACATACGAGTACATACGAGTACATACAAGTACATACGACTGACATACGAGTACATACGAGTGACATACGACTATATAGGGTTAGGGTTAGGGTTAGGGTTAGATATATATATATAACCCTAACCCTAACCCTATATAGTCGTATGTCACTCGTATGTACTTGTATGTCAGTCGTATGTACTTGTATGTACTCGTATGTTACTCGTATGTACTCGTGTGGTGTTTTAGTCACGATCCAATTTCAGTCCTTAAAAACGTTGATTTTACTTATTTTAGCAGCGAGCGTTTAAATTCCTCCATATTTTATGGAGTTCACAAAGTTTAATGCTGGTAAACCGGGTAACACAAACAAATAGTGCAGATGTGAATGATCATAAAGACTGGAACACAAATATCGTTTCTTATTCCCATTCCCATCTTTATAATTAGGAAATAGTAATGTTTAGTTCATCACTGTCATCAAATCATTATTCACATAAAACGAATTTTTCGCATTTTTGCTCAAGAAAACACAGGGCTTGCCCATTGATCTTTTTCGGTAATACTGGAGTATTAAGGCGCCAAGCTTGGAAAAATGAAAACGAATGTTATCAAAACAAATGTCTTTGAAATTTCAGCTATTAATAGAATATGCATTTTGTACGAATCATTGTTTCCAGTTTTGTATCAGACTTTATATTGTGTCAGTTGATTTGCCACAATATTTACCATAAAATGCTAAGAGAGACTATCGAGCCAGGCAGCCAATTTGCGGTTCGTGCTTCCATTCTTCTTCATGCAAATTCATTATCATAAGAAATAATTAAACAAATCAAGCATTTAAATGATAATAAAACATTTTTGTCGACACAATCATGTATTTTATAGGTTTTGTCTTGTTATAAAACAGACGACTTGCTTCATGGAGTCTCACAGCAATGGAATTAAGCCAGCTTTCGTACATTTTCACAGCGGAAGAAATATTTTAAGCTACATTAACTACGGCATCACAACATCACTATAACATGGAGGTATTTATTGACGTATTTGTTATTGACAACCTCAGATTTCATAGTTACGTTAAATATTCTTCAATGTTAATGCAAAGTATTTGCACGAACGAACATTGTTACCATGAACTTAAAGTCATGATGAATAGCTGCTTCCAAAAGTTGTGTGATATATTTTGCGAGTGTAGAATAATGAAAGCGAAAGTCTGGAAGATGAACTATCATCGTTCCGGCTTCAATGGCAACAAGAGTTACAGCAGAACAGATGTACATCATCACAAAATATAACATCAAGATCAGCTGCTAGTTCTACGGAAGAGGAAAGCCTAGAAAACAGGGTACATAACGTAACCATGACGTAATGACAATGGCTAGGGGCAAGCTATCATACCCAATTATGGAGAGTGGGCCTGAGTGGCATAGCTAGCACTTTTATTTAGTACAAGACAAATTTTTTGAGTTAACTTGTCTTTCTTTATTGTACTTTAAACAGTTTAATCATGATGCTAACCATAGTAAGAAACTGCAGAAATTTGGGCATTTATTCATTTGACAAAATCTCTGAAAGTTTACCTTGCAACTCACAAGCTTGTGCTATTTTGTCATTTATTTTAATAGATCTTGAAAACTTATAGGAATGCATTTTCACTTCTAAGATATTCAATTTTCCTGTTTACCATTGCATGTAGGCCAAGATGCTTTTCCTTAATGGAGTTGCATTGGAGAGAGAAAGAAAGCTTCCTGAAGGTAGTAAACATTGATATTTAAAATGCAATGTGCGTTTCAAACAACTCTGCACTTGATTTTTATTCAAGCTATTAGGTATTACCGCCAAGCTATCCAGCTTGTCCCTGATATTGAATCAAGGATATCGGAGTTTATTGAGGAGGAAGACAATGGTAAGGATCACATTTACTGAAAGTTTGCATGTTGTCACTAAATTGTACTTACTAAATTGTACTTACTAAATGGTAAATCAATACTCTTCTACTTTATAATGTAATTATCTTATGTATATCTGGTGTAGGTTCATCACAACAGGATGAACTCATGCGAGAGTTGAATGAAAACAAAGATGAGACACTTGAAGAGACTGGGTTCAACTTGTGTTTGTACAGGTGTCTTTAATATATGCGTTATGCAAAAAAAGAACCTGAAAAAATAAAGCATTTTTTTGTCAGGTCAAAAGAGTTGGAAGATGTTGTGAAGGAATTTGACAAAATGAGAGTGACTGGAATTTGTGAACCAAAATTCCCTAGTTCTGTATGAAGATCTGTTTCATTTAATCATTGTTGAGCATAATGATATTAAGCATGAATTTATCCTATTTGATGTTATAGCAAACCCACATTTCAGCTTTGCCTGCAGAGTTATTGATGTATATTTTCAAATGGGTTGTTTCCGTCCATCTAGATCTTAGATCTTTGGAAAAGCTTTCCCAGGTAATGGTCACATAACTTTACACATCCATAGTCAGTTTATTTTTTTTCCCACTTTTTCTGCATTTTTCGATTATCTTTCTGCTTTTCTTTTCATTTGTTAGGTGTGCAAGGGGTTTTATGCTTTGGCACGAGATCCTGAAATCTGGCGTTTGTCTTGTGTTAGGTTGTAATACTCGCGTGCAAAAGAACGATGGTCGCTCCGAAAGTAATACTTGTGATTTTCTTAGGATATGGGGTGTAAATCTTGGATCAGTAATTTCGTGGAATGGATCATGGAGAGAGATGTTCCTGAAGAGAGCCCATTTATCGTATAATGGTACCAGCATTATTATAGTTAGAATCTTATAGTCAATCTGGCAAATTTAAATGGAACTGTATATGATTCAATATTTAGGAGTTTACATCAGTAGGATCAGCTATACTCGACCAAGTGAGCCAACATTTGAACAACAATACACACCTTATCAGCTTATCATTTATTACCGTTATCTCAGGTTTTTTACTGATGGTAAGTTCTTAGAATTGTCATGTAAGCCGGCGTTTTCTTCTGGGAAACTAACGTAACGTTGCAATGATCTTATCATGTGTTCCGTAGGAACTGTTTTGTTTCTAACTAGCTCTGATGAACCTCAAGTTTCCGTCTCCAAACTGTTATTGAGGCCAGATGGAAATAACGTGTGGAATGGAAACTATAGATTGGTTGGAAACAAAGTAAGATGATCCGGGAACGCCGCTATCTTTAACGATATGACTTATACTGAAGAAAAGCAATATTATGCAATTCTTTTTCAGATGTTTCCACCCGCGAGATTTTTGGATTTGATCTACTTATACGTAATCGTCAGTATTGACGATCACTTCCACGAAAAACTTCTCGCTTTCCAATTGCTGAATCGATCGCCTTTTCATCTACTTTAGGTTCTGTTGTTGATTCAGAAAGTCGATAGCTATGGTCAAAGCTCGTCACGGAGAAGAGGAAAAAGACAAGTTCAACCGGGAGGGATTGAGCGGGTCTTTCATATGGTATGTTTCCAAGATTGACGTTACCTGTTTGGATCGAAGATAATATATTTTGGAGTGTTTTCTTTCAAAGGAGATGGAGCTACAAAACACGAAAAAAAGACGTAACAGTAAACTATCCTGGGTTCAGTACACATGTCAGACATTCTGCAGGTATTTACAACCCCTCATTGTCAAGTATCCTAACCTGTTGGTGTTGATGTTTACTGGCGTTTTGACAACCTTAGCTGTAGTCATCTTCAGAGACATAAAAGGTTGTCGAAACGTCAGTCAACACCAGCAACAACTTTCCTTCTCAACACTCCACTGACCTGGACGATCTGTGATGTAACAATACTCCCGGGTTTCAACCACTCACATGTCCCAATCTTATGTTGAATGACGTCACATGTCCTAAGTTTAATGACGTAGACATTTTTTCATTTATGTGTAGAATCAGTGGCAGTACGACTACATCTCATTTTGACTTGAACAACGAGCAGTTTTGTCCTTTTTACTTCTCACGTGTCAAGAGCTATGAATCTTCCGTTTGTCCACTCTTCTAATACATAGATGACAATTTCCTTGGCGAAATCACGTCCGTTTAATTTGTGCCAGAGGAATGCATGTTATTTATAGATAAAGTTCTTCTACTCAAACTATCATTAGGCAATATACCATATACATTCTTGTGTTAACATTAATGTTTTTGCTTTTGTTTTACCTATGTTCTATGTTGGACGTATATGCAATTTATTTTCCTAGGGTAGAAATGATAATATCAGTTAAAAAGCAATATACAATTCATAACTGAAAATGAATATGGACAATATATTTTGTGTATGAACGAATATAATATGTATAATACAATATGTATAAAAATTGGTTAAACACGCGCTTTGGTCTTTCCCAAGATACCACACTCCATTGGAGGATAAAAAATTATTCTGGAATTCTAACCACACGAATTGTTTATCATTAAACACACAAGAATGCACAAACCAAAATCACAGACATGTGTGTTTTCCTCACGCCTTTATTCACGCATTTTACCCAATCACGTCGCAGCATCTTCGGAAGTAGCCGAGCTTGGACGTGACTGAACTCTCTCATCCAGAATACTTTTAATTTCATCTACAATACTCGGTTTAATTGAGTTCTTCGGCATTAATCTTAGATCCAAAATATTCTTGTTTTCTCGCAAGACATCAAGCAACAATAGAGCACCTTCGTCTTCGATACGGTTAGCTTCAAGATCCACAGAACGTAAGCTCGTACAATGTTGGAATCCCTGAGCAAGTACCGCTAAATCTTCGTTAGTAATTTTATTATAGTCCAAACTCAAAGAGCGAAGTTTTTTGTTACTTTTCAATGCTTTTCCAAACGCAACCCAACCATCATTAGTAATATTATTGGCACTTATGTTCAAATCTGTGATATTACCGCTATCAAGCAATCGCGCTATTTGTCTAGCGCCTTCATTGGCGAGCCCACAGTCACCTACGTCGAGCGTCGACAGGGATGAAATCTTGTTTTCAAGAATAGCATCAACTATTAACGTAACCCCTTTATCACCCAATGGGTTGCCATGGAGTCTACGAAAGACAACAAGCTTTAAAAATTTCACTTCTAGCACATTTGATACACAATATTGTGGAATTGCACTAACAAATCATTGTTCTGGGTTATAACTTCCTAAGTAAAAGCTCGTGATGAAAAACCATCAAAGAAGTTTGCCTTGGACGACCCTCACATGCAAAACAATCCTTTGCTGTACTTACAGTAAGATCTTGATGGCCCGGTTATCCCTTATAACATCAGCAATATGGCGGGCACCCTCTTCTCCGATGTTATTAACATTAAGATTTAACATCTAAAAACATCAAAAAAAACTTCATCAAAACTAGATCGTGGAGTTGTTGATCATTACATGGTTGAATGTATGTGAAAGAGGGTTAAAAAATATATCTATATATCCCACTCAATGAAATACTACCTTGATAGAAGAACAGGACTTTAAAACATCCGTCAACTGTTCTATTCCATCATTACCCAGTGAGACATTGCGTAAAGTCAGCGAAGCAACATCAGGATTCTTTTCAACTATCTTGGCCACTTCTTCCACCTTTACAGTTTCAACACATACATAATTAACAATTTTTCACTGATCTTCGTAAAATGATGAACTGCTTTTAAATGATGAACTGCTTGTAAAAATAGTTAGGAGGTTTTAATTGCAAGTGTTTGTGAGAACGACAAAAGAAAACACTTCTCATCTACGACTAACGGCAGAAAAAAAAACGATGCTGATAAAAACATCTCCTAACCTGATGATAATTCATTGCGACATTCGCAAGTTCTAAATCATTCTCGTTGTTACTGTTAATCAATTCTTTTATTGAACCGTCATGTTTCACACTAGGCTTTAATCCCACCGTCTTCAAAGCCCGCTCCGTTATGGCTTCCTCATTTTTATGGAAATGAAAGTCGTTTCCAGGGTTCAGGTCATGATTCAAGTCTATTGACAGACAAATAGAACTAATAAATATTCTATAATAACTCAGGCGGCCGTTGTGAATTGTTCAAAAACGAGGTAACAATTAGGCGTAATTTATGATAAAAAAATTCAATAACATTTATAATTAAAAAAACAGGAAATCTTATACCTTTGTGTATATTGGTGAGCTCAGTCTCATTTAATGAAGCATTACTACCATTGGCATCGTTGATGGATAATAGCATTGCAGCAGAGTGCTCTGTCGTACCATTCTCATGTTCCTGCTTGTTGTCATTTGATTCAAATCCATTCTTATCTTCATTACTATTCATATACTTCTCTACAGAACTTTCTCGTTGATCATGACCTTCTTTCAAATTGTTATTGCTACTAGTTTCTTCCGCCTTCAAAATGTCTTCTTCAGTATCATCATCTTCCTTCATGTCTCCCACGCCAATAGGTCTTCCCACCTTTACGTTTTCCTCTCCGCTAGACTTATGTTCATCCAGAACATCTTCTCTATTCTGACCTTCTTTCTTCATGGTGTCCTCTCCAATCGGTCCTCCATTCCTTTGGACATCTTCCCTCGACTCTCCTTTCTTCATGTTGCCCTCTTCAGTTGTTTTTTCTTTTATAACGTTTTCCTCACTTTGAGTTCCTGCATTCAAGTTCCCCTTTTCATTATGTTCCTCTTCCGTCAGGGCATTGTCTATGGTATGACTTTTCTCGCCCGCGTCTTTCTGTCTACTACGTTCAACTTCCTTTAAAACGACTTCTCCATCAAGACCTTCTTCTTTCAAGTTCTCTTTTTCAGTAAAATCTGCTAAATGCAGTTTGTCTACTGGTCTTCTGTCCACAGTTACTGGGATTTGACATAAAAATATCATAGATATGCAGTAAAACATCATAAAATTGTATTTTTTAATTATAAAATGAAAAGTCTTTCATACAGCAATCCCTGGTTTGTAGAACAGTATGCTAAACTCTACTTTGTAATGCTTTACATTATTATATTACAACATAAATCTTGCCCAGTTTCATCTTAACGATTATTATCAGTGCTTTCAAATTTAAACTCACCGTCTTTATCACGGTCATGTTCTCCCAAGCCATTATTTCCCTCGTCAATAACATCTCCAGCATACACTTTCACATCTTTGTTGAACGAAACTGTCTTCTTTGGTCGGCTATCATCATCAAGTATGCTGTCCAAAGTCTAGTGTATACAATCAGAATTAGTAAGAAAAACCATAGAGTCATTTATTGCATTAAAACACCATTCATACTTAAAGCCATTTCTTGTTGTTATCATGAAGTGTATCATAAAGATGAAAAAATACTTAATATATTTTGGTCATTTTCCCACATAATTATACCTTGAATCCGTCGTATAGTTTAATTAATCAAATAAAATCAGTAATAAACTTTTTATGACTGGAGGTGGTAATATACGATTCCTTATTAATATTTATTTTAAGATTTAATTTCAACATATATACATGCACTGTAAAGATCGCCTAATGTCCTTTAAGATCCGTTTTCAAACTATCTAATAAAAATTCAAATTGATCACACACGATATGGATAGCTTTCTTTATTATACATATTCCAAGTAACACATCATGTATCGTATCTATACCTTATTGCTACCCCTTAAAATACCACTGCCAGCAGATCCAGGTCGTTTCTCACCACCATTGTTTCTCCTCATTGATCCCACGATATCCCGTTCAACAGCATCTTCATTTGACCCCTGGAGGACCTTGTTGTCTATCTTAGAATCAGAGCTACTATTGGATTCATTCTCAACAATATTCGGATTTTTCTCATCAGAATCATTGCTGATACTAGAGAAAGAATTTGAGTTGGAATCATTGTCCGACTCGCTTTCAAAGTTTGGTGTTCCTTCTTTTTCTAAGACCGACGTCTTTTCTTCGTTGACATTGGATTTGTCGTCGAGTTTATCCTCATTCTCTGATTCATGCTTTGAGTTTGACGCACCAAAAACATCGCGCTGAAAATTGAATTTCTCACGAGTTTCATCAGGTATTTGTTGTTCTCCACTTTGATCATTTTCCAAAACCTCAACTTCGTTCGACGAAGGTTTTTTAGACTCTTTAATTTTTATAGAATCAAGCATATTTTCAGAATTGCGATCAGAATTTTCACTATCGCCATCAGACTTGCTTTTATCCTGTTCTTTTTGATGGGCTTTACCATTGTCAATAGAAGACCTGACAATTTCCTCATTATTTATAACACTTTCTAAACCGTCCATCGCTGTATTTTTTTCAGAATCTACGACGTTTTGCAGCTCAGACTCCGAGATTTTCCGGAAATCAACTTCCTGAAATAAAAATGTAAATAATTGTTTGACAAACGGATATTTTGAGGATTTTTTTTCTTTTATAAAAAAAAATAAGCGAAGCAATTCAATATTCAAATACTGTACACTCCTTACATCTTTTTTAGTATCATTACGAGATATCTCATCCCCAGACTCCTCGACATCACTGGAGCTTGAAGTACTTCCTAATTTATCTTCGTCCTTATCATTCCGTTCAACCTCTTCTTTATCGCTGTCTTCTTCACTCGAAAACTCATGTTCACTTTTCTGGCTTTCTTCATCAGACATCTCATGAGCTTCATCTTCCACAACTTCCACATGAAAATCATTTTGAAGCTATTTAAGAAGGAAAACCGATAACAAAACAGTAGAACATAAATGTTAAGATGGGGTGCTCTTAAGACCCCATGTATTCATTTAACGGTTAAACAACGAAATAGGAACTATACGTTTCGTAATAAAATGGGCCGAAAAAACGCACTAAACAAAAACTAATGGGATTCTAACCTCTTGCTCTGTTTCGTCTTTGTCTTCAGTTGCATCTTTCTCTCTTGTATCTGCTTGGGTTTCCTTTTTATCGACTTCTTCATTTTCACGTTGTGCTTTACGTAAAGTTTCTTCCTGGTCTATGAGCAAAGATATCAATAGTAGTAAATATGAACTGAACCTTGGAACCGCTTCTCATTGCATACAAGATATACCATAATCCCCTGCGTAAACATTTCTATTACTTATAAGGTCATCATAGACTTGAGTAGTTCTATAACTTATAACGTTATAATCATCTCCTGAATACACAATTTCTCACCTATGACGTCATCGTGGCCCTGAAACACAGATCTCTTACCTATCAGGTCATCATCGAAATCTTCTTCCTCGAAGTCGTCATCGTCGTAACTCTCATCGTATGCATGTTCATCTTGAATTATTCCCGAATCTTTAGTACTCTCAGCAGGCTCAACTACCTCTTTGGCTTCCTCGACATTTTTCAACTCATCGTCCTCGTTTCCTTTACTTTCAACAACTTCATTATCACGTGGCGTCTGCGTGGTCGTATCTACCATGATGGCTGAGTCTAAATATAAACAAAAAGGGCAAATTACTTTTCTTTGGTTCTGTAGTTCTCCACGACAACATCATTTCGAATTATCAATAAAAACTAACCCCCATCACGTGGATTCATTGCAGTGATGGTCACTTCAAATCTTTCAGCCACGTCATTCATTTCATCTAGATCTTTCTCTTGTTCTTGATTAGTAGATGTCAACAGCGCTTGAGAAGACGTTCGTTCGTGCAAGCAATTATTGGTTGATTTCTTATGTCTGTCATTCTGCAGCCGTCGTTGCTGCTTTACAGAAAACGCTATCTGACAGCTGCATATACATAAAAAAGACATTCCAATTTAGTCAAATGGGACATAAATTCCATTTACATAAATGAAATATTACCGATAACATGGTGCAGCTCCCTCGACATTTACAAAATGAAAATGTCCATTCTTTCCACCGAGAATATGACCTGGTTTATGCTTGTATTCACAACAAGAGCTGAGACGTATGTCTTGTATAGTGTCTACGTACATTGTGAGACCAAATGGTGAGCCACGATGACGTCGTGAAATGAACGTAAAAATTGCTGAAATACAAAGAAAAAGTAAGCTTCTTTTAAAGTTAAAGTAAAAGAAAATTTTTGTATCTTCTTACTATGGGAAAGCAATATGGTAGGTTTCAATTTACTGGCATATGTGGCATGAAAATAGATTGCTTCATTTAAATTAAGAAAATCATGAATGCCATTCAAAAAAGCACAATAGTAATTGCTTTGCTTTTACGCGTGCTGGGAGCATGCCAGGCAGGTAGCTCAGCAGCATTCATTAAGATGACAAGATAGAAAATGCATTTGATGAAACAAGCTGTAGAAAACAAACAGCATGCCAATATAATAATGCGAAAACTTGCGTTGTCCTGTCAACTTGCGTTGTCCTTCTTTATTAGTACATAATGTACAACAAAATATTGGTTTGAATTCATGATGACTGTGAGTTTAAGGACCAACTGCATCTACTTGAACCAATTTAAGAGTAAATAGCGCGATTGGTCACAATCTATTAAAGGCGTATGAGCATGCGCAGTGTGCTCGTGTATGCACAGTTCTCTCGATCAATTGGTCGAGTTCGTAGTCATGTCAACGACCAACTGGATCTACTAGCACCAATTTTGAAGTAAATAGCACGCTTAGTCACAAATTTTCAGATAAAACCTCTGCGAAACGTTAACATGCGGCGTTCTAGTGCCTTACATATACGATGGTATCAGGAAGCATGGACCGAAAACGGGTTTTTTTGCTTTCGAATTTTATCTTTTTGTTTACAAGAGTTCTTTTATGGATACGGCAAGGTTCAAACAACAAACAAGGATACGGCAAGGTTCAAACAACAAACGAATGGATACGGCAAGGTTCAAACAACAAACGAATTTTATCTTTTTGTTTACAAGAGTTCTTTTATGGATACGGCAAGGTTCAAACAACAAACAAGGATTATCTGCTTACAATAAATTATCTCATTAAACGTTAAATTGAATAATTGAGTTCAAGACTATAAAGCCTTCATGATGTTAGTCTAAATAGAAACCCAACTCCATGGTCATATAGAGCGCTACTCTCCCTTTTCACAGCCTAAATAGAGCCCTACTCCCTAAAACTCACTTACATAAATTCAATAAACTATTAACTGCAGCTTATCAACTACAGACTTGGAATTTAATTCATGATAGAGAAAAGAGCAATAATTATTATGAAACAAAATATCAGTTTTATCTTGCATTAAAACTAGCATTAAACGACTGTGTGACTGTGGTTATTTCACTTTCATTGGAAAGTATTTACTTAAGTTTACCATTTTAATCAAACGTTTTTTAAGGAAACAAAGCGTTTCACGTTAATTTAATCCAGACGGTGATGTACACGTTATAAACATCACGTCCATTATTATACAAATGCTTAATAGCTTGACATTTTATTTAATGAATTCCCATTGCGCAGACGCAGAAGATTGAAATTTGCAAGCACACAGGTATGCAGACAACACAAATTTTCAGATAGCTACATCGAAAATGTCCACAACCCGGCAAAAAGGTCTGAAATGTATCCTTCTCATACTAATCGCTCTACACATAATATTACTGCCTAGCAAGTTTGCGCTATTTTTTTTAGCGACTCTGTGAACCGAAAAAGTCAGACTTTGCAATTTGCATAAACGTTTTTTAAATGTATCTAATTCATAAATCGCAAATCTTTACAAGCAACACACAACACAAAGATAACGAATGAGAGTAGAGATGAAATATTGACATTTTCAAAAACTCACTGTTTGGCGGTAGAAGTTCACGAAACACACACAATGTGCTTCCACCACAATGCTGTTGTAATACCATAACTTCGCTAAGTCTTTCGTCACAAAATACATCGTTTTTTAAATGAAGTTTTGGACCAAGAAACTTCATTGTGACTTCAGCCATGGACTGTAACTAATAAAAAGATAGTGCCAAACATAAGTAAACTAAGGAATCTTTAAATTAAGATAAAAAATCAATGACTAAGATAAACAATTGATGACCAAGATAAACGATCAATGACTAGAGGAACAATTGAAAACTAAGATAAAAGATTGTCGAGTAAAATAATGAGAGCCAACCTGAACTTTATGAGCAACAGCAGGTTCGGACCGAGCAAGATAAGTGTACTGAAAAGACAGGAAAAAAAACAGTAGGTAAACCATAGAGAAAGCATGACGTATGAAATGTAGATAAAACAGAGTGCAACATATCTCAGCAAATTGACTTTTTTCCAATTACTTGCAACTACTTAGATCGAAAAATATATTTCGAAGTCATACACACTCACAACGGGGGCTAACAACTTTCAGCCAGCATATTCATACCCTATGAAGTTTTAATTTGTTCTTTTTAGGACAAGCGTTCGCAGCAGATTTAGACCGTGATCCTTCGCGAGGTGTACGCGATGGCGGAGGTGCGGGCATAGGATATGTTGCAGGTGGGTAAGGCTTATAATATTGGTTGTATCCACTACCAGATATCAGCGAGTTCATCTCGTCTCCAGTACTCGTATCCGAAGGAAAGACCTAGAACCACAAAATGATGTTATTTGACAATCATCACAAATACATCATGATAAAACAAACTAAAGCTATAATTAAAATATGAAGATCTTACGTTATAAAAAAGTCTTCCTCGTTCTTCATCATAACCTATTTCAGATGGAACGAGAACATGTGATGGAGCATGGGGACGATGTCGGCTTGATCTCTTACGAACTCGTTCACGCGGAGTGAGCAAAGTCATTACATCTTCATCTCCTTTTTTCTCACGTTCATTTCGAACTCGTTTTACCAACTCAACTTTATAAATATCATCCAATCTCTTGCGCAGCTCATGCTGACGTGATCTCTATGATAAAAATAAATTATCACAGTTTACATACTGCCGTGTTGGATCAACACCCTCGGAAACAAACCACGAAAGTTTTGATGAGCAAAGACATGGTTCTCATACCTCCATATCCAATGCTTTGTGAACAATAGCTGTTGCTAGAAGATCTCTCACGTGATCTTTGTGTTCCTTTCTTGCCATCTGCAATCTGTACGTTTTTTCGCTTACAATCTTTCCAGATTTTGTCACCTGTTGTGAAAATGATTGCTTAGTTGCTAGTATCACGAAAGAAGGTTGTTGAAGAAGGGCAGAAATCTTTATGAGGAAAGTTAATGCATATTTGAGTAAAACCTGTTCATTGAAACAAAACAGTATCTTCAATATGTGTTAGATAAGCTAAACCATCTCAGCATATCTTACTAACCAGGCCAGATTTCTCAAGATGTTTTTTCATTCTCGTATTAGCAAAGAATCCACCAAGATGAGGATCCATAAGACTGTTGTATGAAGCAAGAGGTCTATAATTGAAATAATGTTGGGATCAATTATTCCTAATGACATGACACCATCCTTCAACTTGAAGGTTGGATGTGAACTGCATGCAATACAATCAGACTAAACGTTTTCTAAGCAAATTGTTTACTTTTCTATTTTCAGACTTCCAAGACTCTTCAAGAGGCTTTCAAAGTTATGAACAAGTATTTGTTTGACAAAAACTTAAGAATTTGCAAAAATTAAAGAATAACACAAACCCTGGATCAGCGTGGCTCATGCTTTTAACCAATGACAACGATATTTTAAAGTCTCGTTCCGTCAGTATCAGAAGGTATCAGCTTGTTTTCCGACGTGTATTCTTTAAACTTGACTAAACAAGTCTTGCTTTTATTTCAAAAGCAAAAACTTTGAACCAAAAAATGCGTGACGCTTCTAGCCTTTTTAAAATACTTTTTACCAGTCAATATTGGGAATTGTTGTTGGATGAAACTGCGATTTACATCGATTTCTTCGAAGTTTTTCTGTTACCATGACGGCCATGTTTCCGTTGCTAAGAGAACACCTGCGCTCCCACAATGCATTTCGAGAGATATTTTGCAACGTCATTATCATGGCCACTATAAGTCATACATCCACTGATCTCACTGATCTCCCATGCAATCAAAATCTTTTCCCTATATCAATAAGAACATAAGTTAAAGGAATTGCAATCACAGAATTTAATAGTGTGTTTAAAAACTCGTGTGCAACACACTCACATACATTTCAAGCGTGGAACTTAGGTATGAGACTGTATTATTGCGTTAAAATGACTTGTTTATTCGTTTAAAGTGAGATAAATGCATAATTCCATTGCTGCAGGCTATCAAAATAAAATGATAACTTCAGCTTTGTGAAAAACAAATAATTAGAAACAGATGTTAGCTCAGAGTATTCTATATAGTATAGAAATGTCATTAAAGTATAACTATTCTTTGATTCTATCCAAAATAATGAAATCGAAAACTGTCTCTTTTTTTTTTGCGGGCAAAATTTCGATTATGACACTTTTTTGGATACAAAACAAGCTATATTGCTAAGGACTCGCCATTCGTTGACTCAATAGAATATTATAGATATCAATACTAAATTTTGTAGGCAAGTCATCAAGTGAGAATAGGAGATCAATGCCATAAATGGCGTTTCCGTTTCCAGTAATAAATGATAGAGGTGTCAATAGAGTACAGCTGTTTCATTCGAGGTCAGTGCGTGAATGGTGTCTGGTTTTCAACATATCATTCAAGGCCAAGGTGATAGCACATTGTAAAAAAATGTGTGACATCATGATATACTATTGACGTAAATTAGATTTTTGAAGCATCGAGATAAGTGGAGGTATAATATTTATGTTTGTTCAATCGATTTGAGACTAAAATCAAATGATATATATTAACTATTTCGCGTAGTTTTCTGTCATTTAACTTGCAATCAATCACAATGTGATAAATGCAATGGGAATTTGCCGAGTAAGCATAATATTTGGGCAAGATTTATCCGGGCTGTGCACGCAAATAAAATGAATGTTATCTAACCAATAGAAAAGAAGAAAAACATTAATATTCATATATTGATTTATTATGTAGATTACGAATATGCAAAACAGTCAAGGAGAATATTGCAGCCGATCACTAAATGAGTGTTAAACGTAGAAAACTTGCTTTGCTGGGATTGAAAGGTACAGAATGAAGATGCATAGCGCTGCCGTCTGATTTATAAAAAAGCGAGTCATTTTAACTGAACAGGTTTCGCGAGAAGCGTTGTTGAGAATATTCGACTTTGTGACGTCACGATCTCTGGAAGTTGCAAAGGAATTGGCCAATAGCAAGCAAACCTTTTAAATGCAAATATCAGAAAAAGAACAATTTACCAATACACGACTGCTTTCCAAGGGTTTCCTCAGACGCATCCCATCGCCAAGCTTCAGAATTCAACACACGAAAAGTGTACTATCACAGGTACAATGAATGTTGTTGTAACTATATCTCTTGTTCTTCATCTAATATGGCTGGCTCAAGGAACAATCATATACTCTGCTCAATGCCGATCAAGATGTCATTCCTTGGTGAGAATATATGACCTACTGTCTTCTTCATCATCAATAGGACAACTACTTTACTTAATTAATTTAAAAGAGATTGCAGATTGAAGATACATTCCTCATTCTTTCTACATAACCAAGCACATACGTTTCCTTCGTTCTTAGTTTAATCCACGAAGAGAAGAGCGCAAGTTGAAGCAGGTAAAATAAAAATATAACACTATGACATATTGTGTACAGTTATAAAGCAGTTCATCGCAACAGAATAGCATGATTGACCCGACAGACGTTATCATACATCGGCTTGCAAGCTACGGTCTAATATCGAGCGTATTACAGAAAATAGTTAAAGTGAAAGACTACAACAATGCACTTTTACTAGTCAGTTTTCGTCCGTAATGGTCTTAGTGATTGATTTTACATTGTATGATTGTGTTCAAAGTTTCTATCTTTTAAGCTTAATGAAATTTTATGGTAAAATTTTCAAATTTTTAGACGTACAATTTAATCAATACAACAACAATAGATATTAGGCAAGTGAAGAATTCAATCACCCGATATCACATGTGTTAATGAATAATTGTTGAAATTATCGTAGAACCCACATAATTATATCGTTATGCCCAAATGCAACATTCATTCATCCTTTCAAACAAGCCATGATGCAACATAATTTTGCCGTTATTATGATGTTTTCGTCATATGACATAATAAAGATGGCCGACCGATGTCAACCGTTGTGAACTTTAAGCTTATAATTTATATTTTTCACCAGCAGTTGATCACTGTATAATAGCGATAGCATTATAAACAAAAAAGCATTTTATACATGTTAAGTAAAAATTTACATGCAACGGTGTAATTTATAAGGCAACGTTTCTATACAAAGACGTGTTGTACACACAATTGGCAAATCTCAAACACACAAGCAATACACTGGCACTTAGAAATCTCAAAGTTTACTTAAAAAGCGACCGAAATGAAACCATTTATGGTTATTATCATTTGAGGAAATCTATTTTAAACTAAGCAGTCATCGATAGGTTTACTCTAACACTTATTTCCTTTTCCACCAATCACGGATGGCGTTGAGCATGCCAAAAGTATTTACTTGTGCGTCTGGCCAACTTCAGCTGTCTGTCGGGTGTTTGTAAATTACTTTGCCTTTATCTTTTCATTATTTGCACCGCCATCATGCTCTTATTTATTTTTATGTCCGTTTTACATCACGTGCACATTTTAATTTTTAATCTATATGAAATTGTGTTTTACAAAATGTAACACCAATGTGCACGATACATATGCAATATTTTACGTAGATCATATAACACATTGTAATAATGCTATCATTTCGATAATAATATATTTATTTTTTTTACCGACAATAACATCGATAATTGCATTAGAGGTGGTAACTTTCATAAGTGGCGGACAAAGGCGACAAGTAAACATCCGATGGCTGCATATCTCATCCAATTTTACTTGAAAACAATTACACGATTTTTATATAACAGGACTCTACGAGACATCTAATCTCCTTACACTTATTTTCTATCTAGTGCGATAGTTGTCCTAAACGTTTTTTCTTCTTCACCTGATTTACCATTGATTAAATTTTATTTAATTTTATACAACATGTGTGTTCTACTATATTCCAGTGTATATCTCCATGCGATAAAGACGACCAAACTCTAAGCAACTGTAGGAACTTTTGTGTAAGTATTGTTTTATCTTTATTATTTTTTCGTCTTCATTCGCTATCTAAAGTTTCAATATCGAGAAACTGGGCTCTCATTCAGTGCATGTGCAATGATATTCGCTTTGCCTGCTCATGAGTGAAATCCATCGTGTTTGAATACAATAGGAAATAAAATAACGACTTCTTCTGAATCTATGTGAAAGATACACTGTATTTTTTGAAGTTCTTTTATAAGTTTTTTATTCTTTGTCAAACCGTTAGCGCGCATCAAGTACGCTCAAGTTGAATTGTACTTGTACGTATTAAAAATTTATTCATATGGTGTTTCCTGATTATCACAAAATAGAGAATTCTAGAATTTAATGAACATGATATAAGGACATTTTTTTCCCAATCATGAAAATTTTGCGGGATGAAAATATCTTAAAACCTTTTAGATGTGCATGGAAGGTCACAGACAAAGAAAAATTTTATGTCCATTGAAAATTGCCGCGATTTGAAATTGTCAAGAAGCTTTGTATTTAGCAACCCGCAGAGCAAAAACACTTTAATGATTTATTTGCAGGAAAAGCAGTGGACCTCCGACATTGCACCGTGTCATTATTCATGTAAAAATTTGAAAAGTCTTCAAAGATATGGTAATGAATTACAGCTTATTTTATCTTATACATTATACATTTTATGTACGCAAAATTTCTCTGATCATTTATAACTTCGGAGTTCAGACTAAATGCATGAAAACTATGTCTGGCAGATAACTAAATTATTCTAGCCTATTTCACGCTCAATACTAAAATTTACTTCACAGACTATGGGACAGGTTCATGTTCTTTGAGAAAACAAAAATCATTCGACAATTACTGCGATAGAATTCAGAAATGCCAAGGACTCAAAAAATGTTGTTCAAGAACGAATACATGCGAGAATATTATCGTTAATGGTGAAGGTAGGTAAATACATTTTCCCCAATTATTTTTCCAATTTAAAACGCCATACAAAAAGAGGAAGTTTCTTTTTAGAAGTTGAGATTAAAGTTGAAGCAGTGACAAAGTCATCAGTGGTGATAAAATGGCAGAAAAGCAACATAACAAATGCAGTGTATATCATACAACTACGAGAGCTCAATAGTAGAACAATATACTACAAAGAAAAAGATTGGTTTGCTTGGGAGCAAATCCTACAGGTGAACTACATATGAAAATCCACAAAAATAATTATTTCATTTAAGATGAACTCAAAAAGGATCTCTTGCACATTTGTAAATGCCAATTATTGCTTTATACTTAGACTACTAAAGTAAATGGAATTAAGGTTACCAATCTACCTTATGGAATACGTCTGCAGTTCAGAATAGCTGTTGTGAATATCAGTGGATTGCAAAGTGTTGGACCACCCACACCTGTCATAAGGACTCTGTATAATGCAAGTAAGCCCAGTGGACCACAGCAGATATGGGTGATAAAAAAGACATATTTTAAAGGATCTGTAAGCATTACCTTAAATTGGAAACCACCAGCAATACTAGGTATGTAAGTTTAATCACAGCTGTTGCTATGTGGATAAATGTGGATACCAGTGATCATTTAAGAAGTGTGATATTTTGTAGATGTCCCAGTTCATAGTTATCGAATCTATTGGAAAAAAATTGCTCAAGTGACCACTGATCTTGCTGTTACAACTAAGAAGAGGACTCGTGTCAAAGGCTTGCAATATAATTATACAATACATAATCTTCAACCTGACTCTCGATATCACATTGAAATTCAAGCAGTTTGTCTTTGGAAAAAAAATCGTCTGAAAAGCCCCAAAGTTGCCTTAAATGTTTCCACTGGCCACATTAAAGGTAGATGTCACAGACTTTAGGAAATAATTGTACAAGTCAAATAATATGAACGTTTGATTGTGCTCTAGATGATGGGCATGGTGTAGTTGATGTCTATATCATGAAAGAAACAAAAAAAGATAAAGACAACCATTCACCAATATATTTTGGTAAGTTGTCTTCAATGCCACCCCTAAAAATGGCTGCCATGTTACTTTATTTTTGTTGTACTTCGTTTTATAGACCAAAACAACAAAGATGTAAAAGTTTTAACAAACGAAAAAGTTGGTAAGTTTACGACTTTCGTTGTCGTTTGTTTTGGTTATAAGTAGTATATATTTTATTCTTGTTTATTTCCAGTTACTACAGTTTTATCGCCGTCAAAAAAAGACCGAAAAGAACACTCAGACAATTCTTCAACACGAAGGTGTTCATTCATATGGTTAATTACGATGTGGATAACTTGTTTTCGTGTAACAACGGACGCTGTTTAACAATTCAAAACAAGCGACCATGGATGGAAATAGCTTCGCTTAAGATGCAAAGTGTGCACTATCTAATGTAGTGGAACAAAACCAATATGCTTCAAAAGAAACAAATAGAACTTACCATAATGGTGCATCGAAACCAGTTCCTTCATATCAGAATGACGGCATGTGGGTCTGTTCGTGAATTGTTTTGCACCACAAGGAACTGTGTTTGTCGACTTTAATATTATGTGCACGTGTTTTAAACTTTAAAGCATAAATTACGAAGGTAGAAATCGGACTTTTTCATAAAAGAACGTTGAAGTGCTGTGATATCGTGATTATTCGTTCTTTGGACGAGGAAAAGAGGACTAGACAGAGGAAATAGATATTCTAAGAAAACTTCATCGCCATCGTAAATCGTATTTCCGGTTGGAAAATTTCTGCAACTTTACTACTTGATGTTTTCTTGAAAAATTTAGGTAATACTAGAGCAAAATGTAGTGGTTCAGAACTAGGTTGAACTAAAAATGTTTGTTTTACAAGTTTGTTAGGAACGAATTTTAAGAATGCGTTTACTTCTGAAGAAAGAGCATGCGCACTTACATACTCTGCGTTGTAAGAGAGAAGATTGTATATAAATGTTGTTTCATGTAAATTGTTAATTTATAACACTTCTGTTTCACTGACATGTGTAAATGCAGGAGATGTATAAGTTTGACGTTCACCCATCGCTTAAAAGTTATTGTTAAGAAATAATGAAACTTTCATCCCACACAATGAAATTTATTTGTTGTTGTTTTGTGAGAGATGTTTTAATTAAAAACCAGATAACTATCTGTATTCATACTAGTCAACTCGATCAGTTGACTTTTCATTGCTTACATGCAGTTGGAATCATTGATCCAGTGTATCTACATGGAGGAGGAAAAACATATCCACACAAAGCAGTGCTGCCACTCTGTGTATGAACATTTCACCTACCAAAACTTTGTTTTCCCCCTACCTTCCCCTACGATGATTTTCCTTGTTTCCCCCTACTCAGCAACATATCTCTCTATTATATACCTACGTCGGGTCGGACCATTGAATTTTTTAATCTGTTTTTAAAAATGCATTGAAAAAAAGACTTTTTGAAAACTAAGAAAGAACATCTAGACGACAAAGTTAGTAATTTCGCGTAGGAAGTAATGACATGCAGGTGGCACAAATGACACACTGAGTTTTGCTAAGTTGCTGATCTATTGCCATATATTGTCACAAAATGTGCCAAAAGGAAGATTCTGTTACAATCACTTGCTAAATTGTGAGAACACAGGGAGAAAAGAGTATTTTGGGCCGTTATGAGGCTCATTTTTAAACAATTTTCTCTTCTCCCTACAATCCCCTATAATTTATAGTTTTCCCCGTAGGTTTCCTCTACCACCCATAAATCACTATATCCCCTACTTTCACCGTAGGTTTCCTCTACCACCCACAAACCACTATATCCCCTACTGTAGGGGATTTCCCCAACGAGTGGCAGCATTGACACAAAGCCTCTGAGAGTAGATTTATTAAAAAATGTGATTGTTTTAGTCTTTAATAAACAAACAGTTGCGAGTCAAATTACTACTGCAAAAAATTTAAAGTGAATTCTAAACCCGTGCAAACTATGTCATTAGCCAACTGTCTACAATACTTTGTAATAAAGGTCACTACCTTGTGTTCGTACAAGCCTTATCCAAGGAAACAATCGATCTGCGAGGAATTTTTCTCCCAGGGTAAATATTACAACCGCTGGCATGACGACAGCTGACCATATATTCCAGTTTGTTGTGCAACTGCATGTGGAATTCTTTTGAAATGGTTGTAATCGAGTTGGTGAGCTAAAAACAAGTTTCAATGAAAATCTGCAGTCGATTGATATAATGTCACATCCTAACCGTAAACACCCACCACCCTCACTTCTCCAATCAAACCGAAATCCTTGACTAAATATGCAAGTTTCATACATGAATTGGCAGATAAAATAGTTCCAAATAAAATATCCTTTTTTATAAAAGCAATGTAGTTCGATAACCATAAGTATCTTTTAGCATCTCTTACCTGATAAGGATCCTTGTTTAAGTCGTAAAATTCACAAAATGATGTGACAAACTCGCAGTAAATGTAATTCTCCTTCGTAGTTTTTGTTCTAATACACCAGTAACTATTGTTGGATGACGTTGGACAAAAGCAAAAACTTCCATCTAAAAGGTAGAAAAAAAATGAAGGATCGTTATGTTTCAAAAGGCAAACATTGTGATGAGTAATTATTTTCCATGGTAAGTTTGAATAAAACTGACAATAGATATGGTGGCAAAATTTGTATGTCTACACAATTTAACACTACGTACTTTTCCATAACGGTTCAGTCTTCCAATGATTATTCGTGTGAAGAAAACAATTCAAACCAGGCGTATAACAGCTGCTGTGCTTCCTCCATTTTTGTGATTTTCTTCGTTTCTTTTTATTTCGTCGACGTTTTGACGTACCCATTTTCACTCTTTGGTAATATTTCCATTTACCATTACAGCGACATGCAATTCTTCCCTAAAGTATCGGCAATTATCATTATTTGCTTTAAAATCTCGATATTCAGTGACAAAGTGAAGGTGATTATTGCGGGTGATTAAAACAGAGGGAAAACTGAAAAACCTGTTTAAGAAATTTCACCTCTTTGAAAGATTCCCATAAAATTAATACCTCGGAAGCTTTCAACAAAATTTTCCTTTTCGACTTCAGTTTTGCAAGTTTATCTCGAGATGCTTGAATTCTCTTATTCAATCTCCTCAATTTGGATTGGATTGACTTTACCTTGGTCTTAACGTTATGTCTCGACGATAATTCTTTAAAAAATTGACGCTGATATTCAAGTCTTCTCTTCTCTTTATCTCCAAACGAAAACTTTTTCTTCAAACGATAATTGAGATGTGATCTCCATCCAAGAGCTCGTCTACTAAGACGACGACCACTAACTCCTGCAAATGAAATATGTTATTACTAGACTTTCCATCTATCCAACACCATCCCTACTAGTACACAATGCCCCCGATATACCTGTCTCTTTCCTCATACAAAGGCAACGCTTTGAATTGTATAGTTTTCGACTTTGTTCCATCCTGACACTTCTAGTCTTTCTTCTGCATTTACGAAATCTAAGTTGATTGTTCACCATGGTGCATCTCCATTCTTCCCCTTCTGTACATCCTGTGGAGTAGTTTAGAAGACGACATTTCTCACGGATCATGGCCATTTTAGTACGAGCCAACTTCTTATGAGATGAGGCATACAATTTTTTACTGAAAAATGAATTATCTGAACGTTAACAACAATATAATTATTAAAGCAGCATATCCACAGGTAAAACAAACTGTGTTGTGCTACTTACGATTTTTCGACGAGAAAAGTCTCCCGCCACTTCACATCGTTATTTTTTCTCGAGTAAGATTCGATCAGCTTCAAAACGGACTTTCCATCCATTGCTCCTGGGATTCTTGCATTTGCAATGTCGAGAAACGTCGGTGCAAGGTCAATGTTCAAAACAATTTCTTTGATTCTATTACGAGAAAGTTAGAGGATTTTCTAGAAATATAACATGAAATTTATAAAAATAAAGCCACACCCCAATAGATTTGTATTTTTTATTTCAAAACACTAAACTTAACAGAACATTCCCAACAAACCAATGGCCTTGCACTTACTCCCTTCCTTTCGGTACTCCAGGACCTAGGACATAAAAAGGTATCCGAATGTCAGTCTCGTAAGGCTGTGACTTTCCCTTAGCCATACCAAACTGTCCCAAATGATATCCGTGATCTGAACTGAGAAATATATACGTGTTCTCCATAATGCCGTTCTTCTTCAAACTGGCATACAATCTTGCAATGGCATCATCCGCGGACAGTAATGTCAATAAGCGACGTCGATGCAGATGATCTGAAAAAGCAATCTTTTGTTTGTCCATGGGCTTAGTGTGTCGTATTATCCAATGTTTGTCGACGGAATGAACGTTAAAATTAGGATGTCTACAAAATTTAAATAACTGTAATGTAAACATTTATAAAGTATATATGTATCTTAATTTCATCGTGTTTTTATAAGGCTTTGATAAGCACGATGATCTAGTATTACGATACGAAGGAAATCTTTAGTTTACTCAGTGTAAGTCACTGCTGAATGGCTTTCTTATGGATTCAAGAAGTCATGTTACTGGCCACTTTTGAAGTGAAAAAAACTCAACTGAACCAACTTTATTTACTGAGTGAGTATAGATCTGTCACTTCTGTTCATACGGAAGTAAACGAATGATATATGAATGGGGTTTCATACGTAAAATATCAAATGTTACCTTGGAGCTGTAACATTATCAAACAAATCTTTATGTTGCGGTGCAGGATCTTCTGGACCATGAGGAGCAGCCATTCCCAACACCATCATAACTGGTCTATTCGGATGTCTATTTTTTGATCGTAGAAAAAAATTTATGCTATGATTTGTTACAACGTCAGTGAAGTAGTCTTTCGCGTAATCGTATCCGTGTCTTTCAGAGCCTGTGTTCTTCCTTAGTGTATAGTTGTAAAACCTACTGTTTTTCAACAACACCGTCCATTTGTCCCAACCTTTTGGTACCCAATTTCCATTGTAGTTGTTCAAATACTTTCCAAAATAACCTGTTATAGATTAAAGTAAAATTTAAATAGACAAACGGCACATGATAATGAAAAGTAGTTGACCATTTTTTTATCTCATATTTTGGCAATTAATCAGGTGAAAATGATTCACATCCAGCGAATCAATGAAACACTTAAACTTTAATTTACGCCAGCAGCGAAAACTTAGAGAAAACTAAAACTACTGTATCAAAACACGTGCATTAATACTCATTCTTAATACATGGATACATTTGATTTTCTCTCAATTTCAAGAAGCTGTTTGAGCTATTTATGTTTTTTTCTCTGTTTACGAGTGTTTGGTTGAGTTTGGTTTTCTTTCACGAACATTTGTCCTTCTTGAATCTCTTGTTTTAGTTTTTCAGGTGCCTCAGCGATGGCAGATTGCGTAGCAAAATGCTGCATTAAATCATTAATTTGTTCCCGTAACTCAGTCACTTCAGCAGTTCGTCGTGTTTCTGCTTCTTTCAAAGATGTTTCAAGCATAGTAACTTTTTCCTGCCAAATTTTTGGTTTTCCCTTAAACTCTTGTTCATTTGACGTTCATCTGTCAGTTCTCTTTCCAATTTTACAAGTCTAGTTGACAACTGGACATTTTTCTTCTCTAAGACCTTGCGTTCTTTCTCAGATTTGGAAAAAAGACATTCGTATTTCTCACATTCCTCCAAAGTTTTCTTTGACTTTTCAATGACAGCCTGAATTTGCTGAAAAGCATCATTCTCCACAAAAGCAATTTTCTCTTCAAAATAAAGACGCTGTGCATCCAATTGGCTAGTCAAAAGATATGTATACTCCAAATTGATAGAGTCTAGTTTATCATCATTCGCACTATCTCCTAAAGGTGTTCCTAACTCAACAAGCTTCCCATCAGATTTATTCTGCACCAAACGGTGAACATAATTGTCACCAGTGTAATCCCAGACTCGCTGTGATTGAAGCTCCATTGCAAATGTGTGTTCTGTTGCACGAAAATGATGGTAAGCATGACCACCATTATACCTTTGCAAAAGAAAAGAAGCATATGTGTTGTTAAAAATGAAATGTTTAAAACAAACCTTTCCAACACAAATGTATAAAATCATATTACAAGCTAAAACTTACTTGAATCGTCCCCTCCCCCGATAGTGTTATCAAGATTATAGTATGTACAACAAATGAATAAAAAATATAAGTCGATATAATATGTAAAAGGAATTTGGAGGAGGGGGGTTAATCACTTCCAAATAAAGCTTCCTTTGAGAGCACTGTTGCTGAAGGCATAATTATCTTTCATCGGGACTATCTACTGTTACTCATTCTACTTCCATAAAAAAAAGCAATTACCTTCCACAACCAATGTTCCCACAGATGAGGCAAATCCATAAATTCTCTTTAGCATCACATGAAGAGCATTTATTATCCTGTGAAATCTCCGTAGTCTGAAGACACCTGCAAACAGGGCAAGTAGAATCCTGCCACTTGACAAGACAACTGCTATGAAATGAATGATTACATAAAACAGTGAGAATTCCTTCCACAGACTCATCCATACGCTCCAAGCAAATATGACATGTCGGTAGCTCTGTTGCACCTTCAAGAGGCAAGTTTGACACTCCACCTTTTATAGATTCCACTTTAGAAACATACACAAGGTGACACACTTCAGGTTCAATACCATTAAATGGTGTACCATTGAACATATTAAAAAATTCATGGGCATTTTCAATGCTTTCAAACTTCAATAAGGTCATATAAATGTTTGGTGTTGGATCTCTGATAATTCGAATATGTTGGATATGATTGCGGTAGGGAGAGATAAAGTTTAGCAAGTCCGTTGAGGACATTTTTGCCGGCACTAATAACATACACAAAAGGTCTGATTTTGGTGATGTTTGGGTTTCATTTACTTTGTACAAATGAAGAATTCCTTCCGTCGTTTCGACAGCTGGATTGCCAGAAAAATATGGCTTTTGCTCCGTTTCCTCTGAACTAGTGTCTTTGTCAGAAATATCTGCCATGAAAGTAGTAATCGTAAACTTGACGAACTGCCGTTGTTCTATAGAATGATTCTCCTTTCCAGCACTCGCTAGCACTTTCGGTTTAAAATCACTTATTTCAAGACCTTCTGCCAAATAATGAAGATTGAAAGATACCGGATAGTTTTCACTAACCTCCAAACAAATGATTATTGGTGAAAGAACCATTAAGATGGCAAAATAATCGGAAAACTATGAAATTTTGAAGCCGTATACATTGCAGAAAGTTGAAACCATTGAGTTCTATATACCTGGAGCGGCTAACTTTACTGGGGCGAGGACGCCAAAAAAATGGCGGCCAAAGGACGTATTTCCGCTGAAATGATCGCTTTGCAGAAAAATAATATTCTCGACCTCCCCCTGATTGATGTTATTGATTTTCCCGCCTTCAGTTGAAATTTCAAATGCAATTGCGAGCTGTAAGATAAATAAACAATATTTTTCAAGGCCAAAACAATATTTTTTTCAAAAATGCCTAATCGATGTTCAATCGTAGAATGTCGTAATGTTGACAACACGAAGCACATCGCTTTTCATAGGTGAGTTATTCGCTTATCTTGTTTGTTCCTGAAAGATTGAATCGGCATTTATACAATTGAAAGCCCCAAAATCTGTTAGGCCTTATGAAAAAACATTGTCTTAAATACTGCATACACTGATGTTTTCCTGTGTGTTTTTTTAAAAAATTCAACAAATTTTTTTATTTATTTGTTGAATCAACGCATGAAACAATAAATTTACTAATCTATTTCAAATAGTTTTCCTGACGAAGAAAAAAACCCTGCACTTTTTTCGGAATGGGTAAATAGTATAAAGAAATGGTCGCCTCTCACAGTTCTAACTAAGTGGAGCAAAGTTTGTTCAGATCATTTTTCCGATAGCATGAAGAGAATATCAGGTAACAAAGTGTGTCTAGAAGATAGTGCCGTGCCCACATTATTTCAACAGGTGCAGGATGTTGAATGTACGGAGAGCACTGAAAAGGTGAGTGGTCATTTTTCTATTCATGATCACTCATATTGTCTTAAGTCTCCCAGGAGACTGAAAAGACAATTGGAAGATGTTATAGACCGGGCAGAGTCTTATAGAAAGAGGTTAAAAGTGTCTAATAAGGAAAAATGTAGACTGAAAAAGAAGGTAAATGATTTATTGTCAATCATTGATTGCCTTAAAGATGATAAGATGATCAGCTCTGATCAAGCTGAACTTCTTAATGCTTCACTATCTGGGGTTCCTGAAGATATTTTGAGTCGTTTAATGGCAAACACTCAGGGTAAAAAAGGTGCTCAATACCCCCCAGAATTGCAAGCTTTTGCACTAACTTTGAAATTTTACTCGCCTAAGGCTTATGATTATGTTCGTGAGAAGTTTAATTTAGCCTTACCTCATCCAAGAGTAATTCGATCTTGGTATAATTCCATGGATGGTGACCCTGGTTTCACCAAGGATGCCTTGAATGCTTTGAAAGTGAAGGTTCAAGAATCAAAGAAAGATGGCAAGGAAGTCATATGTGCATTGATGCTGGATGAAATGTCAATCCGCAAACACGTAGAATGGGATGGTCAAAAAGTTTGTGGTTATGTTGACCTTGGTACTGGGATTGACGATGATTCACTCCCTGAAGCAACAGAAGTTTTGGTATACATGGCTGTTGCTCTAGATTCATCTTGGAAAGTACCAGTTGGTTACTTCTTGGTAGATGGCCTCACTGCAGAAGTAAAAGCAAATTTAACCAAGGAGTGTTTGATGCAGTTGCATGATGTTGGTGTTAAAGTTGGAAGTTTAACATGTGATGGTCCATCCACACATCTTGCAATGATGAAGTTGCTTGGAGTGAAACTTTCACTTAATGATTTCCAAGCATATTTTTTACATCCATCTGATTTAATGTTGAAAATTCATGCATTTTTAGATCCTTGTCATATGATCAAGCTTGTCAGAGGAGCGATTTCTGAATTGAGAACTCTGAAGGATGAAAAAGATGGTTTGGTAAGATGGCAATACTTAGTTGAGCTAGAAAAACTGCAAGCCTCAGAAGGCTTGCGACTTGCCAACAAACTAAAGAAAGCTCACATAAACTGGAAGCCACAGAAAATGAAGGTAAATTTAGCAGTGCAAGCACTCAGCTCGAGTGTTGCAGATGCTTTAGAGTTCTGTGAAGGTAAGCTCAAACTTCCACAGTTTAAAGGGTGTGATAAAACAGTCAAATTCATTCGAGTATTTGATCGCTTGTTCGACGTTTTGAATTCCAGGAATCCAATTGCTAAAAATTTCAAAGCACCAATGAGGAAAGCGAATTACAAGCTGATAAAAACCTTCTTAGATGAAGCAAGGCAATACATCTTAAATCTGAAGGGTGCTGATGGAAAGTCGATTTTTTCCCATAAGAGGAAAACAGGATTCTTGGGGTTTCTGTTGTGCATTGAAGCAGTGCAAGGGCTTGCTGAGGATCTTGTTATAAGTGAAAATTCTCCCCTTAAATATTTGCTTACTTATAAGACAAGTCAAGATCATTTAGAATTGTTTTTTTCAGCTGTGCGAGCGTCAGGAGGTTGGAACAACAACCCGACATCTCGACAGTTCAAAGCAGCGTACAAGCAGCTGTTGATGCGACATAACATTAAAGGAGGTCATGGAAATTGTGTTGCTCAGGATGGTACCGAAATTCTAAGTAGACTAGAAGATCGGTGTGAGAGTGAACAAATGTCGGCAGATATTTCCGATGTAAATACTGCAAGAAGATACGATCTAGAACTGCGTGGGCCAGAACAAACTGACCACGATTACAGCGACACCTCAAACTACATTCAGCTTTCAGACTACAGGAGGCAGCAATATCGTATATTGCTGGCTATGTCGCAAAATGGTGAAAAGGAAGATCCATTGTGATGATTGTATGGATGCTCTGACATCATCTAAAGAAAGAGCACCAGAACTATTTGTGGCATGGAAGAGCAACGGTGGTTTAAAAATACCAACTGACGATCTTCTGAAAGTGTGTCAGGAAACAGAGAAATGTGTAATGAGGATGGTAAATTCCTGCCATGGTGGCTTGCCACATGCAGCAAACATATCGAGTGCAATTGCTGCGACGGTATTATCTGTGTGTGTAGAGAAAAAAGTTTTTAGCATGTTAGATGAGCATGTGTTAGAGTCGACAGTTACAGATAATCATGCTTATAAACTGATAAAGTGTTGTGCTGAGGCATTTGTGAAAATAAGAATGCATCACTTGACCAAAACGCAAAACGATAAGTTGCATAGTCAGAAAATTCGTAAAAGCTGTCTGCTTGTGTTGTTCAATCATCAGTAGATTGAACGTTGCCTGAACACTATTGTGTTTTCGAGGCTTTGCCTGTGCCTAGAAATGGAATTTTCATTTGACTATTCCATTTTTGAGGCTGTAGGCGTCCTGGCACATAGCAATATGTGTTTCGAGGAGAAATTTAATGGTGCCTGCACATTTGTGTTCGAGGCTTAAAATGTAACATGAAATTATAACCTAGTTTACGTAACTAAACAATTAAAAGAATGAGAAGTAATTCGAAATGCAAGTCTTCTATGTGAGTATTCCTCTACAACATAGTAGAACATAGAACCACAATAGCACAATATTCATTTTGAACTATTTTTTTTACAGAAAAATACTCAACAAAACAGCCCAATTGGACGACATAAGAAAACTATTTTGTGGTCCTAACATTGATAGCACTTTCAATCAGATCGAGCGTTGTAGTAAGTGCTTTTTCAAAATTAAACCAGTCTGTCAATTGATAAATGAATTGTTAACGTTCTTTTAAAATAAACGTTACTCAATATTAAACGCACGTGTTTAACTTACAGGTGACATTATGAATATTGCCGGGATGATCTGAATGCGGAAGTCCTTGAACAACGTTCATGATGCGTAACATTTTATCTTTAACATTTTTTGTACCTTATAGTTCAATGAGTTCACATTGTTTATATAGTTTCTTGACTTGTAAAAGCCAATGGTTAAACTTCGAATAACTTGAAAAAAATTTAGAAGAATGTTACTTGAATGCAGGGGTGTGACTTGAGTCCCGAGAATGGAGAGGGAAACGTTGCAGAATTTGATTTGCCCAACAAAACGTAGTGTAATTTTGTATGTTAATACCAGCAAAATCGCTTTTACTTAGTTATGAGTTGATCCAAACGTCATCGTTAATATTTGCCGTTTTAATTTCCGCAAAATTACATGCTTTGCTCGACAAAACTGCTAACTTTTGAAAGGGAGGCTGAGCCACCACATATCAATCCCCTCTCCAGGATTTACACCCCTGTTTCAACGTTACTGATACAGCAATTAACGATTTGTGCACGCTAAATTTACATGTATATTATCATGGGAATCATCTCTTACAAACTATAAAAAACTTTAAAATTCAATGCAATATTTAGTTCTTCATAGTTAAAAAAAAGTTTGATTTGTTAACCAATCAGAATACAGCATTGGCGTTTGTCATTTGCATTTTTTCCCTTTTTTTTAAATACTATAAATATTTTAAAACTTGTCTGAATTTTCCTTTGCTTATTTCTTGTTTTATTGTATTTGCCAACTTTCTATTGTGGTCCATGGATGAAAAGAGGTTAGTACAGATCAATAATTTAATAATTTCTGATCTGAAAAGCTTTATATGAAGCTTTCAGCATGGAAGTAAACAAAAGTGATTCATTTACATGGTTTAAATCCTTCTTGCAAAATATCTATTTACACTTTATCGTTTTTGCATACAAAACACCAGATGCTAGATTATACAGATGAGAAAAAGCAATGGACACTGGTATCAAATATGTATAAAATTTGTTTTGTTTTGAAAACTGAAAATCACTCAAATAGTTCAATTGCATTCAAAACAGGTCAGGAAACTGAAGAGGAATATAACAAAATGCAAGTGTGTATTTAGCCAAAATGGTTATACTGTTTAATGATTGTTTTTGCTTTATTACACAATACAACAATGCATCAAAATGTGCTAAAATCTACTACTATTTGAGGTGGCTCCAATTCTGAAAACCAAAAAAATAAAGAAGGTAAACAGTGCTTTGTATACAATACTGTTCTCATTCATATATGATATATGCCCATCAGCTCTCTCATGATACTTTTGTCTTTTCACCTGAACCTTTTCACCTGAGCCTTTTCACCTGAGCCTTTTCACCAAGAGTCTTTTCACCAAGAGTCTTTTAACCTGAAATTTAATCATACACATAACAAATCAAACAGCACCTAACAAATGATTTGTTTATGTAGAAAGCAATGTCGAAGCAAAAAGTTCATTTAAAGGTGTGGTATAGTGTATACATGTACTAATTGCCTTTGATGCCTGGCTGATAATTGCCATTGCTTTTTTTAATGAAGGAAGATGCTATAATTGTGGCCACAAAGGCCACAAAATGAATGAATGCAAGAAAAGTAATGACAAAAAATGAAGTAACATTTCTTTCATGACCATTGTAATTGACAATTATATACTTTTTTTTGTATAGAGTTTAATCGTATGAGAAGAAGTAAGTTTGATTGACCTAGTGATAAAACATCAGCTTGATTAGATGGTTGAAAACTTCAAGTTGCATGCATTATTGTTAACAGAAATAAGCTAATGACACAAACAAATAAAAAGTGTCATGAACTACAACTTCCTTATGAATATTTAACAGGACGACGTTGCTACATATGCAAAAGATTGGGCCATGTTGCCAAGCAGTGTAGGGAAGGAAACCTACCAGTCAAAAACGTGCTGAACAATTGCAGCAACTGCACAATAAACCTTACAAGGAAATAAATTTTAAATATTTTTTTTGTCATTTAGTCATCTTTAGCAGAAATACAAAAGATTATATATTGTTTTTTCTCAAAACTTCATTAAAAGAAAATTCTTATTGCAAATATGTTGTGTAACTTAGTCTGATTGCACTAACATACATTACCACATTGACATAAATATGACTATAGAGTACTCTTTAAGAGTTAAGTAAAGAACAAATTCTGAAGAAACAAGACATCTTGAGATGTAAAATGTGAATCAAAACAAGACGTGAACTGTAAATTTTCGATTTATTTCAAAGTCATCCACAGACAGAATGATAATCCAAACCATGCATACACATATATTAAGAAATGGTTTGTTAACACGGGACTTAAGGCTAGCAAAGAATTACAACTCTTCTCTTAAATTACAATACACTCATTCCACCAGTCTGGTCTCTTGTTTCAATTCATCCTTTTAAAATATGACAGCTCTTCCAACTCCGCTTTCGTAAATATCAAACTATTTAATTTCTATTGCTTGACTTTCGTTACTTAATTCATGCATTGTAAATATATATGTGTATGCATGGTTTGGATTATCATTCTGTCTGAGGATGACTTTGAAATAAATCGAAATTTTACAGTTCACTTTGCGTTTTGTTTTCATTCACATTTTTTCATCTCGAGATATCTCGTTTCTTCAGAATTTGTTTTTTACTATCTTTTTTAAATTGTCGGCTGGACATGGCTTTAAGACTTTCTCCTTACCTTGAAAAGAGACCACATCGTCCACATGTACATTAGACACGACTTTTAAAAACGTTCAAACGCAGCCAACAGTTCTTTCGTACATAGTTTATAGTTAATAGCTTTCCTCGTAGGAGCCGATAAGTGGAAAGCTAGGTTGACTCGCTGTTACGAATAGTAGGTTTTTATCGTGATTTTCATCAAAAAATTGCTTGCCGAATCCTAAATCCACACATACATTTTCCTCACTCTTTCATCAGGAGGGAGTGGGAAATTGTGAAATTTTCGGAAAAGCGGTCAATTTCGGTAAATCTCAGCGGCAAAGGACGAAATCCGCCATTTTTTTGGCGTCATCAGATATCTAAGGCCGCGCTTGAGATAGCCGCTCTAGTTATTATAGAACTCAATGGTTGAAACTTGAAGAGATCCTTTTTATTGACGAGTATCGACAAACGTTCGTGTTTTTTGTCGCAAGTAAAAATAAAAGCTGATACGCTACGCGGCCCACGTAAAACATAATTGACTATAAGTACTGACCTGTTTTATATCCACTTTCCTTGAGATAATGACCGAAGTTTCGCTTTTCTGGACCTCTTCTCCATGCTATTGAAGCGCAATTTACAGTGTTGCTGAGGCAGCCGTGATTGTGCGCATACATCCCAGTCAATATAGAAGATCGCGAGGGGCAGCAAATGGGACTAGTAACAAAAGCGTTTGTAAACTTGACACCATGCTTCGCAAAAATGGTACTAGTCTTTGTCATCACTTGCATTGACCCAAGCTGTACATCAAGGTCATCCATGAGGATGAAGATAATGTTAGGTCTAACAAATTTTCTCTTGCCATATCCGCCATTATGACATAAAATCATCACAATCAAATACGCGATTGAAAGTAACAACTTCATCTTACTGAAAAACGAAACACAAAAAATCTACTTTAAATATTTCAGTTTTCTGTTGCTACAAGGTAGTGATTTTTTTAATTTCTTAGGTCGGTTATTGAACAAGATTGTGAAAATTTAAGCAAAAGTTACCTGTCGTCTCACGTTTCAGCATCAAAACACAACTTGATTTGACAACACTCGACTCCTAAATAATAAATTTGCGAAAAAAAGTCTTTTCCGATGCGGCAATTCACACACGTCTGTACTAACATAAATATATCCGGAAATCTGATTGTTAAGAGAAAGGGAAATTGATTGCGGAACATGGGAGTGGAGTCTGACAATCTAAAGCCATTTATTACGCCGAAGCAAACATCTGTTTTTTGGATGTCACGATGATCCTTTTATCAGCCGACAATTATTAGAAATGGGGGATAGAAACCTACTAGAAACAGTATAATCTTGCAAAGTCAAGATTAGAGTAAAATAAGAAACGGAAATTCCAAAGCATTATGTCAAATTTTTGCTTTACAAGATGATGCTGTACTTGAAGAAGACGTTTCATTCAATGTGAGATAATCAATCATGTAAGAGTTGAAGCAAAGCTTGTAAAGCTTATATCTTTAATTTTATCAGTTTTAAAGATACCAGTTTTTTTATCAGAGAATAATTTCTTTTTGGCAATAAGGCTAAGTACCAAATGCAAGATTTATAAACAAAGCTACTCCCCTTTTTCGAAAAACGTGTTTAATATTTATAACTTATGTTATATTTTTCACATTATAAATTTGTTATAGGGAAATTTTTTAATGTTCAAAAAGTTTGCCCTTTCTTCGCTACATTTGGCTTCATTCAGACAAGCCATATCTATGAGTCGTAAGATACAGCAGTTTGCACATATTTTCTCTGATTAAAAATAAATCATCACCCGACGAATGAAGAAAACTCCTTATGTCTTACAACATGCAACCAACCGTATGAGATGAAATTGGATGTAAAGTATTCAGGAAGTGCTTATGTACCTGGTATATCATTTTTTTAAGAAAATATTTTGAAGACGTGGGAAGTGTTATTAAAAGAGGATCGAGATAAAATGTAATTCGACAACGTAAACATTCCCACATGATTTAAGTGTACTTTTCAGCATTAAGTATTATTTTCAGAGGGAGTGTCTAAATGTTGCACGGCCATGTGTCAACATGAGGTTTTGGAACGGTGGGAAAATACGAAAATATTTATGCATTCCCAAACTTTTAGCAATTCAATTACATCTGACACGTGACCTAATTGGATGAAAGGCTGTTAATTTTCACAATTTGGTTCGCATGGCCTTTTTTCAAAAAAGGATCGCAGTAGTTATTACAAATGACGTAAGTAGGAGCTTTAATTTCGTGAGAAAATGCGCAGTTATATGATAGATTTTGCGAAATACCGTAAATCCATAATCAACAAAACCTTAATCACAAACTATGCAAGAAATCCTTAACACATTTGAAGTGTTTTACGACAACTTTGTATAACATTTATCAATATTTATTCAATCTCACCATCAAAGTACCGCAGTAAGGAAAATATCTCGGCAATCATAATAAAGAGTTAGACAAGAAATCAATACACTGGCTAACTAAATGACAATTAATATCACGTTCACACTACAACACGACAAGTATACATTAAATCAAGTATATCCTTACAACAAAAAACACTATAGTGTTATAATTCATTGTGTGACCAACACAATATTATCCCAAAGTAATGAAAGATGCAAGAAATGACGAAAGATGTTAAATATTTTTGAAATAATGTCACCGTTGAGACGAATTATCGCGGTGAGAAACACAAGAAAACATTTATGATTGATAAGATGAAAAACAGATGTCGAATTTACCGTTAAACTAAACATTTAAAAATTAAAATAATAGGGAAGCACAAACAGATTTGTGAATCCTAATTGAAAAATGCACGCGTCTACGAATTTATCTCTGTTTGTCAATTAGCAAGAATGAAACAGGTCTTCGCCATTCGGTGAAAACGTTACAAAACGTAGCGCGCGTGTATCAGACAGCACAAAAATTTAACTCATTGCGAATTGGATGTTTAATTGCATTGGATTATCACAAGAAAAGATTTGGATAAAATAAGTAATGGTGTGTTTTATTTTCACGATATGAATATAAAATAAGATCGAGAAAACCACGTTTAAACACTATTTATTTTATTTCCTCAAAGGTAATGAATTAAAAGTAAAGTTTGAACAAGCACACATGCATGAAGTGATCAATGATCATGGTGATTAAAATATCCCGAAACAAACCTCGCAGACATCAAAGAAAAGTGAATTTCAGAAAAAAAATAAAGGACCAAACGTCCAACCAATTGGCCATCGTTAATGAAAGAAAAAGATAAAATACTTTATATACATAATATAACAATGCGATTAAATATTACATGAAAAAAATTCAACGAAATTTCATAATGTCTAGCATCAGGGCAAAACAGCAAAAAAAAACAGGACAACCAAAAATTTTCGTTGAAATAAATGAAACGGACGAGCCATTCGTATAAAAGCACAAGTAACGCTACGTGACGAGCAAACATTAAACGATCAACAGAAATAAAATAATATTTTTCTCATTAACACAAATGATGTTATCCATATCAAATGGCCTCCTACAAGACAAAGCGTGTGCCATACAATAGTCAAAACATACCTGTGATGGGTATGATCCGCGTTGACAAAAGAGCGTCGCTTGTAAAAACTATGTTTTATATGCTCTTCGAAAGAACATTGGTAACGTTTGTGGCTTTTGTGAGGCTCAAACATTTAGACTTTAATCTATATAAGGGGTGCCAATTACATTAACTGCCATATCATATTTATAATTATAATTTGAACTTTTAGGGTCATAATCTTCCATGCAAAGGTTTGGAAAAGAATCAACTTTTATTATTTTTATCTTAAACATACCTCACAAAGCCCCAGTCTTTACTTTCTTAAAGAATTGCAGTGTACATCATTAATGTCAATAGGAACTGCTTCCCACGTCGCCCAAGATTGTATTCTACTTTGTGTGAAGCATTCTGAATTAAGTGACGGAGACACGGCCAAAGAACCTTGAACTGAATACCAGGCGGCCATTAAACCGCATTTTACGCAAATTTCCGTAGACATGCCTGATAGGGCACTGGACACGAATCCACCAGAAAAGCTAAACAAATTATAAAAATCAATTATAGATAAACCGAAATTTTGCTTATATCCAAACAACACATACCTATCACCAGCTCCAGTGACTGAAACAACTTCCACTTCATTCCTGTCATTTTTACAAGGGGGGAAATAAGCAGCGTAAAAAAGATCATCTCTACTTTTTTTCCTTACACCGAGAAATTTTCCATCATGCATCAACGGCAAATTCAAAGGTACATCACGACATACAAATACCCCCAGTTCACCCATTGTGACCACAACCATTGGAATATGTCTCATCAGCGGTTTACATAATTGAATGCATTCCTTAAGAACTTCGTCTATGGATCTTTCATTGACTTGAACTGAATTAATGTCACCTTTTGAAGGGTCACCTTGAGCAAATAAAGTCTGTTGATTGCCGTTTGCAGCAAGGGCACTCATTGTTCGTAATTCATCGATATTTGGAGTGGTCAAGGTAAGCTGTTGCCAACTGTCATCTTTGAAAGGTTTTGCCGCTTTCATCACACAGGTCGGTTCAAACACAACTGAAAAACGAAACACAAAAGTTTTGAATTGAAAAATGTTGATTGATGAATATTCTTACCTGGAGTCGAATGTTGTGAACAAATTTCAATGCAATGCTTGATGACATTTTCCTCAAGATTCCCGTCAATTATGACAACGGGAGCGTTTCTTATCGTTTCTTCAAAATTATCAATCTACAGTCAAAAAAGAACAAAATATAAAAAATGACGTTCATTGACGTCAAAAAACTGCTGTGCTTATGTAATGATATTTTCTTGAGTTTTTTTCATACCAAAGATGTTGTTATAGATTTGTGTATGTCCATATCTCCTATGCCAATGATCACCTCGCCTTTCGAGTTGAGGACAACCGAATATGTAGCTGTACTTCTTTTCTTGTTCACTTGAACACCAAATGTCGACTAAAGTACAAAATTGAAAAGGAGGAACATACAAACAGTACGATTGTAATATAGTGATTTTAATAAACTATTTAATCTTACCACGCCAACATCACTTAAATGTTTCAACAACATTTCACCCAAATCATCAGCACCCACACACGTTATTAAAACTGGTTGAAACTGTCCAATACGAGCTATACATTCTGCACAAAAATTGCAAAGATCCCAAATCGTATCTTATCTTGCAAAATCAGCAATAATACATCATCTTATAACTACCTGCTATATTTCGCGCAACTCCACCAAAGGATTGACGAATTTCTCCAGAATTTGTCACATTCCCAAACTATACATATAGAAAAACTTTTCAAACAAAAGGCGTTGTCTAAAATGCCCAACGGATTTTTAAATCCAATTCAACTTGCCATAATATCCTTGCTTGTCTTAGCAGCGAAATCAACGTTTGAGCCACCAATGACAACCTGGATAATAGTACACGTCATTTCAATCTTTGCTTCTTATTTTCAAGACTAGAGTTGCTCAAAAAGAAAATTAATGCAAAAGCATCATTGTACCGGTCGATATTTGGAAGACTTTATATTTGAATCTTCGTTAGTTCGGGAAAACTATAGTTATAAGTAATGAAATTGTGATCAACATTTATCAAAAGAATTCTTGGCAATGAGAACAAAATTAATAAAAAATTATATGTTAATCACCATCTGTCGTCTTGATTCGCGCAATTTACATAGTTCAATGGCTATTTCACTCCCAACGAGGGCATTATTTTGAACAAGAGCAATATCTGTTGTCAAATTGAATAAAGTATATATATAACATTACGGTTGTGGTGGGGTAGTGATTGTCTGGGGTGGTGGTGGTTGATGGTGTTGGGGTGGTGAAGGTCTGGGGTGAAGGTCTGGGGTGATGGTCTGGGTTGATGGGGGATATAAATACCACTATAATCTGCAAGGATACTTGCTTCGACAGATTTTCCTTCCGTAAGATGATCAATTTGCTTCAAAACAAATGGAGTTATATCTTTGCCAACAATATTTTTCTTTCTACAGTTGAAATAAGAAAACACTATCTCTTAAATTGACCTAGGCAAACATGAGCTAATTTACCTCGAAAAAAAATCAAGTTATGTTTTATGTAACTTTACAGAACTTATCTCAAAACCAAATTTGACTTAAAATCTTAAAGAACAATTTTCATACAGTCAAACAACTCAATCAATTGAAAGAGAATCCAGGAACGTTTTAACCATTATTCAAATGAAACATTCTTTAAGATATGTTCAAACAACCATAATGACAAGAACTTTAACAACATACTTGGCCTCCAGTAAAGCAGTTTGAATAGTGACATTGATCTTGGCTCCCATCAAGGAATGAGATTGTGGTATTGGTACACCAAAAACCATTCCACACTTCATTTCCATTTCAAGACTGCAGTCTGAAGTTATATCATTAGTAATTAAGTGTTAAACCCTTATATGAAGTTCCCTTAGTTTTCAGACAGATAAAAACATTTATGACAAACATCAATACACAACCATTGAACACATACCAATCATCATGGCAGCTTCTTTTGCTGTCCTAACATTGTAAGGAGCCTAAAATGAACAACATACATAAGTGCAAACATGGTAGATATTCCACTTAATTAAAATCAATGCATTCAAAAAAATGAAGTCCTACTTTAAATCCACTGTCTGATGTAAAAAAAGCAGGAAATTGTAATGTGTCACCAACAGTTGCAACTGTTACACCACATGTTTCCTATAGAAAAATAATGTTTCTTGAATATAATTTTATAGAAGCCAAGGATTTATAGAATCAGTCTAATTTCCATCACCAGATACTCCAGTGTTGATCCAATATCTAGGATAGACTTAACACCAGCACAAACAACAGCAACTGGAGTTCTTCCCAATTCAGTCAGATCTGCACTCACATCAAATGCTAGGAAGTAATTTACATAAATTGCAGCTTAAAAACAATTGCTAGAAAAAATTTTGTCAAGATATCTTAGATCATTTTCTGATAAATGCTTATGATAATGAAACAGAGCACATGCAGAATTGTGGTGACCATTTAAGACTATGTAATGTAGATAGTTTGTGCTTACATTTGTCTGCACCATGATGAACACCACCAATGCCACCTGTCACAAAGATAGATATACCAGCCAACGCTGCCGCAACCATTGTGCCAGATACTGTTGTTGCACCAACTAGATTCTTAATTGACATGTGCAATTTGTAAGATATGGATATCATTAACAATTGTATTGGTGTGTTGTAAATAAAGTCATTGCTACCTTACTTAATACAGCAGGTATATCCCTGCGTGATGTTTTAACAGCCGACAGACCAATGTTTGCAAGGTTCTCCAATTTACTTTCTGTCAAACCTGATGTCCAATACAAGGTGTATATCGTTCAATACTAATTGTGACAACTAGCACATTAATTTTATTGACATACCAACATGTATTCTACCATTAAGTATTGCCACAGTAGCTGGAACAACTCCTTTGCTACGAATGATCTTATTCAGAGACTTTACAGCCCTAACAAAACAACGGTACGCAGTAGCATTCAAAACAATGACAACAGTGTCCTTCATGCAAAATAAGTTGCAAGGGCAGAAAGTTTTAATTTCAAAACTGATCACAAATCACCACGTCCGCGCTGCATTGCCATATTTCATCAAACTTTGGCATTCAAACTTACTTTAAATTTTGTGGAAAAGGCATTCCATGTGTTATGATCGTCGATTCCAATGCTACTACAGGTTTATTATTGTGGAGAGCCTCCAACACTTCGCTGTGGATGGTCAACTTCGACCTCAATGAATGATTAGAGTTGGATGATTTTGTTGGCAAAGAAACAAACTGATGTTGACACCGCTTCAAACCATTAGTAATAACACTAAGCAAATAATACCGCAACATTTTCGAGAAAAACAGTTCGACGTGAGCAGAGTAGGCCATGTAACTATCATCAACAGAGTAGGTACGGGGATGCGTACGAGCCCTATCAGTAAATTTCATTTGGTCAACTTGAATTATGGCATGTGACATTTACCTCAACGTAGCTTTTTTTAACGCAGAAAAAGGCTATTGCATTCAAGGGTAGAACACAGTGGTGCGATAAAAGTTTATTAGGGCAGGGGAGACAACGAAAAATGGCACTTATACATACTATGATTCGTTAATTGTAGAAATGAAGATTACACTCCTCAAAATGTTGTTAGGGGAAGGGAGGGTGAAAATGACCACAAATTCTTCATTTGTAACCAACATGATATTTACAAAACAATGTCGCTCACATGTGACGGCTGGTATCCACACTTGACTAGTACTACATCCACATTTCTTTCATAAAATCAATATGAATGATGCCCAAGTAAAGAAAAATAGTATGAACAATATGAATGATGCACAAGTAAAGAAAAATAGTATGATCAATATGAATGATGCACAAGTAAAGAAAAATAGTATGAACAATATGAATGATGCACAAGTAAAAAAAATAGTATGATCAATATGAATGATGCACAAGTAAAGAAAAATAGTATGATCAATATGAATGATGCACAAGTAAAGAAAAATAGTATGATCAATATGAATGATGCACAAGTAAAGAAAAATAGTATGATCAATATGAATGATACACAAGTAAAGAAAAATAGTATGATCAATATGAATGATGCAAGTAAAGAAAAATAGTATGATCAATATGAATGATGCACAAGTAAAGAAAAATAGTATGATCAATATGAATGATGAGCAAGTAAATAGTATGATCAATATGAATGATGAGCAAGTAAAGAAAAATAGTATGATCAATATGAATGATGCACAAGTAAAGAAAAATAGTATGATCAATACGAATGATGCGCTAGGAAAGAAAAATAGTATGATCAATATGAATGATGCTCAAGTAAAGAAAAATAGTATGATCAATATGAATGATGCGCAAGTAAAGAAAAATAGTATGAAAAATCTTTGGTTTTTAAAACGTTTTTATAAAAATGATAGCCAAATGTTTTGTGAGTATCCCCCCAAATAATTTTAAAGAAATCACTAAATTATATAGTAAGTCTTCAACATGATTTCTTGCTTTGTGTGATGTTAATGAAATGTTTACCTCAAGTTTAATTAGGTTAGTCACTATATAATTTATATGTGCAGCAAGTGTTAGTTGAACGCACACCTCCGTAAGACTCATTAAAATATTAAAAAAAGTCAGATAAATTATCACAATAATAAAGTTTGAGATTCATCCCGAAATATTAACACAATGCATTGAAATTATATCCTTTGTTGTATCATATGTAAACAATACCGAAGGATAACAGGATGACATATTAAACCATCATTTTACATTGAACAGTGTTCATCTGTTGTATAGTGTCACCTATTACGAAGCCGATCTAGTTCATCGCAAGATTCCATTGACATCTTTTGTGCACGATAGTAAAGATTTTCATCATTCCAAAATCTTGCTCGTGCTAGTAATTCCTCACCTTAAAAAATACATATTTAAAGACATAATTAAAAACGTTTTGTAATAACAACATGAATGCAGGATGCGATGATAAAGAAATCATTGAGTTGATAAAATATCTCACTGTCCCATCTTATGGATGATATTAAATGATTTTACAAAAATCCTAAAGTGCCAAGGTAGTAAATAGTTTGTTCATACGTGTTTGCTGTTGTCTATAACAAGCAGACCGAATCCTTCCAACATACTCCTTCTCTATTTTGTACTCTAGTTCAGCTAACGACTTTCCATGATAATTATTAGTAAAGTCCCTCTAAATGAACCAAATTGTTAGATCAAGAAACAATACAGAATTTGAGAAATTGAATGTACAAAACACTCTTTCACCTGGACATAATATGAAATTTTATATTTACTGGTGACTCGATGTAGTCGATATGGCCTGTTAAAAAAAAATGGCACACAAAAAACTTAGCAATGTAAGCATTTGCATCTTTATTGCATTATACTGGAAGTGCTGGAATTTTCTAACCCCGAAATGCTAAAACTGTACGGAGGATCTTGGATCAACAATGATGTTATTAATGACAAACCAAGAAATATTAAGATTGGAATGAGATGAAAAATGCTACCAATTCCACTCTAAAAATCAATATAATAAACAAGTCATAAATCAATGCAACAAACAGGTCTAAAAAGTAGTGCAATAAATAGGTCTGGAAGTAAGTGAATAACATAGGGAGAAAATATTTGTACTGAACATCAATTTAAACCTCATGATGTCCATCTTCTTCGTCATGGTGATGCTGCCGCCTACGGTGATGTCTTCTGTGTATAAACACTTGATCTTAAATTGAAAAAAAAACTTGACTCATAAGTTGTTAGGACAAATGTAGAAAAAATGTGACTGGTTTTTAATATATCAGTCAATACTTTGATACAGTTCAGTAGATGTTGTATTTATAGCAAATATCAAATTAGGATAAGTACATGCATTGTATAGAGATTACTTCATCAGTAGAACAAACTAAAAATATTAAAACACCAACAAAAATCAAAAGATAACAATTAGTAATGCAAATACATAGAAAACATCTTACTTCCAGCCATTCCTCCAAAAAACATATTGAAAAGGTCCTCTGGAGTGATATCAGCTATAGAAACAAAATCATAAATTAAAATTTTTCTTCATGACTAAAAAAATTCATTAATTCAAAATCTACCTTCAAATTCATTGTGATGAAAATGATTGTTGTGATTACGATTGTTTACAAGAGATTCTGGACCGTACAAATCATATTTTTTACGTTTTTCTGGGTCGCTCAAGATTGCAAATGAATTTCCAATAGCTAAACAATGAAAAAATCATATGAAGTAAATAAGACAAGCATTGTCATGTGGGGACTATATACATTACCTTTAAATGCTTCAGTACTTCCTGGTGCTTTATTCTTGTCTGGATGAAATTGTAATGCTAACTTCTTATATGCTTTTCGTAGCTCTCCATCACTCGCATCTTTTGTAACACCAAGTATTTCATAATAATCTTTAAGTTTACTAATCCTGTAAAAATCAAAAAATCAGCTAAGCTATATCACATAAAAAAGTAAAACATATTTAAGGTACATCATATCAATGAATATTTTGCCAAACTCTGAAATTTATTGATAGGACTTTTACAATCACTTTCACTATTGCAATTAATCGAGCAAGAGTTCATTTAGAAAAAAAAATCAAATATTGATGTATCTTTTGATAGAATAAGGGAAAATAGGCAAGTTTTAATCTTTACTTTACCAAATCCGCACAAAAATATAAAATCATTTATCAATAACATCTATTTTATTATAAAAACACATTATCAACACATCATAAGCCAAGCACATTGTATTCCAACATCACCTACCATCAATAAAATACACAAAGCACATTCACCACAGTACAAACCTTTTAACATCAGCCAGTTGCTCAGGGGTGTATTCAGCCTTCTTTTTCTCCTCACTTGGTGGATTAGCTTTTGCTTTGGGACATGGCATTGATTTATTCATTTGACTATCTGTTCCACTATCTTCTTCCTCCAATTCTTTAATTAATACTGAAAACAAACATTGTTAAAATCATTACAACATACACAGAAACTCTGTTGAGATGTTAAAACAGACCTTATTATTGCCAAACAAAACACTTTTTCAAAATCATAACACACTTACAAATTTGTCAAGGCATGTTCAAGGAAAAAACCGGTATCCATACATAAACAGAAATAAAACCTAACGCATTTATTACTAACGGGATTTCATCGCTCAACAGAAAACAATAAACAACTTTCAGTTGTGATATTTTTATGCGCAAACGATAAAAAAGCAGGTATTAAATATTTTATCAAAACAAAAATGTGTTTATGAAATCATGTTAAAATAATAAATATGTTCATGAGTTGAAATAAAGTTTTGGTGTTTACTTTCGGTTTCTTTGAAGGGAAAAAGTTTCAAGCTCTTCTTCAGGAACTTTTTGGCTTTTTCTTTGTCTCCTTCGGCTTTTGATCGCCGAGCTATTTCGAGACATTTTTTTGCTTCGTCTTTGTTGCCTTCCATTTTGTTACACTCATCGCGCATAAATTATTATTTCCTCGCGCGTCATCCCGCGTGTGGGCGAACTGTAGAGTGAATATTTAATTTTATTTGTGATGGAAAACAGAAAACCTTTTCTTTTTACCTATCTTCATTTCAAAGAAAAACATGGTAAAAAAAGCACAGAGTAAAAAAGCACACAGCTAGGATAACCTATTACATATTTTAGCCAATAAGAGCAGAACTCAAAAAAATGTAACCCATAACAATGTTAGAAACTCATCGAAAAAGGTGAAAGGTAGGTTTGTCAAAATATTTATTATGTATTTAAAAGTACTTCAAATGTCAGTACTTCAAACCAGGTTACAAGATCCTGAGTTCAAAGAAATAAGCATGGGTTTCTTTGAGTTTTGGATGTTTTAGGATGTGTGTATTATAATGTTCATAATTTGCGTAACTAAACATTAAAAATCTAAACATGCATGACATAAAGGGCGACCTTTCCCACAATTGCACGAAAAAGCAAAAAAATTCCGGTACGAAATATCGTACCGGAATCTACCAATAAAATTAGTGATTTGCATCATCAAGAGGAATATGCAACATGAACTGACTTTTTGGTCTGATAAACAGCGCGAAACAGAATAGGTGCATTACTTTTGCTAAATAGCTGTCAAAATTAATTTTATGAAAGTGGCATGTCCGAGTTAAATGACTTGCTGTTATTTATCTTGAAGAAAAATAAGTCAGAGCAGGAAGATAGTTTAATTTTTTACGATGTGTTGGGTTTGCTTGTCAAGTCTAACATCTTCATCTATATTATGCATGGAAGATGATTTGAGACACAAATTAATCAGATGCATTTAGTGGAGTTCTAGGTAGGAATAATCGTAAACGGTGCCATCATGGTACCTAGGTGGTCATGTGTTGGACACAAGGATTGGTTGGCACCCCGTTTGGTAAAGTATAAGGGCCCAGGGAGGTGGTTCCCTATCCATTAAGTTTCCTTTCGGCTCGGGTACTAACGTTGCTTTACAGGTGTCTCATCGTTCAAAGGTTTATTTTAATCATTTTTGTTTAGCACAGTTCGTAGGTAGATGTTCAAGTTCAAGTCGGGTATTTCATCATGGCACTGATCAACAGGGTTAGCCAAGAATACACATAGGCAAAATGAAACGGCGCCGCTGATAGCGGCTAAAATGGAGAATATTAAGTTTCGGTCTTTACAAAGATGTACATTGCCTAACTCATCTCTTTCAACAACATTGTATAGATAAAGGCAGTCTAAGGGGCTGATTACATGAGACCGGATAGCCGGGATTCAGCCAAGCGTTGAATGATTTTGGCAAATGGAAACGATTCAATACTCGTCATCAGATAAATCTACCCGAGAAATTTCACAATATTCTGATTTAATAACTACGCATAACATTTAAAATTACAATAACCAATTTGACTTAATTTATGAATTTCAGCAGGGATGACTTGTTGCGCTTAGCAAACAGTTGTAATTTTTACGCTTAAAGTTTTGCCTTTTTTTAATGCCTCCAAATCATTTCACGCCTCACTGAATCCCGGTTAGCCGGGATCATGTATACAACCCTAGTAAATTTTGTAAACATAAATATGATCCAAGTAATGTGCATCCATCGACTGGTTTTCATAGCTTGCTTGATCTCTGAGGATTTTCCTCCAGCGATACGCCGGTTTCCCTCATCTTTAGAGAATCTCTCTAAAGAATAACAAAAAAAGGTGGCCATGTCTGGGACCAGCAGTAAGGATTGTATGGTTATCTGGTTGGATTCCCGATCCACGCGAAGAGACAAGAGTAAAGATTGTTGGATTTTCTATCACAAGATTGTAATATAAAGAACAACCGTTACAACATTGTTATATATAGAATCATCATCACAACATTGTCAAATACCACTATAGAAATACAAGAGCAACAACATCGTAGTTACACCTTAATGAAACTTGTATCCATACGTTACCGATCTGTCACATTCATGAAAAGTGATATTCAAGAAAAGTAATAAGTCATATCAACTTCGTTCATGCCATTGATATTTGGTTTGTACTGTCGCTCTTCATAATGTTGTATCAACAATTGTGAATGAATATTTCTTGCCCTTGGGTGATTTTCAACTGTATGTGAATGACGACCGTTTACAATGACGAATCGTAGTCAAAAATTTTCAAGTAAATCATATCTTCATACACGGACGGCGACCCTATTTAACAGGTCTTATGCATGATATTACGGACTTGTTCCATAGGATTGTTTTACACACATTATTGGTACTTGAACCTATTACCTAATATTTACCACTTTTGAACGTTGAAAAGCAGTGATTCTAGACAAAGGAAACGTGTTCTGCATTAATTTCAAAGAACAATTGACCATTGTTATAAGTAGTATTATTCAAATAAATCAGCAATGAATTTTTATCCAGCATTTAAAATTAAGCAATTATTATCTTTTTATAGAGTTAGAGCAATATGAGCAAAACACTTACTTTTTTAATGCGAACATTTGTGCAGCAGACCTCTTCCTTCCTCCGTGCATTTGAGAGCAAACTTTTTTCTGCAAATCTTACGGGGACGCCGGAACGTCGCCAGTTGGGGTGAGGCGGCAAATAATTAATATGTTCATAGTCACAGTTCGTAAAAAACAATTGATTTCAAAAGAAGGTGATCAGGAAGAACACGCATATATGATATTTCCTCCCCTCCCAATTTGTCGACATTCCAGCGTCCCTGGAAATATATATGTTGCAATAGTCGCATTTCACTCAGAAAAACTACCAAGAGAGTTTTCCATTAACACACAATGTGATTTAGCCGTGAGATTTATTTTCAAGTTTGATGTCGAAGCAAGTACGTATTTAACATATTTTACAATGGTTTACTTGTTCAGATTTCTTTTAGCAACTGTAATCAATGAAGTAGACTATTGCTTAAAAATTGGTGCGCTATGCGTACACATGAGTAGCCCAGCAAATTTTGTAGGTGATATTTACACTTAGGTTTGCACTGCAAAACTACAAACTTTATAGATATGCTACTTGCTATACAATAAAATGAGTCAAAACGTAAATCATAACGAAAATAACCATAACTAACAAAATAGGTACCGTATCAAACTACAGTTACTATAAAATTTAATATCATCTACAACCACCCAACCTCTAAGAATGAACCAAAAGTAGAAAAATTTACATTACTTTAACGAACTTAATGTTTTCAATGCAGTCCTAACTAAACTGAAGCACGCTTTATATATAATATGCAAGATATTATTTCAATTGCAAAAATTGCTAAGATTATCAAGTATGCACTGCGTGGAATTTTGTGCAAAAATATTCCAAAATAGATGGCAGAAGTCTATTTTGGACTACATCGACTATTTGCAGAACTTCTTTTCTAAATCAGAGAGCGAGGGAACTCTCTAATTTAGTTAGAATATTGCAAATACAAATGTATGTGAATATTTTAGTGTTAGTATGTTCTGGATATTTATACTTGATCTTCTACAAACACCGATCAAAGAATTGAAGACAAAGACTTTGTCTTTCTAAATAATGTTTAAACATTACCTTATGAAATGGCCATCATGAAAGGCTTGGCTGTGACCATGGTAGGCTAGGTTGGACCATGGTAGGCTTGGCTGTGACCATGGTAGGCTAGGTTGTGACCAAGGTGGGCTTGGCTCTGACCATGGTAGGCTTGGCTATGACCATAGCAGGCTAGGTTGTAACCGCGGTAGGCTACGTCGTCCTAACAGAAACACAAGCAACAAATTGTTCGATTAGATGGACAAAAACACACTTACAACCCTGACTTCCTTCTTCCTTTATCTTCTCGTCCTCCGCATCTAAAAAATACTGAACAACAAGTTAGTGGTATGACAAAACAAATAAAAGTAAAAGTAAAGAGCGAAACAGAAACATACCGCAGGCACAGTCCGCATCTGCTGCCGTGTGTAACTGTAGGAATAATTGTAAAATACAATCATGTGAAACTGTTGAAGTTCAAATATTTAGTAAAACCAGTGTTTGCAGAAGATCTTGTTAAAATTTCTGTCGAAACTCGTACTTCACGATAATTAGCAGAAGGCTTACAGCTGCATACATTTACAGAGAAGGCTTACTTCGATGTTGACACGAAATTGCTGTCAGATATTTCAAAAAACTTTCTCAAAAAATGTTTGTGTTCACTATGTTTAAACTGTGATAAAGACAATGTTATAACATCCCTCAATGTTATAACAGTGTTAACGTTGAAAACTTGTTTGACTGATACGGCAATCACTTCAAGTTCAAATAGACCAAATATAACTTAAAGATGATGCAATACTCTGCCAGCATATTGCAATTTCCTTCTGTAACTTTAATAAATGAACTGTAAATTAAATCTCATTTTAATGTTACATGCAAGATCCTAACATTTGAACGTTCACAAGAAGCACCTCCATATTAACATGTCAACAAGCATGTTAACTGATTTGTGCAAAATTCTATATCATTACTCAATGGGATGGAAGAGCTCTATGCAGGCAACACATCCCTTAAATCCCAAATCTTCCAATTATTGCTAACATCGATAGCAGGATATACAAATCGACCTAGAAATATGAAATAAAAGCATTATTTCAAAGAGGTGTGATTCTCTGCTGGTCAGTCCGTAAAAATTGATATCGAGGGCGAGGAAGGATGTTTTGTGTCAAAGGATAATCTAGTTCTTGTTTTGCAACATCTTGACATGGACTTTATAGTCTAGAAATATAGAATGGAGATATCATCGTATTAACGACTAAATATGTTCGTTATAAATGCATTAACAATTTGTATTTCCTACAGATATTCTTGGTACTTTAATATGCCCTTTTGAACGAATATTTCAGTATGAATGTTAAAAGTCATGGTTTTTGTTTTATTGATCCGTTCTTAATTTAAGAGTTTTGTGTAATATAACTCATTTCGCTGCCCTCTTTCTTCTTTACCGTCTGTGATTCTCAACAGTTCATGTCTTCTCCTTCGTCTTGCAAACGCTTATGGTAATACCACAGTAAAAAATACTTAAGTTCAAAAATTGAAATAAAGACTCAGCAAAGTGACGAAAGTTAATTAAACAAAGACATTTAACAAAGCATGGATGATTAGCATTGACGTAGACACATGCATTGGCAAGACTAAGCATAAACCGAATAATCAACAAATGGAAATTTCGTTTTGTCTGTCTGTTAGGTCTCACGAGAACGAAAAAAACGCGGTTTCTTACTCAACTTATCACTACAACTGAACATTTCCCACTTACGTTACTGCTAAAACTTGAGGTTTTCCACTTATGTATTTTACTTGTGGAAACCAGGCATTGATGACCCTAGTTTTTAACTGTAGACCAATAGGCATTACAGTTTACAAATACCAACTTTTTAAAACAATGCTACAACGTTAACCTTTCCATCACATCTTTAAAATCGTAATTTAGGTATTACCCCCACTAAGATCTTCCGATCAATTATCATTACCATCTTCTTTTGGAATTGACATAGAATTTCTCTTCAACCAAACTAACAACTGTGGAATAATTTCATCCATCTTACAGCCCATCTCTTCAAAATACACTGAGTGCATCATTTGACCTAACGTCATTACCAAGAGCTCCCCCCAACTTTTTATCAACACAGCGAAAGTTTTGACTTCGACAGCTAGACATCTTCTCGCGACGAATATCAATCAGAAAACAGCGTGCAGGCAAGCTGTTCAAAAATATTTATTTCCTATCCACCTACATGATCAGAGTATTTGATTGGTTCAAAGTGCAATGAAAAACAATACACTACAAAACTGATAAACCAATAGAGCGAAAGATATTGTTTCATAAACCAAATTTTAACACACATTCTTGTAGGTGGTGTGCGACCATTCCCCAGGGAGTAAGAGAACAATGATAAAGAAAATGCAAGTGAATCATCTAACAGAGTGGTCATGACGCAAATTACACACCAAAGGCTTTAATTGGTTAATCTCGAGATATTTATTGAGAATTACACGTGCAAATGAAAGATCTTTGATTATTTCGAAATTTACAGTACATTGTTCATGCTACATCCAGTCCAGAAAGCTCAAAGACAATTCGATTACATTACTTGCGTAAGCTTTTTGTTATTTTCATTAGCAAAACACATAATGGTTTTAACATAGTGGTTACCACAAAACACATAACGGTTTTAACATAGTGGTTACCACAAAACACATTACGGTTTTAACATAGTGGTTACCACAAAACACATAACGGTTTTAACATAGTGGTTACCACAAAACACATTGCGGTTTTAACATAGTGGTTACCACAAAACACATTACGATTTTAACATAGTGGTTACCACAAAACACATTGCGGTTTTAACATAGTGGTTACCACAAAACACATTACGGTTTTAACATAGTGATTACCACAAAACACATTACGGTTTTAACATAGTGATTACCACAAAACACATTACGGTTTTAACATAGTGGTTACCACAGAACACATTGCGGTTTTAACATAGTGGTTACCACAAAACACATTACGGTTTTAACATAGTTGTTACCACAAAACACATTACGGTTTTAACATAGTGGTTACCACAAAACACATAACGGTTTTAACATAGTGGTTACCACAAAACACATTACGGTTTTAACATAGTTGTTACCACAAAACACATTACGGTTTTAACATAGTGGTTACCACAAAACACATTGCGGTTTTAACATAGTGGTTACCACAAAACACATTACGGTTTTAACATAGTGGTTACCACAAAACACATTACGGTTTTAACATAGTGGTTACCACAAAACATTACGGTTTTAACATAGTGGTTACCACAAAACACATTACGGTTTTAACATAGTGGTTACCACAAAACACATTACGGTTTTAACATAGTGATTACCACAAAACACATTACGGTTTTAACATAGTGGTTACCACAAAACACATTGCGGTTTTAACATAGTGGTTACCACAAAACACATTACGGTTTTAACATAGTGGTTACCACAAAACACATTGCGGTTTTAACATAGTGGTTACCACAAAACACATTACGGTTTTAACATAGTGGTTACCACAAAACACATTGCGGTTTTAACATAGTGGTTACCACAAAACACATTACGGTTTTAACATAGTGGTTACCACAAAACACATTACGGTTTTAACATAGTGGTTACCACAAAACACATTACGGTTTTAACATAGTGATTACCACAAAACACATTACGGTTTTAACATAGTGGTTACCACAAAACACATTACGGTTTTAACATAGTGGTTACCACAAAACACATAACGGTTTTAACATAGTGATTACCACAAAACACATTGCGGTTTTAACATAGTGGTTACCACAAAACACATTACGGTTTTAACATAGTGGTTACCACAAAACACATTACGATTTTAACATAGTGGTTACCACAAAACACATTGCGGTTTTAACATAGTGGTTACCACAAAACACATTACGGTTTTAACATAGTGGTTACCACAAAACACATTACGGTTTTAACATAGTGGTTACCACAAAACACATAACGGTTTTAACATAGTGGTTACCACAAAACACATTACGGTTTTAACATAGTGATTACCACAAAACACATTACGGTTTTAACATAGTGGTTACCACAAAACACATTACGGTTTTAACATAGTGGTTACCACAAAACACATTACGGTTTTAACATAGTTGTTACCACAAAACACATTACGGTTTTAACATAGTGGTTACCACAAAACACATTACGGTTTTAACATAGTGATTACCACAAAACACATTACGGTTTTAACATAGTTGTTACCACAAAACACATTACGGTTTTAACATAGTGGTTACCACAAAACACATTACGGTTTTAACATAGTTGTTACCACAAAACACATTACGGTTTTAACATAGTGATTACCACAAAACACATTACGGTTTTAACATAGTGGTTACCACAAAACACATTACGGTTTTAACATAGTGGTTACCACAAAACACATTACGGTTTTAACATAGTTGTTACCACAAAACACATTACGGTTTTAACATAGTGATTACCACAAAACACATTACGGTTTTAACATAGTGGTTACCACAAAACACATTACGGTTTTAACATAGTTGTTACCACAAAACACATTACGGTTTTAACATAGTGATTACCACAAAACACATTACGGTTTTAACATAGTGATTACCACAAAACACATTACGGTTTTAACATAGTGGTTACCACAAAACACATTACGGTTTTAACATAGTGGTTACCACAAAACACATTACGGTTTTAACATAGTGATTACCACAAAACACATTACGGTTTTAACATAGTGATTACCACAAAACACATTACGGTTTTAACATAGTTAACATAGTGGTTACCACAAAACACATTACGGTTTTAACATAGTGATTACCACAAAACACATTACGGTTTTAACATAGTTGTTACCACAAAACACATTACGGTTTTAACATAGTGATTACCACAAAACACATTACGGTTTTAACATAGTTGTTACCACAAAACACATTACGGTTTTAACATAGTGATTACCACAAAACACATTACGGTTTTAACATATTTAACATAGTGGTTACCACAAAACACATTACGGTTTTAACATATTTAACATAGTGGTTACCACAAAACACATTACGGTTTTAACATATTTAACATAGTGGTTACCACAAAACACATTACGGTTTTAACATATTTAACATAGTGGTTACCACAAAACACATTACAGTTTTAACATATTTAACATAGTGGTTACCACAAAACACAATAAAATATCAAAAACTTCTTCCCCAATATACTCAAAATTCGATACCATACAATCTTCAAATCAAAATATTTTAATACATCATGAATACATGGTGAAGATGAGCCGATTGATTTGAAATGTACTGATTAAAAATAGTATTTTATCAAATGGTGAGTTTATTCAAAATGGCTTCAATTTTCCATAATTGTGCTGGAACTATCAGAGGGTAAGGGATTCTGATAAAGTATTTCCAAGGTTCGACTTTGTATTCACACAATGACGCCAACCCATAAGAATCCAAAACATGACAGTGAAATCAAGGATAATATATGACGGTATTAGGAATGGAGATAACATATGACATGACGTCATATAAAACAAAGTTAATGATGTCCTGAATAACATGCATAATGCATAACCTCAGCCGCCTTCATCTCTATCAACTTAAGTTTCGGCAGTGTACGCCGTCTTGTTTACTGATTGAGTATCCTTGATCTCTATGTCGGTATTTCTATCTACTTCATTGGAAGTCGATTTATGATCCTCTGAAATGCCAATGGAACCAGTGACGGAGTCAGATGCTCTAAAACATAGCACTTGTCATTGGTACATAACAGAATTGTTCCTGCCCGTTAAAATCATTATGAAAGACGATCTCCAACTTACTTCAGCTCACTATCAACCGAAGGATTTGAAATCACAAACATATCTTCTCTGCGTACAACCTCGCTGACGCCTTGTTCTAAAATTAAAATAAAATGTTGATAATAGTTTCAAAGCAGGAAGATGAATAATAAAGAAATTAGTATGAATCATGTTCCACAATGGAAATGTTCCCATACCAATTTACCTTCAGTTTCGGTGTTTTCAGAATCGCTGTTTTCAGAATCACTGTTTTCAGTATTCCTGGTTTCAGCATCATCTGTTTCTTTGTTTTTCTTCGTCATTATCGGTGAAGCCTGCACTACCTTAATCTCCGGTAACTGAACAGGCATAATTTTGGGTGCAGTTTCGTTGCCATCAACCGAAGAGAATGCTGCTTCAGACAAAACTTCAGTTGCAGGAACAGATGCAGTGATTTTCGATGTGACATCGTTGTCAGTAGAGTCATGCGTTTGCTTACGATTTCCTACATCCATTAAGCACTAGAGATCAGACATGATTAACATTTGACTACTATATGTTTTGAGATGAATAATCAGTATGACGTTTGTTGCCCACTGTAAGGTACGAAATGTCAAGACTGGTATTTTTCAAAAATGGTAAAGTTTTTAATTCTTAACTTAAAATATAAATGTAATATAGCGAATGGTTTGAGCCCGGAGTATCTCGTGAATGTAGATCGCCCAGGTTGGTGGAGTGCTTACATAAAAGACTGTTGGTGTTGACTGACGTTTCTACAACCTTAACGGTAGTCATCTTCAAAGTGATGATCAGAACTCCACTAGCCTGGAAGATCTACGTCTAAAAACATGATGATGAAAATGCAAACAAGCGCCACCTTTCAAGACTCTTTCCGAAAATCTCTTGCTTGAGACACGATTAAATGGTTGTACATTCGTAGTTACTTGTTCTTTCATGATTTCACATTCAGTTTTACCCCTGAAAAAAGAATATACTCTGCACTGTGGACTTGTACATGTGACATAATACGTAATACATACATAACATTTACAGTGTACAGATGTATAAATACCTGTAACTAAATCTCGATCCAAACTTCATTAGGGACTTTTTATCATCATTAACATTTATGTTTTCCAATCTAAATGAAGAAAACCGGTAAAAATATTTTGCCTCTACAAATTTATCTCTATTTGCCTCAACAACAATGTTAAATTCACCTGAAGAAAGTATGGTGTTCAACACAAATTTTCCAAAGACGTTTCGCCGCCACGCGACTAGCTAGTTTGAAACCAACGCTTGTTTTACAAAAGTCATCGTCCTAGATATTCCAGATTTCATGAGTTACGAACATTCGTTGATTTTTCAGTTGACTCAACTAGAAAGATTTGCGTACCAACCTCATCAACAGGTTTAATCTTGATGTAAAATTTTCTCGTTTTAAAACCAATACTGAGAATCTGTGGCCTACAATAAAACAGAAAGATTTCGTCTTTTATAATAAGTCTCACACAAGAAAGAAAGGTATATATTAAAAGTCTATACAAAGTGTATAACAATGTGCCCTCCCGGCTATCACCATAGTAAAATGGTGACTCCTGCCTATATGTACATAAATGTCTATAAATGTCATAAATTTCTATATGTACATAAAAATACAATGTGAAGTCTGATACGTACAACTCACCAAACAAAAGTAGACATAAGCTGATTTTCACGGTAAACAGTTAGACCAACATTAGAAACACCGATATAAACTTTCTCACTGTTTACATCAAGAGCAAGATGACGATGAACACCGTACATTGGTAATTTACGAATATTATCAAGAAAGTTCAACTCTGCTTGCTCTGGATTCATTCCTCTACATAAGTGTTAACGAAATTATTAACTGGTAATGATGACAATTATGCTTAACGACATGGAGAGAGATGACAATCTTTGGTGTAGTTGGTGATGATAGTTATGCTTAAAGACATGGAGAGAGATGACAATCTTTGGTGTAGTTGGTGATGATAGTTATGTTTAAAGACATGGAAAGAAATGACAATCTTTGGTTTATTTGGTAATGATTAGAGTCAAGCTTGAAGACATGAGGAGAGATGAAAATTTCCATGCATCAACTGGAGACAGAGAAATGAACACAGTACTTAATTTTATAAAACTAGTACTAAAACTGACTTGTGACTTTGATGATAATCTCGTATTTTCTTCTTCAACTCTACAGACTGAAACGAAATATATTTAACTAAATTCAGTATTTAATATGGCATTCTTTTTCTTCCGTGGGGTACTGAGATCATACACATCCAGTGTAGCCATACATGAATAATTTTACTATCAAAGATGCGTTGATCTGTGCTAAATGCTTTCCCCTGTTCCCAAATGTTGCAATTATCAAATCAGATTGTGGCTGCCTAAACTCACCAGAACTTGGTAATAAAAATTAACAAGTCTGGTCACACTGTACACATCGTCATTTTAGCCATTTCAAATTATTTTTTTAAACGTTTCCATAAAATGTCGCGAGAATCACGGAGTTATCACTACACGCAAATATCCAACTATGCACATGGTTTTTAATACTAAACCTCCCCAAGATTTGGGCTTTTCTTTACAATTGCATTGTTCCAGTGTGCGAATTAGTTCAGAAAAAACGATGTGCAATTTTTTTGACAAAAGTGTTTCTTTAGAGGCATAATCAAATCGATATTACGTTAATTATTATATAGCGCTAATTGCTAAATTAATATTTTTAAACGTGAACAAATTCATATGATTTACGACAGTGTTTTTCGTTAAAACCGCTGATTTTTGCACATCGTTTGAAAAAGTGATGTGCAATTGTTTTCATTTTAGCTAAAACGATGTGCAAATTGCACAAAGCACACCGTTAATTCGCACACTGCATTGTTCAAAATATTACAATACACAAAAACAACATTTCAAAGAGCTTCACTTCTATTGCAATGACTGAAAAGTACACTATAAAAGAATATGCATGACAATTGCTTCTCGTTACCTGATTTGGGCAAATTTCGAAGTCATCCAGATATCTTTCAGTAATGTCTGGTGAATCAGCGTCACCAAATTCTGCTACAGTTGAAAAATGATTTGAACCAGCAGTATTGTTACAATAAGTAGTCCAAGTGCACTTACTATAAACATGTAGGTTACAAGAGTATTACCAATACCTTGTGCAATAAATGATCCTAGTAACGCAGCAATTGGCATGGAGCACTCCAGCCTAAATAAGTAATTAAGAAGAATTAAATGATTTAAAAAAATTTCTTTAAAACAATGAAACTCACCTTCCGTTGAGAAGTGACTCTCGCAACTGAAGGACAAACTGATAACTACAATAAATTATGCACATGAGTAATAGCATCATATTTTGGGAACAGCATGATATTTTTATTTGTAAATGGTGTCTTTGGGATAATATTTGATTGAAATACAGCTTTGAACTTCTTGACAACAAAACTCCTCAAAACAGTCTGGCAGTCAAAAGCTTTTCTTTCAATAATAAGCGAATCAGATGGCATTGATGAAGTACAATTATGAAGGGCAAAGTGGTTTCAATGCTAACATATACTAAAGTCAAGCAGTAACATTATTCATAATTTACGATTTACAATACATTGTAAATTACCGTGTCAGATCACTTTTGATGTTTGTGGGATTAAAAGGGAAAAATTTGACAGCAAAATGAAGATAACAGTTTAAATTATCATTAGCGTCTAAAAAATAACACAAACTATTGTTAGGATGAATTGTAAATAAATTTAAACAAGATAATTAACAGCATAATTAAAAGGTTTTTATAGTATTTACAAATAAACACACTAGTGTGCATAATTGGAATGAAAATCTTTCATTGCATGCTTGTATATTAAACATACAGCATTGTATCGCATATTGACATGAAAGTAGCAATCAGCAACTTTTGAATCATAATTACGGTAATTGTATATACATGCTTTAGTTAAATATTGGACACTTTTTATTCATACTAAACAACATTATAATTGAACCTAGCTAAACTGATAATTTATATATTTACAGTGAAATAAGTATTTTACAACCCTACTTAGTTTCTTTGAAACTAATTTAGGAGGTAATGCTCTTTATAAGGTACCACATACAATAAATATTTATGAAGTGAATACATTATGCAATTGGATGCTAACCATCTTAAGAGACAGTGATTATGTTAAAGTTCTAGTGTTCAAATATTATTATATTACCTTTAGCAATCTGAGACTTTAGAGTTCGTTCATTGTCAATCCATTCAAACTGAAATCATACAAAAAAAGAGCAATGAACTATACACGACTTTAAAGGATTTCAAAACTTAGTAACATATACCTCTCCATCTTTCTTGTTCACAGACCGAAGTCCAAAATACTCCACCTCATCCACTAAACCAACTTCCTTACAAGCACTTTTAAAAATATCTTTGCCTAAAGTTTGCTTCTAAAACAATAATAAAATTTGTCATTTATGTAAAAATATATAAACTGCACAAGACGTTTTTGATTTGGATATTTATTTCCGAAAGATTTTTATATAGCAACAAAGAAAACGCAATGTCCTGTTTGATCGTTCAAGTAACGAGGGCAATAAAATATTAATTTCTTTTTGCCTCATTAAATATTCCCATGATTGTTATTCTCAATGAAAGTTTGTGGTTAAAATGTGCTAATAATAATATTTCTGCACATATATTTTCCACACCTAAGATATTGAAAACAACTATGACCATTTAAAATACATCTGTTTTTCAATGTTTCACATTAAAAAGCAAACCAAAGATGATTCTATATCAACATTAAAGAAGAAATTCGTCACACTACAGTATAAATTGCAGTGACCTTCGTAGTAAAAAAAGAAGCAAAGCTTTGATAGGCAATAAACAGGGAGAATGTTTAACTCAAACAATTCAGTTTCGAATATATTTTTGTTCAAGCAGTCGTTTGGAAAATTAACAATAGCCTAAGACTAAAGAACAACAGATATAAAGTAGCAAAGCTAAAGTACATCTCTCATTTCAAATTTTCTTCAAGCAATGCTGACTACAAATGCAAACGCCAAAAATATTAATCATATACATATCTTTAATTATTTAACAAGAAACGATTGACCCGTTTCAAGTCTTCTTTTTTTATGCAATGCAAACGCTTACTTACTCGCAAATTCTGCACTTGAAATTGCCCTCCATCAAGAAGTATGACAACGATATTCATACTGATATATTGAAAGAAATTTGCAGCAGATAATAACGAAGGATTAAAACTCTTGTTTGTAAAACACTTCTTCAAACTGGCGACATTATCACACAAACTTTTACAAACCAAAACACGAACTCAGTCCCCAGGAAAAGACGCACAATCTGCACTTCTTCGTGTGATCCAATTTTTTCAATATCTTAGTCATTGTTTGAGTTTCTATCATATATTTATGCAATTATATAAACTCTAATAAAAATAATATGTACGAGCTAAATATTATTTACGAACAATATTTCACATTTCAGGTGGTATTATGATAAACTTTAGTCTTTTTCCACCAATCATCAAGACCAAATACATCAATAGCTTCGTAGAACATTTGCCACCATAATGAGATGGTATCCTCACGTCTAGAAATAAGAGACAAGCTCAATGCTTTACTTACGTTGAAGTGAAGTGGATGAAACAGAATAAATTTTACAGCCAATCCAAAGATAACAAATACGTATTTGTTAATCTAGTAAATGCTTTTTACAAGTGTCCACAAGTGGCTTAAAGGCAGAGTCAATTTTTTTAAAGACGTGCCTTGCGTATTGTGTTGAAATTCACAAAACAGCACGCAGTAATACTTACACAGTATTTTAAATTGACATGGGATTATTTTTAATTTGTCCTTATATTGCAAAATATTTAAGTTCAAAATACGCAATCTTTTGGCGTGTGAATTATTTTTGAAAAAATGCTGACATATTTGAGCAAATAGTGCCATGGCAAATACAGTCCCATTAGTTTTTCTTGTAATTTGGAAGTAACGTGCAGTCGAAGAAGTGCTTCATTCTGTTGATAACAAATACTTGAAGCGAACGCAAACATCGAGGTGGATGGACACAAAGTCATGACAATGAATCTAAACACCAGTCTACTTTATTTCGTGTCCGTGTATTTACCAGGATAACCAAATGTACGCATTCATATCATTTTTTCTACTTATTATGAGTAATTCAGCTTTGAAATCCAGAGAAATTTGCCATCTATATCACGAGAACACTGACATTTTTCATTAAAGTGAATTCGGGAAAAAATATTGATAATTTACTCACTTTAAAAGGGGTCCTGAAAACATCGCCGCTTCTTTTCTTGATGGTCGCTTCTTAACTTCCCACGGCTTGCGTATTACACCAAATCCAGCAAAATGATACGCTGTACAAACAAAAAGTCGTCCATCACAACTATTAATAATAAATGATTACGTCATTTTGACAAACCTTTCATTGGATAGTATAAGCTTTCATCGACTTTGTAGGATCGAACAAGAGGACTCCAAATGCCCTTCAAAGGATAGAAAGAAAGTCGCCAAACATTGTAGGCATAAGGTAGCGGATTCCATCGTCCTAGGAAGAAATTCTTATTTCAGAATGTATCTGCGAAAAAATTCAAACATCAGCTGATTCAAGCGACTCTTTGCATTTAAGCATTTAAGCGACTCTTTGCATCGGCAGCAAAAACTGAATTTTATATTCACGTTGTTTCGAAGGCAACGTTTTGTAAGAAAGCAACTTTTTATGCACGAACCACAAAGCAACAAATAGCAACAAAAGAACACGGCCCGTTTGCCCAGTAAAAATGTTAACGTCGTTTCTAAGCAACATCAAAACAAGTCATGTACGTGTTTGATTTGTTGGTCTAGTTAACGGTATCTGATACAGACATACGCACCATAAAATTGAAAGGAAAGTTGTTGACGATGTAGTATTAAATATGTTTTATTTAAACTATGTTCATCAATCCTCTTTATTTCATGTATTTACCATGCTCCCTCATGTACGCATCGCGTGCCAACCTTTTTACCTTGAAAAGCAAAATAATACCACAACACTCTCTGATCGTGAGGACACCCGATGGCATCAGTCATCTCCTGGAAACATTGAACCGATAGATTTGCATTGGTGGATAAAAAGGTACAAAGGTGGATAAAACAGCACAGACTTAGGTCATGCTAGCGTGTACCTTCCACGTTTTGATGATTTCTTTGTACACTTTCTTTGATGGTCTATTTGTATGAAAAGAACACAAGCGTTGTTGTTAATGATACAAATTTGTCGTTACAAACTTGTTCATATAATGCAATACCTGAAAACAAGAATTCCTGCATTGAAACAAGTATCGAAAATTCCCTGGATAAAACAGATTTCAACGGTTAGAAAATTTCATAATCTTCATGAAACACGTGTTTCGTAACCGTACAGGTTGTCGATGATACACTGCCGAAAACTCCGATGGGATGTCAAAGAGCTGTAAAATAAATATCGACAAAAAAGTTCGATTAAAAAAAAGAAAAATAAAACGTCATGCTTCGTTTTACATACTTCATCAATGCTCACTAGAGGTAAAAAATCTGTGTCCACATAAATAATCTATAAAAATAAAAAATAAAGACTGTTTGAACTTTACTTGTGTTTATTCGATTGAATTGTCTATCTGATATCTGCTCAATATTATTTAAGTCGAGCAAAATATTGTTTCATGTAAAATTTAATGGCTGCGACTACCTACTTAATCTATAAGAGAATAATCATATAGGGGGTGGGGTGGTGTTGAGGGGGTGAGAATAGAAAATACTCTTTTATGTAATGGTCAGCTTCATATTGACATGAGAAGTGAGAAGCGACCCTTACTACAAAAGCTTTCAAAATCTTTAAATTCTTTGCTACCAGAAGATTAAAACAAACATGAAACGATATGGAATCACCTTTTCATATTGCTCCATTTTCCAGGCGTGAAAGCGAGTATGTGTACCAGGTATACCTATTATTCACACAATATAATTTAAGCCTTTTTTTTTACTAAAACCAACCGCAGAAATTAAATTTAAGGATAGTAATCAACCTGTGTTTTTTGGAGGAATTCCTCTCATTTGATCCATCCAGTTACAATCGAGACCTTGAACATCGACAATGTTATAACCAACCTGCATAACACATGGTGTTTGTCAATCATTTTATAACCGTGGCTACAGTTTTTTTCTGAGAAAGTCGAACAGACCTTCGCCAGAACATTCCGGGTTTTCCTTGAGAGATCTTTTGTCACAAGTGCTGTAAGCTTTCTATCAACAAAAAAAAACAAGATCATTTTTGTACGTTTACCGTTTGGATTACATGGAATAAATCTAGTGACGTAACCATAATGCAAAAATACACAAATTGTTGATTTTGAATAAACCTTGAACATACTTTATGTGTACATTGGTCAATACTTACCTAAACACAACTTTGCCTGTTTAGACCTTTTCCTATGGTTAAACTTTTCATTTTTGGTTTGTACGAAATAACTAGAGACTCGTTGGCCATTTAAGAAAGATAAATTCCCATTTAATAAAAAAATATAATATTTTCCAATCTTCAATGTCGGGAAATCAGCCCCAATTGATTGATTTGTTTATTAATTACAGATACTACCGTTAACCACGAATTCAAAACAATATTTAAAAGTATGTTAATCAATCAGTGAACTTCGAAAAAAAAATGAAATCATGACTGCGGTTTACGCGGCCTGATGTGGTCACTAACGTGAATTTTTGTATAAAATTTCTGCCAAGATCAAATAAGTATTCTCGTTCAAACCTTTGACATGAAAATCTCCGTAATATATAGCCAAGTGTAACAGCACCAGTAGCCAGATCGTCGTTGTTCTACAAAGAGAAATACCAGTGGGAAGCTATATTGCAAAGAATATCACAAAAGACAATTCTCACTAACCAACGTGATCAGCCAAGTGACATTATTTCTGCTGGGAACGTCCTAAGTAAAAGATTTTACGACGATCATTCAAGAGTTGTCCTACAAAATATAAAAATTATATTCTCAAACACACCTGGCACCACTGAGACATGTACTTCTTTTGAAAAACGTGCAAATTCCAAAGGGTCTAGGAAAGAAAAAGTACGTAAGATTTTAACGTATTTCCTTCTAAGCAACATTAAATCTCGACATGAAGTTTGAAAGAAGTTTAATTTTATAAAATATTTGAAGCGTAGGGAGGGATACTTTACATGAGCTTCTTGCAACATAATGTCGTAATAATGTTGATTATCTTGCTTCAATAGAAACAAGATGATTTTCATGTACGCGATGCCATAGTTAAACACTTCAAAAACACGTAAATAACGAAGAACGACGAAGAGGAAAATGACGAAAACGAAGTAGAAAAACACACGTTTATAGGAATAAGTTTTGCTCGGTAACCATCTAAGAAAGAGAGAATGATGATAAATTGATTAATTCGACGAATAGTTATTAATGTAAACTCCTAAATAGAAGAACACAAAAAATACTACACCTATCAAGTCTTTTTTGTAGTCCATGTCGTATTGATGGCTGTAATGTCAGCATAACTAGACGATTACAATGAACTTTTGGTTAAATCTAAATGATGGCTTATAAAAATAGTGGCAACTTAGCATTATCGACATTAAATGTTAAGCGAGAACATGTGGTTAACCATCATAACCACGGCAGCTGGCACATTAAAAATGATGGATTTAATTTACGAAGACTTTCTGTCTCATATGGAATTCTATGAAAATGCCACATGAGCAGCCTGACGGAAGTCCGCCGACATTGAAATGGAGCAATATATACACGTCACAAATATGATACAACACGTTCAAACAATTTTCCGACTTAGGCAAAAACGCATGACTATTGTTACAAAAACAATAATAAAAGCAACGTTGTTCAAATTATTGTGGATAAATTGAACATACTAACTACAAAACAATTTAGATCGTGGCAAAGCTTGTATCATATTCCAAGTGAAGTTGATTTTGCTTCACAAGATATCTCCTTGTGTATGCTTGTTTAGACATTCCATTGATCTTATTGTACAGCTGCTTACAATAAATATTCACAAGATGATCTTGAGTATAAACTGATGGCATATCTTTTGTTTTTGTATTCATCGATTGCGGATGAAGTAAAAGCAATAGTCGGCTATTGTTATAAGCCAATAACTTGAATACCTCTTTAACATTCCGGCGATCAACCGTCCAAATTCTTTCTTGTTTTGTTCGGTGCACCAAGTGTAAAGTATCTAAAACAATAGCTCAGAACAAATGATCATGGAGGAGTGAGGAGGAGCACTCGAGTCGACAAAAAAACACGAACTAACACAAAACACGCAAACAGCTTGAGATTACCGTCATTTGTAAGCGGATACCTAATATAAACAAAATGAAGGTTTAATATTAAATAACACAAATTATCGTTTAAATAACAGAGAACGACATGGGAAACTCAGAAATTAAAACATTTTTGTAGTTCTGTTTAAACTATTACTTTTAATACTATAGAAGTCAATAAGTCTTTGAGAAACTATATATAGCAGGGCAATAATCTGTGTATTGAATGGCAGCAATATAATCTCGTGGAAAAAAGTTTCATTGTCATTTATGGTATGCGAATTTAATTGTCATATCGAGGAAACTTCATTTAAGCTGCCAGGCACAATTCTTAAGTGACGTAATGTCATCACAACTTGACACAACAACATAACACTTGCGTTCTGTGTATTCAATCGTAGACTACTCAGCTGATCTCCATGGCATCTGAACTGCTCGCTCCAGAATCTTTTTTTATCATTTCCAACATAGCAGATGTCTCTGAGTTGGAACGAAGTTGTGATATAAACTCGTTCAAAAGAGGGCTCGTTTCTAGAGTGAACACGTGATCATATAGTAAAGTGATATTATTATATTGTTTCGAGCACGCCATATATTGGATTTCGTATATAAGAATATAATTCGGCAAAGGAAGAAACTTACTGCTGTCAGGAATGTTCAGTAAAGCTACAGTTGCTCTTAAAGCTGATCTTTTGAGTTCATCTTGTTTTTCAAACTCTTGTTTCACGGAGTTTGCTTTCACTTTGAGCTGTATTGTATTTCTCAACGGTTCAATAAGCGAGCTGAGATCTTGCGAAATGGAAACATTGAATGTTTATTAGCGAAATGGAAACATTGAATGTTTATTAGCGAAATGGAAACATTGAATGTTCATTAGCGAAATGTAAACATTGAATGTTCATTAGCGAAATGTAAACATTGAATGTTTATTAGCGAAATGGAAACATTGAATGTTTATTAGCGAAATGGAAACATTGAATATTTATTAGCGAAATGGAAACATTGAATGTTTATTAAATGTTTGTGAGTGTTGTTGTGTGATTTTAACCAAAGCCACAAGGGTGCGATGTGTGCATACCTCTAGCTATGGTTAGAATCATATAACAACATCCACAAACAAGACACCAAAATCAAACCAAACTAGACTGACATCTTGTAAAAACTAGAGCACTCCACCCCTCCCCCCAATAAATTATTCTGGATCTATCCCTGAGAAGACTTACGTTGCAACACCGCATTTGGACATAGCTTGGCAAGTCGAACCAGCATTAAATAGGTCAACATCTAAAATCAATTGAATAAATTTTGAATTCAATGCGACATGGCGAATACTCGCAAAATATAACGAAAATACAAACCTTGATGTCATAATGGTCTTTCAAACCATCTTCAACATGAGTTAGGAATTCAAATATATCAATTTTATCAAGACAGGTTTCAAGTAATGTGTACATACACTCGAATGCAGCCTGTAAAAATGTCAAGAAAAGAATGAGTTGAAAATACTAAGATAGCGCTAATGCGACTTCACAGTCCCATCTATCGTTGGTTTTCTAAATCGCACACCCGCAATTAGGATGCGGAGGACACAAGTTGACATTGAAAACCTGTTTGAAAGCCTTTTTGCAAAAATACTTTCCAAAACTAAATTATGAAGTGTAAATCAATAATGCGCTTGTTTTTGATGCACTTGAAAATACTAAATAGTTAATGCAGAAAAAAGCATTAGCCTAACGTCTTTGAGCCTTAACGTATACAAAGTATGACAAACAAGGACCTTTCTTATATCGAGGCCATCATCAACCGTGTGTCTGAAAGGTCCCATCTCAACTTCACGAACAAGTTCTTTCTTTAGAAGCAAAATATAGACAGTATATTAACAAAGTTTAATAGATAAGCATCTAAGAATGTAAAAAAAAGCCGTTCTTACTCTGACTTTTGTTTCACTATAAAGTTGAGGAAGTATGGCCTCTAGAAGATCTCGGATCAAAGAAGGTTTATTATGGGCAGCAGAATTGAATGTAACCAAGGCAACGCGACGCACATTCTTAAAAATGAGCAATGTATCAAGCAACGTATCTTTTAACAATGTAGTCAAATTGGTAAAGGTTGTCGTTTGCAACATGGATGTGTAACTCTACCATATTGACCAGTAAAGGTCATTTGAAATGTTGCAATCAATAACAGAAAAGCTCATACCATCCAGAAATGAAAACTAGAAAAGTTTATGATGTACTATACTTACCAAGTCTTCGTCCTGCACAGTTTTTAAAAAATCTCCAATACAAATTTTCAATAACGGATCGATTGGCTGTGGCTGAAACACGAAGTACAAAATTAACTATGATCACAAGTAAAAAAAAAATTAAAAGTATGAGTAAACAATAATTCTCATAACACAATGCCAGATTTACTTGATCAGAAATTGTAAATTTGATGGCAGTAACTACGGTACTCCTGGATTGCGGCGACGACGATGAAAGGTAAGACTATACAATAAAAGAAGATTTTGAAAAACTCCATTATACGCTTAAGTTACAAAAAGAAAGTTACCCGAAGTTGATCAAGCAGCGTTGCAGGATCTATTAAGGTTAGTTTCCCAAGGCATTCGGCGACGACATTTCTTGTCCCTTCTTCCTTACTCTCACAATGATTAAATAATACAGTCCTAAAGAGAACGAGGACTTCAATACATGAAATATTTAGGTAAGAGATCTTCAAAGAGTCGCGAAGTGATGTTAAAAAGATTGGGAAGAGACTTTGAGATGATCATGAAGAGATCTTGAAATGAAAGTGAAGTGATCTAGAGCTGATTTTAAAAACTTCCTGAAATGATCGTGATGATATCATGATCATAAAAAAACTTTGAGATGAATGTAGTTGACGTTATAAGAAACTTTTCCACGAGTCCTAGTTTAATAAGTAATAACTTCTGTTTTTTGACTTACAATTTACGCAAACCTTAAACATATTTTATACATTTTCCATCCATTCAATTCATAACTTTCACAATACAACTCTCTCATTTACTTTTGCTTAGTGAATCATTAGCTGAGCAGGCATTGCCACTCATAAGATAGTGCAAAGTTTCTACGAAATATCGTAATAAAAAAGATAAAGAATAATGACTAAACATACATTAACAAAGTCCTTACCAAATTGTATTAATATATGGTTTTAGTGCTTTAACATGTTTCGAAGTCATTGATTGACAACTGATCACCTAAACAACATTCACAATAACTAATATTAATCTTGAATGCAACGTATTTCAAAATAAATGAAACACAACAAAAGGGTGTAAGAACTCCCCACGTCAGCCATTACTTTAGTCAGTTGTAGGGAGGTCAACAACTAAAATGACATGACGCATATTTCTTAAGTCTAAATATTCTCGGGTTTCCATTAGAACGAGCCTGAATCAAATGGCGGGAACAACTGCAACCAATATACAGGAGGGAAATAACCATCAGACATGAATGGCACTTCTGTATAATCATTATACTGTGAAAATAGTGATGCAGACCTCTTTTAAAGAATGAAGTAAAAGATACTGCTTTTTCGGTGAAGCCTCGATCTCGTTGAGTAAGAAAGGCATGTACTTGTCAAGTTTTCCCGATGCAATACTTCCTACAAAACAAAGGTAACAAATTAAAAAAAATTAGACACGTGGCTGAACGAGTGAGTAAACTGCTATACATACCAAGCGCAAATGCAGCAGCAGATTTCACTTCATTAGATGGAGACATGAAACAATTGAGAATTGAGCATTCCAGATCTGTTTGCTCGCTCAGATCTCTGATAAATACAAGGTTATCAAAGATGATCATTGTGAATTATTATCAAAAGACATGCAACGATATCCCTTATTTAGCTACTTACACATGTTTTCCAACCTCTCCAAGAGCCAATAAGGAAAATATTCGAACTGAATTTGCTGGTTTCGTGGACTTAAATAAAAAAATTATCGTAAAGCAAAGATAAAGAAATTTACAGGATTCAATAAAAGATCGTTACATTGATATCTTTAACGAAGCGACCAATGAGAAAATGGCCTTCACTGATACAGGCGACAATCAGAGCTGAAACACATTTCGCGATGGAATGAAGAGCCTAAATATTAATAACACAAAGTAGGTTATAGCCTGTTCATACAGTGACGAATTTCATTATCATACCTGTTTATGCACTGTAGCATCAGGATTCTCGTTATAGATTGGTGTCACCATCATCTATAGAAATAACAAAGAATAGATGAATTTCGGCATCGATAAGAACGTTTGTGATCGTCATAAAGTTCATAGTTCAGTTATGTACGTAGTTCAGTTCTCACAACCGTTCTATTCCATGTAAAAGATCAAACAGTATAACGATAATGATTACAAGTACGCGAATCACTAACCTGAAAAAGATCATTAAACCCAACACGAAAAACTCTCGATTGGACGATTTCCGCGAGTAAATTTAACATTGCAGTAAGAGCACCCCCTAAAGACGATATGTATAGATGTTGAATAATTAATTCAGCAGCAAGTATAATATGCAAAAAACCATCAACGTCCCCGTTTCAAAAGGAGAAAACGCAACGAAATACCTTGTAAGAGCGGAGAGCGAACAAGATTCACAACGCTGGGTACAATACGGTCATGAACCTATACATGATAAACATAAAGAGTTTCGTTCGAAGAAATAAAAAAACCCAGCATAAACGGTTCCCTTGTGATTTCCACGTCGAAAATTACATTAAAAAGACAATGAAAAAGATAAGAACAAGAAAAGTACAACGGACCTGTACAAGATTCTGTCGATGAAGTTTAGCCACTGATGTCAAGAGTAAAAGCGCTCTCTATAAAAGAATGAATTGTTGTAAATTAATCAGGAATGACATGCAGTGCCTATTACGAGCAATGATACCTGAGAAATATGAAGATCGGTTTCGTTGATTAAAGGTGGAATTTCGGCAAGTACGCCATTGATATCAACAGAATCAATATTAAATCCTTTAAGAATATTAAAACTGGTAAAAATCAATAATAAAAGAAAATAGGTGCATAAATATTTTCGTACCATAGCTCGTTATGAGAACATCCAATGCATTGAGTGTCGTTAACTTTAAAGCACGATTGTTCTTTCTTAGGAACGATGCCAATACGGGCATGGTCTCAGGCTACATGTGAGAGATGAAATATAGTTACTACAACAAACACAACAGGAGGATTCAAGATACATACACATACATATGACTAACACTCACCAATATTATTGAAAGATCAATATTCAAAGGAGACCTATGAATTATAGCAGTTGATGATTACTAAATACATATAAAAAAATAATAAAATCACCATAAAATCAACTGCCTACCGAGAAATTAAGGTAAGCGCTTTAACGGCAGTAAGTCTGGTGATTTCATTACGCAATCGCTCTAGTAAAATGGGCAAACACGTGTGCAATTCTGACGAAAGTTCATCACCAAAACTGTGTAGTATCTGTCCCCTAAAAGAAAGAAAAACCACAGTTGCATAACTTTCATCGCGCGGCCAATTGCACATCAGATCTCCAGAAATATATTTTGACATGTGTGCATAATCAACAGTCTTAGAACAGTTTAATGGCACGGTAAAGTTAACATACATGCACGATATGGCTCTTTCTTTGACTTCCTGGTCAATGTCAGCAGCCTTCAGACGTTGCAAAGTACAAAAATATATTTCTTTAACATATGGTTTGTATTCAAAGCTTGTCTCGTCATTAAATGGTCTGATAACAACAACAAGTTCTTGGAGAACAAGCAATGCCTCAGACGTAATCTTGTAAAATGAATCGCCAACAGCATCAATGACAGGCTGCAATGAACAAGGATACATTTAAAGCCTCTTCACCGGAAAATCGTGTCCTCCCCCCCCCGAGGAAAAAATACTCACAGGAAGCAACACGGCGATATGTGGATGAAACACGGAGGGTGAGTGTTGAGATACGATAACACTTAAAAATGTCAGCGTGTCAATCTTCATGTTTGATGTCGAGTTTTTGTCCCTGAAACCAACAATAACGAACTAGTGGTAACATACGCTTTGTTAAAGTACCAACACATCCCACAAAGTATCTACTTGTACACTTATACATCGTACAAATAACCAAGCAACATAAACAAGAAGAAAAGTACTGCGGAACATAAACATCTCACACGGTAATGACGAGTTGGAAAGGTGTTGGTGAGCTTCTTGAACACAAAGTGGTACACTATCTAATTTTAAAAATCTGAAACGGTTTAAAATCTTTTTTGTAATATCAAACAGCTAAGCATATTGTAAATGAATAGCTCAGTACAGAAGTCAACAAACATCCATTAATGTACCCGGACTACTATCAATTTGAAAAAGTAATATACCCTAGTGAATACTGAATTCCAGGAACAATAGCAGAGATATGATTAGATAACGCTCCAGGTAATACGTTGACAAGCTCAGTGAGAAGGGCGAAACAGCCCTAAGAAAAAAGTAGTACGTAAGGTTAGTGAAGAGGGAAGATTTCAAGAAAGAGAGATGTGAATAAAATAAGACAGTAAAGTATGACTAAAAACTACAGACTGCAAAGAAAAGGAGAGAACAAAAGTTTAGGTAAAACAGGAATGAATCACACAGCGACACAAAGTAGGTAGCACTATAAAATGTTAGACAACACCTGTCTCGTTTTAAAACTTTTCTCTCGTAGCTGCCGATGAATTGCTTTAACTATCGCAGGAATCTGAGCCTGCAGGAGGGTAAGCGGTCTACAAAAAATAGCACGACAATTTCTCAGCAAGAAGGAAAACAACAAACGTTTATAGAGATCGCTACCTGTTTTCTTCCTCCATTGCATCAGAGTCATACGTCGTTGTAGTGATAGGTCTAGTCTGACGTAATAAAGCTCTGTAAGCATTGAATACATCACACTTTACACTGTCCTCTCTCTCTACAAAGTCAACGTTAAATGTCATTAACATGTGTATGTCACTCTCTCCTCCCCTCGTGACAGAGGAAAAATCTCCCTAGTATATTGGCTGTAGAATGTTTCCTATCGTTTAAATCATTAATCATAAACCGTAATAACATCACTACCACCCTTTCTTACCATGAAGATACATACATATCCTCGTGTATGCTGACAATAGAAAATTGGCTATCGTTCAAATTATCAATAAAAACTCTAAGCTATTTGAATTTCTACAATTTTCAAACGAGGACAAGTCTCGATATCAAAGACAATGCCCACCTTTGAAGCGTCCAATGAGAGCAGGAGAAATGGTTTTATAAAACTCGGCAAGAAGTTCTGGTCGGGATCCTAAGACAGCAGCTAGACATTTCGCTGAAGCACGACGTACCTAAACATTTCAAACAAGAACACGAAATTAGGGAAAGTGGAAATGAGTAAAACTATAGGAACATAACAATAATGAGACTAGCACCTTCCAACTCATATCATCATCGTCACTATATTCCTCATCATCAGAACTAGAAAGCATATAGATGAATAATTCATATATTTTACGGAGATTGTTGAACAAAATGATGACTCTGTAATCTTTCATTACCCATCATCATCTTCGATGTCATCTGTATCCATACTGTCTTCATCTTCATCGTCACTACCATAGTTGTAGTTAGGGTCAAAACATATAAACTCCAAGCATAATTCACTGATCTACATTCAAAAAACAATATTTTGTTGAGTCAAAAGAAATCTAAGTAAGCTGCAGTTCATTAAATATGTATTACCTTTGAAACGTGTGACGTCACTTCTTTAGGACAACGTGTAACAAACGATTCAAAAGCCTAATTAATGTTGAACACATATATGTGAATAAAGGCTTTATACAAACATGCAACAACACAAAAAATCAAAGCAAATTCGTGAGATTTCAGGCAAATGTCCGTCGAGACAATTAAATCTGCAAACTACATAACACAACTGTACATTGAGCTCTTTTACGCTTTCACAAATCAATTGAAAACACCTAACCTGAATACAATATTCTCGAAGCTCGTCATCACCATCAATCTTTGCATATTTCACAATCAATGGGATAATTTTTTCTAAATGTTCTCCAAACCTGTGTCCAGCTTGACGACTAAAACATCGTAATATAAAGTCAGATGCACAATGAGATAATTGCAATCAAATGTGACAATTGGAAAAACACCAACTCACCACAGGGAGCCCAAGCATTGAATATATGTTCTTGTTGTTGATGGTGATTCATTTTTGTTGAGTTGTTTCATCAATGAATCAATCAATTCAACAAATAAATTATTGTTTGCACTAGTGACAAGATATCCTAAAACAAAAATAAATTATTGTTTGCACTAGTGACAAGATATCCTAAAACTAAAATAAATTATTGTTTGTACTAGTGACAAGATATCCTAAAACAAAAATAAATCCTTTACTGACAACAATACACATATGCATAAAACTATTGATAAATATACAAGTAAATTGTCACCTAAAGCTATGATGGATCTTTTTCTAACCGCAAGTCTTGCACTCTTTAGTTGTGTGAATAACGACTGTTCAATGGACTGATGAAAAGACACCAGCAATCCTGGTAATGTGCAGAAAAATAAGGCACAACAAAAAATGTAATGATATTAAGGTGATCAATTACTTTCATCTTTACCTCCATATTTACTAAGCAAATCTCCAAGTATGTCCAATGCCTCCAACAGCACAGAAACATCTGAACTCTGAAACAAAGACAACAAACAAGCCTTTTGACTTATGAAACATGCACAATGTTTTTTGAGGGCTTCAAAACAAGTGCTAAAATGAGGAAAATATAGAAATTTTGTGTGGCTATGAAGTCTATGTATTTTGTTTAAGTAGAATTAAGATACAGTATCCATTAATTTTTAATCATTCTTAAATCTTAATGATTGGTTGCAAACTAGATGTGAATATGGGAGAATATATACAGTTCAAATGACAATACTGTTACTTTTGCCATGGTATCACAGGCAAGTACAGAAGGTTAATGACAAGAATAATTGACTTCGCTTCTATTAAAGTTTATGTATTTGGTGGAAAACATCCAACAATAACAAGTACATAATAATCAGGAATGGATTAAGGGCAGGGGTGTAGGAAGGGTGTTGATTTCCCTACAAAATACTAATGCATCAAACAATTTCGCAAAAGCAACTGTGACTTGTGTTTCTTGGAGCTCCCAAAAATCCCCTTGCAATCATTTTCTCTATGCCTTGTTGCAGTGGTTTCCATACTACCTGTGTGCATTAGTGTCTTGACTGGAACTTGGTAGGTGTCCAGTTGAGAATGATGTATGGAAAAACTGAGCCTGACACCAAAGTAAACATTGTATATTACCTTCAAAACTGATACAGTAAGTCTCCCAGTTATTCGCTTTGCTATATTTGAAGCAAGAGGTGACGACGATGCAGTAGGAAGTTCACAAATCACTGTTTTCAAGCCTGCAAACAAATAAAAATGAAACCAAGAAACCAGACATATGCACTTGAAGGCACAAAGGTAACAGTAGCTGAAACAATCTTCTAAACATTACCAATGCTAGATATATCTCTGAGTTGTTCATTTGTTGACATCATATTTGAACACAATTTATCAACAATAGTTTCAACATGATATTCTTTAATTTTACCAACAAGTGGGCCAAGACTGGTGGAAATTATATGGTTAAATGTTAGTTCATTGTTGACAAAAACACCAGCAGTTATCAAACATCATATAAACATACCATTTAACCGTAAGATTTTGAACTTCTCCATTTTTATCTTCCAATAGTTTCAATAACATGTTTACCACCTTTTAAAGAACTCTCATCACTGAGGGCATTGATAATAATCAAGAAGGCATTTCAACATACAGTATATAATACCTTGCGCTCGCTGTCATCATCAAGTTTGATTGAATCTTTTTGCAGTTCAGCCATCAAATCATTAATGGCCATAAAACGAAAATCTTTGTCATTAGACGTCATCTTGTAAAGAAACACATCAACCTCAATAATTACAGTTGCAGGCATGCAGCTATGTAGGACAAATTGTCAAAATGCTAAACAATGAATTGTTTTGATTTTCATTTGCTGGTTGGTGTTTTAACTGTACTGAAAAGCAGAATAAAATACTGAAGGTACAATCATAGCATAGACAAAAAAAATGGCAATACTTTCATAGTTGTTAAAACATTGAAAAATTGTATTATTGTTATAATGTCAAAATGTACACTCATTTTTACTGTTTAAACATTTTAACAATTGGGACTGCCTATACCTTGTCCAACAAAGACGAAATATGGTAGGGAGATGCTGCCATTTCGCTTTCCAAAGGATTTTCTTTTTAACAAGTTTGCAAGGTGACAGTCAAAAATCCAACAGACGATAAGAATGATAAGATGACTGCATTGGATGACTGCAACACGACTGGGCGCACATGTGTAGACTGGGTCAAAGTAAAACACAAATGTTTGCCACTGCCGCAACGGAGCTACGATGTTAGTGGATCTTAGCAAGAGTCAGTATATAAGTGTTTTAGGATATACACGTTGCTGTCCCTAGTTCGACTTAAATAAGTATCAGTTCTACTTAAAAAGTTTCCACATGAAGATACATGTGAATATACTGGGTTGATAACTTTTGTCGATTTGAGTTGAAGTAAGATCATTCAACGATGACTCGTTGATCACAAAGAAATACGCAATGATAGATTTCTTGACGAATTGAGAGAAATGATATTGTAAGACGAGAAAGTGAATGTTACAGTACGAAGATGTTCTGGCTTCAGACATTTGAGACGTCGAATCGAGGTGTGAATGTAAACAACGTTGAATGGCGGGTAAAGCAAACGGCAGTGTAATGAATACTATGTATTGTTTGTATTTTATGCAACGACGTAAATAAAACATTCAATCGCTGCTTTTAAAATTCCCACCTCTGCAGGCAATCATAAATACTTTGTGTAAATTCAAGAAGACTTTTTTATGGCGTTCAATCATGGCATTCACTGAACACGAAATAATTTATTCAATTGAAATTACTAATTTCATTTATTTGCTGATATTAATTATATTACTCTATGTTTTCTTGACATAGTGCCATTCATCAGCTAAAAAGAAAAAAATTGTTTAAGTCTATATTAATAAATCAAAAATGGAAAATATAGTTTAAGTCATACCAGTAGGGCTGACTGTTCCTGGGTTGCCAGTAGCAGGCACCTATGGTAAAGTAGAATTAATGAATTAATTATGATTACAGTTAAGCTTATACATACAGTATATCACTACCGTTTCAGCAATTTTCTGTGCATCTGTATTGGAGACACTGCTTCCATTATTAAGGGATGTATTCAACCTAAAAAGTCGTAAATTCATAGCAAATATCAACATTATAAAACATCAATATGCAGCTTGTTTTACTCCAAACCTGCTGATATTTACAGGCTGTTGTGAGCTTGTCATCATTTTTAACCAGTGTTTGTTACACTCTTCAATTATCTTCAAAGCAAATGCCTGCCATAAAAACAAACATTTGTCAAAACTGACGCATTACACCACTACATGTTTGTAAAAGTAGATGGTCCAGGTTAGCAGAGTCCTGAGTAGGACTGTTGATGTTGACTGAAATTTTGACAGCCTTGGTTGTAGTCATCTTCAGAGTAAAGTTGACTACTGCTAAGGATGTCCAAAGTCAGCCACCATAAACACCAACATTCCCTCTTAGGACTCAACTAACCTGAACAATGTACATCTACAAACATACAAGGTACTCCCTGGTTCAAACTATTCACTACATTGGACCATGTGAACATTTTCACTGCACATACTTTGTCTTTTGCTTGGCCATCAAATGCAAATGTATTCTCTGGTTTTCCTGCTGGAACTTTATAAATCTTTAACCATTCATGGGTTGCCTACATTGGAATACATAAGTAGGAAGTTGAAAAAGCTTTCAAGTTTGATATAGTTAAAATCAATCATAAAAGTCAAACCTTAAGTAATCCAGGCATATGAGTTTCAACATCACTGATATCTAGGATATTTAACATATTACACAATATATCCATGAACATTTATATCAAAATTACATTTTAGAAAGTTGTTAACACTAACCATTCATCTTAGATGACAAAGGATCATTGACATCAATTGCAAGGACTTTCCAATCTGTCTCACCTTCATCAATCATTGCCATTACACCTAGAACTTTTACTTGCTTAACATCACCACGTTTTGCCACCTATAAAAAGATTAGTAGCAAAGTAAAAATGAAAACATTTTCACAAAAGTATGTGAGACATTAACAAGCTAACACATACCATAGTTCCAATTTCACAAACATCTATTGGATCACCATCACCTTTGTAGCTAGTATGTGCATCAACTGCACTAGGATCTTCCCATGTCTAAAAATGATTTAATTTTTCATAATTTTCAAAGGTAGGAGCTGAGAAACAAAAATTCTTGCACTTACTTGTGGTAAAGCACCATAGTTCCATATATAGCCATGATATGGAAATACATTGTTCACATATCTTAACTTTTCCTTCTTTATATCCTGCTTAATTGGGTTTAATTCCTTTGCTAGGTTGATCTGCAAAAATGATCAGATTACATATACCAATAGAATAGTCATCTTAGCAGAAGATGAACCCTTGAAATACCTCCATTTTCGCATTTGTCCACCTAGGTATCTCAACAACCATGTTGAAGATCTTGTTCTGCTCAAAAATAATCGACAACAAATTTTTATCATGAAAATGATTAGTGATATCACTCATAACTTGTTTATAAAACCTAGAAACACACCTGAGAATCAGAATATAGTGGAATGTCATGCATCGGAGACACATAGCCATTTTTATCACCTGAAAAATGTTTCAAAAACACATTGGGTAAAAACCATGACCAGCCGACAATTTGAAGAAGTATAATGTAAAACAAATTCCGAAGAAGCAAGACATCTTGAGATTGCAAAATATGAATCAAAACAAGACGAGAAGTAAACTGTAAATTTTCGACTTTATTTCAAAGTCATCCTCAGACAGAATGTTTTGATTCATATTTTGCAATCTCAAGATGTCTTGCTTCTTCGGAATCTGTTTTATATTATACATTGGGTAATGTCACAATCATCTGCAATGTGTATACAAAGCGAAAGCACTTTGGTAAATCACAAGCTACTACAAAACAATCAAAAAACGATATATTCATACGGAAAAATCCTGAATATTCTTTAGTGTTTTTTCCTCCTCGTTCCTCGTATGTATACATAGTTCTCAAGAAGCTGTTATGCAGGAAAAAGAGCTGATGAAATGCACCAAAGTTGAAATGATATTTAAAGAATGTGGTGTAACGTGGAAAGAACATTAGGAAACACGCTCAAGAATAGTTATATTACACCAAAAGCTACCAGTTGCGAGGTTTCTTGAAGGCTCATAAAACGTTTTTATTTTATTACATGAAGTTTCATAAATAAGCATATGAATCAAGCTTGTCATGTTGCCAACAGGTCCAAAAAAAACGTTTACAGGTTTCTTATTTTGTGCCATCTGAGTTCTCATATTGATAGGGTTGCCACAGCAAATAATCTTTCATTCAGTTCTGTCTTCCTTTTATTTAAATCACTTCACTTCATTTCCTCTTTCAGTGGTTCCATATACCTCCTTTTTGGTCTTCATCTAGGCCTTTTAATTGGCAGTTGCAAACTTGACATTCTACTTATACCTTTATGTCTACCTTTATATCTATCTTTATGTCTACCTTTATGTCTACTTATGTATGTACCCTTATGTCTACTTTCGCGTTTGCCTTTGTATCTACCTTTAACTATTATCGTTTTGTCTGCTTTGTGTATTTTTATATCTACCTTTTTCTACATTTATGTCTACCATTTTAAATGTCGTTTATGTCGTCTTTTCGAAATGTAGTTCATGTCGTCTGTTTTCAATGTCCTTCATGTCATTTTTTTTAAATGCCGTTCACCTTTATGTCTACCTTATTGTTTAATTTTATGTCTATTTCTGTGTGTTACTTTTTAACTACCTTTGTCTACCTTTAAATGAATTTTTGTCGACCTTTATGTCTACTATTGTGTGTACCTTTATGTCTATCTTTATATCAATCTTTGTTCCTACCTTTATGCCTACCTTTGTGTCTATCTTTATTTCTACCTTCGTGCCTACCTTTAAGTCTTATACATTTGTATCTACGCTGTTACGTTTTTATTTGTATCTACTATTATATCTAGATTAATGTTTACCTTTATGTTTTCCTATCAGCCTACCTGTACACAAATATATTTATGTCTACTTACGTGTTTTGCACTCTCGCCGCAACATTTATAATGGTACTAATCTACTTATTCAAGTATGAATATTTTTCATTCGGTACTCTAAGTTTTCCCATATTTCAATACTCGGTAATGTCCCAGGTGTCAAATACATATTTAATGAATTTACAAATGTTTACGATGGTACAATGAGTGAATTAGTAATATATGTTTCTTTGATATCTATATTCTTGTATCATGTGCAATCCCTATGCTATCCCATAGTGGCACATACTTTAATCGAAATCTTTATTCTAGAATGTATCACAAAAAATAACTTGTAATCTCATTATTAGTTTATGATAGATTTGCAATCGCCTTTTTTCAAACGTCAGAGATTATTATAACAATGTTATTACGTCATTTTGCAAACTGTAATTGTTATGACGAAACAACGTTGCACATCAAATGTTTAGACAACAACGGAATCTTCACGTGACTTATGTCCACTTGCAGTTCCATTGAGTCGTGTACTGGAGGACTCGGCACTAGCTCCCTCTAGCGCGTAATTTCGAACGTCAAACACCTATATAAAAGGGAAAGTTTTATCAGTTGATATTTTGAAGGTTGGCTTGTTGAGGACAAGCATTTCATACCTCCTGAATAGCATTTCTAAAGCACAAGAAATTATAGTCAATTAAACCGCGTTTGTCGAAATTCTCCTCTCGCAGAATGCAGACAAGAGCCAGGAATCTGTACAGAAACAAGAGATTTAAAAACGAGCTAAACTGAATTTCTAAGGCAGGAAAGACATCCCTCGGCTTTGGTTTAACGTACCCAAACTATTACAAGTGGTCCTAGATCAAAAACCTTGCATAAAATTTGAAAGCAAGTCCAAACAACCTCTCTTCGAACTATGATTCATAAGCACAGTATAATACTCAACTATCATTAAAAAAGACAGTTCTTGAACAATGGGTCTATCCTACAGAAGCTGGTAACTGGAGAAAACTCCTTCAGTTGTATAAACATTCAAAAAAAACTAATCCAAGTTGAGTGAGTGAAAGTGTGAACGCAAATGGACAGAGTAAACGAAGTAGCTCACTTGTTGACTTCTCGTAAATATAAGACGGTCGTGTTGTTCATCCTTATAGTAGATAAAGTTTCTTGGTCATATGCGCTTCCTTCGCCGTCCTCCTGAAGTCTTGAAAACAAAAACAAAAATAATCAAATGTCATTACATTCTGAGAATTGTGAGAGTTAAAAAAAATTATTACCCATATATACAGGAAATATCGATAACAACATCAATCATATCACAACATAATTCGTAAGACTGCATGTCCACTGGCGAGCTAAATAAAATTAGTAGAATAATCAATAAAACTAATATAGCACGTAGCTTGCTGTCACAGTCTTTGTGTCCAGCAATCTTTTGTACAATACCTATATTTAGCAGATAATCTGAAATACTATAACTTTCCCTTCAATTTAGCTAAATGTCCATTCAATATCAAGTACTACCATTCACACGATAAGTGACCAAAATAGAAAAATCTACCGCAAAACACGTTTGCACTAGTTTCGCGTTATATTTCTAGAATTGTATTTTGGAAAACGTTTATTTCCGAGTCCAATCGGGTTGGAAGTCACGATGACTTAATTTCATTGTATAAAATCACAAGAAGACCTCTTAAAGTGAATGATTTGGACTCGATAGTATTGCTACATGTTTGTAAAAGTTGATTGATCGTCCATGTTAGAAAAGTTCAAAACATTTATTCATAAATCAAGAACGCATGGTTTACTTTTTACTTGACTCTGAAAATGACAACCTCTATGAATGTGTAAACATCAGTCAGCACTAACATCAACACCAACAATCCTTTTCAAGACTGCACTAACATCAACACCAACAATCCTTTTCAAGACTGCACTAACATCAACACCAACAATCCTTTTCAAGACTGCACTAACATCAACACCAACAATCCTTTTCAAGACTGCACTAACATCAACACCAACAATCCTTTTCAAGACTGCACTAACCTGGATAATCTACATATATGTACAGTGAAAGAATGTTATATGCAGTGCGGTGTTTGAAATTAAATGAAGATATGATCTTCGCACTTTGCTGGACAATTTAAGCAATTGTCTCATGAACCTGAAAAATTCAGGTGACTCAACGGGATTCGAACCCATGACCTCTGCGGTGCGGATTTAATTTCAAACACCGCACTGCATAAAACATTCTTTCATATGACATTCCTTTCACGAGAAAACATGCGCCCAACAAAATTGACCTGCTCACCACTGTGTGACTTCATAGCTCAGTTGGTCAGAGCACTGCACCGGCACCGCAGAGGTCATGGGTTCGAATCCCGTTGAGTCACCTGAATTTTTCAGGTTCATGAGACAATTTAGTCCAGCAAAGTGCGAAGATCATATCTTCATTTAATATATGTACAGTGGCGGATCAAGGGTACGTCAAAATAAATTACTGCAGCACATTTTGGCAGATATTTACATTTCTACATACATTAGAGGCAAATCCATTGGTAAAATTATATTCCTTAGATTTTCAAAACCAAAAGCGTTTTTCTGAAAGTACTTTGAATTTAAAATTGAGGAGCAATAATTTATTTTGACGAAAGTTGGCTCCGCTACAATCGTGGAATTAAACTTTCTCGCGATTATTGCAAATTAATAATCTGTATCAAACAAAAACACCTGTCTGTGGCGATGTATATCTTACTGACGACATCAAAAAGAAATGCCTTTTCTATACCAGATCTCTAAAATGTAAGACACATAAAAAAAATTTGTCAGATCACAATTATTCAAATGAAATTCATATTTAGTTTTGATAACTCGTACATAGACAAACCGTGATTAAGATGTCAAGTAGATTTTCCAGTGTTGGTAATTGAGGAATTAGTTTCTGAACAACCTTGCTAAAGGCCTGGTCATTAAAACAAACATCACAAGTATTTACGAAGGACAGAAATGTTTAATTCCGTTTAAAAAGTTTTACCTCAAATATTGAATGATCATAAATGCTGGTAAGATAGAAACTATAGAATATGAAAAAAATGATGCACTTCATAGTAAAGTCCCATCATTCATTGGTGCTGTGAAACAGTTACCTCAGATATAAACCATCTAATCCAGCATCAGCCAATTCATCATTAGCTCTTTGATGAATGTCTCTTTGAATGTCTGCAATGTTCATAATAAAGATAATGTTTAGAACTTAAATATGACACAGTTCAGATGTGATTTGGAATGGAACTTTAAAGGTGACATGAAGCCAACTTTTTATTGATATTTTTACTTTGAATCGTGTCAACCTAGAAGCAAATTTAGATGAAAAGTTCAAAAAAATTGTCCAAAAACAAAAATTATAGCTTTTTATTAACTCGAATCTCAGTCAATAGCATGGTTCAATTACCTTGCGGTCAATCTAGCGTTTATGACGTCATTTTGTTTGCACTTTGCAAGAAATAGCTAGTAACAAAATGAAAACTAACAAACCAACACGATGAGGTGGCAGATATTGTGTTGCAGGAACACTTAATAAGGTTAGCTGTAAATACACGATATTAAACAGCGATAAACAAAGCTTGAATGCAAACAAATTGACATCAAGCCATTGTGCAAGCTCTAAAACTCATCCCCAACTTCCGAGCCAAATAAAGTAATTTATTGCAGAGTAGCTTTGAGTGATTGTCATTAAACAAAAAAATCAAATGACACGTTATTTTTTAACTAAGAAGATAATCATCTTCCAATATTAAAAAAGAAAAAATTGTCTTCATTTCACCTTTAACATATATTTTAAAACAGCCTGTCAGTAAAGATCTCATGTTCCAGCACTGTCTGGTTGAAAATTACTGTGTTGAGTGACTGCCTACCTAACAAAAGCTTTAAACCATAAATTTTACATGTCTAGTGATTGACCACATACATTTCAACTCAATGCTATCGCTCAATTACTTTTTTAAAGACAAAGTTGTTGCTATATTCAAAACTTTTGTCTGGTAAATGATGTCAATTAATAACCTGACTTAATGAGCACTGGCCTTTGGCATTTACATGACATTTGGAAGTGGAGGTACTACAAAATTCAGGATTCACTATAGTGTGTTACCTACCTATTTTGTGATCATCAGAAATTCCATCAACTTTATGAATGAACACCTCAAACTTGATATCTGGATTCACCTAGCCCAAGATTTCACAAAAAATAAAATGAAAGTTTGTTTTATGTTTACTTTGTATGGCTACATGATAAACAAACCCAACATTCCAGTTCTTCAAATACAACCAACAAAAAAATGATTGTGCACAAAAAGCCCTCAGTATCACTCAATAGACTTCAATTCTTATTTTGAGATCCTAAATTCAGAATCAAAGAGCAGGATATTTTACCTTATAGGCTCTAGTTACTGTCGAGTGTAATTTCTTCAATGCTTCTGTATACTCATCCTATTTATAGAAAAAAACCCCAGAAAACATCAGTGTTTCTTGAAGTCAATCACTTCAGCTGTTTGCCATTTGACAGTTAATGACTTAATCAATGTAATTGATGTTTCATAATCGTATAGACATATTTCATATTTTTTAGAGTGTAATCTACAATCAACTTTCTCTTCTAAGTACAAGTATTTTGTATAAAAGATGTGAGTATATGACATACTTGCGCATCTATCACAAACACAAGAGCACCACAATTTCCAAAAATTAACTCTGAATCAAATGCTGGGTCAAAGAAGTCAATTTGTCCAGGAAAATCCCAAATCTACAAAAAGAAGAAATAGTTTGAGATTTGCATTCAAAATACTTTAACTAAATAATTATTATATCTTACCTGGAACTGAACAAATGAACTATTTGAAATATCTTTTTTTAAATTAAGGTGAAGATAACAAAAATGTATTGAAAGCAATCTCAAAAATAGAACTTTTTACTTTCAATGATTGCTACACATCAAAAGATACCATCTTTTACAACTTTTGCTGTGCTTTCTAAAAACAGTGTTTCATTTGGAGACATTTTGTGAAAAACGACCTTTTGTATTGACGACTTCCCACTTCTAAAGCAAAACAGAAATACAACTAGTCAAGAATAAATCTGATGATTGGAAAACCATTAACTGAATACTAAAGACTGCTACCTTCTTAAACCCATGAGCAATATTCTTGGTTTTTCATCACTAGATGAAGTGCTGTAATCTTCATTATCACCAGGTTCATAACTGAACATCCAATCATTAAATTATAAAAATAATTTGGTCTAAATGTTTCCAAAGGGTGAAGAGCTTACCAAAAGTCTTTCGGAAATGAGCCCACCATGCTATAACTGCCGAAATTATCCTCTTCGTCAAAAGACTTGGGGAGAAACAACAAAATTACATTAATATTATAAGGTGTGATAAACATTCAGTAAGATGATTCATAAGTAACAATAACATTCCAGAAAATATGCATACAAACAAATGCATGCTTTAAATATACTTACATCAGTCATTACCAAAAAATCTAGAAATAAAGAATTTTTAGACACACAATTATCCTTTCTGTACTGTTTGACTTCAAAATCATGTGACGATCAGTATAAACAGTGTTACACAAAGTAAAGCAATAAATACTAATTGCAGTGCGCAGGCGCATTATGGTTTCCGTATCTTTCGATTGACATCGATGATATCGATGAAGTCATAAATAAATCTAATAGATAAACCACCTTCGACTAATATTGGTAACCACCGTGCCCTCATTTCTGTGTAAAAATTATCTGAGCACATCCACGTTTGTTTTAAACATTATTCATGGTCTATTCAACATTATTCATAGTTCATTTATTACATTGTCTTTATTACTACATGCAACTCTAGAGAATACGTATAATAGATATGAATTGTTTAACTGCATTACAACTAATAAGGCGGTATATAACTATGACCAAACCAATATGAATGTTTGATTTGAACAGGTTTTCAAAGGTTTTACAAAGGATACCTCAACTACCTGTACATTGTAAAATCAACATTGTTTAATTTCAATAGCACCAGCAATTTTCACAAAAAAAATAAACAGAAAAAGGCGGAAAGTTTCAGTTTCGACTTTATTTAATATTTACTAAGCCTTGCACGCATTTCGGTGGCAAATATTAAATCAGTCGATCAAAATGGAAATGACCACTTCTGAAATGGCAAGTACTGATTCTCTAACTGTCGAAGTCGATATAACAGGACAAGACAGTGAGGTTAACCACGTAGTTAACCACAAAGATAGCTTACTGAAGATTATGACAACCAACGAAGAAGACATTCGAATGAACAAAGAAGAGTATCGCGAAGACTTGCACCAAAAAACGATAACTTATAGGAAATTTTTATCGAACGGAAATTGTATTACAGACAAAATTCAAGAAAAAAATATAGAGGGTGATTTGGAATCAAACTTATCAAAAAAAGATCAAGATTTATGCAAGTCTTCACTTGACAATGACAACGAACGAACGACGGAAGAAATCAATCTGACGGAGAAGTCCAACAGTCAAACAGAAGAACACAAGCAGAAAACAAAGAATGGAGATATACACGATAACAAAGAAGAACTTGTAAAGAAATCAATGTTTACTATAGCTCAAGATGAGGATATTTACGACGATAGTTCATCAGAAATGATTCATCTATTACGTGGCACCATTTGTGAACTGGAACGAGCATTGAGGGATTCAAGAGAATTGATAAAAACCAGAGATGAAGAGATTGCAAGACTTCGTAGAGAGTTGGTAAAAGGTACGAAAAACTTGTCCAAACATTCGTTCATTTCAAATGCATTGTGTCAAAGAAAATACGTTTGTTTTAGGTAGAGAACAGATCCATAAAGAGCAAGTGAAATTTCTAAAAAAGAGCAAGATGTTGGAGGAGAACGCACTGGAGATTCAAGAGCTATCTACGAAATTACAAAAGTCAGAGAAAGACAGAGAAGAGCTCTTGGAAAGAATTAAAGAACTCGAATCTCCACCTGACGATACTGTTTCATGTTGTTCATCTATGGAAGAAGTTCTTCAGCTGAAAATGGAGTTGATGGAGAAGAATGACTTTATCAAAGAAATTAAAAAAAATAATCATCCGGAAATTTTGGACAATGCAATAGTTTCAGCTACAAACTGGAAAAGAAAAGAACAAGATCAACACTATCATCTCAAGTTAAAATTCTTGCGAGATGCTTTCTTTTATTTCATGATAGATTTTCACAGTGAAGAACAAATGAAAGCCATCTTGGCAGTGCTTGCATATGGAGACCAAAGAGAGGATGTCATTCAACAGGCTTTTAACATGAGACAAAGAGGGAAGAAGTTTACAGTTAAAGAAGTCTCTTCACGAGGACTTGCATTTCTCCACGAGGAGACCTGAAATTATGACTTTGCTCATCTTTCGCAATTACTATTGAGAGGTTTCCAGTTGAACAATCAAGTCGAGATCTTGTATCAAAGCTCGCAATTTCTGGATTAAAACTTTGATTTTCTCATTTCTTGTTTCAACTTCCTGAAAACATTCAGATAATTTTAATAATATCGACTGCAGTTTTAACTTGTAGATCACTTAACAATCACCTTTATTAAACATTCACGCTCATTGTCTTGAAGATCCATGCCAGCTATTTGGCTGGGCTCGTTTTCTAGTGGTAGCAAATGCTAAGGTAAAAAAATAGTGAGAAATTACGTAGTGTGGATTGTTATTGGTAAATATGTAAAATAAAGTACATTCTTTAAGATCATACCTCGATGTTTCCATTAGTAAGAACGTTGTGAATATCCGGCATTCGTCGTCGAGTTTCTTCGTACGTATTTCTTAATTTACCCATCAGCTCTTTTAGACTCTCTAAGGTCTCCTGGGTCTTTTCTGACATTTGCTGTTGTTTTTCAACGCTGCCAGCCTTTTCTAAGTTCAAAACTTCAGCGCTTTGTAATGATTTGAACAGAGCACTCGCTCTTTCAACTATCTCTTTCACAAGCATTTGTCCCTCGATAGCAATGGCTATGTTTGTTTTAGAAGTGTCAATAGAAAGCACCTCGGTCATTTCGACTTCAATAGTCGGTGGGAACGTCATTTCATCGTTTTGAAATGAAAGATTTGTTATTTGATGTTGATGCTCCATTTTTATACAGTTGGTTATATTATGCCTTTGCCTTTCGCCCCCCTGGAAAGAAAAACGTAATTATAAATACTATTATGAACCAACAACATTCGGGGGGGGGCTAGTTTGACAACCATAAAATAACTCCACTTCGCGGGAAACATGGCTGGATGCCTGCAATATAGTTCCGTGGATAATGCAGTGGCAAAGCTGTCAAAAATACAGGAATATCTTGATTTAGGTTATTCAACTACTCTAGACGTTGCACTTGATGTAGAAGAAAGTAATTTTACGGGCGAAGCTTCACCTCATGTCGAAAAATTAAAGGAAATTACTATGTTGTACACTGGAATGGAGCAAGAACTTAAACGATACCTCAAGGCTTCTGAGCTGACCAAAATAGCGTTCAAAAAAGATTATGAAAAACTTACTGAGTAAGCTGTTGATGTTTTTTTCAATGTAGAAACTTACGTTCAATTCATAATTTTGCCAAAAATATTATATTTCAGTGGTAGTGTGCCAGATATTGAAGAAATTTTCAAAAAAAAGTTAGAAGAGACAGAGCCTGATGTTGAAGATCTAAATGAACACGCGCAACTAAAGGAGTTTGTCAAGCAAATATGGTATGTTCACCATAATGGAGAACCTTTGCCGTCTGATGCTGTTGAAAATGATGATGCAGACATTATTGTTGCTCAGGTGACAACCTTTCAACTATTAATGATATTTTGGATCACATGTCTAATTGTGTTTGTCAATACATTGTTTCAGGCATCAGAGGAATCAGTCATCTGTCCTTTAACACAACAACAGATGGTAGAACCTGTGCGTAGTAAACAATGTCACCATAATTATGAAAGGATGGCCATTTTGCAACACCTTAAATCAAGAAACAAAAGAGTGCGGTGTCCCATTGCTGGCTGTAGCCATTACGTAGTGGAGGGAGATCTTGAAGCAAACCATAATCTTGCTTTCAGAATCAAACGATTACAAAGAAAACCATAACTTTAGTATACACTTCTGTTTTACAGTTACATTTTGTTAAATACTGATCTATTATATTTCTAAGTATTTATCACAAATATATACAGAAACAAAATGATAACAACTTAATTTAGAAGGCAAACATGTTGCATTTACATTATGGTGATCATATGAATTAAGGTGCTTGGTCTACTAAGCGCTTTGGATTGGCATCAATCACAATAGAGTTTGCAACAAAATCATAAGGAGTACGATAGTTTTGAAGAAACATTGTTGTAAATATGACAGGAAAGAAAAATGTTATCATAAAGTTCTTCAACGTTGACCGAGCACAAGATCTAAAAAATTAATTTGTTTCAATTAATTTGCTTATTATTTCAATGGCCAAATATTTCAGAATTTAATGTTAACTTACTGCCACAGTGAAATTCTATCAGCATTACCAGTAAACTGACGCAGGTTTTGTCCTTCAATTGGTGTCATACTTGAATAAAGAACAACTGTTATTCCCATCATATACTTTCCTAAACTTGCTCCTCCTATTTTACATGGAAATGCCATGGCAAGAAAGAGGGTCTATGGGGCAACAAAAGAAGTCATCAATAAGTGAGTTCATAATGAATAATTTACAATAGCATTTGCAAGATTTAGGTGCTACCTCATAAAGAAAGACAATAAATCGATAAATCAAGGCTTGCAATATGACATCTTCAAGATCCTTAATACTGGTATTATCATCGATTATAAGGATGTATTGAAACTGAGAATTGATTCGATCTGGATACTTGCTAAAAATAAATTCAAAAATGAACTTATAATCTGAATATTTTAGATTAAAATATCAGAAATAGTGAAGCCACTTACTAGAAGAGCAAACAAAGAACATATTTCAGGAAATATAGGAAAACAAAATCAATGAATTCTGCAATAACCCTTTTTCCAACTGGAGCTATTTTGTACTCAAATCCTAAATAAAAATAAATAATTTTGGATTATATTTTGGAAAAGGTATGATTATTGATACTTTTTTGTCAACATCATGATATTGTGAAATGTTATTAAGTGTCTGTGTTGATTGTTAACAAGTCGAGGTTTTAGGTTTATAATATTCAAGAATGACATTGACAGCTTTGACACGTACGTTCATTTGGTTGGTTTACATTTCTTCCAACAGGAATATTATTTAGAGGATTTGCTTGATCAACGGTTGAACCATTTAAAGAACTGCTGCCAGTGCCAACATTGCGATTTAGCAAAAGAGGATTTTGCAAAGTTGTTTGATTTTGACACAATGCCATATAATAATAATTTGTATAGTGATACATGTACGAGGAATAATAATACTCCCAATATTGCATCCATGCTTGATAATTCAAATCGTGAGAGGCGTTCCTGTTTGGATTCTCGTTGTTTGGTCTTGCAGTTGAATTAACAGCTTCCCGTTCGTCCGCCATCTTGTTTTGAAAAGTTACCATCAAACAGTGATTGCGTCATCCAACTGCAATTGGTCCGAGAGCTCTGTGATTGGTCAACGTGTCAAATGACCAAAAATTTTTTGATTTTGCCAAAAAACGGACAACAATTCACTTTCTTGTTCAGTCCCTGTTTTACTTGACAAATAGAAGTAAAAGTCTATGGGGGATTAAGACCCATAGTCTATCCCCTCCTCGGCTCCATTGTTCACATAGACTGTATGATCAGCCTTAATGGCACGTGCAACGGGAAATCATTTATCAAATGATTTATTTACAAAAGGATGTAACATCGACACGTTTGGTATATTGTCTGTTTTTTTAAGGTTCATGTAGCCTGCTTTTCAAAAATCAAAATATTTAGGTCTTCCTCGAGACCTAGTCGAACAGGATTCATGTGCTCTGTTACTCGTAGTTAGCGTTTGGCCTATAGTTTACATGTTCTCTATATTTGCTGAGGTAATGATGGTCAGTGATTCTTAATGTTCTCTGTTACAGATACTATACATATATGTCTGCTTCCTACACTTTATCGTTCTGTACATGCCGTATTAATTATTAAACGAATTAGTAAACAACGGGGTGCAAAATATGAGATTTCATTTATCACAGTAAGCACGATAAATTTCAATGAAACGTAATTACACAAATACCACTTCGCTTTCCTTGTCAAAATTGCTTTTCGTTGTGAAAAAGCGCTAAGGAAATGCTTAGGGCAAAATATAATAAGATAAAGCGGATATTTAGGCAAAGGAGGTCTCCTTTCGTCGGTATATTTACCGTATTAAGTTGCAATCGGAGACAAGCTTGAACAACATTTGAGGTGCCTTGCTTTATTCTGATTGGTTGCGCATTAAATTAGGTGAATTCGACATGACTGACAAAATTTACTGCTGCAGCATAGTTTAGTCAAAAAACGTGGGAACGCTACCTTATAAATCTGTTGAGAGCCCTGTCATGACCGTTTGAGAGAAATTTGAAAATTTCGGACTGCGTTTTAACAATTCGCTATCATAACCAGGGCATATAGTTACGTGCGCAAGGATAACTTGGTTTACTCACAAGAGCAGTTATGGTTGATAAACTCCATTTTATTGTTTTTTTTCTATTTTTATTCCTGGCTCTTTCGAATGAGAAGGCAACAAAGAAGCAAAAAAATAAAGTTGATTCTTTGAGCGCAATTTTACCTCATTTAATGGAAAACGAAAGATCGCGGATCATAAATTTAACCAATAGACATTCAGCTGGGCGCTATATGATGAATTTGTACCAGAATATCGACGTTAACAATGATAATTTGCAAGGTTTTAACGTCTCCAACGTTACAACAACCAAACAAGTTGAAAATGCAGATACTATAATGGGAATACTCAATGATGGTAAGTTTTGACTACATGTTCATTGTTTATATTTACAGTCAGGATAAAATCCAAATAAACACAAGCGTTTGAGAATATTATCGCGTATTTTTTTTTTCATTACTCCGATGATAAAATTAACGTGTCTTGTGTAAGACTTGCACAAGTTGCTAGATTTTATTACAAGTTATAAGTTCATAGACTTTTTTAGATCTTGTTGACTGTTGAATGAACATTTTGCGCAATTTAAACAAGCATTTGAGTGAGTTACATGATGCTGTATACATTTAGAATCAGAAAATGTATAGATATTTTCGTCATTCATTTGAAACCGATAGCCTTGTGTCCGAACACGCGGCTATTGAGAGATGTGATATCATAAAAATGCTGCTGCTATAGATACCAGGCAAATTCTATCATCATGTTCTTTCGAAGATGACGATTTCACAAGTTTAAGTCCTTTTTCAGTCAATGACCTTGTTTGAGGTGTTCGTTTTACTTCAATTTGTTGGATAATTTTAACTAATACCTTTTAAAGCGAGATCAGAGGAATTCTTACAAAACTTGGTTATTCCAATCGATGCTTACTAGATCTATACCCCCTTAAATTGTTGAGAAGGGTGAAGGGTCTTTTTTCAATTATATAATCGTATTTGAGGAGCGTAGTATTTATAAATTTGAGAACTTTAATTTTGTTCCGTTTTCTCAGTCAGTGGTGGTATGCAAACGATTAAATGATATTAGTAACACAGGAAACATGCAATCAACATTTTCGTATGACAACAAAGCATTGAAGAAGCAGTTCATAAATCATACAGAAACAACACTAGATGGTTTCCGATTTTTTCGCAGTTTAATAGCCGCCATTTGTCGCCATTCGCAGCAAATATTCATTAGTGGGGAACAAATATGGGGCAACAGTTAAAGATTTAAATTAATTTTTAACTGTTGCATGAAAAAAAAACAGAGCAAAAATGATTGTATATAAAAAAAAACAAAAAAAAATCATTGAGTATTTTAACAAGATGTATGCAGCGCCTTTAATTGTGTTAAAATTTCTTGAATTCAGCAGATTACCATTTAGTACATGATACATTAACTGTCATTATGTAAGGGAAGAATTGTGTTGATTTTGTTTCATCATTATAAGAAGATTAAAATTATCATGAGCGGAATAGATGAACAGATAATGGTCAAATTTCGCACATTTCATTCATAATGAAGTATAAAAAGATAACACAAATAGGAGCAAAATATACAAGGACCCAAGCGTTGTTAAACAATCGTGCTAAGGTGGGGGTCTTAAATTAAAATATAAAAACATGAAATTAATCGAAATTTAATTGTTTGAAAATATTTTAAGCATTTATTGGTTACACGTTTAGATTTTTATGTAATATTTATAATTACACAACAAAATTAGTTTGTAAATTAAAACGACGTTCAGTTTGCAAATTTAAGACTTTCATTAAACTCTCACTAAACTCTACCTATGTCCAAATCGATTTATTCTGAAAACATGATTACGCTACGACTCAGAGTATTTTTTTTTTACTTTAAAAACAGATAGTGACGCAAAACCAGTCAATTCTAAAATGAGAATTAAGTTCAACTTCACAGCAAAAATTCGCAGAGATGAAAGCGCAGTAGAGGTGGCCGAACTACATGTATACAAAGACCAGCATAAACGCCCTTGGATGGCCAACGTAACATTTCTGGTTGAGTTGTCTGTTATCACAAGATCTGGAAACGCAGTCAAACTGAGCAGCAATCCAGCTAATTACAGCATCCAAGGTTGGGAAACACGTTGGATAGTTTTTGATGTCACAGACACCGTGGACAAGTGGATCGTTTCTCCGGGCAACAATTTCGGATTGGAACTGTTGGTAACAATGCAACGTGAAAAGCTTCCCGTACCTCTAAATCCAGCAGAAATTGGTTTTATCGACTTTAAAGGTCCACTTGAAAAGAGACCATTCATCGCCAGCTTCTTCAAAGGTGATCCAACTGACAGAAAAGTGATAATACACGCTACAAGTAGAAAACGACGGTCTGTATTTAGTCAGGCAAATTTGAAATATGGCAACCGAAACATTCGCAGCCAATGCAAGAAAAGATTTCTTTACGTTGATTTTAGTGACCTGCGTTGGCAGAACTGGATCATAGCTCCAGCAGGATATGAGACGTCTTACTGCGCAGGAGCATGTACGTATGGTTCGTACGACGAAGTTAATGCCACCAATCATGCAATAATTCAGTCAGTCGTTAATATATTCAACGCAGACTCTGCCCCAGCTCCTTGCTGTGCTCCTACACAGTTGAAAGCAATTTCAGTTCTTTACATCGACGACAAGGAAAACATTGTACTGAAAAAGTATCAAAACATGGCGGTCAAATCATGCGGCTGTCACTAAGAAATATTTACGGTTACATTAAGATTACAAAATATGAATGAATTGATGCAGAGATGCTTTAGTTCTCGTGGTTTGACAAAAGTTATAAAGAAAAGAGTGTATTACAAAAATTTTCTTATGCAGTTTTATGAAACATTTATTAATAGAATTTGGTAGTCGAGTTATATAAAGAAGTAAAAACAAGCAATGTATACATCTATATATGCATATAGTTATATTTCTCTTTGAATACTAATATTCCCATTGTTCACATGTTGATATCATTGAAAGGCTTAATTACCACAGATTCTTAATTGTGCCATCTTTACACGATTGATGAAGAAATTCCTCTCAGTAACTACATAATGACGAAGACACTTTATTTACAGAAACACCAATGGAACTCATCGTAATGAGAGTGGCGTATTTCTGGTAAAATAACTTTCATGCAAAGATCTAATTACACACGCATGACGCAGCGACCATGTTAGGATGTCTTTTCATTACAATATTGCCGTCATCGTCATAAAACAAAAGATTGACTGCTTTTAGAATTTCGGGTACACAACATGGCTCATCCACTGTATTATCAAAAGCACGATAAACACTCTGGACTATTGCATGATTTGTCGTTTTGTTTGGATCCAATGGATCTAAACAGTGACCATGGCAGAAATGCATGTCGTATGAATTGGGAGCGATGATGGTACGATGAAGGCCAACTTCTTTAAAATTCACTGTGAACTTCTTCAGTCCACAAACCTCAGCATTATTCCCATACTTAAACATTTTGGCCGCACGTCGCTGTCTCGAAGGAACAAGGAGACCAGGCGCAAATACAGGAGAATCGCTCGTGGTGCTGACAAAGCCTACCAGGTACGGCCTCTTCTCAAGATTTCCACGCGTTCCCACCAACCCAAAGGCCTGTGGGCTCAATTTCTGACCATTGTGATGTACAACAATTTCGAATCCATAATTCGTCAATGGATACTGAGCCCACAATTTCATTGCAGCAGTCACATTAAAAGTTTGCCATCCAGCCTTCCAAGCGTCAACCTCTCGTGTATCAATCATTTTGGATAAGGAATTTTGACGTTGTATGAGATAAACACAGACAGAACATTTACCATGAACCATGCTGCCATTTCTTGGCAGTCTTTTAAAAACTTTCAACTCACTTCCCTGAATGACTTCATGACGGGGGTCGAACCTTGCTTTAAATTTTATCCTGAAGTCGCTCCTGGAATTTTTTTTCCAGCTTCGATCATGATCTACAACAACAAAAAAATGTTTTGTCTCTTTAAAAGAAATACGAGAGTACATATCTTAAATGAAACTTTAGCATTTCCTTCTGTTAAGGAAATTAAGCAGCTGTTTAGATTGATAAGAAGAAATAATTGCATATAGTAGTATTTTTGTCTAACGACTATACGTATCAAATGAACAGCTTTTGGCCTTTTACCTTTACAATGTAAAAATATTTGACTATTGCTTAGCATGCAAAGAAATTGTATTCAACGATCGTGGACACCCACTTCATTTTTGTAATTCTTTTCAAATCTCAGGAAATTTTAATCGGCTTAAACAAGATCAAGCAATTGTACTTTTCAAAATTAACATCTTACAAAAAAACAATTGCTTATAATAATTTAATGAATAAATTGTTTTAACAAATCACGTATGAAATATTCTCATATTATATTAGAGTTCACATCCTGTTTTAAGGCATAAAATCTATTTGAATTGTTTTATATTGTTTGTGTACCTCATGACAACAAAGAATCATTTTAAAAGAACAATAATTGGTAAAATGAAAAATGTTGATGGCAACAACTGGATTCGTCGCCTTCAGTGAAGTATTTGCATATCATGACACAGCAACTGTTCAATATTAACTTGGCCACAAATATTGGTCATGTACATTTGTAAACGAAGTCACTATAAAGTCATACACCCTAATACATAGGATCGTTTAATGACTAATCTTAAATAACTCAGTTATCAGTACATTGGTACGTATCAGTACAATGTGTCGCTAAAAGAACAAATTTAGTGACTCATAGATAAAGTATTCATCTTACTTACCATATTTAAAGAAGCTAATGACTGTATCCACTGAACTATCATTCAGGTATTTTGTCTCAAAATCAGTTTGTTGCTTATGATTAGACATTTCTCCGTTCACTTCCTTAAAAAGTTTCAACATAAATTTTGGTGCGGAGTACCGTCGTAAGAAGAAGTCATTCCTCCAAAGTTTCGATCGAGACTCACTTCTTACACCCAATGATTTTAAAATGGCTCTTTTGGTAGCGTTTATTTCTGCCAAATCTTCATCATCGTTGAATGTGAACGAACAGATCTGATTCACTTGGAAAAACACAAATACAAAAAAATCGACAGTTTTGAAGCTAATCCACATAATGATAATACCATAGGAATGTATAGCATGAATGTTATGACCCGTAACAAACACTGAAAGGCATTAAAGTCCTTCACTTATATTGATTTTAAATTTCAACACTTGATATGTTATGATTTAGCGGATGCCAATAGTATAAGTTCTTGAAAGAGGAATTCATTACGCCATTATAACGTTCCGGAACAAAGACCCTCCCCATACGTGTGTTCTGGTGATAGCTAGTTCGATGACGCTAAGATAATAGAGAATGTAAAAGGTTCTATACAATAATTGTCTTGATTTTTTATCCAGATTTGATTTGCATATAAAGACATCTATGCTCATATTTTTGGACAATTTTTCTTACAGATCTGATTTGCGTATCGTCTTTTCGATTCATTTTTCGAACAATTTTTCAATAGATTAGTGTGACAGCGTGTACTTATTCATATAGATCGCCAAAATACAATGAAACTGATCTTACCATAAAAGACCAAGGAATTTTTAACGGAAATGCAAGGTCAACTGTGAAATTGCAACGAGAAAACTTCAATTCAATAATATCAATGATTTCTAGCGAGCGTCGTTAATCTTTATTGTTCTTGTTAAAATTTTTGAAAACTTCCTATTGCGACAAAGTAGAATGTTTGTTATTTCTACACAAACAGGCGATAAATCTATTGAAAGAAAATATCATTAAGAATATTAAATTATACTGACAATAAAGTGAAACCGAAGATGGACACGTCACATTTGAAAGAAATTAACAGGATCAACATTGAAGTGAAGACAATCATCTTTGACCTTGGTGGTAAATCGTTATACCACACCGCACAAATGCATGAGCGTAGTTGTTTCATTGTTGTTACTTCTATCTACTGATTTTAAACTAGTTTTAGCAAAAGGTAAAGCCTTGAATATTGAAAAATAAAAGTTTTTCCGGATTTTTTTATAAATAATTTTAAGAAGTTATTATTATATTTTCTTTATTCTGAAGAAGTCTCGAAGCACCGAGTCGAAAGCTCAATAAAATTATTTATTTCAACAATAATGCGTGGATTTCAATCTTCAAGATAATATACATAATAAATATATACAATGTATAACAATACTAAATCATAAGGTGAATGAAAAACTATAACATTAAATCTAACGGAACGTTAAATCATGACGTTGTCAGCTCAGCTTTACGCGCATTATTCAAATTAATGGCTGTTGAATAGACGTAGGGGATTGTCATTTTACACATGTAGTCATGGCAATGTTGCCGCGCCACTCGCGTACATAAATTTATGCTAATAGTAAACTGATTAACTAATCAGTAAACTAATTATCATTATTCGTTTCCCACAAAAATTTTACCATTATCAAAAGGGAGCACTTTTTGTTGTAGTACTTCAGAAACTATCGAATGCCAGAACCATGTTCGAAGGGAAAAGCTTTGTAATAGTTACAGGGTCTAGCAAAGGTTTTGGCAAAGCTGTTACAAAATTGCTAGCCAGTGAGTTTTCTCAGAACGAAAATGCAAAAAAATCAGTGTTTGTGCTAGTGGCTCGGTCTAAGCAAGAATTAGAAGAAACAAAAAATACTGTGCTTGAAATGTCGAGTTGTGCAACTGGTAATACACTTTCATGTTTATTACTTTGAAATTAATGAAAACAAATATTTTCCTACCTAAATGGTAGTAAGTAATCTCAACCTCACATGGGATGTTTTTGTTTAACTTCTAGTTCATGTAGTTGTGGCCAACCTGGCTGACTTGAACAGCTTGGATAATGTGATCTCGTGCATACTCTCTTTGGTATAAATAACCACATTGATCAAGTATTTTACGGCCAATATAACCTATTGTAGTATGTTGCTTATCTATTTCGTGTTTCAATTTTAGAGCAATAACCCAAGTGATTATTCTTGTGCTATGTTATTAAACAATGCAGCTTGTGTTGGTGACAAACTCATGTCCATTTCTGGTGAAAACAATCTTTCTGACATTCGAGAATATATGGATTTTAATATCACATCCAGTGTATATTTGACGTAAGCAAGAATTTTACATGGAAAACCTCCAATTCATAATTTTACAATGTTCTATTTTATTTAGTTTCACATATTATATTTCCTTTATTTTAAGGTAACTATTCCTTATTCCATTTTAGTTCATGTTTTATCAAGCATTTTTCTTCAATCAAGACCTATGTCATTAATATATCATCATTATGTGCTATTCAAGCAATGCCTTCTTTATCTCTTTATTGTACTGGAAAAGCTGCTCGGGACATGTTTCATCAAGTCTTAGCTAAAGAATCGGTAAAGGTGTATTTAATACAACTATACTTAAGGATTATATCATTTCAGCCTTCTCTATTCAGAGTGACATTCGTGTTTTGAATTATGCACCTGGACCTATGGATACTGCAATGTATGACAAGATAATTAAGGATTCTGACAGTGAACATATAAGAAATTCTTTTTGTCAGCTAAAATCTGAGGTTGGTTTTTTGCGGTAATAAACTGATGAACATTTTTATTCAAGTCTTGTAATTTTTTTGCAGAAAAAAATTTTAAAACCAGAAACTTCAGCCAAGAAACTTGTCCTTATATTAAAAGAAGATCGTTATCAGTCTGGCAGGCACATTGACTACTTTGACGACATGCCTTAGAAAAATTCTATAAAACCTAAGTGTGTAGAATAGTGTTACCACTTTCACTTGTGCATGAAAGTTATTTCATTTTCTGATCAATAACAACCAAAACAAAGAATATCTCATCAATTTATTGTAGAGGATAACCTTGTATTAAACTGAGTATCTATCTAGTATATGAATAACATGATGTAATGAAATTTACCTCTTGACTGCATGATATTTGAAATGAAATGATGATATGGCTACAATTCAATTAAATTTATGTCTAAAAACATTGCCTGTATATTTAAAATAAAATATTTGACCTCCTATTAATTTCCTTCTTATTCACATTCTCTGTATGTTGTTCATCTTCTCGTTGCCTTTGATTACCATTACTTTTAGAAGGGTGGAAATTCTAGATGATTTCATGGAGACATTACTATCGCTTGTAAAGGAATTTGATGACTTATTTTGCAAGTCAAACTTATCCAAGCGGACAAAAGTTCCATGTTTAGGTTTACAAGAAAAATATTGTTTGCCATTGACATTACCATCATGGTCACCTACAAAGACAAAGATTTAAGAGCAAGTTGCGACGACAATAGTTGGATAGTTGACATACAAAAATAATTTCCTGTCACACATTTGCAAGTTACATAAAATGCATTGAAAAAAATTTGTGGAGCATACTGTCAAGAAGATGATACATACCTATAGGAAGATCTAATTCTACTCCAACCCACTTCCCTGAAGCAAAGTCTGTTGTACCAATGTAACGAATATATCCTATCTTAGAATCATCCAATGATATCATCTGACCAATTTTCAAGTCCTCCACAGTGTAAATCTCTGTTTTAGTAATCTTTGATGCCCTAGTACTATCCAAGATATGTTGAGAAACTGTATCACGACTATCCAATAGTCTATCTGTACTCTGATGTAGGCCAGAGTCAACAGAACCTGACAAAGAGCTCCCATCATGCACAAGTTTTGTACTTGACTCTTTTTCTAGCTTACTGACGCGAAGCGTTCATCTTTTTCATGACAGTTTTCTGGATCTTCCAGATTGATGGGCAATTCAACAAAATTTGTTCTGACATTGGTATCATTTAATTTATTGTGAAAATTGTTATTGGCCTTTGATTCACGTTCCAGGAGGCGCCCAGCGCTTGTTTCATTGGCCTCATACGGAAAAGCGGTTTCAGTAACAGGCTGCGGTGACGAAGGAGAGCTTTGTTCGTGAACAGTCTCGAGAATTATCGTTGGAACATTGCCTTCAGCAGCGCTTGTGTTCAAAAGGCTGGTATCCTGAGCGATGGGTTTATCCCAGTCATCGAAAGAAACCGTCACATGACGAATTGGCTGAACTACTGAACCTCTTCGTGCGGTCCTAATCATAGATAACAAATTCATGCGGGAACACTTGGAGAACATCACGTGGAAAATTTAGGGATTTTCATGCAGAAAAATTAGCGAACGGTAGAAAAAATCTAAAAGTAATAGTGACATATTCCACACAATAGATGAAACCTTACCAAACCGTAATCAACATCAATTGAATCGTTTTTTCCACCAACGGACGAAAGATCAAAACTCTGAACACAGAAGAAACATCAAAAAGAATCAAAACTCGTGCTATAATTGACATTTACCAACAAAAACTTAACTCACCCCTTGCAGTAGATTTGGAGTGCTGGAAAATTTCCTTAATGGTTTTCCACTGGCTGCCAGTTTTTCTTTTACTACAACTTCCTACATTATAAGAATTACGATTGCTCAGATTTAAACTAAATCGATATTCTCAAATTAAGGTGGATATTAAAGTACAACATAGGGTAAAGCGACACCTGGCGTAATTTATCCAGTTTTAATAAACCCTCAACGTGTGATATTCCTCGATGATACTTCTCTAAAACAATCTCATGTTCTTCATCATTTTTGCTAACTGCTGCTGCGGCTTGTTCCGCAAGATTTCCCCTTTCCTCAGTTTCCTCGCCCGGTTGCTAAAACGAGCAAAGTATGCAAGCCTCAAAGGTATATTTAACAACGTATCAAATTGAATTTGATTGCACGATGCGACGTAAAGACGATATGAGAAACTGTTGTTAGATTATGCCATGGAAGCCAAGACAACGACTCTTTGTAACAAAATCATTTAAACTATTTTGCCTATTTACTTAGCCATTTGTTTTAAAAATTGTAGCGAATTTTTGAGGCTATTGAGGAGTAAAATGGTTTGTAAATTGGTAGAAGAGCAACCACATGACTACACTATATTCATGTCGTCTTTGACAGCGCGTCGTTAAATCTAAATCTATAATTACAATAACAACATTGACTGTTTCCTAACCCTTGGTATGTGAGAAACAAGTTCGTATGTGACACAGCAACGAGTTCTGGAATCCTAAAACACAACAAACCCGTACACATAGACTAAATAATCATGTTCGAAAGATGGTGAAAATACAATGAAAAAGATGAAGTAAGAACTTTACCTTCCAAATCCTCTTCATCAAAGTGTCTTTAAGACTTTGCCTTTTGTAAATACGGACAGAGATTCTCTTACGAAGAACAACATCCATAGTGAGAGGACTACTGAGGCGGACACGAGCCTTAAAGAAAATTAATCTTTGAGTTATATTGATAAGCATCACCCATCAACAATTATTTTATTTAATGATGAAAATATACAAAATATACAAGATGGATGGAAGCCATCCAAAAAGATAATTTCCTAATTAACTTTAAATTTTGAACATCGATTGGGACGTGGAGATGGGCAGAACGAAACAACTAGTTGAACTTCAGCATCGCTTTCAACAACACCTACCTTCACAATTAAATAAACTCTCTCCGAATTCAGGGTTGTACGATTGAGGTAAGGTGAATCATGAACGGATGAGTCCCATGAAACTGTAATACAAACCTAGACAAAAAACAAGGCAATTCAAGAACATTCATCGATTAAATAGTATTGTAGCAATGGCATATATACTGTAGTATCTAAAAATGTCCTAGATGAATTACGACGAACTGTAACCATGCAGATAGTGCTACAAACTAACTTACATTCTTTTGATCGTATTTAATAACGGGTAGCTGTTTCATTTTCTCGTCCTCTTCGAACGACAGGCGACAATCCAAACCAGCCACGCTGTTCTCATCAAACGATAAATTATGGATTCCCTCAGCTAGCGAGAAGAAATTGAATAATTAACAAATGGCAGTGCGGAGAATAGCGAATTCCTTGTTCTACAAACTATAGATATCATTATAACATGAATTGAAAAAGTCGATTGACAATTTATAGCTTACCATTCAAATCAAGGAATACAACAGGAGTTTGCCTCTCCATCCCCGGTTGTTCCCTTCTAAAAACAAATTTAAAATAAAAAAAAACCAACAAAATTTAGAATAATGGAGTAAGTCACTGGAGATGTTTACATAGATCCACATTCCCTTCTAACCTGCTAGATGGTGAACCAGGGACACTGCTTCCTGCTTCAGGATGAAGTACAAAGTTCTTTTCTTCAGTTAAGTTTACCCATTGATCAACTAACCATGTTTCACGATCCTTATCCTCGCCTGTTTTCTCTGAAAAAAATATCATGACTAAAGAGTTCCGATACAAGTATTTCTTATCTTATTCAGCAACGTCTGGCTCATGCGATCAATGACGTACGCACCTTTCTTTTCATTCAATAACTGCAGTTGTTCATCTAAATATTCCTGCTTTTTTTTCAATGATTTTGCTAACCTTTCACGTAACCTAAAATGAGATAAAATTATCATCAATAATTTAGTAACACTCTTAGGGAAAGGCACTCCATTGAAAATGAAAGACATTACAAATGTTTCAAAAATAGGCATTTGTTGTGGTGCATATTAGTAAAAACAGTCTTTCTTACACAGATAAATCTTTCTCCTGATAAGAATCCAATGAATCGTCCATTTTTTCTCGTTTACACACACTGCCTGCCTCAACAGACGAGATCGCCTCAATCACGACCGGGAGCGAACCACTCTTCGGTAATGGTCGTACGCCAACAACGATCCTGCGACTTTGACCGTGACGTAACTGGAATATACCTCCAGTGGAGTTATCATTACGACTGCTGATCTCTACAGGAGCAAATACTCCTTGATCATTTAGTTCATGAATTTCTGTCCAGAGATCCACCTTACGTTTTAAGGCATTCCAACTGAAACAAAAAGGAATAAGCAAATTTATATCACAACAAGAACACAGATATGGCTTTAAAATGGTCTCAATTAATATGCCAAAGATAGTGTTAATAAGAGACTTGAAACATAGTCATTCGTCAAAGTTGAACTGTGTTTTCAACACGGACAAACTAAAATAAGGTTATGCTTATCTAGATTACGTCTTTACAACTAACCCTTCTTCAGAGTTGCTTATCACTGGCTCAATAGTTGGCATCCATGATGTATGACTATATCCTTTACTTCTGTTGCCCCAAATCTCAATAGAGAGGGCGCCTTCTGATATATACTCAAGAAAATCTTCAGAAGTTTCGACCTGAAAGATCTAGAAATTGGATTTAAGATTCTTTATATAAAAAAGTTCTTCTCGACAAACAAAGACAAGTACATCTAATAAAACGGGGAAAATATAGCTGAAAAGATTGTAAAAAAGGTTTTACTAATGTTCTGCATAAAAAAATTCTGTTCACACCTGTTCTTCAGAGAAGACCACCGAGTTATTTTTGGAGCCTGGTGATGAGAGTTGCACGACATTGGGTTGATTCCAGAACTCGTACTGACAAAAGACGTAGTTACAGAAGGCAAGAGGAAGATCGTAGGCTTCGAGGATTTTCACCTACAGAAAAGGCAACAAAGCATTAATGAATCACAACTCTTGTTTTATGCAACCATCAGACATTCCATTTGCTTACAGTAACCGTATCTATAAACCTCGTGATGTATTATCTGCAAGACATATCACCTTCACTGAAACAGTCTGACCAACTGAAAGCTCTTCATCTTCATTAGATACCCCCGATGCTTCATCTTGTTCTTGGTTTTCATCGTCATTTGTCGACCCTGCATCAGCTTCTTTACCATCATCCTCCAAGGCACGCGTGATTTCAACTTTAAGCCGACCACATACCTTTTTATTAAATAAACACCATGAAACGGGTGCGCTGATTGGTCTAGAGCCGTGTTTGTATTAGCTTGTGCAACACACATTTGAGCTCAACCAATCAAATCAATCAAAACAATCAATCAATCAAAGAGAATTTGCAAATCGATCATGAATACATTTTAGAGGAAAAATAAAAACGTTTGTCTTTTTTTCGCATTATTTTATTTTATAAAAGAAATAAAAGATGTTTTTCATGTTTGCACTGGCTTATGCAAACCTCGAGGCCGTTCGTGAGAACTCTCGAGCAGGTGCAACCCTCGACCTTCGGTCTCGCGCTTGCACTGATCTGCTCTCGAGTTCTCCCAAAGGTCTCCTCGGTTTGCATAAGCCAGTGCAAACACAGTAAACATCTTTTATTTCTTAAATAGTGAATATTTACTTTTAGATTATAAAAATATAGAAAAATTCTCAGTTATAGTCATAATAATTTGCTATGTTAAACTACCTCTCCTTGTTGACTAATAATCGGAGCGGCATAATCCAGTGGGACATCGAGAAAGATGCACTCAAGATAAACATTAGCAACGCCAATCAATGTATGACATTCGAATTCGAAGAACAAATCATCTTCGACATCAATCTTGAAAGAGGAGAAAGAAATAAAACACGTCCGAACGAAAACTACAACAAAATAGACATTTCCATTAAGTCTATATATAATTTAATTTTTTAATAAAGCCCTAACACCATAAGTGGTTGTAACTATTATAACTATTATAATATGTTGGTGCAAGTGTGTGCTTAGATATATTTAAAAATTTATTGTGCTTTTAATGATTGTAGGATGCAGGAACGAGGACCTCACTGAAAAAAACACGTAAGTGATACTGTCATCCTGAATAAACAAAATTAAAAGGACATAGATAACATCCTAATGCTTTACCTTTGTATGTCCTTCTTCAATCTGATTATAAGCGTCTCTCATGTCATAAATTTTGTTAGAAAGCTTATCTAATGACCAAACTAAAAAAATAACATTGATATTAGTGAAAAGCTTTCTAAAGAACAAAAATCAACACTACACAGTAGGCTTACATTGAGTTCCTTTATTTTTCCTTTTGACAACAATGGCCACCTCACTAGCAGCAGTAGTACGACTTCTGTTTAAACTGAGTCCAGATGTCGGAATCTATGAAATATAAAGTGCAGAGTGAAAAAAATTGCAAGGAATTGCAAACACAATCAATTCACTGGCCGTACCTGTAGAGTAACAGCAAACACCGTATCCCGTTTCATTTCTTCGCTCAATTGGTTCGCCTCTCTGATAAGACATAAATCCTCCATTCTTATTTAATCGTTACATGACCTATGTGTAATCTTGTAACTACTTTTTTTTCATCCAATAATCCATTAATATAACATCATCTCAAACCTCACTAAAGCGTTGGCCTGTATAACTTCTTCTTTTAGATTTTCCAAACATCGTTCCTGCTCCATATTATCTAGGTCATCGTTTACAGACAGCCGAGAGGAGCTTATTCCCGATGATCCAAAAGATCCGAGACTGACGGTCCTTTCTGGGCGAAATGCTGGATTCATTTCAAAACGCATTCTTTCAATTTTTTCCTCATACATTTGTTTCTGTTTCACGAGAGCCTCTGCAACATTAAGAAATATTCAGCTTTTTGTTTAACGAGATTACAATACATTAATTAAACGTGGTTCATTGAAATGTACTGAGTAATCTAAGTGTAATTGTAAAATATTTCCAAGAATGTACCTTCCTTGTCAATCTTATGTTTTTCCTCAAGAAGCGCTAAAGCGTTATCACTTATGTCTACAGATGAGTATAATGAAGAGAAAATGATATAGTAAGGGGATCACATTACTGGGGGGACGTCTTATGTATACAAATAAGTATTACAAGGAGTATATGATATAATTAGGGAATCACTATATATAATCATAATGAGGAGTAAATCATATAGTTAGGGGATCACATTAGTGGTGGTATCCAAACTATACCTGACGTCTTATCATTTATACAAATCTCTCTTTGCGCAAACTCATAATCTACCAGCTGTTCAGGTTCAACCACTACACAAACAAGGTTAAGAAAGTTATTCATGATATCTACTCTAAAAATTCCCAATTATATCGGGAAGAATTCAAACTGACCAGATCCAGGAGGACGGGGACAATTAATGCGGAAAAGGTGATTATTCCCCCACAATACCCGGTCACCATGATGTAGTAGAGTTTTCTCGGTGATCACAACCCCATTACGATAAGTCCTGAAATTAATATCATCATTGGTTATAGCTAGATTATCAACACACACACACACACACACACACACACACACACACACACACACACACACACACACACACACACACACACACACACAATTGCCCTTGGCAACATTTCATTCTTTCTTCATCTAATACCTCGCATTCTCAAACGGCGTGATATATACTTCGTTTGAAACAATTTCAAGTGTGCAATGTTCTGGTAAAATACCAAGACCTTGCAGCTGAATATCCTATAAAATTTAATTACGTCGTTGTCATACAAAACACGCATCCCATCACAATGATGATGCGTACGCATGCTTTACGTTCATTTAATGATGTCTGAAATACAAGAAAAAATTCTTACAGTATGATTAGCAGCGTCATGTCTTCCGACCACAGTCCGCTCCTTCAAATAGTAGACAAGGAGTTCGTTAAGAGAAGGATCGGCGTTCAAATTCACAAGATAAAACTTGTTCTTTTCAACAGCAATACCAGAAGATTGAATGGATATCCCCATTTCCTCCAAGGCTTTATGACGTTCCTGAAAACAATAATCGTCTCCTATGAAGTACACGGACGATATTCATTAAAAAAATCTTTCTAGGTCTTGGAAACTTTAACAAGGTGCATTTTAGAAATAAGCAAGCACAAAACTTGATTACTGTTTTAATTACGTATGTTGATCATCATCTCCATCCAGTCGTCTTACGATCTGTATTTCACTGCCAACCTTGTAAGCCTACCAACCTGTTTAATGATCTCGGTATTTTTTTGTTTTTGTTCCCAGGACATGGTAAATTCCTCCATGAGATGTTCGCTCTCAGTCAACTTTTCTTTAATCTCATCCTTCGAATCAGAAAATCCTTTTATTTTAAGGATTTGTTTCAAACGTTCCACTTCCTCACGAAGCTCACGGATAATCTGCAACAGAATGTTAAAGAGAATGGTTACAAACAAGGAGTATCGTTACATGTTTGCAGATGTTAATCGTCTTGAGAAGGAACATTGGTGTTGGTGGTGTTGATCGACCCTTGCTAAGGATAACGAAACGTCAGTCAACACCAGCAATCCTTCCAAGAACTTGCATCTGAGAAACTAGCCTGAGTCATCAACATGTGAATAAAGTGTAAGAAAAAGCAAGTGTCACTTCTGTGCATGGTAAATGACATTGTAAAAATTCAACCATTTTCCCAGCATTTTTTAAAGACGAAATGAAATAACTCTACGTGTATGTCAAAACACGATAAATAATTTTGATACCTTAGCATTTGGATCTTCATTTACAATAGCGTGATTCACGATTCTCTTTGCTCTGTCAGCATATCGTAGTGTTGACATTGTCTCTTCATAGTTATCCGCCGCTGGACTGATGGTGGCCACCATTACAGTTTTACTGTTACCACCAAGGTTATCCTTAAAAATTTCACATCATTACACCCACCATAAACTAACAGTAAAAGCCACATGCCCGACAATGAGAAAGTAAAAACACTCATGGTAGTAAATATTTATATTTTGATCTGCAAATAAAATCAACATAAATTTGTTTCTAATGGGAGCAACAAGATTTCTGATACTTACATTCGTTCACATTACGTAAGCACTATTTTAAAAATTTTAATTCCCTGTTACCTTAAGCAACCATGTCAATACTGAATCTCTGTAAGGGACGAATAGCGACTTCTTTGCTTTTCCCAAGGACTACAATGTTGAACATAAACAAGACAGTGAAAATTTGACAAGAATCTTGAATGAAAGTATGTATAAAAATTTGCTTACCTGATCAGCTAGGGCAGATATGACTAAGCCTAAAGTATGAAGAGACCTAAAACAAAAAAGTTTTTTTTACATTGACATGAGCAAAACAGTCAAAAGTTGCATGTGAACTTCTTCATACTTGTTGATGTTACTTCCTTCTCGTAGTCGGTCACCAGTAGTTCCAGTTTTACTTGCCCTCTCACTACCAGCTAAATCAACTAGACTTAGTTTGCTTGCCTTCTCTCCTGTTGTCTAAAAGTTATGAAGTTTTTTGTTTAAAAAACAAACAATCATCGAAAACAAGAGGGGAACCTTGGTATACATGTAAAGCATATACCTGAGTTTCTTGATCAAATTCAGCCTGAGTAAGGACAATGTTAAACACGGCATGTGAACGACTACTCTCTGAATTCATGTTTGTTGCTGCAACAGTCCGAGATTTATTTCCTTCTACCATCAATGAATCAATGTCCTAGAGAGAAAAAAACAATTTAGCGCCAAGCTCTTAGATTGAGAAGAATGACAAGCTACCTTGACATGAGTCAGGGTTAGTATGGGAGAGTTGATAGACAATTGTAGTTATAATTTGTTACAGATAGTTGAAAAGATGATGCTGGTTCGGGTGATTTAAAAATTTCGTCACCTGAAACGATGACACAACAAGCTTGGTAAGACCATCAACATAAGGTCCTGTAACTTTATGTTCTCTAACTTTCAGAGTTTGTTTTCCTCTAAATCAAAAACATTGAAATCTATTTTTAAAAGTTCTTAAAAAAATCTACAAACTGAAACATTTATTGAACAGAAAAATTTATCAATAAATATCATCAAAGAGCAGACCAGTGGGGCACATATCAAAGAATAAGGATGTACTATATTCCCAGAGAACACTTTCTTGTCCACATGCAATTTATGGACCAACTTTTTCGACATATTTCACAAAAGATAGAGAGTGCCACACACCCTACCCCACTGCCAAATTTTTCTTTACAGAATGAGAAACTTACCCTCGAGGATTAAGTAAATCTCTGACTTTCTCATTATAAATTTCTATGTATGAGACTTCCACTTTGAAGGAAAAGTTATCATCCTTGTTCTGTAGAAAATCACAGGAAACATTTGGTTAATTGGAAGAATGACTGAATGTTATTGAATATTGTTATTCTATGATTTACATTAGATATTCTCTCAAAAAGATCGTCACAGAGACGAGGGATAATTCCTGTCTGTGTTGAAGATCCCATCATTGTGTATGACTTGCCAGAGCCTATAAATGTTCATTATGTTAGATTATAATCAATGTCAAAACTTTCAAAAAAAAAACATACATATTTCATGTGAATTGCAGTACTTACCAGTTTGACCATAAGCAAACAAGCAAGCATTATATCCATTGAAAGCATTGGATAACACATCTGTTCCTAAACACTTATAGACTTTTTCTTGACCTGGAACAATAAAATGTTGATTATTCATAAAAAACACAAAATATATGAGAGCATGCCTCCAACTTACTAGCAAATTTTGGATCTTTCTCATCCATTGACCAAAAACAGTGGTCATATGTGAATGTCTAGAAAACAAGCAAATAAATTTAATGTCATTTAACAAAATGTACAACATTGTACACAAGATCACCACACAATATTTATAGCAAACCTTTGTATTTTCTTTCCTGAAATAGAAGATGTGATATATTGTTAAGAAAAAAACCCACATGAGTTTATTAACTAACATGCTTGTCACAAGATTTCAGCCACTATTTATCCCCTTTATCTATTTCATAGTAAGGCATTTGTTTTAGAAACTAGAAATATCCCAACAAGAATGAAATAGCAGGAGATTAAATACTAAGAGTCTGAAGACAATAGCTGTAGTTCTGTCATAATGAAAAAAAAAACAATCTGAGGTGCAAAACATTATACGCTGAATCAACGAGAACATGTCAAACAATCAACTTCTCACTTCAAATATTGGACAAGACTGTATTCTACTTGAAAAAGGGCATCAAGGTCATTATTTCATGATATATTTGTAAACTGTTTATTTGACGAATGTTTATTATTTAAGTTTAATGAAAACGCTTTGTTGCAATGTTATCATTCCAGATCGGTAATTTTGTCATCGGAAAAAGCATTGTTTCCCTTAATTATATTAAACAAGTTTTGATTTTCAAGTGCAATAGTAAATGTCAACACATCTTTACTCTATAGCTCATAAAAAAATTTTAAAAGTGAAAAAGTCCAATCTACTAAACCCTATAAACAGTCATGAACATGTACATCAATAACATTGCAGTAATACAAAAACTTTTTGACAAGAGCCGGTGTATAATTAGATCTTTCTTTAATCTTCCACGTAGAAAAGATAGAAAAACAATGATTGACTTCTATGTTGTACAAAATAAGTAGAAGAAACTAAACATAGCAAGCAAAACAATCTCTAAGTTGAAAGACTTCTAAAATCATAGTTGTTCTATAGACGAGGAAGTTTTAAGCACGATTAATATGAAATTAAAATGTATACTTGTCTTTTGCTGTAGGATGTCTTAGCCACGTTTGCGTATCGTCCATTTCGATGATAATTTTAGTGCCCAAATCAATTTCTGGGACAAACAGAAATTCAAGCATCAATTTACAACAAGCTAACAAGGTCACATAATAAAAACTATACGATGTATACCTCGAGTATTGAAAGGGCGAACTCGAACAGCCACTTTAACTTTGTCTGACATCTTCAACTACTTGGAAATATTCGGTTTTAAAATACTTTCAGAGCACGCATCGATTTACTTATGTCTTTAAACGACTTTTAAACCGTTCACTTTTATATAACAAGTGGCCAGTAAAGACAATTTATTTTCTTACATCAATAACATTATATTCGAACTATTATTCGAACATTCTATTGCCAACTTTATCTCCGATGAACTTGGGGTATAATCACCGGACGGAATAAAAGGTACGTGTACCATTGAACTAAAATGGATCTGGAACGATAACTCAAAAATCCGTAGCTAAGTTTTGTTACAATACTCATTGACTTGCTGTAAATTATAAACGTAATATTGGTATTATCTGTTAATTTGGACACTCATGCATCGTAAAAAATACTCTGATTGTCTGTCATTTTGAGTTTCCTATAAATACAAGACGTAATTTGGATTGTGTTTTTTCACCAATTCAGTAAATATTGTAAACTATTACGATAAAAAATAAAACAACCATTTATTTTTGAAACATTAAACAAACTACGCCAAAAATAGTTGCGCAGAGACAGACTTTAATTGCAAGTCATTTATATTATTGTCATTTTGAGATTCTTACCCACTTTATTATGTTCCAATTCTTTTCATGTTCATTCGTTGTTTGTTTCACCTGGCTGTGTGAAAACTGAAAAGTGATTGATGTGAACTAAGATCATTTGCTGGAATAATTTCATCGGTTATTTCGATGGAGTTTCAAGCATTTTATTGCATGTCTTTTTAAGAGCTCTAATTGGATAAAACTTGAAAACATTGAGATTGATCCCAAATGAGTGAAAGCTCTCATTTGTGTTTCTTTATCACATTTTTCTTTGAAAAAAAAGTAATTAAAAATGAAAAACATCTTTTTACTTTTATGACAAGCCAGTAAAAGAGTAATTGATTAAGAAGTGACAATTTTTTTAAATAATGGTTTCATATAAATCCTCTTTTGTTTGCTCAGATTTTGCAACCGTAGATACACAAATCGTACATAAAGGTTGATACTTGAAAGCCGAACAATGGCTAATGCATGAGGTGTTTATAGTAAGCAATAGACCAAGAGGATTAAATTTATTTCTTAATGGAGAAAAGGCGAAATCTTGCTAAATTCAACAAACAGCTAAATAGCCTGGTCAATATATCATCACATTGCCCTAGAAAGTTACTTGAACTTTCCAACAAACTAGTTAAAACAATTTTCTTTCAGTGAATTCAAGGCTTTCTTCACCAAATATCGATTTAAAAGTAAATGTACCTATTGACTTATTCTGCTATAGAGTTTTGTTTATATTTCAATGACGTCCTAACAACAGTGTGCCCCAGTTCTCTTTGTCCTCAATCGAGTCCATTACCCGCAACGCTTTGCGTGTCGAAAACACGTTCTGAAATCAAAGTTTGTTATTCAAAGTCAGCGAACAAAATACGAAAATAATTTCAAATTACAGAGAACAGAAGGGCTTTACTCTACGGAGGGCCTAAAATGCCACAAAAAGCGTTCAGTTCTGGTGCGAATGCCGTTCCTATGGGAAAACTCCATCCGGTTTTAGCAGCGAAGAGACAAGACTCTACTCAAGATGGTGGACAAAGGCCCCCCTTGCCCTCTTCTGGTTATAAATCCCCAGGGCCCTTTTTACCACTTCCTCCTCCCCCTAGCGACACTCAGGAAAGGCCTCCCCTTCCAATTCAAGCTTACCCTGATGGAAATAAACGTATTGGAAAGACTCCTGGTAAATACTTAATTATTTTTCAAAGATCTAGATTAAGTATAATTGACATAGTTGGAGTTTATCCATCATGAAAAAGAAGTTATTAATATTTTAGTTGATCAAAGTTAGTCAGGGTATACTTTAGATAATTGCATACATGCTAAACAGCAGGGGGGGTTTGTTCATAGATTTTCCAGAAAAGAAGAGGAAAAAGCGAAGCCGATGGCAGAGCGAAGAAAAGAAAATGATTATACCTGGAATGCCAATGTGTTTACCAACTGGCATGACTGACGAACAAAGAACAACATATATAAGTATGATGATTGTATGAAATATGGAATTTTGTCTTGTTTATTCTTATAAATGTATATTTTATAGCTCACCTTAGGATAGAAGAAATAAGTAGACGATTGCGGACTGGTGATTTAGGAATTCCTGATAATCCCGAAGATAGGTTTGAGGAATATTGGGTTATTAATCTTGAATATGTACTCTTGGCATCATGTCTCTGTACAAAATATTTTTAAGATCTCCATCGCCTGAACCGATCTATAATTCTGAGGGAAAGCGCCTGAACACAAGGGAGTTTAGAGTTCGTAAAAAGCTGGAAGAGGAACGGCATACTTTAGTTCAAGAGGCAATGACAGCAAATTCCGATTATAAACCTCCTGGAGATTATAAGTAAATGATTCAGAGTTCCTAAAATTGAAATGTTTTGAAAAATATAATGGAGAGTCTATTGTTAAATTGTTGAATTTTTAGTATTAACCTGATCTTTTCAGATATTTACTTTTTTGTTAAAGGTTGTGTTAGTGCTCTTGAATAAAATATTTTATTCTAGGCCTCCAGCTACTCGTATACAAGAGAAAATCTTCATTCCTCAAGATAACCATCCCCATGTTAACTTTATTGGTTTGTTGATTGGACCAAGGTATTGTACCCATTAACTGCTTTTAACTTAATACACTACTCTATTGTAATATTTATAATCTACATTTTTTTCTAGAGGTAACACTTTGAAAAAGACAGAAAAAGAAGTTAGTTGAATTGTTAAAATGATTGTTATGTAATCTGAACTTACTTGAGGATTGTCATTGTCATTGTTAAACAATATGTTGTTGTATGTTCTTGCATTTAGACAAACTGTAAAATAATGATTCGTGGTAAAGGTTCAGTTAAGGAAGGGAAGGTTTGTGAGTCTTGTTTTGTTGAGTGAGTGGCTATATGTTGCTTAGTGATAGGTTATGAAAGATTATTAATAATGAAATGTAATAATTAGGGACGAAAAGATGGTCAACTGTTACCTGGTGAAGATGAAGAACTTCATGCTCTTGTTACTGGACAAAATCATGAGTCAGTGAAAAAATGTGTTGATTTGGTATGGTAAAAAGATTTAAATGATTTGAATTCTTTGCTTCAACATGAATTGTTGATCCTTGCTAATCATAGATCAAGAAAATCATCAAGCAAGGTGTTGATGCGCCAGAAGGTGAAAACAGTTTGAAAAAGCTACAGCTTCGTGAGCTTGCTGCATTAAACGGTACACTTCGAGATGAGGACATAATCAGATGTAGAAATTGCGGATCAGTTGAACACAAACACTGGGAGTGCCCAGAGCAACCAAATTTTACTGCTACTTTAACATGTACCAAGTGCGGAGCGAGTGGTCATATTGCAGTGGATTGTATTGTCACTCAAAAAGAGTAAGTACAATAACATATTATGTTATAACATCTAAATAAGCACGACTTTCCTCAAATATTTGTTGCTTGCATCCTGTTATAAAATGAGATCTTATCTTTCCTCAGGCTAACTAACATTTTATCTGCACCACCACTACAGGATAGTGCGAAGATGGATAGTGAGGTATGACCAGGGATGCTAAATACCCTCTACAGCCCCTCAAAAACATGTAATGGATCAAAAGGAAGACATATACCAGCTGTCATTATTGTTTTATTTAATTTTCACTTTTTTATTGCAGTATATGTCATTGATGGCTGAACTAGGTGAAGGACCAGAGGGAGGTGGACCCCCTGCAGTGCAGTCCCCTCCACAACCCCCTCAACAAGTGGTAGTTCCAGCACCACCACAACCAATTCCAAGACCCTTACGTACACAAGTTCCAGGACCCATTGGAGTTGGAAATATAAGACCAGGTCCTGGAGGAAAAAGTCCCACCATGGGACGACAAGTAAGATAACTATGACTTATATTTGATATAAATAACATCAAATATGTAATGACATCTTCAAATATAGCTTGGGAATAACTTGCCCCCATGGAATTCGACCCGACCACGTGCTCCTAAACCTCTGATGAGCTCACCTGTACCTCCACCTCCTAACTTGAGCAGAGGTCCACCACCAATTCCTGGAAGTTATCCATGGAACGCATCATCTCCTGGCAACCAGGGAATGTCCGGTGGTCCACAACCATATGGAGTACCTGGTAATTTTGGTGATAATCAAAGTTATGTGTACATGTATATTATACAGTTGACTTGTTTTAATATGTAAATTGTCTTTTTCCCTTGTTTAATTGTAGCCCCTCCAGGAATTTCCAATCATCTACCTCCTCCACCTGGACAACAGAACTCTTGTCCTCCACCTCCACCTCCACCAGGTCAAAGTAACCCACCACCACCATGGCAAAGTCAATCAAGTATGCTCATGGTAAAATATAAAGGTTCATATTACATATTCATAATGTACATTGCTTTATCATTTAGATCCGTGGCAGTCATATGGATATACACCTAGTTACCCTTCATATCCTACTCAACCTCAACCTCCACCTCCACCACCCCCATCTTCTGATTCTTTACCCGCACCACCTCCATGGGTAAGTGTTTTTCAATTCAAAACATCTTTATGATGAGGCACTCCATTATTTTGCTAAATGCTTATCATTGTTTTTAGGCCCAGGCCTTAATGGCAGCATCACAGCCTCCGCCTCCACCTCCACCCAGTTAAAGGCTGACTGACAACATAAGAAATGTAATAATGTTTTAATTCCTTAAAGAAAATGTCATTGTTTGTGGTCTGTCATTTAAATTGGGCTTGTCATTTGAACTGTGATGTCCAAGCTATAATATTATCTCTATTAACTGCTTTTTAATGTCGCACAAGAGTTGTTGATAATATGGATGATAAAGTTTAGTTTCATACGTATTTATAATAAAATAGAGAATTTGCTTTGGCAAAATTTGAAGTGCCTGTAAACCACGTGATTTAGCTTACCGTGAATTGCACATATGATGAATTTTTATGCTAAAATCTGTTTTTAATCGTGGAGTAGTTTCATTCGTTTTGTGGTAGTTATTGAGGCAGAGAAAGGAAAACAGACTCTAGCTATTTTTGGTAAGCTAAATCCAAATGAGACAATTCACAATAAATGTCAAGTCTTTTACATAGTGTTGTTATTTTTTTCAAAGGGCGTGAAGCAACATTGCAATTGATTTATCTTTGTTAAGTGTTTATCCCCTATAAAGAAATATATAGCGTGAAAAACGTTGTGGTCTCCTTCAAAGATATGTCACTGAGGGGGTTGGGGGAAATGGTTTCTGAAAGACTTAGAATCCTGCATTATAACTTGCTAGGTGGTACACGAAGTCATAAGGTTAAAAATATAATTTAATTATAAGGTTAAAAATATAATTAAATATAAAATAAAGGAATCCTACAATCAACTGAATCCAAACAATCAAAATGATACCCCGTGGTAACCAATTGTTATTGGAAAAACAAATGGAAAATATAACCATTTTCCTTACAGTAAACAGGTTCCCAAATTCAAAATATCAACCCTCTCAAATGACGATAATTTTGAAAACCCTGCAAATTTTGCTGCTTAGGAGAGGTACAATCTCCAGTCTCCACCTAACGCATTCATTCTCTATTTTTTACTGATCATTACCCTGTTGCATATCGACAGTAATTACAAACTCATAAGCATAATTGACGTTTTAAAGTGAAGCAAGAACAAGCATTGTCCATTTGCATTCTTCACTAGATTTTGCCAATCACTTGCATTCAAAGGAGTAATCTGATTCATCTAGATTCCACTTCTTTCGTCACCATTTGGTGTATCTACTCTTAGTCAACAATGACCAAAACTGTGTCATATGTCAATTAATTTATTTCATATCCGGTATTGAAGTGATTCACGTCTGCTCATCTCATCAAACGTTGACAGCTTGCTATTGATAACTGCCGAAGGGAATCTGACAGTAATATGTCGGTGGAAAGTGACACCGGAGTTACGCCTTGTCGTCTTTCGGATAACTGGAAACTGCGCTTAAAACGCCTGTGTTCTCAATGCCAGGTAACGTAGTCCTTGTCACTCTTACTTTCTAAATGTAGTGTCTACACTATTTAAATTGCCAAGAAAATATTCTGAAATTGCCACATATTTCCCGTATCTTTAAGCAGCATGCTATGGGACATCGATAATACAAATGCATATGATTTCACCGTCACACGACTGTCACCATTAATATTAATATTGATACACTATCAATGGATCGTTGTCAACGATTTTGCAATTTTTATGTCAGTCTGAATAGTTTTGGCACGTTAAATTACTAGCCAGCTAACGTTTTTCCCGTTTTGTTTGTTTAAATCTTTGTTCATGGCTGCCTTATCGTTTTGAATGATATTTTAAAGAACTAAAGTAGATTTTCTCCTCGTGTCTTCTTTGAGAGCCATTACTGTTTGCATGAGCTTTGCGAAATTGTTCCGCTTTTCATGTGGTGTAACTCTTCATTTTTCTATAAGGTTTTGAAAGGAAGAATGTCAATATGATGGACAAGTAGGAGATATTTATGAATATTAAATTTTAATGCTCCTTTCAAAGATATCTGTATGGCACAGTTAGTGGATGGAGATAATTCCACTATTGAAACTTCCCTTGATGATGTGCTTGTTACTGCATTACGTGAGAATTATGAGATCAAAAGCGGTTGCCATGTAGACCGCAATGAAATACTTCAATTCCTGCGCTCTGTCATTGGAAATCATCCTAAGCTAGGATTTGTGCTTCAGTATCGAGACACAAAACTGTCAAGTCGAGTTTATAAAGCTTTTCCAAAAGTGACTACAAAGAGAATTGCTGTATCAAATATCCGTGGCAAGAAAATATATCCTTTTAATTGTTGTGTTAATGTTTTACTGCTTTAATAAAAATATATCTAGAGCTAACTTATTTTCTATAGTTATATCATTGCATCTCCCAGTGGAATAGTGATTGGTTGATTCTTTAACAGAAACCTAGATGGACTTACACCAATTTACAAAGAATAAGAGGGCAAGATTGCCAAGAACCAAATGATGCTAAATTGCCTGAAACAAAGTTTACTGACTTTGATAAAATGGGCACTCCATCAACAAACCAGAAACAAGGAAAGACATTGTCTAAGAGAAAGAAGAATTTTCACTTTGCTTCCATGGTTGAGCGAGAATTGTTGTTTGATCAATATCCAAAGAAATTTGAACGAATTGAGAAGACAAAAGGAAAGAATGATTCACCATCTCAGTATTCATTCCTTGGACGCTTTCATGAGATGTCGAAATGGTACATTTTATATTTTATTGATCCCGTAAACAGTACTTTAAATGAATTTCAACTCTTTGTATTTCTAGGATAAAAGATCATTTTATCATGGAAAGAAATTCTTCTGTTCAAGTCAAACATGTTGTGGAAAGAATTAGAACAGAGTTTAAGATTAACATTACCTATAAACAGTCACATAAACTGATATTTTCAGTTTTTCCAGGGGTTTCAAGTTATGTACAGCATCCGGTTAAAATTGAAACTCATGGTGATTGTTATTTGTATGAAGGTATCTGTCCAAAACCAGAAAATGGATCACCCAATTCCAATGAAAGTGGACAAAATATAAACATGATACATGCCAGAGACATGTTGGATATGATGAGTAGTTCTGATGAGAGCACTGTTGACAATAAAAAACGAGTGTTTCGCACTCGTAAAAGGTTCATTGAGGCATGTGCAGTACTGAAGCCTGCTGAGGATGCCATAATTTCATCAAAACAACTTCCCAGCACAGCATCTACTCATATGCCAAAGGTGGTCACCGAATCATCATCTGAGTCAAACACTTATGAAGATGGTAGTGAAACTTTTAAGGACTTGCCGAAGAATTCAGATGTCTTGTCAAGGTCAGAAGTGAGCACTATAGATACATCAGAACCATATGGAATGTCAGAGTTTAATAATGTGGAAAGGTGTGATTGGCCAAGGCTGTATGAGGAAATGAAACAGGATAGAGATCAGGCAATTTTGGAAAGAAATCAAGCTATGATTTCCTTGATGGAAATTGAAATCCCACCGCAACATCAGATGAACTGGGCATACAATCAGTGTTCTAAATGGCCACAGAGGTCAAGCAGATCATTAAGAAATCATGACTTTGATGAATACTGTCTTGGGCTGGTAAATGTTTTTTACATTTATAACAACGAAATCCACAATGTCAGTTTGTTGGTTGCCATTGCAGCTGTTAGTGAGAGTGTTTTCAACAGCAATATATTAATCTGCCACTGTCATATATCTTCTAACTGTTTTCAGAACAACCGTTACTGCTCTGGACAAGGTTCCTCTGGTCAATCCATGAAAATGGATCGTTTCGAACGAATGAAATGGGAACGTGATGCACTGTGGAAAACTTGGACTGACAGAATAACAGCAGAGAAAGATGGTGTTATTCAGCAACTTAAGTTGGATAAAATGGAGGTGGTAATCAGTGCTCTCACAATCAAATTTCTTAGTTCCTTAGAAAATGCCTAAAAATTTCTCAAATTTCCATTAAATTCCTTAAATTTGTAAACATTACTGCAAGGCGTGATCACATAGGCTCAAAAAGTGTTTTTTCAATGGTTTTTCTTCCTTTTTTGCTGTTTTCAAGTTTGTTAACGTTGTATTTGTAAAGAAACATTAAATATTACTAAGTGTATGTTAATTTAAAGTATAAAAACATCCTTAAAAATATCCTTAAAACCTTTAGAAAATGCTATTTTTAAGGATAATTCCTCAAAAATGAGAGCACTAGTGGTAATTGTTGTTGTTCAAATGATGAGAAGTTATGTATTGGAAGTTTTAACAGCTAATAAAAGGATCTGTATTTTCCTTTTAGGTGATTCAACGAATGGAATTAGAGAAAAGTGATGCAGTCGAGTGTGTGGAAGAGAAACTGACGAATCAGATTACGATTCTAACGCGAGAAATGAGGGAACTTAAAGAACTATTGAACCACACAATGAACGAGAGAGAAGCTGTTATTGAATACGCTTATAAATTAAAAGTAAGTTTAGCATGTGTTTTGATTAAATTTCAAAGTTTCAATTCCATCCCAATCTTCCGCAATTTATTTTTAGACACTCTTCCTTATTGAAAGCAAGAAGTGTATAATTAATTATGCTAGGATGAAGTGTATAATTAATTATGCTAAGATTCGTTTTTTACGTCACGTGTCTTTATATATACACTTCACGAGCCCATCATTGTCATTTGATTTTTTTAGAAACTATTGGATGAGGATAAATTAAAAACAGAAGGCTTAGAGACGTTTCCTCTTGAGGCAACCGTCGACAATGTGATTAAGTTACGACGTCAGGTATCAAGAAAAGTCGTTTTCTTCTCTGAAACGTTAAGTTTAGCGTGCTTCGTATTTATTTATAGAAAGAAGTTGGTGGTGTTGAGTCTAGCGTCAAATCCATTTCGTCCAACGTTAAAAATAACAAAAGGTTCGTGTGCCATTCATTCCATAACAATTCATTTCACCTTTTGTGTCATAATTGAAATTTCTTTATGCTTATAGCTTCTCTTTATGTGTTTTCCAGGAAACAGACAATTCCAGCTAAACTGAAGAAATCATTCCGACGTACTAATTATTTTTATGAAAACGCTTCAGTTTGCGATCAATCTTTGAGTGCCAGATCTACTCGTATTATCGATAATGAAGAGCTGTACAATAAGAACAACAAAGTTATTTCAAATATTGACAATGTAACACAAGATAGTTGTAGCCGTGATGCTATCGATGAAGATGAATGTTCGAATATACTTGATAAAAATGTTACCAATTCAACGAATGATTTGAATTCTGACGATATAATTGAAGAAGGTTTGGATGATGTGAACGTAGTCAGTATGGCTCTTGATGATGTTAATGACGAAAAAGCTCGTGTTGATAAAATGGAGATCACCGTCTCGTCTTCAAGCACTCAATCTTCTCTACTTCCTTTACAAAAAACTTCAATTGATGAAGTTGAAGATGGTAAAAACAGGATAAGCGATGTAGGATCAATCCAAAATAATCCATTTCAAACGGAGGATCCTGATGTGCTGAATAAAAAACAGTTGTTTGGCGAAAAAGCCTTTCAAGGAATCCAGAAATCAATCACAAATATTAACGGTGATTCTGAAAACTCTGTGTGCTTGGTAACAGCGTCCTCGAAAAATGAGAACACACGAAGTTTCGAGGAATCTATGAAGTCCACGTTTATGAAATATTTGCCAGAAATTTCTGACAATTCCCACGGTTCGTCAAATCACCCACAATCCAGTGATTCTCCGAAATATTTTCAACATTCCAGAAATCTCTTTCACGACAATGATGAAATGCCTTCACAGGAAAACAAAGTATCATCCATTCATTTTTTGACATCAATGGTCGATAATATTGGAAAGCCAAATGTGTCCTAACGGATTCATTTCCCGTGGAAATGTTGACTAGTAAATATTCAAAATGCTGCCGGTTTACATCTCCGTTTATGGTGAAATCGGATTTGATACGCAGGAAAAGTTTTAAAGCAATTTATAAATGACCTTTTTAAAAACACGGGCGCTGATTGGTTGAATACTCAAAGTATTAATACCAATAAGTTTATCTTTTAGTGTCGTTTTTAAAAGGCTATTTTTATAAAGTAAATAGAAAACACTTTATTTGTTTTCTCTTTCTCCAAAATTTTTTCGCATCTTTCTAAAACTCAAAAAAAAAGATTTTTTTTGCAAGATTTTATTTTGGAGGGCAAAACACCTCCAACGTGTTACTTACATATATAAAAGAACCATGGTATGGAAGATTTGTATGTGTGAGTTTTCAACGTCAATAGAACGAGCATAGCATGAAAAACATAATAGAAAGTTAAATTAAAAGGACATTAGAAAATCAAAATATTAATCTTTGGCTTAAAACTATCATTTGTATAAAAATGTATTGGTCAACATGAATGTAGTGTAAACTTTATTAAACTGTTAAGGAACATAGTGTGGAAAAAAGTATTATAAAATAACATAAGCAAAACTCGTGCTCTGATTGGTCGATGCCCGTGTAAATTGAAATTGCTGTCGTCAGTATGCTGTCTTAAAAAATTTCAACATGCCTGAAAACGAAGACGAAGACTTAAATCGAGATTGGTGGTTTTTCCAACTTTAATAAAGTCAATAACCTTGCTGTAATTCTGCGTTTTCTTGGTTTGAACTTTCCTTTATTTAGTGAAAATTGATTTTCCTCAAAAATGGCCCCTTTTGTCCTTGCTAAGGACTCATTTTCAATTATGTGTTGTGTGAGGTTCAGGCTTTAAACACAGCCAGCTGCTGCACGTAGCTTGCTCTTTGGAACGGTCTGTCTCAAGTTCAAGGTCCTTAATGCTCACCCACATTTGAATCGTAGAGCATTTGTTTTTTGACAGTCGCTTTCAAATGAATATCACAATCAACTATCAACGTACTGCTATTTTCACATGTTTGGTTGTGATAATTATGATCGAAATTAAAAAAAATATTATATCAATAACGAAGAAATAACTAACTTCCCTTATACTGCGATGCAATTTTTTCACACAAACCTTTGAGCCTTCATTTTATCCCATACGTATCGTTTTCATTTCTTTATCTTTAGATCAATTTGAGGACACTGGTTGTTGGAAAGACTAAAGTGTTCCTATAAAGTTTAAATATTTTTTTATCTAAATAAATTGGGCTAAAACGACGTATTTTAAACATCAGAAACAAACACTGTACATAATTGATGAACTAAAGTTGACAGAAGTGACAAAAAATTATCTGAATTATGTCTACTATGGGGGATAAGTTGACTAGTTTTTTTTTTAATATTTTGTCAAACGTACAATTGTTTTGTCAGCTGCTTTCATAATCTGGTTTCAAAGATGGATCTTCATTGCGAATGGTACTATTTTGAGCTTCGATAGTGCTATTTGTTTTTATATCCTTTCGGTTTTTGTATTCTAGTTTTCCTAATTTTATCATATACCTAAAAATGAGTTTGAAGAATATAGAAATTCCGTTTAATTGCTAAGTTCGAGGCTAGGTTAATACGGTGTGCTGTACTGCTTGGCTTTAGCCACTGTTTTTGTCCATACACCTGGTTTTTAATTGACTAAAAATATTTTTTTCTTACTTGTATATTTATATAACTGCATGATTACCACGTTATTAGTGTAGTAACTGTACAGCGGAATGGTCTTCCATATTGTATTAATGCAAACCGTGAAACACGCATACAAAATAATGTATGTATCACTTATGACGACATTTTATGTCATGTGAAGCGAGTTGTCAGTTGACAGTTGTCACGGCGAGCTGTGTTGAATGAAGCACATAAGATGGAAGTGTGTTTAATGTTCTCATTATCTTTCCATTATATTCAGTTTTCACTCAGCTGCCTAAACAACTCATTTCTTTCAAGAAATCTTTTTGTCTTTCCAGTCAATAAAAATTTCCATCATTAGCATAGCATGACTAGCAAAAATATGTACGCGTAGCGTACATGCTTTCACTCTTTCACTGACGAGTTGATGTTTCGAATCGGAAGCAAAGTGGAGGAGAAAGAATTCATGATATATTTTATACATTGCACTTAATAATGCAAAGATTGTCAAATTAAAACAAATTTATTTAGACTAAACCACTGTAGTAAATAAACCCAATTTCATGGTATGCTCTGCGGTCTATGGGTTTGTTGGATCCTAGTTTGGATTCATCAGAAAGATTCATGGCTGCTGTTCATGCCACTTCATTGGCTACAATGCCTTCGGGATAGCTGTGACGTCACTCACTCTGTTCCCATAACAGCAGCAGCGATTCCTTGCAAAGTGCAATTTTCTTTTAGGTCATTTACAAATTATTTCAAAGAGACGAAAAAATGGCGAACATTTCTTGTTTTATATCCCAGCGATGGCAAAACAATTCATCTCTTTAGAATATCAGCATATCCATTGGTGAATGAATTCCCGGGCATAATTCATTAGTCTTTGAACTTGTGGTCGAGGAAGATATTTCTATAGAGTGCTTTTGTTTGTATCGACGGATGGTGTAAATGTAGCAAATTGTATCGCGTTGGCTAGAAAATGTCGGTGTTCTTATGATGAGACGCTGGTAATAGGAGAAAACTATCCTGTAGTCTACCTAATGGGATGTGCTCCTAGTATTCACGTTTCACAATCAGGAATTGTTTATTGTCGTGAAGATATAGGCGATCGGAGTTCAGGAGCAAGGGCTTCATCTTTAAGTGAAGTAATCAACCATATTCATTCGGAACAGACATCAGGACTTTCCACATCAGTTCGTAAAACACGCATTTCAAGTTTGGATAAGGGATTACCTTCTGTAGACCTACGCAATAAGATGGACGCCGCTAAGGTTAGCGTTGCCTTTAGTGTGTATTAAATTGTTCTCGAATCCAATCGGACATTAAATTTAATATCGTTGCGACTTGCAACATTTGAATAATGGTTTTATCCTATTCTCTTACTCTTCGTCATCTACAGGAGGAAAAAAACACTATTACTTTTGGTCCGATGAAAATATTTCAACACCAAATGTCGGTAAGAATGTTACGTTACCGGCTTGTATTCAAGTAATGTCTGCCAATGTGGAAGTGTATACTATGTTTTCATCTGTTTTTCTATTTCCTTATTGCCAAGCTCATCAAATACTAATATGGTAGAAGACAAACAGCCTTTGCCTCAAATTCATTGTTTTTATAGTTGACAATTTCCATCCGTTGCAAATGATACTTTTTCAATTTTGAAGTCTTGATATGGGATGCATGAACAAGAGTTGTTAGTGAACATTTCACATTTTACTATACAGAGTTTTAATGCATATTTTTTCATATATTATTTTTATTTATGCCTGTCAGTTCATTGATAAGTATAATATGATCAACCTGAAACTTACTACTGCATCTTATATGAATACTAGAGAAGCAACAACAAACAAGCTTTTCCCACCTTGTTCTCTACTGCTTCATTGTTGTAGGCAATTGTAGCATATTGAAATCAGCTTTAATACATGAAGCAATGAACCAGTGCCTTTGCTTTAATCATATAATTACAGTATGCTTATTTTTAAGATACTACTGGTATTTCCACATGAAGATCCTCAATGTAGTGCTTTGCTTTTGGCGGCTCATCGTGGATCCTATCCTAGCAAGTTGTGTACAACAGTGGAGAGTGCCTTAGAGTATTTTAATCATTATCATCCTCAGGTATGATGGCAACTAGGCCTATTCATAAGGCAATGGTCATTTTTTTCATTGTCCTCTCTGTTTCTAGCTTGTCATCATTGATTTAAGATCTCCTCGAAGCATAAATGGAAAAGAATTATGCAGGTTTCTATGATCATGTGATTGCCATACAAGATATTATATAGTTTATTGAACCAATATAATAATCTTATAGAAACATTTGTGAAATCGGACAAGTTGAAAATGCTGTTTTAGTTGGTATTGTTAAACCAAGGTGTGCATGTTTTTATTCACATTAATCCAGGTTTTCCCACTAACATTGCCATCACATTTTTAAGCATTGGTGAAGATGTACCATCTGTCTTGCCATGGCTTGAGATAGGATTTAATCGAGTAAGAGATGTTTCAATCAAAGAGAAAATTAGTTATTTCATTCAAACGATTTGCCTTTCTATTTATGCAGGTATTTAATGAAAGTCACAATGTGGGTCAATGTTTTAATGAGTTATTGATGTTAGAACATGGAGAGATAAAGTTGTTGACCAAAAAAAGGTATTCATCTCATATTGTAAATGATTGCTTTGACTATGAGAAAAAATTTGTTGGTGTCTTTTTTTACAGGGCTGCAGCATGTCTTCTTATTGCTGCAGAAAACTGCAGTGATTCTATCGAAATAGCTAGTTTTGATACCGAAAGAGGAGATTGTGTTTTACAGGTCTCAAATCAACATTTATATTTGTTGAATTTGTTCATGAATGTTGTGGTCAAGTGTTTTATTGTTTGCAGTATGCCAATCATGCATTTGAAAGAAATACTGGTTATTCACGAAAGGAAATGATTGGCAGGGCAACTAGACTAGGGCCTTATCCTAGTAATTGTAAAGATCCTAGTTCTGTGAGTTTCTTTAATCAAACCTCTGACTTGAGATCTGTTTTAATCCTGAGAATTGTTTTAATCTTTTAATCTGTTTATAATATATTCAGGGTTTAGATGAGCAAAGCCGTATACAGCTAGAAAATGGAAAGAGCAAGGTTGTGGTAAAAAATTAAGAAAGAGCATGTGTATATTTAAATGTAATGTTATATTATATACCATTTTTAGGAATGGAAGGAGTATATTAGCCATAAAAAGAATGGAGAAGCATTTAAGCAAAATTTAAAAATCATTCCTATTCTTGGTCAAGAAGGGTATTGTTTTTCTTTCTCTGTCTGAAGTAGTCATTTGAAAGTATTTCAAATAGTGTTTGATTTTGACAATTTAGAAAAATTACAAACCTTGTGGCTGTTAAACAGGAGGTGAAAGGAAATACAATTAATAATAATATGAACAAGGTTTCTTTGAATCATAAAATTCAGCATCGTATATCTTGATTAAAAGAACAAGAACCTCATGTTTTTTTTTAGAATCGAGAAAGTCGAGTTGACAAAGATGGCATTATCTTCAGTATGTTTATCTATACTATTATTATATAATTTTTATTTATGAGGATTGCTTAACCAAAATGTCTTTGTGATTGAAATTTTTTTTATCTCAGACTCATCTCCTCGACCATCTATTTCATCTACCAAACTGGAACCATATATGACTATAGTATGTCATGACTTATACCATTATTCTTAGTTTGGTGAAAGCTAAATTTGAAAATTTCCTTTCTAGGTGATTAATATGATTAATTCTGCAAAAGAAGGCAGTTTACCTAATGTTGCAGCAAAATTATCCAGAGCTATTGTATGTAGTTTAAAGGAACAGTTGTAATTTTTTTTTACCACTAGCAACATTTGTTAAATACTACTTTTTCTTATCCAGGAAATACTGCAGACAAAAGAACTCTATTCAATTGGAAATGAGACACTAGATGATGATGTATCACCTTATGAAGGCTTAGTTGTAAGTTAAAATAACTTACTGAGGCTATATATTTATGATATCTTTATATTGTACACTTATTATACATTCCATCTTAGGCAAATCGCAGACCCTCTGGTGGGGCACTGGTCACAGGTAATCATTTTATTTTAATACTTGAAAAAATACCATTGAATCTCACCTAGACATATTTTATTCAGGCCATCGGTCTGATTCAGCACATTTTCCTGGTCATAACACTTTACTTCATCTCACGGAAGCTCCGGCCGAGATTCTTGAAGCTCTTGAAGGAGAGTCGTTATGGGACTACAACATTATTGAGCTGGAACGATTAACAAACCAAAAGTTAGTACCATTCATTATTCGTGACAGATTTACTTTTATTATTTAATGCAATGCAAACGTGTTTGGTACAATGCGCATATTTATTATTTAATATAGACCATTATTCTATTTGGGAATGGTGATATTCAGTCGTTTTAATGCTCAACAATTCCTGCAAATATCGAAAGATTGTCTAATGAATTGGCTCCGTGTATGTGAAATTTATGTCGGACTTTTCTTCTGCAAGATTTGAGATTTTTAATATATGTGGTGTGTGTGTGTATGTTTTCAGATGATTGAGTCGAACTACCATGAACGTAATACATATCATAATTCAACACATGCTGCTGATGTCCTTCATTCAACGGCCTATTTCTTAATGAAGGAAAGAGTCAAGGTATTGTAAATGATACAACATGAAAGTAACTGCAAAGAGTAATAGCATCATACCTATTTTAGAACACTCTCGAGCCAATGGACGAAATAGCTGCATTAATTGCTGCGACAGTTCACGATATAGATCATCCTGGTTTTACAAACTCCTTTCTATGTAACGCTTCAGACCGTTTGGCTGTCTTGTATAACGATATCGCGGTGTTAGAAAGTCACCACGCGGCTCTGTCGTTTCAAAAAACTAGAGAATATGACTCATCGAACATTTTTCGAGGACTGAGACCGTACGTTACATTTGAAAACTGTTCGTCACTGCTATTCATGTTGTCATTGGTTACCTATACGTCATTGATGGTACGATAGCTTGCGTTGTATTTCTAGGGATGATTATCGTGCTTTGCGCCAGAGTATTATTGATATGGTAATGGCCACCGAGATGACACGACATTTTGAACATCTCTCAAAGTTTGTAAACAGTATTAATAAAAGAAGAACGTCTAGTATTGGAGAAGTGACACCAGTGGTAAGAGTGAACTGTGATCGTGATAAGGTATTCAATCTCTATATCCACGTTTTTATTTGCAGGGTGGCCGGGCAACACCAGAATCTTCGTCATCTTCACTGCAAACTCCTGAAAACAGAACATTAATAAAAAGAATGTTGATTAAATGCGCTGATATATCTAACCCTGCACGTCCGCGTCCCCTATGCGAGACCTGGGCACGACGGATAGCTGAGGAATACTTTCATCAAGTAAATTATGTTGGATTACTAATTGATATTTCGATGATTTTGACTAATAGGGTGTTATATTATAAATTAATGTAGACAGAGGAAGAAAAAAAGCTTGGATTACCAGTTGTAATGCCAGTCTTTGATCGCCTTAGTTGTAATGTACCAAGATCTCAAGTAAGTTATAGTGATCAACTTTTTCACTTTTCTTTCAATCATTGAGTTTCATTCGTTATTCGACTGTTCAGGTTTGGTTCATCGACTATTTCGTCAGTGATCTATACGATGCTTGGGATGGTATGTAGTCGTGCCATGCAAAACAAATAATCTCCGTAATCTTTTAAATCTTTCTCCTGATTCTGTCATTTCAGCCTTTGCGCATGTGCCAGAGACCATACGTCACCTGACAAATAATTATGAATATTGGAAGCAAAAGGCGGAGGAGCAGGTTATTGCCAGTCTCTTCCATCTTCGTATATGTAATAATATAATATCAAATGTTGTTATATTACATGTTCGTTCCCCATTTAGGATGATCTAGTGCGTCAAAACAAGATTACATTTCCTGCTTCTCAATGAAACAATGTTTTTTAGAATTGTCATTCTAGAATAAATAAATAAATACAAATGTACATACTGTTTGGCCTCGCCTCCCTTACTAGCAATAGTAAAGAGTATAAATATATGTTAAATATCATATATATAAATATAAATATGGAAATATATATAAAGTGCTCTTCTTTTTGAAATCATGAAAACTAATAAATTAAACGAGCTTCTGAATGTCATCTCTTATCACATCACGGGAATTAGTGCTACGCGCATCAGGGCCGATACAGAACAGTTTGAACATTGCAGCAAAATAAAATGTATTAAAAACAATTTCACTTGAAGAATAAGAACATGAATAACCTTTATAAGGCGATGTCGCTTTTAACAATTCTAACTCGAAATAAACCTAAAAAACCGAGCAAATTACAGTCGAAACAAGCGACTGATGACTGACTATAATGACAACTAATCAATAATAGTTTTTTAGGCCTTAAAGCAATATCCGTTGTCTTAGTCAACCAAGACGACTATTTCGGTATCTTACACTTCAATAGCTGCCGATTCTCAACTCTACGTACAGCAACGACAATATAGTTACCGATAATATCTGGAGTAAAGACATACAGTAAATGATCCAAGAAACGCTTCCCTAGGAAGTGGCAGTTTTTTACTAGAAGTTTCTATAATCCCATTCCATTATAATGTAATAAAATAGTGTGTTATCGATTGTGGCAATCAGTATCGTAGCTTTTTGTTCGTTTATATAAAGATGATAGAAATGATATAAACGCCTTTCTATAAAACTCGTCGTATCTATTAAACGCCCCTGCCTAGAAATGAAAGAACTTATGTAACGCCCTGGGCGTATGTTACTTCATTTGCTGATGTATATTCAAAGACATACTTGTTGTCAAAACTATCATTTTTGTCGAAGCTACAACACAGCATTGTCTGTAATCCTACTCAACTTTTGCGGTCACAGAACTAGACACTCGTACAAAGCAAAATCTAAAAAAATGAATAAAATATTCTCAATTTTACTAATGACCATCACTTTGTTGTCTGCATCGACAAATCACGGGAGATTTAATTTTGGGATCAAACATTCACAAACATATTTCCAAGACAAAAAAATTAAACTGTCTGTCGTGGTTAACCTTTGATAAGTTTTAATATAGCAACCACTCATTGCCATGTGTATGGTAGATCATACGACCATTGTATTTAAAATAAGTTAGCATATATTTCCTATAATTCATTCAAAATGCCATATTACTCAATGGAATGATATAATTTTGCAGTATATTCATGCATAAGCGCTCATCAGGCGGATCCTGTATCGATGAAAAGAGATTTTGCGTAAAACACTGTAGCAATACATGGCAAAATTATATTATTTGTATATATAAAGTATGAATAGTTATATACCTGGTAAAATTAATCTGTCATTTCATTTGCATGGCAAACTCGAACTAGACCTGATTTTCCTCCAGCGGCCAACCAAAAAAAGCAACTAGAGTTGGGATTCCATCGGACCTTAGAGGAAAAAACCAAAACAACCAACATATTTAAACATAAAAAACAATTTATAATATTCTGAATATATTTACTTTATGAAATGCAACATGCGGGACTTGACTTGGTGGAACATTTGCTGTCTCACAAAACACTTTGTCTTTTATAAAATTTATAATATTCTGATTATATTTACTTTATGAAATGCAACATGCGGGACTTGACTTGGTGGAACATTTGCTGTCTCACAAAACACTTTTTCTTCTTCTATTGACATTTTATTCAGCTGAAAAAATAAATGAAATTAGCGACGGTGAAGCAATCAGAGCCAGTGTACAGCTAAAATATAATGAAACTTAGCTACCGGATAAAAGTCTTTGAATATAATCTTGTAATTTTCTTCATCAACGCTGCTTCCATCGTCAGAAGGTTCAATACATGCGCGGAATATCGTCTAGAATATGTTTAGAATTTCTTTAAGAACACTACAGCAATAACCCAGCAATAAAGTGCAAAGCTAAACTTACTGTTTTCGTTTTGTTAGTGCGTTTATTGAAGGCTTCTGGCAAGAAATTTATGGACATAACCCCAGCAGCATCAACACTAGCTACATGGTTCGACCAATGAGAGAAGTCGTTGTCCTAGAAATACACATTTCAATAATAGCGTTCATGAGACCAATAAGAACAGCATGTTTTCATATACTGCCTTAACGCCATTCCTAAAAGTACATCACTTACCCAGACAGTTGCATTATGACTGACTAAACATGTGGAGGAGTGACCTAGAGTTCGATCATTCTTTGAACCATGATAGTAATCGACTACACGTGTACCCCGAATGCGAGATAAGACCTCTGTATTATAGATCAATAGCCCCCAATGAAGTGGCCAACTAAGACTGTAGCTCAATGCTATCATAAAAAAACAATGTTTTAGCGTGATGATTAAAGACTATACTGCTAAACTGAAAGAAGAGTCATCCCAATAGAAGAGCCACGTGAGACTATAGCTGAATGGTGTCATAAAGTTTTAAGAAAGTCTACGGATGCAATAATAGTATAAGTCTTAAGTGATGTAAAATGTGCATAAGGGTATTCTTATGTAACGGATTAATAACAGGAAATACAAGGAATGTATTTTGCATTGAAAAAAACAACAACCTGGTTTGATACAACAGATACTGACCGTGTATCAGCTGAAGAACCGGCTGATATGGACGACGGAGATCCCAGATGTAAATTATGCGATCATAGCCACCTCAAAAAAGCCAGAATGCTTATTAGAACAACCAAACCAAACCAACAACGAATTAAACGGTATTTACAATGCAACCGGTTAAAAAGAACGTTAACATTCCTATAGTGAACTAAACGAATTAAAACAAATACTAGTTAGTAAGGACTATAAGTAGAGCATAATTTTACTGATCTTTAAAAAGAACGTTAACATTCCTATAGTGAACTAAACGAATTAAAACAAATACTAGTTAGTAAGGACTATAAGTAGAGCATAATTTTACTGATCTTTGTCTCATATACTGATCGTCCAAACACAAACATTTTCTCATAAAGCACAACTAACCTGTTGCGATGTAATTGTCGTCAGTCGGACACCAGGCGAGGGATCGTATAACGGAATTGTGAGCTTGAAAATGAGATATAGGATAAAGATCTAAAAAATGAGGAAATCCGTTTAAGCAATGTAGAGAGTATAGTTTGTTGCAACGTAAGTCCTTTCTTACACTCGGTAAGAGCATCTGACGACGTGGACTTCAAAATACGACTCTTTGTCTTGAGATTCCATACAGCCACTGTACCTAAAGATGAACTAATTAATGAAGATATTTTTTTTTTCATGACAAATAAATCATCATTGATTTCGTGTAATAAAACAATACAAACCATCTGCAAAAGAGGCAATTATCTTTTTGTGATCTGAATAAGGTTGCCATGCCAGAGACCAGGTTGGCCCACATTCTCCACGATAAGGCCGGCAAACAGAGCCTGGGGAGAGTACCAAGTGTGGGATAGCGCGGTACATTACTGGATAAAGAAATGGAAGTCACAAAAACAGCCAGATGGAAAAAATTAATTTGATAACGTCGATAGTGCATGATGAACTAACATTTTTCTGGAGAAGACTCGCAGGTATTACTATCTTTGACAAGAGAGCAAGGATGTGGCACACTAAATAAAAAGAGTTGATGAACCACAACAGAAAAAAACTTCAATGTTAAAATACAATAAGAGACCTGAATATTCGTACTTTTCCATCAGCACAAGCACATGCAAGCATTCCTAGGCGACTTAATTCACCACTCTAAACATAAAAAATCCTTGAAAAATATTAAATTTTGTTCCACTTTTCTATGTTTTCACAACTTTACGTATCACTGTGTTTACCGTGGTTGATTCCCATACGCCAGATGGACACCAGCGCATTTCCCAGAGAGGACCACACTCGTGAAGTATACCCAAAGAAAATACCGCTGAATCAATGGGCCTGCGCACACAATACAGTGACGTAATGATTACATACGTTTGGATCAGGTTTTTGGTGGTGATTTCAAGTAATGTACCTTTCTCCATTTTTCAATTTCAAAAACTTCCAAATTTGTATAAGACCTTTCTCGGAGTATCTCTTCGACAATAAATGGGTCTAAATACAAAAGCAACAGGGAATTAAATTGGTAAAAAAGATTATGAAATAGGTTACTAATGATGTCATTATACTCTAGATACCTCATCAGGATTGTTGTGACAAGAGATTGCAAGATATTGATCACTATCTTCATTTACTGTGAGAACAAGATAAACAATCATTTTATTTCAAACGTACAATATTGTAGAGAAAATCGTAACTTACATGGTAAAGGTACCCAATCCATAGCCCACACTGATCCACCAACATTTATTATGATATTACACAAACCACCGTCTAAATCAATTTATATTATTATGATGATAAATGTCTACATAATCCATTAATGTTCACAATAGACCCCACCTGAATTGACGGGTGTTGAAGCAAACAATGGCAACTGATAATCTTTCGGTTTACCGTTGCCCTTAATGTCCTCAATGCCAAATACTTTCGATGTTTTTATCAAGGGTACGTAACCGGAGATCTCACTAAATCACAATTACATTTGTTGTTTCACGATTACATTTGCCATTAAACTTTCACAATGATGATATGACAATTAACAACCTTAATGGTACAGTTTTCCAATGTTTCAAACTAGGTCGCCATGATTGCACAGCATCATGGGTATAAAACGTTTGTTGCCTATAATTGACAATATAAAATACGTCTTAGATTTGATGATAGACTTCAAACCATGCACAAAAAGGAACGTGTTAAACCAACCACTTTTCAGTAGGCTCTTCGTATCTGACTTTCTTTTTTTTGGATATTCTTACTACTTTCGCTTTTGTTTGCTTTACGGGAGTATTTTCTGTCCCTGAAAACTCGCTTTCTTCATCATTTTCACTATCGTGTTCCTTCTACATTGAACCGAGATTGAAACTTCCTCAAAGACAATAACCATCAACAGTTGAAAACGAAATCAATGAAGAAGAGATGAAAATAGTGAGACAAAAAATTATTCCCTCGGTAAAGAAGAAATCCTGTCAGTTACTATCCACACAACTTTTTTACTCATAAAACACCCGTTATTCTCAGTTTTCTTCAATTGAAATACTTTATCTCAATCGTATGCCAAAATGTAGAAAAATCAGAAAGTAAAAGGTTCTTTATGCTAACCTTACGATGTTTTGTAATAAGATGATATTTAATTCCATGCCTAGTGGTCAATATTTTACCGCAAAGTTTACAGCGATGGTTGCTCTGGTTTTTAACACATTTCTTGATATGATCATAAGCGTTTGCCGCCTTTCGAAAAGTACGTCCACACTATAACGAGATTTGAGAAATGATATTCAATAACAAATTATCTTTAAAGGAACTATTGACATGCCCACATTTTTTGGACATTTCATTGAAGATCTGTGTTTGAATGCTTCAGTAAGCGATGACAGATTCGAATAGAGGTCAGAGTTAGGAAAATCCTCAGGTGGAACTGGTACTTCTTCGTAATGCTTCCACCAGCCATGACTACTGTATTGACCATCTTCTTCAGCTGACACATCATCATCTATGCTATAACACAGTTGATATGAATAAGTTAACTTGTTTTAACCACTATGACTTATGAATCATGAAAGTTTAATCCTCACTTTCCACCATTTTGGTTTTGCTCTGATGCGTTCTTTCTCACTCTAGTTGACCTTCGTCGCGGTGTTTTCTTTTGATAAAGAATAACAGTATGAATTAACACGTAGTGTTTGTTATGAAATATTTGTGAATCGCATGTGACATAGCAAATTATTGGAAACATTTATTTGTTTTTGTGTAAGAGATGAGGCATGCATCATAAATTTTTAGTTCAACATCAGGATTATTAAAAGTGTCATCCCTCTACAACACGCGATGAAACATCTTCTTCATTGAAACTGAAAATGTTTAATCTTTATATATTTCAACACTACAAGTTGGAAACTTTATGTCTGTAGATTATATAGAATCCTCACAGATTCCCATTAGTATGCAGTGACAAAGCCTACCAGCCAGTTTTTTTTTCCTAAATGCAAATATTTTCATGTTCTTTGATTAGAAAAACAACGAAATGAATTGATTTCTTAGTTAAAGAAATTGATAATAATTTTGCTGAAAATTTTGTTGGGTTAGTAGTAGTAAAAGTGTTAGTTGGATTTACGCCAACATTTGTAAAAAATGAGTTCTGGAAAAAATTTCCCATGACCATAAATTATACAAACCTTCTGTTTTGAAGAACAAGTTGAGCTTTGTGAATCATCTCTTTGTTTATTGTTTTTGATATACTTCAAAGGAATGCCACATCGCACGACATGATACTCAAATGCACTCACACTTTTGCAGGGCTTTCCACAATTATTTCGTGGGCAAATCACTACTTTATTGGACTTTAAAATGTTTCGTAGTTTCTGTCTAACTTCCTAAAACAGGCATGTATTTCCTTAAATAGTTAAAATGAAGGGTCATTGTTGAGTAGTTTAACTATCACTCTTAATTTCCCCCTGCACCAAACACGTACATATACACCCTCTCTTTGACACCTCTGTAACCAAGGAGATATATATATATATTTATACTCCCTAGCATTACTGACTTCTATTAAAATTAGGACAAATGACAAATATTGAGATGTTAGGAACATTTAGCCAGTTGTCGATGATCATGTGCTGGTGGAACAAACAATGGTAAACAACCAATAAAGTAAGGAAAGTAGCAAGGTGGCCTGAAGTCGGTAATGGCCGAACAATGAGGGAGTCTATTCCCTTTTTGTTTACAGCTAGACAAGGGAGATCTATGCTGAGGTGGAGCGCCACACCTACTCTCAGCTCCCTGCACCTTTACCGCACAGATCTGATTACCCAATTTGCGCTACTCATACGCTGAGTTGGCGAGGGCAGGTATCGAACGTGGGATGTTGCGATCACCAGGCGAACGCTCTACCAACTAAGTAATTCTGCCATCCTAAGTAATTCCGCGATCCTGAGCTATCCCACCAACCAATAAGTAGAGGTTTAAATCCAACTAGTCCCTCATATTTTACTTACTTTAGAGAGCTTTGTTTCTCCTGCTTCAGGCAACATTCTTAGAAGCTCATAATGGTCATTGCCTTCACCAATCATTGACAAAGCTGATATACAAGAAGCATCTCCATTTAATTCATCAACATTCATGTCTCCATGATCCTCAGAGAAAACTGCTTTGTTGCCATGAATGTTAATGTCTTTGTTGACAAATACATTTGATAAATCATTATTTGACATGCTGTCTTGATTTGCATGTGTAAATCTTGATATTTCAACATTAAAATTCTCTGTATCATCTTGCTCATTCACGGCAGTTTTAAAATCCATTTCCACAGTAGTATCCAATGTTTTTTGACACGTGTCATCAATACTCAAGTCATCATTGGACATATTTGAGTTAAGGCCAGCCATAGCCACTAATTCCTCCTAAAATCATCAAATATTGCACCCATAACATCATAATAACATGATACTGTCAAAAGTACCAGGCATGCAGAAGGGTCAAATAATTCTCTGTGGAGATGACTTTTACTGTTGTGCAAGTCTTGTTTCTGACATGTAACTTTCTATTTTAGATTCTTTTGTAATTTTTCTACGTAAAGTTTAATTGTGTCTATTGTGAGATTGATAAAAACAAGTGCATAGCATGTGTTTATAATTTATAGAAATAGCTAAGAAAGGTCCATTAAGTGCAACCTCAACACTCAACCAATCAGAACCTATACTGCATCGTTCCTTTTTACTGAACTATACGCATGTTTTATTGTTTGTTCACAAATTATGGTAATCACTATTTTTCATCGTGTTTTCAAAACGTGGGAAAAGACATCTTGCTGAATCATTATATTAAAAAAGCTCTACATTCATTATTCATTATGTCATACTTACATAAAGTTTGCCAACCACCACACACGAAGTTCAAGAACGTGACTTATTTTTTCTTCATCTTTTTACTTTTTGTTTCTCTTTATCAAGATTTTCCAACTCCATACGAAACTATCAACCGTGATACTACTGTAGAATTGGCCACTTTCTCAAAGAATAACCTGAAGAAGAACTGTGGTTATAAAAACATAAAACAACATTTTTGAAACAAATAATTGTAATGAGCCTGCGTTCTTGCACAGTGTGTTTGCGCTTACTTTAAGTAATGCAGTTGTAGCGGTTAAAGTAAACAAAAGCAAACATTAAAAGCAGAAATTATTCATCATGAAGCGTGTGGCAAATAAAAAAACCAAAACATGTTGATGAACGTAAAGATTACATTCCTTGTCGTGCAGGAAAACAGTCATGGATCGCAGAGCGAGGAGAGGGGAGGGGGGCAGGATGGGAACTTTTCCACTTAAAAAATTAACATTGGATTTATCTTAAAAGTTTTATATTGCATTTCTTCAATGTTCTTTTACCTCTACTCAAAGAAAGACTTGAATTTTCAGTATTTTTTTGAAATTCTTCAATGCATAATGTTTCTTATTCAATCAATTATAATTCCAATGTCTACTACCCTCCCACATTGTCTTTGTTCTTGTGGTATCGTGGCCTCTATTAAAAAACTTGGCGCTCTCTGCATGAATGCAATTATAAGCAATCAGAGCAACAGTTTACAAAGAAGATATAAAATGAAGCTACAATTAAAGTCGGTCATTTCTCGCAATATAATAGCAAAGATATTACAATGACGGAACGGAAAGAATTACTTTCATCGGGTACAATAAATAGAACATCATCTGCCTTTTCTTTTGTCGAAGACAAACTATAGTCTTTTGCAAACCTTCTTTCCTTTAAGACGACTTATAATTAGAAGATCCACAATGGCTAACAATTATTTTCACGAAAAGGAAAAACTTACGGATGAAGTTTAAAAGTTATGGACAGATTATATGAAGATAATTATTTAGTTAACGGAAAATAAACAATATCAAAAAACATATGTAAACACTCAGAATTAGTGATGTGGTGATGTTTTTGCATGGTTGGTTGTATCAATCCAGACAATAATCTTTAGTTGTAATCGTTTTCACAAATGAAGACAATCCAAGCTTTGCCAATGCAAAAGAAAACACCCAAACAATCCTTAAATATAGTGTTTGATTCATTTGTGCAACATCATTTTATTCAAAATATTCAAACAACCAAAACTGGAAATAAACAGTTTCTTCTAAACAATATGACAGAAAAGGAATTTGATTGAGAAAAGACTTGCCTTTATTTAGCTTATACACTCAACAGAAACAAATAAAACAAACAAATCGTAGACTTTAATTAAATTTTTTGAAGTCCTGTGGATTGACCTACAAGGAGAACGGAAATAACGGAATTCCTTTGCAACCCGACGCATCATCTCATTGTTCAACATTTCAATCTGCTGTCGTAGTTAACATATAAAAATTACATCTGGCAAAGGGATCTAAAGAAACACACAAATAAAACATGGCTAAATCATTGCATTGTATGATTATGTTAGGCAAGAGGATGAAGAGGGGAGTTAAATATGAAAATGAATCATGAATCATGAGAGAGCTCCAGTCAAGCAAAAGAATGTCTAATTCTCTGTTAAAGAAAAGACCGCACATTCTATATACAGGAAACCTGGAGAGAGTACGGGTGCTTATATGGTAACAGTAAAATAATGGAAAGCGGCATGTTGGTAGAAGCAACAAAACTTGCCATGTCATTTGACAGTGCAAAATTTTCTTGCTTCTTCTACCGTTCCACAGCAACGGCACAATCAAGTGAAAATGGCCTGCTAATTTCATACAGAAAGCAAGTCTCAATTGATCAAACGAATGGCGAAAAGCTCGCGTCTTTAAATTAAAACGAGAAGTCTTAAAATCCAGAAAGGTGTGCATGGAACAAAAACAACGTATTGAATCATGTCATAGCTCACACTGACTTTAATTTCAATGGCGTCACTCATCTTCAGACAATACGCAATGCATCACTATATCATCACCTGTTCCACACCTTGACTATTCTCACTTTTCTACTTAAACAGTATCAACAAGACGTCAATTCATAAAACATCGAAGAGGTTTGCGTTAATCACAGGGAACGCCTTCAAAACGTCTTTTTGTAGAACAAATTAATAGTTTCTATATTGATCATTATAGCAATGCAGACATATTATCAGGCTATTATTGATGAAATGATGCTTCTGAATACGAGTTTGTATTCCCTGCATATGACATAATATCAATAGTATTATTCATGACAACAAGATAAAGAATTGAACCTATAATTACCAATATTGGTCGTGTACATGTAATTGTGAGGAACAATGAGTATAAAGTTCAATATTTGCAACTTTGCAAGTTGCAAGCACTTAAAATTTGTAACTGATTGTAAGGCATTGTACATCCTGGACACATTTGCTGAGTAATTGAACAGCCAGAAGAGGACGACATTTACACCTTTCAATAAAATCCTAAGACGAAGAAGAAAGATGTTTTGTGAACAATTTTTAAACTTTTAATTTAAGTATTCTTGACATGAAAAAAGACTTTGATATCTATCCCTGGGTTTATAAAGGATCGAGGAAATCCGTTCAACTTTACTAGAATAAAATTTTCTAAATTGCAAGATTTTTATGAAACCGGTTTGTAAAAGAAGCCAAGAGCATGAAGTTTTAACAAAGCAAGCTTAGTAATAATTCATAAAGTTCTTGTCCAGATGAAAACATATGAACACGTACTTTTCTTTACTGTTGATTAAAATAGTGTTGTAAAAACCTGAAGATCACAAGATGTTCATGAGCACACGTTGTGAATAAAGAATAATCGCGACATGAAGAATGAGTGTAATTATCGAAAAATTATCAAGAAAACAAAATTGTCTGAAAATGTTAACTCCGCGTACAATACAATTTGGATCATAAAAAATAATTATAATTGTTTTTTTTTTTACTTACTAGCATGCTGCTTAAAAGCTAATGAGTATACACACATTGTAATGTAAAGCGAAATCAGTTATTGTTTAACAAGTTTGAGATTAGTCTAGTGAGATGAAAATAAAAAGTATGATTGTATTGATAAGAGAGCATGTACTGTAGTTGATTTATCACTGACATGTCTCCCAGTTTTATATTGAACGTGTTCAAACGAATAGAGAACGCCGCTACAATGGAAACAGAAAAGACATTCGGAGAAAGACGGAATAAAACGGAAATTGATCTTTAGAAATGCGAGACAAAAGATAGTGGATAAAGATTCTTGCTACTTGTTTTCTTATCAATATCATAAACTAACTTTATTTTATAAAGCAAACACACATGTAGACAAAGTATCTTTCATAAATTTGTTTTCTTTGCTTATGAAGTTTTTTCCTAAAGATTTATGTTAAAGCATAAAATAATGCATGAAAGAAAAACAAGTTGATTCATGAATGCAAACGATTCAATGCAAGAGAATTGAAACATGTAAAAACTGAAATTGAAAATTATTTTAACTTTCTTTCCTGAAATAATCTAATTCACTTTTGGGCAATGTTCTATGAAACTAAATGCTCATAAATGCCGAAGGAAAGAGAGAAACAAGCTCATGGTGCTATGTTAAATAAAATGCTCAATATTTTGCCAACGACATTTGTATGTAAAAGGACGTTTTCATTCAGAAAAAATAAAACTGTTGAAATTAGTTAAAAGAATGCCAGTGTTGATGGTTTTCTCTTGGTTGGGGAGAACACTGCTGCGAAAGTTTATTCCCAGCTGAAAACATAAGCTTTTCAAAAAAGATCTATCTACACTCAAAAACACGAGAAAACAAAAACCATGCAGTATATAAAGTTCTTTTATTCACAATAAATTATTCGAAGACTAAATTCATATTCTAACACTTTTGATATTTACAAACTCCATGCACCCCGTTTATATCATGTAATACAGTTGTGTTTGATAATTTCAACACGGATTTACTCCAATGCATTAACAAATTATATCATTTGAAAACTGTAGTTTTTTCGTCTTTAAACAATATATACAATGTACTATTTTCTTGTTTTAACATCATTCAATAGATGAATAGTGGTTGACAGGCTATAATATAATGTTAAGTCAAAACTCTCATATTTAGTTTGATAGTCTTAAATAAAGATTCTTTGAGGATTCGCAAACGCTACATGAGCATGGGTTACAAGGAGAGCTCAAATGATTATAATACGATGGTAGAAATGATGAATAGGATTTTGGCCATTGAAGAGTGCTTTCTCGCGGCGGTGTCGGCGATGATAAGTACGGAGATGGCCATGGAAGATAAGGATTTGACATTGGAGTCGATATCTTCGGAGTATCAACGTAGTTGAAGGCGGAGCAATTTGGCAAGACGAAGTTGCTTCTAATGTTTAAATCATTGTACAATAAGCTCGGGTTTGAACCATAACCTGAAGTATCTCTTAAACAAGACTTGTTGACATGCTCTGAGGAATCTCTTACGCGGTCGTTTCGCTTAAAACGCGTCTTTCGTCTCAAGAAACTCCCGTTTTCAAACATGTTATAACTCTCTGGATCGAGCGTCCAATAATTCCCTTTTAACGGTTCGTCACTCTTTATTCCCGTCTTAACAAAGCAGTCGTTTAATGAGAGGTTGTTACGGATACAGATCTTCCATGATGGATACGTTTCTCTGTAGAAGGGGAATTTATCTCGAATGAACTTGCAGATACCGTCCAAAGTGAGTCTTTTCTCGGAGGATTGTTGAATAGCCATGGTGATCAAGGCAATGTAGGAATAAGGAGGTCGGCGACGTGATTTCTTTTGAGGGTTTTTACTTTTGCCAGCATCGCCATGATCTTGAAGTGTGTTCGTCTGCACTGTGCTGTAATTTGACGTTGAACTGCTATTGTAAGACGAAGCTACCATTTCAGATAACCTAGCTTCGTAATCTTTTTCGTTACTTTTATATTTGAAAGTGGATTGTCCAATGAGGGAATGAACGTCAAATTGTGTACATTCTCTGGTTGCAGGAGGAATAGAGAAAGCCATTGCTGATCAAAAAAGAGATGTGTCCACTAGGATGTCGACAGTCGTATAAAACCAAGCCAGCAACGAGGACGAGTGTTTTAATGTTTTGCCTCGTGCTGTGCTCAAAATCTACACTCAGAATAGCATGTGCACAAACAATTATGGCTATTTTGCACTCCAGGTGTAAACGAGCTAGCCGTCGTTAATCAATTTCGCAGGCAAAGCTTTTTGTCTCAACGAGTCATGCAACACTACAGCACACAATGGAATTAGTCATTTGTAGTATAAGCTCCTCCCTATGCACTTGAAATTAGGAACAAATTCAACGAAACTATATTACATTCATCTTGCTAGAAGACAATCCTACGCTACAAACTTTCTGAATTATTAACAAACAGACATAGTTTCTGTTCGAAAACGCGAAGCTTAAACGTCATTGAATGAAGCAAAGAAGCCCCGTGACGAAACTGTCTCAATTTATAATTATGTAGTAGGCCGCCCCCCCAAGGTAGTTGGCACTCAATTATATGATGTATTGCTTGCTAAATACGTTTTTGTTTGCTCATCAACAGGGAGAGGAAACTGCTATTGTTTCCCATCAAATGATTATCGTTAGCATTTTCATCAAAGAATTAAAAAATTCTCAGCACAATTATTACTTGTCCTCCCATAAATTCATATGCTATTCAAAACACTAATGTGTGAAATGAGAAGTTTTTAATCCATGCGACTGTTGACAAATAAACGAAAAAGAACTTGGACATTAGTCGAAACAATCTCCATAATTCATCACTGTTTTATAAAGTCTGTGGTTGTTCAGTATTCATGAGACTTCTAACTACATAGTAATGATAAAGGTTTAGAACAATCAACAAAGATATCAACCAAAAGTCAATATGACCAAACAGTAAATGCAAGTGACACCGTGCAGTTATTAAAAGAACAATGTTTTGTATATGCTATCGCTCAGCCATGTTTTCAATCGTAAAGTTTGCTTCATACGACGGTAACATTTGCAAATACTTCATTCACCCTTGGAGTTAGCTTTCTTCATACATTTACTATCAAACTTTTTGCTTGAGAAAAGGCAGCAACAAACTTTCATTTTCCACATGTAAAGAACAAAAAATATGTTGAACGTGACCAACGAAAGAGAGAAGAGACTTTATCAGGGAAAAGAGTTAAGCTACATTTGAAATAATTGTTGTTTTTAATCAAATTTTGAAGATTTGTTTTGTCTTGCATTCAGCATGAGACTCAATGGGAGAGCATGACTTATAGGTATTGATGTGAAACAAACAAAAAAAAAGGATGAGTAAATGAGAATCAGTTAAGACCAAGGTGTACCTATAAGAAATACGATCATAATCATAGATTTTCTCGGCTACCAGGTGCGGGTTTATTTCTCGATCATTTCTTCGGAAGACAGGGAGAAATTATATTCTATTAATATAATCATCTATTCATCATCCTGCTGTTATCGTTTCCTTTTTAAAACACTATAGTATGAAATTCAATGTCCACAACATGCTGTTCTCTTTCGGTAGTTAAACTATTGCGAAGTAGAAAGAAACAAACACATGATCGGAGCCCCTTGCTATGTCCATTAGAGCCCCTTGCTATGTCCACCTAGTGATGTACGACAATAGAAAAGGAAGGCGATTTGATAGAGTGAATAATGTTGAAGTACGTTCTTTACACCCTCTCGAGGCTTTGAGAAACCACAGCACAGCTTGATCATCACATACTTCGTCTAGTTTTTTTTTCATCAATAAACCATCAAAACTTGTAATGTATAACCTTGAACTTAACAAAAATGATTTCGTTGCTACAGCAACTGCCATGACCGTAACAGAAAGGTGCAATATCTTGAAAAGAGAAAAACTTAACGACGCATTGTTTTGTAAACATCAGAAAAGAAATTATGAAAATCGTTCGATCATTTGTTCCCAGGTCCATGTTGATGGAGCATCGTCTTATGTCACAAATAAAACTTTTTACTGACAATAATACAATGCTTTGTACAAACCCACCCAATGTTAGTAAAATAAAGACAATATTATCATATCATTGTGAATAACTACTCCATATACATAAATCATATCTTATTTGTCAATATTTGCTTGAGTAACACATTACTTTTAAAAAGAAAGGCAGAGACGTGGGTCCTTTGACGACATAGAAGATTTTTTCTCTTTACTTCTCATAATATTATTAATTCAAGTGTGCGTCGCTGAACGTTATACATCAACAAATGACAACAACTCAGAAACATCATAAACATCAGAAGTCATGTAGACCAGATACATGGATGTAAAATCCATTAACTATATTCCAGAGTGAATGATCAATGTAGTGACAAGAGAGAAATATTGGTAACAGAAAAATGATTAAAATTAATCATTAAAATGCAAATTATATATTGAAGTTATCACCGATCATTGAAAGCTAAATCAACTCAATAGTGAAGTAATAGCAACAAGCATACAGAGACAATCATTGATATTGTATTTACTTGTAATCAGTGTGATATTTCCATGTTATGTTTTATGGAAACCAGAAGACACACCATATTTGCGTCTTTGCCCACAACTCTTAGTTCGTATTTTTCTCTGATCAAAGCTAGGAAGTAGGGATAAGCATTGAGCACCATTGAGTCAATGATGAGATAGGATAGACACCATTTTTTTAGTTCAAATGATGACAGATTAACGTAGAGATATCTATCAAACAATCAAATGATTGGATGAAGATAGCTGAGACGATTGATGAGCACGAACAGCGAATAGTTAAAAAATAGAATGGATAAATAGAATGGATAGAATAGTTAAAAATAGATAAAAAATAGAATGTGGTTAGAATTATGATCAATCAAGTGAATCAAGTGAATCAAGTGAATCAAGTGAATCAACCGAATCCTTTGATCCCTCGGCGTTTCATATTGGGGTTAACATGGGTTAACATTACGTATTCCATAATATCCTTAAACATAACTGTAAATCCCTCGAACAAGTACTGTTGTTGTCTACCCCTACCCTCGCTGGTTGTTATTTGTTACTTGTTTTCTCGGAACGAGATGGCGTCTTTGATAAAGTTCGGAGTTTATAAATCCTTTTTTCAATCGCATTTGGTGGCTTTTAGATCAAAAATATCGTCAACCATTATAAATTCAATTGCAGCAAAATCTCCAAGCAACAGATTTTGTACGTGTTTTGGTACTTCATTTGGTTTCATGTGAATATCGCACTGTAGGCATCGAATTTATCAATTATCGCCTCGTGCGTTTTACTAGATTCTGACGGCGGAAAGTTAAAAGTTGATGGATCTGTTGTCGAGTTGGATGGTGATGAAATGACACGAATAATATGGGAAAAAATAAAAGAAAAGGTTTTAATCAAGTGTCTAATTGACCTTTGTGAATGCTAACTAAAGTTGCAATTACGGCCTACAAAAATTAACATTTATAAATAATAACTACAGTACAATTCCGTTAAAGTGTACTTTTACTCTTTATTTAAAGTGTGCTTTTATATATACACTTATTTTCAACTAGTTATTAAAATAGGCATAATGAAGGCGTTTCAAGGGCTTAACATGTTGAGTTGACTTGTCATTAGCACTGTACACCTTACAGAGTAAAATTACTAAGGCAGTTTACCTCTTGGCTAAATACATAAACTTGTCTTGGATATTCCAGTTAATACATCCGTATCTTGATGTGGACATTAAATATTATGATCTTGGACTACCATATCGTGAAGAGACTCGTGATCAAGTCACCATTGATGCAGCTGAAGCAATCAAGAAATATAATGTTGGCATCAAGTGTGCAACTATCACTCCTGATGAAGCCAGAGTCAAAGGTAGCTAAACTTTTGATGATAAACCATTGCCTTACAAGGTATGACAAGAAACTACATGTATCTTAACATACATAGAGTTCCAATTGAAGAAGATGTGGAAGAGTCCCAATGGAACCATTCGAAACATTTTAGGCGGAACTGTATTTCGTGAGCCCATAATTTGTAAAACCATACCACGTCTTGTTCCAGGCTGGGAGAAACCTATTGTCATAGGTCGACATGCTTTTGGTGATCAGGTACTTTTTAACTGAGCAAAGCATTGAATTATTATGTGTTTATACAATTTTGTGATTGAGTACATGGTAAAAACGTTCATTCCATCACTATGTTTTCTACATGTTATAAAGCATGATTTGAAATGTTGAAGCTTAACTCTTACTATCAGAAATGTTGCTCCTGTAATGCGAGATTCTAGCACCTAGCACCACCTGGTACAATAGCAAATAATAAGTGGCATTTGGTGTTATATCAAAGAATGCAAAAAACCTCAAAGTCTGCTGGCGCAAACTTATGTAGATGGCAAATTTTTTATATTCAGTTTTCAATTTTTTTGTGGTAGTACAAAGCAACTGACTATGTTGTCCGAGGTCCAGGAAAATTTACCATTTCATTTGAACCAGAGAATGGAGAGAAAAAGACTACTGTTGTGTATGACTTTAAAGGTGATGGAGGAGTCATGATGGGCATGTATAATACAGATGAGGTTAGTTATTTTCATCTTTTTGGTACTGCGTTTATTATCAGTTCAGTAATGATCAATGTTATTATTTTTCTTAAGGCAATTAGAGACTTTGCAAATAGCTGTTTCCAATATGCCCTGTTGAAGAAGTGGCCTCTATATATGAGTACAAAAAACACTATCTTGAAGCGTTACGATGGACGTTTTAAAGATATCTTTGAAGAAATTTATGAAGAGTAGGCTTCTGTTAAATTTTTTATGACCACAAAGTAAATCGTCTGAAAAAAAGCAAATGCAAGACATAACACTTAATGATCAATCTACTATTAGGATGAATATAAACAGTATCTTTACAAGGATTATTGACCTTTTCTTCAAAGTGTTGCTTCTTTTCTTTTGATTATCAGAGAATATAAAGGAAAGTTTGAGACTGCTAATATCTGGTATGAGCATAGGCTAATTGATGATATGGTGAGTGTGTTTGAATGACATCACATATTAAAATTATGCAACATCATTATTCCATCTGTCATATTCTGTTACAGGTTGCCTACGCAATGAAATCTCCCGGAGGATTTGTTTGGGCAGCCAAAAATTATGATGGTGATGTACAGTCGGATACTCTAGCACAAGGTGACACTACATTCTAACTTCTGTTTTCTTGTAAATTTTGAACAACATTTGATTACTTTTCTATTGTTTGTTATGGACATGTTTCTTTAGGTTATGGTTCTCTTGGACTAATGACTAGTGTCTTAGTATGTGCTGATGGTAAAACCATTGAGGCTGAAGCTGCTCATGGTACAGTAACTAGACATTACAGGGAACATCAAAAGGTCAATTTTCCTTATTGTATTACAATAACGCCAAAGTTTCAGCAATTTTGAGTGCATTTTTTCATGATTCTGATTTTTCAGGGGAATGAAACTAGTACAAACCCCATTGCTAGTATTTATGCATGGACACAAGGTTTAGCACACAGGGGTAAACTTGATGGAAATAATGAACTTGAAAGGTACGTAGGATTTTTAATCGTTTTTTTATTACTCAGACGACTGAGAATAGTTCAACGATCTTTTGTAATGTAGGTTCAGTGTATTGTTGGAAAAAGCGTGCGTTGATTGTGTGGACAATGGTCAAATGACGAAAGACTTGGCTGCATGTATTTACGGACTTTCAAAGTAGATAAGAACATTTCCCTTCTTTCAATACAAGCGAGTTATTCATTTCTATAAATGTTTTATGATTTTAGTGTTAAAAGGGAACATTACCTGAATACCGAAGACTTCCTGGACGCTGTTAAAGATCGTTTCTTATCTCAATGGCAGTCTACATAGAAAGCTTTGATAGTAGAGTAGAACAGCACTAAGTTATGAATCATATTTTTTTAAAATAATTAGTGATTTAAAAATCTTAATCTATAGTTCACGTTACTTTCTCACCTTCTCTTGAATTACATTAAATGTTCTCAAAGGATGTGTATATAAGTGTGTCAATAAAATAAAACGAAAAAACTATGAAATCGTTTCCATACCATATCTTGTTTTGAATAATAACAGAAAGGCTCTTTCTGACTGCAATAACTGCGTGGCGCGAGCTTTGTTCAAGCAATCAACGACGTCATAGATAATGGAAGGTGAAAGCCTAAGGGAAGAAACGGAACATAATTATGCTAACACAATTACGACATATATCAGATGGTAACTACAATACAGTGTTTGTTAAAAACAAGGAGCACAAATTTAATTTGGACAAAGAAATCTACGACTTGGAATGTTGGAAAAAATCAAGAAATCACGTTTATCGCAAGGAAGAAAGAGAATTATTGGATCATCTTCATAAGCTAAAGGAACAACAAGCCTACCTTCATAATCTAGATGAAGATAGAGGAGGTCATGTCAGGGAAAGTCAACAGACATCTCCACAAAGGTTAAATGCGACTAAAACTAGTCAAATCAACCCTGTCAGTATTCTGTCGACTTCTGATGGAAAGGAAATTGGAGGTTGGAATGAAATGGGAACTTTTTCCATACTGATAAGCAGCTTTTAAGAAATTTGTTTTATTCATAGAAATTTCTGCTCATAACGAACACAACATTGGATCAAAGAAGTCAGTTCGTAATCAAAATCTTAACACAGCAATAATGCCCGCAAACTCAGCAACAGATAAAAGAATCCTACATAGAGCTGAAGCTGGAACTAATATTGGTGTAATAAGCCATCTCCCTCATGCATTATGGGGTAAACAACACCACGAACATGTCTTCAGTTGCAGAGAAAATAACAAATCAAAAAGATCCACTACAGAACAAGAACACAACACAGCTCACGCGGTGCCATCAGTTCAAATTGGCCAGAGGCGCCATAGCCTAATGATGCAACGACTGTATGATACAGAACATCACACGCATCACGCCCATCATCAAAGAAACACAGGTATAAAGGGAGAAGGGGGACAGGTGAAAGTAAGCATGAAAGGAAAGAACGTTTCTTTTGTTTTGAAATTACTTTACAGGAGGAACACTTCAACACCACAGTCACATCAATAATAAACACCGTGTACCTCGTCCAGTGCAAATAAATAATGACGACCATCAGCATGTACATCGTCACGTGCACAACCATGTCAAAATGCATCACCATCATGCACATCGCTATCACTCTGGTTATCATTCAGAAGCTGGTAAAAGTGACGCAAAACATAATTCTGCATATGAACTAAATTTAAACAAAATCCAAAACGACATGCACCATGGCAACGTACACCGCCATCATACACATCATTATGGCCACCATAGATTTAATTCAGCACGTGAACATGAGCACGAGAGCCATTCTACAAGTGGATATCTTGATCATCACAACTTTGACAATGTTCATACACACGGTCATATTGGATCAAGAATCTCACGGCAATCCATCTCCCACCATGATCCCAACTCGCACCTTCACGGTTCAAATCATGGGATGTATCGAAGACGCAATACAATTGCAGCAAGCTTAGGCGTTAATGTCCAAGATTTTGACACACGAACACGTGATCACGAGCTTCACTGGGACCGACATCAGGTTTGCAAGCTGAAAGGAATGATCACGGACCCACACTATAAGGAAAAGCTGGAAGATGACAATGGAAGGCATTATCCTTGGTCAGGACTTTATCCTGCTAAAAATAAGACGAGTGTGGAAGACATTGAAAATTTGAAAAGTTGCCGTTATTTGAGATTTTCGAAACTCAACTTGATGAGCATGAAGGGCAATCCCGATGAAGAGGTGAACGTATTTGAAAGACGGTCGTCCGCTTTTTAAGGAATGAAGCAAGTTTAAACATCCACTGAGTTTCACTGTAATTAACTTAATTTTGCAAGCTTTTCATGAAAATATTTTCATTGAAAAATATTTCAAGCTTTTGCTGTTGGTGTTCATGGCTATCAACAGAAATCATTTTTGCTGACTAATACGACCTTGTAATCATTATATGAGCAATCATGAAGCTCATTGTCAATTGTGACACCACAATCTAGGATTAAAAGATCCTAGCAGCAATACAAGATCATACAAATTTCTGTTGTCATTGTTGTACCTTGTATTTCTCTATTGTTATATATTGAGCAAAAACTCTTGTTTGTGCAATGTCAAGTGAAATAGCAAGACTTTTTGAGTGTGTTTGCAAATGTTGTTTTTGCACTAGTCGCCTTCTCATGTTTTCGTTCATCAAAAAAGACATCAACCAGCCTCTTCATTGTAAGCCCACTGCACACAGTCACAACTTTGAACTTGTGGTTCTCTGAATAAGGTTCATTATACCTCACATTAGATACAAAAGAATTCGTACAATGGAGGTCTCATATTCGATTATCAATTGCATTTATCAGCGCCCCCATTTCCTCCTGGCCTTCTTCGAGTCACTCAGATCAAGTGAAATGAATCGGATTCAATAAAATCATGACATGTGCATGAAATTAAATCACGATTCCAAATTTGATCAATCCATTGATGTACCTAAGCCATTCCTCTGCATCTTTTTCTATTCCAAGCAATCAAGGCAACATTTTCGAGAGAAACAGACCGATCAACATAATAAACGAGACAAGTGTCCAGATCATGTTTATTCAGGTAGGACAAACGACCAACATCTAGAAGACGTTTACTTTGACGTCCTATATGTTCGCTTTCGCTCTTACTCAGACCCAATGATCTAAAAAAAATGTAAAATTTCCTTTCATAAAGGGAAATAATAAAAGAAAACATTAAAAAGCTAAGACATTTTTCTATACTTGTGTTCGTCCATCTTATGAATGATAAATAAAAAAAATGAATGAAAACATCATACTTCAAACAGCTAACGTTCTCTTTATCTTGTAATGCTTTGCTATCACCATTTGTTTTATTATTTAAAGTTTCAGCATTATTCACGGTTAAAGTGTCTTCACCGTTTGTCTTTTTCTCTCTAACATTGTGCCTAGAGCCGCAGGTTGCCCAACTAGTCAGACCACAAACGATGTTAAAATAATATTCATTAAATCCGTGAAACTCAAGAAATTCTCTGGCAACATATGTATCCCAAGAACAACAGTGATGGCAACACAACGCAAACGCAAGACCGTTCACACGACTATCTTCAAGTTTCATTCTTTTACATACTCTAAATGAAACACACGTTTTAGCAAATGAAACACGCGTTGTAGCAAATGAAACACACGTTGTAGCAAATGAAACACATGTTGTAGCAAATGAAACACACGTTGTAGCAAATGAAACACACGTTGTAGCAAATAAAACACACATGGTAGCAAATGAAACACACGTTGTAGCAAATGAAACACACATTGTAGCAAATAAAACACACATTGTAGCAAATGAAACACACGTTGTAGCAAATAAAACACACATTGTAGCAAATGAAAAACACGTTGTAGCAAATAAAACATTCATTGTAGCAAATGAAATACACGTTATAGCAAATGAAACACACGTTGAAGCAAATGAAATATTCATTGAAGCAAATGAAACACGATGCAAAAAAAAAATAATTATAAATACTGCTACGTATACAAAGACAATTTCTACCTTTCATCTGCTCGTTTCTGAGTTAAAATGACAGAACGACTGCTTTCAGATGTGTTCATTAAACATCGCAATGCAAGATCTACGTATAAACACACTCATAATCACTAAGTTCACCAGATATTATGCTTACTTATATACCAGATACCTGTAGCTGCCCCACAAAGGTGTTTGCTCACTCCAGTTAGATATTGATCACTATTAGATATTAGAGGAACATTCTCTAAATAAATATTGTATTCAAAATATAACTGCTGAGTGCTGACACAAAATACATAAGTATAATTACATGCTAAAGCTTGATAAGATAAAAACAACTTTGTTATTCAATTGAATTATTTTTTTAGACACAAAAAATGCAAATAAATAATGAAGTAGAGACGGTTGGTTATCATAAAAACAGTCCATACATTTGTTGCAATACTACTCTACAATTGCTTACTAAGATTCAAATGTTGAATGTCAATTTGGATGCGATTGAATGTTGGTCCTTGATCAATTCTTCGATGATAAGAGTCAGCCTACACAAATAGTAACATGTCTAGATGACATTATGTATAGTCTGCAAGATAAGTTTGCTTGCTCACCTTATAACGACAGCTGGCCCTGTCAACGAGCAAAAAGTCAATGTTCTCTATGTCTTTCATTGATTTCTGGACCCAATGTGATAACATTCCTTGAAAATAGATAAGATTCCTACATAGAAATTTGGTGAGGAATTTTTAAGAAATTTTTGACAAATTGGGAGAAACCTCGTCCTGCTCCAAACTCAACATATATTGAATTGGATGCCAGAAGATCTGCAGCTCTCATATTACCAATTAAAGAAGACTACAATCGCCAAGGAATGATATGGTTTTAGCCAGAAAAAATCACAACATTAAAATAACAAGATTCTTTCATAACCTGCTGTTGTAGATGTTTGCCTAATACAGGACTTGTTTCGTCTATTTCATCATCAACATTCTTTTGAGATAAATATGATTCTTTAATAACCAATGGAATTTCTGCATGAGAAACATACATAACTGTTGATGAAGATAAAAATAAAGAATGGGAAATTGCAGAAAATGAAATTGATAATAGAATGATTACCTTTAAAAAAAGATCTTATTTTTTCTATGCATAACTGTATGTCTTCTTTAGGAATATTTTTTAAGGGTTGCTATTCATACGATAACAATATGTTGAAAATATCAGTTACCACATTTTGAAAAATAAATACAGTCAGATGTATCCTAACATTAATTGCTCTACATATAACAATACTGCTAGGTTGGCTAGAAACTTTGGTGGACTAAAAATTACTGAAATCTCACCTTTTTCAACTGGTGATTTGTATCTGTTAACAATTGACCATTGTTTATATTCTTCTCGTAGTATTCCTACAACCATAAGTCATTAAATAGCATTGTTTATACTATTATTATCATATAAGGTCCATGTGATAACATGTCTTTACTTACAACTTGTCTCTTTTTAGTCACGTTGCATTTTTTCAAATGTTTTTCCAATTGATCTTCAAAGACTGTGCTAAAAATTGAAACACAGTTGTCAAATGCATTGTATTTTGTTTCCTTGAATTTTAATATAAACTTATGCTATCAGCTCCATGCGAGGAAAATGTCATATCATCTTTAAAGTTAAAAATTTCATTTGATGCATTAAATCCATTGATAATGTTTTATGCGGAAAATAACTTAAGCTGCCAAACGTTAAATCAACGCATAATGAAATCTTAACCCATTCATATCCACAGATAAACCTAGCTATCATTAACTTCTTCATGAAAAGGTGATTTCACAATGGTGAAGAAAATTTTGCTAGTACTTACGACGAGTTGACGATTTAGTACTCACTGGTTTTCGTCTAATGGGCAATTAATGCGTTTTCTTTTAGCGGAAACCTAAAATTTGTTAACACATCATAATGAATATACAAAAAAATGCAATTTATATCATAAAATCCCCTCACTCAGGCAGCTAAGTCAAAAAAAGTTACATTCATTTAAAACCTCATTTTGTCCTAGTTCAAGATAAGAGTGCTCTCCACAAAACTTTTTGCCTTTTCCCGGAATCATTTTGCAATATCTGTTTTTGCGCTTTAAAAAGAATGAGCATTTATTTTGGAAAGAAATTGCCAATGGCATTTCAAAATCCGCCATTTTGAACTTATTATTGCGCACGCGCTCTGGCTGGGTCACTGGAGATTTGAGATGACGTCGACGAAGGAGCAATGGCTGATCATGGCCATATTATGGATATATGAAACTATACATTGTGTATATTGACATACAGTATAGAAATATTTTTCAGAGAATAACTCTGAGCTGCAACTCAACCATAGTCAATATGAAATTTGTATTTCGTATTTATCCTCGGATATACGATTTTTGCCAAGGTCCAAGAAATCATCAGCCAACATTTTCAGGAAGATACTTCAGGAAACCTGAATATCAAAAGATCACTTGCAGTTACTAAAAAAAAATACAAAAAAGTGAGCTCATCTTTTACCCTTTAAATGCAAGAAAATATTAATAAGAAAACAGTAGTAGTATCTGCATGTATCATCTTTATGCCAGGAATGAAATGTTATTCGAGTCATGATAACGAGACTGCTTCAGTTATAATTCAGGTTTCTGTATATACTTGGTCAATTAACAAGGGCAAAATTATTGATTTATTGAAATTTATTCATAAGAAAAACAAACAAGCTTGACAGCTATATGCCCATTGTATTGTGTGTAACGAAATCTTCAGGGTATAAGCTACTGTTATGGTCAGTGATAAAAAACACAGTTGAAAGTGTGGTGAAAACTTAAAGTTACATGGAACACTTTCATTAAATAAGGATCCGTTTCATATGTGTTAAATTTATATAAGTTATGGGCAATGGAGATAGATGCTGACGCAACAATTTAAACGAGTTTTTTGTCAAAAGGGCTATGAACTATTAAAAATGGATTAGTGAATCTTTTTCAATTTGCTTGACTCTTTAATTTTAAATTGAAAATTGCAAAATCACAGTCAGATAGTGATCATTTGCCAAATGAGGTCGTGCAAAAGAATTGATAAAATCTTGGCAAAATGAAAACCAATTCAAACTTTAGCAACAGCTTGCAATAAATAGTCGATGCATAATTTGCGATCTTTTTGTGGCTTTTTGAAGAACGTTAGTTTCTTTCTGGAGTTGAAATTATTTCTGGCTCAAACCAGCAGTAGAACCTATATAAACTAAAGGAAAAATACAGGTACAACAGCTTGAAATTTCGATCGTGTCGCTTTTTAAATGGACAAATCTTGCGAGAGATGTATACGAAAACGAAACGCAAAAAAGGAAAGAGAACTCAATTTAATTTTATAGTTACAAAATGCAATTTCAATGCTTAAAACTTAAATGAATAATTTTGTTTCACGTTGTTTGCGTGGGGTCAATATGCACGTAGCCTTAAAAGATAATTTTTTATTTAGACTTCAAATTTTAATGAAGTGTGTCTGAAGATACACCTGCATGCAGTGTGTTTAAGTGCCTGTGTTTAACAATGAATCTTATTCTCTTTTATTAAAGAAAGTTCACTTAAAAGAACAAAGCGTTGTATTTCAAAAGTTAGTTTCATTAGAAAAGCAAGAGGATAATACAGTTAAGGCAGCAATACGTAAAAATTAAACACATTCAATAAAGCTTCCTCGAATCTCTGATTTATACGACATTGTAAGCATGATAGCTGGAAAGAAAAATCAAAAAGCAAATGTTGAAGAAGCTAACATGAAGAAGAGATGGGTAGATTAAAATTGAAATAATGCAAATATAAGATTGCTGAGGTTAAACTATATTTATGTTTAAAGTATTTGTTACCCAAAACTCTGAATGTATTACACGGAAATGTTGAAGTTTGGTAGTTTTAAATGGTTTTAAGTAATGTTTTTCACCTATGGGATTTATCCAAAAAATTTAGTGAAGAACTGATTAAATAAACCACTTTTGAGTGTGTTGAGTTGACTCTGGAACTATTTCATGTGACGATTGACGAAGCAGTCAAAATATCACAAATATAAGTGAGGATAAGTTTTAAATGAACAATATCCGTAAATTATTTATGTTTCTTGGTGATTAAACAGCAAAACGTTAAACTATGCAGAGTTGACAGCTTTCTTCACCACATTTCACTTTAACATTTCACAGCATTCGACATATGTTCGCACCTGAAGTGTACTTCATGCAACAAATCGCTTCCCATTTTTTCAGGTAACATCAGTATAATGAAGGAAAGAAATGTGTCTACATGGAATTTGTTAAAACGCGGAGCTGTTGCTTTAATAGCAATAATAACAGGTTTGTTACCTTTCATCTATTTTAAGATAGTTTCATCAAAAAACAATGTGGAACTATAGTTTAGTTAAATTAACCAAAAACATGATATTTGAGGAGTGTTTCGATCCTCACCTCATCAAGTGGGAAGAGATATATATGACACAGAAAATTCTCCAAGACAGGAAAAGCTGTTATTTGATCCAGAAATGTTTCATCTTCATATTTAAGTTCTGACAGTTTTTCATGCATAACACAAAACGACCAACAACGCTAAGATATTGATGAAACAATTGGTAAAACTATGGCAATTTCAATATACTATCCATATTTTCTATTACTTTTCCATGGAGGTAAGAACAGTACATTAGTTTATCTTTAACCTATCCACGTGGGAACACTGTCTGTGATGTTTAAAAGAATTCTTACATGAGAACATATCTTCAAAAATTATGGATTTATGTTTTTAAATATGCTATCATATAGTTCATAAGGACTTTATTTACTCATGTGGCCATATTATCGGTATTTTATTTCTATCTGACGTACAGTTTGTGACGCAAGTTGTTTCGAGAAAAATTGTTAAGAGATTTATTCTTCGACTACGACAAAGACACAAGACCTGTCTTGAATGATAGTCACACAGTTACAGTGACAATTGGTCTATCACTTCATCAAATAATGGATGTTGTAAGTCCTTTGGTTGTGAAACATTTGTTGAACATAATAAGTGTAGTTAAACAGTTATAAAATAATTTGTACAATCCTTACGTCATTGTAGGATGAGAAAAATCAAATAATGACTACGAGCGTTTGGGCAAGACAAGTAAGCGTGCAAATTAACATAGCTACTAAAAATAATATTGAGGACCAAATGTGTGATTCTCTTTTATCTCTAAATAGAAATGGTACAATCCATATATGAAATGGAATAGATCTGCTTATGGCAACATAGCAACCATTAACGTACCCAGCAAACGCATCTGGATCCCAGATATCGTTCTTTACAACAAGTGCGTCACGCAAGAAAAATGAAATTAATTTTCTTTTTCATCGTATTAACACTCGCGTTGAGCTTTTCTTAACGTAAAATATAGCAGCAAATAAAATAGTTTTAACACAAAAATCGGTATTAATCGACAGAAATGTATTCTATTTCTCACTTATTATTATAGTGCTGATGAAAATGTAGATTTTCGCGGCTATCTTGATCGCCTGTCGACAAGAGTTCAGATCAATCACGATGGATTGAACACGTGGCTCTCGCCAGTAATGTTGAAAACCAAGTGTAAAATTAATGTTGAATACTTTCCATTCGACTCTCAGAGGTGTATTCTCAAGTTTGGATCATGGACATACGATGGCTTTCGACTGGATGTGCAAAATGAAAGCACTTCCATCGACACAGGAATGTACAGTCCTTCCGCTGAATGGCATTTATCTTCAGTTCCTGTACAAAGAAATGTTGTTAAATATTTCTGTTGCCCCGAACCTTACCCTGATGTCACATTTGTCGTGAATATTCAGAGAAGATCTTTGTTTTATCTTATTAATTTGATTTTACCGTTGGTTGTCATCTCTGTTTTGATAACATTTGTCTTCACATTGCCACCGGAATCGGGTAAGGCGCCTATAGCTTCAAACACATGTCTGAAAAACTGAGATTGAGACACGCAATTCTTTAAAAACGAAATATATTTATTACATGAATTTTGAAGTAAACAATAGTGAGCACTGTTTTCAGTCCATGGACCTGGGCTCGAAGTTTGCTCATGGGAATAGTTTGATTGGGTTGTGCTGTCTTAGTTATAATTCAAACTCTTTTTTGTAGGAGAACGAATCTCTTTATCGATCACTATCCTCCTCGCAATGACCGTCTTCATGTTGTTGGTCACGGAGACAATTCCTCCAACATCAGAAGTCGTTCCTCTTATAGCCAAGTTCTATATGGCTGCCATGTGTGAAATAGCTTTTGCCTTGATAGTTACGTGTTATATATTGCGTTGCTATCATAGTGGAGCGAACGAGGTGCCATCTTGGATGAAGAGAATTCTCGTGGGAACTATGGCAAACTTCTTTGGAGTGAAGAAGTCAAAAGCTTTGCTGAAAATGGAGAAAGAAGAAGAGATGTTCGAGCAGTTTGCTTCGCGAAAAGGCTTCTTGGGAAAAATGATCAAGAAATTAACTCAAGAAGATTCCGAAGAAGATTTGATTCAATGTTGTGTCTCGAGTACTGTTAAAGAAGACATTGACGTAGCTGTCAGTAACCTACAGCTTCCACAGCTTTTCAAAACTCCACTTAAAGTTGGTGAAAAAGATAAGACGAATGATGTTAAGGAAGCCGGAAATAGGTGTAGCGATAGATTCTCCTCGAAGATCTTAGACAAGCTGGACATCATAACCACTAATATCAAGTCAAAGGAAAAAGTAGAGATTGTGAAAGAGCAATGGCATATTATCTCTGTGGTGTGTGATCGCATATCAATGTGGACGTTTGCTTTAGCAATCATAGTAACAATGACAATGATATTCTATCAAGCGCCTGGTTATATTTCTTGATCTTTACATACATTAAAACGCATATTAACATGTATTAGACATTAGAACACCAAAAACAGCTTTTAGCATTATACTATAAAAGAAAAATGCTATCTAGAGGATTAGTTTGATGAGGCAATAATAAATAAATTTAATAAAAAAGATACTGCTTTTCGGTTTATTTAATATCTTTTAATTCAATGAGATCTTAAATCCAAATACTCACTAAATATGACGAAGATATAATCATTAACGATGTTTATGAATAAAATGAAAGATGTTCACTTTGAAAAGCATGAGTCTGCATGACTATTTGCTTTACGTAATAGTGAATGCATTTATTTGTGTACAGTACAAAGTCAAACAGCGAGTTTAGTCTAATTTAAGAACTTTATCATAACTTGTTTTAGTAGATCAATTGATTTCGCAGTAGTTGAACGTATGTGGCAGAAGTAAATAGGCCAGCTGACCACTCCTACGTATATTACACCAACAGATGCTCTAAAGCTGCGTTAATTAGCTAAATATTCTATCATAATTTTAAGTTGCTGTAAATATGAAGGTATGTGGCAGTGGTACCTGTAAGTGTTGATTTTGATCGAACGTAACTGAGCGAATATATTTTAAACATTTCTATCCTCTCACTTGCGATTCCTTTTAAATTGAATTCGACTTTGTTGAAATCGAGTTCAATTTTCATTAAACCCCTTTTTGAAGGAGATTTCTTACGCCAAGTCAAAGTAATGTGAAACTCAATTGTTTACTCGTAAGAGTTTTGGTAACGATGCATTTTTAATGATTGTATAAACATAGAGCAAAGATTATTAAAACTACAGCTATAATGAGAAATACGTTTAGCTCAAACTTAAATAAAAGAAACGCGAAGAGAGTGGTAACGAGTATTGATGATGACGTTATAAAAAGTTTTGTGATGTTACTTGCATGTTTCATCACAATAGATACAATAAGACCACAGCAGATCTGTAAATGAAGACACGAAATTCAACAAATGTCGTATGTAATAAAAAGGAATTTATAATATTGTGAATACCTCAGAGCAGATAATCACTTTCACCCAAGGATTATAATGATGAAATATGTTGTTAATTTTGTGTGAAAGATTCTCATTGCCTGCAAAATACAACGTTTGAGAGGTGGGAAAAAAGGTGACAACAAGAAAGCTTTGATTGATCTCCGATATTTGACAACATACCACCTGTTGAAAAAGATGGACTGTCAACAATAAGAAAGCCGACGATGTTTAATAATACACCAAAGAAATACAACATGACATTTTGTTGATGGAGTGACAGATCATATTGACGTTTCACCATCACCTCTAAATAAATAAATAAATCGCAAAGGAATAATGTATTACTTATAAGTAAAGAACAAAGCAACATGACGTTGGTACAAAATGGATAAATAATATTCATACCAGTCCAAATACCGGCCAATCCACTCACAACACAAGAAACAAGCATTATGAAAAGACCAGTTAACGTGACATGAACGTCATTTATGTGATCATGAAGCTTTTCTTCCGATACAAGATTTCCAAGACTATCAATAAAAATAAATGTATTCTCCAAACGTGTTCTCCAGTTAATTTTTATATCGTCTGTTTAGTCTCAGAATAACGAGTTTAGACTTACGAATTTAAAGTTCCTGCAGCAGTCAAAAGAAAAATAGCAAACCATTTGCGAAAAGAAAGACGTCTAAATGATAAAAATTACGTCAAGAAATAACAGGAACTACCGCATTGCCATTATGTATCATAATACAAACCTCATTATTATGAGACGATAGAGGAAAGCCGTGATAGGGATCTTCAAATTACTCATTATCTAAACATAAAAACATTTTAACATGAAAAATAACGTGCAATATAACTTATATTACAATAATTTAAATTTACAGAAGATTTAATGAAAATTTCAATTATGGCTTTAATTATATTTATTTCAAATTACAACCACATCATTCAGTTTATGGAAGAGTTTCGGCTATTTCTGTCAATTTTTAGTCAATTTATGGCTTTCCCAAGATAAACCACCATTTCGTTGTGTACTCGTCTGCCAATCACTTTTATACACTCCTCTTTCGGGATGGCTCTTATTTTGCTGTGATGTCAGTTTTAAGTTCTTCAAAATAAGAGCCATCCCGCCACACATCTTGGAAACTAAGTGCCATAAACTGAATGATTCTTAATTGAGCATCTACACAGGTAACGTAAATGATCAAATAAACGCCCCCCCCCCCAGCATGCTAAAATAACAAGAGTGGCTTGTTGAAAGTGGGCTCAGAAACGGCAAATTAAGCCATAGTTTTGTCTTAATTTCTTCACAGCACTTCTCTCTATTAAACGCCGTGTATTTATTGCACACACCCCTTCCACACCGGAATCGCTAGAATACAGTAAACGCCCGGGCGCTTCTTAAATCATTTACGGTGCTAGGCACAGTTAACAAGTTGTGTACCACGTAGCTTGCAGGATCTAGGTACTGCTGAACCAAGATTGAAACGTTGTTGTTAAAACAATAAAGAATGGCCGGAACAGAAAATGAAATCCAAACGATCAAAGGTTGTCTCTTTAGTTCCCCGCGCTTCCATAATGGATAAAGATTGATGAAGGAGAAAACAAACTGAAAGAGTTCACGTTTTTATAAGATACACATACAACTTTCTTTAAAGAACTGTTTTCAAAATATGCAATGCTATCTGGAGTAAATACCTTTCCTAACTCAATAAACATGACGACTGATGTTGTGTTGTATTTAATCTTGTTGTCAATTTTGCTCAGTTTAACAGACAGCGGATAACTTCCGTAAATAAAAACTCTAAATTAAAATAAAGAAAATAAAGTAAAGCGAACAACATGTTATCATTGAAATCGTTTAAAGATTATTTAATTCACTAACGGAGAATAATCAATTAACTCACTCCAGAACAAGAATCGTATACCACAAAAGTCTAGGAAAAGGAGTAATTTCCTGAAATTCTGAAAGTTGTGACGTCGAAATCTTTAACTAAATGATAAAATAGTTACTTTCCAGACAAGATTTGAATATGAATCAAAATGCAAATTAAATTTTAATTTCAAAATGCTATCAATAGGAATTCATGTTGAGTTCATCGTTAGTTGATCCTTGGAAAAACCCTTTACGCCGTCTAATGATGACGTCGTAATTTCGTTTACGTTGCAACAAGCTAATAATTTTATAGATGATCCAGTTTACAAACATCAAAAATTTTGACAAGCTTAGAATACAACATAGAAATTCTTACGTTGGACCAATTTCTACTTCCTTTCGAGTTCTTCATCGTATTGTAGTGGTCTTTATCTACTGAAATAGAACTAAACGATTTCCGAACAACTTATTTGAAACAATTACGACATTTGCTCTCACATGACACGAGATGAAAAGATGTTCAATAGTGTTATGGTAAAGGTAGCAGTTGATCATGTCTTAGTTCCAAACATGTGAAAACTCGCGAACATTGATCAACGGGTGGCATTATTTTATTGAAAGACTCGAGCATTAAAAACAGTTTTATCACATAACAGGTTTCAGCCTTAGTGTTTAGCTTCGTTCATCCATTTCAATAGCTAAGCAACCACGGACGAAGTTTAAAATTTTTTCCGTAAGTATTGTTAATATTGTAGGGGGTGATGATAAAAACTTTAAGAGGGTGAATAAGCTGGTGAAGAAATGACGTAAGACAATGCAAGACAAAATAAAGGAGTAAGATTCACTTTTTAAAACAGTCATGAAAACAAAAACTACAGTTATGCATTTTGTGCCCGAAACAAAACAACACAATCGAAAATATGATAAAATAAGAATGGATCTGATTATATATTAACATTAATGTTTTTGTATAATAGCGGTAATAATGGTGATAATAACAGTGCATACAGTAGTTGTAAGCATAGTATAAGATCTGAAAAATATATTTAGTCGTATAGATGAGATATGCCTTTAGCTTGATCCTAACATAATGCCAGTTGTAACTGCCACCAGAAGTTTATTTTAGTTTGTCTAAGATAAAGAGTCTAATAAAGTAAATGGTTTGAACCCGGGAGTATCGTTACATGTTTGTAAATGTAGATCGTCCATGCTGGTATAGTCCTGAGAAGGACTGTTTTTGTTGTTGTTGACTGACGTTTCGACAACCTTAGCGGTAGTCATCTTCAGAGTCAAATGACTCTGCCTCTGACTCTTTTGACTCTGAAGATGACTACCGCTAAGGTTGTCGAAACGTCAGTCAACAACAACAAAAACAGTCCTTCTCAGGACTATACCAACCTGGACAATCTACATCTACAAACATGCAATAAAGAGTCCACTAACAAATAAGACTAGTGCTACATTATACATATTATAATTAGGATGATTGCAATTTTTTATGACTTAAAACTTCCCTTCTTTGAACTGCGACCTGAACGCGTTCTGAACACAATTGGAACGCGTTTTTTGTCGAGTTATTTCTAAGCAGTACTGTATGACCGTATACATTATAAATAATATAAAGGTTTTGTCAAGTTATTTCTAAGCAGTACTGTATGACCGTATACATTATAAATAATATAAAGGGTAATTTGTTTATGTAACTTGTCATATTTTCATACGACTTCACTGAAAATTGAGCCATCAACATCACAAAGTTGGTACAAAAGTTCACGGAATACCACAATATATTGAAGACTGCAATAGCGTTTTGACCAGCTACTAAAGATCATAGTCCTCACTTTGTCACGTGACACAAGCAAAGGCCAATAAAGAATAAGTATATATGGGCAGGATAAGATTGTCAATTTGGGTGGTAAATGCTTCCAGTAAGGATGATAGTATTACCGTTAGTGCCAGTGAGTGTAGCTTTATGCCTAGGTGAATACATCCATTGGTTACAAAACTATAAATTATAATAAGAAGATGAATGAAGAGATACCATATGGTTTCAAGAGAACCAGGAGAAAAAACTGTGATAGACAAGATGCTAAGGTTCCTTCAACAGTTTTAGACAACCCTATAGTAAAAGAAAGATGATTTCTTCAAAGTACCAAAACACCATACCTACGTGATCAATTGTCAATGTAGGTACCTTTCCATTTTGTCTTTCCAAATTTCACTCCAATTACGGATGCAGTAGCATCTCCCACTCCAATTGACAGAACACCAGCATAAAGTAACACATTACAACCTATTGACAATACATTACAATGAAAGTCATTAGCAGAGAAAAAATGTTATTTGCAATGAAAAAACTACCATACAGACAAAGATAGTACGCTATTTGGTTGGGATTATACCATGTTGATAAAGATGGTGATAGTTCATTGGAAACATCCATAATGGTAAAGCACATCCAACAAGAAGATAAACATGTGTTAGTATGAGAGGGCCGGAATCTTTATCATCTGTCAAACAACAGAGATGATCGTGAAATAGTTCTCCAAATGGCTTAATATGACCAATACGAATATACTAAACAACAGAAAAATAAGGACATATACTCACAAGTATGCAACAACATGATCATCATTTGTACCATGACACAAATTTACTGCTTTATTTATGAAAAGCATTAAAAGCAATTGCTTTCTATCTTTCATTTCTAATAGAAAAGAACTTTTTAAGTGAGCATACAAAACATACCTCCACAAAAATAAAAAGCGATATTGCCAAAGTAGAACAAAGGTGAAGTAATGCAGGATCATAGATGATTCCAGGGACAAAAATGGCTACAGCTAGGACATGAAAGATCTTTCTTACAATGATATTGGAAGGAGTAAGGCTAGGGTAAGAATATCTCCATGAGACAACAAACAATGAGAACAAGGCAATAATGGTCCAATAAAACAGGAGAAAAACCTAGATGAAATCATTAAAAATGATAATGTGAAATTAATGAAGTGTAAAAGATATAATAAAGTTGTTTGTTGTGCAGACAACCTTACCCTGTTATGATTTAAAGAAATAAACTCGATGAACCATATGAAAGGATTGATGCCACCAAGATTTAGATAGAGTGATGGAAGAAATATTGCAATAAATGATAAAAAACATATGATATAGAAGCAGAAATATCCAATCCACAAATCCAATGTTTCACTGAAATATGAAAAAGAAAAAATGCAGCAAACTTCTTGATTGTCATGAAAATCATACGTATATGCGATAAAATTTACCTAAAGTGGCATAAACTTGCATGAATTGCAGTTAAAATTAAATGACAAACATGTAGACAAATTGTAAATTGTGAAGCTACTTTTACCAAACAATATGGAGATAATAGAAGACAGGAAGAAGGAGCAATCCAGTCAACAACATTCCCACAATAAAGCTCTGGGAAAACAAAGGAGAGCTTCACCATTTTTAAAATATAAAAGGTAAAGAAAGCCTTAACTATTACTTACTTGAAGTATAAAAGTAATTTCCGTTCTCGTAAAAGGTAGTTGGTCAACTTTAGTTGTGCCATTTACAATGGAAGGAAAGACAAAACGAAGCTGAAAATAAAGGATTAACCATATGAATATAGATGCAATCAAGTGTAACCTGACTTGGTAATTTTTATTATGTTTTGGTGAGCTTAGATAGCCCCACCTGATTAAATAAGTTGAACATTTGGAACAGGGGGACATTCTGCATGGATCAACACATTTTTGATGGTAAAGTATTCAATGTATGGTCACACTAATGCTATCATTGTAGTAGGGAATTTTCCCCAAAAAAGTTCACTAACCCGGGAATAAATGCTGATTGCAAAATCAATACACAAAATGGAAAGAACTTGTGACACAATCATAAGTTCGCCAAGAGTAAAGGACTGAGGAAGCAATGCAAGAATAAGAAATGATATTGTGAAAAAGACAAGTAGACTGGTGGCCAGGTACATCTCCATTGTTGCTAAAAAATACAAAAGTCACTTAAATTATTGATAACAATTAACAAGAATAGGGAGAAGACTTTTAAAAAAGATCAATAGAATATTCACCTCCTTTCCATTGCAATTGAGCAGTTTTAAGAATAGCTATGCAAATAAGGGAACAAGTGATAAAGTTGTGAGGTTACGGGTTCCTTTGAACAATACTAACAATAACACAGTACATAGTGACATCATTACAACTGCATTGTAATATATTTGCCATTGACCTAAACAATAGATAGATAATGCTTTACTTAATACACAATTTGACATTCTCTATATTTCAAAGAACATATGATAACCTGTATATATGTACTTACCATGCAATATAAATGGATGCCATTTTCCAAAGCTAAGTTGACTGAGTATAACAAGTGGCACTAAGAAACCACATTCAATACCACTGTCTCCACCAGGCCTGTTTCATAGCAAAGAGGAAAATACCAGGAAGGAACAATTAATGCTTCCCCTGACTAGTGTCATGCATGACACACTGAAATTTCTAGAGTTACAGCCATTTTGGCCATTTGCAAAATGCTTTTCAAAAAAATAATCTTTTATTTCCACCTGAACGGTATTATATTTCTCGCATCTGTATACATCTTTTCAAAGCATACCCACGGCATGGATTCGGCAAATAACACTAAAATCAACACTCGTGATAAAGGCTTTCCTAGTATTGTGAACAAGTAAGAACAGAGCTGAGAGCAGAAAAGATAGCAAAATACTTACACGTAAAATGAAAGATGAAAACTCCTGGATGCTCTTTTATCTTTAAATGAGAAAAACAAAAATACAAACTAGAAAACAAAATAATAGCTTTACAAGGCGACATTATCATCTTCGTGGCCTCTGTTGACAACAGTGTTATGTGAAAAACAAGGTTAAATTTCACGGAGGGGGTGCGTCCAGCACGGGAAAATCAGAGAAAATTATCTGATGATGAAACAAGTTTTTTACAATTCATATTTGAAGCTTGAAAACAAATTTATCATCGTTTTGTTCATTTTATGTTAAGGATTTTCCATGAAAATAAGATTGAAAAATAATCTTGGATTAATGGAGGTGATAAAATTATGTCACTTGAAAAGTTGACTTCCCTCCCCGGTGACAGTTCGTGACGAAACACCTTTTACTTCCGCCAGCGCCAGCGGCCTGACTTTAATTGTGAGCAAGTTGAAGTACTGAAAGGTGTGTGTTGAAAAATGAAGAAAGTTTTTGGATTGAAAAATAAAAAGAAAACTGACGAATCTGATGAAGATAATCCAAGCTATACAGATCCGAGTTTACTTCACGCCACTGACCCTTCACCAAGGATATCTAGAGGCATTACTCATCCTGTCTATCCGCCACCGAGGCCATGTCATAGCGGAGGAAATTCGCCCAATCCACGGCGAAAATATCAGGATCCAAATGTTCCGCCAAGCGATAGAAAAGGTTCTATAAATGAAAGCAACAGGAATAGTCTTCTAAATCCCCCTACTGGCGAACCAATGCACGCTCTACAAAGAACAAATACTTCAGTTATAGTAAGTGTACGAAACTCATTCAACATCGGTGTTCACAAAATTTTGACGTTTTCCGTTTTAGTTAGAAATACAACTGTATGTAAAGAATAATGGATTTTAGTGAACTAAACAAGTATAAGTGTTCTGATGCTATTATCAAGAAATAAAATGTTTTGATAAATAATGATCAAATTAATATGACTTGTATTTATACCTGCTTTTCTTTACAGGTTATTGTCTAAAACTTTTTGAAATCAAACTTTAGTTTGAATTGTATTTTTAATATTTCATGATGGAAATCTATGCAAAGCGAAGTCAATCAGATTTTACTTTTGTGTGTTCAATGCTTTTTGCATCATGATAAAATGTTGCAGTATATATAATTTGATTTTAATATTTATGAAACACACCTTCTGATTAGAATAAGTTGCAAATTTATGCGTGATTGTTCTTTCTATTTTGCCATATATTATCTGTACCTTAATTCTTTTGCAATTGTGCATTTTTTTTTTAATAAATAGTGTTTGAAGAACCTGTTTCAATCATATATGGAAATTGATTACAGGACATGATCTGTCCATACATTACAAAGTTTGCTTATGTATGTATTTGAATTTGAAGATTTCAGATGAAAATGACTATGCCGACCCCATTGATGCACAACGAAGAGATGAACTCATTCATGACATCAAAAATAAATCACTTAGAGATGACTATTGTGAACCATGGGACTCCACAATGAGAACCGATGCTGCAAATGTGATAGTAAAACAAACTATGAACAATGATAATCATAGCGATTATGTTGATCCATATGATACAGGGAAAGACATAATTATTGATAAAAGGTTAAGCAGAGGAATAGACCCAAGACGAAGTGGAGCTGACATTGATTCCAGGAATCCATTGAGGTGACAAAATAAATGCATGTAGTTGTACCTTAATCTTGATTTTGGTCAATATAGTCAACAAATTGTTAATTCTTCATAGCACTGTGTCAGGTAATGACTATGATACTCCTTGGGACTGGGTACCAAAGAATACAGTGATCAAAAGTTCCATACCATCACAGCAATCAAATGCCAATGTGGGCAACCAAACTAACAAAGGAGACGCGGATGATTATGATGAACCTTGGGAAAAGATGCAGAGCTACCTTTTTAAGACACAAGTCCCAGGACCTGGAGGGAAACCACGTTCCCCTGTGCCACTACCTAGACAGTCACATGCTAGTGGCAGTAGAATCTTTGAGTCATCTAGGGATGCAAGTAAGTTTGCAGGCCCACCAGTTCAAGTTGATAGAGTTTATGATGCTCCATGGGATGGAACTATTGGAAAAACAAGTAATGAGTATTTTTTTGTTATCACCAATATTAATCAGTGGCAGAATTATAAATAATATTGTACAACCTTTAGCAAACTCTGCTGATGACTACGATATGCCATGGGAATACAAGAATAAGCTCCCCATCATGGGAAAACCTGCCCCCTTCCATCCAGTGAACATTGTACCAAAGGAAATTGATCCAAACACACCACTTGACCAACAAAGGTATTGAAGATTGTTTTTGAAGATTAAGATTGTCACTTTTATAAACATGTTGTATCATGTGTGATTGATTTGTTCATTTTAGTTGGTATCATGGTCGATTAACGCGACAACAAGCTGAGGAATTACTTAGCGAGGCACCTGACTGTAGTTATCTTGTTAGGGACAGTGAAAGCAGTAAGAAAGATTTTTCTCTGTCAATGAAGTAAGTGAAATTATTTTTCCAAATCATATTCAGGAATATTGCAGAAAAATCTTTTGGCGCTTAAGCACCGCGATAAAATTCCAACGTTCTCTTTCTTAGGAACAGCGAAAATTTCCTTCATTTGAAGATTGTACGTCAATTAAATGGGGAATTTATTCTTGGTCAATTTAGCAAACCTTTTCCAGACATTCCTAAGGTCATTTATCACTACTCCAAAAACAAACTGAATATTCGCGGTGCAGAACACAAGTATTTACAGCATCCTATAAGTTCTCAACCTGAGTATCATACAATCGAACCAGATGATGATGAAAATGACGTTGCTTTGTAAAGAAAGGTTCTGTTGTAATTGTATTTAGTAATTCATCACGTCCACGTTGCTACAAAGAGAATATCAAAAAAATTCTTCAATGAATGAATACCCAATTCATGCATGCATTTAAACTGTAACGCTCCAGATTAACTGTTTAACAACTACTCGCAGTCTAAATATTATGTTGGAGCTTTAACTGTACTTAATGTTAACGTGAAATGAAGTTAAAGTTTACATCGACGTGAAAATGGTTACAAGATACAATACGAAACGCTCGATATAAAATGAAGATTTATGACTGAGTGAAATATTTCCAAATGCTTACATTCCTATGATTCATATTAAATATAACAAAAAAAAAATAAATATTCAATTTAATCCAGTTCACATCCTAAATTTGCGTCATGGAATTATACGTGCATTTAAATAACGGAAGATCGATGGACTAACCAGACAACTATTGATTGCGTTTACTAATCTGACCAATCATCATCGTCGTCATCATCCCATTCGTCATCATCATCAGAATCTTCGTCTCCTGTGGATATAAACACGTGCGTTAGTCACAATGTGAATATTTGATTTTTTTACTCAGTAATGCTTACAATAGATAGCTCTTCTAAAACGTTTCAACTTTCATGCCTAATCCATTGGAAACTTATGGTTACTATAGATAGCTCTTCTAAAACGTTTCAACTTTCATGCCTAATCCATTGGCAACTTATGGTTACAATAGATAGCTCTTCTAAAACGTTTCAACTTTCATGCCTAATCCACTGGCAACTTATGGTTACTATAGATAGCTCTTCTAAAACGTTTTAACTTTCATGCCTAATCCACTGGAAACTTTGGTTACTTTAGATAGCTCTTCTAAAACGTTTCAACTTTCATGCCTAATCCATTGGCAACTTATGGTTACTATAGATAGCTCTTCTAAAACGTTTCAACTTTCATGCCTAATCCACTGGCAACTTGTAGCATTTAATTACTATACATAAACTTACCTAGGACTTTAGCTCGGTTGTCTAAAGCTCGTGCCAGTGCTCCGCGCATGCTGTTACTTTCCACTTTAGGAATAGGTGCTCGAGACTCGGTGACCTTTAGGTGATAAAGGAGTTAGTTTTGTTGTTATGAGCAAATGCGAGGCATGTTATTATTGTAGTTAAAACAATATAGCGGACATTTCATACTTTTAAGAAGGAACGAACTATTAAGCATAAGAAAGAACGATAGTAGAGTAAACGTGCCACGTTTATGTAAATTGACGTGCTTGACGGCATTTGCGCTATAATAATTATTAATGTTACTTCTTTCGTGAACCTTTTTCAACTTTGTGCCAGCTTGAATACTCTGCAACAGTCCCCCGCGGTCACCACTTCCAGTTGCTTTGATGCCGGGTAAATTTCCTTTTTCTAAACTGTTGATGTGTGTAGGCAACGAGGGAGCACAAGGAGGTGGCGGTGGAGGTGGAATATTAGCTTGAATAGGTGGTGGTTGTGGCGATGATGGAGGTTGTGGTACAGCCATTCCCGTGGAGGTTGAAGCTACAGTTCCCGTATTTATAGGTGGAACACCAACAACATATTCTTGAGGATGCGCTTGTAAATTACTGTGTGTTTGATATGATCCTCCAACATTGGAGAATGGATGTTTTGGCTCTACAATAAGAAAAAATGAAAAATAAAATAATTCATCGATAGCCATTTTCACGTTTCAATCCAAACTTACGATGTTGTTGTTGACTTTGGTAAGAAGTTGAGTTACACGGGTAAGCCTGTTTTACATGAGGAGCACGCACTAGCAGGTGAAATGTATCAAAAATTTTAACAATGAACGAGTTTTACAAAGACAAATAAAGTTCTCTTACATACTTAACATAGCCGATGAATATCCTGGGGACATTGCGGGCATAGATCCACCAAACTTTAGGTTATCCAAAAGACTTGCCGTGTTTCTGGTGGCATGCTATTGAACATTGCTTGCATTTGATTGGCTGCGACAAGAGGGGCTCTCATCTTCATCATCATCATACTTTGCATATTTGGCATAAAGAACGAGTTTTGTAACGCTTGCATTTGATAATTTAATTGTTGTTGTTGTTGATAAGCAAGAAGTTTCTTTTGACGAGCCACTGGTAAATGGAAACAAAAGTAAATTTTGCGAGAAAGAAGAATTGTAAAATAAAAATGCGTAGAAATCATTGATTGATGATAACACTCCGAGTAAATTAGGTAAGCAAACACTGCACCTTCTCTTTTCTTTTTAAATATATTAACTCTCTCCATTACCGCAGCACGAAAAGTAGCAGCTTCGTCAGCGCTAGAAAAATTAATTCCAGCACGACAATCCTGCAAAATATAACAATAAGAAATAAGTCACAGAAACTTTTGCATCAATTTCACGAGATATCAAACACTTACATGAGCGAAAAATGTTTGAAAGTATTTTGATACTGCCCTATACTTGAACTGTTTGTATAGTTCTTGTTCCCACACGAGAACTTTTTCCTGTGAAATGAATTTGAAAGTGATTGAAAACAGTTTCTTTTACATATAACCATCCATTTATACCTTAATGTCAAAAAATCGGATGAAAAATGATTTCACTTGCTTATCTTTCACGAGACAAACGACACCCGTTCCTAATTTCGTCCATTGAGTTCGATCAGACGGCAAAGCAAGGAATATTTGAGCAACACCCGTCGCTAATGACTGAAAATGCGATGATAACGTAAGTTGGACATGTAAAAACAAAACTTTGAACATCTTTTAAAAATTCGGATGAAAATTATCGATAAAATTTCCTTTCTTTTTTTAATCTAATACAATGTTATATTAAGGTCAAACATTCGTTGAAACCTTTCTTCCTTTTCCCAATATTTGAGTGACAACTTTATTTTCTCTGGACGACAGCAATAGAGATTCAACACTCTCCATTATTACTCGCGCCAAGAGTCACTTCAATCTAATCGTGTTAATCCGTCTGTTGTGATGACAACAGATAATTACCTAATTGAGCTCCTTAATCATAATGACGTCATCAACGTAAATTAAATGTTTCATTTTTTGGCGCAATATTTTTACTTCTCAAAGTAATAAGAAATGAAATTAAATGAATGGTGACAAAATTTAGTGCCTGGAAAGGCTGTCGATTGACTTCTCAAAGATACAGGAATGAGGAATCCATGAATTAGAAAAACAGCTTTTGTAATAGATCAAATGAATAGTGATTATTTTTCAAACATATTTAAAAACAGTAAAGCAAGTAATATGCACTTACATAGAGTACTTAATTGAACCATATGGTACCTACATAGAGAACATGAAAGAAAGTAATGGAGAAGACCAAAAGCATTTGTTTGGAGATATTTGATTTCATTTATCAAAAGACTTGGGAAAGTTAGAAAAGATTGCTGTGAAGTGGACCAAATCCAGTCACCTCAGCTTATGGAGATAAACTCCAATAAAAATTAGTTGTTTGGTAGTTTTATTTAGCAAAGTTTTTTTTTGTGAATATGTTAGTGCAAACATTACATAAGTACTATTACTTCATCGTTTCAGAAAACTATCAAAAAATATTAAATTGCACTTTTGTGATTTTTAAATGTTAAAAGTAGAGATCCTCGAGTTATGCACAAACTTAACTGGAAATATCAAATGAAAAAACTTTCCTAAGTAATTTGCTTTTTGTGACAAAACTCCACATGAAAGAACTCACCCATGGCATACATACATGCATGTATGGTAAAATTTTAGCTTAGTATATTGTACACTATAGTATTTTTGTCCTATTTTTATTTGAGACTTGGGAGACATTCATACCTTATAGACTTGCTTGACATTCCTAGCTTATAATGTAAACCAAGTGACGTTTCAAATTGTGTTGGAAAGTTAATCTTCTTCGTAAAATGTGGAAAGGAATAGCTTCAATAACAAAAGCAATACATCCTTTGAGCTAAAAAGTTAAAGATACACTAACATTGAAAATGTTTGGAGGTTCACAGTTGACTGACAATTTTATTGCTCTTTCTCTTAAAGTAAACCTGTAATAAATTAACATCAGAGATAGGTATGGCGGTTAATTTCTAAAGTTAATTTCTAAGGTTTATCTTCGTGTTAGCCATGAAGACAATCCACCTTTCGTTATCAAGAATCAAGAACAAGAAGACAAACTCTTCTCCATCTTCCGTTGTGAGCCAATCAGATTACAGAATGTCCCATATCCAGCACATTATACATTCTGAAATGCTTCATTGAATGTACGAATCTTGTTGTTATGAATAAATTGAATATGGGTTCGACTAGATTTGTTATGAGTGATTTGACAGGTATACGTCCTGATTTTGCGAAATGCGATCAACATTTAGAAAATGAAATTATCTTGTAGGTGATACAAGTTTCAAAGAAGACAAGTAGCTGGAATTAAAAGTTGCCAACGCCTATTTTCTGATGTTGGTTTGTGAATCGATCGTCATCACATTCTTTATTATTTGATATTTTCGATTATTGTTGTATTAGAATTATGTCTTCTCTTGGTTGCGCACCGAAATTTTACAAAACGAATGAGGACTCTTCCGAGGGTAGGTGTGATCTTAAATCGAATGTGCTAGGTAGTATAATCGAAACTCTTAGTGCGTGACTTTTGTTGTAACGGATTTCAAGTTTTACCATCGAACTTCAATTGAAAACGATACAAAGGTTTTACAAGTGGTATGAGATTTGAAGATTCTAATCTATTGTAGTGGTTGACAAAAATTCCTATAGATTTAATAATTGTTGAAATTATTGCATCTTATCAGGGTCATGAAATTATTTATGTCAATTAAATAGCAAAGAAGAGCGGATTTTTTATTGCTTACGCATTTCAACCGAGTTCAATTATGCACTGACAAAGTTTTTTGTTTAATCAATCCATATGTGATCATATACAATAAAGAACATTAAAAGTGAATGTTTTATATGATTTTTCATTTTCTGTTTGTATTTTTCCAGAAGTCAACAGAACTATAAAGTGTAATGACACTGAATTTTCAGAAACGCAACGTTATGCTGTATGTAGTATTTATAATAATTAATATAAATGACAATCATTGTGACTGGAGTGGTGATTGTTGTGTTCTACCATTTTAGGATAATTATATTTGCACTTCAAAGTACACTTTGATCTCTTTTCTTCCAAAGAATTTATTTGAACAGTTTCATCGTCTTGCGAATCTTTATTTCTTAGGTCAAATAATTATTATGGTGAGTGCATGGTATAGAGTCAGATTAAATATAATGAATTGAAATTTTATTACCAGTTTGTTTCAACATTTCATTGTAGTCAATACCGGAGCTTACAGCTCTACAACCTGAATCAACCGCAATTCCTTTATTCTTTGTGTTGCTGGCAACTGCTGTAAAGGATGGCTATGATGATGTGGTACTTAAGACTTTCATATGATATTATCTCAAATATACTTGTTACTAATGTGTATTATTTTTAGAAACGACATTTGAGTGACAATTCAGTTAATGGTAGAAAAGCAAATGTTTTGCACAATGGAAAGTTAGAAATTGTAGATTGGTTATCTTTGAAAGTTGGGGAAATTGTTCGTTTGGCTATCAATGAACAAGTTCCAGTAAGTGTACCTTTAAATTAGATTTTAATTTTGTGTTACTGTAATGTTAAAATGAGTTTTTTTGTTCAGGCAGACCTATTGGTTATTTCAACTAGTGAAGATAGTGGTCTTTGTTATATTGAGACAGCTGAACTTGATGGAGAGACAAATTTGAAATGTCGACAACCACTTGTTGAAACCGCTGAATTGGGGGATGATGAAAGGGGCTTGGGGATGTTTAATGGTATGATGTACCATTTTAATACCCAACTTTTTTGCAAATTTCCTGTAATCATTGAACTTTTTTGTTGTATAGGTCAAATAACATGCGAGTTGCCAAATAATACTTTAGATAAATTTCAAGGCACTTTGAATTGGGAAGACAAGAAATACAGTTTGAATAATGATAACATTATTTTACGCGTAAGAAAAATGCAATACACTTTTATATGTATGATGGACCTATTGAACATATAATATAAAAAAACAAAGCGATTTTTTTACAAAAAAATGACAAGTCAATACATGTGACAATTCTTGTACATGAGATCTTAACTGGTATTTTTTTAATTTCAGGGTTGTGTGATACGAAATACTCAATGGATCTATGGTGTTGTAATATTTGCTGGAGCTGATACCAAGCTTATGATGAATACAGGTTAGTTGTACTTAGATAAAATTCTTAATTTTTAAGTAATGTTTGCTTTGCCACAATATATTTACTATTTATAATCTCTAGGTAAAGCAAGATTTAAAAAAACATCACTTGATAGATTGCTCAACAGACTTGTTGGTGGGGTGAGTGCATAAGGTTTTCATGTCTCTTGTACATTCTAAATTTATGTGTTTGAACAATAATATTTAATAAAAGGTGTTTTCAGTGTTTGTAAGAGAAGTAGAGAAGATTCTAACTCTAGAGAATTAACATATTAACTGTAAAAAAGATTCTCAATACAAGGTTTTCTTAAGCTCTACAAATATAGAAAACATCCCTTTTATTATTCTTATAAAGCATATTATCATACAGATAAATGACTTACTTTATTTTCAGGCATATAAAACCTGCATGGTGTAAAACCCTTTTTTTGATGTTGTTGTACAACTTATGGATGTAACCTGTGCTGAAACAAAATTGTCAGAATAAACAGACAACCCATTGGATATATCATATGTATTGTTATTTTATCTATTAGATTGCTATATTACTTGCTACAATCTGTGTATTTTGCTCTATCATGTCAGGAGTATGGGAGAATGATACTGGCCGGGTATGTTCAGTCAACAATACAAATTGCATATGCTACAATGTTTTAAAAGATTGCCCTATATGAGTCATATAATCCTCATTAAATGTCTCTTAATGGTACAATGTTTAGCATTTCCAACAGTATCTTCCCTGGGAATCATTTTATAATGACTCTCCTGCTTTAATTGGTCTTCTCCATTGGCCTGGCTATATCATGGTTCTGAATACTCTCATTCCTATATCACTGTATATAAGGTGAATGTGATAAAAACATAATCTTGTCTTATTAATTTGTTACAATAGCCGTGATTTTCTTATTCCAGTGTTGAGGTGATTCGTTTGGGTCAGAGTTTGTTTATAAATTGGGATTCAAAGATGTATTACGAACCAAAGAATACTCCTGCTAGGGCAAGGTATTGGTTTAATTTATCATTAATGGTCAACCATTTCTTTATTCAAATCTATCTTTGTCTTTCGTATCTTTAGGACGACGACATTAACGGAAGAGCTTGGTCAAATAGAATACATATTTTCAGATAAAGTACTTTTTTTTTGCTTTTCGTGACAATGTAGGTCCTTTCTATAATATAAACCTCTTTACAATTTATAGACAGGCACTTTGACCCAAAATATCATGACGTTTAAACAATGCTCAATAAATGGCACGTTATATGGTAAGAAATCATATCATAGATGATCAAATACATTTCCAAATAGTGAAGTGCAGTAATACGTGGCTTGTTACTAAGTAACCCAAAAATATATGTTTGTTGACGTAGATCGTTCTGGTTAGTGAAGTTTTGACAAGGACTGTTGGTATTGATATTGACTGACGTTTCGACATTATTAGCGGTCGTCATCTTCAGAGTCAAGTGAGGAATTAACATTTCGAACATGTCTAAACGTCCGTCACACCACCAACAATACCAACTGTCCTTCTCAGGACTTCACTAACTTGGACGATCTACATCCACAAACAGGTAACGATACTCCCGGGTTTAAACCTTTCAATGTATAACGTAAAATTAGTAACGAACTTGGTGATAGTTCTCACAATGTATCATCATCTACAGCAGAAACTATGTTGATATCATCTTTAGATATGAATATTAAAGTATGTCTCTTTTTTTCTCACTTTGCTAGGTGATATAAAAGGCCCAGAGATTAGCTTACAAAGCGGTGCTTCAATGAGATCAAGGGTAATAGTATTTTTAAACAAGCTTTTGGCTGTGTCTGTTTTCAGCCATCTGTCGTGGTTGGGAGCCGATAGTTCGTTTTACAAAGCATACTGTCTCTCGCATTTCTAGAAATCCGTTGATTTTTCTGGAAATAAAATGGCTGATGAGGATTTTCATTTCTATGATCAAAATTTAATGAACGCTATCAAAGGAAACGACGAGGTTAGGTTTGCAAAATAAATATTTCTCTTATGTTGACTGCAGTAAGTTTAATAATTAGAATATTCTTTTACAGAAAACTCATGATTTCTTTCGTCTGATTGCATTATGTCATTCTGTCGTTTCTGAGGAAGTCGATGGTATGTATATCGTTGAACAAAATAAACTTATCATCATAATTATCATATACATGGCAGAAGTAAATTACTTTTTTACTGTGTATTTTGATTTAGGTGATCTGGAGTATCAAGCACAATCACCAGACGAGGCAGCTCTCGTTACTGCTGCTCGAAATTTTGGATTTGTTTTTCTTGTAAGAGCAAATCACTCAACAATTCGTGAATAAACACATAGTTTATTGTTTTTATAATCTCTCGCAACTCAGCATTAAAAAATTTGGAGACCGCTCATTCTCGTTTTATTACGTTTTAGCGTCGTTCACCAACCGTCATGACTTTACAGTGTCTAGGAACCGAGGTATTATCAAGCGTTATCATTCATGAATCGTAACCCATAAGTTCTGGCATCCATTACAATCAAGCATTATCATTCATGAATCGTAACCCATATGTTCTGATATCCATTACAATCAAGCATTATCATTCATTAATCGCAACCCATAGGTTCCAATATCCATTATAATCAAGCATTATCATTCATGAATCGCAACCCATAAGTTGCAATATCCATTATTATCAAGCATTATCATTAATGAATCGTAACCCGTATGTTCTGATATCCATTACAATCAAACATTGTCATTCATGAATCGTAACCCATATGTTCTGATATCCATTATAATCAAGACTATCATTCATGAATCGCAACCCATAAGTTCTAATATACATTGTAATCAAGCATCATCATTCATGAATCATTATCCATGGCTTATGCTATTCATGATTTTTCATGATGTTTGATCATATTTTTTATCATTATCAATTTTTCGTTTTCATCATTACCGTTTTTGGTAATTTTTTAAGGAAATCTTGGAACTCCTATGCACACTTGACTTTGACAACGTTAGAAAAAGATGTCGGTAATCTGATACGTACTATCCACGAACATCTGAAGCTGCAACATCAGATCTTTTTTTTCATCAACGTAGACATTTAACTATATTTGCTCCATTTTAGGTAATTGTAAAAAGAGATGATAAGATAAAGCTGTACTGCAAAGGAGCAGGTTAGACTTTACTGTCCGTTGTCTTGTAGTTAAAAATGTCACCAATAATATCGTGATGTATTTTTTCATTTTAATTGTACAAGTATTTTTATTCTTTAAGCAGAACTCGTACAAAACTTGAATGTCTTTGAATTTAAATTGAAACATTCAAGGCATTAAAAGTACTTGAATTTATTAAGATGTGCAAAAAAGTAATTCGTGTGCTGACGTTGAACCTTTGAAGTAACCTAGCAACATAGCAGCTTATATTTGAATAACCTCGTGCTATAGTTGTCATTTAACGTAGAATTAATTTACACTTTTTAAGATACTATTATATTTGAGCGACTTCATGCCAGTTCTCAAGAATTAATGAACACGACTAATGAACATTTAAACGTGAGTTAAGAGGCACCATTGTTGAGGTTATTATTGGACAATCGTTCGTGGGTTCTATCTTCTCATTTTGTTGTCGTTTCTTCTATAAGACGTTTGCAAAAGATGGTTTGCGAACGCTCGTGTTAGCTGAGAAAGATATCTCTCCGGAGAATTTGAAAAAGGGGATGGTTCGTTATCACGAAGCAAGGTAATTACTCCTTGTAATCTAAATACTTTACTGGAAAAAGATCTTTTAATAAATTGTATTGTATATTCAGTACTGCCACGGAGGATCGAGACGAGAAGATTAATGAGGTTTGTTGTACAGTATGTATAGATTTCCAACTTTATTTATAAAGGTGTTCAATTTGAACTTATAATACTTCATAGGCCTATGAAGAAATAGAAAAGGATCTGAATTTGTTGGGAGCAACGGCAATTGAAGATAAGTTACAAGATGGTGTACCAAATACAATTGCCCACCTAGCTGAGGTATTTTCATGAATGTCGTGTCTGTATAAAGATTGATTGATTTCATGTGCAGAACACAGGTGCAGACGTTGGTCTACAACAGTTCTGTTTTATTCATATGTAGGCTGATATCAAGATTTGGGTTTTGACTGGCGACAAGCAAGGTATTAAAAATAAAGCAAAAGTATGACGTTGTTGAATTGTTAGTTGATTTGTTTCATGTTGTGATAGAAACTGCCATCAACATTGGTTACTCCTGTCGACTTCTGACAAATGAAATGGAGGAAGTATTTACGATAAACGACGAAGAGGAAGAAAAAGTTCGAGCTTCGATAAAAGAAGCAATGAATAGAATTAAGTCATCACCAATGATCAGTAACTCTGTCGAGAACAGTTTTGGTGCTGACAGTTTGACCGTTAATATTTTGCCCAACACGCCCAACACCAGTCGTATTGAAGACACGAGAACGCAGGCCGTAACAGAAAATGGCCAGGTATAATATCAAGCCATTAAACAGAATATCGTTGTTCTGGGTGTTAATTTTTTTGTCTTTGATAGGAAAAGACCGTATCTAAACGAAGTGAATTTGCTTTGGTAATCACTGGAAAAAGCTTAGTAAGTGACCTTATGTTAATGACGTTCATTACAAAAAACAATATCTATTTGTGTTTTGTTTGTTTTTTTAAGGTATTTGCTCTTGATAATTCCATGGAAATGGACTTTCTCGAGTTAGCTAAACATTGTAAAGCTGTGATATGTTGTCGAGTCACTCCACTACAAAAGGTAGTATGAAAACCTTTTAGTATGTTATCCAAGATAAATGATAATGTGAAACGTTCTCATTTTTCTAGGCCCTGGTTGTGGAGTTAGTCAAGCGCCATGTGAAAGCAGTCACTCTAGCAATAGGTGATGGTGCAAACGATGTTAGCATGATTAAATGTAAGCGACAGAGAAGAGAATTTGCGAAAAATTTTTGCCAGCTTAACAATTTTATTTTCATTAACAGCGGCTCATATAGGTGTTGGTATAAGCGGACAAGAAGGAATGCAAGCTGTTTTGGCAAGTGACTACTCTTTTGCGCAATTTCGATATCCTTTTTAGTGAAAATGCGGAATTATATAAAAATGTTTCATGACTGGTTTCTCGAAGTATTTTCTTAACTATTTTTTGTACGTTTCTGGAACGTTTGTTGTTGGTTCATGGTCGTTGGTCCTACTTGAGAATGGCGAAATTTTTAAGCTACTTTTTTTACAAGAATTTTGCGTTCACTTTATGTCAGCTTTGGTTCGCTTTCTTTGTTGGTTTCTCTGCGCAGGTAATGTATTGAAATGCTCAACACGTTTAAAATTATAAATCATTCATGATCTACGCCTTTTTTGAACTTAGCTATATTTTTTTCTTTTCAGACGTTGTATGATGCTTGGTTCATATCTTTTTATAATGTCTTTTTCACTTCATTGCCTGTCGTTGTTATGGGCATTTTTGATCAAGTAATAAAATCTTTCTTCACTGATTTTTTAGTGCAATAGCATTTGTTCATGTGTTCGATCTTTTACCTATAGGATCTTCCTGATAATATTTCTTTGAAATTCCCTAAATTATATGTTCCTGGCCAAAAGAATATTCTATTCAATTGGAGAGTATTTGTTTTCAGTCTTCTTCACGGCGTCCTTGTTTCCCTTATCCTATTTTTCGTTCCTTATGGCATTTATCATGATTACATAAACAGTAGCGGTTACGTGGAGTCGGGCCTTCAATTCTTCGGGACAGTAGTTGCAGCAACACTTGTTATTACAATGAACTTACAGGTTTGTTGATGGGCTACATGAATTTTGACTAAGCAGTGTCAACATAGTCTACGTGAAGTCATTCTTTCTCTTTTCCTTGCAGCTTGCATTAAACTTACATTCTTGGACAATTCTCAATCACATTTCCGTTTGGGGAAGTATCATCTTCTATTTTATCTTTTATCTTATCTATTATTCATCATTTGTCCTCAAACTGACACCACAAAATTCATATCATGGTGTACAATATGCTACATACGGGGGAGGCTCCTTTTGGCTCTGTGCATTAATAACTCCTGCAGTAGGTATATTGCCTGTCTTTGTTTATCGCACTATGAGTCTGGAACTTATGCCGACTATTTCTGATCGCGTTCGTCTGTTATGGAAGAGTGGCCAGTTAGAAGAACCTGCAAAATTACTGAGAATCAGACCGAGATCTAGTACGAGAATGTCTCTGAGAAGAGGTGGATATGCTTTTGCACAGGAAGAGAAACTGAGTAGAAGAATACATGCAAATCATTCAAAACGATCAACATTTCGGGAAAGTGTTAAAGGCAATAAGTAATAGTTTCTTATATATATACTTTAGTATTGTATTTATTCAACTATGTAGGTGAATGAATTGACGCAGTTTACATTATGCGTGACATTAGTAGCTATAGAGATCTAGACCATGTAGTAATTAATAAAAATTCATAATCGTATTTAAGTCATGTTATTGTTGACACTACTAATTACCTAATAATATCAACTGCATACATATAACATTTGTAATCCGAGTAGACTATCATTGAAAATTGTGGTGTTTGTCTGAAGGTGCTATTGAATCCGTCTGCAATTGTGCTCAATATATGGCAAAAAGAGCGTACAAAAGAACTAAGATGTCTGAGAAAAAGCAGATAATATCAGGGCAGTATTCGTTTGACTATATCAAGGTTCGTTTATGCAGTAATAAGGAGATTACGTCGATATCAAGTCGTCAAGATTACAAACCATCATTTGCTGATACTAATGACTACCGCTATGATTTTAAAAGAAAATTACAATTTGCTGTTGCAAATGAAAGCATTCAGCAAAAACTAGAGAGAATTGAAATATCTCAACTGAGCTCGCTCATCTGTTGTGATAGGCTTTCTGAAAAGAGAAGTGAACCCGATGTACGTCGACGTTGCTTTTGTGATTCTTTGGGTCCAAAATACTGCGATACTTGTCGAAGAAAAGTGAAGTGTGGTTTGATCGATGTAGTACCAAAAATAATGGAAGATTTGAGACCATTACCTTCTGTAGAAACAGCGGAACGAAAGCATTTGATGCATTTAAAACGAGCATCAATGTTTTATGATAAGAAAGGTTATGAAGATACAAAAGTAGAAACCGATCTCACTAACTGCCAACATCTTTCGTCATCAAGAACATCTAGTTTCTCATCAATCATACAAGAAATAACACCCCCAATTTTTTCATCTAATATAGAAGAAACGCGATGTACTTCGGTTGATTCAGATGATCCAAAACCTCTAACTTTACCAGCCATATCTCGGAGCTCTATTATCCCTTATTTACCGCAACATTCACCCTCAATCTCTAGTAGTGAAGAAGATGATTCCACTCGACCCGATATCTTTCATACAACGCAGCAGTTGCGAAGCATAAAAGAGTTAAGAGAAGGAATGAACGAGCGAAATAACGAGACAACAAGGTCAAATGTGAAAACATCTGAAGAAAATTGTACTATACGTAGTTTTTCGAGTGGAAAAAATTCAAATTTACTAGAAGATTATAAAAAGAGGAATGGAAAAGGTCAAAATACTGTTGGCAAACTATCCCATCCAATAGAACCAGTTTTGCTAGACCTGAAATACATCAACTTCAGTATTTATGACTATGCATAATGTAACATTTAATACAACACACGTGACTTCAACGTATCTGCTCAACTGGGTTGATCGTTTGAAAGACTTGCAACATTTGAAAGGACGCTTCTCAATACGTTGTCCCATGTGAATTATAACTTTGAGCGTTGGTTAATAGCTGAATTTCGCTGTAGCCAGATTTGAACGGCTTGTCACTGGCCATAATTCATCACTTTGCCAGAATTTACCTTTCCTTGACATCACACAAAGCAAACTCTAAAAAGGAAAGGAAATTGCATCGATTAGAAAATGGCGATGATTAAGATCTTACAGAAGATGAGAGTTATAAATGGAATTTTGGAAAATCAATTGCATGCAAAGATCCATATTATATGAATATCATGTCTAATATCACACTAAAAACTCGACAATTTGCTGAAACAAATCCTTATGCTGATGAAATGTCCAAATTCTGTTCTCCTCTTTCTGAGCTCATCCAATTTCTGAATTTCGTTTCATTTCCGCCGACATAATGACTTAAAGTTTATCATCTTTGTAGATTTTAGAAGTATGTCATTCTAGTCAACAGTAAGTTCATTTTCAAATATTTTACCCTCCCGCATGACCAGCCGACTTTGTAAGAGGTTTCGCATGTGTCAAATTTTGAATACAACTCAGTAAGAGATTCGGAATTCTTCCCAAAATCTTCGAGGAACCGTTTTAGGATGAAATTGAGGAGTCCAATGATTTTCTTGCAGCAGATAGACGTCTTCTCTGCAAAGTATGCCTAAGTATAAAGTTATTTTAAATCAAAGTTAATCGGTGAGAAATCTGCTATTCAAAATCTTCTAGAACACTTTGTTGATTGAAATAAAAACAGCCACTACATATCAGAAATGTCTTTTTTTGGGAAAAAAATTGAGAAAATTGTATTGATGGCATTTTTATTTTAGAAATCATTTATACAAATAATTCAAGTAAATGGAAAAGTTTTATATCCAAGGAGAGTGTACAACGGTGTTAGACATGTTTCGAACACAGCAAACTTAGTCGTGCTAGTAGAGTTGAGTGTTTATCAAATGAAAATCTCTTCTCAATTTTACCTCTTTCTAAGCTTTTTTGACGCAAACGTCAGACATAGTACATTTTTAACCTTTGATTGAAAACAGAAAATGTTTAATCGACGTTTTATGAATAAATAAAGTACGTTAAAATAACAAATAAGAATCGATGATTCCAGAGACTGGCTCCTTTAAAATCCCATTACGAATAATTCACGATTAAAAAAGCGTATTGAAAATCAAATGACTTTTTAAGTTAAGACAAAATACACACGAGACTGATTTTTTTCATTTTCTACGAATCAATTATCATGACTTGGTTCAGGCTGCCCAGCAGATTTGGAGCTCAGACTATCTTCTTGTTCCCTGGTAGCGAAGAGTGGATTTGCAAACGACGGGCCGCGTTTTGTTATTGGTGTTTCAATACCACGTGATACACCATACAGTGGATTTGGAACCATAACAGATTCATCTTCGTCCAAGCCATAAATTGGATTTGATTCTCCGCCAATGGTCGAAATATGATGACGAAGCATGACGTCACGATAATGTTCTTCAGGTTGTCTCACGTGATCAAATTGTTGTCCATTACGTAGCGCTTTTTGAAGGTTCTGTTTATGTGAACTATGAGCGTAATGGGCGAACCAGAGAACAAAGAGAAACAAAATAGCCCCAACCGTTGCAAGCAAATAAATAGACCACCGTTGTAAGCCCCCTTTCTTAGAGCCCTTTCCTGTAAGTCCATCAAGAGTTTCCTCGCGTGTCTGACAATGTAACTTCTTCACATCTTCATCGCTGACACACATGAAGTCCATATAGCTAAAGTCTTTGGAGGTATAGGACGTGTATCCAGCTCTTTCCGTGCAGTTGAGTAATTGATGAAGAGAGCACAAAATAGCGGTTTGTGAGAGAGCTTTCATACCAACTCTAGCAATAATAGGTAGTGAAATATTTTCTGAATTTACAATAGGATTCAATACACTCACATCGCTGACATTGAAGTATCCATCTTTAGTATAATGGTTTGTATAAGAGAAGTAAACAAGAAGCCGTTTTTTGATCCAATCTTCCACTTCGATCTTAATTGCAGAAGAAAATGCTTCGTAGTTTTCAAAAGAAACACCGTACATTTCGAGCAACGTTTTATTCAGGTGTAACATGGTGATATTTTGACCAGAAAAGCAAACGTTTTCATTTCTTTTCTTGTCGGAGTCTTTAGAATCTTCGTCTTCACTGTGATCGGTACGATATGGTATATATGTCTGATCTTTAAGGCATTCGTGTTTTCCAGCTTGACGTTCACATCTAGAACCCATGTAGCCTTTCTCGCAACGACACTCGTAGAATCCTGTAGAGAAAGGAAAGAAGATATTAAAAACAAGAATAAAAATATACATATTTACTGCTTAACATATTCCTTGTTTGTTCTCGAGAGAGTTAAAGCCGTACCTATATGATCAGTGCAAGGATGTTGGCCACAAGGTTCCCCAATACAATCATCAATATCAGTTTGACAGAGCCAGCCATCGTAACCACGGTGACAGTTACACGTGATGTTATTAATATGATCAATGCATAAGCCATGATCTTTATGACAACTATAAGGGAATTTATTTCTGGGATCACATTCATCAATATTATGATTGCATTGAGCGCCATTGTATCCAGGAAGACAGGTGCAGTTGAAGGTCTTCAATTGATCATGACATTTTCCATTGTGTTTACATGGAAGACACGGATATTCTTGAACTTCATCACAATAGTCAAAGGATGGTTGACAGTCATCAATGTCAGTGCAGTTATAACCATCACCAGTATAACCATCCATACAACGACAGTTGTAATTAAAGCCATCTTGTCTGTGACAGACTGCATTCTCTCTGCATCTGTTCGTTGGAGCACATGGATCAACTCTCGATACGTTAATGTAGATACTATCATTGAACGATTTCACGGGGTGACCGTTATCTTTCACTTCAACAAGAAGATCATAACTTGAACGAGCATCGAAGTTCATCAAGTGTTTTTTCAGGAACAAATATGATCTAAACAATTCAAATCTTGCTTGTTTTTTTCCTATTGCGTTTAATATAGGCGGTTCATACGTCACGTTATAAGGGACTTTAACGATTATAAAAAACGTGGCAGCATCCGAGAGTATCGTGTATTCTAAAGTCTGCCATCTCTCCGGGTTATTGCATAAAACTTCACTGATATTAGTGTTAATTTCTGTCGTTTCTCTCAACGTAACATCGCCTGCTTTTAGATAAATCTTGTTAGCTCCTTCATTAATCTCGTTGACAGTAATTTTAAGTTGCTTCAACATTGACTGTACAGGAACACCGTCATCATTTGCCTGAATCGTCACCATTATATAAGGATGAGGCAATTTCTCGTAGTCCAGTTCCACATTAGAGATCACTGTTAAAAGATTTGTACCATGGATGACCTAAAATGTATATAAAATATTTTACTTCTTTCGAGCGATTTCTGCGAGAATGGTTACTAATTCAAACCCCGATAAGATCAATAATTTAAGACTATTTTATTATTCACATTACACCCTATTCTCGAAACTTAAAACATAATTACAAAGTTTCATTTTGGCGAAGAAACTCTATATAGGACTAACTCGTTCCAGGAATTTCAATTAATGTAATCTGAAATGAACCCTGTACTTACACGGAACGTGTTACTGTATTGGCCAACAACAAGAAATGAACATGTCTGATTTCGATCGAAATCTTTGCAAATCAAATTCCCCAAAGAATAATTCACGTATGCGATTTC